TTTTTTTTATATCTAAATTAAATTTTAATTTGATCCATGTGGTTTCTGATTGCATGTAATTAATGAACAATCATATATACATGCATGCACTTATCATGTGTTGCTTGGTTAATATTTTATTTAATTTAAATCGGCCAATCGAAATGTTCAATGAACTGGAGGACGAGTAATTACGGATGCTCAAAAAATAATAATAATAATTAAATTAAATTAAATTAAAGAATTATAATTCGATTAGCGGCGTTAATTAAATAAAATTAGACATTAATATAATATGTTTGAAATAAGGAGTCAATGGATAAAACACACGATTAATTCAGAACCCCACGTTCGTATGCAATTGTCGTATGTATAAACTAAAGATTATTTATTTATATTCACGATGATTGAATAATTAAATTCTGAAAACAAAAATTAAATAATTATGAAATTTTTTATATGCAAATAATAATAATTCAATTTATCATTACGTGGCAGCCTCTTAAGGCTACATGACATGCAATGCGTAACGCCGATTTGTCAAATTGATTAAAAATTTGCAAGCACAGCTAAGGGAATAATATTTTGCTCTTAATCATTTTTATAATTAATATATATTTTTTAATCTAATGGGATTAAGAGTGATTAATTTATTAATCCATCTTTTAATCGTACCTCGTTACGAAAAGGATAAAGGAAAAAAACAAGATTAATGTTTGATTAGGACAGTGATTAAGGGGACAGGTGTACGTCATCTAGCTTTATTACCACTTTTCTTAATTGATTTAAATTGTGTCGTCTGTGTACTACGTGCACGGGTGGTGAATTAAACCTGTTATTATATCTTTCTTAAATTAAATTTGTTTAAAATTTTTATGATGGATTAGAGGGAATATTTATATGTAATAGGCTATAATTAAATTTAAGAAAATGACGAGAGATTATTCAATTAAATTTGATGAATATATATATATATATATATATATACAGATTAAAGCGGTAATGGAAATGTGTGGTGGCTGGTGGGTCCCTTGTGCAGTTTGGACAACTAAGCAGACTCGGTACCTGGACATTTAAATATTTTCAAAAATTAAATTATTACAATAACTTGAAACTATGTAGGAGTGCATTAGGATTTTTTTTGTGTGATTTTTTTTTAATAAAAAAACTATTATATAATTTAATTATGAAAAAAAAAAAAATTCTTAACTTCTTCATTTTACATGTAGTTTTTTTTAGTAAATTAAATAATAATAATATTTTATTTATTAATTGAAGTATATATAAGAAGATTTTGATATTAAGAAATATTATTTTTACTGAAAATTATATACATTTTGATGTAGGAGACATACAAAAATAGTAAAATAATAAATGTGATGAAGGGAGTATTAAATTATATAGAGTTTGTTTACTTAATATTTTTTGTAAAAATGATTTTCCATGAATATTAGTATTTAAAAAATCAAGAAGTCAATAATTATTTTTTTTATATATATAATACCAATTATACAATTTTTCGTATCTAACATAAAAATAAAAGATACTCCCTCCTTCCCAGATACCGTATCTGCTATAATATGTAAACACAGTATTTTATGAGGGGTGTAATTAGTAGATAATTAAAAATGTATTAGTGAAAATAATTATCCTATAATATAAATTATTATAAATTAAGATTAAGATAACTAATTAATTTAATTAAATTAAAAAAATAAAATTAAAAAATTTAAAATAAAATTAAAGTGTGTAATCATTTTTTTTTTAAAAAAAAAAAAGAAGGTGACATGGTATGTGGGACGGACATAAACGGCAATGTGGACATGATATCTAGGACGGAGGGAGTATTAATCTAAAAATAGAAAGTAATTTGTAAACGAACTCTAAACTAAAAACCACAAACACGCTCATGATGTAATTTGAAGTGAAAAAAATCAAATGCATCATAGTCATGTACTCATAGTCATTAAATTTATGTTTGTATATAAATATTATTTACAAATCCTATTATATCAAAATAGTGAATATCTTTTACTGATATAAATTAAACAATACGATAAAATCCACAAAATAAAATGTTCATTTATTACAAAAAGATTTATCCAAAATTAGATGTGAACAAGGATGAAATGGAAGTGAAGTCTCCCGAGACACTGCCACATAGACATTCAACAGTCTGACGTGAGATAACGGTTTTCTTTGAAGTACGCACCCGATAGGTGCCACGTCATCCAACTTCCATTCGGGACCCATATTTTATCCTTCAACTAATTTTAATATCTCTTCTAATTTTTCTCAAAAATTCCCATAAAAAGATTTCATCAATAATATTTTCAAATACAATTCAATCCCAATTATTAGTATTACATAAGCAACAATTATCCTCTTAAAAAAAAATAAGTAATAAGTACTCTATAGCAATACCCTATATCCCAAAAAAACATTGGATAAATACATTAGATATATATATTTATAGTTCTTTTCTTATTATTATTATTATTATATATTATTATTTGTGTAGGAGATGAAGGTACTGGAATGATCTGTATTCCAATATTAATTGGAACAACCTTAAATGCAAGTTACAAGAAGCATTACATGGACTTCCACTAGTGAGATATACAGTCTTTTTCTCCTTTATTATTTGTTCAATTAATATCACACATACCAAAAAAAAACTCCAACCCATGCATGCAGTGCAACTTTCTTGGCCTTATTGTTTTACAGCCTTGCCTTGCCTTGTCTTCCTAATTAAATTTAGTTAATTAAAGGCACCCAAATCAGCAGCCAACAATAAATATATGCCAGCAAAAAAATACAAGGGAACAACATCTTATCCCAACATGATCAGACATTATATTCATGAACAAAGAGATAGATGTTAATTGTCGATACATAAGATAATTAATATCCCCATGCATGCACATATATATATATATATATGATTGTGTTGGGGATTTATTGATTCGATCTTAATTTGTTGTTATACAAATTTAATTTGGTGAATCCATGGAACATTATTACACACACACCTACTGTTGTGATCCTTAAATCTTGACAAGTGGGGCACTTTGACACCAAGGGGGATGTACTTCCATTACCTACGTGTAATAATTTACATATACATACATACATATATATCTATGTATGTATTTATGTGTGTGTGTCCCAATTAGGGTTTTTGTTTTTTTTTTGGGTTACTTCCTTCAATTGCTAATTAAATTCAATATACCTAAATATCACTGTTTAATTTGATGTTAGGTTTCATGTTGATAAGAAATTAAAATTAAAATAAAAAAAAACACGTGTCACAAGACTAGATGAATGGATGAATATGTAATGGTGTCTTGATGCAGAGCCAAATTAGGGTTTTATAAAGTGATTAGTGTTTTTGGCAGGTAGCTATGAGAATTTTAAAGAGAGGGAAAGATGGGAGCAGTGCAGCACATGGCTCTTGGCCAGAAATGGAGGAATATAAAATTGCAATCCAAATTTAATAGTAGATTTTAATTTTTTTGAATAATTATTAATAAATTAAAATTTAATGTAAGAAAGCATCTTTTGTTTGCATATAATAATATATACAGCCACACAGGGCCAAAGCCAACTAACTATCTGTGGTCTGAAGAGAGATATAATTTATCCATCAAGAGCACATCAAATGGAGCTTGCTTTCTTATTCACTGTTTATATATATATATATATATTATTTTATTTTAAGTAAATTAAAATTGTGCATTTCAGTCTTGGCATGTGAAAGGTTTTCAGGGTTTTTGGATTTTAGGGTTCTTAGATTGTTGTATGTATAAAAAAGCAGCATACCACACGAGCTTGCTTTATTTTCTGCTGTCATTTTATTCTTATAATATATATATATATATATGCTAGAATCTAGATACTGATAATCTTAATAACTGGAAATTAATCTGCAGGTTTGTATTTTAATTTGATTTTTAAAGAAATGTCAATGTTGTGATTTCCCAAGTTGAAATTTGTTGTTTGATTGACAGGGAAGAGAAAGGAAGGCCAGATCGAAGAATGCAACTGTGTATATATATTAAAAGTCAATAATTTAATTTTTTTTTATTATTTTTTTAAGGCAATAGATAGTTAGAAAGTTAAAATGAGTTGAATAAATAAATCTCCACAGTTAAAAGCAGTTAGGGGTAGAGGAGGACAAATAGTATTTTCTATATATGACTATTTAATAATATACTCCCTATCATTGTAATAATACTAATAAAAATATTCTTGTCATATTTTCTATTACTTTTTTTTTTTATAATAATTAATATTCAAAGATCAATTCAAAAAATAAACGAACCCTTAGAACCAAATATATTTTAATTCAAAATAAATTTGACGACATAGATCAAACTCATGGAAGTGGTACTGTTATTATTATGTTTGTGAATGTAGGAAGTATGTTTTCTAAAGATATATGTCTCTATTTTTATTTTTAACGCACAATGTATTACAATTTTTGCTCTAAAAAAATATTTAATCATTTTATTTTCTTGAGGTAATATAGTGGTTGGATCATAGATAGAATATAGTGATAAATTATGGAAAGTAGTATACACACAATATTACGTAGTATTATTTAACTCATAAAACAATTTTGTTTGTTATAGAAATATAAATTTCAAGATATAGATACTTTTCTAACTATGTAATACAGTATATGATATTGTTACTTTGACTATACCTGCCATGCCATCGGCTCGCAATTTAACTAATTCCATAAATATTTAAATAAAAAATTCCTAATTGGTCCATTCCCACTTATATTTTAAATTAAATCGAAAAGTTGAAACCAATAACTATTATTGTTAATTTAATACTACTATTGCAGCTGCAGCTTTTATCGTTCCCAATTTTTATTATTAAGGCCAGCAGGCCGACGACCACTGACGAAACAGTACCGACTCTTTTTGAGGGTATTATCGTCATTTGACCATAGACCCCTGACTCCCAACACTATATAAACCGCGCCTCTTCCCCGTAATTCAATCCCCCCTTTCTTCACACAATCCGAATTTCACTCAGAAAATTCAACTCCAAAATTTTCTGGACATCGATCGATCGATCGATTGATAGTCGAATACCTAATCGAAGATGTCTGCGTGCAGCAAAATCCGCCACATTGTTCGTATTCGCCAAATGCTCCGCCGGTGGCGGAGGAAGGCAGCCATGGCCTCCCGCGGCGCGCCGTCCGACGTCCCCGCCGGACACGTGGCGGTGACGGTGGGAAGCAGCTGCAGGCGGTTCGTGGTTCGGACGACGTACCTTAACCATCCTCTGTTTAAGAAACTGCTGGTTCAGGCCGAGGAGGAATACGGATTCAGCAACAACGGACCTCTGGCGATCCCCTGCGACGAATCGCTGTTCGAGGAGATTCTCCGGTACTTGGCGCGAACGGATTCGAGTATCGCCAATCACTCGCCGCTGCTCATGAGCTTCGAAGACTTCCAGAGATATTGTCTCAGAGGTAACCTCGATTTCTGGCCCGATTCGCGGCCGCTTCTGCATGGAGCTCCGGATAACTCCATCTGCTAAATGGACCGGGTTCCGGATCCTAACCCGCCCGCGTAGGCCATACGCTTGATTCTCCGTGGAATCAGTAAATTCTTCATTGCTATTTCAATCTTCTTCGTTTCGATTTTGCAATTGGTGTATAAATTTGGAGAGTTGGGGGTCAGCGAGTCACTGAGTTGGTCCGGAGAATGTGAAGGTGATGGCAAGCAGGTGGACGAGTCACCACCGAGTCGTCCCGGGTTCGGATCGGAGCTGCAGCCAATAAACAAATTAACCGTCTGCTCAATCAGATGGATTATTCAAATAATTACAGAGGTACGAAATGATCGATCGTCTCTGATGTAAGTTGAAAATGGGGATCGAATTTTTTTGAAGGAAAGGAGACTGTAGCAGAGGAATTATTTTTATTCAAAAGCTAAACACCAGCTTGAAATTTCACTCTGGATTATTTTTCTAATCTTGTTTTGTAGTCTGTACAATAATAAAAAAAAATAAAATTGTATCTTTATTGCAAATAAAGTACCTCCCAGATGGCCTTCATTTCTGGCATCTGATTCCACGTCGTATTTGGTCGTTAATTTCGTCCATTTCTAAAAAGATTTCAATTTTATTGTCATAGAATTATGAAAGTCTTTGTAATAATTAAAATATAGCTTTCTTCTGATTTCGACAATTCTTGGAATTTCCATTGTTTATTCACGTCAAATAGTTAACTCGTCGCGATTTAAATTTTGTGCAAATGATTAAGGTGCAATCAAACCAGGGGATAATAATTAATGTGTAGACTTTTGTGCATAAATATATAATTTAATCAGATTATATTTAAGTGCCCATTGGATTTATTTAAAGGGTGTGGATTTATAATATTACACTGATGTCCTACTTAGAACTCATCGAGTGAATAAAATTATGTATTCGATCAGCTTTTACTAAGGATTGAAGGATCCGATGATGAGAGGAGTGGTCAAAGCTTCAAGAAACTCGAAACACATGGGTTTTGTCAGTAATTATTTTAACATTTTGATGGTTACTTTTCACCTGTCAAAAATAAAAAATAAAATCGTAATTAAATTATTGCTATTTACCTTGACATGCTCTGATATTAGGCCCACTACGTTTCTTTTTTTTACACTTTGGGCCTACATTATAAAAGCCCAATACGTTTTACAGTAATATAAGTAGCTGGATTGATTGGGCCGTATGGGCCCAACACAATGTATTCAATATTTTAATTAAGCAAATTTCCAGCCCAATATAAATTTATTTGAATATAGTATTTTTGGAGGTGAAACGAACAGTAATTATTGGGAAAAAAAAAATGAAAATATAATTGGATAAATAGATATTTATTTGCTTAATTAAAAATGGTATGAATTAATCCAAGCCTTGGGCAAATTTATTACTATAAAAAAAAAAAAAACAGTAAGAAGAACTTTTCCCATGTCCAGACCGAAAACAGAAATCTAAACTAGACATGGGCATGGACATCACGTGGCAAACTAAGCACGTGCCGTGTCCGAAGCCCCGCACGTGATTGGCAGCCTCCCGTTATATGGTTCTGGGGTGTTGAGAAATTGCATGATAGTGTGCAGTGCAGGCGTGCAAAATAAAGAACCCCACCAATATTTCCTTATTTCGTACGTACAAAACCTTCCACTTACATAACAACAAAAATTGTCACAAGTGATTTTAATAAATAAATAAATAAAGAGTTGTTGGATCATTGATGGGCTGTCATGATGGTTATGCAAAAATAAATACATAAATAAATTGAAGTGGTGAAAAAGCAGACAAATTTTAATGATTCCGAAAATCAACTATTCGATGAGAAAATGGACACAGACAAAGAGTCCTTTTGGCCATGCCTTAAAATGTGCCATTTTTTCGTCCAATTCGATTTGTCTGAAAAATTCTCAGCAACTTAGCATGGGCATTTTTTTTATTTTTAATTTTACTTGTAATGAATTTTAAAAGGGTTTTTAATGGTTATTTAGTTTATTCGATTTTGGGAAATTAAATAGTGGTTGGTAAGTAAGTGATGAGACTAACAGCCTTAGGAATTAAAACGTATAAGTGGACAAAATGGTGGACCCTTAACGGTTATTACACACACATATTATGCATCCATAAAGATATTATTTTTGGGTCCAGTCAATTATATTTAGTTTAAATTTGTCGGAAACTAATGACCGTCTCACCTAAAAGCTCGAACTTCCCCCTCAGGTGCAAGTGGGTCTGCGAAACTTGCACATGCATATGCCACAAATAGGGACGGGCGGGACTCGAACTCGAGACCTAACCTAGGCTCTGATACCATGTCGGAAACTAATGACCGTCTCACCTAAAAGCTCGAACTTGTTAAGGAAACTAAGCCATTAATTACATATCCCGCAAACGGGAGTCCCCAACAAAATTATTATAAATACTTACAAATAATTTAATGTGCATTTTGAAATTCTAATAAGACTATTCTCTTTATCAATAAATCATGTAATTCTGTTTGGCGATTTTTTTTTATTTTTTTTTTCTTGATTATTTTTATTGCACTTCTTTTTTTTTTTCAAGTGATTTATTTATGTTATAATCCGCAATAGCGGAGATAATGTTGCATATAAGTAGATTAATAAATGAAATTTGAAATGGATTAAATGTAGCAACAAGTCCACCGCCATAATGACTTTTTCCAATCATGCTATCTTGGATTTTACTTCTATGCAAAATCTAATGTGTATTATTTTAACTTAGGAAATATAATTGGAAGTTTGATTTGACTAATTTACTGTTAGCAATAAAATATTATATATATATATATTTTTTAATTATGATTTAATATATTTTATAATAATAATATAAAATCTATTTTGAATGTTGAAAAATAACTTGCATATTCGATATATATAATTTTATAAAGAAATAAATGTTAGTTATATTTTTAAAGTAAATAGAAAAATATATTTTTATAAATAATTAATATAAATTAATACGTAAATTATAATAGGTTGTTAGTTGACTTACTGTTGATTGATTTAATATTATTTTTTATTATTCAAAAATGTGATGATGAAATTATTTATAAGGATATATATGTATAAAAATAAAACTATAAAAAAATTGTGTTTGTTGAGTTGTCACTTCTATCCCACTATGAAGAATAATTAGCATATAAATCCGTGATATATAGATATATATGTCTATATAATTAATATACTTTAAAAATAATAAATAAAATATAAAATTTATATAAAGTACTTTATGAACTTAAATAAATACAACAAATATCCTCACACGACTTATTCATTAGTATGTTTTGATAACTCTAGTTTATATGTATTTTATATTAATATTTAAATCAAATGTGATCTTTTTTAAATTCTATTATTTTTATATATAAATATATAAAATAGATTAACGTAAGCACTAATTGCATGAAGCTATACATATGCTGGTTTAATAATAATTTATTATTTATAATTATGTTATGTTATAAAGTATTGTTTGGGGAGGGTCTGTTTTTCCCCATTTTGTGATCGGGACAGAGTCCATAACTAACAAACTACCCAAACGGGCGTTCGCAGGGAGAAATTAGTCAATTCACGCTCACCTTTTACGCTTTTTTTAATTGGAGTGAGAGTGACTAGTTTGCCGACAAATGCGTTTTTCGTGACTTGGCTTATGCCAAACGCCGTCGCTTCGATGGGACACGTGTCTCACGGATGAGATAGGGTGTGTCGGATGGGCCCCACCAATAAAACTGAAAAAAAGCACTTCCTTCACCGAAACGTGTGGGGCTGTGGTCCCCACTTCGTCAAGATGTAATAAATTATTGCTAATTGTATTTAAACTACGCTAATTAATAATTTAGGTCCAATTATTTCAACTAAGTTAATTTTCATTTAATTAAGCAGTTTTTTTTTTTTTTTTTGACAATTTTTATTATAAGTTTAATACTCGCTCCTATTTTGGGACGTCAAAGTAAACATTTCATTAAATACCTTTTTTTTTTTTACAAATACCCTTATTTTACATCACATCATTATTTTTACACCAAAAACAAAGGCAAAAATATTATTACACTACTTTTAACTACCTACTATAATTAAAATATTATTATTTCTTAAACACTGCGTCAAAAGTAATTGTATACTTTATGAGTAGACAGAAGGAGTATTTTAGTATTAATATACAAATTACTGAACTATGCGTGGAAAATAAGATCCAAATATAAGACCCAAATATATGAAATTTAAACCCATGACCTAATGATTACTATACGAATCCATCTACACATCATCATGTAATCCGATAACAAATTTTTATTGTTATATATAAAAATAATATTTCATCCAATTTATTGGCTCGTTTTCGTTATTTTATGAAAATTTTAGACAATATAATCTAGACCACTTCCATTCATTAGAAGTGGGTACATTTTGATTTTTTTTAAAAAAAATAAAATAAAATAAAATAAAATTCTATATCAATATAATACTTATGAAAGTAATATTCATATTTTTATTGTACACTATAAAATTTAAATAATTAAAAGAATGAAGAAAAATAGCAAATATAATGTTTGCAATGTACACAACATGACAACATGCATTAGGGACGCGACGTGGTTCATGCAAAACCATTTATAGACTCAAATATTAACTCGTCGATTTACTATCTATAGATATGCATGTATATCTTACATGTACATACATATCTATATATGCATATAATACTCCATGTATGTTGTTGGGAAAGAATAAGTGCTGCATGAATATACTTTCGAACACTTATTCAAATGGTTAACTCCCAAAACGTAATTATATCACAGTTATAACGACATCTTGTCAACAAAATAAATGCGGAGATCAAATCAATAAATGACAAGATATTTGGTAACCCGGTTCGGTAATAACCAACCTACATCGGGGGATTCAAATTCAGGAGAGGTTCATTAATCAGTGTTGATTAAAAACAAAACACCAAAAACTTCTTCAACCCAAACTACAATGCTGATTACCTAGTAAAATCCCTCAACAGGCATACTATGTCACAAACGCGTACTGACAACTAACACATAGTTGGGCTGCTCAAATTCTAAATGTTTCCCGGATCGGAAATCCAATTCCCCTTCGACCGACAAACTATCTGGCGAGATAGTAATGTATATCACACTCAATGCATGGAGATGGGAAGGGTTGAGGTTGAGAGGATTATTACAATATTTCTCTCACTGCATACTCTCTCAAAACCACTACAGTCCCTCCTTCCCCTCTTGAGCTATGTAAGGCAGCCACGACAAGCATGTTGCAGACATGCAATTAATTCTCTTGAACAAAAAAAAAGGAATGGTGTATATCTATACACTTTTGGCCACAAAAGAACAAACTCAAAGTATCCATTTTGTCTTGAGAAACCATAATTTCTAAGATAGACAAATAAATACAATTTGATGGGACTGCAGTGTCAGGTGTTGTTGTTTTTGTAATCTAACGACAACAGTAGCAAAAAAAAGATTTGTTAATATGCCAAAAATAGATGGTACAGTTTTTCAACTTAACATATGTAATATAAAAGACGCATATATTCACACATATATATATATATACAAAATAATAGTTAGCCCAAAAAAAAAACAAAAGAAAAAACCTCTCTTCATCATGTGTTAAGGACCTAAGGTGTATATTTACTTTTGTTGAAAAAACTTAAAAAATAATATTATTTTAATTATAGTTGATAGTTAAAAGTAATGTAATTATAATTTTATTATTATTTTTTGTGTAAAAACAATGATATTATGGTAAAATAGATATATATAATATAGTTCATATTTACTAAAAGAAAATAAATATGTTAATGCGCAAAAATGAAAAGATATATACATTAACGCAGTACAACGAAAATAGAAAAATCTATATGTTAACACAGGACATATAGATTAATACTCCCTCCGTCCCACATATCATGTCCGTGTTGCTGTTTCTGTCCGTCCCACGTAGCATGTCACTTTCTTTTTTTGAAAAATAATTACACACTTAAATCTCATTTTAAATTTTTAAATTTTATTTTTTTAAAATTTTAATTAAACTAATTAGTTATCTTAATCTTAATTTATAATTATTTATATTATAAGATAATTATTCTCACTAATCCATTCTTAATTATTTGTTAATTACATCTCTTTTATAATTAGTTATCTTAATCTTAATTTATAATTATTTATATTATAAGATAATTATTCTCACTAATCCATTCTTAATTATTTGTTAATTACATCTCTTTTAAAATACAGTGTCTACAATGTAGCAGACACGGTACGTGGAACGGATGGAGTATATTTTAAATTTTAAAAGTTTACAACATTAACTTCCTTTTTAGTAGCTCTTGATTCCACCATTATATATATATAAATATATTAAAGTACTACATTTTTTGTCATTCAAAATTATTCATTTTTTGTTGTTATCTAAATTTGTTTTTTTTTCTTTAGTTAAAAAATACTATTTTTTATTTTTTTTAATCTTAAAAATATAAATAATATTATTTTTATTTATTTCTTTTAAAATTCGTATTCGACCAAATGAATATAAAGTTAGAACGATAGAAAGACTAGTAAATATATACCAAACTTGAGAATTCGGAAACAAAATAAAAACACTAACAACCAAAGGGTATATTGGTAATGATGGAGAGCACAACACAACACGACACATTCATAGCGTAGCCATTTTTAGCTCATCAACAAGTGCATTTTTAGACTCTAATTATTCTACTATTTTATAAACACTTTTAAATATGTGGTCCAATTATTACACAGATACATTACGCATTATACATACATTACATACAGCTGTCCCCACCTCTGTGCCTGTGCCCTAATACTCACGCCACTAATAACCTTTAAGCCCATCACTTATTATTACTACTTATTAATTATTAGTACCACCATTTATTTCCATTAATTATTCCAAATTATTTTATCCTGCTTACCTTACCATCATTCCATTTAAATAGTAATATCTGTCTTGTGCAATATATATATATATTTTTGTATGTCCCAAACACCCCGCAATATTTTTAAAATAAAAAATAATTAATTATACTTAATCTCTACTCCACACTTTCACATCATCCAAATAAATAAATAAAATATATATTTCTCTCTCCATAGAGCATACTACCCGCCTAAAAACTCGTATCAAAAATAAATGTTGCACATTGTTTGGTACGGAGGGAGTACATTGCCAATCCTAAATTTTTCCATATATATGAACATGTTATAATGTTCAATGCTTAAATTAAACTTTATTTTAAATTTGTTTCTATTCTTTTTCAAATATTAATTTTCTTTCATTTCCAAAATTTTGAATAAATAATTTAGTAATTTGAATTATTTGAATCACCTTTTTATTTTTCTTTATTGAATCATTGTGAATATTAAATCCTCTCACATTTATAGATAGAAATAATTCCATGTTTGTTTGAGGTTTGAGTTTTAAATTTTAAAGTTGAGTAATATGATATAAATAAATATTGATATACAGTAGTAATGTAAACTTATTTTACTATAATATAGAAAATCAAAACAAATAATTAATTTGATATATATTTTTTTGTTTCATGCCTAAAAAAATTTATATAAAACCTCCTAAACAAACACAGCTTGAATGACCATTAATATATACTTACTCTTACTCCGTCCAAATTTAAAATACTTATTTTACTATTTTTATTCATTTTGATCAAAAATATTAATTTTAACAAAAAAATATAAAAGACGAGAATATCAAAATTACTAATTTATAAAATATTACTATATTTTTCAAAAATATTCTCCTTTATCATTCAATTTTATTAAAAATTATACTCGGTCAAAATAATACACATTTGCATGACGGATGGAGCATTTTATTCTTTATTAATTTTGAATTTCTATAAAAATATATTGATAATTGAAATTTCAAATAAAATACATTTATAATATTATAGATAAAATATGACTATAATATTGTAATATATATTAAAAATAAATAAATAGTTTTGCATTATACTAAAAATATCACATATATAAAGAAGTCAAGTTCAAGGGGTGCAGTGCACCGAAAACCGCAGGCAGTGTATGAGGTGGATTTACATTTCAATGTTACGGTGGTCCCCACCGCAGAGCAGAGTCAGTCCACGTCATCCGCCACTCACTCACTTACCTATGTTGCATGCGCCGATGGTATTTTGGTCATTTCACCTCACCCACCTCTTGCATTTATTACAAACAGGCTACTATTACCACCTCCTAACAATAATACTAATACCCAAATCTTCTGTAAATTACTCAGTACTAATTGCAGTTATTTACACACTAAATATATTTTATTTTATTTTTATTTTTAATTTTCCGAATATTGGATTCTCCAAATTTTAGAGGACCGATGTTTTTGGTGTTCAAGAGTCTTCTTGCCTTTTGAGTGGCACCCAAAGCAGATAGATAAGCAGCACTTTCGCCTTTCCCCGCGCTTGCTCGCTCTGCTCCGCCATTTCCAGATTAATCGGCGGATTTCACAAATACAATCGAATTTGAGAATCCAGGGGCTAATTTCTGTCGCTGAATCACGGATTTACGGCATTGCTGCTGGTAAGCGTTGTGTTCTGATTTGAGATACTTGTATGTTTGTGTGGTGCGATCGCTGTTCTCGAGCATTTGGTTTCGTTTCTTTTTGGAGTTAACGGAGTTGTTAGCGGCGGATTGAGGAGTTTCGTGCTGGTTTCCTTGTCCCCGAAGAAATACGCTGATTTCGATTTATATATATGTATATATATTAAGAAAAAAAACGCAGTTTACGCTTCTATGCTTTATACTTTGGAGCCTGCGGTGCTTTTTCTGTGTGTTTGTTTCTGTCGGTTTGTAACTTCTTTGTTTTGTTCACACTTTTCATTGCGCACTTTCCTCCGGAATTTTGTATTCTGGGGGGATTCTCGTTTCCTTTTTTTTTTTTTTTTTTTTTTTTTTTTTTTTTAAATTTATTAATAACGACGACAAGGATTTCCACATTTGATTCCCTCTACATCGATAATTCATGTAGAAGCTGTTGATTGCTAGTCTATGTTTCCTCCAGGTTTCTAAAGCAAAGTAAATCCAAGGATTTTATTAGCTATTTGGTTGAATCCATTTTTGGGTGCTTATATGCATCAGCACTCTAGTTTTATTTGTTTATTATCTTTCTGTTTTTAGGTTTGGGAATACGGATTTACTCTGTTTTGAGTTCTGTTATTTTTGAGGGCATTGGATTCTAAACCATTCCGCATATTTAGAGAGGCTTGTGACTGCAATATATGTTAACATATTTGTGTCTTGTTGTGATCATTGCTGGTTAAAATGTATAGTGATTATGATTTTACACTGGATATGTAATCCAATTCATCCAAATAATCTTTCATGGTTTTGGGAATGTAATCAAATTTCTACAGTGCAGTAGCTGGATTTCATAGCTTACCCCTTTTACTTTTCTAAACCAGCTAGATTATGGAAATGTCATATTCATGCTTGTCTACTGTTTCTGGTGGCCTTTCCTTTTCTTTCTCCTCATTTCAATAATATCAGGTTTCATGCCATCAATAAATAATCATCTTTGTAGTGCAACATCTGACCCTCCAAGGTTCTCCTTGATATATTATAAATTAAAATTTTTGGAAATTTTTGGATGAATTTTTGTTTCTCTCTTCTTACAAATCATAAATTGAAAGAAATATATTATTATATGTATAATATATATATATATTTATTTATTTTTCTTTAGATGCTTTCTCTTGGTTGTGGTCTTGTGGAATGCTAAAGTAGCGTCAGCATTGTAAAAATTATATCCTTTCGTTTTGTTTTTTGGGTTCTTTTTCCCCCAAGAGTATGTGATGGGCTGTCTTATAATGTGTTTATGCTGATGGATGAGCTGATGCATTTTGATGCTAATTGATGCTGTTTCCATTAATACATTGCTTTACTACTTTTTAAACATCTTGCTTACATCAACAGCCTATAATGGATATGAAGAGTTGGCCGTGGAAGAAAAAATCCTCTGATAAGAAAGCAGCTGTTATTGCATCGAACGCTTTAACAGATGGTTCAGACACGAGTGCTACTCAAGTTGACAAGGTTTGACAATATTGCCATGATTGTCTTATATTTGACTGTATATATGCATAGGAACCATAAGATTGTTTACTTCATACCTTGTCTCATTGTATCTTCTTCATATGCTGTCTTGTTCTTATCAGGTGAAACAAGAGAAGCCAAAGTATGTTCAAATATCTATGGAGTCGTACATGCATCTTACTGGATTGGAGAATCAAGTGAACTCCTATGAAGAACAAGTGGTAGAATTAGAAGACAAGGTGAACGAGTTGAATGAAAAGCTATCAGAAGCCAACCTGGAAATGACCAACAAAGAAAACCTTGTGAAACAGCATGCCAAAGTTGCTGAAGAAGCTGTCTCAGGTTTCATATACTATTCTCTTTGCCTCATGAAGGTAAATATCTGGAATTTAATTGCAACTAAATTCTTGTGCAGGGTGGGAAAAAGCTGAGGCAGAAGCTGCTGCACTTAAAAATCATCTGGAATCTGTCACTCTTCTAAAACTGACTGCCGAGGACAAGGCGTCTCATTTGGATGGTGCTCTAAAAGAATGCATGAGACAGATACGAAGTTTGAAAGACGAGTATGATAAACAATTGCACGAAGTTGTTCTCAACAAAACAAAGCTGTTCGACAAGATGAAGCTAAATCTGGAAGCAAATATTGCAAATTTAGAGCGTGAGCTACGCAGATCTGCAGCAGAAAATTCCACATTGTCAAAATCTTTGCACGAACGATCTAACATGCTGATCCAGCTCAGTGAAGAAAAATCGCAAGCTGAGGCAGAGATCGAACGTCTGAAAGCCAATATTGAATCGTGTGAAAAAGAGATAAATTCACTCAGATATGAAGTCCATGTTGCTAAGATGGAGGTCGAAATTCGAAATGAAGAAAAAAACATGAGCATGCGATCTGCAGAGGTGGCAAACAAGCAGCACATTGAAGCAGTGAAGAAAATTACCAAGCTTGAAGCAGAGTGCCAAAGGTTACGAGGTCTTGTTCGAAAGAGATTACCTGGTCCAGCTGCACTTGCTCAAATGAAACTTGAAGTTGAAAACTTTGGGCGAGAGTATGGAGAACATCATGTGAGGAGGTCTCCAGTGAAGATTTCTACTGCGCCCTCGTCCCCACAGCCTGAATTTTCACTTAATGAAACACAAAAGTATGTTAAGGAGAACGAGTTACTCACGGAACGCTTGCTGGCGATGGAAGAAGAAACAAAGATGCTGAAGGAAGCATTGGCAAATCGTAACAGTGAACTTCAAGATTCTAGAGGCTTCTGTGGTCAGGTTGTCAGCAAGCTTCAAGCATTAGAAGCACAGCTGCAAGTAAGTGGTGGTAGTAGACGTCTTCCAAAATCAGATATGCACCCCGGAAGTGAAAGTTTATGTAGTAAAGCTATTAATGCTCCAAGTTGCACCTCTATGTCAGAAGATGGAAATGATGATAATGCAAGCGGTACTGGTTCATGGTCCACTGGATTAATCTCTGAGGACTCACGCAATAAGAAGGAAAAGAATGTTGATATTTCTGAGAAGTGGGAAAATTCTAATAATTTGAACCTAATGGATGACTTTCTTGAGATGGAGAAGTTGGCGTCTCAATCAGATATATCAAATGGAACAATTCCAGGCAGTACAGAAAATCTGATTTGCGAAGATGGGAAAAGTGGTGTTTCGGCTGAGGCTACTTTCATCAGAGAGCAACCATCTGGCGAGCAAAATTCTGTGGAAACTAAAGTATCTTCCAAGGAAGACAAGGTTGTTGCAAGTCCTCAACTTCATGCCGATCCATCCCTCTTTGTGAGACTTCAGTCAAATGTGTCATTCGTGCTTGATTCAATTTCTAATGAGAAAGATATGGAAAAACTTATGGAGGATATTCGACGTATTATGCAGGATACACATGATGCTTTACATCAGCATGCGCTGAATAATAATTTTGTTGAGACTGGTCATCATTCTGGCAGAAATGATGAGATAACTGCCCTGAGGGAGATAGATGATAACTCGTGTGTGAAGACCTTGCAAGCAATCAGTCCAGAAATGAAAGTTGCTATTTCTCAGATCTGCAACTTCATACTGATTCTTGGAAAAGAGGCAAAGGCTGTTCTGGGAAAAAGTCCTGATGGGAAAGGACTAAATAAGAATCTCTCTATATTTTCAGCAAAATATAGCAATGCCATGGATTGTGACATTGATCTAAATGATTTTCTTCTCAACGTGTCACACGTGCTAAGCATAGCTAGTGAGCTGCAGTTCCATGTCTTGGGATTTAGGAATGCTGAAGTGGAAACTAGCAGTTCTGATTATATAGATAAGATTGTTCTACCAGAGAACAAGGATGTTGAGGGTACATCAGGAGAGAAATATCCTAATGGTTGTGCCCGCTTTTCTGATTCTGCATCTGATCCTGATGTTCAGATTGATGCAAATCTTGTCCCGACCTCTGAAAAGTCCAGTTCTGCATGGAGATGTTCATTGGAAGAATTTGAAGAGTTGAAAAGGGAAAAGAATAACCTGGAAGATGAACTTCTTAAATGCACAGAAAATCTGGAAACCACAAAGACCCAATTGTTGGAAACAGAGCAGCTGCTCACTGTGCTTAAATCTCAGTTAGCTTCTGCTCAGAAGTCCAACAGCTTGGCTGAGACACAGCTCAAATGCATGGCGGAATCATATAAATCTCTTGAAGAACGGGAAGAGAAGTTACGGACTGAAGTAAATTTACACAAAGGGAAAATCGAGAGTCTTGAAAATGAGCTGCAGGAGGAGAGAAGAAGTCATCAAAATTCATTCAACAGATGCACAGATCTTCAGGAGCAATTGGACAGGTAATACTTTTTATGGCTTAACACTTAACAGGCATATTGATCTTGGATTTGGCTGAATAGATTAGTTCTAGCCCGTCTCGATAAAAACACTTGATCCAATTCTAAAATGTTTCTCTAGGATAATTCAACCTGGTCACATATTCTTTAGAACTAGCAATGTGGAACAAGAATCCCCAATCAATTTCTGTTTTAGTATTCTGTTTACCTTTGGCTGTATTAATGAATTTCTATACAAAAACTTTAGCTCTCTTAATTAGTTAACTAGTTAACTAGTCTGTAGAATCAGCCTGATGAATTTCACATTCAAGCACAGCAGAGTTTGAAAATCTGGCTGAAATTTCACTCTGCATCTTGCTGCCTTTTTAACATCTTATGTTAAAATCTCCTTTCAGGCAATATTTTCTACTTGTTAGTGAAATGTTCTGATATTATACTATTTTTAGTTTAGTGAAATGCTATATATTTGATTAAAAGTACGTACAATTACCAACTAACAACTGTTCTTGATATCCCGAATCAGGATTAAGAGCGCTGCAGCTACTGATGCTGATAGCAAGACTCATCAGGTCAGTCTCGTGAAATGTTCTTCCTTCGTCCATTTATAGCCTTGCATGATGCTACCATTTTATGGCTGTATAATATGTTTAATGAACATGACCCAGAAGTAGATTTGTTGAACTATAATTTGTATGCTACAGGTAATGTCCAATTCATGCAAGTTTTTGGTTGCACACACCTGTGGAATTCCATTTTTAAATAATCCCTTTTTCTTTGTGTTTATTTTCATCTCTGTATCAGGAGTTGGCGGCTGCTGCTGAAAAACTGGCCGAGTGTCAAGAAACCATATACGTTCTTGGGAAGCAATTGAAAGCTCTTCGTCCCCAAACAGACAATGCCACTTCCCCTGATTTTCAAAGGAGTAGAAAAGTGGAAGCCTTCCTCGATGATGGATCAATAGTAAAAGACATGAAGCTGCATGAGATCGATCCGGAAGTGTATGCTGCAACTCCATCTCATTCACACAGGATTGGCTTAGAATCCCCCTCACATGTACCCAACCCCACATTTAGTCCATCTGACTCCGAACCCGACTTGCCAAGATCACCATATCACCGCCCCTCAAAGTCAGTCTCCTCGTCTGTATCATCCACCCCTACACCGGAGAAACATATTCGCGGATTCAGCAGATTCTTTTCTTCAAAAGCTAAGTATGATCACTAGCGCCGTGCCGGTGCCCGTGTCCAAGTGCAAAGTGCATCATATCCTGATCAAGCCACTGTGCCTTCTCTGTAAATAAAGGTGAATATCCTTTTCATGGCCAATCCTTGTTTACACCTTTGTAGTATTAAATTTTGAAGTTTTCGACCACAGCCGGCATAGTCGAAACAGAACCAGCTACCGCAGAATTCGATTTCCCGAGTATAGAAACAGAGGTATGCATATTGCATAGAAGCCAAAGATTCTATCTTCTACATGTTTTAAGTCTCATCCCAGAAATAAAATGCCTGCTGAAGTGTTTTGATTCAAAATCCATTTTCTTGATCAGCAGGAGTATTTGTCACTTTTTTTTTTTTGCCCTCTTTTGATGGATGTTAGGGTTTACATCCATAGTGTACTTTCTACTGTGTTATTGCTCTGTTTCTCTCGTATGTGTTTATTGTAAGAAATGTTTGATATTTTTAGTGGGGGAGTTCTGCACAAGTTCTTGTCTACTAATGAACAACCAAATTGGACATTTCATTCATCCACCATTCTCCACAAAGAATGGCACCCATTGATGATTCTTGGCATGGCACCCATTGATGGTTCTTGGCATGGCACCCACTGAACTTATTATATTTAAAAAATAAATTTTCTTACATTCAAATACACAAATTAAAATAGGCAGCAGCAATGTACTTACCGTGTGGAAGCCACGTGACCAGTGGCCCATGTGCCCACTGCTTGCATCATTTCTAATCAGCAGGTAAAGGCTGAGTATTCACGTGACGCGCATCCTCCACCAATCAATGTTTTTTATTTTTTATTTACTAAAAAGAAATATATTTAATTAAATGATTGATGATGGATTTTACTGGACGCACTGTACAGAACCGTACCGTACCGCCTTAACGACTCCCGGACCCTCTAATTATTGGGTCATTTGTGTTGCTTTGTGGGCCTCCTTTCATTAAAGCCCACTTTCTAAACACACTTTAGGCCCAATTAAACGAACCCTACTTTTATGGATTTTGTCCTAATCGATCGAAAGTAATTAATTCATTACCACGTCAAAAATTGATAAATCTCCACATACACATACACATACAGACAACCAATTCTGTCGGTCGATAAACCCATACTACAATAAGGAAATATATATATATATATATAAAATTATAAATATATATATATGCCATTTTCACACCATCAATGTAGTTCAAGAAATTTAGGAATATGTATGTGTTACAATTAACAAGAATTAAGAAAATTAAATAAGATGTTGGGGTGTCGTGTAATAGTAATAGTAACATTGACACGTGACATGCCAAGCGCCCAACTCATGCAATGCAACAACTCAACACATCAGACACAATCTTTCGTGATGCACAAAAATATTATTTATTTCTTACACTTCTTCTAACAAATATAAATAAATAAATAAAATAGAAAATTAATAATTATAATAAAGAAACATGGAAGATATTAGTTGGAGAGGTGTGCGCAGAGTCGCTTGCAATATCCACAAAAATAATAATAATAATAATAAAATAAAAAATAATTTTTTTAAAAAAAAAAAATATAGGAAATAAAATAAAATAAAATAAAAATATTTCACCTAATTTTAGAATATAATTTGTTTCTTGAAATTAAGTATAATTGAATTCCAACATGTCAGGCCTACAGGCAGCTTCAACTTCCAGCATTGGGTGGCTCCATTGTTCTATTGTTCCATCAATCTTCCCAACTGTAATTATTTATTATTACTCTGATTTTTTCCTCACAGCTTTTATTCCTCTCCACTTTTATCATTATTTAAAAAATAAAAAATAAATTAAATCCATACAATATTGGAATAGTTGTAGTAGTAATGAATGAGTGAACTGTTGATTTAATTTTATCATATAATATTATTTATTTTCATGGATGTAACTGCCAATTGCCAATGATAATTACATATATATTTATATTATTGACTGCTATACTAATACTCCCTCCAGCACTTTTATTCTAACGTCCACAAAGTACACACAGTGATGCACAGTGTACAATTTTCAGTTTCCGTGACGAATTATAATAATAATAATTTAAAGTTAGATTGGATTGCTCAAAAATTGCAATGAAAATCTGATTGAATTTAATTAATCCATGCGTTGATTGTGCAATTATATATTCTTGCAACTGTTTGTTCATGTGCCCAAATAGAGAAAGTTATCGAAATCGAAACATCCATCACTACTGACAGTTAGGTTTGGAAAATTTCAGGTTAGACATCAACATGTGATTCAATCAAATTTAATTTTCTTTAATTTCATTTCATTTCTTGCCAAGAATTATAATGGCTGCATGAAACTATAATTATTATTTATCAGTAATATTATTAGCCAATAACTATTTAAGTTGTGCTTTGTTTTATTAATTTAAGTCTGGAAGGATATATATATATATATATAACTTAATTAATAAATATATATGTATTTATATGGTTAGGGTTCTTGTCAAATAATTTGAAGCACATGGATGTCATATTTTGAGGGGGGTCACTCATATATATATATATATATGTATGTATTGCATGTGATCTGACTAGGATTTATTTATTAGTTATGTTAAGATAGGAAATTAACCCAATATCTAACTTTTTAAAAAAATAATAAAAAATATTTCAATGTAGATTATTTTATTATGAGAAACTTTAATTACACAATTACTTTGATATTAGTTTTTATTGCTAATGAGGAACATTTGAAGAGATGTGTTAAAATGCATTTTGTTTACTTGCACTGGATTTGATTTTTAAGAGTATTGTGTTTGTCTGGGGGTTTGGATTTTGAATTGGAATTTGAATAGTACAAATTTTGAATTTGAATAGTTGTATGATGTGATATAAATATGTGTGATGCGATGTTTTGAATGTAAAATTGATTTTTTAGTATAATATAAAAAATAAAAAATATGTGTTTGATTTGATATTTTTTGGAGGGAAAAAAATGGGATGAATAGCGAAAATTAAATCCAATCCCCCAAACAAACGTATTTATATTTTTATAGTTCGAAGTAATCATTGGTTGGTTCGAGCTTATTTATTTTATGTTTGCGTTTTATATTTTTGACTAAAGTATTTGTGGGGTGCAAAGATTTATACATTGTGTTTCGTTTGGATTTTTAGTAATAAAAAATTTTGAATTTGAATAATAATTTGATGTGATATAAATAAATATTATTAATATGTTGCTTTAAATGTAAAATTAAGTTTTCATATAATATTAATATATATATATTTTTAAAAATTATAAAAAAATAAAAATCATTCTCAAACCTCCATCCAAACACACACTTTAATTGTTATCCAAATTTATATTATTTCTTTTTTCTTTTTTACTGTCAAAAATATGTTCTTATCTTTTTCTTTATTGAAAAAACATTATACTACTTATACTTTTTTTTATAATAAAAATAAAATTATAAAATATTACATATTCTCACTAAAACATATTTTTATATATTTTTAACATAAAATTAGATGACAAAAGAAAAGTATAAAAAAAAATAATAATAACTTATAATTGTTATAAAGAATCATGTAAAATTTGTCACTCAAAACTTGCTTATGAAAACTTTCTCTAACTTAGTTTGTAAACTATTGCATTTAGTTGGAGAGTCTACACTTTGTAAATTTTTCATTGATAGCTCTCGTATATAAAATAAATAAATAATATATATATAGAAAAATAAAAATAAAAACAAAAATAGGATGTATTGAAATTATTATAGGTGGGGGCACGGCATGATGCTTTTTTTGGGATCGAAGCAGTTGAAAAGCGATTTTGAAATCCGTGAGTAAATTTAGGGTTGTTTGTCCGGGAAATTGGATTTTGAGTTGAGATTTAAATAGTAAAAAATTTGAATTTGAATAGTTGTATAATGTGATATAAATTGGTATTGATGTGATGTTTTGAATTTAAAATTGATTTTTAGTATAATATAAAAAATTAAAAATAGGTGTTTGATTTGAAGTTTTGGGGGGAAAAAATTGGATAAATAGTGTAAATCCAATCCAATCACCCAAACAAACACACCCTAAGTATATATTAGACCTGTCAAAATACAGGGTAACGGGGCGAATTGGTCCATAATTCACCATAACATGCAAATAAGCGGGTTGTTTGCGGGTTAATCCGCGGCGAGGCGGATCAAAATTTCATCAGTCCAACTCAACTCATCGGCGGGTGGCGAGCTAAGCGGGCTAGATTACGGACTTTTTAAAAATATTAAAAAAATATTAATTTTATAAATATTTTTGTAATTAATATTTAAAAATAGTTAAAAATAATTTTAGTGTAGAATTTAAATAATAAATATTTTAGAATAAATAACAAATATAAAAATTCTCAATTTTAAATATTACTCCCTCCGTCCCATGTAATATGGGTGTATTACTGTAGACACAAGATAATTTTTGTAAAGTATAATTAGTAAGTAATTAAGAAGTGTATTAGTAAAAATAATTATTATTTAGTAAAAATAATTATAGATTAACATTAAAATAAGTAAATAGTTTAATTAAAATTTAAAATTTAAAATGCAATTAAAGTGCATAATTATATTTTCAAAAATAGAAATGACAAGTATGTGGGACCGTCGAAAATATAAAATATGGACAAATTATGTGGGACGGAGGGAGTATTAATTAGTGTATTTAAAAAATTTAATAATAAGAAATACTTTATTTTAAAAATAAATCATAATTAATTTTATAAATTTGTAAAATTATGAAATAATAAAATGGAAGACGAACAAAACAAATGATGAAAAATCGAAACAAATAACAATGTTATGAATAACATAGTTAGAGAAGAAAAATAATGTGTAGAAAATATTAATAATTTATTTAAGCTAATGATAATATAAATTTTATTTTATTCGTTTAAATTATTTATAATGATATGCTTGTCATTTATAAAAAATTAAAATACATTCTTATATTAATATTTGATTAGTTTTATTATAATTTTTTAATATGACAGTGAAAATGATAAAAAAATACATTTAGTTAGATGAATGAGTAGTAATTATTATATTTACTTGACCTGCTGGCTAAGCCGCCCTACTGCGGGCTAACCCACCCTCAACCCACGACTCATGCGGGTTGGCTCATTTAATCCGTATTTTAACGGACTTAAAAAATTATAATCCAACCCTCCTTAAAAATAAGGCAGGGCGGGCCAACCGGACAGGCTTAACCCATTTCGACGGTACTTACATACTTAAGTCGCATTTTTTAAAACTTGAAGACAAATTTTGGTTGATATCAAATATTAGCGACTTCTCATCCTTCAATTATTTTCTTTGACCTTTCTATTTTTTGTTTTTTTTGGGAGACTATTATTATTATTAGGGTCTAATTTCTTTATCCTCTACAAATGGAAATAGTGAAAACACATGCCCTTGTAATTTTTACAATTTTTTTATTATTATTATTTTTTTATAACGTGAAAATTCAACTGTTATCTAATTTTTGATATTTTAAATTATTAGTTACTCAGATTTTTTATTTATTAGAAATATAATTTAAAAATTATTTTAAAATATGCATTTTTTACACAATCATTATTTTTTTTAATAATGCCGTTTTTACTTATATTTTTAAATTATTGTTGTTATATTACTTCATTTTCTTAGATATATATTAATACCGTGACCATTCTCATAAATACATATATATTAATATTTTTTTTCCGTTTTTTTTAATATTTTATTTAACTGAAAATCAAACTGTAGTAACTACGAGGGGGTGTTTGGCCCCCACAAATGAAAATAAATAATTATAAAAAAATAATAATAAATAAATAAAGAGATCTATTGAGATCTGAGGACATGTTTGGTACTATATGCTCATGTGACCAATTGTTGTCCTCTTTTGTACATCTGCGCCTTGCCTCTGTCTGTGTTTCTATTTTTAATTTTTAATTTATAATTTTTTACATATGTATAATCAAGATTTATTAAGTATTTGACACAGAGCTTATCAAATTAAATAAAGAAATATATTGGGTGTAGTGGTAGTGTAGAGCTAGGTAGTTGTGACAATTAATTAATACTGCTTCTAGTTAATTAATTAATTTATGTACACGTAATACTACTTTATTATTATTTTGATAGCCTACTTTATTTAGTAGTATTAGTCACATAAGATTATTAATATCCAACTATTATAATTTAAAATATATTCATTATACTTTCAAGGTATTTTCAGTTAATATATTATTACATACTTCCTATCACATATAAAATGTTACTTTCTCCGTCCCACTTACCATATCCATGTTGTTGTTTTAATATTAATCTGCATTATATGTTAATTATTTTCATTAATACATTCTTAATTATTTACTAATTATAATTACCCTAAATTCTCATGTCTAGTGACCAAGACACCCAATGTGGGACGGAGGTAGTATTATTTTACAATCAACAATACTTTCCCTCTGTCCCATAACTATGTATTCATTTGTTTTTTGTACATAATTTTAGAAATATTAGTATTATATTGAGATATAGTAGGAATAAAGTAGAAATGACTAAATGACCTTATTAGTATTGTGTAATATAAATGTAATGGTATTTGTGTAATATATTGGAAATTGTAAGGTATTTGTAATATTAGGTAGATAGTATATTTACTAAAAAAATGAAATGAATAATACTTTGTTATGGGCCAAAGAGAGTAATAAATATTAATGATACGTAATACGTACTTTCAAGGTACTATTATCACGTAGCATGGCTATTAGTATTATTTAATTTAAATTAAGTTGTGCCCTTAATCATACGTAATACGTGCCTAATTCATATATAATATCTCTAATTATATGTTCTTACTTTGAAAGTTCTTAATGCTATTTAGGTGTCATAAGTCTAATAAATATTTGTTTGACTATACACACAAATATATATATATATATATATCTCATAATGTAACAAATTATTAATGATGTAGCTAATCGAAACAGTTCTTTTTACGCTTACTCACCCAAAACCACGAAATGTGGAAAAAAAACACTGCTTTATCAATTGGCAATAAAAATAATATTTATATTCTGTTCATTATTCACTTATTCATTAAATATATATATATATATATATAGAAGTTTCCAATAGATATATGGATGTGTTCATTTTTAAGTATTTTATCTTATATTTTAAGTTTTTATATATTTCTTTGTTTCGATTTTCTACTATGTTTACTTTTAATGCTAATACTGATAACTTTTTTTTAGTTGTTTTTCATTATTTTTTTGAAATAATTTTATAATTTGTGTTTAGGAAAATAAAATCAATGAAAATTTTGGTATTAATAATACATTCAAGTTAGAACTACTAGCGGCTGGAGTTATGAAACGTATCGACGTAAATATGATTTTTACAACACGGGTTGTTTCGTTGTTTAAACAGAAGTGTGTGTATGTGCACTAATCAATAGACGAACAAGTGCAAAAATAAGAAAATAATATACTTAATTTATTGACCCAGATTGCTATTAAAACTAATGTCCGTGTAATTCAATTCAAGAGTCTTTAATTAAACCAAACATCTGATTTATACCATTCAAGACACCAAACAAATTGATCCAATATATTCTCTATCCAAGTTCTTCTTTATTTTACCAACACAGATTAACTGATTGTTATAACGTGGTAACGACTCCAACATACTCCCAGTCAAGCTAAGAGTAAGATTGTCTTCATGATGCATGGTTGTCTCCTCTGGTTCAGGTTTTTTTTTTTTTTTTTAATGTGAGAATCCACAGTCATTAGTGCGTTTTATAGGGTAAATTTTCGACCGAACTTAATAGCTTGTAAATTAGGTCACACAAGATAAGTCATACTAGTCGAAGAACGTATAACATATAATAGTTTAAACAACAGCAACAATAAACACAATACATTTGAAATTTACCATAAAAAATACATAAATGGATTTCTTTTTCTAAAATTATTTAGCCTTTTGATTATAGGTTTAGGTTGTTTGGAATTTTATCACCTAAATTAATAATTCACAATTTAGGCGAAAAACAGTCAGATTTCTATTGGCACAATAAATCCTAATTGTCGGATATTTTTGACTAATTACGCATTTCAATTAAAAGTATTAATTAATTTATGTGTTAACACCACTCTGCAGCCGTACCTCTAAATATTTTTCGTAGAAGAACCAATTAATTAATTTAATTAGATTAAAAATTCAATGAACCTAACCAACATCATAATAATAAAATCATTATTTTATTTTATTTTATTTTATTTTTATTTACGAGAAATTTTTAGTTGTACCAAATATTTTGCTGCTGCAGATGTCCTAAACACGCACATCCTTGTAAAATCTCATGCTTAATTTTCAATCAATTGATAATCGAATCAAATCAAATTAATCAGAATTTTAATTTTGTACTGTCCGACATGAATTAATTGTATACATGTGATGCTGTGCGTCACTGTTGGCCGAATTAAATATAAATATATACATATTGCTTTAATTTAACAATTTAAAATATAAATGAAATTACAAAACCCTAATTACGCCAAACGACGCCGTATTACACAAGTTGTTCCACATACATATATCCTCAATGGCCAACGTTATTTTGATTAGTTACTCATATATAGACTATGCTAATTTCATGTCTGCCTAACAAATTAAATTTGTACCAACCAAATGACGACATATATATTTATTTACTGAAAAACAAAAAATAACTTATTAGAAGTCTTTTTTTTTTTATTTAATTTATTTTTTTTCATTGCTGAAAAATATTAGGCTCACTAATTGTTGGTGAAAAAGTAGAAAACTGCATTCCCAATTTTTTTGTGTAATGAGAATTAATATACATCACACAAGGTGCAGGAAAAATATTGACAATTTTGTAACAAATTTATGACAAGACAGCAGCACAAATCCACATATCACAATCAATACAATATTTTCTAATTGCAAATTCACCCCTGCTTTTTCGGGTTCTCCCAATTTTACCCCATATTTTAAAAAATAAATAAATAAAATTAAATACATGTCTGCATGTGTATCTATAGAAATAAGTCTGCAAGGATGAAAATGATGGAAAATAACTGGAAACATGACGAGAATTAATACTGAAAAAGAGAAATATCTGTTATAACTTTATATACATATATAGATACAAGATCAAGACTCTCACAGGGTGGAATAAGAAAACTACAGCCAGCAGTTAATCAAACTCACCACTGTGAGGAAAAATATCAAATCCCTAAATATACATACACTTATATATATATATTTATATTACATTATTTTTCATACGTATAATATATATTCTAGAAAACCCACCGAGAATTGCTTTCATCGTGATGATGGGTTTGGTTGAATCCGCAGTCATGGATCAGTCGTGGTCGATCAAAAATCCAAAAAGAAAAAGAGAGAGAGAAAGGGATCATCATCGTACAGCAGCACAGAAGTCGCCTGGTAATAATTGAGACCAAAAAAAAAACAATAATCATAGTTCCAGAGTGACAGCTGGCCGCCGGAAATGACCGCCGGCGCCGGCGCTGGCGCCGTCTACCTAAACATGCACGTCAAGGACTCGAAAACCTCTTCCGGGCAGGGGATTGTGAGGCCCATGTCGTGGTCGAATCCGTACTCTTCCTCGGCCCGCTGTAAGAGAGTCAGAAACTCGGGCCGGTTCAGGATCGAAATCGGGACGATGTACCGGCTCCGGTTCTCGCCGACGTACACGGCGAAGTGCCCTTTCGGGACGTCCAATGGCGGCCGCCCTTCCCCGCCGCTGTCGTACCCGCCGCCGCCGCCTCCGCTTCTCTTGCCCAAGCTCGAGCATCGCTTCATGATTTTCTTGATCGTCGCCTTCTGCGAGAGCTTGCCGGACTTCACCGTCGCCATTAATTGATCGATGCTTTTTTGTATGCGACGTCGTTTTGTCGTTAGTTTGATGATCAGTCAGTTCGTTGGTATAATTTCGATAATCTGAGCTACTCTCTTCGAAGAGAGTAGAAAAAATAATAATAGTAAGAAAGGGTTTTGGGGGGAAAATAGAAATATTGTTAGGGAGGAATGAGAGGTGAGTGTGGTGGATGCATATATACCTTTATATATATATATATATGTGTGAATTGGGATATGAATTTTCTTGGATAATTAAATAAATGAAATAATTTTATTTTTTAAAAATAATAATATTGGTAGGGTGAGGGGAACAATAGAACAGGGGCATGTGGGGTTGTGGGGGCAAAGGAAGAGACCAATGGTGTGTTTGGGGGACTGTGTATTTATGTTGAAAAACACACATAAATTTGGGTTTACTAATTCATGCTGCCCTTCTCCACGACATTTGGGTCCCTTACCCAATTTCTACCCTTTCATTTTTTCACTCCTAATTTTAATTTAATTAAATTAATTTATTTGTTACCACTACACTAATAATTAAAATTATATAACTTCAATTTTTAAAAATTCTTGATCTGTGAAAACTTTCTCCAACTGCCACTTTAATTAGACGTCATCAATTCACCACCAATCCAACGCTAATTTATAAGGGCACAATTGTCATCCATTAATTAGCTTAATTAAATATTTAAAGGTTTTTTTTTTTTTTTTAAACTCATGTGGTGTTTAATTACTTACTTGAATGAATTCGTCATAAGCTACATTTAGCTTAGCCAACATTTGAATATAATAAATATTGTTAGGCATCCGTAACCTGTCTAAATGCATCATCACTTTTACGTATTTATTTATTTATTACTTATTCAAAACGAAATTAATCACAAATTTGAATTAAAAGATGTTAAAAACAATTAGATGTTGTGGTAACGTATGCACGTTCAGCTGTATTCTTTTTTATAACAATACTTAACTTTATTGTGACAAGGACAATGTTTGAATTCTGCATAAAATGGACTATACAAGTACAACCATATCATTAAAATTTTATTTATTTAATTTGTTAGTTAAATGAAAGAACCATTTCATGAGAGCAAATACCGTTACATAGTTTTCTGTTCTTCCGTAAAAGTGAACGACGTCGTTTTTAGCCATGTCTTGTGGTCCTGCCCCCACACCCTAGCCTAGTAGTAGGCTAATTAACTACTACACTTTGTGTCATTAAATTGGAATTTTATGGAGATTTGAATATTTATCTTCGAAAATTAAATGCATTATAATTACAGCGGACATAAAAAAAAAAAAAAAAAAGCCTATACTTACATAGATACTTTAGAAAATTTGATAATATTAGTAACAATATATATATATATATTTTAAAAAAAATACTATCAAATATTTATTAATTTTTACAGAATATTATATTAAATATTTATTTTCTATTTTATTTTATTTTTTTAAGTTTTTAAAAATTTACAACTTAAAAAATGATTAATTCTCCTATAACCCCCAATTCCTAAATCATTTTTCTTACCTGTCTCTATTCATATAATTTTTCCATTTAACTCCATATTTATTCAAACGTTTGTAATTATTATACATTTTTACCAATTTTACCCTTTAAATAAATTTTTATTCATATCTTTTTATCCATCAAATATAATCCAAAACCCTTAGGTAAATAATATTTAATTATATTATTTGTTTATCTATGGAACATATCTATTTATTTTATATAAATAAATTTTTGTATATAGAATCTATTTACTTATGGTTCAATAATATTTGCAGGATTTATTACAATACATTAGTTTTTATAATAGAAAAATATTTTTTCAAATAAAAATTTATTATTTTCAACTTCTTTATTATACTACTCATACTTATATTTAATTGAAATCAATATTTTTCTTATAAATATTTTATAATGTAAGAGTTATGAGTATTTTGTGTTATATATTATTATTATTATTTCTTGTCAATTATTATTTTTTTTGTTGTAATATTTTATTTTATATTTAAATTAATAAAAAGTAGAAATAAATTATAAAATTTACAATGTAGTTAAAAAATAGAAGAAAAATAATAAAGAAATTAAATGATGGTACTATAGAATTTTTACGTGAATAGGGAGTGAAAATGAAAAGAATAAATTTTTTTAATAAAGAAAATAAAAAAAAATAAAATTAATATATAGAGAATAAATAAGAAAACGAATATAGAATAATAATTGATTTGATATATACAAGTACTTAATATAATACTTTTATATAAAATGTTGATATTTTTATGCCTATTAAATAAAAAATAAGAAATTGTTAAATGCTAACAAGGATTTAGGACAGGTGTACTGTAATGTACTGAAACTGGACTTGGATTTGTACGGATAATTAACTTAACCAATTAATGTATTGGAGTTTATAGCACTAACTCACATGTTTTTAAAAAAACAATTAGCTTTTTTATTTTTTTTTATTTTTTTGAATGGTTATAATAAATTGTAGTGAATTAATATTAGTAGATATTTTGGCAGCCCCATCTATATATAAAATCTAATTTGTCCAAAATATTATTTATATATATATATATATATATTTTTCACTTATCTGAGTAATTAATAGTGCATTTGAAGCCCCAGATAAAAATTTGGAAATAATAGGAAGTGGGGCTACTTAAAAAAGGGGTGTTTTGAATGCCAAGGCATGTTCTGTGAATGACATTTGTTGGTGGGCTGTGACAAATTTTTATTTATTTATTTAAATAAGTCATAATTATAGACAAGGAATTGAAGGGCCCTACCATTTCCTCACCGAAAGGCATTTGGGGTTGTGATTTTGATCCCCGAATGTACCATAATAATATACATAAAATTGGATTAATATTAGAGCTCCATTTTGAGGGATTTATTGTTTGTATATTTGGGTCCAAAATTGACACTTTTTTTGTGTTTTGTTTGTACTTTTGACACGATATCTCAGCCATTAATGATCTTTACGCGTGACACACAGTGCATGGCTCTTGACTTCAGAAATTCTACTGTAATTCTTATGATGATTATTATTATTATTTTTTTATTTTTTTTTTAAATTAAAAAAGTTTATGGTTTTATGTAAAATGGAATAAATAAGTAAATGATTGGGGAGATGGCAAGAAAGAAACAAGTGTAGAAAATAATTGGATTGGATTGACAACAACATCAAGTGCATGTTACTTTTGCCCCCCTCATTGCTTTACCTCACTTGTTGTAATAAAAACGACAACAACAACATGGGATTGTTACATCACAAATCCCCTAATTTTACCCAATGCCATTGTAAAGATTAACAAAAAAAAAAAAAAAAAAAATCGAGTTATTATGCTCATTTAGAAAATTCAGCACCGTTCAAATCAGCACTCATAATATATATAAACAACGCACAGTCTTATTATACACAACATATGTTGTATATAGTAAATAAATATGTTAGTTGATTTATTATTATAAGTGTGCTGTACAACAATGGATGGTGTGCTAAAATCAACTATTATTTGTCATGCATTTGTATAATATGAATGAATATGATATGCTCTCACGCAGTGCGATGTATTGTCAGCATGGTGCTGAATTTTAAGTGTCAGTGTCACATAAAACTATTGTATGAATACAAAACTAATCAATAAACCCAAAATAATAACGGAACATATTATACCCCTCTGTCCCACATTGGATGTCTGGGTCACCATAGACACGAGAATTTAGGATAAATATAAGTAGTAGATAATTAAAAATATATGAGTGAAAATAATCTATAATATAAATAATTATAAATTAAGATTGAGATAACTAATTACTTTAATTAAAATTAAAAAAAATAAATTTAAAAGTTTAAAATGAGATTAATAATATGAGATGTAGAACGGACAGAAACAACAATGTGGACATGACGTGAGACGAAGAGAGTACTATTTATTACAAATAAGGGATAAGGGAGTTTAAATACACGTTAACATGGTACCATTGTCCGTAAGTAATCCCTCAATCAACTACGCAATTACCTGAAAAATCCATATTGGACAATAACATTGTTTAGTTAGTCACATACATTGAAAGCCAACACACACACACACACAAATACATATATATATATAATGTGTGTATATAAGTATGCAAGAAAATTTAATATGTCTAAGTTCCAGCTAAGGGTGTGGCTATCCATCTTATCTACGGGAACCAAAGAATACAAAGGACTTACGGATGTACCTTATAGACCATATATACCTCTTCACAAGTACGCTGAAATTCACATTAATTAATTAATTAGTACTGCCACCATGTAACAACATTTATTTTTATTTTTATTTATTTGATATATATATATATATATATAAGCTAAATGTTGATGTCACGCGTTATTTTCAGGGCCCAATTCCAGCTGGGATCAAGGACTTTGGATAATGCAGATAGACTGCCCTAATTTTATTTATTTATTTCTTTTAATTGCAAATTTGATATGCCCTACTGACATTGTTATCTGATGGCTCAACGACTAAACACAAATTTGGACCTACTTATTATTGGTATTTATTTATTTATTTATTGTTTCAATGTCATTTGTGTGTTTTGTACGAGAGCAGAAATATTTGGGCCCAACAAATTGGGCCTTAGACATTGAATACGGCCCAGTTATTATTATAATATGGAAATTACCGTTGTACATGGAAATACCTAGAATGCCCTCTACGTAATAAGCTGCTGTGAGAGTTAAATGCCTAAAATACCCTCAAATTATGTGACACGATGGACTTCTTGGAAGGGTTTTTCTGTCCATCTGTAAAAGGCGGTGCCCTAATTTTGAAAACGTGATTTTGCATATGCTGTCTTTGGTTCGATTGGATCCCCGCCTTCGGCCCCTCGCCATGCCTGAACTTGGAGAAACAATTGTGTATCTTTAATTGGATTCCGGTTAGTTTAAGTGTTTTTTTTGAGGGTTTCCGCAGAAATTTCTCGCTTGATTGAGGATGGGCGTTCCGGCGTTTTATCGTTGGCTGGCGGAGAAGTATCCAATGGTGGTGGTGGATGTTATTGAAGAAGAGCCGGTGGTTGTCGAAGGTGTTAAATTTCCGGTGGATACGAGTAGGCCAAACCCTAACAACATCGAGTACGATAACTTGTACCTGGATATGAATGGAATTATTCATCCATGTTTTCATCCTGAAGACCGCGTAAGCTGCTGCTGCTGCTTCTTCTTCTTCTTATTATTACTATTATTATTTTTATTTTGTAAGGGTTCCTTGTCAGGGTTTTACCACGTAGTGGTTTATGAGTTTGTTTTTAAAGATTTTGATTGAAAGTTAGGGTGGCAAAAGATGTGAATCGAGAATGTAGTAGTTATTTTATACACGCGGACACTTATGTCCCCTGCGTTTCATGTGTAAGAACTGATGAAATTCAAATCTTTAGGTAAGGTTGCGTTTGAGAGGGCTCAAGAAACATTTTTTAGAAGTCTATCACTATTGTAATTCTTGATGTTTTGTTCCGCAACTAACTGTAACTAAAACTTTGGAGTCCATTATAATTGTACTTGTCTTTTCTTCTCATACCGAGATGACTCATCTTCTTCGACTGAACCTTCGCTAATCTGAGTATCTACTATTGATTTCTCTTTTCAATGACCTGATCAATTATGGAATCTCAATTGTGTTATTTATACAAGTTTGTATTGTATTTAATGTCATTGCTTTTGAATGAAGTGAAGAAATTTGAAGAGCGCCCACCACTCATTTTTGCCTCATGTTCTTTTTCCATATATTACATGTTATGTGCATGTTTGGTTTGCCATATCCTTGCTTCATTGTAGTGTTTTTAGTGCTTTATGGTATTCGGTTGGTTATAATTAGTAAAAAGTCCTAAGGAAACGCATAAATGAGACGCAAGTCTATTGTTGGTAACATTATCTACTCTACAGCTTTGGGAAATGAAATATTTCAGATGCTGTGCTTGATGGAATATACTTGACATTTTACTTTCTGTAAATCTGCCAGTCCACTTATCCAGTGAAAGCTGAGTATTGGCTTATTAATTTGTAGGGTTCTCTAAAAGTATAATCCTAACATTACCTCTTCATAGTGGCAGCCCTGCATTTTTTATGGGCATTCTGATAAGCTTAATATCTCTTGCAGCCTTCTCCGACGACTTTTGATGAGGTGTTTCAATGCATATTTGACTACATTGATAGGCTCTTTGTGATGGTGCGACCAAGGAAACTTCTTTATATGGCTATTGGTGGGTGAAGGGGTAACATTGTCTAGTTAATGTAAGTCGAGGCGTGCTTTTATAATTCGAATTTGTTAACTTGAAACTGGTATTCTCTTGAAGATGGTGTGGCGCCAAGGGCTAAGATGAATCAACAGCGCTCAAGGCGTTTCAGAGCAGCCAAAGATGCAGCAGATGTGGTGTGTGCCTTTTTTACGATTCAGTTAGACATTTAATGTCCGAGATTATGATTGTGATTGGGATAATATTTCTTTGTAGGCAGCTGAAGAGGAAAGATTGCGTGCAGAGTTTGAGCGAGAAGGCAGGAAGCTTCCTCCGAAACACGAAACACAACTTTTTGATTCAAATATTATTACTCCTGGAACCCAGTTTATGGCTGTTCTATCAGTTGCTTTGCAATATTATATTCACCTTAGGATTCATAATGACCCTGGGTGGAAGAATATCAAGGTATTGCCCTTTGTGTACATCGAACTTGATTGCGTGTAATATATTTACTAGGATTAGAAATTCAGTTTTACATTTTAGCATATTTTGATATACACAAACAATCTCGTTATTACACGCTACCCTGTGTCCATGTAGGTTGTATTATCTGATGCAAATGTTCCTGGTGAAGGGGAACATAAAATTATTTCCTACATACGTCTCCAAAGAAATCTTCTTGGGTTTGATCCTAACACTCGGCATTGTCTGTATGGTTTGGTATGCAACCTTATCTTCTTTGTTGATATTTAAGTAATTAATTTATTTTTTGTTGTGACTTGTCTTTTATTTCGGGTCTCTGCTCAACAGGATGCGGATCTAATAATGTTAGCTTTGGCCACTCATGAAGTTCATTTTTCCATTTTGAGAGAGGTAACTGTTTTGTGCTTGTATTAATGACATGGTCATGGATGCACTCCCTTTTTCTTTTCCCCTTTGAGTACTCTATGCTAATTCAGTATATTTTATAATCAGCTGACGGTCTTTAATTATTTGCCACGAGGTTAAGTTATAGTAATCTGGATGCTGCTAGAACACTCCCCACTCCCCAGCTTCGAACACTCATTCTAATGATACATTTTCCCCTAGGTTGTATTTACCCCAGGAAAAGACAAATGTTTTATTTGTGGTCAAATGGGCCACTTAGCTGCTACTTGTGAAGGGAAGCCAAAGAGAAAGGCAGATGAGTTTGATGAGAAAGGTGAACTTGATAGGGTGCCTAAAAAGCCATTTCAGGTAGATATGACGTCCATATGAGAGAACATTGCTTTTATATTTCTATAATCCTTTTCAAGTTGACTATTCAATTTATTTATTGTTTCAACACTTTGCAGTTCCTTAATATTTGGACCCTCCGAGAATATCTGGAATATGAAATGAGGATTCCGAATCCTCCTTTTGAGATTGATTTGGAATGCCTTATTGATGATTTTGTTTTCATGTGCTTCTTTGTTGGCAATGACTTCTTGCCGCATATGCCCACACTTGAGATTCGTGAGGTTTGTGCTCATTTATCTTTTGTTTGTTATTTTATCATTGCATAAGTGTACACTTCTGTAAAACTTGACCATCTAAATTGAATTATTCTCCTGAATGCATCTATATTTTGCTTCAGAACTCAAATTTTTACTTCTACTATTTTAGTTTCCTACCTAATTAAGTCAGGCATACTGGCAATATAGGTGCGTTAAGCTTTATAACTGATGGTGCATGGTACAGACTTGATAACTATGATCTGGGTATGAAGTTGGTATGGCCCTAACCTGTTTTGGAAATGTTACTTGTGCTGCAAGGGCAGATGATGGTTTTATTGGGAATGAAGTTATTTCACATTATAATATGTATTAAAAGGCACTAATACTGACTCATTCTTTCTTAATAGCGGGTGGTCATAATTTTTTTCTTAACAAAATACTTGATTCAAGTGTGATTGTACTTATTTTAATTTCTTGAGTTCCAGCCACAATTTATCCAATACTTGCATGTATTTATTATGCTGCTGTTATCTTGAATAAATTTACTCTCTTGTTACCATAGGGTGCTATTAATTTACTAATGGCTGTTTATAAGAAAGAATTTCGTATTTTGGGTGGCTACTTGACTGATGGAAGCAAGGTATGTATTGTGTTATTTGGAGAGGTATATTTTTCATGTTATAGTCTCCTTGATTAACAGTTTTGTTGCTTACTTTTACACTTCTTTTGTTTCCAGCCAAATCTGAAAAGGGTGGAGCGCTTCATTCAAGCTGTGGGATCATTTGAGGATAAAATATTTCATAAAAGGGCCAGGTTGCATCAGGTTGTTATAATCTTATCCTACAGTTACCTAGTTTCACTTATTATGGTTGATACATATTGCAAACAATATTATACTTCATGTAATTTATTTTAACTTCTATGCCTCTGCATTAAGTGAATATGATGTGCATAGAGAGTATGTTTTTACCAACTGCTTGAATATTATTGTTTTGGAATACTAAAAACTTTAAAAGAACATAGGTATTTGTTGACATAAATATGTTGTGGAGTGATGTTTTGTATAGACAACATATTTTTTTATATAATATTTAAAATGAAGAAAAATAGGTATTCAACATGAAACAGTTTATAGAGCTTATTTTATTATTAATATATGAATATTGCAAAAACATATTTGAAAACACATGCAAATAGACACATAACTATTGGAACGATATAAATTTCATTAATGTATTGATTGCATGTGTGGTCTGCTAATCTTTGCAGAAGCAATCTGATAGGATCAAGTACAATAAATCTCAAGCTAAAAAACGACATGATTCTGAGCCTTTAAGTAGACCAGAAGCGCTTGTTCCAGTTTCTGGATTCCATGGTTCTCGCCTAGCTTCTGGTCTTTCACCTTCTCCCTATCAACAGAAGAAGTCTGAAAGTTTCTCCACTCTTGATGTTGCGTGCAATCCCCCTGGTAAAACAAAGCTGAACATCAATGGCAGGCCTAAAAAGGTTGCACGAGTCAAATCTGCTGCCACTATAGGTGCTGCTATTGTTGAAGCTGAGAAGAGTTTAGAAACTGAAGTATGTTTTCCTGCTTTGGGAGGGGCAATATGATATGATACTTTGGTTCCATTACTTAGTTAATATTAACTTCTCTGTAGTTAGGTTTCATCGTAATGGGGTTTGCCACGAGAGGAATGCAATTGATTTATGCGCTTATCACTTGAACCCCCTATATGTTATTTTAATAATTTGCTGGTGTTTCATGCATGCATTTATTTAGGTACTTGAAAACAAAGAAGCTTTGGAATCAAAGCTGAAGGAGAGACTTCGTGAGAAGTCAGATTTATTCAACACGGACAATCCAAAGGGGGACAAGGTAAAAATTAGCTGAATATCTTTTAAGCTTATTTATTTTAATCCATTTGCATCTGAATTCTCTTCTTTGAACTAGAGTAATGTTGAATTATATGTAAAGTGTGTGTCTGTGCATGCTATTTGCTTGTTTAGCTGAAGAATTATCTTATAGAAATGATTTTTGGTTATTTAGTTGAGCATCATTAACCAGTATTGATGGCGCAAATACTCTACTTCATCTTTAGTTTTAAGGTATGCGGTGGTTGATGGTTAGTTTCCAAAAAAACCTATATTAATATATGATGTATATGTTAACTCTTTTGTACCAATGGTTGAAATTTGATCATTTTTACATTACTTCAAAGAGTTTTTTTTTTTTTGTATTTTTGTGTGTTTTTCATATTCTATTTGTTTTCTTGCACGAGGTTTGGGTTGGAAAATTTAATCAAAGATATGCTTACTCCCCCCCCCCCCCCCAATAGGTCAGATTGGGAAAACTGGGCTGGAAAGAGAGGTATTACGAAGAGAAATTTTCTGCAAAATCTCCCGAGGAACTTGAAGAAATACGGCAAGATGTTGTAAGTTGCTGAACTCAATTGTAAAGAAGTTAGAATGAAATGCAATATCTAAAAAGACAGCTTTTAGGTTCCACTATCATGCTACATAGATTTGCACCTTGTCCGTGATAGCCATTTCAAGTTTTGGCTCCAGTGGCGAATGTTTTTTTTTTTTAATGATTATTGAACTCTTTGCAGGTTCTAAAATACACTGAAGGATTATGTTGGGTTATGCACTACTACTATGAGGGGGTCTGTTCCTGGCAATGGAAAGTTTCTTTCATTTTATTAGGTTATATCTTTTGCCGTTCTAATTGAAAGTAACAAACCAAGGGTGCTTTTTTTTTGTTTTGTATTCTTTGGGTTTGATGTTTTTTAGATGAAAATAATTGTTGAATTTGGCGTTTTGATAAAAAAAAAAAGGGGGGTATAAATGTGAATATGTGATTTTTATGAAGGGAAAATAATAGATTGTATAGTAAAGAAACACAAAGAACACATTTGTGAAGTTACACTTTTGCTGTTTTATCTTGTTCTTGATTCATATGCAAGTTCCCCTTCGATTATTTATTTTATTTATTTTTTCCAGTTTTCTAAGCAGTGTGCAAGAGGAACTTGTGTTGTTATACTTGGAGATACAATATATGTTTGAAATGCTTTTTGACTGCTTCAGTTATGACGCTCTAAAGATCATTTTGAAATCTTTCCTAACTATATTTTCAAATTATGGGATGGATTAAATGCTTAAATAAAAACCTCATAAAGAGTTAATCTTGTCCTCTGTAGGACTCTGTAAATGTGTTGTTTAAAGCTTTGGTATATGCTACTGCATATATTTCCATTGTATGAACATCAAATTTGATTCATTGCTTCACTGCTTATACCTCTCTGTAACTCAAATGTCCCATTCAGTTTTCAGTTCATCACATTATTTTGTAACACAGGTCTGACAAGCTTACGAATGCAGGTTTTATCCATATCATTATGCACCCTTTGCTTCAGACCTTAAAAATTTGGAACGGTGTAAGATACGTTTCAAATTAGGGACTCCTTTTAAGCCTTTCAATCAGTTGCTAGGGGTTTTCCCTGCTGCAAGGTTTGTCTGATTTTACTACTACAGATAATTTTCTTGTTCGTTCTTTAACTGGTATTTATCTGCAGTTCCCATGCTTTGCCCGAGCAGTATAGGACATTGATGACTGATCTGAACTCACCTATACTTGATTTTTATCCTACGGGTATGGTTATTAATGGTCTTTTTTAAATGATTATATCAAAAAATAAGTACTTTATGTATTCATCTTCCTGTCTATTTTTTATACCCCTTCAGATTTTGAAGTGGATATGAATGGGAAGAGGTACTCTTGGCAGGTTGGTATATGATAATTAAAGCCTGAAATGTATTACTGTTGACAATGAGCGTTTCTTCTGAATTTGTCATCACATGCCTTTCTTTTCTCTGGATCTTAGGGTGTGGCCAAATTGCCTTTCATCGATGAGAAACGTTTACTTGCAGAAGTGGCAAAAATTGAGCACACTCTTACAGTATGTGACATACTTCTGGATCATTGTTTGATTTGATATCCTAAAGAATATTGACAACCATCTCAATCACCATTGCAGGAAGAGGAAGCTAGAAGAAACAGCATCATGTTTGACATGATTTTTCTGTCAGTAACTCACACGTTATCCCCATGCATATTTTCACTTGCTGATCGCTGTAAAAAACTTAAAGAGAAAAAACGTATTTGCATAAAGGAGCCTATTGATCCAAAAGTCAGGTATGTCATCTTACTTTAGACACAAAATGAAAGTTATTTGTTTACAACATTAAAGTAACTTCTTGAAGTTAGTTACAAAAGAAAGGTTCCTTGTCAATACCCATCTAATGTTGGAAGTAAATTGATTCTGGATTGCAGTGGTGGGATGAATGGCTATATCTCCCTTGGCTTTGGGGATCCCTGCCCTTCTGTCTTCAGATCCCCCATTGAAGGGATGGAAGACATTGTGAACAACCAAGTCATGTAAGATCCAGTGAAATCTTGATGTTTTGTTTTTTTAATCTACTCTCTCATAGTTTCTGACACATATCTTCATCAGATGTGCTATATACAGACTTCCAGATACTCATAAGCATATCACTCGACCCCCTTCAGGTGTTATTTTCCCAAAGAAGGTATCAATTTGAATATTTTATGCCTTCACTTTGAATGCTATTGTTCTCATGCAATGTTTATGTAGTCGATCTTCAGAATAATGGTCTACTCTTCTTAATGGTGTTCCTGCCCGTCTGATTTTTACGTAATTGCACTTGAATGAATTGGTTGATTAACTCATACGCACTATCTAAATTTTGTGGAAAGATGAAGGTGTGGCATTTTGAATTGCACTATCTTAGATTGCAAGCCAGTTGGTGTATCTTGTAAGATTTGTTTAATGTGTTGTATGTGTGGTCCTTTGCTAGAACTCCAATTTCCTTTCGATACTGATCTTGTAATGGTGTCCTTCCTTTATGTTACTCTGTTCACTCTGTCCTCTTAACTATAGCTTTTTTTGTCTGCAGATAGTGACAGTGGGGGATCTTCGACCAGAACCTGTTCTTTGGCATGAGGAGTCTGGTAGGAGATTCGATAATGGAAGGTATACGTCTTCACTTTCAATCCCGGCTGGCTAGTGACCTATCCATCAACGTGCACCATACTACATTTTAGATTATTACTTAAATTGCTCATTAATTTAACTGGTATCTTAGCAGGAATAATAATCGGAACAATATGACTGGAGCCAAATCAGGGCTTAGCAGGAATAATAATCGGAACAATATGACTGGAGCCAAATCAGGGCTTAGCAGGAATAATAATCGTAACGATATGACTGGAGCCATATCAGGGCGAAAGCTTGGAGTGGCTGCACATCGCCTTGTTGTCAATAGTTTAAGGTTAGGGGTTGAGAAGAATGACCACACCGGGAAGATTCATCCACCCTATCCTCCTTCAGTTAGACACGATCATCATCAACCTCAACCTCAACCTCAACAGAATCATGTACGCCAAGATGGAGAACATGCCAAAATGAAAAGCAATTCTCACCCGAGACCTCCAAGCTCCAAAACCAACCGAAAAGCACGCCCTCCTAAATCTACACATGACAACCTACAGAACAGAGTCCAAGATCCTGTAAATGATCGAAACAATAAATTTGTGCCTCATGGACCCTGTCCAAAAAGTGCCATCTATCCTCCACTCAAGGGGGGTGGAGCTTCTGTCTTCCCGGGTGTTCATTATGGTCAACAAGGTGGGTTAGATGCCAGTCAAACCAATGGTGGTGACAGGGTGATGCCCCCAGTTAAGTCACATTCAGGCAGAGGATACAGTCATCCTTTCCGACCAGGTAACAAATTCTCAGCCTTGGGTAGGGGAGGTGGCCGAAAGCGACCACCACCACAACACTAGTGGCAATATGAGATGGAACCATTCTAGGTGATGAAGTTTAACAGGACCACAATGTATACGATTTGGTTGAAATAGCTTCGGTGTCGGTGTTGTTACAGCCAAAGGTAGTTTTGACACAAATCACATATTTGTGATGGGGAGAATCTGAGTAGCAAAGTTTGAGTTGGGTAATAAAGTGAAGAAATGGACATGGGCAGCATGTATATGTGAGGTGAGGTGGTCTAGGAAGAAGAAGAAGAAATTGACAAGAAGGATGTTGGAACAACTTGTTCATTCATGTGTGTTAAGAAGAAGACAAAAAAGGCTAAGCTTCACAATTCAGTGCATATCCACCCATTCCACACTCGAAGGTAGTGACCACCACCACATGATACAAGTCAATGAATCCCAACTCTCTCTCTCTCTTTACATACATATAAATATAATTACTATCTTCCAACCCCTCTTGCACTACTCCCTCTCATTCTCCTCTTTTATTTCTTTGCTTCCAAGGTTCTAATTTTGTTTGGATGGGAAATTTTGATGTTATGAAAGATATTGAAAATAGTCAAAATTTTGGTAGTTTTAATGCTTTGTGTGAGAAAGTAGTTAATGTGAATTTCATTTTTTTTAAAAAAAATAATAGTGTTAAAAATTTTGAAATGTTTGCTTAAATATTTGGATGGGTTTTGGAATATTTCGATGAAGGGATTGGTTGTATATAAAAGATGGATAGATATAATACTTCACATGATATGATGTTTGAAAACATGTGTTATGAGTTTATATCTGTAAGGTGTTAATATATTTTGTGTTGAAATTAACGTGTGAATTACGGTTCAAATAGCATGCTAAATAATGTGAATTGGATCATAATATAATACAATATGGAAAGAAATTCTAATGATCAATAAGATTGCACATTACTCGTGGGAGTTTATTATTTATTAGTAATTTTAGAGCTAAAACTTGTTTGCTTTTTGATAAATTCAAGATGGGTGATTTTTTAGGAAGGGTTTTATCTTTTTGGAGTGGATACGTACTAATAATTGAAAAATAAATAAAATGCTTTCTCTTGATTTCGGGTGTGTTTTTGGGTTTGAAAGTTTGATTTTGATTTTGAATATGAATAATTATTTGATATTCTATAAATAAATATTTGATTTTATATTGTTCAGAGAGAAAAGATTTAGTTCATGAGAGTGAAAGATGGATTGGATGGGAGGTTTGAAAACATGGAAGAAGCCGTTCCAAGATAAAATAGAATCATGCTTTCGGTTAGTCAGTCAAAGGACTCACAAATACTGATCTATTATCTCTATTATATATATATATATATATATTTAAAAAATAAATAAAAAAGTATTACTTTTAAAATTTAATTTGAATTTAAAAAAGACATCCATCCCATCAGATCAGACCTTAAACCAGGTTAGGGTAAGGGACACGGATGGCTATGCCTATGGCTGGATTGATGGAATCGGGACATAGAAAGACTTGAGACTAAAAGACACACATACTCCCACGTGCATTCTCTTATCCTAACTGCCCCACCATTTTTATTTTTATATTTAATTATTATTATTATTATTATTATTATTATTATTATGCCCCCTATGTCTCCATAGTAAATTCTAATCATATTTTCTTAACTAAATACCCCATTTTTCACTATTTTTATTCTTTCTACTGTAAAACAATGATATTAAAAAGAAGGAATAATCAATTCTGACTTTAATATAGTTATTTTTATTTATTTTCAGTTGGAAGAATATTCTCCTCAAGCAGGTAATTAGGTAGTTGGTTGTACGACATTAGTTGCGTTGAAATATAAGTTCATGTTTTTATTAATGTAATAAAAAATTGTAAAAGTTAGTTATATTCAGTGGGCAAATCAGTACCTTCGATCTCTCTTTTTATTCCTTTCGTAATAGTAATATTATTCAACATTCTTGTCCTTTAATTGTTGGATTTACTTTTATATTTAAAACTATATCCTTGCTGATGAGAGATGGAAATAATTCCCCATTCACATTATGAGTCAAATTCATTTATTTATTTTAATAATTAGTAATCTAATGTTTCATACGACTTTACTTAGCACGACCGGAAAGAATGTTGTTCGGGAATTTGACCTGATCAAACAGTAATTTTTTACTTTACACACAGTCATTTACTTTCTATCGATCGGGTAAATCAAAGCCCTTGAATTATTATTATTCTTATTTTTTGTCAGTATAGTTTGATATAATAATTTCAATTTTAAAAAATATATATATATATATAACTTTACGATGGGATGTAACGAAGAATGGTTCCCACTCCCACATGAGATGATACGACGTCGTAGTCATCAACTTTTGAACACAAGGATTCCATTGTCTCCTCCCCTTTTTTCTCTTTCTCCGGCTACCTATCTATATATCTATCTATAAATAAATAAAAATCTTCAATTCATTTTGTGTCTGATATTGTGTCTAAGGCTCAATTTACATATAAGATTTTCCAAAATTTGATATTATTCAACAATATATATTTTTAAAAATAACATCACCTTTTTTCTTTTTTTTTTTTTTGTCACAAGAAAACAACATATCAAATATATATTTTAATATTCCCAAAATCTCTATCTAAACCCTAATAAATTCATCAACAATAATAGATCAATAGTCATCGTATACATACAAACCCTAATAAAAAAATATATTTGAAAATATTTGTGAAATGCAGTCCAACATTAAAAAAGAAAAACAAAAAAAGGGTTCGTGACACGTGTAGAGTTGCAAGTGGAGGAAGTAATGCCCCCCTTGGGATATAAAAGATGGTTCCATTAGAGAGCAGCTGCTTCAATTCAACTCCATCTATAATCATCATAATCACAATACATCCATCTCTTCATTTTTCTCCACAAATACATAATATTAATACACACAGATCGATCAGATACTGATCATTAATCAATTTAAAGAGCAGTCGATAGATACATATATATATATATATATATATGGAGTTGGTGGATGATGAGAGGATGATGATGCAGCACATGAACATGAACATGATGGTTCAGCAAAAACAGAGCAGATCAGATCACTCATCATCACCTTCAAAATTCAGGAGGGTCTGTGTTTACTGCGGCAGCAGCTCCGGCAACAACCCTAGCTATCGCCTCGCCGCCGTCCAGCTCGGAAACCAGCTGGTAATTAATCAATTAATAATCAATTATAAATCAATTAATAATAATAATGAATTAATTACAGGTTGAAAGGAGCATAGACTTGGTTTATGGAGGCGGAAGCATTGGCTTGATGGGTCTGGTCTCTCAAGCCGTCTACGACGGCGGCCGCCACGTCTTGGGGGTCATTCCCAGCGCATTAATGCCCGCCGAGGTAGTATTAATTAATAATTTATTTGTCATTCAAATCTATTATCACTTATTTATTTATTTATTATTGTTATCTAAATTTATTTTCGTTTTATTTTTTTTTACTGCAAACATAATGGATATATTGTGATTATGATGGCAGAGAAAGTACATAGTAAGAATTAATGAATGAAGGAATTGTTGTATAGGTGACAGGGGAGAGCGTGGGAGAGGTGAGGGCAGTTTCGGGAATGCACCAGAGGAAGGCGGAAATGGCGCGACAGGCGGATGCCTTCATCGCACTTCCCGGCGGCTACGGAACTTTGGAAGAACTCCTCGAGATCATTACATGGGCGCAGCTCGGCATCCACCACAAGCCTGTCGGATTGCTCAACGTCGACGGCTATTACAACTCCCTCTTGTCTTTTATAGACAAGGCTGTCGATGAAGGCTTCATTACGCCGTCTGCTCGTCGTATCATCGTCTCTGCCCACACCGCCCACGACCTCTTCGACAAGCTGGAGGAATACGTCCCCATGCACGATCATCCCGCCTACAATTTGCAATGGGATCACAATGATTAATTATGAAAATATACATCATATAGGATATGATAATGTTATAGTAGTATCACTTGTTATTGTACTAGCTTGTTATTATTATTGTTGTTGTTCGTTTCAACCTAACTCATTTTCTAGTCATTTCGATTCTATGTATGTTAATTTTACATTAAAATTGCAAGCGTTGAATTTAATAATAGTATAATGTGTTAATTATTTAACAAATTTAATTTTAAAATGCCATACATCTATCAACTAAAAGAAAATTAGAAAACTGAATTGCCGACATATTGGGACGTAAGCGTACGGTCTGAAAGCTACGGTGAATTGACGTTGCCGACAAATGTCGTTGCAAGATAATAAAAACGCGACTTTTGACTCCACTGCAGTAGTCGCCGTTCTTTGAAATAGCGACTTTCCAGTTTTAACAGCAGTAGCGTTTTTAATTCATTCAATATTCATAGAATAGAATATAATGGAATGGAATGTTGGTCTTCATTCATTCATTCATTAATTAATAAGCATGTGGAAGAATATTGAGTGAATACAACAAGTCTACAGCAGTAGGTTATTCAAGAATGACCCAAAACAGAGGGATCGACTATACCTACACCTATGTGCTAGAATTAGCGTTTTACTATAAATAGTCCAGACAAAAATTCTTCACGACACATTCAACTGTATTTATTATTTTTGTAAAAGAAAACAAAGGCACAAATTAATGTAGGTGGTAAGTGCCACGTCATCACATGCACATGCATAGTTTTTGGGCATCTAGTGAATGAAGTACTATTTAAAGGCATCAAATAGGGACGTCTAGCCGTAGCATGTGCTCGCACGCCTTATTGGAGTGGCCTCATTTTGTACCTGTCTATCTCTCACTCCAATTTTCTTGCCACAAAACAAACCTTATTTTATATCGTTTTTTAATTTTGCTCAAAAGATAGAGCTACAACTTTTTTTATTACAGTATGGACTAACTTTATTATTAAGACCTGAATGGGTCTGAGCCCATAAAACATCCGGCTCATTTAGGGAGCCCAAATGTTATGTCAAAAAATCAGCAACATTGTTTTGCTCAAATGCGATTTTACACATAAGGAAATCTATTTCAAGCTCATGGATCAAAACTAGATATTGTAGATTTGAAAGTATGAAAAAAATGGGAATTAAGTGTACAACAAAGAGAGTATAATATAACCATCATCAAGCGAAAAAAGAAGCTTACTGTCGACATTACCCGACTCTATAAAACTCCAGCATCTCTTCTTCGAGCGGATGAGTGTCACCGATTATAACCAAGCAGTGTAAAGGGGGTCCGAATTCCACATCCAAAAGTTGTTTCATGGAACCTGCAACTATCTTCTGATCTTCGCAGCCCACCCTCGCCAAACCAACGCATGGAGTGTCTTCACCGCATACTGTAATCCGGAAACTAAGCATTAATTAAAATTGATGGGACAAACTCAGACATCAAGCAACGCTACAAACATGACTGATGACTATTTTCCGTACCTGACTCATTGTTATTTTGTTCCACTTCCAAGAGTTGCTCGATCGCAGTGTTGATTGTCATGAATCTTGGTGGCTCGTACACCTTCTTCCCCCTGGATATGAAAAGAAAGACATGATAATCAACTTAACCGAATATATGCAAAATGGAGCAATGCCAAAGGTCCGAAGGAATACCAAACAAAATGAAATTTTTTTATTAGAAGGCCAGAAGGTAATCCTCCAACCTGCACAAGGACTCCAGAGTAGGTTCCTTCACTCGTATATCTACAAACATCGAAATGCTTTGCTCATTCCCAAACTTTGATAACATATACTTTTGAGTTAACAGAAACTGAACTTTACACATTGTTACCTAACAAGCAGAGAGTGTGCAGCCGAAGGGAACGATTTCTTTTAATCTTTTCATAGAAACTATCAGGCCTCCAAGTATCCGTAAAGAATGGTATGGAGACAGTCTCTCCATATCGGTATAGCTGCAAACCACACACTCCAATCGCATTCATTACCGATGCATTATGCACCACTTTAACATCCACACCCAATTTCTTCGCCCGGACGACAAGATCAGTATGTGTGGTTGCTCTGCAGCCAATCAATCAACCAATCAATCTCATATACTTAAGCATTGAGCATTATGGACAGAATACAGAAATTACCCGAAAGGATCTCCAACCACCAGAAACGCCACGTCGGAGTCCCGTGCCTCCAGCAACATATCATCCGCCTTCTCCTCCACAGCTTCCCTATCGGAGACGGTAATGGATTTTCCGTAAAGCTTTTCCTAAAAGAAATTAGAGTTCGGGTGGCTGCGTAAGAAACTGCTGAATTCGAAATTGAAAAAAGTGCAAAGAGAGAGGGAGCACCGACTAGCGTGGAAAGGCCATCGGAAGCGAGGCCGAAGGAGAGGAGCGAAGTGTAAGCCTCCATGTATACTTTGGTGCATCTCCGGATTGCTTCCAGCCCTCTCAGGGTGATGTCCCTTTCATCCCCCAATCCTAACCCTACAATGTACAACATTCCTTCTCCTCACTCAAACCTCTTCAAGTCCTTCGCCGCGGATTCAATGGCTGATTCTCGACTCTCCAATCTCGACGAAAAGGGTTTCGCTAGGGTTTGCGTTTGCTGCGAGCAACTTGGGAATGAAATTAGATCATACCCGACTCGAAGAACTGAAGTCAGTCGGTCAGTCATACTTTCCACCAGTTAATGGGCCTGGGCTAATTGGGCCTTCGTTCACAAGCATTGTGGGCCTCTTAGTCCATATATATGCCCTGTTGTTTCAGTAGAGGAAAAGAAATATGGATTAGGGTTAGGGTTGGAATAAATAAATAAATTAATTGGTTAGAATAATTAATAGAAAGCTCAATTTAATGGTGGCGTGTGTATGTTTGTGTGGAATCGGAATCTCTTTGAGCACAGCACAACATTTGTTGTTGCTCACTTAAATAATATGCTTTACTTTCTCCTCGTGCATTATTACACCTTGTAATATAATTCTTCACTCGCACATCAATCACATAATATCAATCTTATCTTCTTCGATCTCATTATATTATATTGGTAGTCAGGTTATTTGATTTTGGAAAAAGCAGATAAAAATAATAAATATATTGACGATGGAATGTGACATTGATGTTTTACATGAGATTTTTATTTTTTAAAGAGAGAAGTACTAGAGAAATGTTAGTACTATTTATTATTTTTACTACTGTAATTAATAATCTGATTGCGTGGCGGGTGGTGTGTCATCCAACGGTCATATGCTCATAAAAGCGTGCACTCGTCCGCACAGGATTGCTCCCCATATCGTCTTCCTAAAAATCAAATTCAAAACGAGGGCGAGGCGAGGAGTCGACCCTAAATTGGATGATACGAGACGACTCACTCACTGCCATTTCGCTTCGTCGCTTCTCTCTGCCGACGTGCAAACGTTTCTTGCGGCGTTCTGATATTTACGTTACTATCATTACAGGATTTTCTTTGTCAATTGTTCTGCTGTCTCTTCGCTGCGCGGAAGAAGCGGCAAATCTCTTCCCTGTTTCCTGGAAAGGAATTGCGAATTCAGGTATTGAACATTTATATCGCTGATATTTTTTGTTTCTAATCTAGAATTTCATTTATTTATTTTTTTAGATTTTGGATTTTGGATGTTCTTAAAGAATTTCGTGAAGATATGTTCCTTTGTGAAAATCAAATAGGTATTTGCTTCTTGTTGTGCGTGGTTTAAATGGTCTGGTAATCTTTATGTGTGAGACTTGTCTGGCAGAATAATTATCAATTGCAGGCTTATGACTACTGATAAGATATTTTTTAAATTTTCTTTTACCTGTGTTTTACTATCTTCTGGTTGGTTTTTATTCGAAAATTTTGTCTATTCAGTCATTTGGAAATCGATGTGTTGATTATGTAGGAAGTTGCTAATAATTTACTCAGATACGATTGGATGTGCTTGTTATCTACGATTTAAACATAATACAAAACCCAATCTCGCAATTCAATGGGAGAAACGTCTTGTGTTTCCTATCCTTTTGGATTGTGTAACTTTCAGTTTTTAGCTGTATTGAAGGATCACCGAATGAGATACGCTTGTATGGAACAAGTACCGCTAAACAGGAATTTAAAGTTATTCATGATAATTCTATTTTAATCTTGATTCTTGGAAATGAATTTGAGAAGATCATAGGCATTTGACAATGAAATGTGATCTTTGGAAGACCACCAAGTAAATACAAAAGGATATACGAGAGATGGGAAACCTGGTTGCTCCTCTCCTTTAATTATTTTTAATTTAATTAATGTAAAAAAAATTATTTATGTAGGTTGTCTGAGTAGAAATATCAGTTGAGTTCAAGATGATTACATCTTTCATCACCAGAGGACTTCAGTAAGTCGTACATTTCAATTTTTAGTCCATTACAATTCAGTGTCCTGCATCTGCATTGAAAAAATCCTGACTTTCTAAAATTGTCGCAGGCTGATATTTGGCTATGTTTACCCGGCATACGAGTGCTATAAAACTGTAGAATTGAATAAGCCTGATGTTGAGGAGCTTCGGTTTTGGTGTCAATATTGGTATGCAATATATTCCATTAAACTTCCAGAACCCATATGATTTAGTTAACGATTCCTAAAGGGTTCCATCTTTTTCAATTTTCAGGATCTTGGTTGCAGGGTTGACAGTTTGCGAAAAGATTGGTGATACATTCATCGGCTGGTTAAGATTTCAAATTGTAGACTATAAGATTTTGTGCTCTGTCTTGAAATTTGTTCTAACGAATACGTGTTATATATTGTTTTGAAGGGTTCCAATGTATGGAGAAGCTAAGTTGGCCTTCTTCATATACTTGTGGTTTCCTAAAACTAAGGTTTGTAAGATCCTATTTAAGGCATCGAGCATCCATTACACACACTAATTATAAGTTTCCATTCACTATTGTCAGGGGACACCATATGTTTACAATTCTTTCTTTAAACCCTATGTCGAAAAACATGAGCCAGAGATTGATCGAAATCTTTTGGAGCTGAAGACACGTGCTGGAGACATGGCAATCCTGTCCTGGCAAAAGTTTGCAAGTTACGGCCAGACTAGAATTTTCGAGATCTTGCAGTACATTGCTTCACAATCCCCTCAACAATCTCAGGTACACAAACATTTGCCTTATTGATTCTACTTAGCCATTAGCTATTCTACCCATGAATTTCAATTTCCAATTTGGGATTGTAGCAGCAGCGACAAAATAGTACGAGAGCCCCCAAACCCAATGCCTCACTAAACCGCGCAGCACAGTCGCAAGACGGGCAATTGTCATCTTCAAGTGAAGATCAAGAAGGCAAAGCAGAAGTTGCAGCCGGGTCATCGGAAGATCCAAAAACAGCCCCTGTGCAAACGGCCACAAATGAACTCAAAACCACGCCATCCCCGTCAATCATTCAGGGCAGCAAAGCTTCAAATTCGAATGAAGAACAAGTAATGCAGATAGATTCGGTCCCTCCAGCAGCTAACGACAGCTCTCAACACACCACTGCACAGGACATGATCTTGGATGATGCTGCAGAAGGGCCACGAGCTAGGCCGAGGAGAGCCCGCGCCGCGTATAAATAAAAGATGAAAATAACACAAACAGGTATGACTTTGCAATGGATTGTTGATATTGATGATGATGATGATGATGTTGTACATATTGCCATTTAAGGTTAGGTTTCACTGTGAATTTAACTGCCTACTGATGCGTTCAAATTTCATCAGCATTTGGATCTTTCCTACTACAAACCTCACATGCTAAATAGTGATATTGTTTGATTTATGATGACATGTTAGTTATGTTTACTAATTAGAGTAGATAGATTGTTTGTCAAATTTTAAGTACTATGTTGACTTTATTTACCAAGTTCGATTTTTGATTAAAATTATCACTATTGTTATTGTACTGATTGATATATGAGATTCTTTTAACTGATGGTAACATTAAATTTATACCATAAAATTAGTGAATATAGGAATAATAAAAATAATAACAATAACTGCCAAATTACATGGTCCAGCGTGGTATGATTGCAAATTGCAATTGCAGGTCAGGTAATTTTCAGATCAGACATGTATGTATGTTCATATTTACATCGACTTAGCAGTAGCCCTTTTCCCTTTTAATTTCTTACATTATCCTTGTCTAATTAATTCTCTCAATTATTGCTCAAGAAATGCAACAACAGACAGACAGACAGAAAGAGACGCCTATTCATATTAAAATGTCGTTCATTTCGACCTCAAAATTTCTCATCAGTCCTTTGGTCTTCTTCTTTTCTCTTAATTAGCCACTTTGTCCGCACAATTAATTTCCCCGATTTGTGTATTTGATTACCCACATTAGACACAAATTATTACCACAAACCACGCCACCCCCGAACTTGCTTATTAGCAGATCCCGGGATCTGAAATCCTGATCAAATCAACGCCATCCGTTAAGTCATCGGACGGTGCAGATTCACCCCCTGGTCCTTGGTGGCCAGCAAGAACAACTTTCAGCGTCGGCCACCATTAAAGAAACACCTCAAAATACCAACCCCACCTCTCCTCTCCCTCCATTCTTCTTTCCCTTTTTTTCCTAGAGAGAGAGAGAGAGAGAGAAAAGAAGCGATTCCTTACCAAGTTCAGCACTCTTCTTCTTCTCCTACTGTAGTTTTAGCTTTTCTAACTAATTCCATGGCTGCTCTCCTCACAGCCAAGAGGAAGAAGTCCAAACAGCAGCCATCGTCGTGGGATCAAATCAAGAACTTGCTCAGCTGCAAACAAATCGACGGCTCCAAAATCCACGACCCCTCCAAGAACCACCCTCCCCGCCACCGCCACCGCCACCGCCCAATTTACTCTTCAATCTGCACCACCTTCAGCTCCAGGGTTGTCCACCGCGCCGACGACATCTCGCCGGAATCCAGCAGCTCTGTCGCCGCCCTGCAGGAAACCTGCCTGCTCACCAAAAAGAGCCGCCATGGGTCATCCTCATCATCATCCTCCTCCTCTTCTCGCATGCACTTGCGGAAGCTCTCTGGATGCTATGAGTGTCGTCAATCCTTCGTCGACCCTGCTGCTTCCAGGCAATAATTTATCTATCTATCTATCTATCTATATATATATATATATATAAACACTAGTTTATATATGTGACGATGATGAATTGAGGGAGTTATGTTAATTAGTGCAGGAGGTATCCATTGACGACAGAGTGTGCAGTTTGCTCTCAGTGTGGAGAGGTTTTCCCTAAAATTGAGAGCCTGGAGCTTCATCAAGCACTCAAGCATGCAGGTAATTTCTTTATTCATTTATTTATTGCCTTTTGTTTGTATGTTTTATTTCTTCATGCATGTTGTGATATAATTATTTACAGATTAATTAACTAGTTAGCAAGCAAGCAAGAATGCACTTCACTTCACTTCTCAGAGAAACTCACTAAAAGATTGAATCTTGAATAAGCCAATTGATGTTTTGACTATTAATTGGATAGACACTGACTTACGTTTTTTTCTTTCTCTTTTTTTTTTTTTTTAATTTACCAGTGGCAATTTTCAAATTTGAAGTTAACTAGTGCAAGCAAAACGGTGTTGTCACTTGTGAAGTACTATGATTGCCAAAAAAAAAAAAAAAAAAAAAAAAAAAAGCCTAAAATGGTGGTGCCATTACTGGATTTCTTAAAGTCACCATTAATTCTTTGCCCTTATTTTTTTGAAGCCCACTGTTTACTGGACCACTATAAGTAAATATTTACACCTTCCAATCAATCCTAACGGGAAAAGAACATTACGTGGCGCCCTTTAATTGGATAGCAAATTATTAACTATCCCCACCTTACAAGTCATAAAATCTTCTTACAATATCTGAGATTTTAATTATGAATTTTATTTATATAGAGATTTTTATTTTTTTTGAAAAAAATTAATTTTTTGAATATATGTATGTATGTATTTATGTTTGTACGGTAGTGTCGGAATTGGGACCGGAGGACTCGAGCCGCAACATAGTGGAAATAATATTCAAATCGAGCTGGCTTAAAAAGGACAGCCCAATCTGCAAGATCGAACGGATACTAAAAGTCCACAACACCCAGCGCACGATCCAACGGTTCGAGGACTACCGAGACGCCGTCAAGACACGCGCCAAGCGCCACGCCAGGTGCGCCGCCGACGGCAACGAGTTGCTCAGGTTCCACTGCGCCACTCTCGCCTGCCCCCTCGGCGCCCGCGGCTCCTCCGCCCTCTGCGGCGGAGCCTGCGGCGTCTGCAACGTCATCCGCCACGGCTTCCAAGGAAACAAAGCCGCCGGAATTTTCACCACCGCCACCAGCGGACGCGCCCACGACTGCCTCGGCGCCGGCTCCGGCTCCGGCTCCGGCTCGCGCCGAGCGATGCTCGTGTGCCGCGTGATCGCCGGGAGGGTGAAGCGAACAGCGGAGGATGACGACGGCGGCGGCGGAGAGTCTCCGGCGGGAGGGTCGTACGATTCCGTCGCCGGAAGCGCGGGGATTTACTCGAATTTGGAGGAGCTCTGCGTGTTCAGTTCGAGGGCAATTTTGCCGTGCTTTGTGGTAATCTATAAAGCCGTGGAGGGAGGGGTAATTTAGACATTTCAAGTTATAAGGTAAGGGCATCGTTGTGGTCACCGTAGGACCAGTTTGTTTTCTTTGCTTATGTACAGACATTTACCAATTAAAAAAAAAACAAACAATTCCCGTACCAGATGACCTGATAGTATAAAATTGAATTTATAACTGTGAGGTCATAGGTTTAAATTCCCGAAACTTCAGTTTACCATGTTATACATGGTTCAACTCCGAATGCCGATTCTCACATCATTAAAAAAAAAAAAAAAAAAAAAAGACAAACAAGCTTTTATTGCGTATTTTTTTTGCAAATGTTTATGGTAGTTGCAGAACATAAATTCGATTATGAATGGCATGAAATATAAATTTGAATTCAAATTTACTTACACTAATAAATGTATGGATATACATATATATATATATATATATAAATGAAATGTTTTGTTGATATATTATTTTCTAAGTAATATTTCTCTTAAGATACTCCTCATCTTCGTTTGTCTTGTCGGCCACCTCATTGTCTGAACATCAATTTGTTGCATATGATTATGATTAGCTTTCATTTTATATAGGAAGGTTCAATAAATTTAATACAACCCAACATATGTATATATTTTAGGATTTGTACAAAATTTTTGTTACAATTGGCAGTCAAGTCAAACATATAAAATGCAAATGTCCAAAAATTACGATGTTTGTATATATATAGTCTACAAAATATATGGTCTTGTAATTGGCATGATTAACAGTACTTTCGGCTAATTAAAATTAATAGCACTTGTCCTTAATTAACATTTCTTGTATATATATATATATATAATTCAATCAACATCCATTCCGGTCATACATGTGATAAAGATGTTCCAAATTCCAATAATGTCCAATGCCCAAGAGACAAAATCATCACATGTACATATATATATATATAACTATTTATATTATTCTAGACAATTTATTTATATATACACATATAATGTATGAATTGTTGATTAATTAAGATTGTCTTAAATGAGCAAGGAGACAACTACATTCCCCTTTTAGTTTTTAAATTATGCATGTTAATTTTTTCACATATATATATATATATATTTTTTATTTTGTGAGAATTTACTATTGTTATTCTTTAAAACTTCCCATCAAATGTAATAACATGTAAATTTATACTAAAAAATATAAGTTATAATAAACAGCTCTGAGTTGGGAGTAGTGGTAAAAAATCTAATATAAAAAGTTTGTATTGAGTTCATTTTTAACATTTTCATGTTATGGTATTGCATACTTAATTTCCTATTTTAATTGTGAATGAATAATATTTTATTTTTTGTAATCTTTAATCTGAAATTTGTGAATGAAACAATATATATTTGGAGAGATACATAATCCAAGACAATATTGAATAATGAAATCCGGTTTGTTTACTTGTTAAACATTTCATTGGAATGATATTTTATGTATTAAAAAAAAAAAAAAAACTGAAAATAAACAGACGAGTTTGAGTCCATCGATCTAACAGTTACATTTTATTCGATCACATAAAATTGCACAAATTAATTAAAGGGCCATGCAAATGATATTCCCACATGCATCATCGGCCCAACATAATTATACAAGTCACACATACATGATTGAGAAATGAAAATTTAAAAACAAAATAAAAATAATAATAATACTTGAAAAGTAACTACTTTTAATAATGTTTGGCATACTACACAAATGATAGCATTTCACTTCCCAAAGAATCTTTGTCAAGACCTAATTATATTTAGTTAAGTGGATAATTAAACACTCCACAATAATAATAATAATAATAATAATAATATTACCAACCTTATCACACTGCTTCTATATATATATATATATATTTTCATTACCATATCTCCTCTCTATGTGTTGTTATTTTGATTCGATGAGACTATTGCACCGGTTCCGCAGGATCATAATGCGCCTCATCTTCCTCCGCCGTCTACCGGAAAGACGCCGCCCGCCGCCGCCGGAGGGAGCTCACGCGCCGCCCAAAACTTCCTGCAGTTCGTGTAACTACTATTCGTCCAGTTCGCACTATAATGAAGCCATTGCTGATTGCATAGAGTTCTTCAACAAGGATAATGGCGTTTTTAGCGCACGAAATTCAGATGTCGTTCTTTGTTAATTACATATATATATATATATATATATTGTGTGTGGTGGATCGATCGTATTATTCATTTTAATTCAGTACTGTTATTTAATACAACTAAACGAAATAATAAAACGAAGCATTGTGCAAGCAATTCATAAATAAACAATAGTTTTTTTTTTTTTGGAAAATAAAATAAAAATGAAATGTGACAGTCGTAGCATTATTGAAAATTGGCAAAAATTAAGATCTGGATTTAATTTAATTGGCGGGATTATTATGCAAAGGAGACTTGGTGAGAAGTATTTCCCTTATTCTTCCAGGAAAAGATGGCCCCTATAAAAGGGGGGAGTAACTGCTTCTTCTTCTTAGTTTTAAGTGAAGGATGCCTTTTCAGCACAGCCTCCGCCGCCGCCGGTGGAGGCGGCACGACGACAGGGCGAGCAACCGCGGAAGTAGGGGGATTAGCGAACCTGACGTATTTCTTCTTCTGGAATTCGACTGATCTCTGGCCAACGACGGTGGTCTTGGGATTTGTATTCGCCGCCTGTGAGGTGGAGTCATCCTCGACGAATTTGAGATCTTCGTCGATTTCTAGATCGAGGAGATTGGATCTGAATTTGAGATGGTGAAGCTCTCTTTTGGTCTGTTCGAGCTCTTGCTGTAAGTTGGAGAGGCATTTGGCCATGTGGACGCTCTCTTCCCTGGCCTTTCGAAGGCTCTGCTTTGTCTCCTCCAGCTCCAGTGCTGTGTCGCCGTCCTCTTCGTCGCCATTGGAGCTTCTTCCATCCTGCATCTATCTCTGCTAGTTAATACACATGCATGAATACAGTGATCATCGATATGTACGGTACCATTATTCAGAAGAAGAAACACAATACATAATCTCTTTATCATGAATTAGTTCATACATCTTTGAGCCTACTACAATTAGGTCAAATTCTGTATTAGTTTAGCAAATTAGTTTTAGATTGGTATCTCTTCATTCCAAGCAAAGAATAAATCAATTAATGTGATTCTCCCTGCAGAATATTTACACACAAACCAACATTTGTTTATCTTGCTGCACAAGACCTCAACTAAGTTCTTGGATGCTGTTACTATTTAGTCCATATTTTATCTCAAGGTCTTTTGCACTAGTTTGTTTTACTTATAATAATTTTATTAATTAATCCATATATCTACCATGGATATGGATGATTTACATTTGACTGCAACTTGTAATTACAATTCGTAAATCTGCTTTGCTAAAGCTTGATCTAATTGTCTTGTTTAATTATCCTCGTAACTCATTTTTTTATTTTTAAAAAAAATATTAATGAATTATTCTAAACTATTGAGTTAAGTAAACTCTAGTTAATAACATTTGATAAGATAGCAAATTTATAGAGTAGAGAACTAGACTCATCCCAAAAAAGCAAAACTAGTTTTATCATATCAATAATTATTTTACATTAAAATCTCAAACAAACACAAAATAGAACCCCCAACAAATACACATTAGTATTTATATATTTATTATCAACCAAACCTCTCAAATACACAATTTATCTACCAAATTATAGAATGACTGAGCTACCAGTACCACACTTGCACATTGACACATTGATCGATCTGATTATTTTCGGTTGATTTTCAGGTTTCTTAACTAACTCTCGTTCTTATACGTGTTGTGTTTTCATTCATCGGCATGTTTTAGAGAAAAATGGAATGAAACAAATCTGAAACCGATGCATAGTAGTGAAACGAAATACAAGTTCCTTAACTGACCTCTTTGAGCTTGTTGGCATAAACCTCGCTGGCGAGAACTCTCTCCCCGAACAACATCACCGCCTCTTTAACCGATCGGAATGGCGCGCTCGTGTCGATCTCCGCCTTATTCACAACCGCCGCCGCCGCCGTATCCATTCCCGATCTGGAAAACTGCAGTTTACTGAAGGATTGTAGAAATGAGTATGTGATCGGTGAATGTTTTCCATGTCAGTTTATAGTCACAGGAGCAGCAGAGAACGAGGTTCGTTTCTTCGCGCCTACTTCACACCGTTGGTCACTATTTTATTTTGTGCTTGGGACTTTTATCTCTATAATTTTTAAATGGCCTAACATTCTGGGCCCAATAATTTCACTGGCCCATTAGTTTATGTGTTCTTAACTGCCATATTCATGTATGATATTATGGGTAGTGAATTTTGGTTTAGTTCAAGACATGGTTGCAGAATAGAATCATAATCATTCCATCCATCAACAATCCATTCCATTTACATATATACGTGCATGTCAGGTCAGGTCAGGTCAGGTCAGGTCAGCCCACATGTATATGTGGCATATATGAATAAAAATGAACAAATTATGTATATGGTTTCTACCACATATTATACGAGTAATTTACCAAAAAGGTAGTTGCAAATTGACGATGGTTGTTTTTCTTCACTTTTGACAAAGGAAGGTGATGCTGAAATTGAGAGCCATAAACTGCTGCTGCTATGGCTGGGGATGAGAAAATTGTTGATGGTACTTGGAGCTGAATGAAGGCTGCAAATGTGGGTACAGTGAATGGGTATAGTTCGACATCGTCGAAACATTCTCTGTTCTTCCATTTCTCCAGTCTGGGAGTTGCAGGGAGCCGGCGCCAGCGCCAACGCTGTTGTATTGCGTTGGAACCTCAGGACCAACCCATCTCTGCTGCTGCTGCTGTCTCAATTGGGCGATAAAACTGTTTCTAATGGTGGCGCCGGGGTATTGAGGAGGGAGCTGTGCCTGGCATTAGCAGAAACAAAGAAATTACTGTTATACCGATTCTGCAAAACCATATTGAAGAGGTGAGGAGTTTACCTCCGGAGTTGCAAAAGATGAATAATGGCCTTGGAAAGCAGCAGAGTAGCCATTCTGGGATGGCGAAAAGTGTAGGGGAGCATTACTTTGTGGCAGAATGTTTCTCGGCGCCTGAAATTGGTTACGAGCTTCATGCGTTCTTGTGCCCATGCCTTCGCCGGTGTTCAAACCTCTAACTCCAGAGCCCAAAAATATGAAGTCATATCCCGGGAAAGGTAATAAACCGCCGTGATATGTGGAGGAGCATGAAGCAGAGGATTCATCAGCAACCTGATGTTGATGATCTTTAAGGGTACTCTTATCTGAATGAATGCCGATTTGGATTTTCGCTGACTCATTCTCAGAAGCTCCACAACAATGTGTTCCGGTTGTTTCATTGCAGTTAATTGCACGAGTGGCTGTTTCGGCATCTCCGAATGTTTCTATCTGAGTAGGCTTCTTTAATAGCCTTTCTTTCCCATCTGATACCACTAAGTCCTTAATCAGCCAGCTTATGTAGACATGTACCGAGCATCCCTTCCGGGACTTTTTTGTTTCGACTGGAGCTTGGGCTGTAGCAAGCTGAATCAGTAAAAATAAAGGAATTAAACTTTCTAGAAGCTGTAGATTCCTCAGAGTATTGACAACCTAAACCTTGTATAACATAAGTACCTTTTCAGCAGCAATCTTGTTCTCAATTGACAATTGCAGAGATGAAGTGTTTCTGCTCTCAGGCAGTCTGTTAACAAATGGTCCAACAGACATATTATGAGTAACTATTAGAATTAAGAACAGAATCTATCAATGATTCCGGGACAAAGGAATTTACAGCGCACCTGGGATTCAGATTTTCAGATTCACTTCCAGAAGCACTAGAAGCAGCAGCTGGCTGCTTGTTCGCGGGCGACTCAGGCTGCTGAGCATCACTTACAGTTTGAGATTCGATCACTTTGTTTTCCAAATTCACAGGACCAATTTCAAGAGATTCATCTTGTGATGCTACAATCTCATCATCTGTTCATAGTGGCATTTAAAACTTCATGTCATTACAATGAAAAAAGTAGATGAATTTTATCAATGAAAACAAATTTAAAGATTGAACCTTGAACAGCATGCAATGTAGGTGAAGCTTTGATATCTGGATTGGCAGCAGAGAACATGTCAGCCAATGTGTACAAGGCTTCAGCTACTTCTTCCTCATCCTTGGTGATATTCACCTTTTTCTGCCAAAATAAATTTCATTTGTATAAGATGAAAAAGACCCTTTAAAGTATAATGCATGTTTTTCCTGAGAATTAGATAGACTGGCTTCAGCAAATATGGAGTCCAACCATGTTTGATTTGGATCTCTTTCCACCATTGTTTCTCAGGGACTGAAATCCATTGGACTCATGACGCTGCTTCCTTGAAATTGGCAAATTTGGTGTAACAGATTTTGTATCCCTTTTCTTGACTGCTGCAGCATTAGTTGATGATATAAAGAACAATAATTTTGGTTTCGTAATTAGCACAGTTATACAACCTTTTCAGAGAACTCCAACTCCCAAACAACTCTCTCCCCAGTCACAAGCCATTAGCCCCCGACTTTCAGTCAAATGTGGACCAAAGGCATTACAATATTGAATTTTCAAATATTACTTTATGAATTCATAAAAATAATAATAATATTTCAAAATTATTAAAAGTTACAACTGCATTTTGACATTAAAAGTTTATGTTTTGAGTGAAATGTAATTATTTCTTTCTAATTTTTTTTTTTATCACATTGAATATACATGTAATTCGTCTTCGACTTTATTATTAGTATCCGACTTACATTAGTACTGTAGGTATATATATGCTGTTTTTGTACATCACACTTTTTGAAACACATAACACCCATAATCAAAATGCTCTATTTATATTTACAAGATTCAAGCTTTCCAACAATTCTAGGTTATAGACTTATAGCCTATAGAAGTAAATCATTCTAAGAAATACTTGTAAAGTCTGTTTGTTTCAAGGATTTGTATGAATTTATATTATTCACACAAATTTTTTCTCAAAATATCAAATTAAACACTTATTTTTTATTTTTTATACTATTACTAAAAAATTAATTTTGCATTCAAAACATCACATCAATACATATTTATATCACATCATACAACTATTCAAATTCAATTTTTTTCCTATTCAAATCCTAATTCAAAATCTAAACCTCCAAACAAACAAACCCATATTCTATTTCCCCTAAAATGAAAATAGATAAACAATCTTGTGAAAAGTAACTTTTGAATGAATGAATAATTGACTTCCTATTGATATTTTAATTTTAAATATTTCTTTTGTGTATGTGTTTATGTGTGCTTTACTATATTTTTAAAATAAAGAAAATTTTATTTTGTATGTAATTTTTTAATCCACCTTAAATTAAGATATAAAGAAGACATGAATCTATTAGTTGATATATCAATAATAAGAAAAAAAAAAACATATAAAAATATAATAATAAGAGGAGAAAAAACTATCAAAACGTGAATAAAAATCACTTGGAAAGGGACTAAAGAGATTGGGTTTATTTATTTATTTGTTTATTTTATTTATTAAAAGAAAGAAGATGGAATAAAGAAACAAATGAAAAGGTAACAGACAATGGAACGAAGCGAGTACGAAAACCCCCAACAAGATAGAAGACAGGAAACTTCCTCGGAAGACCCAAAACACTACCACGGAAAGCTAAAACTCCAACAATCATACACACCACCCAATCGACCAGAAATTGGTTGTAGTAAATAACGAAAACATACCTGATCGTAGCTTCCTGGGAACCGAGGCATGATAAACTGCATCCCGATTATCAGCAAGCTGCAGGAATTCATAAGAAAAAACATTATAGAAAACCCATCTGCAATCCAAACTAATTTTACTGTCTAATCAGTGTTAGACAAACGATGATTTAAGTCTATACCGTCCGAGGTAACTTGCACTTCTTGCCGTTACTGGTACCAACAATTCGAGATTTATCTTGGAGTTCAAATCCAGCAGAATCCATTTCACACTCTTTCTTCCTCCAAAGCTTGCCAACAGCAACCAGAAGATTTCTTTCAATCTTCAAAAATTGAAGAGACAGATAATAAAAGAGGAGATAACTTAAATGGCGAAAACGAAGAATTAAAAAAAAGTGATGTAGCTCATAATAAAACTCAGTACCGAAAACACCAAACGCTGTCACCGAACAAGAATATAACGCAAATAACGACAGAAACACATCAATGACTTTTATAACAAGAAATACAGATGGGAGTTTGATGGTTATTTCAGAAAACGACTTGTAGAACCGACTCGACAATACTAGTCTACTGTATGCGAGTCTTCCGTCCTTATTGTTGTCCTTAGAGAAAACTGAAGCTCAAAAATAAAAGAAAGCGATAGCGACGCATGGGATTCACTTGATAGCACCTGCCTTAATGGATTAGCTTTAAAACAGAGCGAATTTCGAAAATGAAAGGCCTGACAAAACGAAGATAAACATGTGAAGAAACAAGAAGTTAAGGATCAGGAATCGGGATACACAAAATTCTCTATTATTCTGACTTTCTCGATAATGAAGAAGAGGTGTTTGAAATCCAATCAGATGAGAGGAGAGATTAGATGAGGAGTTTGTTGGGATAGAGCTGGGCCAAAAAGAAAAGTGTAGAGCGTGTCCTTTTTGCTTGGGGGATGTTCAGAGAATCAGGTTCTTCTTAACGTAATAAAAAAGGAAGGATACATTTACTGAATACTACTGACTCACCTGTCTTCTTACCCCTTTATTAGTTTTCTACACTTTGCCACAAACAGATGGAAATACAGAGAGAGTCTGCTCTCTTTCTCATAATCATAGGGTTTAAGTAACGAAATACAGAGGAGATATGAACAAACAGTGAAAAAACAAAAAAGGCAACAACATTATTCTAGAAAATGAAGATCTCAATCGTAATGCCAGAAAGAGAAACGAATTTACCTCTCTTCCATTCATAATTAATTATGCCTTCATATTTCAAATTTTCAATAACAAGTAACACTAACAGCCACATCTCCAGAAAAAGAATCAACATAATTCAAACATAAACACAATATACATCTGCCATCGAGCAATTACAGAAGAAAGACAAGCACAAACGGAAACAATACTACTCGGCGGCGATAAGAACTGTCAAAAAAAAATGTAGCTACAATATACCAATATACCTTTCCACATCTCCTTTCAATGGCGCGATCGAATCTCTGAAGAAACAACCGATTAAAAGACAGCCTTCCTACCCAAATTCCCGGCGGTAAACAGATACAGAGCCAATCAAACAGCCATTAGTTGGCATTCAATTTCCCCAACTCATCGCAACTCACAGCACACCGGAGAACTTGACTCTCCTCCTGAAAACCAAACAACCAATTCGCAATTACACCAAAACGCGACGTAACAACGGCCGCAATTTATAACTGTATTCAGTGACGTCACTCCGATCCAACGGTCCAAATCAACCCGAGTCCCTAGCCCGTCCGATTCAATCCCCTGCGGCCAGGCGCAAACGGACGGCTGCGATCTTAATCAGCTATTGAACGAGGGGGAGGGAGGGGACCGCCTTACAGACTGTGTAGACTGTAGTATAGTGTAATGATATATATTCAGTTATCATATTCTGCAGGTTGGGCGGCGTGAGGGTCATGTGTGCTGCGTGTCCCCACAAATTTACTATTTTAACCCTCACTCTTTAGTCTTCACCATTTCTCTAATACAATAATCAAATTATCATGGCCAATACAATTCATTCCCAAAAGTCTATACGTGAAAAATTGAAAAAGAAAAAAAAATTCAAATAACAACAATTGGTTTTAATCTGCAAATGGATCAGAAAAAAGACCATGTGGAAGATCTCTTAATGTGTGGCTTCATCTGCTTGTCTTCCTCAAGAGATATCAGCCCCAAATGTGAAGGATCTTCCAGCATCATCTTCGACACCAGATACCCTGCAATGCTCCACGTCTGATTCTTCCTCGCCTGCTTCCCCACGTACCTCCCCAGCTTCCCGTCGTAATATTCCGGCCAGTGATCCTTCAGCAGCCGCGCTTCCGCCAGCTCCGTCGCCCTCCTCGCCAGCTGCGGCCGCCCCGACTTAATGCAGGCTGCCGTCAGCAACCACAGAAGAACTGCAGAGCAAATAAATAATCGTTTCACTTAAAAACTTAAATTTTAATGTAATACGACATTATTAATTTGGCTTGCCTGGCCAAGATCCGCCGTTATGGTAACTCCAACCCGTGTTCTTCGTATCGCAGCCGGTCACGATTCTCCACTCGTGGCTTTCCATGGTCGGGTAGCATATCTTCAACGGCATTTCGCCGACGAGCTCGTCCCAGCGCGACTCAATGAGGTCCATGATGGCCGAAGCCTGCTCGGGAGTGGCTAACGACGAGAGAATGGCGACGCAATTACCTAAGCAGAACCAGCGGAAATCCATCCTGGCGGGGCTGACATTGCCGATGAAGTAGCCACCGTGATTCGGCATGAAGTCGAACACCCAGTCGGGGAGGGAATCCGGCATCACGTTGAACTTGTTCACCGCGGTGTGCGAATACTCCTCCGTCTTGTACCGGTAGATGTCGTTCAGCTGCTTCATGTCGAGCCAGAAATAGCTCCTCATGTGGAAGCTCAGTGCGTGCAAACGTTTGACTATCATGTCGGCGCACTCTTTGCCTTCTTCGTCGTGCTTCAGTAGCTGCAGCGCGCATCGTAGCGCCATGAAGAACAATGCCTGAATCTCGATCGGATAACCATAAATGCCCTGAGAAATAAAAAGGATCACTCATCAGACAACTTCATCGAACATGTTTGTGTTGATTCTTAGAACGGAAAGGTTCTAGAAAACTCGCCATTCTACGATCGATCATGCTGCATCCATCGGCGCATAGTAGAGTCGGGAAAGTGTCGAAGCCTTCAGACAGGCATAAGGTCATTACAAGGCGAATGCCCCTCTGGCATTCGGGCAGTTCAGCCAACGTAGTGTCCCCTGTCGCCTTTGTGTACGCCCGGAGGAGAATAATCCACCAGAAGCCAGAATCTACCGGAGCCACTCTACCGATGGCGCATTCGCCGAAATCAGCGATCAAAGTTTCGTTATTTCTTACGGGATCGTGAAGAACCTTAAAACTCGCCGGCATCACCCCTGCCCCTAAAGTGAAATTATCGACCTTTTTCTCCCAAGATTGGAGCCTAAGCGTTTTGAGGAGGAAATTCTTGACGATTTCGGGTTCGCCATTCATCAAGAATGCTAGAGCACTCGGGACAAAGTCTCTAACAAAGACCTGTCGTAGGATGTCAAAATTCTAACAATTGCTTGTCCGGATACTATGAAGGAGAATTTATGGCAACTAAAAGCTATCACCTGATCGTAATTAACTTGCTCGGTTGAGTGATCAAGAGCAGCAATTGTCCCGACTGGCTGGCCGCGGAAGTGAACTATCGATCGTTGCAGGGCGATCCATGCCTCGGCGACGATCGGATGTGCTTCGACACAAGTAAGTCCTCTTGGACTGCTTATGCTCGACCTGCACGGACAAGGAACAATTTGAAATTTTCAGACAATGAGAAGATCATCTGTATTTTGCTAAATTTTGTTTTACATCTCACTGAAAGATCTCTCATCGAAGGATCTCTTCCGTTCGATGTTAACCGGCTTCGGCTTCTCCAACAATTTGGATAAATCCGATTCCCCGATTTCGAAGATGGATGGATTGGACTCATGGTGTTTGACAGCTCCGTTTGGGTTGACCTCAAGATTCGGCATCTTCGATAAAATTGACCTAAATTGAATCTAAACGCAAACAACTACGATCAATCTTACATGCACTTCCGCTGTACTAAACGCATTCGAACACGAAGCTGTAATAAGGTAACGATTCATTAACAGAACCTAACTAAAGTGGAACCAACAACATGAAGAAATAAATGGCATTGATTAAATAGGCTGTCTATAGCTCATAAATAATGCATGCTGAAATTCACAGCTAATTATTTCATATCGGCCAACGTTATTCACGCATCTTAATCCAACTGTAATCCAAAATCTAAACTTCACCTAATTCGTAGCCCACAGGAGGAAAATTAAAAGCAAACCACAGATTCCACATTGTTCTTCACAAACCAGAGAATATCCATATCCAGAAACGAGACAAACGGTTAATCCTAAAACCTAAATCCTAACCTAATCTGAAAAAAATAAAAAAAAAAAAATTGAAAACAAAAGGAAAGAAGCAAACCTGGGAGGAAAGAAATTCAAACTTTATTACAGAACAATAAGCATTACAGAAGAGTTGTAATAACAGAGGGAGGAGAGAAAGTAATGAAAAAGAAGGGGATTATTTATAGCAGAGCGTATGTACGGAGGGAGGTCGGCCGGCGGCGGTGAACCGGACAAACCGGGTAAGAATAAGTTCAGACCGTACATGAGGAAGGAAGAGGTGACCGCCACGTCGGATTTTATGGGAAGGTCCGAAGCACTGACGACGAGGTTCTGGGAAAATCCCCCGGTGACTTTAGTTGTCTTTTTTAATTAGATTATGTTTACCATACACGTTGCTGCGCGAGCACGCGAGTGGGGTTTACTCGCGTGGTTTTGAAGTAAAGAGCTGCGGAGCTTTCAGCTGCTATTGGGTCGTACGTCACACGCGCGTTTGGCGTCCGTGATCTTCGGTTGCAGCGATTGTTGACCCACTTTTGATTGGTGCATTTATAAAGCGATGTCTTCCATGTCAAATCTTGTAGGTGGATTCCCAATACATTTGGATGGGCCCATATTGCTTCACATTATTGGGCTTCTGATTAATGTAATCGGCCCAAACTTGGTGCTCACGTGATTTCCTCGTGGAGGCAAGTTTTCGACCGTTTGGGATCTGATTAATTATATCAAATCGGAGCGGGCTGTTTGATTCTAATTTTATCTTTCTTTTTCTTTCCTCCTCCTTTCTTCTCCTCTCGTCTCGCCTCTCTGTGTGCGCGAAATACCTCATACCGACTTGTGCGGAGGAAAGCTCCAAAATACTTCACAGTTTTTGATACTTCACTGTTGTTTAACTTTATCTATTATTATTATTGTTTTTTTTTTTTTTTTTTGGGAAATTTGCGATGAGGGAACCTAAATCTTCTGAGAAGGCTTCAGACCGGGAGAAAAAATGGGATAAGGTTTTCAGCGCGTTAGTGAAGCTGTCCCAGAATCTGCAGAAAGATAGGGAGTTTCTTGAACACAAAGTGAAATCTTCGCTAGGGGTAATTTATAGGGTGAGTGCTTTTTTGTAAGGCTCTAGTGTCTTGAATTAGGGTTTGTCAAATTATGTTCAATTGGGAGTTTTTATGCAGATGAAGATGGAAATGAAACTTGAGACAATCGAGGCACAACTGAAGTTGGGCTTGAAAGAGAGGGATGCTTTCATCTACAAGCTCAGACATGGTCGGTAAAATCTTTTCTTTGCCTTCTATCTTCTTTTTCTTCTTCTTTATATATTTATATATAAATGATACCTTTGTTTTCTGTTCTGAATTTTCTTTTCAAACAATGAACAGACAAGAGCATATGATATTTGCAAGATCCAAATCCATGGAGGTTTTTGGCTCCCTGGATTTTGCATTTGATACAATAATGTTAAATCTAGAAAGGACTTATTCTTCTGGTAGTTCGTTCTTTCTTTCTTCTTTGTATTATTATTATATAATTGCTTTTGGAATGCAGATAATGCAGATGATGAGCTCTCTGACTTGGGGGAATGGTTGGACTGTGTTGCCCCAAAGGACCCAAAAGTATGTTCCATATATTTAACATGTTCGATAGTCTTATATCGATATTATGTCTTCTAAAACATTACAGTAATGTGTGTGCAGACAATATCAGATGATGCTCGTGATAATGTGAGGAAGTTAAAGAGTGATATGGAAAAGTACAAACTGGAGAAGAGCTCAGAGATTTCTGCTCTCTTGACAGAGAAGAGTTTTGCTTGGAACCAGTATAACGAAATGGAGAGTCATTTGAGGGAAGAACTGAGGAAGAAATGCGATGAAGCCGAACGTGCCAGTGCCAAAGTGCAGATTCTAGCAAACAGAACAGAGGAACTGCAATGCTCAAATGAGAAGTTGAGAGCTGACTTGGCAAAGATGGAATTTGAATCAGCTCAAAAGAGTGAGGAAATACGTAGGCTTTCAAAGGAAATGGAGCTCTTGAAATCAAGATTGGGGTCAGAGATAACTCCACTGCCCTTGTGCAATGGCAAAGCCTTTAGGGGGGCCATGAATGATTCTGCTAATAGTAGGGTTATAAAAGGGAGCAAAGAATCGGGTGTCGGCAACATCATTGATAAAGTGAGTGTTTGGTATCTGCTTTATTGTTTATTACACATTCCTATTCTCAGTTAGTTGATCCCTTTCGTAATGCACTTGTTTGTTCTTGGAGCTAGATTAATTATATAATCTGATTCTGATGGTAAATGACGGACCTTTGAGATGAAATGTTTATCCTTAATATTCCGTGTCATTTGAGGGTTCCGGATGTATTTTCAAATTTGATTTTGGTTGGTTTGCATGATCTTAAAATATAGAATCAATCCACAAGTCGTCATAGTTTCTTCAATTCCGGTATACTAAGTGCACAATTTCCTTTCTTGGTGAGTTTCATTGACAATTTTTTGTGTATTCATCTTCTAGTCCACCCAATAAAAATGTAAATATGTTCCGGCAGATCTTGCAACAAATGCCTTTGTATATAAACTGTCTTGATATGTGAACATTGTGTTCTGATATGGGAAAGTGATAAATCTGCAGGTAGCACACACTAAAAAAACTGGTCATAAATCAACTGGAGGAAAGCCTCCTATGAAGCTATCAGTTAATAAGGTGGTATGATATCCTCTCCTTCCTTTTGCATTTATAATATTACACAATGGAAATCCATGCCTGTGAGAAAAAGCAAGCAAGGTCTTCAGCATAAAAAATAGTTTTTGATTATTTTGATTTTGATTTTTTTCATTTTTTCATCCTTTCAATTGCATCTCATCCTATGTCTCTTTGGGAATCACCCAGCACTTGATTCTCTAAGTTTAGATTCAATGGCTTAAGTTGTGAGTTCATTATTTTTCCATGCAGGGCAAAAGCAGTTCGAAGAGAAGAATGCTCGAAGAAATAACAATCCCTGACACTCCAAAACTCTTCTCAGCCTCGTTTAAAGTTCCAAAACTCAAGCCTTCTTTTAAACCTGAAACAACTTGACCTCCTTTTGCAGCTGTTCTTGCATAATATTTCACAAGCTTTGTGATTTTGTTGTGTAGTATAATATAACCACACACACACACACACACACACATATATTATATATATTTAGGATATCTGATCGGTAACTTCATTATGAAGGGCTGATGGTTTTCATTTGATATGTTGTAATTTTTTTTGTTTCAGTTTGTTTTAGGGCAGTGTATTGCTGCTTAGGCTGCTATTTCATTCTCCTCTAGGAATTAGGTCCATTATTGGATTATGAATTGTCAAGTTTTCATGTGGGGATTTTTTGTTGTATCATATTCTGATAATTAATGTGTAGTGTTCCATCAGTTTCAATGCTTGGTTGAATGTAACATATATAGAGAGAGATGAATTAATGATATGTTTTTACCCTTATGTGGAACCAGGTTTTGCATGGTTCATTCCACATTTTTAGACCATGTGAAATCAGAGTGGCCCACCAAGTCCACATCTGAAAAAGGCATAAATTAGGTATTGGGATTGGGATTCTCATAAATTTTGTTGTATTCATTTTGGGATATTGATCATCAGCTATGGTTATGACTGTCCCAATTCTCGTCAGATATCTGGGTGTCTAGTAGTCATTTCAAATTTCAGATAACAAAAGTGTTTTCTAATTGAGGAAGAAGGTGGGGAATCTAGCAAACAATTGTTGGTCAATTAAGTGGAATGGTGGTTGAAGCATGTCAACACCCAAATCCCATTTTTTCCCCACCCGAAAGAAAATAAACTGTACAGGTCATATGATAAATAATTCAAAAGGAAATCTCAACCACATAATTTAGATGTTGAACTTTCAACAAGTAACACATTTCTGGATCAAAAATTGGGTGGTGAAGTGAAGACAGTGAAAGTTTCAAGAGAATCAATATATCTAACAACCCTAAGAAATTAAAGAATTTGTTAGGAGATTACAGCCAGTTCTTGGAAAGAAACTGGTTTCAATAGCAAGCATGCACATTACACAGCTCCAACTTCAAGAACCATAAATAGTACTGATTTTAACAACCCAACAAACAACAACTCCAATGGGGATTGGAAATAATTGATGAAATAACTCTTTAACTCAGAATAGATGGTGATGATGATGTAGTTTTTGTTATGGACTTTAGTTCTACTGGTTTCAAATACATTGATTGATCCACAGAGGTTCAATAGCAACTCAATACAAATCTAACAACTAACTCTGCACAAGATGACCTAATTTGTTATGTTTGTTATGGAACTTCACCTCTGCAAGATTCACAACAAACTATTATTCACTGCAAATGCTTCAACAAGAAGCATTCAAGATGGTTGTTTCTTATAAGGTTTGACTACACTATCCACACAATTGTAAAACTCCATTGTGTTTATTTCTAACGTTTTGTTTCATTTAGTAAAATTTATTTTGGAGCAAATGTTCTAGCTTTAAATAATTAGCATTGTTTTTTTCCAATGTTTTTTATGCTTGAAGTGACACTCCATTATATATATATATATGTAACTTATTGGATAGATACAATCAACATATGAGATAAGAAATATTTTGAATATACGTTAAATCAAATAAATATTCATTTATATTTTACAAAATAGTAATATAATGGTGAGTAAAGTCATCTATTTGAAAGGACTGAACAAAATAACAATAGATATGAAAGAATTCTTTAAAAAAAAAATAAATAAAATAAAGAACACTTGATGCAAATAGTAATGAACATTGCATGGGAAAATCCTTAACAGTCTATTTCTCACGTCACTTTCTCTCTTCCTAAAAATCTCCTAAACATTTTTTCCCTGATTACTATGCAATTAAGGTCCACTTTCTCTATAATTTTGGTAGTTACCTAAATTTTTAAATAATTTTAATCTGACTGTAGGAATTATTATAATTTTCTGTTCTTTAAGCAGGCTTTGTATATCTAAAGCTAAGGACTGAGCACTAATACCTAGTCTATTTTAATTTTTATTTTCTCCTCGCCATCTTCACCAAAATTTCTTCTTCTGCACAATCAGTTAATAACGAGCAAGATACTCCGCGTACAGTTAATGTAAAAATAAAATAAAAAATCATTCTATTATTACGTCATTATTCAGCTAAGGAGTGTTGATTGTCTAATCCCCTCCCTCCCCCATTGATATCCTGTCTGGAATTACCAGATACTATTGAATGTTAAGTAACTGAAAGTTAGGTGACGTAACGTCCATGGATGCTCACCCACCGTTCGTTCATATATATATATAGACACGATGTGGCTGCATAATCCAACGCAATCTTCAGCAAACAAAAATCAATTTCAGTTTGTACCTTAATCATACGTAACAATGGTAGCAACCGCAACAGCAACCTCACCACTCGCACTGCCGCAGGAGAATTTCGTCGACGAGAAATTCATCAGAGACGAAGACGAGCGCCCCAAGGTACCGTACAATCAATTCAGCGAAGACATTCCTGTGATCTCCCTCGCCGGAATCGACGAGCGCGGCGGAAAGCGTGAGGTTATTTGTCGAAGCATCGTAGCCGCCTGTGAGGATTGGGGAATCTTCCAGGTCGTCGATCACGGAATCGATTCGAAACTTATCGGAGATATGAACCGTCTGGCTCGCGAATTCTTCGCTCTCCCCGCCGAAGAGAAGCGCCGCTTCGACATGTCCGGCGGAAAAAAAGGCGGTTACATCGTCTCAAGCCACCTCCAGGTATACCCTCACATGCAGTAAATGTCACATTCACAAATACCATACACAAGTCGTTTTCCCCTCCTTTATTATCAGTTCGTTTGATTTGTACCTCCCAAACATTCATATATATATATATATATATATAAATTGTATATCGTATTTCCTTTATAGGGCGAAGCAGTGCAGGATTGGCGCGAGATAGTGACATACTTCTCTTACCCGATAAACTCACGTGACTACACACGGTGGCCGGACAAGCCAGAGGGGTGGCGGGCGGTGACGGAGAACTACAGCGAGCAGCTGATGCAGCTTGGGTGCAAGTTGCTGGAGGTTCTGTCGGAGGCGATGGGGCTCGAAAAGGATGCAATTGCTAAATCGTGTGTCGAAACTGATCAAAAAGTGGTAGTCAATTTCTACCCCAAATGCCCACAGCCTAACCTAACATTAGGCCTCAAGCGCCACACCGATCCCGGCACCATCACCCTGCTGCTACAGGACCAGGTCGGGGGCCTGCAGGCCACCCGGGACGGTGGCAATACATGGATCACAGTGCAGCCTGTGGACGGGGCCTTTGTGGTGAATCTCGGCGACCATGGACATGTACGTTTCTAAGAAAGTTATAATCTACCAAAAACAATAATACGTGCATCTATACAATCTACCAAAAACAATAATATGTGCACTATACTTACGCGAAAACTTTCAGTATTTGAGCAACGGGAGGTTCAAGAATGCGGATCATCAGGCTGTGGTGAACTCGAACACCAGCAGGTTGTCGATAGCTACATTCCAGAATCCATCACCCGAGGCGATAGTTTACCCACTGAAGATCCGGGAAGGGGAGAAGGCGGTGATCGAGGATCCATCCATGACGTATGCAGAGATGTACAAGCGGAAGATGAACAAAGATCTTGAGCTAGCTAGGCTCAAGAAATTGGCTAAGGAAGAGGACACAGCCAAACTAGAAGAGAAGGTTACTACTACTAAGACAAGTCTTGAAGAAATTCTAGCTTGAAATTTTAAGAATAAATTCCTTGTATTACCTTACCTTAATGTGACAATAAAGATTGTTTTCTTAGTAGGATTGGATACAAAATACCAGCAACGTAGGAATCATAAAAGCTCAACAATCATAGCAAAATATGAAGTCCATAATAGGGAAATGACAAATAAATGGAAAGGAACAAGAACCTGTTTCTGAAGATCTGTTTTAGCCCTCATACTCCTGCTCGGGATCGCCCTCGTACTCGTCGTCTTCTTCAGCAGTGGCGTCCTGATACTGCTGATACTCTGCAACCAGATCATTCATGTTGCTCTCGGCTTCGGTGAACTCCATTTCATCCATGCCTTCTCCGGTGTACCAATGCAAGAAGGCCTTACGCCGGAACATGGCTGTAAACTGCTCGCTCACTCTCCTGAACATTTCCTGAATGGATGTGGAGTTGCCTATGAAGGTGGACGCCATTTTCAGGCCAGTGGGGGGGATGTCGCAGACGCTGGACTTGACGTTATTCGGGATCCACTCGACGAAGTAGGACGAGTTCTTGTTCTGCACATTGAGCATCTGTTCATCCACCTCTTTGGTGCTCATTTTCCCCCGGAACATGGCGGAGGCAGTCAGATAGCGTCCATGGCGAGGATCAGCGGCACACATCATGTTCTTTGCATCCCACATTTGTTGGGTAAGCTCCGGAACAGTGAGGGAGATGTACTGTTGTGAGCCACGGGATGTGAGCGGGGCAAATCCCACCATGAAGAAATGCAGCCGCGGGAAAGGGATAAGGTTCACTGCCAGCTTCCTCAGATCGGAATTCAGCTGCCCGGGGAATCGCAGACAACAGGTCACGCCGCTCATAGTTGCAGAGATCAAATGGTTCAAATCACCAACTGAAGACATTTCATTAAATCATCAAATAACATTAGAATTTTTGGAGTAGTGTTTGTGCATTTGTATGTTAAGGACTTACAGCTGGGAGTGCTGAGCTTCAGAGTCCTGAAACAAATGTCGTAGAGAGCTTCATTGTCGAGGACCATGCACTCATCTGCATTCTCGACCAGTTGGTGCACTGAGAGTGTGGCGTTGTAGGGTTCAACAACAGTGTCTGAGACCTTCGGTGAAGGGAAAACAGAGAATGTCAGCATCATCCTGTCGGGATATTCCTCCCTGATCTTCGAAATCAAGAGTGTGCCCATGCCCGAACCAGTGCCTCCTCCAAGAGAATGACAGACCTGAAAACCTGGACATACGAAAATACACAGAAGGGACTTCATCATTGGCTTTTAAAGCATCTGAAACTGTATAATATACAGTAATCTAGCTGTATATATATATATATGTATGTGTATGTATGTATGTGTTCATCCAAAAACATCACATTCAACGTCCATTTTCCATTCAAAGCATGCAAATTCAAAACAACTCAGAACATTCGAAACAATTCAAAACACAACAGTAAATCAATGTAAGTGAAGGCTTCCAAGCAGATGTATAGACTACAATCACTCAAAATAAACAAAGACAAGAGCAAATAGAAGAAGAGAAAACAGCACCAAGCAGTTTCAGAACAATATGAAAAGGAGAATAAGCAATATTCTCATAGTCACGAGACTTGAATCTGATAGCACACACTGCATCTTGATCTAACGAACTTAATTTCAGGCTCATTAAGCAAAACCACAAAAATTAACACAATAGAACAATAAAAAGCTTAAGAAAAATGAAAACGATAGCGAAGGGATGGAATTCAATTTCAAATCTGACAAACCTTGCAAGCAATCACAATTCTCGGCCTCCTTCCTGACAACATCGAGCACCGAATCGATCAACTCCGCGCCCTCGGTGTAATGCCCCTTCGCCCAATTATTACCCGCACCGGACTGCCCGAACACAAAATTATCAGGACGGAAAACCTGTCCGTACGGACCGGATCTGATAGCATCCATCGTCCCTGGCTCCAGATCCATGAGCACCGCGCGAGGCACGTACCTACCGCCGGACGCCTCGTTGAAATACACATTGATTCTCTCCAGCTGAGTGTTGGATGACTCATCGCCGCCGCCCTGGTACCTACCCGTCGGGTCGACGCCGTGCTCGTGGCAAATCACCTCCCAGAACTTCGATCCGATTTGATTCCCACATTGCCCTCCCTGGATGTGCAAGATCTCTCTCATTTTCTTCCGATTATCGCTGGTATAACGGGGACAGAGAAAATGATTAGGGCCAGTAAGAAACCAACTCTATCTCAATGGAGGGAGAAGAAGAAGAAGGAACGTCTGAAGATTCACGTGACACTTCCCTGCAGTGAACCAGTGGAAAAGGCGGTTCTGGTGAGGAGCGATTTGTGAAAAGGCAGTTTGAATGGAGAAGGAACTGGAGAGAATCGTAGGATAGCAACTGCAGGAGGAGATGCTGATTATATGGCTAGTGGAGAACAGGGAGGGGAACGAGGACAAGAAAACCGCTTGTGGGGACCAATCATATTCAAATGGCAAATATATTATTATATTCGAATACAACCTAAATAATTATGGAAAATATATTATTATAATGGGCTCATCGACTCAAGCCCAATCAAAATAAACCAACCAATCTAATGGGCCTGTTTTATTCACCTTACTACTCTATAAAGCCCAAAATCTGGTTAAATTAGACCAGTTAAAGAGAAGGCTCACTCTTTTGAATTTTACTTTTCTGCTTATACTAATAAAAAATAAATAAAAATTCGAAAGTGAGAGAAAGATTCAGTCTAATCTTGTAATGCACCAGTTGTTAATTATTCTTCAACCGAGAGACATTTGGAGGCCCACCTTGAATGTTGCTTGTATATCACGACCACTTCAAGAATATTCGTTTGTATTTTCACCACAATTTTGGCAAATTGGTAATTAGCCTCAATCTTAATACTTCACACTAATTGAATTTAATCTACAAAAAATTTGGCTGCACTATTGGATAATCTTTTTTAATTCCGTTCCTGGAATCAGATTCCATGCAGCTTTACCACTAGTATGGCTGGCCTTTATCAAAGATGCTTATTCAGTTATTCCACCGACAAAACACAGACCCCACCTATCATATCCGTACACGTGTCGCGGCCAATGTGACCGACGGTGACGCTATAAAAACCCACACCACCGCTCCATTCTATGCCCTTCGAAAAACAAATTAAAAAAAATAAAATTACAATTAAAACATGACGGCGAACCCTAGGGTTTACTTCGACATCACAGTCGGCGGCGCTCCCGTGGGCCGGATCGAGATGGAGCTGTTCGCCGACACGACGCCGAAGACGGCGGAGAACTTCCGCGCCCTCTGCACCGGCGAGAAGGGCGTGGGGAAGAGCAGGAAGCCGCTCCACTACAAGGGGTCGGTGTTCCACCGCGTGATCCCGGGATTCATGTGCCAGGGCGGCGACTTCACCGCCGGCAACGGTACCGGCGGGGAGTCCATCTACGGCGCCAAGTTCGAGGACGAGAACTTCCTGAAGAAGCACACGGGACCCGGGATCCTCTCGATGGCGAACGCCGGGCCCGGGACCAACGGGTCCCAGTTCTTCATCTGCACGGCGAAGACGTCGTGGCTGGACGGCAAGCACGTCGTGTTCGGGAAGGTCGTCAAAGGCTACGAAGACGTCGTCAAGGCCGTCGAGAAGGTCGGCTCCTCCTCCGGCCGGACTTCCAAGCCCGTCGTCATCGCCGACTGCGGCCAGCTTGCCTAATTTACTCTTAACACTAATAATGAATTATAAATTACTATCTATCTGTATTAATGTTGTTGTTGTTGCCAACTATTAATATATTACTATGTGTAATATGATTTTACTTTATTCAAATAAAAAAAATGGTTGTGTTGAGTTTGCACTGTTTAATCCATGATTAGATGTATTTTTGTTAATATTTATTCGAAATATTTTGTTTAGATAGGGATTTTTTTTTAGGTCTTTTACAATTTAGAAGTTTGAAAAAATAAAAAATTAGTATTTGTTTTTTATGTTTTGTGTAAAAAAGTGTAATTGATATAGTATTTTTTTAGAATGAGTGAAAGTGTGTTGTGTAAACAGAGTGTAAATCAGGAGATTCAAACAAGTGAGCTTAAAAAGCTTTTGATACGTGCTATATATGATAATATTTTGCAATGTTTTGGGCAATTTTTTTATGCAAAATTTTGTATATATGCTTATCATTGTGTGTTTTTTATTGCGTAATATGTTTCATGGAGTTAACGAATTTTGGGGTGTATTTGGGAGACAATGAACAGAAGGTACGAAGGCGTGACCACGCAACACAATGTGAGAAATATGTGAGAAATATAGAATTTACAAAAAGACCTCTGTGGTGAATTGGCAATATAAAAAATATTTGGCATTTAATTGCAAAGGGATCTATTTAAAATGGGATACTGGGGTGGAGTTGAATAGACGATTTTTGCAATTGAATAGAATAAGAGAAGAGAACTTGGAGAAGGATTGGAGACGACTTTTCGAGACGTTCTTTTTCTATTTTTGTATTATTCTTCTTTGTCTATTTCAAAATTGAAGGCATGATGAACTTTTTCAAATGTTTTGTGTTTTCAATGTTTATGAATTCCGAGTAATTTCATTTGGTGTGAATTGATTGTTTGGGATTGAATTTGTGAGACTTTGTTTTGTTTAATTGGATATTGGGTATTTCTAATTTTTCTAATTTATGAATTTAGAAATTTTAAATTGATTATTGTGCACGTATTGATTTGTGATTTCGTAGCTAAATTGGAGATTGACACCCGTAATTGTGTAATTTTCCAATTGGTATAGCAACTTAGAGGAATACTCCAGGGAATAATTAGAATTAATTTTAAACAAATTCACATATGAATTTTATTAAATTGAATTGGGCATGTCTAATACTTAGAGATTTCGAGTCAGTAAAACTACAGTCATATCTAAAATTCTCACTCGATTAGGAAAATAGTTAACAGCCGTACCTTAGCTATCGACAAAGTTAGAAAAAATTGGTTGTAAATGCGTATTGATCAATTATAATCAATTTATCCAACTAGTCAATAAACTTAATTTTTAGTCATTTAACAAAAATAATATCCCGAACAGAGTTTAATCATCTTTGGTCATCTGCACTGCATTTTACTTTATTTTATTTAATTGAAAGAATTTATTTTCTCGTGTGAGAAACCCTCCTCACTGTATATATAATATAATTATAAATAACCAATTATTCAATATTATTACTGTTTCTTAGACTCATCAACAACAAAGCCCACTTGACTATTCGGCCCATTATAATATTTTATTATTGGGTTGGCCCGTGAATCATTAACAAATCTCAATGCTACAATAAATACAAAATGTAAGTAAAGACAAATTTGAGTACTTCCAATTTTTTTGTTGACTTAAATGTGAAAAATTAGAAAAATGTGAATATGAAAGATGCTGAGCATCAGCATATGTATGTGTAGTGGGGCCGGAAGTTAAAATTCCGACCGTAAGGTAAATAAGAACCAATGAGAAGGCGACACGCCATCCCTACAGAATGACTTTATACTTCTCTCCCATTAATTAATCGTTAGTAGTATTATTTAATAATATGATAATACAAACAGGATAAGTTGGTTTAGTCGTATAATGTATACTTTTACCAGTTTATGAAATAAACCGGCCAACCAATTTTGCGTTACACTTTTCGGCTGACCGGTTCAATTCAAACAAAGTAGGCCCCACTGTGATTTAATTGAACAGGTTGTTTTGTGAAATGACGTTTTTGACCTTGTGTGGATTTGGTTCCTGACGCGTCATCCACTCTAAAGTAGGGTAAAAATTACCCATAATGATCATACGCGACAATTGCAAAGTCAAATTTTAGGTCGGAGTTCTATAAGATAAATCAAGAAAAAAGAAATTAGTAATATTTTTGACAAAATTGATTTAAGATTTAAAACACATAACAGGGCAGGGCTAAATTTGGAAATTCAGAAAATAAAAAAACGTCAGTGAAAGAGGCGCGACATAACAGTCAACTAAATTCACCCGGCGACCGACCGACAGCGACGCCGGCGGCGACTGACTTGGCAAAGATATACTTGTCTTAAATGCGCGTCGCCACGATAAATTTATTTTCATTATTAAGTGGAAATAAGTGAATTATTTTTTTCATAATTTTATTTTTTATATCCTATTTATACGTATAATAATATATTTATAATTTATATAAAAATATTAATATGTGATTAATTTTACTAGTAAAATAAAATTGATAAATAAATATCTTTAAATAAAGTTAAATACATGTGTTTTTCCATCTAAAGTATTTTATTTACCACAAAAGGATTACACAATAAATAAAAATATTTTATAAATTTATATTAAAATACAAAAAGATATTACTTGCAATAAATAGTGGGATCAAATAAATATATATGTTTTTTGTAATTTAAATTTTCCCAATAATGGAAGAAACAAGCATACATGTAATGTAAACACTCTTCAAATATACAAAAGATGTTGAATTTTGTTTTGGAAGAAAGGGCGAAGGAAGTCAAGAGTTCACTACTTGTGATGACCCCGTGTTTCGTGTCTCTTCTACTTCTCCCTATTCATTAAATTCAACGAACTCCGTTTAATTTAATGGCTGTTGATCCGATCCCATTTATCCCACCAGATTTTCACGCGGTTTCATCACACCACCGCCGCCGCCGCCGCCGATTGCTTGATTGAAAAACTGATTGTTGAAACCCTAATTTTCTCGATACAGGTTTAGTAAATAATTTTTTTGATTTCTGGTGGTTAGTTCTTTTTCAATTTCTATCTTCTCTCAAATTGGGGTTAAATTCGGTGCTTTAGGTGTACGCAATGGGAGCGGTTTGTTCCGGCGGAGGAGTTCGGAAGAAGAAAACTGGGGAATCAATTGGCGCCGAGCACGTTAAAAACTCATCAGGATTTTCAGGGAAGCTGAGATCCATCGGGAGTTACGGGAAGAAGAACGATGCGTCACTTGCGTATGCTGAAGAAATTAAAGGTTTCGAAAATATTTCCCGGAATTTACACGATTCCGGCGAGCTGCACTATTTGTCCATTTCCCGGGAATTGAAGCCATCAACGCCGGCCAGAACGCCGCCCGCCAAGGTTTCTATCTGTCTCTGTATCACAGATTCCTAAATTTTCACTACTCCCTTCTTTAGCATCGCCTGAAATTAGAAATTCAGTTGAAATGTTGTATTTGATGGTTCTAGGTTTTTCAGAATGTCTCAGAAATGAGAATTTTTTCAGCCTTCGTAGAAAATTTTCATTAAGTATAATTGTTGCTGTATATCTAACCGTGATCTTCATAAGGCAATTGCCCCTGTTTGCATAGCTGTTCAAATACCCTAACCCTAGAATTGGAGAAGATGATTGCTTAAGATTGATACTAGTTGTTTGTTATTGTTGTAGGCACCTCAAGGGGCTTCGTTTCTCGGGAAGGCGGGGATCGTCGGGCTAGAGAAAGCCGTGGAAGTTCTTGATACGCTAGGCAGCAGCATGACGAATTTAAACTCCGGCGGATTCACCACCGGCGTGACTTCCAGGGGAAACCGAGTATCCATACTAGCTTTCGAGGTTGCGAATACCATAGCCAAAGGTGCAAACCTGGTACAATCCTTGTCCAAGGAAAATGTCAAGTTTCTCAAGAAGGAAATTCTTAATTCCGAAGGCGTGCGCCAGCTGGTCTCCACGGACATGAATGAGCTTCTCCGGATTGCGGCTGCTGACAAAAGGGAAGAATTCAATGTCTTCTCTGCGGAGGTTATCAGATTCGGGAATCTATGTAAAGACCCTCAATGGCACCATCTGGACAGATATTTTGATAAGTAAGCGCCGCCTCATTAATTAGCCTGTTCGATTATTTATTCTGAGGTTAATTAATTTTCAATCGGATACCTCCAAATTTGCTAGATTGGATTCAGATCCCGACGCACATAGGCAATCGAGAGAAGCCTCGCAGATGACAATGCAAGAACTGACCGCATTAGCTCAACATACCTCGGTGTGTTTTACCTGCTTTGCGTATTGTTAACATCCTCCATGAGTTCTACGGAATAATCAAATAAAATCCACCGTCGAAAATGATTGAAGATGTACTAATATGCAGGAATTGTACCATGAGCTGCATGCGCTAGATAGATTCAATCAAGATTATCAACGGAAGCTAGAAGAAGTTGATTCATTGCACCTTCCTCGAAGAGGTGCCTAATTTTTCCATCGTCAATTATGGCCGACCTTTAATTAAACGTTGATCTATTGAACCTTTTTGGCATGCTTTATGACACGGTAGGAGAGGGTCTTGCAATGCTACATAGCGAGCTGAAACATCAACGTAAACTTGTGAGGAACTTGAAAAAGAAATCCCTATGGTCAAAAAGTTTGGAGCAGGTACGCAATTACATCATAACCCTCTGCCAGATTGCGATAAATGTAACTAGAGATAGCTATAAACAATCGATTATATTATAGTATATTGGTCACGTCTAGGTTGTTGAAAAGCTTGTCGATGTCGTTACTTTCATACATCAAGAAATTTCAGAAGCGTTTGGAGACAATGGTAAGAAATGAACTACAAAAATTATGTTATCCTACACGAATTTGTTAACTTTGATGATTTCGTATAGAACAAAATTGTCTATGTGACTCTGACTTCTCGAATGTTGCAGGGTTGCCATCAACTGTAAAGGCTTCGACTACTAAACCAGAAAGACTCGGCACAGCAGGTCTCGCTCTGCATTACGCTAACATAATTACTCAAATCGACAACATTGTGAGTTGTATTCAAGACTTTCAGTTTTTACTACAGCGACGAGCATGTTAATTTCAATTCCTAATATATATGATTGTTTTATTTTATTTTTTTTTAAAGGCCTCCCGCCCCACATCCCTTCCTCCCAATGTGAGAGATACACTGTACAACGGTTTGCCACCAATGGTTAAGATTGCCCTCCGCACCCGACTCCAGATTGACACTAACGAAGAGGTTGGTTTCGTATACATTTCATGTTTCTATGTTGTCTCAATTTCCTCTCCATATTGATGTTGTCTTGTTCCAGATGACTGTCTCCCAAATCAAAGCTGAGATGGAAAAATCTCTCCACTGGCTCGTTCCAGTCGCAACGGATACAACCAGGCACCGACACACCCTCTTTCTTACATTCTACAAAAATGATCCCCACCCGAATTTACGACTCATTCCTAAACTAACACAATTCTTTTCTTGTAATCGAAAAACAGGGCTCATCAAGGATTCGGATGGGTCGGAGAGTGGGCCAACACTGGGTGAGTCACTGACTCACTCCCGTTCGATCTACGTTCTACCTTAAACCCGAATGCACGAGCTTATAATCTCCATCGATGTTTTTTTATTGCAGCAACGAACTCGGGACAAAACCTGCGGCATCAAACTCCCTGATCCGACTGCAGACGCTCTACCACGCCGACAAGCAGAAGGTGGAGTCGAGCATTCTCGACCTGGTAACGTGGCTGCACCGCCTCATCAGCCTCGTAAGAGACAACGGGCTCAGGGCTGCGCCATTGCGCCCTACCAATACGGTCGTGAATTCCCATACCTCGACGAGCTATGCCAGGACAGGTCGAATCCAGCTGTCGATGGAGGACCGGATCCTTCTGGAAGACGTGACGAATCGGCGGAAACTCGTGCCGGGATTGAGCAAGAGCCAGGAGTTCGTTGTGGCGGCGAAAAATACGAAGAGCAAAGTTTGGGCATTGAGCAGAAGTACAGGAAGCTCCCCGAGAAGAAGCGTGAGGAATGAAAAGGTTAGTAATGTGTTGGATGTATTGGACGGCCTGGATTCGTCCTTCTCGGTTCCATCCGACGGCCAGAGATGAAGAATGTAGTTCATTCTTTTATTTGATTCTGTGGTAATTAAATGTTTGTGTGTTGGATGGATCGGATGAATGTTTTTGTAAGATATTCTGTTGTATGTATAAAGATTGATTTGAATTATTAGTAACGAAAATTCTAATAATATTTACCCAAAATTTTACAAATTATATTAGGCTCTTTTTTTTATTACCATACAATTTATAATTTGTTATAAAATTATTATTTCATTTAACGTCATATCATATCAAACGTGGAATGCATCCAGATTGTCTGGTTCATTCGTGACATTCTCAGTTTTTATATGGTCCTGATCAACTTTAGTGTATGTAATTTAATGAATAAATTTTGAAAGTGAACTATGGTTGATTTATACCCAACTATATATGTTCAATGTTATTTAATCAAATGCTACCTTTGTTTTAAAATTTGCTCTGTTATTAGGGTGCCTCGATTTTATTTATTTTTCTGTATTTTTATGATGTGTTTATTTTATAAAATAGTTTGAGGAAATATTTTTATATTAGATATAGAAAATTGTAGACATAATATAAAAATAATAAACATATATAATATATTAATTTTTTTTAGAAATATATTTCTTTTTTTCAAAAAAAAAAAAAAACACACACACACTTACTTTTATATACATTTTAATTTTTATCATTCCACAGTACAATCTTATTTAAATCAAAAGAAAGCGAAAGACTAAAAAAGAAATTGCATTATATTACTGAAATTCGATTTGTTTGATATTGCAATTTATTTTTTTTAATTCTAATATAAATAATATTTTCATTTAATATTTTATAAAAGTATATATTTTTTATAATAGTAAAACAATTAGTTTTAAATATAAATCAAACTTACATAATACATACATTATCGCTTCCCATTAGCCTATACTTTCATTTTTCGTTTTTTTATTTTATTTTATTTTATTTATTTAGGTAAGTTAAAAATTATCTCATCCCAATCCCCATATGCGAGTGAAAGTAGGGATGGAATGACCAATTTCCCTTCTTATATGCCCCTTCACGCATCTCAAATCACCACTCTAATTTTGATTTTTAAATCAAAATTAGACAAACACATTCACTCAAAGTATTTGTCCTTTTAAAAAATATATAAATATATCAAGTAAAATATTGATAATGACATAATTTTTCAAAAAACAAATGTTAACTTTTATATTAAGGAAAAAAAAAAAAAAACCAAACTATCCAAATAAAACTCTCAAAGTGGACAAGGATACACCTTGTACGAGGGTGTTATTTAATTACAAAAATTAAATAATAGAAATGATACATTGTTACAGGCACAATACGAGTGTCCCACCAAAAGAAAAACAGCTCCAATAATATACTTTTGGAGTATTAACTTGTATTTTAATATTGGTTTAAATATAATACATTAATAAATTTCTTTTTTATTTATAAAACACTACACTTAATGGATAAATTTTATCTACCCTTGAAGAATTATTACATACATGAATGGCACCATGTTGCATTGGATTCGAATAAGACAAGTTAAATGCGTTGGCACATGCTATGCTGACCAATCATAATTTTTAATATTATTTATTTCAAAATTTCAGATTTCTTTTATTGCAATAAATAATAAAATTAATAATAAAAAACAGTGACAGCATCATTATCCCTTTTGAATTTCATTATATATATATATATTTTTTTTTAAATTCTAAATTCAACTCAATTTTTTTTCTTTGTTCTTTGTTCTTTTATGTGTATGCTCGGTTGATAAATTTCAGCAACTATTAATTCAATATTCTCCTCAAGTGACAGCAAAGTTAGGCTTTACATTTAATTAATGCAAATTAAAAGTCAAACATTTTGGATTAGCATCATATTATCATTTTTAAAGATTCATTAGGTAATATATATATATATATAAAATAATAATAATAATAATTAGAAGAAGAACAAAACTTTATTTAATCACCAATCATGTAAACTCTATTATTGAAGGTAATAGTAATTCAATCTATATTTAGCATATATATAATATATATATATATATATATATATTTAGTTTTTTTTTTTGAACATTATTTTATTGAATGCACAAATTCCGATGCCGACATTGATTACTCAGCGACACGTCATACACACAGTTTCGATTTATTACAAATGTACTATCAAAAGGATGAGAATAAAATCCTACGATATATTTGCACACCTATTATAATTTTTTCAATGTTAAATAAATATAGAAATTTATTGTCCATGATACAATTCCAAACTGTGGTCTGTGAACATATTGTATAAACGAAAATGTTACTATTTTAATTTAATTAATAATAATTAGTTTAAATATTATATTAAATTAATTATTTCTCAAACTATGAACTGATTCCAAAGCAGCCTCTTACGTCGTGCCAGCTGTCCCTATCCAATAGAAACACGTGGCGGTGAAGATTAAGCTATTTATTGTCAGATTGCTAACGGGAATCCCACCGCCATGCTTGCCTTCATTAATGTCTCCCAATAAATTATATGTCTGTACAAAAATTTGTCAATAGATGTAACTTTAAAATAAACTTTAGGAAACAGATCAGCAAATTACACTAAATTAAATACTAATTAATTTCGTATGTTTTAGAAGTGTTATTTTGTTAAATATAGGAAAAATTTCCCACATTCAGTGGCGTTGATGCTACCGATGAATGGAAGAAGATTCATTGGTCACAGACAAGTTTATGAAAACTATTCCCTACATTTATTTAAAAATAAATAAAGCCATTATTTATTAAATAGTAGTATTTATATATAAATTTATTTTTATATATCTTATCCTTCAGCTTTATTGTCCCCTTGTGGTGTTTTAATTTTTTAAAATTCTAATATATAAATATATTGCCACATATTCCACGTCATCCGGATAAAACTTGAGTCACACAATCACAGCCTACTAGTATAAATACCCGTCCCTAGAATGACTGCAAATCGTATCGGCATTCAAAACCACAAGCTAAATCCCCAAATCGAAATTCAATCTATCTCATGTCGTTCACGGCGCCCAATCGCATCTCCGGCCACAATTTGAGGTCAATTCCGCCGCCGTACTCATCGAGCATCCGTCAATCGCTGCGAGTTTCAGCCGTCGCCGGCTGCGCCGGTTCCACAGCAGAGAGGGGAAAAATGACCGAGCTCTCCCAGGCGGCATCGCTGTACGAAGTTCTAGGGATTCGAACCTGCGCGACGCTTCCGGAGATCAAATCTGCCTACAGGAAGCTCGCCAGAGTTGTGCATCCAGACATCGCGTCCAGCCGCGGCGAAGACGGCGAGTCGTCGGGAAACGAATTTATGCGAGTGCACGCGGCGTACTCTACTCTGTCGGATCCGGAGAAGCGCGCGATGTACGATAGCTCGCTGTTCCGGCGACGGAGGACGGCGGTTTCTCTAGGCAGCGGTTATTCTGGAGCAGCGAGTCCGCGGAGGCGAACTTGGGAGACTGACCAGTGCTGGTAGGAGATCTAATTCGAAATTTGTGGCTCCGATTTCGATTTCGAGTAACTGATTCTGTACAGGCTTTTCCCACGCAAATATTATGAGCTTGATCTCGTCTTCTTTATTAAACCGACAGATCGAATTGCTCTGTGTAAATATAGCAATGGAAGTGTAGAGGGTATTTGTCGCGAATCTTCTTCTCTGTTGTTTCGATTTCGATCTTCAGTGTTAGTATTGACTTTTAACAGTTGTAATTTGTAACTTGACGATTGGATGATATTGGTTGGATCAAGTACCTTCGGCCCACAAGTAGTAGTAGTATTTAATTGGAAATGTCACGTTAAATAATAATAGAATTTTAAATATAAAAAAATAATCGATTTCTGTAACTGTATTTTAAATAAATTAAAAAAAGGGGTTGTTTTCTAATAATATTGTAAAATTAAGTAAATATCCAATATTTTGTTTTAGAAAGATTACTTACAATTAATAATAAATTACTCAAACAAATCACATTGGAGTTTTTACAAAGTTACAAATTTCCTGTACTAGTTGAAAGTGACCATTACTTTGTTGTGACCTCTAATTTAAAACTTCTGTTTGTTCAATTGTACTTGTATTTGTGTGTGTAATTATTAAATATAATATTTTCGTATGGAAAAAAAATGTAATTATATAATAAAAAATTGAAAAGTTCAAATAGCACAAAGTAAAATTTTGATTCAGCATTTGAGAATTATTATTAGTAGAGGTATAAAATCTGAGGTTGGATGTGAAATTATTATAAATTGAAAATTTATTTTTTACAGTTTTTATTCTTTAAACTTTATTTATTTATTAACTTTTCTATAAATAACTTTATATTTTACTCCCTCCGTCTCAAATACCATACAATATTTATTTTTTGGTATATCTCAAATACCCTGCAATATTTTTAAAATATAAAATAATTAATTAGATTTAATTTTTACCTCACACTTTATCCCTTCGCATCATTCAAATAAAAAAATAAAATATGTATTTATCTCTCTATCACATTACATAATTTTTAAATTATCTTACTTAATACTACTCACCTTAAATATTGCATCTTGTTTGGGAACATGGAGTATTTGATACACCTCCACGTGACATGTTTGGATGTGTGAAACTCTAATACAAATAATTTTCTCTGTAAATAATCAAGGAATAGAGATAACTGAGCCCAGTTTAAATGGCGACGGCCCAATTCAGATTGGCCCAAATAAAGCGTTACATTTCAGCAACTCCGGCCAGCTCTCCGTACAGCGGAGAACAATGGCTCACATGGTGAGGCCGTTGATTCAGTGGCCGTGGAGGCGTTGCGTTCGCACCTCCACCACCGCCATCTCTCACTTACCAATGCTCGGTTCGGCTTCCACATCCGCCGTTACGATTATTCGGTTCTGTGGATTGTTCTCTATCTATGACCGCGAAGTCCATTTCCGATCCCGTGGTCTTAAATCGCGTGACGTTGCTGCGCCATTCGATGTTGAGGAGAGTGAGGATGAATCATCTGACAGTAGCGGAGCCAAGAAGAGCCGCAATGAGAGAAAGCGCGAGGCACGACGCGCTGTACGCTGGGGTATGGAACTGGCTAGCTTTTCTAATTCTCAAATCAAACGTATTCTTAGGTATTGTTTCGAGAAAGTTGCTTTATGTGTTCTACTTTTCGAAACTTAGAGTAGATGTATCGGCTGCTAAGGATTTGATTATTGCTTGCTTGCGCGCAGAGTAGCTTCACTTGAACAAGAAGTATATGATGCTCTTATGTTAGTGAAGGTAATTAATTTGTATTCATATTTATTTTTTCGTCTTAATTGGAATACTTGACTGGTTTTTACTATTTTTGTGTATCCATAACACGTTTGTTTTGTTATCTCAGAGACTAGGTCGTGATGTTCGGGAAGGAAAGAGAAGACAATACAATTATATAGGTGAGAAAGGATTGCAAAAGTTTTTTCTCAAAGAAGCAAATTTGATGTGTTGAGTCAAGTTAGATTTTCATTCATTAGCTATTAGACATCTAAGAAGGAAGATATTTTGAGCGTTTAAATAGAGTTGCAACTTCCAGCTGCATGTCATAGTAGGTCTCTCTATGGGGTTGCAGCCTTCTGTGTGAAGAAAATTATCTTTTGCTATTTAGTATAAGATTGTGGTCATTATAAAAAATGTCATTCATTTGCAATGATATATAAAGTTTTATTTATTTTATTTTATTTTTATTATTATATTTGCTTGAAACTGGACATGGCAGGAAGACTGCTGCGGGAAGTAGAACCTGAACTCATGGATAGTTTAATTCAGGCCACAAAGGATGGTGATCAGAACCCATTTAAAAAATTTGCTAGTGAGGAAGCACTGTCAGATGATGGTGAGGAAGAGGGAGAAGAAGAAGTCTCAGATGAGCATGAAGAAGAGGTACAAAATATCAACACTGCTTAGCTATATTGTGAGGTTAATGAAAAGCAAAGCTCCATTATTAATTTTCAAGTTTACTTGTTATGTATACTGGGATTCTTCTAACTTACTGGTGGGATTGTATGCTTGCATTAGATTGGTGGCGTATGAGAAAATGATAATAATACTAAATCTCTTCATTGTTGAACACAAATAAAGTGTGTTTTATAGAATAGGTGAATGGTCTCAAGTGATGTCAACTTTCACATTCCATCCTACCCTGTTGATGCCGCATTGGTCATACATGGTAATAAAAACATTGATGTGATATAAATACGTGCTTAATTTGTATAGCTTATTTACCTAGTGTGCCTTCAAAGAGTAAAGGCCGCAGGTCCCCACCTTTGAAAAAAAATTCGCATTCCTTGTTAGCGGTTCGGTTCCAGTGTTACAATGCTGGTAATTTTCTGGTTTGTGGTTGAGCAGGTCTTAGTCTAGTTATCTCTATTTTTGTGTCAGCATGATGCAGAGCTCTGTATGTACCTCACAATTACAACCTCCATGATTGATTTTGAGATGTAGATTCGTTTGTCCTTTCAGGATACTTTACTACAAACACAAACATTTCATTTTTGTATATTATGCTTGTGTGAACATATCTTGCCACTGCTTGCTTCACAGGATCCCTTGAGCGTTGCAGTTGCTATCCGATGGTACGATGGCCTGATCGCTAAGAACACTACCATCACCAATGAAATTTATTCACTGCAAGATGTTGATTTTGATCGACAGGTTAGTTTGTTCTGATTATATCGGATAACGTAAATGTGCAGCAGCAGTAATCAAAACTTTATTTAAGGTTAGATGCGTTTCATCGTTGCCCATAGAGCTCATTCTCAACCTAAGAATTTATTATGAGATGCTTTTTTGTTTTGTGCTCCCACACGACATGCTTCAAAATTACCTATCCTTGTATGGTGGCCATTGTCAGTTTACTAGACACTTGTGTCACAGTAGTCCATAAATAGCTTTAAATTATTTGTTTAGACATTTGTGCGTGTCAAGCTGTATATTTTTTTATACCTGACCACAATTTTGTTGTGATAGATTGAACTGAATGCCAACTTTCTAAATGTAACTTGAGAACATGGTAAAAGGAAAGGAAAATTGAAATGGAACCTTTTCAGTCCTCTGGTTATAGGAGGATCTTAGAATGAGATGGCTATTTTTAAGTTTCTCAAAATAATACTTGCTACTAAATCTTCAATCATATTTCAAGTGCTAACAAGAACGCTCAACTAAATAAACAATCGTAGTCACACACCCTCATTTTAGAACGAGGTTCTTTATTTAACCCATTATATGCCTGCCCTTTCAAAAAAATGTCTCTGATATTTTGTCACTATCTTAATATCTAGGAGCTTCGACAATTGGTCAGGAAAGTGCATGCTAGCCTAGAGGCTGAAGCCAGTTTAGAGGACCATGGAAAGCCTATTACTGCAGCTGTGAAAGCTAGAAGATCTCTCATGCAGTTTCTCCAGCATGTTGCCAAGCAACTCCCAGATGAATGGTATGTGGATTTGCTGCTTTTGTAGTGGTCAATGAATAAAGTGTATCACAGAAAAGTGTGTTAGCTGTCGCCTCTCTTGCTAATCTATCAATCACCCTAATTTAATCGTGCATTTTCCCACTGTCCAGTGCAATAAATAGGTTTCATTATGAGTAGTGCTGCATCATCTATCAGCTCTTGCATTCTACAGAATGGATGGTGGCATCAGATCGTCATAGTTAGTATGCTGATGAGAAAAGATGCTGGACGAGACTTCACTTGTCCATGATAATTTGTCAGAACCTTCAATTGATTATTGTTATTGCTGCGGGCTCTGAATGGATATGGTGATGGATTTTCTGACCTGCACACACCCAATCCATGATAAGAAGTAAGATATTTACATTATTGTTACATGCTAGTTTTATACAGCTGTTTTTTCGGCATTTTATAGTATGTTCTCATCTGATGAATTGAAAAATATCTATTCATTAAGCTCCATCTTAAACTGTTTGAGATATGCACACACACTTTCTGCATTTTTAGAGCTCAAAAATCAAAATCATTTTATGTTAATAAGTTAGATATAAACTTTGAAGCCCTAGATCTGCCTAGTGTTGCGAAAAAAACCCGACTTCCTTCATCTGTTATTGTTTGTCTCTATTCTTTATAGTTTGCATATTTACTAAAATTCGAAGGTTGGATCCTGATCAACAACTAAAACAAAACTTTGTGTTCCAACCTGATATGCTGACAGTCCAACTTGGGTCACTATTCTAAGTAGCAGGAAAGTAATTTGCTGCAGCATATGGAATCACACTAAAATTTCATTTAGATAATGATATGAAAGTGATCTAAGTTTAGATTTTGATGCAAGTAGCCAGATTATATTTTAATTTTTACATATATAGTGTTAAATTTATTACTATTATTTTTGTGCCGAGATCAATCGTAGTATGTGTTTAGATTATTGGTAATTCATCTGTGCTATTTTTTATATTTTATTTGCATGGTGTTGTTAATCTCAAGCAGCATCGTATCCGCCATCGGGAACATGGCACTGGATAAGATAGGTCCACTAGACTTATCCAGAAACACTGCAACTTTTTTCTACTTTATGAAGTTGTGTCTCGGAAGATGTTATTTTTTATGTTATCGAAATGAATACATGAACTTTCAAGAAAAGTAAATAAATTTTGTTCTCGTGTTCAACTCAATTCAATTCAGCTTTTTTGAGTTTGCTGAGTTAAATGAGCCGAACATGAAGATGATTTTAAATTCCTTGTTTAAGAACAGAATTGAGCTTTGTTCACAAATGTTTGGACAATCTGTGGACAAAACATATGAACGCAGGCTGGGCTATTATTAAAATACTTTTGTGATATTGTTTAATAATTTGCAAGTATGGCTGCTTCCATTAGTATCCCTCCCACCTGCTTCCCGTAAATACATATATAAATATAGTTTGATGGAATGAATTAATTAATGATGTGGGGGGCATTGCAAGAGGCAAGATGTCAGTTGTCTTAGAGTGAGAAAATGAGGATAGATGAGAATGCTAGTGGCTAAGATTCAGTTCATGTGTCTTTCTCTCTGGGTTATACATTTATTGTCTTGCACTACCCCACACTTAAGATATTTGTAGTGCTAATCAGTGCACAATACTTAACTTTACCATGCCTTGGGTTGATTGTTTCAGTATATGAGTTGTTCCATATATATATACATATATATATATATATTTTAAAATATAAAAACCAAGAATTTGTTTTCATTTCACATTAAAATCTAAAATATAAATTTATTTTATAAATAGGTGTAATTATAATTGATATATATATGTAAGTTATAACTTGTCAACAGTACGCACATTTAATATAAAAGTAGGTGAATGGAATGGAGTCAATATATTATATGATCATCATAAATAATGCATGTATTTATTTTTGTTTCTGTGAAGCTATTCAGTCAGTCAGTCGTTTGGTAATTGTCTTTGTCTCATCCCAGTCGTCTTCAGTTAATTGAATTTGAATTTGAATCTGAATATTAATAATATTATTATTTTTTTTATTAAAAAAACAAAAAACAAAAGTTGGTTTCTTTATGACATAAATTAAAAGGCAGCATTAGCTATTTGGCTAGGATTGGGATTTGAATGGACATGTAATAATAATAATAATAATAGTACTCTCTTTCTTTCTATTTATCTAATTATTTATTTTCTGTATTATAGATTTTTTAATATTAATATTATATTTAATATACTAATAAATAAGTAATAGACAATTATATCTTTAAAATATTAATAGTATTTCATATGATATTGTTGTCACAAAATTTTAACTGTAGTAATTTGTTAAATTTATAGGGGGATTTCTATTACAGTAAATAAATAAATTTGAGACGAATTAAAATTAATAAATTGATTCTGGAATAATAAATGATGTTGCAGATGTAGTTGCAGCCCTACCCAAATGGGTGTGATTGCAGGTTGGCCCAAGTGGACACAGACAAGATAAGAGAGGTTTGGCTGCCTGAACCTGAACGTAAACCTAAACCTGAACCATAAACATCCCCATTCCCCACTACTATCTACCTATTCACTCTGTGTATGGTTAATGATTGGATTTATTATTTCAAATTTAAATGAAATCGGCCTTGTATGTTATATACTTTAGAACAAAATTTGTAATTAATAATATCAAATTTTAGTCCGAAGTGAATAGAACAAGAAAATTTATTTATATTTCAATCGTATAATTGAAATTATACTTAGAAGTCATCATGTTTATTAGAAAAGGTCTAATGATGATAAATGGCTGACTCACTAAGATTAAGATATATGTAGTTTGGTTTATATACATATATAAATTGAAATTTCTAGTACCTTTTATTTGGAAAAAAAATACTATATTATATATTTACCACATATCATATTAAAATTTTATTATTTACTACATTGTATGAGGTCTACTCAATGCTAGATGCAGAGACGCATAATAGATCGCTGTCCCGTGTTTTTTTGAAACGAGGTCCTCGGTAACGCCGTACCTCGACGTGACATGAGCGGAAAAGGGGTAATAATAATAATAATAATAATAGTGTCTGAAACTTGTATAGTTCTATTGGAGCTCATGTGTTTAATGACCTCAAATTAAATTTTAAAAAAACATGCTTTATTAGCATATATATATATATATATGTTAACCTATGCTCGTGACTCTGACCTCCTTTCTTTTCCTTTTCTTTATTTCTTTATAGATGCATGTTTGTTATCTTTATGCCCAATTCCTACTATTTCAACTTGTCCTCTTTCGGCAAAAATATATATATATATAACCCTAATCCCTATTTTCCCAGCACATGATGATCCATCGAACCAACTTACATGCTGCCTGCTTAGGGCTTGTGTATATGGGTACCTTTTATATATTCCCATTTTAATAATCATCATTCAATTAATAACAATAATAATTTAAATGTATACACATATGATGACAATCCCAAGAGGTCTGTTAGTTTTAGGACAACTGACGCATAGGTATCAAAAGTTTGAAGATTCAACCTCTGTCCGGGTTTCATGGGATTTTCGTCACTATACAAAACATTATCGGATAATTGACCATTTCAAGAATTATATACATTTTTTAAATTAAAACCAATGTGAATTATATTTGTAGATAATATTGTTTTTTCTCAAAGATTGACTGCCAAATCGGACCTCGTGAATTCTTGCAGCCGCCGATGGTCTTCAATGAATGCCAGGAAGGGAATAACTGAATGCAAATTTTTAAGATAATTGTTTGAATCGTCTTTTCAAAAATAAATAAATATATGAATAATATCAATTGATTGAATGCCCATTTGGACTTAATTAAATATCTTGAAGTTATTATGAATATGTTGCACTGTATTTCCTCACACATTACAGCTCAAATCCAGCCTTGAGTGAGACGAGATCATTCAATTTCCCCTCACCAAAGTCGTGTTTCCGAATCATAGATGTTGACCCAAAATCGCATTTATTGTATGTAGCAAACGACAATTAACAATAATATAATAATAATAATAATAATAATAATTGAAAAGTCGTGTTTTTCAAACGAGCGGCCTTTTGTGATACGGACGGAGCATTTTCATTCCACTTTCTTACTTGTAAAAACGTATTACCTACACGAAATTGGAAAAGTCGCATTTGTTGGACGGAATCCGTTTTTTACCATTTTTTAACTGAAGTCGCTAGAGCCGTTTGAAACGTGTGTTTTTTGACCTTCTTCCGAGTCCCGCCTGCCGGTTCAACAGCGCTTTTCTCCATTTAGTGCTAGCCTTATCCATTACTACCCATTAAAAATTATTTAATAATTTATTTATTTAAACCATTACATAAAAAAATAAAAAAAATTTAACTAGAGAGAGCACAGCATTCGTCAAATACACACTACACTGAATTGAAACAACTTCATGACAATGAATCAATGATTAAACAGTTGAACAAACAATCACAGAAAGTCCAACGGCGGTTGCAACAATCTGTTCACTTCCAGCAAACTTCTTCAATGGATCAAAGAAACTATATCATCTACTCTAACCCCAATCATTAAGTTAAATTAATACAATTATATACAACAACAATAATAATAATGATAATAATAATTCTAAATTTGCTCAAAAAAAAAAAAACTGTGACCTATGGGCCGACATCACATTCGGAAATGGGCCCCACAAATACCCTCAACGCCTATATATATCTTCCCTGCCACGCCGTCTGCCTGAAAACCTCCTCCAGTTCTAAGACAGCCCCTCTTTTATCGTTTTTAATTTTTACTTTTATTAAGGAGGAGGCCAAGCTTCGTCCACCTACCTAACACATTCAGTTAGACAAACATACAACGGCAATGGCAAAGCTGGGCTTCAACTTCCTCCTCCTAATTTTAACTAATTCGTTTATGACAGGTACTGGAATCTGGTGACGATTCTTTGTAATAATTGAGGAAATCATGTCGTAATTAGGGTTGATTTGTTTAATCGCAGGGGTTTATTCGGCGGCGACATTTACATTTGTGAACAAATGTGGTTTCACTGTCTGGCCGGGAATTCTGTCGAACGCCGGCATAGCGCCGCTGTCGACGACGGGGTTCGCTCTAAAGTCGGGGGAATCGACTGCGGTCAGTGCGCCGCCGTCGTGGGGAGGGAGGTTCTGGGGGAGGACGTACTGCGCTGAGGATTCGACGGGGAAGTTTTCCTGTGTCACCGGCGACTGTGGCTCCGGCAAGATGGAATGCGCCGGCGGAAACGCCGCGCCGCCGGCAACGCTCGCGGAATTCACGCTCGACGGCGACGCCGGAAAGGACTTCTACGACGTCAGCCTCGTCGACGGCTACAATCTGCCAATGCTGGTGGTGCCGCAGGGCGGCTCCGGCGTTAACTGTACGAACACGGGATGTTTGGCCGATCTGAACGGCGCCTGTCCGTCGGAGCTGCGCGTGATGAGCGCCACCGGCGAAGGCGTCGCGTGCAAGAGCGCGTGCGAGGCTTTCCGGGAAGATCAGTTCTGCTGCAGCGGCGCGTATGGCACACCCGACGCCTGCAAACCTTCGCAGTACTCGCAGATGTTCAAGAGCGCGTGCCCCCACGCGTACAGCTACGCGTACGACGACGGGACGAGCACATTCACGTGCACCGGCGCCGACTATACTATAACGTTCTGTCCGGCGCCTAACACGAGGTATTAATTTACGAAAATCCCCATAAACATTCGTTATTCCAGCAAGGGTACATTAGTCATTTCACTTAAGCCTGCCAGGATTAACGTTATAACCTCCGTCAGTGACCGTTAGTCAACGTTAATGAATTTGATTTCTTATTAATAATATCCCCACTTGTAGAAACTAATACAATTATGATAGCCGCATAATTAGGTCGGGTGTATTAATTACGTACAGCAATAATTCATTTATTTAAAAAAATTATTTATTTCTACTGCAGCCAAAAATCCTCTTCTGGAGCACAGATCCCTGGATCCGCCCAAAGGGGCGGGAGCACGCCAGGGGACGGCAACATGGTGTACGAAGGCGCATTGGACGAGAGCAGCGCTGCCGCACCGGCCACGTGCGGGCACGTGCTGATGTTCGCCATCGCCGCCGTCATGGCGGCAATTTGGCTGTTCTGTCAGCTCTAATTATGAGGCCGTTTTTTCGTATTCCCACATAAGCCACGTGGCACCCCAGCCAATGTTGTCGGGGTCTAGGCCGGATGGCATCACGTGGGTCCACTGCACCGCCCGCTTCTGATATTTTTCTCTAACCGGGCGTTGTCGTGACGGTGAAATGAGTCATCAACAATGGCGGCAAAAATACATTTATAGAGAAAAACTAGATTTGGAAATTTATTAATTAGCAGTAGATCAAAATAGATAGATAGAAATTTATTAATTAATTAGTTAGTTTTATTAGAGGATTGGGGGTTGAGAATTTGAATTTTACATTAATATCGTAGGTAGTTAGGTTAAAAATATTCACATTCACATATATATATATATATATATATAGAGAGAGAGAGAGAGAGAGAAGAGTGTTTGTATTATGAATTATAAATGTCACATGTCGGCAGTGGGCCATTCAATGATGACAAATCATATTGATGCTAAAATGATTTTATTAATTTATATGCACGAAGTGATTGGATAATTTAAAGAATTATTCAATAAATGTTATAATAAATGTGGTAGCTAAGAAGTTAATGCTTGCACTCGTACATTAGCGGAACATATATTTATATATATATATATATATGCTTTGTACAATAATGCATCAAATAATTATAGTAGTATAACTTAATTAACACAAGGTTTGAGCTCTACAATTTACTGAATACTTTATTAGGAAATTCATTTGGTGCGTGAATCATGACACAATCGAAAAATCCATTAAGCACGCCCGTGTTGAAAGATTTAATTGATGTCCCGACAAAAGGCGAACTCATGGTCCACTGTTGAATGTGATGTTTTGAATGTAAAGTGGACCATGGAAAATAGGAACATCAGTTCTGAATGTAAAATTGATTTTTAATATAATATAAAAAATGAAAAATAGGTGTTTGATTTGATATTTTTGGGGAGAAAAAATTGGATGAATAGTTGGATTTAAATCCAATCCTCCAAACAAACACACCCCTAAGGCATTCTTATAAATTCTTTTTATTTAACTATATATGTATATACTTCAAGCTGATGTCGATTCAAATTAGTGACGTGTAATAACATGTTACCATGATGAATGAAAATGAGGGAACACTTACCCAAAGGATTCAATGCTCTTGTAATAATTCCAACCTTCAAATTATTTGGGTTACAATTACTTCATCTTGTCGGAATTGGCATTGATTAGGTTTATAATTTTTTTATTTTTTATTTTTTATTTTTTATTTTATAATTTCATTTCTGGCAATGGATTATTGTTAATGTGCTTAGTATTATGGTGAATGGGATACGGTTTTTCTTTTTTTCGAAATAAATACATAAAATCATCACAAAATTTGTGTTGTGAACAATAATAATTATATATATATATATAAATTATGTGTTAGGGTCCCCTTGCGTGCACGTTACTGTTTCTTCCATGAGTGCGATTTTTCCATAATTAGTTCAGCGATTTATTTGTGGTGTGGATCACGACTTTACATTTGTGATATGGTAAAAGCGTGCAAGTGATGCGTGGAAACAAATTTGTCACTTCACTACTCAATAATTACGCTTTTGTTACATATATATATATATATATAAAAGCATATATATATATGATTATAAACTACAATAAATTAGATTAAAAAACATCAAAAAAATCTTCCGTCGGGCCTGGTTTATAGGGTATTAGGTTCGGCCGAAGTTTACCTAGTGTACATTTTTGGGTAGCGACTGCGGATTCCCGCGTCATCAAAAAAATAAAAAAATAAAAACATCGAAATGTCATCCGTAAGAAATGGTATGATAATGTAGATGTGGAATCACGGCCATGAGTTCAAATCATTTTTCCTATTTAGCATTATAATACAATTTGATTGGATAATTAATGCACAGAATGAATTCTCGTATTGTACTAAGAAGAGTAAACTTTTTATGGGTTTTTTTTTGTTTTTTTTTTTATAACATAAAAATCCGTAATTGCTACTTGTCCAGTGCGTTCTGGGTAAACTGTTGGTCGAACATAATATCTTGTAAATTAGACCCAACTAGACAAGTCACGTTAGACGAACCATGTGTGATGGATAGAACTGAAGACGGTTTTTCACCTCACCCCACCAGATTATTCCTTACGAGACTTCTTGTTTTGTTTTTGATCCAGTATTTTGCAGACTTTCGATCTCATTGCATTTGTTTCTATGAATTTATTTATTTTTTGAATTACAACTTTATTGAAATAAAACACCATCAATCCAGTGTGTCTCCACGTCACTAATACATAACTAAACCTTGTATTCATGCACGCCACATCACTCTCACTCTCACACTCACACTCACTCTCTTTATATATATAATTATATGTATATATATATATTTATATATATTATCTTGAACTGAAGTTACTAAGCAACTTCGTGCTTAACCAGGAATTTCGACAACTGACTATTCTGAAATTGTTTCTAACAAAGAATTTTAATTTTAATTTTTATTATTTCTGTTTTATATTGAAGAAATTATGCTTAATTAATTCTATGCACGTTATTACACTGGATTTCATTGTTTACTTCTCATGCATGCATTAATTAAGACAATTCAAAAGGAAGCATACATATATAGTGTATTCTCTCAAGTTTCCTTTTAAACTTTCAAGGAAGGCTTTTTAATTGTATTACTATCATCGTATTACTATTACAATTTTTGCAGCGGTTACGATATCGACAAGAAATTAATTAGCATTAAAAGCCAGTACCGCAAGATATAAATTGACAGTACAATATGTATAATTGTATATTAACATAATAAAAATGTTATATATGTCACGACAATATTTCAGATAACATTAGTTCAACATATATTAATTAAATAACATGTAAATTTGTAAATTATAATTATTTTGATTGGATCTATATATTTTCTTTAGAATATTAATATATCAAAATACATAAAGTGTTAGGTTTGGGTCGGACCAACGTGGTTAAGAATAAGCTAAAAACATTAGGCCCAATTAGAAAAGCCACAATTGGGTATATGTTTAATTTCCTAAAATTCATGTGGTAATCCGATTGAGGAGAATAAAGTGCTTTATACGATCACTTTAATATCCATTTATTATTTTATTACATATTAAATATTGTACTTAACAACTATTTTTAATATTAAAATATTAAAATAAAATAATACACTGACAAATTTATCACAGTTTTTTACTCAACGTTATCTTAGGGAATAGAAGCAGTAACGGCGTGATTTATACCATAATTTTATTTATTTTTTAATAAAAAAAAGACAGTAAACAGGAGTCAAGTGTATATCTTTGTCGTCTATTGCTGCCTAAACAATATTCCTATTTACATTTATGAAAATAAACGAAGAAAGCCTTTTCTGGCTCGGAATCGAATCGCACCAAAAATGTTTATAATATGATGCATCCAAATATATTTACTATCAAATTATCATATAGCTTAATAAAGACAAATTATTAACGTCACAAAGTAATATATCAATTTTTTTATTTTATTTTAAATCAAAATTCCGACGCCTCAGTGCGTAGTTTCAGATAACGACTACGGCTTCTCACATTATAAAAAAAAAAAAAAAAGGAAAAATTTTGGGGTGGACTTATGACCTTGTGAAGTCATCAGTCATATGATATTTTTGTAAAATAAAAAACAACTATATTTCTATTACATAAAAAATTATTTTCAATATAAAGCAATATATCTATATTTCTTTATATATATATATATATTTTTTCTTTCAATTATTTAGTATTAAAAGTCTTATATTTAAGCACAACTTAAAAATATTTATATACTCCATTTGTTTAGTAGTTTTGCTTAACTAAGCCCAAAGAAGATGGTCTTAACAGATTGCAAGCCCAAGCTATGCTAAATAAATATTTGGCAGTGCTTTCTTGAGCCTACATATGTTTAGGTTATTAAATCGAATTGAAATATCTTAAATTAAAAATAATAGGAAAAAATTATTATTTGATAGCGGGTCAAAAACCAAATTCAAAGACTGGATCAAGGAATGCCGTTTCGCCACGTATGCAATGCCTTTGACGGTGCCACGTGTCCTGATGACTTTGGAAACCAGTCGTCCTCGATAACAAACAGTGACGTGGCTTGGGGCGTACCCGGATCTCGCGACCGGGAGGCTTTGGATATTTTTAGTCCTGGGAGCTCCTAAGGTAGAGAGAGCCCTACCGTACTGTCTACAGTGTGTGACTATGAGGGGAGGCTGAGCATCTCCCACAGCCACAATGGCCAAAGCTTAAACAAGGGTGAGGGTGAGGACAGAAGAGCGCATTAAATTCCACCCACCACTTCCACGTCCCGAAATCCACCGACACCGCCCAAACCTCATGATCTAGAAATTTCCATGGCGATTTCCGACGCCGTCGTCGCCAATTTCACCATTATCTACCTCCTCGTCATAGTCGCGATGAAGGCTTATGGACTGGCGGTAGGGCAGAGCTTCAGCGGCGCCTGCGTTCTCATCTCCTCCACCGCCGTCGTCGCCGCTATCCTCGTCGCCAGCCTCACTTGGGACGTCTCGAGGAAGGCCACGCACGCGCTGCTCTCCGCGCGCGACCACCACGGCCACGAGATGTGCCGCGGTGGAATCTGCTGGCACGGCGTCGCCGTCAAGTCGCCTGCAAGTCAGGTCCGATTTCGCCTCCCTCACCACCACAATAATGCCTGACATACGAAAATTACCCCCAAACTCTCCCCCAAATACATCAAACCTTCCATGTTTAATTGGAAGATTATCCGAACAACAGCGCAGTTCGATGATCGGATTTGGATTCATGGAGTAAATTCAGAATAGAATTTCTTCATCTGCATTCACACTGCCTTGTTGAAAAGGGGAAAGCCCTATCTTCTCCTTCAAGTCAAAGACACATAGAAATGTCTCTTCTCTGAAATTTATTTTTCCTTTGTATCAATTTTTACCTTAAAACAGTAACAATCTTCCCTATCTCTTCCTCTGTAATTACTCATATATCAAAATTTCATTGTGTGTAAGTGTAATCCATATAAAGCTTTTTGCATCGTCTCTGTGCATACATATGAAATCAATAAAACGCTCTGTACTCAATTCTGCTCTCATTGCTAATTCTGATGAACTGTGACTTGAACCACAAGAGGTTTTTGTATTTTTTTGGGCATTATTGTTAGCACGCATTTCAGCAGTATTTATTATTGTTTCACTTGCACAGCTTGCAACAGCCATGAAAAGGGGTGTTGAATCTTTTAATCAATTGATTATACAAGTTGCTGCAGTTCAAATTGGTTGGTTCAAAGTTTTCATTCTGAGTGTATAAACTTTTAGGTGGGGAAGATACATCATTCTTATAAAGACTTTTCCGCTATATTCAATTCTTTAGGGTTGGTTGGGAGCACTTACTGTGCCTTATCTTAGCCGCAACTAATGATTAACTAACATTAATTTTTGCAAACTAGTCTTCCTACAGGGATCATTATTCATACTTAATTCAAAAATTTCATTTCAAAACCGTGTGATTGCATAGTGAAGCCATATTTTAGAAAAAAAATAGTACTAAAATAGGAGTATGAGAGAATTTTGAATGGGCCTGATCCATTATTCTGTTAAGTAATGGGACTTAATTTCGGTGGGCTTATGATTTGGCTCATTGGGCCAAAAGCAAGGGTTTGAAATTGCATATACTCTCTTCAGCCTAAAACCCTGCGGCTTCGCCTTCGCTTCGTTGGTGTTTACCGGCCAAGAGACGTTCTCCGAGCAAAAGTTCGAGTTTTCCGATGGCAGGATTCGTGTTCGAGCCCCCCAGCGACGAGGAAATAGAGCAAAGTGAAAGTGAGACTGAAGTGGGACAAGAAGAAGAAGAAGAGGATGAAGAGGAAGGTGATGAGCTGAAACAAGAGAAACGACAAGAGAAACGAAAAAGAAAGGGGAAAACGCAGTCACCATGGGACTTCTCGAGCTATTATGAACCGGTGGACGAGGAGCATTCTAGACGGAGCACCACTTCAATTGATTATAAAATATCGAAGGCTCGCGAGCGACTCCCCATCGCCGCCGCCCATGAGAGCGACCCTGACGAAAGTTCCGATGGCCAAGTCCACCGCCAGGTAACTGATTCTTATTGTTCTTGTTTTTTTTTTTTTTTGTTTGAAAGAAGGTTGTAAATTTTCAATGTTATGTTAGTACTATATTACATTGTTAGTGCGTGGCTGTATTTTTTAGGAAACGAATTCGTTCGTCTTAATTAGTTTCTGTCTGACTTCTGTATTCTGAGCTTCTTTTTCATTGAAATCAAAGCTACCAGTAAACAACTAATAATACAGAAAGGGATTAGGGTCGCAATGATTTAGAATCATATGTGTTTTAGGATTGAGTTTTGAGAGTTTCACTATGGCTCTGGGTTTCGGTGCAGGAAGATTATGATCCAGAAGAGGACCAAGATGCACCAACTACTAGTGGCGATGATGTGAAGTCGTCATTCTTTTCAAAGGCTGAGGGTGTAACATATAATGCAAACTCGTTTCTTGAGCTGCATCTTTCCAGGTCTCTGCTTCGGGCATGTGAAGCTCTAGGTTATGCTAAACCCACTCCTATTCAGGTTCTTAGTCCCCTTCTCTTTCACCTTTCTTCATTGACAACTGCTAGTATGATTGGTTAGTAGTATAACAATCAAGAATTGGTGAATTGATGTTTTCCCCTTGGCAGGCTGCTTGTATACCATTGGCACTAACAGGACGCGATATATGTGCCAGTGCAATTACTGGCTCTGGGAAGGTATGTATAATGTTTTTGTTTAAATCTGCCCCTAGTGTTGATTAATCCATCTCCTCTTTGAGAAGATAGAACAAAATGATAGTGTATGGAAGCATTGAGATATAGGTACATGAAGGAATTTGGTATTTTGCATTAAGCAATTTGTATATAAACATTGTGAAAAACAGACGGCTGCTTTTGCACTTCCAACATTGGAGAGGTTGCTATACAAGCCCAAGAACAGGCCTGCAATTAGGGTCTTAATTCTTACCCCAACAAGGGAGCTAGCTATTCAGTAAGTATCTCCTTCTTTGAAGTTGCATGATTGTACAATCTAGTGTTCTGTTAATCTTCATTTTTATAACTGTTGAATGATGGTGGATTCTATAAATTCATCTTATTTGGTCATGGTTTTCCATTAGCATATTATATCAGTTTGGAATCTATGCTTGTTTCTCGTGCTTTTTGTTTGAGCTCTATTGGTCTTTATCTTTTAGTCTTCACAACCTTTTGTGTTAATTAAAAGTACTTAACAATGGAAGAAACTGCTCAATTCCATTTGATATTATTATCTCTTTTCCTTCCAGTTTCTGATGGCTATGGCAACATCGTTTAAGTTATAACTTACTTTTACAGGGTGCATAGTATGATTGGGAAGCTTGCGCAATTTATTACTGATATAAGATGTTGCTTGGTGGTTGGTGGTCTTTCAACAAAGGTATGAACATGATCATTTCTGTGTATGTGATACAGAACAATTTGCGTGCCTGTTACTGGATTGAAGGATTAAAAAAGACAACATAGTGGAAATCTTGTTCAAGGATGATATGATATAAGTTGCATTTAACAATAGGTCCAGTCTCCATTCTGTTAATAAATTGTTAAATACATCTGATAGTGTATGGGATTATCTGTACTACATCAGATTATGAGCAGTTGCCTTGAGTAATTTTACTTTGAATTAAATTATTTGGTCACTATCTATACTGCAACTGTTTGTCAATTATTGGCCACACTGAAGGATTCTATTGCATTGCCATGACAAATAGATGCATGGAACTAGCTTATAATTCATTCCACTATATCTATTTCTATAATACTCTTTCTATGAGCAGTAGAAACAGTTTGAAATGGTAAACTCTCAAAAGACACTATTTTGCTTTATTCTGTTTTTGGTCTTTGGTTTCCTTTTTTTTTTTTTTTTTTTCGGTATTTGCACATGCTGAAGTAAAATCGTTTTAGGTTCAAGAAGCGGCCTTGCGGTCACTACCGGATATAGTTGTTGCGACTCCTGGACGCTTGATAGATCATCTACGCAACTCCATGTCAGTCCATGTGGATGAGCTTGCAGTTTTGATTCTGGATGAAGCTGACCGGCTTCTTGAATTTGGATTTAGTGCTGAAATTAGTGAACTGGTATCTCCCAACTTTCTACATAAATGCATGCGTAGTTATGCTCTTTTACAAACTGTATGCATATGCTAATTAATTATGGGAGCAACTTTTTAAAAAAAAAAAATTCAAAGGATCAAGCCCTTGTAAAAAAGTGTTTATAGGGAATTGAATTGAGTTAGCTTTGTGGGGGGTGGGGGGGGGGGGGGACACCTTTTTCTCTATTTGTAGCTGCTAATGGGCTCAACCACCCTTTTAAATTTTGTTGTGACTGTCTCCTCGAGCTATTAGAGGAAAAAAGAAAGACTTGTTCCTGGTTTTATAGTTGCGTGTCAAATAATAGATTTCTTGAAAAAGAAAAAACTTTTATGTGCACAATTAAGAGGATTATCTTGTATTTTGAATTTGATCTTTGAGATAATTGTTATTATGTAATTATCTTTGAACTTCAGGTGAAGATGTGTCCTAAAAGGAGGCAGACAATGCTATTTTCAGCTACCATGACTGAAGAAGTTGACGAGCTTATCAAACTTTCTTTGAATAAACCAGTGCGTTTGTCTGCTGATCCATCAGCAAGGCGGCCAGCAACATTGACTGAAGAGTAAGTCTGTAATAGTTCTTTTTGGCTAGTTGATATTCTTATGTTAGTTTAATTTAGTTTGCTGATCTGTCAACAAACTGGCCTCGAGCATTCTATTTATTGTTTACATCTTTTGCAAGTGCCATTCAATGGAACTTTGTCATTCTATATGCAGGGTGGTGAGAATACGTCGAACACGTGAAGGAAATGAAGAAGCTGTTCTTCTTGCACTGTGCTCTAAGACCTTTACATCTAAAGTGATTATTTTCAGGTTCTGTACTTGTTATACTTGAATTATTCTTTTTTTTTTTTTTTTTTTTTTTTTTTTTTACCTAAGCTAGAGCAATAAGATAATGATTCTAGTTTAATTTATTTCCTTTGTAACTTATTAATTATTTTCTAAAGAAACCTCATCATAGATTGTGGACCATGGAGATCTTCTCCATGCAATATTTCACTCTGAAAATTTGTTGCTAATCATACCATCTCAAGTTAATGATAAAGGGGTATGTGAATACCATGGCTACCACAAATGATGACAATCTTACGCTTAGATTGTATGCCATGCATTTTATATGCCATGTTTTAAACTTCTTATTTGTACTTCTATAATCGGAATTGTTTTTGCCTTAAACTAGAGATTTATGTGCGAGTATTCTTTGGATAGTCAATTACCGTATAATAGCGATGGTGTGATTTTAAATATGTATTATTCATTTTTCATGAACTTATCAACTAAGTTGTGTTCTTAGATTAGAAATACTTCATGTCCAACTAATTTCTTTTTTTCACCCACAGTGGAACTAAGAAAGCTGCACATAGATTAAAAATTATATTTGGGTTAGCTGGTTTCAAAGCAGCTGAGCTTCATGCAGACCTTACCATGGGCCAACGTTTAGACGTAAGCCTCTTTCAGATTATTGGTTTTATTTATTATTTTATTTTCTTAGTTGAAATATTCTCGTATCACTAAGCATTTTTTTCATTATCTGTTGAACAGGCCATGGAACTTTTCAGAAAACAGGAAGTAGACTTTCTATTGGCTACAGATGTTGCTGCTCGTGTAAGAATGATATGTTTATGTTCATATTGGATATTATTTATATAATTTATGAATATCGATGAGATTTTATTCTTCGTAGAGATTCCAACATCCCTGCGGATGTCCAATTAATAATAGAGAGAAATGTAAATGAATGAAAAAAAATTGTTGTTACAATGACCTAATCATGCATGCAATAGTGTGTTTACTTCTCAATTCCTATACCATGCATTTTAGCAATTTATTGTGACTGCTATTAAGTGTTGATCAAGATGTTGTTGGCTTCATCTCATTATCACGTTTTCTATTTTAGGGTCTTGATGTAATTGGTGTTCAAACAGTCATTAATTTTGCCTGTCCTACTGACCTTAAAAGGTAAGCATGCACTCCATACGTTGTAGTCTCTTCTAAGCTTATCTTCAGCTCGGACTCTTTAGTAGAGTTGTCTTGCTTGTTCAATGTGAATATCTAATTAATATTTCATCATTCTAAAATCTTGAACTTCATGTATAATTGAGAGACTAATCAATATTGCAGTTATATTCATCGAGTTGGCCGTACTGCCAGAGCTGGCAGAGATGGATATGCTGTTACCTTTGTTACAGATAACGATCGGTCACTACTGAAAGCTATTGTAAGTACATGGAATTTTCTTCTTAAATACTGATTAGTTTGGTAGTCCATCACCTCAGCTGAATCGATACTATCTCTTACATGCATTCATGTTTCTTGAAGGGACTGGGATGTCTCCTATAATTTTATACATGTAGATTATTCATTTAAGTAAAGTGTATACATGTGAATTCTGGAACTAAATTATTTTAGAAGATTTTTGTGTTTTAAAGTTTGTGTTGACTTTATGAGCAAAGCAAAGATTCTTGAGTTATTTGTCTGTTGAACTCATGATTGTTTCTTACCAATTATAATACTCAACTATAAGAGGACAGAAATATCCTAGGAGGCACCAAGCTATGGTGGAAATTTTGCAATGCAAGGTTTAGTCAATGAGAGACTCCCACTATGTTCAAGCTGCAGGAAAGAAATGCATGCACATGATAAAGTGCTTTCGTTTGTAATTGGGATTTCCCAATAGAAGGAACCTTGACATGCTATATATTGCAGCAATAGTTTAAAAAAATGGAGCAGTCTGGTTTTATCTAATAAAAAAACAATTGAAGCATACATCTTTGAATTATACGCCATTCATGTTTATTTGTATTGATCTTGCCATACAAATGTAAACAATCTTTGTTTAAATAGAAGGCATAATACTCCTAAGATAACTAAATTTGAAGACTTTATTGAGTTTAATCTGAATAACTTTTAAGATATCTTACAAATCTGGCAGGCTAAACGAACAGGCGCACAGTTGAAGAGCCGTATTGTAGCTGAGCAAGCAATAGAAAAGTGGTCTCAAATAATTGAGCAAATGGAAGAACAGATCTCTTCCATTCTTCAAGAGGAAAGGTATGTCATTCTTCTGATCCAATCCTTCACTCAAATTTTCTCATTTACAACCAACTGTAATGATTTCTGACCATTGCAGGGAAGAATTGTTGTTAAGGAAAGCGGAAATGGAGGCCAATAAGGTTTTCTTCAATCTCATCCCATTCAGTTTTTCCAATGCTCTAGATTATTATGAATAGTATTTTTTCAAATCTCTGACTTACTTTTCTAACTCATTTTTGTGAATATGGTTTTAACTTTTTAGGCAGAAAATATGATTGCCCACAAGGATGAAATTTATTCACGTCCAAAAAGAACTTGGTTCGTAACAGAGAAGGAAAAGAAGCTTGCAGCTAAGGCAGCAAAGGTGATTTTGTGTTATCTAGATCTCTTTCTAGTTCTTTATTCTTCATGCCTGTGTCCTTTGATTATTTAAGGGGTGAAGTCAAACAATCATCAAATATGAAATCATGATGTCCTTTATTTATGATATAATTGACCCTCTGCCCGTTCTGATCTTATACTTGAAGTTTGAACAATTCTTTGTTAGCGGTAACATTTTGCTTATTAGTGGAACCTGTGAACAATTTGCTAGGAAGCATTGGGAAAGAAGAAGAATGGTAAGGAGACGATAAGTGCTGAACAAGCAGAGCAGTTGAAGATGAAGGAAAAGAGAAAACGAGAGCGGGAGGTGATTTACTTTAGATACTGTGTGGATCTAACTTAGTAGAGCTTGTCTAGCAAAATTGACTGACATGGAGCAACTTGTTTTATCCAAAGAAAAATTTACCTAGGAGAAAACAGAGGCAATTGGAGGCAGCTAGAGAGATGTTAGAGGATGAAGGCAAAGAAGGAAAGGTATGTATCGACGATTCTCTTCTTTTTGTTTCAAGGTCATCTGCACGATTTTGTGGAATTGCAGCTGTATGATACATTATTTTGGAATGACCAGGTACAAAATGATAAGAATGAAAAAGGTGGGATCTCTCTAGTCGAATTGGGATATCGTAGGGCAAAGGCTGTGAAGGCTGCACAGAGGGCTGTTGATGCTGGAAAAATTGTTAAACTTCCCACAAAAAACCCCAAGAAATCTGCTGAGAAAACTAAATCAAGAACTGAAGAGATGCAGGAACTTTTCCAAAACGACATGAGCGAGAAAAGGCAGAAGCGAGCACTTCGGGTTGGTGGGAAAAGCAAATCCTCTTTCAAGAGCAAAGCAAGGTATGGGTATTGTTGTGATGGTTTATTTCATACTAGCGTATAGAGGCATCCACTTTTGCATAGTGTCATTCGAACCAGTTTACCAATGCATATATACATAGTTCTATTGGAATGGTGGCGTATGTATCGATAGCTTAGTTGCACATCTTGCGTTATTTTGGCCGAAATTTACAATTGACTGTTGCTATGCAGGTATAAACGCCGGTAGGTTCAAATTGTTGATCATCAATCCCCTAAAGGCTAAATCTTAGGGCAGCCTGCTTCAAATGGGATGATACCTCCATTTGTCCCATTAATTGAATAGCTTGCAGCCTCTCTTCCAAATTGTGGATTGGTCATACTATGGTGAAGATTCTGTATCTTTTTTATCGAAAATTGAGGTGTTGAAGAGAGTATAGTGTGCCTGGGCATCATATTTGGGATTTGATTTTGATTTTTGTGGCTTGTGTTTGTAATTCAAGGTACTACATTAAATGTTTTATCACCGTATCATATGTATTTTATAAATTATTAAGTGCTTCCCATTGGTACTTGATCACGTAAATATGTTGCCCCCTGTGGAAGTATTGAATCATGCATGATATATCCATTTTGATCTGGTTCCCGACTTGCTTCTCTGTTTTTATAAATGTGAAAATTCGCCGGGCGAATCAGACAAGACGTCATGGTCACGATTTCATCCTTACACGGGCCGGATCATTGGTCATGAGTCCATCATTACACCTGCTCCACCACCAGATCATTCCTTGCGAGACTGGTTTCTCGACTTGCTTTTGTAACCAAGCAAAATCGTACTGGTCTGAATGTCTCTTGCCCTAACCTATAATAAAATTAGTTCACTATACAAGAGAACAAATTCCTTCCTCAAGACCACCAAAATTAAAATTAAAATAAAAAACAAAAATCCTCAGGTTATTGATATTGAGTCATGTAGAACTCATTGCAAAGAATAAATCCAATGCGAGCACAGGCATAAGACCACTTACAAGACTAATTATTCCTTCCAAGCTCTATTCAAATATATATATAAATAGCTTAGATCAACTCTAGCTATCACAAATTTCTCTCCTATTCTTCGATGTTAAAAGCATGCATGCAAAAAACCAAACAATATTCAACACTTGCATTGGTAATCCTTAAATTTCATGCATAAAATTACATTCAACTGCTTTATCATTACTCCCCTCTCCCTCTCTCTCCCCTCTCTCACTCTCTCTAATATCCCTCATTACTATCCTGCACCCTCCCAATATGTTAAACAATTCCTAATTGAGGCCCCAACAGAACCAGAGCATATGAATCAGATCAGGTGTTTCTCCAAGGTGGCATGTAAGGCCTGAAAGGGTAATTTTCCCAGCCGTTTTCGGGTTCCTTTCGCTTACCACCAAGAGCTGGATTTACAGTGGGCTGCGAATAGGACCTGAGCCGCTCATCCACCGACTGGACTTGAGTTGAGTTCAAGAACAGTCCAAAGCCTGGAGGGTCTTTACTACCACCACTTTCCAGCAACATTCCAGAATTAACATCAAAACTGCTCTGCAATGGCCTAATCCCCCCATTCGGAGGAGGAGCGAAGCCATTCATGTTTACAACAAAGGGTGGCTGTGAGAAACCGGCTGGCATAGCTGAAGCAGAGCCCACAAGCTGCGGGATAACAGGTGCCCCTCTGGAATCAACCATGTATGGAGGCAGAAAGGGTGCAGCAGATCCATATATAGGAGAGGAGTAAGGCATGACCGGTGTGGGTGCCATGTTGTTGCCACCATAGAGTGGAGAATGAGTATACGGAATTGGAGATCCAATTCCAAGAAAGCCGCCACCTGTGCTCCCCAAGTTAGCATCAAAAGTAAGCTCTGAAGTTCGGCCATTTGATATGGAAGGTGTAGGAGAAACAAAATCCTTCCGATTGACTTCCACTCTTGTTCCCATTATAGATATCACTGAGTCGCCAGACTTGATCTGATTTTGTGATGCTATACTTAAATGGCAGTTATCAGAAGAGTTGTTGGGAAAAGAAGGCTGATCATTCAAGTTAATGTTCCTTGCAGGCTGCTTTGAGGATGATGAAGAATTAGAATGATTTCCATGCGGAAATAGCTGTTGTATCTGCCAATCTGAAGGAGTTCCACCATCATCACTTGCACAATTCAGGTCCAATTCAAGATGTTCGGATCTTCTTCTTTTCATCTCAACAGAAGATTCTCCAGAAGGACCTCCTTCTCCAGCACCAGCACCTTCATCAGCATTCAGATCAATTTCAAGACATACTTGTTGCTTAGAGCTGCTGCTACCTGCCCTCTGGGAAGAAGGGCCCGCGTCATTTTCAAGCATTTGGCGAGGTGATGCTTGGCGGAAAGCGCTGGTTGCAGCAGAACCCTTCCATCCAAGATTACCCTCGAACTGCAATGAAGCACTGGGTGGTGCAGGTGGTGCTGCGGTTGAAGAAGTCACAGTGGATATTGATACCAAATGTTCACTCCCAGGATGATCAGCATCTTCAGAGGGAAATTTCTCGTTCAGATCAAAATCATGTGGGCCTTTCACAGGATTAGCTTCTGCTTGAACAGAGTCACCAATTTCAGAGTTTACCATGTCTATTCTGTTATTTGTCTGCTGGCTGCTTACATTTTCCAGACTAGAAGCAGAATTCTGATGCATGGATGAAGAGCCAGCGAACAAATCTGGATCACTTGCCTCCTGCTCACGTGAGCCCTCACTGGCATGTGATAATTGCTTTCCACTCATGTAGTCTGGGTTTTCAGGCTGCTCCACATTATTTTCTGGTATTTTCTCAGAAGAACCACCACTCTGTTCTCCACAATCCACAATGTCTCTCTTCACTTCTATGGCGACCTGCCTAGCAAACTCCAAAGGATCAATAATTCCATAATCTATTTCTAAACTGGACTTCTCAGCAGCTCGATCAGGTTTCTTACTCATTTTGTTTATGCTGAGATCATAATGACCAACCAGATCACTTTTTTTGGGGTCAGGTGTGCTAGTCTTATCATCTTTGCTTCCTGAAGTTCCCAAATCTTCAGTATGTGATAGCTGTACATTGCACGAACTCTGTTCCTCAGCCACAGAGGTTTTAAGTGGACTGGCATCAGCTGCCAGTTGCATTTCACTGAAAACTTCAGAACTAGTACTATTTTTATCTTCTGCTGGCTTTGATTCTTCAACCAAGCTTGATTTTGGTGGTGATTTTCCAGTCTTTGGGAATCGCTCTTCATAGCTGGGTGACTTAGACTGATTAGTCCCAGTAAGTGTGTCAAGAGCAAGTTTAGAAACAGCTGGACTACATGGCTCAATAGCAGTACCAACATGATGACAATAAGGCTCTACTGAAGATCTCGGCAATGGGGGTGATCCTATTTCATCTGATGCTTGCTTCATAACTGCAGAATCTAAGAGTGTCTCTGAATTTTGTGCACTCCCGAGCTGGCTGGTGTGAACAGCATCACAATTTTTGGAAAGTATTTCACGATCTCCAGTCATTTTACGACTCTTTTCTTTAGAAGTTTCCTTGGAGCTAGCATCACTTCCCACAGTAGTCTCCATATGGGTTACACCTTTCACTGGATCAGTACTCTTTGCAGCCTCATCATCAGTTATGGATCTAGAATTCTCAACGTCTGAAATAGAAGCAGCACAATCTCTATTCATTGTCCAGATTTCAAACAATGCTTGAGCTTCATTCCGAACCTTTAAACTGCTGTGGACACGGAGATCCTGAACAGTTGCCCAAATTTCAGAAGCAACCACCTTATCATATTCCAGGTGCGGTTTTTCCAGTGCTCTCAGCAAATTAGCAACAGTATCTTCCGCAAAGCCATCAATTTCATTACAGAACTTCTGGGCATCCTTCATCCATTCAGAAATAAAACGAAGGCCATCTAACTGAATAAATAGATCAAGACACTCCTTGTTCTCAGTGGCAGCTATAGCACCTGCAACAGCTGACCACTTCCTTGACGATTCAGCTGAATTATTCACAATAGGGCCCTTCTCTTTCTGCATGACAGCTATGAGTTCCCTGACTCGAGAAGGGGCTGTAAGCCCATTATTCATCTCTGTCTTAGTGAAGAAATCTTCGAGTGTCATAATCTTGCGAAAGCTATGGACCGCAATGTACTAATGTATTTCCATGTATCATCTAAGTTCTCAGCTCGCAAAATTTATCCTGAAAAGGGCCAAAGGCATAAACATATTGTCTCAGTTATCATTCATGGGAGGCAGTAACATGAAGAAAAGTGGAAATTGCAATGTAAATGACAAGGTCAGACAGAAAACTGCAAACATTTGAGTGAAACAATGATTGCACAATTCTGTAAGCATGAAAAAGCAATGAAACTATTTCCAGTAGTAAGTGGAAAAATCAAAACTAAATTTAAATAATTGAAACATATGATCGCTTGAGATATTCTTTCTTAATAGGGAGCTGTAAAATCTAAGACCCATCACTAGATGGAAAGTGCTCATATCCTTTCTTTCAGGAACAAGATGACAATTGAACTAGACCAATAAAACATATTCTGTCCGAAATCTCAGTAAATGCAATAGCAACAAGATTCATGCAGCAATTTAATGCATAAACAGAAAATCGGGAAACACGTGGCATTCTTTCAAATGCTTCAAGATACCGACAAATAAACTATACAAATGTATCTCTATGACAGCCGAGAAACATTTAGTGGAATACGACAATAGTGTAATTTAAATAAAGAATCTTCTATATTGTTATCCAACCTCAAACTTTGGTTCCCTAGCATACAAATTCACATCGAACACGTGGCAGGAGAAGTACGAAAAGTTAGGAAAGTATGTATTTGATAATTAAAAACACAAGAAACATGTGCTCATCATCACAGATACAACAGGCACACAATTGATGACCCCATCAACATTTGGACACAATTAAGGCAAAGACTAACATCAGGAAATGCCAGAAGATAAGAAACCCATCAAATTCAGTAGCAGTCATTTACCACTTCAGGATTGCCAACTGATCAATTACAGCAATTTGTAAATACTCCAATGCAACTCACTGAAACGGGACTTTCCTGAAAGGAATTAAGAAAATGTTAGAAAAATATAAACTAGTAATATTACATAGACCTGTGGATATCCAAGTATACAAACAATTGAAGGCGACCGCATTTACCATGCAATCCTCGTACAAAAGATCACAAGACCCAAATCTAGGGTTCGCACAATCAAAACCCAAATCTTATACCACCAAAATTGCTCAAAACGTACATAAGACCAACATCATTAAGCAATGAACCTGCCCTTCATAAGTTCAACATCATTAAGCAATGAACCCGCCCTTACGCGAAACCCTAGATTAAGGTTCTTAATTATTCGCGTCACGTAGCCGTTCAAATGCGCATAGCTGCAATTCATGGGACGCATATACATAGATTCATTAAGAGAATGGTAATCAAAGCATGAAGAATCATCCAAAAACGCGTAATCAAGCGGAAAACTACTGTTCATATTAACGTCCCAAAAAAAAAAAACCATTGAAAGATGGGAATGAAAGAAAAATTCACCTCGTCCAATTTACGATACTCAGGCAAAAGCTTTCCAATTCCAAAGCCTGCTACCCCCAAATTAAATCATCTACCTCAATACTAGCTCTTCGAACGCCAGTTTCTTCCTTTCACAGATAAACCCAAAATTCTGCCCGGGAAGAAACTCACTGTAGTTTCGCAGTCCAATCACTGATGCTTGTCGCTCTTCTCCCTCCGTCTCCTCCTCACTGAATTTCCCTTTCAGAAACTTGACATAATTTTCACTTTTGCATTTGATTTTATTATTATTTTGAGAGGGTTTGCAGAGTGCTGGTCTGTTTTAGCTCACAAGTGGGAACCTCGCATGTGCGGCGCGTGTCAACCCGATAACCATCGCGGGTCGGGGTCGACCCATCGGTTGGGTATCTTTTAATTCAATAGGTTGAAATTTTATAAATAGTTACAACTGCAGCAATAAATAGTAACAATAATAATAAATGGCAACCACAGTAAGTCGTTGTTTTCTTCCCTTTTTTATTATTTTTTTTCAGTAAGTCGTTTAGGAATAAAGAATGGAAACACAAATATAACAGCTGTCTTTTTTTTAAAAAAAATATTTATCCAATTGGAAATTTCTAGACTAAGAATGATAATAATAGTGGTCAATATATTTATTTATTTTCTATAAAATACCGTATTTGGTTCTAGATCCGGTACTACCCGACCCGTGTGTGTGGGTAGGGTAAGGTAGGGGCGACCTACCCGAATCCAAGATGGTGGACAGGCAGGACTTGTAACATGATGATGAAAACAAAAGGCGTCAAAATCAAAAGTTTGGGGCTTTGGGAATTTGAATAGCGACTTTAGAAGAAAACGTTAGCCACGAAATGGTCCACCCTAAAAATGACACTGCCTTATCCGTTTCCCTTACTACCATTATTTATTTATTAATTTATTTATTTATTTATTCATAATATAATATATTATATACTCTTATCAGTCAATTTTGATAACTCTTTATTCATCTTGTCTCCATTCTTTGTTTCAAATCTTCTATTGTTTAATTAATATAGAATTTTATAAATGTCATAATGTTGAAAAACCTTTACCTTCAATCAAAGTTGCTGCTGTAGTGAAAAGCATGACAAGAATGTAATGATGGGAAAATGTGCACACGTGTGCTTTTCTTTCATGTGTGTGAATTCTTTGCTGTGACGCTTTCTTTATAGTTTAGTTTGTTTACATTATTACTATATGAAAAGTTTGAACGGACCCAATGATTTTGACGGAAAGATTGTGACCTTTTCTAGGTCATAAATAAATGGGCTTTGAAGCCCATCAGATATCGGGCTTGTGGCCCATATAGGGTAAAGATCCTGGACCAGAAATCCGGGGCGCTAGAGAAAAGGGTTTGGAGTCCTGGACCTCACACGACACGTCATATTTGTACGGTTGGACTAATTGTATGACAGTAATTGAAATGCTCATATTCAATGGTACCTACCGCTTTTTAGCAGGAACATTAATTAGAGAGTAACGGATTAATGCTTCCGAATCGGTATGTTTTTTCCTGACAATAGAAACATGTTAAACGCATTTTTTAGAAAAATAAAAATCAATTTTTTTATATATTTTTTTATTTTTCACTTCTCTTGGGAAGCAATCATTATGGTTTTTTTTTTTTTAAAAAATAAATAAATAAATAAATAAGATTTAATAATATATATAATTTTATAAAAAAATATAAAAATGAAAATAATAAAATGTTAAAAAATTATATATAAAAAAATATATTTTTTACTCTCATTCGCTTGCTTAGTCCAAGAAATGCAGTGTTAGAACTTTACAATTAGGGGAGCGTTTAGTATAGAGAATGAATGAATTATTTATAGAGAACAGTTGAGAAATGCAAAAATGATTGGCTATGTCAATTGATCGAATAAGAATAAATAATTAATCGGATAAGAAAGAGTTTTTTCGAGTGAGAATTCATGAAAAAATATTTTTGGTAATTTTTTTTAAATAAATTATAAATTCCGTATGAGTTTTCTAAGATTATATGTTAGTACATTTTTTTTAAAAAATAGTAAAAATTAATTTCTTAAAATAATAATTAATATGATTTATTTTTCAATTTCTTTTTTTTTTTTTCGACTTAAACAAACAAGAGAAATAAAAATATTTTCATTTATCTCCTATCATTTCTAGGTATCAAACTATCACCAGGGTTTTTTTTTGTTCCAATCTAAGGGCTATTTGAGATGGGCCATTTGAGATTTTATAGTAAAATAATTTTTTTAATATATATATTTTTATTAAAAACAAAGCAAATTAATTTAACTCTGTACTCAATCAAACAACATCGTACATCAAACTATGCCTTCTGTATGTGATGAAGTAAATGTTGCAATTATTAACAATATTCTTAAATAGACAGTTTTATTAACATGATATTTTTTGTACTGAAAATTTATATATTTTGTATATGAAACCATAATATTGTATAGTAAAATAAAAATAACAAAAACAGAAAAAAATCCTCCCAAATGATAATAAATTTATATTGTGTAATATGAGTATGAACAGTTGTATATATATATATATATATATAGCTGTACAACCAGGTGAAAGCACACAACTGGTGGATGCTTGAAATGCAGCATTGGCAAATTCATGAAAAACATTTGACGCCAAATTTGGTCCCATTGGATCAAATTTATGATCCTATGCTAGAATCTATGCAAAGAAAACATCCAACATTATTACTAATTTTATTATTTTATTTGATTACTAAAATTGTGTAAGAACAACAGCAACAACAGTCTGAAAAGCCAAGTGTGTACATTGCCCTGGTTAGAGAGAGAGAGAGAGAGAGAGAGAGAGTAAATTTTATTTTTCAATTTAATTTTAAGCAGGTAACAAGTTAAATTGGGACTGAAAGTATAAGATGGATGTGGATAGTTGAGGTCGAAATTTTGGAGAAACAAATGTCACCACCATTTCATGTAATAATAAATTTGGAACAACTTATTTTATGGCTGCATACAGCGGGTGAGGGAAAGGAAGGAGGGACCTCTCTACACTGGGTACCTAGTAATAATATACATATAGATATGACCCATTCTCATTTATTTATTTTTATTTTCTTAAAATATATATATATGGTGACAATGATATTACAATAGCTAGCCTTTCACTTCTTACAAGTAAATCCAAGCATGTGTAAGTAATACTCCCTCCGTGCCGCCTATCATGTCTACATTGTTGTTTCTATCCGTCCTACGTCCCATGTCACTTTCTTTTTTTGAAAAATGATTATACGCTTTAATTTCATTTTAAACTTTTTATTTTTTTTATTTTAATTAAACTAATTAGTTATCTTAACCTTAATCCATAATTATTTATATTATAGGATAATTATTTTCACTAATACATTATTAATTATCTACTAATTATACTTATCATAAATTTCCATATCTACAGTGACTCAGACATCCGACGTGGGACGAAAGAAGTATATATAGGTCTATATATTTCTGACATTGAAACTAAAGTAAAAGCAGTGTTATTAATATTGCATATCTGAAAAGAATTAATTAATAAGCAAGAGATGACTTAAGAAGATCTGAGAGGGGCCTGGTCTTGTAATTATTTTGATACAATATTTTCCTAAATTGTACTAACATATAGATGTAAGTATTATTGATGGATGGTCCCGGGAATTTGATGGTTGGATTGTGAATGTTGTCAGTTCTCTCCATAATAGTGATGACGATCGACAGCAGTGGATTAGAGAATAAATATGTAGTAGATCGATTATACTAAATATATATAATAATATATAACCGATCTACTATATGAAAAGTGAAATTAATAATAAACACTAAGATTTAGATAATACTATAATATAATTAACAATATATACCTTCTTAGAAAATATAAGCATTTATTTTTTAATATATATAAAAAAATTATATTCATTTGTTTTAAAGAGATATAAAAATATAATATTTTGAGTATAACTGAATACTCTTCGTTCTTTTAAATTTATGTTCATTTGAATTGGAAATGAATTATAATAAATATTATATTATTTTGCTTGATTGAAACTAAAAAAATGAAAAACAGAAAAAATTTGTGATAAATTGAATATATAAATAGTAACGACATATTTATAAATAAATGTAATATTGAAAATTATAGAATTATGTAACAGTTATTTGTGAAATATATATATTTTTATAGGAAAAAATAGAAAAAATAAGTATAAATTTGATGAAAAGATAGAGTAATATGTTATACTTCATTTTCATCTATTGCACTCCAAAATATCTTTTTCAGATTTTGTAATATATTAAAAAATAATAATATTTTTTGATTAATGAAAGTGCGTGAGAAGTTTTGATATATTTATTTATTTTATTTTATATATAAAATAATTGTACTTGTAATAATTTGTAGATAAAAATTAAAGATTTTTTGATATTACCGTATAATTACTTTTATTTTAAGTGGACAAATAAAAATAGTAAAAAAGGAAGAACAAAGATAATATCTTATGCAACATAAGTCGAAATTATTATGCAAATCAAATTCAAAATGAAAGAAAAAAAAGCCCCAATTATAATTTGTAACTAAAAGAAATGTTTTAAGAATACAATGTCAAACAAATATAGCAAAAATCTGTCTTCCTCACCCACGACCACGAGTCCTCGAGCTCTCAAGTATTAGGCATCTGAGAGATGTTAAAGCAGAGACAGAAGCAGATTTAATTGAAGATCCCGGGATCCCGAACACCATATAGATCCATACAGCAAACTTTGCTGGGGTCCAGATGCAAGATCCGGGAGTTTGAAAGATATATCAATCTGATGTTTGGGATTCAGTGTAGTGTTAAGAATTAAGGAAAGGATCTAGCTATATATTTGCAGCTCCCGTCAGTATCCCCGTCCGTAGTATACACATTTTCCATAATCTGACAGACTTACAACTTCCTATCTGGGAAAAAAGGAGAGAAGATAACGTAACCCTAAAAAATGGGAAGCCATGAGTTGCAGAAGATGAAAGTGATCAAGAAAGGTCCCTGGACTCCCGACGAAGACCACAAGCTTCTCTCTTACATTAATCACCACGGCCATGGAAGCTGGACTGCTCTGCCTGCTAAAGCTGGTTCGTGCGTATACACATACTATTTCTATTTCTACGTAAGATGATCAAGAAAGAAATTTCACGTGGGAGATCGAATAATCGAATCGAATTGAGCAGGGCTTCAGAGGTGTGGCAAGAGCTGCAGATTGAGGTGGAAAAACTATCTCAGACCAGACATTAAACGAGGAGAATTCAGCTCCAAGGAGGACCAGGACATCATACGACTCCATGCCCTTTTAGGCAACAGGTAACTAACTAACAATGTCGTGTCAACAGAATTACCCTGGCAGTAATATCTTCTATTAATTTATTAATTAATTGATTTTGGTCTAATCTTAGGTGGTCTGCAATCGCCACACTTTTACCCAACAGAACTGACAATGACATCAAGAATTACTGGAACAGTCGCCTCAAGAAGCTCCTGACCCGAATGGGAGTCGACCCGGTTACCCACAAACCCAAATACCCGCCCGAATCCAAACATGCTGCACTCGTTAGCCACTTGGCGCAATGGGAGGCTGCCCGGCTCCAAGCCGAAGCTCGAGCCTGCAAACCCCAAATCACCATTCCGGCGCCGCCTCCGCCGCCGCCGCCGTGTCTGGACGTGCTGAAGGTGTGGCAAGCCACCGCCTCCAGCAACAGCTTCTTCGACGGGTTTCCATCTGGGACCCTGGAGTCCCGGACTTCTGCACACAATTTGTCCCTTCCGGCGAACGGCGTCGTATCGACGAACAGTTTCGAGTTGGGGGAAAAGGGTATAATGGAGAATTCGCTTCATCTTGATCAGTGCTTCAGTATTCTGCAGGCTTCGACGGATCATCTGCAGGTTTATGACACGACGAAGGGTGGCCACGAAGGAGAATTATTCGAGGATAATAAGGATTACTGGGACAAGCTGTTCGATCTCGTGAATCCGGCGGCGGGCTCGCCGGTATTCTAGATCGGAATAGTGGTACGACGTCGTTTTGAGCGCTTCATGGATTATTATCAGGCCCAAAACTAGGTTTTGATGGACTGGGCCGAATCAATATAGGCCCAAATCATAATAATGATCCAGAAGTTAGTATTCCAAACTTGTGGCTGTGATTAACCGTTGTGGGATTCTCTGAAATCTGAGCCCTACATCTGAATCAGTCTTGGATCAATCAAATTCTCAATCCCGATGGCAGACTTTCATTTCACTCCAGCTGCAAAAATAAATAAAATAAAATGAACATATATAAACTGGTTCGTTGGTTAATATCACTTACAAAAACAAGAAATGATTAGTTATATATATTACCTATTTAGATATTAAATAAAATTAATTACATTAAACTTAAAAAAAAAAAACCCATTACTTTTTAGTAAGCAAGCATGCACGTTATGTTTTCTTATATTACAAGTTATATTTATTATTGCATGTACCATTTTATACAATATGTTTGGTTTATATTTTATACAATATATTTTTTAATTAGTATAATTTTTGATAAAAATATATTATTATCATTATTATTTTGTAACAAATATTATATTAAAAAATTATTTAAATCAAAATTCTAAATTTTAAATTCAAACCAAGCACAAAAATTTGTTTAGACAATAACTTTGGAATTTGGCACTATTTTAATTTTTTAGTGAAAATATTTTGTTAAATACCTTTTTTTTTCTCATAAATATCACATTAAATACTAGTCATATTTAGTTTTATAACTCTAAAAATTTCAAAACTCTCTTGTCTAAATGAAATTTATTTTTTTAAGTCAATAAAATAGTACATGTACTACAATTGGAATGGCGTTAGCTAGTGGCTATGATTGGTCCTCACTCACGCACGTTCTAAAAATCAATAAATATTAGTATTATTTCTGTCCCAAAATTAATAATTCAATAGGCTTATAATATTTATACATACATACAGATATATGTGGTGTTCTACCATAAGCTAAAGGCATTAGTGATATGTGTGTCTGAATTAAATTGTTGGCCATTAAGTAAAGTAGTGTTGATAATAATAATAATAATAATAATAATAATAATAATAATAATAATAATAATAATAATAATAATAATAATAGTAATTGGTGGGTGCTTGATTACTAAGTTTGTATAGATATAAGTTTAATGATATGTAGATTGGAGTTAGTGTTTTTGCTTTACAACTTTCTGATGGTGAAAAGGGCTCTCATTATTTAACTTTATTTTGCTTTCCTATATATATAAGTGACGCAAAAGTTGCAGTCTTTTTAGCACATTCACTTTTCTTTATCTTTAAAATATGAAAATGAGAACGAAAATTAGCTAGTTTTGTGTAATTTTGTTGCTTATTTTAGGAGATTGGTGTTTTTGCATGCATAAACACTTTTGAAATTTCTGATGTATTATTTATCTATAATAATTTTTATTTTTTTTAAAAAAAATCTATATTATTCAATTATTATTATTTGCATGCAAAAAATTTCAAAACTTCTAAAACTCCTATTTAAAAGTAGATGAGTGTAATTTTAAATGATTTTATTTTATTTTATTTTTTGTCAATATATCTGTTAGTAGAAAATACTTATATACCTTAATATGTTAAATTTAAAATAAATGTTAATGTATGTTTTTAAAATTAACATTAAATAGAATGGATGTGAGTTTTTAAATATGTAAGTAAACAAATTCAAAGTGGGGGATGTATTATGGGGGCAAGGGTGAACAGAAGCCTCCACCCCTAGCCCCCAAATTTTTCTATATATTTTTTTTCAATGTTATAAAGAAATTTTTATATATTTATACTCTAAGTATAAAGTTATTATCTTATTTGTTATTGCTGTGTCAAGAAAATATAAACACTACAAAAAAAATAGTATATTTGTAACGAAATTTTCTTCTTAAAGTTCACACAACTAACGTAATTCTATCTCTAATTCCGTCTCTAATATCATTAGTAACAGAAAAAGTGAATTTAGAAACGAAAAAATCTCGTTACAAAATTGATAATTTCTTATAGTGAAAATGGTGAGGTCGGAGTGAATCGGCATTTTGCTCTACAAAGTTCGAAAGCTAGCTGGTAAATAAATAATTGTTACACCTAAATAATATAAAAATTGGGAAACATGAAAGAAATTTACTCAAGATCGTTCATTGGACTTGGCTTGTCATACCTAAAAAAACTTATAATAATAATATTATATATATATATATATGTACTATTTATTTAGGAACAATCCTTTTCAACTAAAGCAATTATAATTAAAAAAAAGAAATATTAATAATCATGCAGGAGCAGGCAACACTCCAGCCAATATTATATTAATTAATATCATTATATTGTCTGTGCTTTTTACACGTACTACTGGCTGGAAATTAATTAAACTAATCTCTACCATACACACACTAATATTAATAATAATGACAGGTTGAAAATTAATTCTTTTAATTCACTCACTCATCTCTGCCACTGGTGGTGATGAAGCAGGAGACGACATGCATATATATATATATATATAAATATATATACACATATAGATACCTCAATTAAGGGCTAGCTGGCAAAATCAGGGTTAAATTAAATCATTAAATTTATTTTAAAATTAAATTAAATATTATTCATTATATATAGTTAGAGTGTCACCAACCATAATTATATAGATGCTTCCCTAGAGGTTCCTTCACAATTTACAGCCACAAATTGGCCAAATAACAAAAAAATATTAATATTTCTTTTATATATAATTATTGAAGTTACTTATTCATAAGAATAATGTAATTACCACTAATTACTTCTATTATTAAATAAATACATCATATACTAAAAAATTAAATGAGAGAAATCGTTGTTATATATTAAGTTTGACGAAATCACTCACTTTGTCTCAGAAATATACGAAATTTTTAAATATATATAATATAATACAACTATACAAGAAATAATTTACATATATAGGTGCATAATTAATTTACTGTCAAATGATATATATAGTCGGCAAGAAAATTGACTTTTGGTGGTCAATAGTCATGCATGTATACGTATAAATACATGTATATATATGTATGTATGTATATACTTAATTAATCTACAGTGTAATAAAAATTATTGAATAGCGTATCTATATATTGAAATAGAATTGTTGCTGAAAATAATAAAGAACAACGATTTTTTTTTAAGGAAGTAAATAATCGTATATGTTAATCCATGCCCAATTTGATTATTTTTAAGGAAATAAATTTCAAAATTTTATCTTAATTTTGACTTTAGCCATGAAAAGAATAACGATTTTTTTACAAAAACTTTTAATCCTAACTTATTAATTAAATAAACAAATGTGCATGAAGCGAAGCCACAGCCAGAGGCAGTCACTTTACGCCAACAACGTGTACGGCTTAGATTCAATCAATGCCAAAAATATCAACGGTCAGCATGGCGACAGCAACTACAGCGCAATCGGACGGCCAGGATGAGATTGGCGGCTGCCGCCCTACGCCGTTTAATATTAGGACGGAATCAGAAGTCAGGGATTCGAAATTCTTGCATCAGCCGACCGTCTGCCATTGTCGGTTAATTAGCCGTAGAAATATCTCCCTCGCCTAGCGACCACATTTTAATATTAATATTATAATATTTTTCATTAAAAAAAGTTGGTTTCTCTGATACAGCCGATGCAGGATTGTCGTCGTCCTTCTATATAAGAAACGTATATATCCATGGAAGAAGAAGCTTCAAGAAAGTAGCTTTTCTTCAAGATTTCTAATTACATCTATCATACAATATGATTGATCCTTCTTACCTGGTCCTGATTGTATGTATTTAATATACAGTGCGTGGTTGTAAGAGTATAATTAGTTGCCGGAAAATTAAAGCATTAATTCTCCGATGGAGGCAGTTCCGATGAATGGATCGTGGGATCAATCAATTTCTTCATACCAATCCCCAATTGGAAACCCTAGAAAACCTCACCACTATCCCTTCTATTCAATTTCAAACCCTACTGAGAATAATAATTACTTTCCAATCCCCTCTCATTTCCAGACGACAGTAGGCTTTCTTCAACCGCCGGCGCCGGCGCCGCCGCCATTTCTCTCCCACTCATATCCTCCTTACTCGTCGCAGCCACCGCTGCTGCCTCTGCCCGCCTCCGCTCCGCTCCGCCGAGCCCCCAGCCGGAGCTTCTCAGGCCCTCCTTCCAGTAATAAAAAACCCAACAACAACTCCAGAATCATCAAAGACTCTAATTCTCTCAATTCCAAGAAAACATCAAAGCCTCTCCCGAAGAAATTCTCTGAACAATCTTCTATTTCTAAGAGCCTCAGTACTGTTTCATCGGCAAATAATTTCCACAAAGAACAGCCCAAAAATGTCCCAAAAGTTTTGCCTTTGATCAGCTCATCAGGTAGCCGTAGTACAAACACTAACCCTAATAATTGTAATAACAGTTCAAGATTTTCTCCTGATAAAGAATCGGGAGGCAATCGATCTCCTCATAACGTAGCCATGTTTTCCGGTTCGGCGGCGTTTACAATCTCGTCGCCGCCGCCGAGCAGCTTGCCTCTGCCCAGTTTTTCATTGAGGCCAAAGCTCAGCTGCAACGCGGAGGCGGCGGATACCGGATCAGCCACAGATGATCTCCGGCGACTTCTTCAGCTCCGGTGATCGATCTACTCAAGTTTAGTTTGGAAACAATAAAGAATGCAGATATGAGCATCGAAGGTGGGGATTAAATATCGTCCTCCCATATATATCTATGCTTGGGAAATTAAAAGTTCTACTACTACCACAATCTCTATCATCTCTCCTCCATTTTCGAATTTCTTGATATGCTAGCCAGTACGTAAATTAATGATTTATTGTGATTGCCTCGTGTGTTTTTGTAATGAGGGTGCACAATAAATCTGTTCTTGTGTAATGTTGAAAAGATTAAATTAAGATTGCAAGAATTTGTCATATATTGCTTCAGGTGGGCTGTGTTGGATTGATGAAAATTGTGCTGTAATGAATGACACCTATGGCTTGCATTTTAATTACAATCCAATGGAGCAGATTATTAACATGTAGAAGATATTAAAATTAAAATCAAGATTAGGGTTTACGCCAGCCCAATAGCCATATGCCTTTTGTTTTCTATTAGGCCCTGAGGACACATTTTATTTACGTGCAAGCTTAAACTTTCCAACTCATTAATTAGGGTTAGTGAGGGTAACCCAATCTGTTAATAAATGGCTTTTTTTTTTTTAATTGGATTGCGTCTTAATTCAAGCAACCAACAAACTTAATTAGGCATCATTTTCCTCCTCGAAAAAATTATTCTTTCAAGGGATGTGCCGTGGCTTGTTGATAATATAGGATAACAAACCCTGTGGTGTTGGGACCATTACATCAATGAATGCTGTGTATTTATAATACGATATGGGATGATAATGGAGGCCATGCCATTGAATAGAAGAATATAGAATGGGCATGGAATCTCGATCTTAAAGTCATATGTATGTATGTATGTAATGCCATCAAGAACTTCAATTTGGGATTGGGCATTTGGTATATATGATAAATCAAGAATTGAAAGTAGGTAGGAGGTTGGTCACCCAATGCACATGGGGCTTTGGATTTAAGCTCCCCACTCCCCATGTGATTTACTTACTTCGTTAATGGAGATTATCACTCGCAAAAAAAGGAAAAAAATCTGTCCTTTTTGTCCTTGATTAATCCCCAATTCCACCCAATTTTCTCTTTATTCAATTTGTCGACTTTATTTTAAAAAAGACATCCCCTTTCACAAGTCAAATTTTGTAGCACAATTCTCCTTCGGAAGTGCAGCCCCACGTTCGCCCTATCCACCCCCCCAACCCAGAAAAAGAATTTTAGGACTGTTTTAGGGGAAATAGCTGTCATAAAGTGGACCCTTTTTGCCAGCAGCATTGCAACTGTCTTCTCCGAGTTGTGGGTTGCAGGTGAATTGTGGAATTTGAGCTGTGCTGCGAAATTCTTTGAAGGGGTAGTTTGTTTTCTTGATGTTGTTTTGGGCACATATCCCATCTGATTAAAGAATTGTTCTTCGTCTTCTTTAGGGGCATTGAAATTAAGTGGGAAAGGAGGAATTGAAGAAGAATCTTGGCTGGAAATGAGTGCGACGAGGTTCATAAAATGTGTGACGGTCGGCGATGGAGCTGTCGGGAAAACTTGCATGCTGATTTCTTACACCAGCAACACATTTCCTACGGTCAGTTAATCAATTAGCATATTCAAATGATAATTTTCCCCCAATTTCATTTTGAAGATTGTTTCAATAATTAGGGTGTTTTCGATTTCCTGCTGATTTATTGTTCCTATTATGGCCTCATCGTCTTGGAATCTCTGTTGTTGTATTGACTTTGATGGAAGAGTAGAATTAGGCTGATTTGTTGAATAGATATTGAGGATGAGTTCTTCATATGTAATAAGGAACCTTCCTTGGTTATCTATCAAGAATTCCTTTATGTAAAATGTCAACATGTTTCTTGATTCCAAAAGCTAAATCCTTGAGCAGAGCAGTTGGGGTTCTTGAGTTCATAGTCTTTGTTCTTGCAAGAACTTGCCTCAAATTAGAGTTTTGTATCATGCTCTGTTCTTGCTTCAACACTAAGTGTATTTTCAACTAATTAAGACATGTTTTATAAACCCTTCTAGACCTCTAATATGTACTTCCACACTTAAATCACCGCAGGATTATGTTCCAACTGTCTTCGATAACTTCAGTGCTAATGTCGTGGTGGATGGCAGCACCGTCAATCTAGGATTGTGGGATACTGCTGGTAGATCCTTCTTTCGGCCTCTGTTTCATCTAGAAGTGGCAAAACTATTCTTAATCCCAGTTAACATCATGATTCAGGTCAAGAAGATTACAATAGATTAAGACCCTTAAGCTACCGGGGAGCAGATGTTTTCCTTCTCGCATTTTCTCTCATCAGCAAGGCCAGCTACGAAAATATTGCAAAGAAGGTTATAATTTTTTGTGGCTTTTGGGAAGTCCCCACATATCTTTGATTTCCATTTCACAAGCTGACGCTGCCTTGGTTGTTATTCGGTGGTTTCTAGTGGGTTCCGGAGTTGAGGCATTACGCCCCAGGTGTTCCAATAATACTAGTAGGGACAAAGCTCGGTATGATACAATTTTATTCTGTAAATCAATATGATCTTTTATTAAGAAGGAGTCAAATCCACACCGTATGCATGTTTCTTTTATCCGGGTCTCACGTATGTTTAATTAAACAAACAGATCTGCGCGATGATAAGCAATTCTTTATTGATCATCCGGGGGCAGTTCCAATTACTACAGCTCAGGTAAGAAGGGATGCTGATATCATATTAAAAACTCCTTATTGCAATCTTGTTTTTAGGACTTTTCCCCCTAATATTTATTTAGGGAGAGGAACTAAAGAAGCTGATTGGAGCTCCTGTATACATTGAGTGCAGTTCAAAAACACAACAGGTATGTGTTTGGTTTGGTTTGGTTTGGTTGGGTCAGTGTCGCGTAACTTATAGTAGTATTTTGTGGCTTATTGCATTGTGTTGTTGTTGTTGTAGAATGTTAAGGCAGTATTCGATGCAGCTATTAAGATTGTGTTGCAACCACCTAAGCAAAAGAAGAAGAAAAAGAAAGGGCAGAGAAGCTGCTCTATTTTGTAACGTAGGTTCCTCTATCTGTGTTGTAAGTAGATGGAGGGAGGCCTTCAAGGTGTGTTGAGCATATGACTAAGAAGTAGGTTTCCTTTCATTGTGTTATCTATCTCTTTTCATTTCCATGTACTTGCAGAGGATGATGTGATTGTAATTTCTACCTAGTGTTCATTAATATCCTTGAATCTTGTCTGCTGTCTGTGTGATGTGACAATCTCTTTTGAGGGTTGAGATTGTTCTGCTATCATGGTTTTTCAAGTGTCCCAGAAAAGAAGGGGAAATGTTAAGGTTTTATTGAATTATATCCAAAGCAACAAAGTCACTTGCAATAAAAAAGCCACTAGTACTGATTCTGTACCTATTAGCAAATGAGATTAAGAAAAGAGGATTTGTCTCAAGTATACAGCCCATAACATGGGATTACAATTCTTCCAATCATGGTTTAACTGTAAAGAATAGGCAGTATCAAACTCGAGCGACAACATTTTGTGCGCCGGGGCAGAATGGCTGGATAATATCTCAGTTGTGCATCTTCAGCGCAAGTTTGCAGCCATTCGGATAAGATCTGGAGGCATTACCTTTGCTCCATGCAATCAGTAAAATTGGTTCACTTTGCTTCATCAAGCATCTCCTCCCATCGACAAAAATGATATCGGGTGGAGAGGCATAATAAACACTTGTCCAGGAAGGAAGCAGGGAGTCATGGCCAGTAGCAATACAGATCACTGCTCTCAATTCGCCTTCGTGCAACCTCAAAAAGGAACTGTGTAAGGCAATGCGTACACATCAACTTCTTGCAAGTAATGTGCCCGGGGCCATAATGTCTGGCTGCCAGAAGAAGGCATTCTAACATTTCGAGATATCTTTTTTATATTGGTATTTCTGTCCTGATTTTTTCTCTGGAAGAGCCAATCTTGATCATCAGGGAGGGATGCAGCCTCCGGCAGTAGAGGCAGAGTCAGGTTCTCAAATAGATTCTTATATTCCAACTCCATCTTCTGCATTGGAGTCATAATCACACTCTTCGTCAGTGGAACTGCTGGCTTAGTTTGCTGGGAAGTTGATTGAATCTTTTCTCCATCAATTCTATGAGCACTGCTCTGGCTGATTTTGCGGGGTGGAACTGCTGGCTTAATTTGCTGGGAAGTTGATTGCATCTTTTCTCCATCAATTCTATGACCACTGCTCTGGCTGATTCTGCCGGGTGGAACTGCTGGCTTAATTTGCTGGGAAGTTGATTGCATCTTGTCTCCATCAATTCTATGAGCACTGCTCTGGCTGATTTTGCGGGGTGGAACTGCTGGCTTAATTTGCTGGGAAGTTGATTGCATCTTTTCTCCATCAATTCTATGACCATTGCTCTGGCTGATTTTGCCGGGTGGAACTGCTGGCTTAATTTGCTGGGAAGTCGATTGCATCTTGTCTCCATCAATTCTATGAGCCCTGCCTAGGCTGATTTTGCTGGGTGGAACTGCTGGCTTAATTTGCTGGGAAGTTGATTGCATCTTTTCTCCATCAATTCTATGAGCACTGCTCTGGCTGATTCTGCGGGGTTCATTTGACGTGCTGCAAGAATACTGCCTCGGGTGCATGAGATCAACATCATTTTTATGTTGAGAAACAGACGGTATCCTTCCAGATGTAGAAGGGAGCTGTTGTTTGATTGAAGCACTGGAATCATCTGGTTTCTTTGTCAACCTTATTCTGATGATCTTACCTATTTTATTGAAAATAAGAAGCCACTTAAAGCACCAGATGAAATCCAGGAGAATATAATTCCTGGGGGAAAGCCACCTTACCACGTTTGCAGTTGACATCCTCAGGTGAGCATTGCCTCTTTCTTTTGTTGTTGCTATTCTCTGTGCTATCGGAGGAACAGCTGGGAGGATTCACACGTGCTGCATACCCATGATCTTCAGTCAAGGTGCTTCGCTCCAACTGCTCTGGCTCAGGTTCACATTCCTTGTGGAGAAGTTTACTTTTATTATTTGCCCATAACTTCTCACCAATGTGGCCATGGACAATATCAGCTTTGTCAAGGTTCTGATGTGCTTTGGCTTTTGCCCCCTTCCTCTCTTTCTTCTCTTGTTTCTTTTCCGGCTTCCTTTGTTTCTTTTCTTTGGCCTTGCCTCTTTCTTTTTGGAGCTTTAGTCCACGACATTAACAAGTTTTAGAAACAGGATAGGACAGGAAAATGGACATCAGACAAGGACACAAACATATATTTAAAATCTTCTCCCTTAATATTGGGATCAGTACCAAATCAGAACCTACACCCAAGATCACCACGTATTCCAACTTCCCTAGTGATAATTCACAGTTACACACACACAAATATACATATAGAGACAAGCAATTTTCCTTTCATCACAAATCCAGCACAAGCAATCACCCTTGATCACAAAATCCAAAAAGATACAAAACACAGTGCACATATAGGGTGTGTTTGTTTGAGGGTTTGGATTTTGAATTGGGATTTGAATAGTAAAAATTTTACTATACAAAACAAGATTGAATAGTTGAAATCCAAACAAATTTGCTAATAAAACAGGAAAAACACATTTTTAATCCAAGTCAAGGCTCATGAGGCTTTAAGCATCCACTGATCCATGCATAAATACAGTGTATGAAAATGTTAGAAATCACATCCTTTCTCATTTTGGGCAGAGAGAAGAGAAAACATAACTTGGTGGCAGTAATAACTCAGCTAGTGTAGCCAGGCAGATTTTGGCATTAGAAAACATTGGCTAAAAATATGATATTGGTGATCATGTCTAAACAAGTTCTTTGCAGTTTGGATGCAAATAGTACATTTACATTATTTTAGCAAAGCAGGGTCAGTTGTCCACTTTTCGTTTCAAATAATAATTAAAACTAAAACAAACTTGATTGAAACAAAAAATCATTCCTTGAGAAAATATACAATGAAATCAAGCTAAGCGGACCCTAACAACCCGCACAAAATCAGCTGCACTAACAAAATTGGATCCTGCTGTTTAACAGGGCATTTTGTGCCTGAGGACTAAAAACATAACAATAATAATAATAATAATAACTTAAGCAGCATTACTTCCTCTCATGCATTCTTTCGAACATTCCCCATGGGCTGTAACACAAAAAACAGCATATGCGTGGAGTTCAAGTGCAGATCATTTTACAAGCTTTACCACTCAAATATTTCATGCATAGAAAACATTATGGAATTCCTTTCATCACATGTCCTTATCTTTCATTCACGCATGAAATCTACTGGACTATGCAGCCTCAAGCAACTTCCAGAATCTACTAAAAGCTTCCTAACCCGGCACCTTCAAAAGCCCACTTAGGGGAATGTTCCAATGCAAAAACATTATTTGATCCTCTATACCATTCATCCTTTCCCAAACTATCCAAATCCATAACTAAATACTGGCTTTTCCTCAGAACGAGGCTTGGCTAAGAAACCGCACACACAGAAAGAATTAGAACTTAAGAGCTAAACCTCAATCGTTCTTTTAAACAAAATGAAAATATCAGAATCGTTCTACAGAACCTAATACAGCCAACAAATCAAGAATTTACGGTCCCCTGAACCATAGATCTTAGGCCGTTGCCACAAACACATCCCTTAAGGTACCGGAGGAAACCAAACAAGTAGTCTTGATTTGGTAATATCATGATAAAGAAAACTAGATTGTCGTCGTTTATTTTGAAATCACAAGGCCTACCAATACAACAAATAAAAATCCACTACACGCCCATTAATTCACATCGACGAGGATTCACGCTCATACATAATTCAATCAACGAGCTCTATTCAACGAACCTTAATCGATTCGATCAAGGCCTCATTGTTGGCTCTGTTCAGTGTATACACGGGTGGTGGGTACGGAAAGCACCGAGACATCCTCAAAATCGTATCGAAGATTACCCGACAAGCCTATGAAAGTCCCACTACTTGGCAAGAAAAGATCGGTATTTCGTATTAAGGATGACACGCTTCCTATCGCGTTGCAGATCTACGCAGACGAGAATAGGGCCTGCGCGTTTAGGGTTTCGTCGTTGGGGAGAGGAAATTTTCAATTCCTCAATCGAACACCGATAACTCAATAATGAATATGGAAGTACCAATTGGGGTGTTTATATAGGCCGGGATGACCGACGTTGTTCTGTGAATTTCCAAATTTGCCCTCACAGGGTCGGGTAATTTTTGGAAGGGTCCCAGATTATTTATTAATGATAATGGAAAGTGAATCGTTTTCTGAAATAAAATAATCTTAGGTGTGTTTGTTAACGAAATTTTAACAAATTTTTACTATTCACTTTAAAAAATATATTAAATTAAATGTCTCTTTTTTTATTTTTTTTATATATTATATACTTACAAAAATATATACAATTATTCAAATTCAAACCTTAAATTAGAATATAAATTCCCAAACAAACACACCTTCGTATATTAAAAATGAACATATAGTACTAGTTGATTATAAAATACTTATGGCATATTTTTTATCATAATTTTTTCGTTGGAGCAATATAAAAGGTATTTTATCTCATCGCAATACTTAATAAAACTTTCCTAATTTATTCACTTCCAATAAAAATCATAATTCAAATTACCGTGGGTTTGTTTGTTATTTTTTTTTCTCTAAATCAAAGTTATTATATTTGTAACAGGTTGGATGGTTCCTCCTCGAACACCTTCCCGTCGGTCTAGACCTAGTGATTCTTCGACTCCTTCGAGAACTCGCTAGTGCAGCCTCGCACACACTCTAATACATGCTAAAAATAAGAACATTATAAGATGTACTCGGCAAAGAAGAGTGTTTTATTGATTCAAAACTGGAGTGTAGTACAAGTGAGACACTCTATCATAGATACGCTAAATCTTAGCGAGATATGGATACGCCATATCTTATCAACCTACTGATATAGATATTTAAAGAGATATGGATAATGATATCTAAGTAAAGAAAAATATAAATTTAGTGGATAAATATCGACTCGGCTTCTAGAATGTTCCAGAGTAATCTAGAAAATTCCAGAACATGTCCAAGGATCTCCGCTAGCCTTTTTGTGTTCGCGTGCCGTAGCCCCTCCTCGACGCTCCTTTGCAGCTCCTTCGGCATTGCTCGGCCAAAGCTTTGGTCCGTGACAACATTACCTAGCTTTTGTTGTGGTGCAAATTCAAGTTCCACATTGAAAATTATGAAGAAAATTTTACATCTTATAACTCCCAAGTGAATTCCACTATTACGAAGCATTTTGGAGAATATAAAAAATAAATCCGTGCGGGCTTAGCCTAAAGCTATTGACCCAGTCCCCAAATTTGTTTAGTTTGGTTTTGTAACTTAAGTTTTAGTTTCAATCGTTGGAATTCTTGTTTTTTAGATCATTTTTAAAAAATAAAACATTTAGGGTGTGTTTGTTTGGAGGTAACATTTAGGGTGTGTTTGTTTGGAGGTTTGGATATGTAAAATTGATTTTTAGTATAATATAAAAAATAAAAAATAGGTGTTTGATTTGATTTTTTGGGAAAAAAAAAAGGGATGAATAGTGAAAAAATGTGAGTTTGATTTTTATTTAAATTTTGGGATGAGTTTGAATTTTGTTGTTTCTTTTGTGAATGGTAAATTTATGAATTGGATAGAAAAATCATTGAATAGATAATATATTAATAAAAATAAAGATAATATATATATATATATAAATGAAGTGAAATTTGAGTTTGGGTTTGGTTTTTATTTGAATTTTGGAATAAGTTTGAATTTTGTTGTTTCTTTTTGTTTGGGTTTGGTTGGAGTTTCGGGAGTTTCAATGAGTATTGATTTGATGGATAATGAATAAAATAATATAAAAATGTATATTAAATTTAATTGATAAAATTTATATTGTATAATTTGATTATAAATTTATATTATACCCTATATATATTTAAATTTTTATTTATTCGTATTATAAAAAATTCTATTTTCTACATAATGACATATATATATTGTATATATATCTTTTTACCTTATAATTATTATAAATATTTAAAAAAATTAAAAAAATAATAATACAAATGACAACTTTTGCTGCTATTTTGCAGCCAATATCGATGATGGGAAGCTGGCCGGGTTTGAAAAAAATACTGTGTAGAGGTCAGCCCTAAATATATATATATTTATATAATTTTCATAATTTTGTTTTAGAAAAAAAAAAAAGAAAAAGAAAAAGAAAAAGAAGAAAGCCTAAAACACACCGCCAAAAACTGAACCTGCAAATATATATATAATCTGCATAAAGGCTACTTTATCGCTTCCGTCATTCAGAAACAAAAAAATAAAAAACAAACCTGAAAACCCATTTAACTTAACACTAAAGGCACACAGATTCCTGTCCTCTTCATGCACATACATACACACATCTATACATATATATATATATCCATATCTAGCAGCAGCAGCAGCAGCAGCAGAAGCAGACTTCTGTTCTTGATGTAAGATATGTCATCTATCCAACCTACCCCACTCCACTCCACTCCACTTCTTCCCCTATATAATCCTAATTCTCTCTCGTCTTCCCTTCCCTGCAGGATTTCTTTCTTAGAAGGAATTAAGGCCACACCCAAACCCTCTTCTGATCGATTGCTCTCTCGTCTGCTACTGAATTTAAAGCATGAGCTCTGGATCCTTCTTCCTGCCCGACATCGATGGTGCTTGCTGGTTCGTGGCCACCGACGAAGAACTGCTAACTAATCATCTCCAGCAATTTCCTGTGGATATTTCTCCACACAACTCTCTGTTCCCTCAACTCCAAAGGCAGCGGGAGGATCTTGATGCTTTCATTCAGTTCGAGGTGAGGTAACCAAATCCAAATCCAAAGCCAGACCCTTTTGTTCCCCTTATATATAACGTTTGTGTCTCTGATTTCTTCTGAAACAGTGTAATAAATGGACGAGTGCGGTCCTGCAAGAATCGAGGCTGCAGCAAGAAATGATGAAGCAGAAATACGAGTCCGTAATCAGGAGCCTGAAGCAGCAGGAGGAGGAAGAGATGGCTATGGCGAGAAACAGATTGAAGGAGCTTCAGGAAGCGGTCACCGCAGCAGAAATGAAAGCCAGATATTGGGAACACATGGCCTGGGAGGAGCGCGCCATTTTTGCAGATCTGAGCAGGAAGATGATCAGCTCGAGAGGGAAAGAACAAGAAGAAGAAGAAGTCGATGACGACGATGCTTTGTCGTTTTGTGGGTCGTCTTCTTTTTCTGCTTCTTCCTCAGCAGCAGCAGCAGGAAAAGGTAATGGAAAAGAAAGGAAATGGAAGATTGTGGGTTGTAAATTGTGCCAAGCTAGAAGGGTGTGCGTGGTGTTCCTACCTTGCACACACCTCTGTTGCTGCAAGATCTGTGAGTCATTTCTGGGGCACTGTCCTATCTGTTTTACAGTGAAAGAAACCACTTTGGACGTCTCCCTCCATTAATAACCCTGCTCACTCACTGTACAAAAGAAACTTTTCACCTCAGCCATGCATGGGAATGGGAATGGGATTAATTAAAGAAGAAGGATCGATAGATAGATAGTACTGAAGTAAACCAGCTATCGTTTCAGTTCTTAGGGGTAGGGTAGGGTAGGGGTGGGGTAGGGGTGGGGTGGGGGTAGGGTACCTACGCATCATCATCCCAATCTTCCAATTAACCCAATCCCAACCCAACCCCACTTTTGACCAGTCCTTGTTTTAGGGGTTTAGTAGTTTTACTTTAGTGCAGTGATATCATGAATCACACTATTGTAGTATTATCCGACCCTACTCCTAGTCCTAGTCTAGTACCCTAATTGTTGTCTGTGTCTGATTGAGTTGAGGATCTTCAGACATATTTTTATTTATATATATATGTATGTATGTGTCTATTTGTGGGAGATGCAATGCAACTGACAGACAGACCCATAAAATCATTCCAATATGAATAGTAAAGAATCTTGGGTTGGGCAGTTGCTTCTGCTGCAGCTTTTGTTATTATTTCCAATATTTGTTTTGAATTGGGAGTTTTATGACATGTTTCCTGATTTAGATTACACCCCAGCTGATTTGATTTGATTTGATGTTACAATGGAATTGGGAGGCTTTTTATGAAACTGGCAGTAAAAGATTTTGAAGCCAGCCCAGAATGGCCATTTATATATTTATTTATTTTTTGATTTATAATAATAAATGAGTTTGTCCCAACTGCTGCCTGCTGCCTGCTGCCATTGCTCAGAATTCAGATTCATAATGCTCTTTGCGTGTGTGTACTGTACTACTGCTCTCCTCTCCTCTCAAATAAATATTGGATGGATATCATATATAATTAAACGCTACAATATTGATGAAAATAAATAGGCAAGTCTATGCTAACAATAAAATAATAATAACAATAAAAAGATTAGTTATTAAAAATTGATTATCAATATTTTAATATACTCCTCCTATTATTGATCATTAAATGTAATTATTTGAAATAGGTTAGAAATCTCTTAGCCTTATTTAGGACCATAATAAATAAATAATTCAAAACAGAATCCAGATCCAATCATCTTCTGCATCGCCTTATTTATGCCTTGTGCTCCATATATATATGGCAAAATTAGCTGTCGAAGAAGAAGATAAGAAGCCCTAATCTTTTGATTTTCGTCTGCAATTATACTCTCCAACATCTCCATCGTTGATTATTCAGATCAGATTCGCAAGGAAAGCCTGTGCGTGAAAATTCCGTCTACTCTGTGGCGCACTGAAAGAAATCGATCACCGATCGCCGGAATATTCTCTAGTTCGCCGAAAATATGCAAAATCCAGATTACACTTCTCCGGTATATTACCAGATGCAGAACTACCCGCAGCTCTACAGCTCGAATCCGAATCCGAATCCAGATACGAACGAAGCACTTAACCACGCGCCGCCGTATTATGCTTCTGCGCCGCCGTACTCTCCCAGCGGTCACACGCCTTATTCACCTTCCCCCGCCGATTTTACCACCGCGTATTCCTCGTCTTACCCTTCATTTAACCCGACGCCGGAGCCCGTCCCGACTGTGCCTTCGTATTCTCAGCCTCAATCGTCCTACCCTCTCTCCCAATTCGAAGTTCATGGACCCTCATCCCAAGCCCAAGGTCAATTTCCAGTTCAATCGTCGTCCTACAACCGGTCGTATGATGAGCCGGCCCCCAATTACACTCCGAACCCTGACCCTAGTCTCGTTCCCCACAATTCACGTTACCCCTCAATCCACCCACCTTCCCAATACCCTCAATTGAATTCCAATCTTTTCGATTCCCCGTACGATAATCGCGACGCGAGCTTGAGTCGAAGCAGGTCGGATTCGAGGTCCGAGTTTTATGGAAAACCAGCGGAGAGTGGTGGGTACAGTGCGTATGAAAATGAGAGCATCTATGGGAGTAATGAAGGGGTATATGCTTACAGGGGGAACACCGAGCCGTACGGAGCTCGGGGAACTGCTCCCAAGTCTTCATCTTGGTCTGGCTTCGATGATTTTGGCAGGCCAATTGGGCATCCTTCCTCTACTGCGGGTAATGAGAAGCCTGTGAATTCTGGATTGAAGGTCGTGAGGGCAGTTCCTAAGGCAGATACCCAGCAGGATGCCAAAAGCGGGGTTCAGAAGTTTAGGGTGAAGTTGCTGGCAGAGAGTGCTGGACAGAACACCATGGATGTCCTCTGTCAGGTTTTAGAATTCTTGTTGCTTTTCACCTTTGGTTTCCTTGTTTAAATGCAGTAATTCAATTGCAATGGTAGACCTGTCGACATTTTAAACAAGTTGGATGCATAGTTCATCTTCAACCACTTGAAAAGAAATGGTTGAACTTAAGAGACAAAAATATACAAGAATGCTGAACTTATGATATAACATGGATGGTATAATGTTTTATGTCTTAGTTTGAACTAGATATTTTTTGAGAATATGAGAGGCTAAACTTACATGTTGGTAATGTTGATGGTGTTCTCCTCTTATTCTGTGATGTGCTTGTAGAATGATCTTGTCATGCTATATTGTGCAGTGGATTATATGTTATTTTGAAAACCTACAAGTTCTGTGATTATTTGTGTTGTTCCATAATGATTGCATACAAAGCATGCTTGTATTCTTATAGTTCTATATATGCAGAAAACTGTATAACATTCTAACATCAGTTTCTTTTTTATTTTTTAAAATCTTTTGAGTGTTTTCAGATTGGCTTGGATGGAATTCGCATGTTGGATCCTAGTACCAGTCGGGTTTTGAGAATTTATCTTCTTGATGCCATAACCAAATGTGAAGTATGTCTCTCTTTTTCGTTTTTAAAGATGAGAGCATTATATTATTTCAAGATATATGGTGTTACTCATGGGCATTTTTCCTATAAGTAAACAAACCAGCTCCCCCTCTTAAAAAGCCCCATTTTAATTTATGTGCAATTGGTTAGTGTCAATAAACATATACCAAGATTTCTGTATTTATGGGGTTGCTATGTATCTGAGTTGTACTATGGATAGAATATGGTCTTGTCAATAATGTGTGAATAAGCATATAAATCATGTCCCCTGATATGCCAATAAATAACAAATTTTGCTTGATTAGATAGATCCTTCTGGGACCACAGTAATGCAACGCTAACGTTTAAAATGAGAGTTGTTAACTTTGTAATAGTTTTTGTTGGTTCCAGTTTGTTGATTTTTATTTCCCTTACAGACCATGTTCACTAAAGTACTGGCTTACCTGTGTGTGTAGGCCATCGATTCATCCATATTTGCCTTCTGGTCGAAGAGTTCAGTGGACTTGGAACCAAGGCGCATTAGATTGAAGTCTAATAGTTACACCACGAACACCATTTTGGACACTGTTACTGCAGTAATTATACAGGTTTGTGGTTTGTCGTATGAATATATTGCCATTCGCCATCTACTTATACTTTTGTAGTTATGAAGCACTTCTGGTCAAGCATGTATTTGTGTGGTTTTGTAGCATCAGTTGGTAATTTCACCATGTGCAAATTTATGATGTGAATAAGCTGAGTAACCTTGAGCATTATTGTTTATTTCTTATTCTCTGTATTTCTTAATGAGATTTATGGTTTGTTTGTGAAATTGCAGTATAAGGAGATGAGTGGAAGAATCCGTCCTTCTGAAAATCCAAGTGTTACCCAACAGCCCACCGAGAGAAAGAAGGGATTTGTTGATTTTGTTAATTTAATAAAGCCAGTGATCGAAGAGAAAGATCACTGGGTAAAATATTCCAGCCCTCCTCTAATTAAGTGAAGTCGGCTGTGCTATAGTCATCGTAACACTACACTGTCTGTATGCAGTATCTTTTATGTTTCCCTTCTGTGATTAATGTCAATTTTTTTCTTCCTTTGTGGGTGGGTGGGTGTGGGTGTGTTCTACCCGAACAGGTTCCTGATGAAGCAATCTCAAAGTGCACAGCTTGTGGAGTGGACTTCAATGCTTTTGTGCGCAGGGTATGTACCCTACAAGATACATATATCCCTCTTTAACACTCTGCTTCATCTTTGTACTGTGTTGGTTTGGTAATTTTTTGTGTTCAACATGAATGTTACTGATTGTTTTTCAAATTATGCTCCTTTTTCTCTTTTCAGCATCATTGCAGGAACTGCGGGGATATTTTCTGCAACAAGTGCTCTCAGGGTAGAACTGCTCTCACAGCAGATGAGGATGCTCCTGTCGTAAGAGTTTGTGATCGATGCTTGGTATGTTAATATACACACAAACTTAAAACACTGAGATGTAAAATCCTTGATTCCCATAAGATGCTACTTAAATATTTCTCAAGCTTGTGACTTGTAATCTCTGGTTTTTTTGATGATATATTCATAATGAACATCCCTTTAATCAATACCTTTTTTTTTTTTGGATTATAGACAGAAGTGTCTCGAAGATTGAGAATTGCTAAGGATACTGCAAGCAGATCAACTGTTATTGAAACTCACGAGGATCTCACAAAGAAGCTTCAGGTAAAAAGTTCTTGAAACTTATCACTCGTCTTGACATGCATTTAATGAACAACCTATACCTCAGTTCACAACCATATACAGTAGGATTAATTTTGTAAATTTTCAGTTATGCAATTCAGTTTGATTTTCCTCCATTTATGATTACTTAATTATTTTCTGCACCAATTCTTGATTTTTGCAGGAAGAGATGGAGCGAAGTTGCAAGGTCTCATCAGGCACGAGATCAGACAATTCAGGAAAGAGGATGAAAGAGGTTGCCTGCCCGACCTGTACAGTACATTTGCAGGTTCGCGTAATTCTTTACACATCTTGAATTTTATGCGGCGTGCCATAATTTTCATCGATGCCATTGTCGCTATTGCAGGTTCAACTCCCCAGTTCTGGTTCCGAGACAATAGAATGTGGTGTTTGCCAGCACCCTTTCCTCGTCACCGGACACTGATCTTTCCGACAACAATATAAACTGGCTTTGTCTTCGGAGTGTCAATCATCGTTGGATCCCTTTCGCTTTCGCTGTGAATGCGCCACTTTTATCAGAACTTTTGTGTATTCCTGATACCAAATTTCTCAGTATTAAGGCTTGCATATGCCTATTATGCAAAGATTGATATAAAGTGTAATGACCTTTTTTTTTCACTTGGGTGTTTTGTGTATATACTACACTTCAGTTTGGGTTGTCTGTCTTGTAATAAGACCACTACAAGCAAACACTGATTCTGTGTGGTTGTTTACCAACACCCTTACCTTGGTAATAAACCCAATCCCATCAAGAATTGTATCTTGTCATAAACATTAATCATGCCCATGGAAATTGGTAGCCCACCAAACAAGAAGCATTCTCCCTATATTGCACAGAATTATTTCTCTATATATACATATAAAATCATACGTCTAAACCACCTTGGATTGCTTGACATTGCTGATATGCCTACAAGTTGGGATATAAACAACACCATGTATAATTGCCAAGCACTGCTATATATAAGTCCTACTCTGTATCAGCAAACATTGTCATATAATATAAATCCAAAACAGCAGATTCCGCAGCCATAATAATGATGAAGCAGATTCATTCTAATTATTCATTACCATTTGATAACTTGAGGCGCTTTTGGCTGTTTGGTTTTCTTCTGTTATTGTGCAGGTGCTGTGAAGGGATTGTGAAACTGCCAGAGAACATGACAATCCCCGCAGTCTTCGCCTTTGGAGACTCCATTGTTGATCAGGGCAACAACAATAAGCTCAAGACGGCGATTTATTGCAATTTTGTTCCATACGGTAAGGATTTCCAGGGTGGCATTCCCACTGGCAGGTTCAGCAATGGCAAGACCCCCCCTGATATAATTGGTAACCATTGATCATCGACCGAGCTGCATATTTACACACACAAGCATATGTGAATATCATCGATCAATACATTGCTGATGTGTTACCAAATGGCAGCTGAAGAATTGGGAATTAAAGACCTGATTCAAGCTTACCAGGATCCAAATTTGACAGTGCATGATCTTCCAACTGGTGTCAGCTTTGCTTCCGGTGGCTGTGGATACGACCCTCAGACATCCAACCTAATGGTAAATTTTGCTAGATTAAGATTCATGGTGATGGATATGATGGTTTAAGGAAAAAGCTTGACATGAAATTGTACCCTGGGAATGCAGTCTGTGACGCCATTATCAAGCCAAGTGGAGCAATTCAAAGAGTACATTGGCAAGCTGAAAGCAGCAGTCGGAGAGGATACCACCAACCAAATTCTCCGCAACGCTATGCACTTGGTGGTTGCCGGCAGCGATGATCTCGCCAACACTTACTTCACCATTGGAATCCGGCGTCTCCAGTATGATGTTAATTCCTATGCTGATTTCCTCGTTGACTCTGCTTCCATTTTCATACAGGTAATATATAAATCATTTACCTATACCAGTCAAAGTATCATCACAATCAATCCAAACTGTGTTCTCCAATATTGAATGGAAGGATCTGTACAAGCTTGGTGCAAGAAGAATCGCTGTTTTTTCCATCCCCCCAATCGGATGTGTGCCATTTCAGAGAACCCTCGCAGGAGGCTCCACAAGAAGGTGTGCAGACAGTTACAACCAGGCAGCTCAACTTGTCAACGGCAAGATGAAACCTCAGCTCGACTTACTTACCCAAAGCCTAGCAGAGTCCAGGGTAGTCTACATTGATGTTTACAAACCTTTTCTTGATCTCATTCAGCACCCCAGCAATTATGGTAATTCCTTCTTCGCACCTCCAAAATAACTAAGAAACACACACACACACACACCTATATATATATATATTCTCTTCTTCCTGTAGGGTATTAATAATGGTTTGGGGTTGAACTGTTCTAGGGTTTGAAGTGAACGACAAAGGCTGCTGTGGCACTGGGAATATAGAAGTGACCATGCTCTGCAACAAATACAGTAGAATATGTGGAAATGTCTCCGAGTATATATTCTGGGATAGTTACCATCCTACAGAGAGAGCATACAGGGTTCTTGTTAAGGATGTTATAATTAATTATATCGAAAGTTTCGTGTAATGATTGTGAACAACTGATGGGGATCAACTGTATACTGCCTCGTTGAATGATTGAAACTGTGAATAACTGATGGTACGATGATTAACTACTTCCTACTATGCATACGCATTCTTATATACTACAACTTTCTATATGGTTGGTGCATGAAGTTTCCTCCATCCCCGTTCTTCTTCTTCCTCTTCTCCAGTCTCAGCTCCTGTAGCTGCAATTTAATAATACTATCAAGTCTACGAGCTGTTCGGACTGCCTTTTCGAAAAAGGGAAATCACTAATCTTTCACCAATAACCTGTATACTTATATTTATGCATTCCCTGCCATACCACGATTGATTTGCCCAGCAATGACCACCGCCGGTATGCTGGTGGATAACAATAGCAACGAAACGAACATATTCCGCTCTGCTCCGAGGACGATTGGAGGAGAAGAGAAGAGAAGAGAAGAGAAACTGAAAGGAAACCGATCTAGAAAAGCCAGTGGAATGGGAGGAATCGGCAGGCAAACAGACTAAATCCTCTTCCTTGCTTGCCAATCCTCCCAACTTCCTCTAGCTTTTCCGATCTTCTTTCCCTTCCTTTACTCTTTGTCACGCCGACGGCCCCGCCACACCTAGGGTTCTCACCTTCATTTCTCTGCAACCGAGGACGCAGACGCAGTCAGGTCGCTGCCCCATCACATCACCCGCCCGTGACGCTAGCGTTTTTATATCATTAATTATATTTTCACAACAAAAAAGCGCAAATACAGAAACACGCTTCTTCTTATTAGCAGCCGCACTTAGTCTTAACGACTTGGCAAAGCCACCAGAATACACAGAGTCACACAGATGAGAATGAGATGGAAAGTACGATGGTTCTTGCAACTATTTATCTATAAAGTCTTAACATCACTTGATCGATCAAGCAGTCGCTGCAACAACTGGAATCCGAACTTTGTATTTCTTATCAGACCATGTGATTGATCCAAAGAAGTCTTCCCGCGATTCAGTGCCCACTGCAGCTCTAAATTTCACTCGGAACTTTAGTTTCCGAATCTTATCCGTGAATTGCAGTTTCTTCGGCACAACCTCGATCTTCACAGCTGCAGGAGCATCAACAATGGCGATGTAAGTCGAATTAATCTCTCCAACATTGGTCACTGTTCTGCTCACCGCCTTGCTCTGATTCTGCATCACCCCCGCAACGGCTATTGAAGGATAATTCATGTCCATGCTCGCCTTACAAGTGAAGTTCGTCTGCGAAATCCTTCTGGCCTGATCTGTATCCATTCCAGTGTTGCAGAGGAACTGGAAGTAGTCGAATGTCGATGTCTCGAAAACGAGCCCAGGATGCAATGGCCCCGACAGACTTATCACCCCTGCGCCGATGTCGTATGGATTGGCTATCGATCCTGCGTGAGTTGTGATCGGAGCGTCCACATTGTTCGTCTGAGTCGCTGCACAACAAGGTGAATACATGTTATCGATGATCCGCGAATCTCTTCTGTTAAGATCACGAACAAACCTGATGTCATAATGGCTGATTTGATTGCAGAGGGACTCCAATTGGGATGGTGAGACTTGACTACAGCAGCCAGGCCTGCTACATGTGCACAGGCCATGGATGTTCCGGTTAACATGTCGAAATGAGGCGGTTTCTGGCCGAAAACAGCCTCAGCCCTGTCGTTGGACGGCCATGCTGCGAGTATGGCTTCTCCCGGCGCAGCAATATCCGGCTACACACAGCAACAAATCCTAACATTCGAATCGATCGTATGAATCAGAAAGAGGGTAGGAGGTACCTTGAGAAGTTCACTAATGCCGAAACCAGGCCCTCTCGAAGAAAAGTAGCCGACCTCCGGAGCCGGCTTGTAATGAAAAATGGTGGCAGTTGGCAGAATGGTTGCCTGTGGATTTCTGTTGCAGCAGAAAGTTAAACACAGGACAATTAGCTACCATTTGGATTCTCTTGTTCTTACCTGTTTGATTTGATGTAGGATAGAAGTTTGTCTCCATCTTCTAAAGAGACACCGGTAACCGGAGAAGTTCCAAATTTTGATGGGATGTATTTTTCTTGGTCGTCGATGGTAATCATCCCCACGGCTCCTTGCTTCTTCAATTCATCATATTTGTCTTTCGGCTGATAATCGCTAAGAACGTTTCTACAGACAACAATTTTGCCTCTTACTTTGGAATCATCTAGCGAACCCGGGTTGCAGTCTCCAGCATCCTCCACGGCACGTTGGGACGAGTTGGATTTTGCGATGGAGGTTCCATCGATTAAGTGATATATCGGAGACTTGTTCAAACTCGAAAAGTTTATGCCTCCACCCTGCAAAAGTCCCATTCCCACATCAACATTCAGAGATAAATGATGATAAAGCTTTGTCGTGATTCTTGACCAAATGTAAGACTATTACCTTAACCACTTTGTTGTCCCCTAAAATGATGCTAGTCTCAAAACGACGATCCGTGGTGGTGGCAGCCGCGGTGAAGATCCAAGGAGCAAAGTTCTGAACTGTAAAAGCAGAAGGGCCAAAGTTTCCGGCAGAGGACACCACAACAATCCCCTTTTCCGCAGCGTGGAGAGCTCCTATGGCGACTGGATCGCTGCTAAAACTCTGCTCTCCTGCTGCACCCAAGGGAACAGCCAGCACATCGACACCATCGCCAATTGCATCATCGAAAGCTTGCAGAATAGCAGACGCGGGGCAGCCACCGTTGGGTCTACAGACACGGTACATGGCAATTCTTGAAGATGGGGATCCCCCTTTTGCAACACCTTTTGCCAGGCCATAGTAGTTAGCCCCGGAAACCGGCATCCCGGCTGCTGTGGCTGCTATATGTGTGCCGTGGCCATCCTCATCCCGGGGCGTTCCCATTGTGTAACTCCCATCGGAGCTATCATAGTATCTTGCTCCAATCAATTTCCTTGCAGCCAAAAAAACAAATCTACCATTACAAAAACATATATCACAGCAGAAAAAACTAATCCAATCTGATATATTTTCTTTACCTGTTGCAGGATGAGGAAGTGAAATTTCTTCCCTGCATACATTTTCCTCTCCATTTAGCTGGGATTGGCCCCAAATCCACATCACTGAAACTCTTAGATTCAGGCCAAATTCCTAACCAGTGGCAATCCCACAACAGGAGATTTTAATTAACTCAGAAGGTAACAATAAAGAACAAATGCAAGACTTCTAATCTTCACCTGTATCCAAGAAGCCGATGACTGTGTCAGCTCCAGCCGGACATGTCGTAGCAGTGGAATGACCAGATTGGTACTTCAAGAATTCCCAAGAACGCGTCGTGTGGAGCTGCAAATCTTTGTCTGGAAATACAGACACCACTCCAGGCCCCCCAGCTATGGCTTTTGCTTCTTTTTCCGATAAATGGGCTGCGAACCCTGCAAAGCCATTGCCGTAGGAACGCACCACGGGGTTCTTCTTCCTGGGAATGAATAGCAGTAGCAGTTAGACCAAATAAGCTCATCTCATCAAATCCCAGAATGCAAATAATGAAGAGAACCTTGTGAGGAGGGAAGTCAGAAGCTGAGCATGATTATCTCTTGGGTAACCATGTGAGGCTCCCATGTACACAATGTAAACTCCCTTCTTCCCTGATGGACCTGCGTTGCACTGTCCCTGCAACAAAATTAGCAACCAACACACACTCAAACTTCTCAAGTAAAAACCAGTCATGATATGACTTCGAAGCTTCGATCTAGAAAGGATTTGTGTGAAGCTTCAGCCCCTGCAAGTGCACCTTTATATGGATCTGGCCAGGTAAAGCAAGCAAATCTGCTCTCCAGTTATTTTTTAAGAAAAAATCTTTTAAGTCTGCACCCTTCAGTAGTGTCCTAATAGAAAATTGTTCACATTGGCCAGCTGAAATATTCTCTTGGGAGTATTAATAAATCCTTGTGTTTCACGTGGTTCTTTTCTTGGTATTTTAAGGAAATGATGGTGAGAACTGAGGAAGATCTCTAATGAGGGATGGGCTGCTTTGGGGTTATGCATTGTTTAATAACAACAATAATTAAAGTAATTAGTAGTGGCTTGAATAAATTATGTATTCGGAGTAAATGGATGGGAAAGTATACAAGTAGGCCATCCATTTTTGGACAAGCGATGATGATTCATCATGGCTATGCCTTTATCTTAAATTCCAAATGGTGAATTGGATATCATTTTATACAATCAAGTAGCAAACCATTTCCAAGTCTCTACTAATATTTGCATTTCTCCAGAAGCAGGAAAGGCACCATGATTATTCTGCTCTAAAAGGACATTGAATTGTGCCTGCATTATGTCAAATCAAGAGGGCTAAATCTCAGTGTGATTAGTGCGCCACCAATACCATTGCTTGTATTTTAAAAGCTCCCCTCAAGGAAATATTTTAAGAGGCCACTAACATTATCTAATTATGATCCACATAAAGTTGGATTAACAAGAATGGCCACAGGAACAGGAATAGCCAAGAACCTTAAACAAGTCTTTCCTGTAGAAAACATAACAATCTATACCTAATGTGGCAATTTCAAGAGATTCCACACCCACAATATCTTCATTGATAAAATGTCTCATGATAGCAGACAATGGAGCACTGTGATAGACAATATCTAATGATAATAATCAGCAAACACAAAGCTCATGAAACTAGATGCTTCAATTATGATTCATTTACTATTAGCAAAAAGGAAGTAAGGCTTCAAGACTGATACTTGGAGAAGATTAGGAAAAAGGAATTGCCATTTGAAATTACGGAAAATTGTTACTCTTGAAGTGATTTTTTGGCAGCATCTTCTTCTCCTTTCATCTTTCTCTCCCACCTCCTCTTTCTAAAATCTGCCAGCATTTGAGGCATAGATTCCATAAGTTCGGCAGTACGTTGTCGTTTTTCTGCAGCTATTCTGTCAACCTTATGCCCTTTCCTAACATTTCTCATCTCCTTCCTTTCAGGATCATATGGCCAATCTGCTCCGGCATTGAGGACTTCCTTACGAAGCCGAGCACGACGACGTGCACTGATACCAAGAGGTTTCCAAGCGCCAAGCTCCCAGTAACCCCAGACACCCTTTGATAGTTCATCCTTGTATTTTGTCAATTTCTGTCGCCATGGATATTGGTACTCTCCCACTGTCTTTACAACAGATTTCACTGCCTTTCCAGCCATCAAACTTCAAAAGACACAATTAGAACACTTCGTAAGTCTGCAACCTAAAAGTGTTTGTAAATCCAGAGGATGGCTGCTGTGATAAATAACATATACTACAATAAAAAGTAAAAACAAGAAAATAATATCAAAGATTTTCAATTTTGAACCCTATCCACAACCATCTTATCAATGCACCAGTCGTCAATAAGGAACTTAGAACACCAACAGTTAGTGACAATCAGAAGCATCACATATATTCTATATATGCCCCCAAATCAAATATGTATCTTATTTAATGATAATCGAATGGACAATTATTGAATCAATTCTTCGTCAGCAATTCGCAGCTTTTCCCCAACATCATCCAGATTGATAAATATACAAATCAACCAATCTGTTTGAACAAATTACAGCTAGCTAGTTCAGACAATTTGTCAAACACCTTAACTGCAAAGAGTCGAAACCAAACATTTCCATCATAAGAATAATGCAAAATGACACGATTAAATCATTAATAATTTCAATCGACAGTCTGAAAACGATAGTTCAGCTCTCGAAATCACTCAGTTGCCGAATGATTGAACAACTTATTTCCAGTTCCTCAGATCAGAGAAAATCGCAAATAAAATACTTTTAAAAAGACGTGAAGGAAGACCGAACATTTAATCAGAACGTCGCATCCTGAGTGAAAAGACGAGTTTAAGTAGTACAACTAGATTGCAATTCCAGGAACTATTCTGCACTGCCAGAGAAAAAAAATACATGAAATGGAAGGCGTAAAACTAATCGCACACACAAACCAGCAGGAAACGAAGCCATAATTAAGGATCGAGGAAGAAAATTACAGAAAATCCGATCTTCCTCCTGGCTGACGATTGGGATTTAGGGTTTTGAAGCGCTTCGTCGGTTGTGTAAACTGTGAATTGCGTTTCCGTATTCTCGGGTTAAAATGGTCATTGCACTATATTTATTTTAGGCCCATAACTAAGCCCTATTTACTTACCTTTCTTAGACGAAAGGCCCAACATTAACCTAAGCCTTTCTTGAATTCAACTATTTAATTGGGCCAGAGTTTTAATTCATTACGCAAGTAAAAAAAAAAAGAAAATCCAAATAATAATTGGGTAAAGCTTACTGAGTTTTTACAAATGTAATAATTCAAAAATCTCACCAAACCTGTGTGTTACTAAAGAAAATGAAAAGAAAAAACACCTGAGATAATTATCATACATATAGCTTTTGAGTTAATTACAAAAAAATTAAAATAAAGGGGGAGGGGGTGGGTTGCAAAGTTTCCAATATCCTAGATTATCCTACTGATGTCCCTAACCCTCAATCATTTCTTGTCTTGGTGAAGGAGACAAATGAGGTGGTTTTTGGAACTTTTTTCATCAGTCCCACCATAGAAATTTCATACCCTTTCTCTTTTTTTGTATCTATGTATGTATATATATATATATGTGTCTTTGGAACTTTTACTTTATTATTATTTTTTTTCTTTTGGAGAATTGATGCCACCATGCTATGATGGCATTTTACATTTTATTTAGTACATTTCATTGTTATATCAATAATTCATGTGTCCTATATTTTGATCTGAAAATAAGAATAAATGGGTGGAAGCATACTTGGATTGGCACATTTGTCACACGTAAAAATTTATTAAAAATTGGTGATGTTCTACATTTGAATTAATTTCTCCCATTCTTTTAAATCATTTTTGCAATACTTGAAGCCTAATCAGTCAAAAGATGCATTTTTTTTTTTTAATTAGAAAAAAAAAGGATAACTTTATCTATGATATAAGTCAAATCATTTGATTGTGACGTCGAATTATAAGGTTGTCCTTGAGTTTTTATGGTGTTGAGTTGAACCCTATTAAAGGGGAATAATGCATTTTAGAAAATAATAATAATCAAATGAATTACAATCAACAAATTAAATGCAAATAATCGAAAGCCTTAAAAGGTAGAAGAATATATAAGTATTTTTCAAAACTCTTAGGACAAAAATGAAAAAAAAAAATTATTATAATAATAGTAATCGAGAGAGAGGGAGGACCAAAAAACATCCTTCTGGAAGGTCAACAAAAGTGTGTTATTTTGTCTGGGATTGATTCATTCCTTAGTACATTGTTTTTGTTGTCCCAAGAAAATGTCAAGTTTCAGACACAACCCATCTAATATCATGTTGTCTGGAAAGCTTCACCTCCCAACTCCCGACCCTTTCGTCTGTTTAATTTGCAATAGTTTGTCAAATCCCAATTCCAATTCGACAAAACTCCCTTTTTAATACAGGATTTTATCAGTGGGTGTGGTGTGTATATATATCTATTATTCTATATATATCAAATTCATTTATTGATAGAGATTGGAATGTCAATAAAGAAAAGTCATTAATGGAAATGGAGTAATCCTCTCTGCCTCTCTCAACAGATACACACACTTTCTATCTCTATCTTTGGTCTACTTTCTTGTCCGGCCATTCTTCAATAATCAATTCAATCCCTTTTTTAAGAAGCAGCAGCAGAAGATTCTTGGTCTGAAATTGAAAGGAGTTTCCGTTTCTGCAGTCCGTTGTGATCAGCGATGGTGGGATGGCTACAGATAACCCTGATCGCCGTTTCTGCAGGCGCTGTTTCCGTCGTTCTGATTCTCGCCTGCAAGCGATGCTGCTCTATCCACAAAACCCTAGAATCTCCCGACCTAGAGATCGGAAGAGAAAGGGACCTCAATCGCCATCGCCATGGCTTGCAGAGCGGGATTGCCAGGCTGCACCAGGTCAGCCCCCACCACCAACACCATCTTGCCATGGCGGCTGCTGCACCATCCATCAAACCCTACAATAATAATTACCATCTTTTCCAACGTCGGTCTTCCTCCTTCAGTTGGGCCGATCATCCTTCTCTCGTCACCGACGCCGTCGAGAATGGCTGGTCGCGTTTCGCCTTCACCGATTTCGCCTCTTCGTCTTCCTCCTCGGTTAAGTCCGCCCGCCTGCTTCTCGGCGCCTGCGCCGATTCCGGCGGCGAACCCAGTCTGGAAATCGGGTGGGAAGTCTCAGAAGGTTCCGCCGATTTTCTGCAGAAAATTAGGCTAAACCCTAATTCCAAGAAAATTGGGGCAACCATGTCGGTAATCAGAGCTGCTCTGCCTCTTCCTGGCCCCAATTTGGGGAACAATTCTTTTCCACAGGAAGCCTATTTCGAAGTCACAATTTTATCCTGCAATGGAATGAATTCCGCCGGCGCCGACCCTTTATCCGCCAGGAGATGGAGGTCGGAAGGGGATAAAATCAAGCTCATCGGAGAAGAATCCGACACCAGAAAAACCCCAAATCGAGTTGCCAGCAGCCATAGCCAGAACAACAGGGGCAAGAGTAAAAACGACGCCGTTTCCCTCTCCGTCGGGCTGACCGGCGGCGGCCCTCTTCCGTCAAAAGCTCCGGGGACATATCCAGGATCAGTCGCCTTCAATTCATCAGGCTCAGTTCACTTAGACGGTAACCACCATTCTTTCCGATCATTCTTACAAATTCAAATCGAATACAGACAAAAGCTGTTGAATTAACAATTCGTGCCAAATAATTAACATCAGTAGGTGACAATGCACTTAAAAAAACACAATGCACCTAATTTATATTCTCTCAAACTAAACACCAACCAATGTTCTAACAAACAAACTCCACCAGGGACGATCCATGCATTCCATACCGACTCCGACGACGACTGGGGAAGGCCGGACAAAGTGATCGGCTGCGGCTACAATCCAGGCCAAAAGATTGTATTCTTCACGGTCGATTCCCAGCTCGTGCACGAGATCAATTGCAAGACCGAGTTCTTCGGCGCCCCACTATATCCAACAATATCATCCAATGCCGAAACCATGGTGTTAGTGAATCTTGGGCAGAGCCCTTTCAAATATGCACTCGCCAATACGCAGAGGACTCCCAACCCCTGTTTTGTCGGGCCTCCGGCGACTTCGCCGGTGCTGGGGTTTGAGGATAGCCGGGAGCTTTTCTCCATGGGAAGAATCGATTCGCAGTGGCAACTGCAGCGCAATGCGACGAGGAGTAACACCGCGACGGTGAATAGCATCAAGAGTGTGGAGTATGATCAGGAGTCTGAGGGTGAACTGTTTGAGATTGTCCTGGAGAATTACAATGGAAGATCTTCATCTCCATCTCCATATGGTGCTGCAATGAATCAGTATCAGTAGCAGTTGTTGTGTTAATGATATGAGCTTTGATTGTTGCAGAATTTTTTGGTGTTTGTTAGGAAGGACTTTTGGTGAATCCAATCCATTGATGTATAGAGATTCTTGCACAGGGAAATACAAAAGATTTTTTTTTTTGTTTTTTTGCCCCTTGGTTTTAATGAATACATGTCCAGGGGTATTCTTGAAAATATATAAATCCTTTGTTAAAAATGATTGGATCAGTTGGAAGCCCATTTTGAAAAGACTCAATATTATTGGACCTAAATGGGTTGTTTTATGGGCCTTAGATAAAGTCCATATGTGTGTAGCAGGCCAGCTGGAAGTTGAAGAAAGTGTGGAAATTTATATGGCCCAATTATTGGATTTTCATGCCTAGAGGCTACAACAGATGAGGTCTTTAATTAAAATACAGTTACAATTTATTGAAATAAAGCAATCTATAAATTCAGCCAACATTTTGTTACTTGTCCTCATCAAAATTTCACCAGAAAAAGCAAAAATTAGCTCAGCAAACTTCAAGACACGCATTTGATTGTGCAATTATTAATTTTGATGTTACATGTAACAATATATTCCACACACATATGTAGTAAATAACAAGCTGTTGGCATTATTGTCATTGCTCGTGCACGTAGATACATTAATCATGTGCCACTATGGTTCCAACTTAATGTTTAATTAAATTAGAACATTAATATCTCAACACACATTTAATTTCTCAACATGCATGTTTGTGAATTTTATTTTATTTTTTTCCGATAAAGAATGATGGCGAAAATACACGAGCCCCTCTGTACAAGTGTCGATCGGGACGTCAAAAAATGAAAAAAAAGGGAGAGGTAAGGATATAGAAAGAAACATGTGCTTAGGGCAAAAGTTTCAACTTTGATTGGGTGCCTAAAATGAAAAATTTGCAGAAATGCACATGATGTGTCCAAACTGCAAAGTGGTGTGACTGTGGACTATATAATTATAATGTATATATATAAGAATTAATTGGAAACCCTCAAAGGGATAAAGAAAAAGATGGGTCCAAAAGGGGATTGCAGTTTTGATCCAAGACATTCAATGATGGGTGATGAAATCTAAATGCCAAAACCAGAAGAGGGCCATATTAGCTATCATTTCCATTCACAATGTTTAATCATTAATTCCCTTCACCATCAAACTAAATCTAAATCTTCAACCATCAAATATATATATATATATGTATGTATGTATATTAATTAATATGTGTATGTATTCTGGCCAAGAAACAAGAACAGAGTAGTAGAAAAACCCTTGAAAGACAAAACCCTAATCAAATTTTATTATATATATATATATATATATTTGGTAGTGATTAACAATGATCTTATTTTGTTTTTAAGAGAATTGGATTGTGGGGTTTTGATAGAGGAAATAAAGCAGACAGAAATAAGGGGAGAAAAGAAAGATAAGAATAATGCAAAGAAATAAAGAGAAGTGGGAGAGCATGTGATGATCAAGAAATTTGTGTGTGTGTGTGTGTCTACACATATCTATATATACATATATGTGTTTGGGGGGGGGGGGGGGGGGGGGGGGTGGTGATAGAATTAGGGTTTTGAGGATAAAGTGTGTGTTTTAATGAATATATATATATATATATATATATAGATGATGAGTTGGGATTGGTGATGATCATAAAGGAATTTGGTTGAAGAATATTATTTTAATTTATAGTCCCACAAGCATGTGACATTGTCCTCAGTATCATGGCCTAATCTTAAATGGCTAATTTCTGTCGTCGTTGGATTAATTCATTAATGTAATAATTAGGATTTAGGAGGACATTAATTAATTATATCCATGCATTTTACAAAGCTGTAAACACCTCATGAATATATACTAAGAAGGAAAGTAATTTATCTAAAGTTTATATAGATCATCATTAGATTTATTTATTTACTTATTTTTTTTTTGTATCTAGCTAGATTTCATCTAATGATGCATTCGATTTCATTTCATAATTAATTAATTTTGGTGACGAATGATTTATCATATATCAATCGACAGCCTCCGTTTGCATGTTTTGCTACACCTATTCATTAGTGATGTAGTAATTAATTTAAAAATAATTATATTTTATTATAGTTCGGTATTTGCATGAGAGGTTTAATTAATGGATTTTATAAATATTTATTTAATTATTTTTTTAGGATAAACATTTTGTGACAATTATTTTCATTGCTTGTTACAGAGGTTATATAATTATTTCAATTGATTATTCATCTATATATTAATTTATTTTTTATTTAAAAAAATTAGGAAAATTTTCTTTAATTTCACAAACTGAGGTTTCAAAGAAATCTTGGAGGTGACGCATTTAACCTCCAAATACATAGAATTAGGAAATTTGACCAACTTTTAACAGCACTTATAAATGATTAATTACGAGTTAGTCATATAATAAATCCCCAGCTAATCATTTGAGCCACCCACCTATGCCAATTCCTCTCAATGCAATTTGACTTTCTGCCCAACCCCATATACATAAAAACAAATCAATTATATAATTAAACATTATTACATCAAATAAAATAAAATAAAACATTATTATATTATTCACTCATATATATATATATATATATCCTTCCTGCTGATGTCTATCAAGCACCAACAACACACACTGCCTTTCACCTCACACTACTGCAGATAGCTATGTACTAACTCCAACTCTAATTTAAAAATATATATATATATATATATATGATCAATTCACTAATTAAAATTCTAAATATAGTTTGAAAATGAATTCGTACGTAGATCAACTGGCCAGGTCTATTACATGCATGAATTTATATGCCTGCCTGCCTGCCTTATATATATACAGTTTTTGTATTGCACGTAACCTATTTTTATATATTGAAATATATTGTTTTCAATTAATTCACCGGGGCTGTGTTTTATTTATTATTGCTAACTGAACCCTTGAATTTGATATCCTTGGACCACACATTAATTTTATTACAAGACTACTTGTTTAGTTTCGATTTTTTTTTTAATTTAAAAAATAAAAAATAAAAACCCAGATCCCTCATGCATCAGCAAGATAAATACACTTACCAACATAATATATATATATATATATATAGTTATTTCCAGGAGAAGAAAATAAAAGATTGATTTGAAACAAAGAATAAAATCTAAGTAGCAAAAATGAAGAAAACCAGAGTGGAAAGCCATACTAAGTCAAGAAAATCGAAGTGGGGTATGATTTGGTTGTGGGTTACTTTGGCTTGCAGTATTCATGCTAATAACGGTAACTACCTATCTAGGTCGTCGTCGATTAATTAATTATCTTGTTTATAGATAATCACATTTAATTAATACTATAATTAATTGATTAATTAATGTTGTTAGGTTTGATGTTTGATAGTGATCGATCGAGCTAGCTAGCTAGGTGATGAGCTAGAATTAGGGTTTAGTGATCATTTTCTGTGTCAGCTTTTTTTTTTTTTTTTTTTGGATTCTATGCCCTAAATTAGAATTTCCCTTGTGCTTGAAGGAGTTGCATAATTTCACAAAGCTGCTGATTCATGGGGTGGGTGGGGGACAGTTTCCTTAACTTGTAGGTTACCATTATATATACAGCCAAGAATTGTTGCTAGCTAACTCAAATAGTCATCTCTATTATTATTATTATTTTATTTTTATTTTTTTATATATACTTATACATTTTTATTTTAAAATTTTTTAGTTGTTGTTGTAATGTACATTTGATTTGGATTGAAGTCTTGACTGTTAATTATTGCTTTTCACATATTCCATTTTTCAATTGAGTGTCGATATGATTTACATTCCTATATCATGTAAGAGATTTTGGTTTTTCACCTGCCGCCTTTTTTAACTTGCTTCCGATTCAAGAATTTTGCTATACATTTAAGACTTCCTACGCATAATATAATGTCCAATAGAATTAAAAATATATATATATATATATTAATGATATTTTTTTAAAAAAAAATGAATAAATTACTAATGATAAAATAACAGTAGATCATCTCCAATCCACCCCCAAATCTCCCCCATTTTTGCAGTGGATTGTACCAAAAATGGGGGGAGGGGCTCCAACTCACCCCAAAATCTCCCCCCATTTTTGCCGGAATCCACAGTGTTACTCCACTTTATTTCAAATGGAGTGGAGTTTTTGTTGTGTTTTTTATATTTTTGGTATTTTTTAGTGTATTGTGTAATTTTAATTTTTTAGTAGATGATATATAATTTTATATTTTAAAAAGTTGTATGCAATTTTATTTTTTTTGAAAAATAATGTATAATTTTATTTTTTAAAAGTGATATAATTTTAGTTTTTGGAAAGTAATATATAATTTTATTTTTTTAAATTGATATATAATTTTACTGTTAAAGTGATATAATTTTTATTTTTTTAAAAGTGATATGTAATTTTATTTTTTAAATTAAGGTGTAATTTTACTTTGTAAAAAGTTATGTTTAATTTTTATTTGTAATAGTTATTAATTATAAATGTTAATTTTTATATATGTAATTTTTAAATAATTTATAAATTATATGTGTATGGATCTAATGTAAAAATAAATTAAAGTTGGGGCGTAATTTATAAATAATATAAAAGAGGAATATGTAGGGAATATACTTTTTAAAGTAAAAATTGAAGTTTATGGTTGAAGTAAAATTACTGTAGATCAACTATATTTTTACTGTAGCAACTGCAAAAATGGAGTGAATAGTTGGAGATGGCCTTAAAACTTAAAAATATATATATATATGTAAAAAGAGTCTTAATGAAACTACTCGCTATAAAATAGCCGTATGATTATTTTACTAGAGCTTGCCCATAAGAACTTTAAAGTTAAATTAAGATTGTTCCAAAATAATATAATGACTTTTTTTTTAAGGCAAAACATGTTGAAAAGAACTTGTACTTGTAGGATCAATCCATAATTATATTGCACAATCTATAATTGGGGTGTCACAATGCAAATCCGAGTATTTCATTTACTACCAACTTATATTGAGATGAACCCGATTCGTAAGATTAAATTTTTCAAAATATTTAACTCAAGTTTTAAGGATCGTATCACAAAAATGTAATTAAGTTTATCATACATCACCTTATCTAGTTTAATTTTATTAACCAAAACTTATTTACTCGGCTCGGCTTGATTGTTATCGAATTCTTCTCTTTAAATTCTACTTGTTAAATTTTTGAATAGTTCAGCCCGCATAACATTTCTAACAACAAACAAGTTGAACTTTAATAGGAACAAGGCAACCTTATAATACATACGTGTAAGAATTAATGTTGATTAAATTGAAGGTACTAACAAAAAATAAAATAAAATCAAAAGGGTTTAAGAAAGTGAATTATCGCAGGGGGGATTTTCACTTTCCTAACTTGCATCAATTGGGCAATACATTTATAAAATGCAATTAATTAAATAATTAATTAATTACATTGATTAACATCTAAATCAGTACTTTCTTTAATAGCTTAATCAATATATTAGTACCGACTTTGCACTTAATATCTGAGTACAATCATCAATCATACAGCCAAAAGTAAAGGCAGTGTAAGAATATGGACCACTCTAAGGAACTACTAGGGCTCTGCTCTGATGGGTACTGTTCGGATTCCTGCGCTACTTATCAGTTCCTTCATAAGTCGCTACACAGCATCTGTATAATTAATTAAACCCGGTTCAGCGACTAACCCGGTTTACGTTAAATCAAGCAATGGCGGGCCGACCAATTAGAGCCGTTGATTTGTCTCTTCTGCGGCCATTGAAAATATATTGCGATTCGTAATTAGCAAAATTAAATTTATTGATTTATTACATATAAATTAATTATTTTTTTATTTTTATTGCCTTGATTAAAAGGGAAGGAAAGAACGAAGGAGGCAAGCTTCACCAAATATCATCAATGGAATAGTTACAGTCACCATTGTGTGTGGCACAAAAATTGCAAAAATGAATCCATCAGAATCACATATTTGTCTATAATACAATCACTACACAATTTATGAATAAATATGTAAAAATATATATACATGTACAATTACATTTAATTGATTTTATTTCATTGTTATAGTTAATTATTTAAATAAATAAATATAAAAAAAAAAAAAAAATAGAGAGTCAGAGTGGGTTTGAGAAAAGGCCATGTGAGGTAGGAGACCACCGAGCTGGCTACGTCCATATGCGTGGGGTCCACTTCTTTTATAGTGTCCCCACCACTGTCTTCCACTGTCCCTTTCTTTTTTTTAGAAAAAAAAGAATTAATTAATAAATATACTTTTTTATTTATTTTTTATTTTTAATTACCGCGGGGGTATTGAAATAGAAACTGTAAAAATTTATTGAATTAAATGATATAATCTATATATACTAATATTTAACTTGTTGGTAGTCAAGTCATTTTCCATAAGCTGGGGGAGTCAAAGCTAAGTGTCTAATTCAATAAAATAAATAATTGATTGATTTGAAAATTAATTAAAAGATATATATAGATGATCTCGATCGATTAATTGCACGTATGTGTGTGTGTATGTATGTAAGTATGTAGCCATGTAGGTGTATCTGTGTCAGTACATTCTTAAATTTATAGATTTACAATTGTGTCATTAAAAGAAGATCGAGGAAGAAGAAGACAGCATTGTACATAAATTACAAAACCATGTGCCATAGATTGTCTAGGAATAATGACAATCAGTGCAATGACCCAAAAAATGTACTACGTGTGCCGTGACTATGATAATACCAAAACCAACTTTATATATAAAAAATAAAATTTTAATATAAAAAAATTTATTTCATTAGATATAAAACACATCATTGTATTGATTCGAGCCATGGCCCACCATCGGGTATATATATTTAAAATAAAAAATAAAAATCGATTCATTGGGAATCTATTACAACAATTTGTTCTGATATTATTTAAATTATATAATAAGGCCCACTCGTAATTCAATAATAATATTGGCATGTAGTCGTAACGTATTCCGAGATTATAAATAGAAGCATAATTTTATATACACAATATTTAAATATTTTGTCGACCACTAGTAAATACTACTACTACTAATAATAATTATAATAATAATAATAATAGTATTTGTGTAATTTCATTTGCGTGGCGAAAATATTATTATTATAATTATTATTTAGTGTTATTTATTTTCTACAGGATCACGTGGTTTGCGCTGTGTTTGGCCTTTTTCTGCTACATTCTAGGCAATACGAACAGCCCTTTTGCTGGTGTGTACGTATACAATAGTATTTCGTATACCCTGCGGAAGGACAAATTGGTAAATTCACGTACCCGAGGGAACGGTTTGTTTTTTTCCTCGCCAAATTGGGGAAAGCCGTTGGTGCAAAGCCGCGCCGCGTATTTGAGGAAAATAATGTTATTAGTTTTTGTGCATAAGAAATTAGGAACTAATTTTTATTTAGAGATTTTTTTAATTTAATTAAGATTTGGTACGATATTGCGTCAGAGGGATCCGAAATTTTAATTTAATAAGGTTGGTGGAATTTAGGGATTGGGCGTATCTTAAGATAAGATTAAAATTAAATAAATGATGTCAATTTGGGAAATTAATTTCCGATTCCGATTCCTCCTCTGACAGCAACAAATTTCCATTAAATCAATGAATTACCGACATTGGTTTTGCAGCAGTGGCACCTGTGTGTTTGTTTGGTTAAAACTGAGACGTTGTGAAGTGACCTGAGAATGAGAATGAGATTAAGAAAAAAATAAAATGAAAAAACACGCGTAGGTTATGGAATTCCTTTCGGGTGGGTCATTGTCGATCAGAGAGCACTGATTTGGCTATGGAGTGTGAGTGAAGAAGCCTTCAGAAATAATCAGTAAAGCTGGCATTATATTATGCTCACCGATGACTGTGCCGTTGCAGAGATCCCTTTAATTTGTTGGAATGGGAAGAATGAATACTGATTTTGATTAAATAATTTGGGGGTGAGATTATATGATATTGAGGACAGCTGGGCGAAGAAGAAGAAGAAGAAGACATTAATTGCAGATTCAATCAATTTTGATATGGTCAAAGAGGTGGCAGCTTGTGGCTGAATGAATGACTGATTGAAGAAGATTAATGACTAATTTCAGACACGGGGTGTAGGAGGAGGAGGAGGAGGACGAGGGTCTTCTTCTTTATTGATTTTTATTTATTTTTTAATTTTTATTAATCCCTCAACTACCCTTTTCTCTACTCTCTCTGGCGCTGTCCCTTTGGCAATATAGAAACAACATAGTTGCCTGTCTTCTTATCTTTCTCTCTCTATTTTTTTTTTGTTCCTCCCTCTCTCTCTCTAGGTGCAGCATCGTTTTCTGGTCCTAGAAGCTCTTTTTCCGTCTCCTTACCCTTCACTTCTGCGAGATTGTCTGCTAACAGTTTTTTTTATCAAAACCACATAATACACACATACATCGCATTTGGGTCTCTTCACAGCGTGGGGTTTAATTGGAGCTCTGATTTAGTGTTTTTATTTTATTTCATTCGATTAATTAAAATCTGGGTTGAAGAAAGTGCGTGGTCTGTGTTCATCGCAATGGAAGCTAATTCTTCCGGGGAAGATTGCTGTGTGAAAGTGGCAGTTCATGTCAGGCCATTGATAGCCGATGAGAAGCTTCAGGGCTGTAAGGACTGCGTCGTTGTAGTGCCTGGGAAGCCTCAGGTAACTCTACATTCACATTGTCGTATTCATTTTTTCTCCAAATTAATTTTCCTGTAATTTTTCACAGAAAAGAAAATAAACCATTTCTGGGTTGCAGCTTCTGAATTAACTCTTTGATTTGAGAAGATCCGATCCTTCTGATTCGATAACTCCTCCACTAAATTTTATCGAAAAAATTTCTGGAGGCCATGCATGAATTAGCTTGGAGTTGCTAAGTCTTGATGATGATCTGGATTGATGATTTCTGAAAAATAAAAAAATGAAAATGAAAATCCCAACACTTTCTTGTAATTTGGTAGTCTTTTGGGGAACAGATTAAATATTTGATGTTGAAGGAAACTGTTTGCACAATAAGAAAGCTCAAACCCATCCTTTCTACAGTTTCCACTTTCAGGGCATGTGAAATTAGCATTTTACCAGAGCTATTATTATTATTTTCTTGGTTCGATTTTCTTTTTGCCATTACAGGAAATCTTTCTTTCCCATCTGCATTCTTGTTGGCATCTTTATACTTCGATTCTAGAAGCCATTAGTTAGTATGAGCACCTAGGCTGATCCATGGCTCAATTTGACAATTGGACATTGTTTGCCGTTTGTGGAAATCTATGTTGTCGCTTTACTCCATCATATCATGAGCAAAATTATTACAATGAATCTCTCTATTTTGTTTGGTTTTGAATAGATTTTCCGAGTTTGTCATTTTTGTACATCCCTTTGTTGATCTTTAGTAGCTGTTATGTATCCCAATTCTTCAGGTGCAAATTGGTAGCCATTCATTTACATTCGACCAAGTTTACGGCAGCACCGGATCCCCATCGACTGCCATGTACGAAGACTGCGTCGCACCTCTTGTCGATGGTTTGTTTCAAGGATATAATGCCACGGTTCTTGCCTACGGACAGGTAAAGTCTAAAATGTGTAGTGTAAGAAACTTTCTTGCATAATGGAAAACAGAGAAGTTAGTGTCTGAAGGCTATCCTTGTATGTGTGTGTCTCTTTTTTCAATATGGTTCAGACGGGGTCGGGGAAAACATACACGATGGGTTCTAGCGTTAAAGATGGATGCGAAAATGGACTAATTCCGAAAGTTATGAATGCTTTATTCAGCAAGATTGATGCCCTGAAAGATGATATTGAATTCCAGCTACACGTTTCCTTCATCGAGGTTGGTTTTATTCCTCTCGATTCTTCCTTGGTTAGTCGATCGATGGTCATGGGATTTATGTGTTTGTTTGAAGATTCATAAAGAAGACGTAAGAGATTTGCTCGATCCGAGCTATGTTAATCGGCAAGAGATGATCAATGGGCATGCTTCGAAAGTAACCATCCCCGGGAAGCCTCCTATACAGATTCGGGAAACATCTAATGGTGTAATAACACTTGCGGGTTCTACGGAGCGCAGCGTCAAGACGCTCAAAGAAATGTCCGAATGTCTCGAGCAAGGTTCGCAAAACAGGGCAACCGGGAGTACCAATATGAACAATCAATCGAGGTTGTAATGAAACATGATGTTTTTTTCCAAGACCAACCCCTCCACTACTGTCTAAAATCTTTTCTTCGGTCGCAGTCGCTCCCATGCTATTTTCACCATCACAATGGAGCAGATGCGGAGGCTTCATCCGGGAAATTCTAACGATAGCAATGTACATGATTATATGGCGGACGAGTATCTCTGCGCCAAGCTGCATTTGGTGGATCTTGCTGGATCGGAGCGTGCGAAGAGGACAGGGTCGGATGGCTTACGATTTAAGGAGGGTAAGCTGTAAATTCATTTTAGCCATTGAATTGGACACTACTTTTCATATCTGCATTTTGTAACACTCACTGTCTACACAGGAGTTCACATCAATAAGGGCCTTCTTGCACTCGGCAATGTTATAAGCGCACTTGGCGATGAAAAAAAGCGAAAAGAAGGTGTTCATGTCCCATACCGGGACAGCAAACTTACTCGGCTACTGCAGGTCTGTTGTTTAGGCACTAATTTTTAGCAATTTCTTGTTCTCTTGTATATTCGACTATTATTTTTGTTTACTCAAACTTCGAGTTTTCGGCTTTTGGCAGGATTCTCTTGGTGGCAACAGCAGAACAGTAATGATAGGTTGGATCCATATGCTTTTACATTATTCATGGATTCTGTTTTTTGATGATAATTTTACAGCAGACGTAATACATTGCTCTTAACTTCATTTTTTTCTTCTCCAGCATGTATTAGTCCTGCGGATATAAATGCCGAAGAAACTCTTAACACCTTGAAATATGCCAATCGTGCTCGTAATATACAGAACAAACCTGTGGTAAGCCATTCTTCGAATATACATTACAGGGGATTAATTCTTGTTTGAGTTTTCATGTGATCATTTGTGTTGTTTTATATGACCAGATTAACAGAGACCCCATTGCTAATGAAATGCTGAAGATGCGTCAACAATTAGAATATCTGCAAGCTGAACTTTGTGCCAGGAATGGAGGAGTTTCATTTGATGATATACAGGTATACTTAATCACTCTGTCGTCGTGCAAAGGAATTGACCGGAGACAGAATTTGATTTTCTCATAGAAACATTTGCATTACACCAATGCAGATTCTCAAGGACAAGATTGCCTGGCTTGAAGCTACCAATGAAGAGCTGTGTCGGGAACTTAATGAATTTCGCAACAATGGCAGTGGTGCCATTGACCAATATAAAGTCACCACCAAAGTGAGTAGAACTGTCTCCAATAAGAAACATCAACTTAAGCACCATAACTCCATGCAAAAATGTCGAATGGCATGTATGTTTATCTGTATTTTGTATAACAAGGTGAATGGAATGCCACTTTGCAGATTAGCGGAGCTGGTGCCATGAAAAGTGAAGGGCTCAAAAGAGGATTGCAAAGTATTGAGTCGTGTGATTATCAAATGAGTGAAGGAAGTATGTTTCATCTTTAAGGAGTAGCTTTGTAACTCATATTGTTCGACTTTTGGCATATTGATCAGAGTTGGCTTCAACTATGAATATTTGCAGGTGATTCTGGGGATATCGATGAAGATACGGCCAAGGAATTGGAGCATACTTATTTACAGAACACTATGGACAAAGAGTTGAGTGAATTAAACCGACAGTTGGAGAAGAAGGAGGTATGATTTGTTGCAGAAACCAATTTTTACCATAGCAATTATTTCAGGTATGCATTGATTCAAAGCATCCGAATTTCATCTTTATTGCAATCAACTTCTTGCAGTCAGAGATGAAACTAGTTGGAGGATATGACACCATAGCACTCAAGCAACACTTTGGGAAGAAATTAATGGAACTTGAAGAGGAAAAAAGAACTGTGCAGGTATGATTAAGAAGAACAGCAATCATTCAATACGACGTATGATCTTTGATGGTTAAACTCTCACTATCACCTATTTAATTGATGCAGCTGGAAAGGGACAGGCTTTTGACTGAAGTTGAGAACCTTTCAGCTAATTCTGATGGACAAGCTCATAAATTGCCAGATGTTCATTCCCAGAAACTAAAACTTCTTGAAGCTCAGGTTTGATTTGTTCCCATTTCCATTGAAATTGATTTCCTGCTGCACAATGTACCATACATGAACAAATGTTGTAACTTTCTATGTCTCAGATACAAGATTTAAAGAAGAAACAAGAGAATCAGGTTCAGCTTTTGAAGCAGAAACAGAAAAGTGATGATGCAGCCAGAAAATTACAAGAGGAAATACAATGCATCAAGGCGCAAAAGGTCGTATTCTGGTTTACCTGCGCACATTCTCGGCTTTAAATTCCATTCATGTGTAACAGGTTTCTGTTACTGTAGGTGCAACTGCAACACAAGATTAAACAAGAAGCTGAACAATTTCGACAGTGGAAGGCATCCCGGGAAAAGGAATTGCTGCAGGTAACTTTACTCCATGTGCAATCCTTGTAAAATAGTCTTTTCGATTCACCTCACTTATACAACCTTGGAGCATTTTACACTTTCGAATTTACATTTAGCTGTTTCATTGTTACTTTTACTTAGTTAAAGAAGGAGGGAAGAAGGAATGAGTACGAAAGACATAAACTGCAAGCATTGAATCAGCGGCAGAAAATGGTGAGAAATTCTTGTAATGATCGATGAACTGTTTTCCTTTGCAGTTTTGGCAATACTGCTATTGCTTTCCAGATGTTACAATATATATATCTCTCTTTTTTGATTCAGGTTCTTCAGAGAAAAACAGAGGAAGCTGCAATGGCTACTAAGAGATTGAAAGAATTGCTAGAAACTCGGAAATCTACTACAGCTCGTGAAAACTCAGGTAGGTGTTTCGAGTTGGAAATAAGTTTAGGATGAGACTATTTCAATAAAACTCGATGGCTAATACCTTTTTCTTTTTTCTTCCATTTCCAGTGAATAGCAATGGTAATGGATTAAACGGGCAGGTGATCCCTTGACATCTGACTATAATTTTAATACTTCTCTTCATATTTTATCTACGACGACTAAATGCCTAATTTTGACCTCACAGACCAATGAAAAGTCCTTGCAGCGATGGCTTGATCACGAGCTTGAAGTTATGGTCAATGTTCATGAAGTTCGTTACGAGTATGAGAAGCAAAGTGAAGTGTATGTAGTCTGAATTTTTATCCTCTCTTGGTTTCAATTGCTCCTGTTTATTCGTCGTATATTCTACAAACAAATGGAAATCCTTCCTGTTTTCAGACGAGCTGCATTGGCTGAAGAGCTGGCAGTTTTGAGACAAGTCGAGGAATTTGCTTCCAATGGTGTCAGCCCTCCTAGAGGAAAAAATGGCTTTTCTAGGTAAAAAAAATTAAGCTTATCTTGCCGTCAGTCAATAAATATACAAACCGGCGTTTAATATGTTAATCTCTTCAACAGTGCATCTTCAATGTCACCTAATGCAAGAATGGCAAGAATTGCTTCTCTTGAAAGCATGCTGAGCATTTCGTCGAATTCGCTCGTTGCCATGGCCTCACAGCTCTCGGAAGCAGAAGAGCGCGAGCGTAGTGTCAGCGGCCGTGGCCGCTGGAACCAGCTACGATCCATGGGGGAATCCAAAAACTTGCTCCAACATATGTTCAATTATCTCGTCGATGCAAGGTAGACTTGCAAACCATCTTTTATTTTACGTTTTCGTTTCCAGAAAATTCTTGATGTCCGTTTCTTAGCAGGTGCCAGCTGTGGGAAAAGGAGATCGAAACGAAAGAGATGAAAGAGCATATGAAGGAACTTGTTGGCTTATTGAGACAGAGTGAAATCAGGAGAAAGGAAATCGAGAAGGAGCTTAAGTCGCGCGACCAAGTGGCTACTTTGTTAGCTACGCCGCCTCCGGTATATATATCTATATATATCTGTGGCTTGTCTCGTCTCGATTTTCTTACATTGTGTTTCGACTTTCTTACGCTCCAGGCTAATTCGCACAAACACATTGCTGATGAAATGAGCAGTCCTTTGTCTCCGATCCCGGTGCCCGCACAAAAACAGCTCAAATATACAGCCGGGATCGCCAATAGCTCAGTGAGGGAGTCGGCAGCATTCACTGATCAAACACGAAAGGTTTGTTTTCTCGTTCGCCGCTGCCCGTAACTCAGAAGTTTGTACTGATCATTCTGGTAAATGCAGATGGTGCCTATCGGACAACTGTCGATGAAGAAATTAGCGCTGGTCGGACACGGCGGGAAGCTATGGAGATGGAAGAGGAGCCATCATCAATGGCTGTTACAGTTCAAATGGAAGTGGCAAAAGCCTTGGAGACTCTCCGAATGGATTAGGCACAGCGACGAGACGATCATGAGGACAAGGCCGCGCCCGCAGCCTCTCCCCGACGTCATGTATAGAAACGGACACTAGCTTGTGTGTGTCTCGACGCCGTTCATTCTTTTTACCCGTTCCCGACAGGCGGTGACAACGATTGGAATACGAGCAAGTAAGTTTCATCGATTACGCGGTATCATATTTATTATACGATCGATCGATTATCTTCTTGAACTCAAATTAGTTTCTACTCGAAAATGCAGGTTGAGGCATAAGCAGAAGCCGGCGAACAATGGACGTTAGATTGAACAGGTTTTTCGACCGTGGAATTTTGTAGCGACGATCGATCCGGCCGCCGTCGCAACGATGCTACGACGGACGGACGGCATGGACAGACAGATGTGTAATATGTTGGGATTGTGATATGTATAGGGAAGTTGGTGTTGCATTTCAACGTGTTGTGTTCTTCGTTGTTGTATGTATAATGTACATATGCACGCTTTGTGTAGATGTTTTATTTTTTGGGGGGAAATTGATTTTACTCATAAATACTAGTACATCATTATTAGTGTAATTTTTGCATATACTTTTGGAAATCTCTGTTTATTATAACCAAAATTATTAAAATTTAGTTAAAGAGGCAACATGCAAGGCAATGGATATTTAATTATATCCAAAACTCTCTTGTACCTACCGTAAAGATACCATAGATATATAGGACAATGTAAGTTCAGATACCATGGATAAATGGGACAAATTTCTTACTTTGCTGATTCCACTTACTTTTGTTTTGTACCCATTAATTTGATTTTTCTAATCTTCTACAAATTTGACACCTCTCTTCACTGCAGCCAGCAGCATCAAATTATAAACTTGGTTGACTTCTTGTTCTTGATCACTTGACTCTTGGATCTGTAAGTGGTTTGACGCTTAATTTATCATGTAGATTTTATTCATTTCGATTCTTGTTTCAATTTAATTGTAATTATTCAGGTTTGAAAGACATGGGCACAATTTGGGGTGTAATTGTGGGTATAGGAATTGGATTTGTGTTGTGGAAGGCCTTGTGGTTCTTGAAGAGGCAAGAACACAAGATAGAAGAAGATGATATCGATGGTGATAGGAAGGTGAGGATGAATAATAATATTCCAGGTTCAGTGGGACTTCCATTTATAGGAGAACTGGGTTCGTTCCTGGCAGCAACTCACAGCACCAATGGCGTTTACCATTTCGTTAATGTCCGAAGACAACGGTATCCATTCATAGAAGTGATATCATATCATTCAGGATGCATTAATTTACTGTGTATGAATTATTATTATTATGATTATTGTTGTTGATTGATTAGGTATGGGAAATGGTTCAAAACAAGAATTCTGGGGAAGACGAGCGTGTTCGTCCCGACAGTGGAGGGCGCAAGAAGTGTTTACAGCAGAGATTTCGAGCAGTTCAACAAAGCCTACGTGAAATCCATGGGAGATTTGGTCGGGAAGAAGAGCCTCTTCATCGTCCCCAAAAGTCACCACCAGAAGATCAGACGCGCCCTCGCTCATCCATTTTCCATGAACTACGTCTCCCATTTTGTCCCCAGATTCGACGCCTTGCTGTCCCAAAGATTACAGCGATTGGAAGAACAGAGAAGAAGCTTCCCTGTTCTTGGGTTTGCCTCCAAGGTAGTAACTAATCAATTCGATATAATCAATATATGATTAATTAAATTGAATTGAATTAAAATAGGTGGGGTTCGATTCAATCTGCGATGTTCTACTGAGCATTAGGGACGCTGAGCTGCTGGGGGAGATTGAGAGCGACTGCAGAGATGTTTACGACGCCATGCTTTCATTGCCTTTCATGATTCCAGGCACTTTGTACTACAGAGCCATTAAGGTTACTACTCCATCTCCATCTATCATCATCAATTTCAACAACGTGCTGTAATGATAATGATAATTCATTACAGGCGCGAGAAAGGTTGATGAAGAGATTCAAGAGCATAATCGCGGAGAGGCGGCGCCGCCCAAAGGCGGAGGCGCGTGATGAGAAGGGAGATTTTCTGGAGGTTATGCTGGGGGAGGATTCGTTGCTGGACGACGAGGAGATTATGGATAATTTGTTGACTACGATATTGTCCGGACAGAACACCACCGCCTCCGCCATGATGTGGGCCGTCAAGTTCATCTCCGACCACCTCCCCGTCCAGGATAAACTCAGGGTGGGTGGGTGGCTCTCAAATCTCAATTTTTTATTTAATCTTTTTTGTGTGTGTGTCAAATAATTACTATATATATAAAAATGCATTAATGGTTTTTATTTTTATTTTTTGAAATAATTAAAATGACTTGATTAATATTATAGGAGGAAGCACTGTCCCTGCGCGCAGCTCAACCAGAAGGAGCAGCGCTGGCGTATGAAGATATGAATAAAATGACATATACTTCTAAGGTACAGGAGACTGGCTAATTAATTAATTAATTTAATTCATTATTATAATAATAATAATAATAATAATAATAATTAAATAATTATTATTATTATTATGTCTTTGATAACAAGGTCATAAAGGAGACGCTGAGAATGGCGAATATCGTGCTGTGGTTTCCGAGAGTTGCACTAGCCAACTGCACTGTTGATGGTTGGTTCATCAAAGCTTTATATATCACATCACATTAATTAAATTGTGTATTTGGTTAACTACGACTATATATACGAATTCACCTATAATTCTTGTAACTGTAAAATATAAACAATAATAATTATAATAGGTGTGGAGATACAAAAGGGATGGCACGTGAACGTTGACGCAGCACACATACATTTGGATCCAGCAGTTCATCCAGACCCTTTGCGTTTCGATCCTTCTAGATTTGACGTAAGATACCTCTTTTTCTTTTTATTACAATATATATATATATATATATATATAAATGGAGGATATATTATGGGGTGCACAGGAAATGCCGAGGCCGTACACATACATACCATTCGGAGCAGGGGCAAGGACGTGTTTGGGAATCAACATGGCAAAGGTGACCATGTCCATCTTCTTGCACCGTTTGACGTCTGGATACACGTGAGCCATCCAAACACGCCCTTACTCTCCTACTCCTTCATTCTTTCCCAATTATTGATCGATTCTTACATACAGGTGGACCCTCGACAATGCCGATCCTAGCCTCGAATGCAAAGGGTTCATTCCTAAACTCAAAAGTGGATGCCCCATTACCCTCACTGCATTGAATCACAAAGAGAAATCAAAAGCTCAGTAAGAGGTGACCGAATTAGTGTGATAAGTAGATTTGTAAACCGAAGATGCCCTCTTGATCTTGTTTGCCAGGGTGCCATCCAGGGCTTGTATTTGTATTGTTTGCCAATCGAATCTTTGTTCGTACAACTTCGATTCTTGAGGTCTAAATATTTCCAGTTTCTGGTGCAGCTGTAAAACCTGATATTCTATGGACTTCATCAACATTGGAACTTACAGATGTAAATCAAATAGGCCGAAGAAAAAAGTATGATAATTAGTGTAAAGATACTAATCACAGAAAACGAAAGCATGACCATAATCAAATTAATTTTATTGCAACACAGAGGAAATTCAGTTGATGATGCATATGCAAAACAGATTATTTTATTCTCTAGTCTATTCACATATTAATCACCACCAAAAACAGGTGAAAGTTGAAAATCTACAAGAAAATTGTGATGATAGTTGAAGAAGAAGCATTTGCTCATGAAATTTAAAATTCAACAGCTGCGCTAGAAACCAAAATGTTACCTCACTTAAGAGAGCATGGAGTGGAGGGAAATTGATCTATCCTGTCTCTGTCTGGGTGAGGATTGAAATTCTGTTAGCATTATCTGGTTGGAGTGGCTGGTATGTTGCAATGCAGTGGACTTGCATCATTTTGTAGCAGGCACTCAAAGAGAATCAGAAATGCAATCAATTCGTTTCTGCAAATAGATCAACAAATTCACATGATTCAAAAAAAACCGAACTTACAAAAACGACAAAAACTCGAAGTAAATGAAATGAACGAAGAAAACGATTACAAGCTACTTCACAATATATATGTTAAAATGCTTTCGAGTTTGTTTCTGCACATCATATCTCAACAAACTGCAATTTACAAAATAAAATAAACATATTAATAAAAACAAATCAAAGATAAACATCCCCCAAAAAAACCCTAGACACAGACTTAGAGAACTGAACAACCAATGTGACTACAAATTCAACCAAACAAGGCATCGAGAATCTACATATACACAGGGAGAGCACATTAATTGGAAGAAAACATTAATATGTTAGCAGCAATGGAGTGGTAACCCTTATCAACGAGTTTGCCAGCCAATTTTAAGAAAAAGTACCGTACGCTTTCACGCCAGGCGTCAATCTCCTCGCTAGCCATTGTTTTGGCTTCGTAGCTTAGCCCTCCGCCTCCGCCTTCGCCTTCGCGCCCATGGCAGGCAATCCAGACTTCACCTTCTTTTCGCATAATCGACGCTGCCCGCAGTTTTTGTATTGAGACTATTTATTTATTATTGGGCTTGGGCTTGGGCTTGAGAACTTATTTTTAAGGCTCACATTATCCGCATTGCCTAAATATGGGTAAATTAATTATTTATTAGGCCCAAATTAAATTTATTCATTATTAAACTAAAGCAAGACAAAATTGCAATATCATTTATGTAATTTTGCCAGTTGAGAGTGAAGATATATAAGTGAAGTTAAATACAATCTGTTCACATTTTCGTAATATTAGTCATAAGAAAAACTGATACTTCAAAATTTAGAGTAAGCAAAATGAAGCCAGAAAATATTTTAAATTTAAATAAATGAATTAAGAGTATAAACTCACAATTCCTTTGTCCTACCTTATCTGTAGTCAACGCCAAACCAGCTGTAGACAAACTTTTGACTTTCCTCCTATCCTCCAACGTACATTATTTTAAAATTTCCGTTTATATATTTTATTTTAATAAATGTTTATTTCGAATAAATTGTCAACAAAATAAATTGAACGAATATTGGCCTCGGTGTTGAAATCGCATCGTTTTGACTTGGTCAAGCTAACACATTTGCAATCCACTCCTTCATTACATAGCATGTTACAATTGACCAAATCAAATTTAAAACATTTTTTTTTTATATATATAAAAGTTAAATTTTATTGTGTTTATCATAATCATACAACAGCAATAAAGTCTTCATTACAAATAGGATTACACATGCCTGCGAACAACTTGCCATTATTACAAACCACTTTGGAATATTGCTATTATTATTATTATTATTGTTGTTATTTTGTGTTTCCTTAAATAAATTATTGTGACATTTCATAGTCAACTATCCTTGCGAAATTTTTTTTTTTTTTTTTCGTTTTATAGAATTTCTCTGCCCTAATCCCTTTTTAGTCTTTATATAATACCGAGGAATTAACCTACTCGACAGGTGTAGAACTAGAAGCCATGGTCGGAGCACCGGTGTCCTTTTCCGGCGATCAGCCCCACCACCACGCCGCCGCCGCCGGTATGACAACAGAATTAGAATAATCAATTATGTACTGTAGCAGCTAATCAATTCTCCTCCTTAGACTTTTCAGGTACGGACGCGACTGCAAGATACGCGCCGCCATCGCAGATTTACGCCACGCCAAATGCCCCCATGTCTACGCTGTTACCTTACAACGGCGCCGCCCCGCCGGTCCCTTACAGCGCCTCCGCGCCCATGCCGGAACCGCCTATTGACACAACTCTCCTGTTTCCTCCTAATCCGGCGGCGGCGTCCACTTTTCCCCCCAATCCGGCTGCGGCGTCCCCTTTCCCCCCTCATCCGGCGGCGGCGTCCCCTTTCCCCCCTAATCCGGCGGCGGCGTTTCCTTTCCCTCCTAATCCGGCGGCGGCGTCGCCTTATCCCCCTAATCCGGCGACGTCACCTTTCCCGCCGAAGCCATCCACTTCTGCGCCCATAAACCCGGCGAGCTTAGTGGCGGCGCCACCTCCGTTCCCGGCATACTCAACGGCTCCTCCGCCTTCATACTCAAGTGCCCCTCCGACGTCGAATGCATACCCGCCTGCTTCAACGGCATTCCCCGGCGCTTACCCGCCGGCTACGTATCCTCCGGCAGGATATCCCCCGAGTGGTTATCCGGCAGGTCGGTAATAGTAATAGTATCACATTAATTTAATCTACGAATTTGGAGTTCAATCGCCATTTTAATTAATTAATAAATACTTACTGCAGGAACGTACCCTCCTCCACCTCCACCTCCACCTCCATCGACGACTACTGGTGCTACATATCCTCCTCCTCCTCATCAAACCCAAGCGCCGCCTTACTCCGCCGGAGGATTTTACCCTCCCGGCCAGTATTGAAAGCAACTATTTAATATCCCCGGCCTGGCCAGTACTAGTACTACTGCTCTACAATAAAATGAGTTGAGTTGGATCTGTAAAATAATTTTATTTGTTAATTTGTTCTTCTCACTATAATTATTGTTTTTAGTATCAATTAAGTACTATGTTTATGAGGGACTTTTCGAGCTGGTTTAAAATTGCTTCTTGCATAATGAGCATTGTCAGTTAGGATCTTCACCACTGTTTGTGTTTCTGTCAAGTTCCCCTATGTGATTTCAGTGGAGACAGATATTAGTAAATATAATAATTTTTCTTACTCATTTCTATTGTTCTGAAGTATATTTGGACGATTTTTAGGTGATTATCTTTTTATTATGAATGAACAAATTTGTTGTACGGTAGAGATTAAAAATAATAAACGAACAAAGGGTAAAAATATAAAATTTGTGTTTAAAAAAGAAAATAAGACAATAGTTGTTCGACGTCACAAATAGAAAAGTAGGACATTAGTTTGCGAAAAGAGGGAGTGTAAAATAATAATAATATTTGTATAAAAATTTGAAATTATCACAACTACTATAAAATTATCTGGAACACCCATTATTTTAACAAAAAAGATAAAATCTAAGAAATTTGATTGAATAAGAACAATACATATATATTTTCTACAATTTTTATATATACAATTATTACTTTGCCATAATATTTTACTATTCAAAAAATATATATAAATAAATACATAAATGTGATTTTATTCAAAAAATAAAAATAAAAATAATTTTATTATTGAATTATATATTTTTTAAATTATAATAAAATATTATTTAAATACAAAATATAAATCCAAATTTTATAAATCAAATTCATAAAAATAATATTTTAGTACTCCCTCTTTCCCGCAGCAATAGTGGCGTTTGCTTTTTGCATGATTTTGAATATTAGTATTATATTAGATTGTAGTATTAGTATGATATAATATAAAAGTAATAATATTTGTGTAATATATTATTTGAAACAATATTTATTATGTTAAATAGATAGTAAAATTAAAAATAGTAAAAAATGAAAAATGATAACCTGGATTGAGAGAGTATAAAAATAAAATAAATAAATAAATAATAAAAATTACAAGTGAATATAATTATTTATTATAAATATTAAACAAATTGTCTATATAATGAAAGCATTTTATTGGACAAGGTAATTATTAATGCATTAATATCAGCAGCAGCAGATCTCCCAATTTCGAAGTCCATCGGAAGGAAAGCCGACTTCTGTTTCACCGCGAAGCTTCATATACAACCAAAGAGATGGTAGATATGAAGTTTTTGGGAATTGATTTTGGCTGTGCGGTGGGATCGCTTAGCAAAGGTGAATTTCCTGAAAAAGATTGTGTGCTTCCATTGATATCTAAGCTTTTGGGCTACTGCATCGTTGCTGCTTCCACTACAGTCAAACTCCCGCAGGTATTTTTTAATTGAAGATTTATCTACTTTGGAAATGTTGTTCTTAAACATTTTCTTAATTAAGACTGAATGGCTCATTAAAATTTTCTTAGGGTTTGGCCTTGGGGGCAGATAATTAAAGAAGAATTAACATTTAAGCTGGAATTATATAGTTAGTGCGTAATAACAAATATGTCATTGCAAATTTATGGTAAATTCTTATAGTTTGGATCGACTTGACTGAATTTCGTTGATCACAAATTCCATTTGTGTTTTGGAGGTGAAAGTGATGTCTGAATTCTGTGTTGGAATTCTGGCTAGATAGTTATGTGTATACCCTCTTGAATTCTCTATGTAATGCAATTAATTCAGTGGAGAGTTCTTAAACTGTGTGCTTGTGTTCTTGGGATTGGTAATTTTGTTTGTTTTGGATGTTAGTAGGGGTGAAAATTAATGGTTGAAAATGATCTTTTTGCCCTGTTGAGAACACAAATGAACAAAGCTAGGTGATTGTTGTATTAGTTAATTACCGGAATGCTAATCTGTCTTTTAAATAACACATGTAGGAATGCCAAACACAGAAATTTGAAATGGGATTTTCATAAACAAATTGCTATAGATCAAACTTCAATGGATTTTTAAAAATTTTCCTCAATCAATGGAATATTCTAAAGGCTGTCAAAGCCGCTAGGCTCAAAAAAGCTAAATTTCTTGTAGTGCTGCCCTTAAGGATGTAGGGAATGGTGATTCATCCTCGTAACATTAGATTTTCATTTTTCAACAAGCTGTGGTTTTTCAATGAGACAACCGTCTGGCTTTTAATATAGCTCCTGGATTATGGGTGGACACTGGTTGTAGATTGAATTTCAATGTGCATGAGGAGCCTGAATATATAAACACATAATTCATTTATTGAGAGTGGAACACAAAATCTTGTTGGTAATATATCACATTTATTTCTGAGCATATGATTCTGCAATAACCACCCCCCTTATGCAGTTCTTCTTTGGTTTTATTTTCAGATACTAAGAATTTTGAAACACAGTAGTGTCAGAGGGCTTAGTGTTGTAGCCTTTGAGCTTGAGGTAGTTGGCTATACCATTGCTTTGGCATATTGCCTTCACAAAGGTCTTCCTTTTTCAGCATATGGGGAGCTAGCATTCCTTTTGATTCAAGGTATGTAGTTTGGTTCCTTCTTATCCACATATTTCCTTGAGGGTAAATAAAAATAACTGGCAGAGAGAAGCATACAGGAAATTCTCTATCCCTATGTTTATCATCAAATTACATCATTTTAGCATAGTTGGTGAGGGCTGTTTGCTCAAATGCACTATTAAAATTGTGCACTATTTATTTTGGAAGAACCCCCTGTGCATTCATTCAATCAGTTATGTGGAGTAATTGAATAGTTTACTTTCTATCCTGAGGCCTGACAATCTGCAAGTTGATCCTAATAATGTTGATTTTCTTTGGCACTCATCTTACATATTGATACCTCCTATTTCTTATCTTATTCATTGCATCAATTCATCTTTACTTTTGCAGCCATTATTCTTGTGGCAATTATCTACTATTTCTCTCAACCACTGGGAATGAAAACATGGATTAGAGCTTTAATGTATCCTTCGAATTTTGACTGCTCTCATTCATGAAATGTAACTTGTTCCATAATAGTAAAGCCTCCATTTCCGTAACAATCTTCACACAGATATTGTGCAATAGCACCAACAATCTTGGCTGGACAAATTGATCCCCTTCTATTTGAAGCTTTATATGTGAGTCCCAACAATTAGCATTTATAATTTGAAATTTTCCTGTTCTGTTCCTATTAACCGCATCTTTCAGCTAAATTCTTGTGATATAGCCATCAGCAACTTCTTACCAGTGACACTTAATTCGTATTAGAGGCTAATCTCACGCTTGAAATGCATTCGACAGGCTTCTCAGCATGCAATTTTCTTCTTTGCAAGGATTCCACAGATCTGGGAAAACTTCAAGGTAACTGCTTTAGTTTTTTCTTTGCCTACTATGGAGCTTACAAAACATTTAAAACAATATTTTGTATTAATAGAACTTTGAGAAGTGTAAGCATGTTACAAGGATATTTGTTCTTCCCAGTATTGTTGCATTAGTTCATCCTTTACTTGTGTCATTTGCCTCAACAGAACAAAAGCACCGGGGAGCTTAGCTTTTTGACATCACTCATGAATTTTGGAGGCTCCATGGGTATGTATATATCTTATTCCTGTGTTTGCACGGGCTGAATAATTAGAGTTTGTAGCTTCTCATAATTCAACTCCTTGTGCTGTTTGGCAGTCCGAGTTTTCACCAGCATCCAGGAAAAGGCACCATTCAGCGGTATTCCTACCGATTCATACTCTTGATTCAACCTTTTTCATCATCCCTTTTATTTACTTTCCATGAATTATTACTATTATTAAACTGCAGTGGTGATGGGGTCTGTAATCGGCATTGCGACCAACGGTGCTATCTTAAGTCAAATTGTCACATACCAACAGCGCGCCGCAAAGAAGGAAAAGAAAACCGATTAGAGAAGTCGGATGAGTCGACCTGCTACTAGACTTATGTGTTGAAAACATAGAATCTTGACAGATAACAGCAAATTTATGTTCTTTTGTATTGGGAACACTGACTACTTATTTAAATCTACACACCATACTCTCTCTTCAGGTAAGGTTGCACTTGCACTGCCCTGTTGCTTATTCAATTCAGTTTCACACTTACATATAAAGTTAAAACCTTTTTAAATGCATGATCACATAACATTAGTTCTAAACAACTTGAATCATATCACAATTGCCATTCTAATTAAATCTTTCTGCTTAGCATCAACAATCAAAAAGGGATTCAAACATACCCTATAGATAGCCGAAATCTCCAACTTCGACAGCCAGCATACATTAGTTGTTGTTCCTCTCGAAAGTATTCCTCGTTCTGCTGCCAAAGCTCGACCACCTCCTCAACGTGCCCGCCACTAAGCTCCTACCGGAGAAAGACCCGAGCCTCATCTTAAACGAGGTTGCCCTTCCATTACTACCCGATGTTGTATTAACATCTCGGCCACCCACAGCCGCCACGTTATCGCCGCCACCAACATCCTGCTCATGAGCACCGGCAGCCTCCGCCAATTCCGGCTCTACTGCATCCAAATTCACCGCCAAAGAACCCCGACTCGCCCTCAACCAATCCACGCCCCCGGCTGTCACCCCTCGACACTTCTTGACCTTCACCTTCACCAAATTAGGACACCCACAAGCCAATGCTTCCATGCTCTGGTCCGAAACAGGACAACTCTTTATACACAACTTCTTCAAAGAAAGACACTTTGCAGCAATGCACGATATCTCGGCATCCCCGACAGTCTCGCTCCCACACAGAGCTAACCTCTCCAAATTCGGACAGTTATTGGCCACTTTCTCCAAACTCAAATGTGTAGGATTGACACCAATCAAAACCAGCTCCTGCAGATTAGGACAGTGTGCCGCGATCGCAATCAATCCTTGGTCGTTTATTCTATTCGTCTTCCATCCGTCAATGTGGACCTTCCTAAGCAGCCGGCATTTCTCGGCCACGTTCCCGATTCCGACATTCGTGCACTCAGGCGTTTTCACTAAATGCAGTATCTCAAGATCAGGACAGTTTGCCAGTGCAGACAGCCCCAAATCAGTAACCTGAATTTTCTCCAAATGAACCTCTGCAAGCCCTGCAATTCCATCTCCAATCGTTTCAAGCAACTTGTCCCAATTCCCAGCACACCTGTACAACTTCAAACTCCTCAAATTCTTTGCCCCGACAATCAATGCCCCGAAACGCTGCCCGTGGTAAAGATCCTTCAGACAAATTACTTTCAGAGAATCTGCAGCCTTCCCTGGCCCGATTGATTCAGACTCGGGCCCGTCGGCAATGCCGCGCAAGCGCTTTACAGAGAGCTCCTCAAGAAACCCACAATTTTCGAGCAAAGAATTCATCCCTTTTGCCCCGAAACCGCACGACCCACAAGAGAATTTCTTCAGATTCTTACAGCTCTCGGAGAAAGCAGACATCCCTTCGTCGGTGAGCTCGCGGCAGGCGCGGAGCTTCAGCCTCGTGAGGTTCCTCCACTTGAGAGAGATCAGAATCAAATCGTCGTCGCCGATGCTGACAGATCTGCGGTCACATTTTAGTGCGAGCTTAGTGACGGCGTCGAAACGGCGGCACAGGCGAGGTATGTCGGCGGAGAGCTCGAGCTGGGCGTGGAGCGAGAGGCGGTGGCGGCTCTGACCTTCCACTCTGAGCCATCGCCGGCAGACCAGAGAACAGCGCTTTCTGTCGCCGGAAGAAAGGGGCTGGAAAATGCAGGCCAGGCACTCGTCGGGTAGGGTTAGAGTGTGGTCGTTGCCGGAGATGGAGTCCTCGGCTATATCTTCTCGGTGGTTTTCGAAATCCGGCGAGGAAACCGCGGCGGCGGCGGTGGCGGACTTCGAGGATCTGGGCTTCCAGGTAGAAGCCGACTGGCCCATTTAACGTCGATCTCCGCCGCTCGATCGCTCAACCGATTGTGATTCTTGATTGAGCTGATCTGTTGCCCGCGGATTCGAAACTGGAAAGGAATTCCGATTTGATTTGAGACGATGATATTTGATTCAAGAGATCATCGTCGGGAATTAAGGCGGAAAGATGGGTACTTTTATTTAGGTTTTTTCTCGAGGATTATTGCTTTCAAATGTTTGTCTTATCAGTTCGGTTGAGTTCCATGTGTGGAGGTTTTCAGAATCCCGACACACCGTCGTGGCTCAAATCTAGCCGTTGTTCTTTTTTTTCTATTAGATCCTTAGCACCGTTATTGCATTATCTTCTAATAATTAATTCATTTATATAAATGGAGTTCATGGAATGAATATTTTTTAATTTGTTTTCACTTTTCAGCTGTGCTGTAACAAAATTATATGATCTTTGGGAGACTAAAGTTGATGTTTTGTTAATTTTACTTTGTATATCTAATTGTGGTAAGCCCAATCACATATCTTGATTTATTGACCTTGTTAGATTTTGTGACAGATTTTTATTTTTTATTTCAATGCAGATGATACGAATTTGATTCTTTATAGTAATATAATTACTTGTTAGTCAATCTTTATATAATATTATGTCACCGTACGTGTGCGATTTCATGTATACCTAATTTAAAATGGGACTAAATATAATAATACTACAATACATGTATTATTAACATGCATGTTATTGCTCCTCCAATTCATATAGATAATTGGATACATTTCCTTGTTCAAAATGTTGTCTTCAAATTTAATAGTATATTCAGATTGATCATCTTCAATTGTTCAAATTGTGTGATCTCCAAAATTACAACTTGTATAATTCCTTGATTACTTATTCAGAAGAAGCATAATGTTCTTAACAAGAACAACACAACAACACACAAGTAGATGCTGCTGCAACTCATACTCAGATCACAATTCACAACAACTAACACACCTTCAATTCAATTAATTCCCTTTCTTACCAATCGATTCCGCCACCGCTTCTTTCGCCGATTCCAGCTTCTCCGCCACCTTCACGGCGGCTCCAGCAACGCCTCCGGATTTCTCGTCGGTGCGCGGGGCGACATGAATCACCTCCACCTTCTCCGTCTCCTCGCCGCCGCCCGCCGGCGATCGGTGATCCACCGTCTCTACCTTCCTCTCCACCGCACCTTCGTCGTTAACTCTTTCCGTGCCCTAATTAATTCCATCATTCAAATAATACAGCCAGCAAAAAAAAAATATAATATCCAATCACACAAGTTTCAAATCTCAATTCCAGATTAACAGCGAACTCACGAACAATCAAATTGCATTCCAAAGGCATTACACAGAATTAATATAATCAAATCGAAGATGCAGAAATCCGATCGCCACGTACATACGTACCTTCGATGTATTCATTGAATCCGTAATGGCGCCGAGATTGAGATTGAGATTCAGACTCAGACTCAGATTAATTTTTGAATGTTAATCCGATTTATCTATCACAATTCACGAAGCAAATTAAAGCAGTGTCGTTGCCTTTTTGAAGGGGGGCTGAATGGTGACACGTGACATACAACGCAATTGCTGAGTCATAGTGCCTACCCAATCACATATTGCCAAGTCTACATTTAATTTATACATTAAATTCTACTGCACGGAACTCAATATTCAAATATTAATTAATTAAATTATGGGCTTTAACCTACGGCCCAAATCCAATTCCTTTTGTTATTAAACTTCAGCGTGGCCCACATTAAGCCCATTAGTCCGTAAACTATGTTATAATCCTACAGCCAGCCTGCTAACTGCAAAAATATTTATTCTGATAACATGAAAACCATTTTCAAATTATTATTCATATGTTACTGTTAATAAAAAGATCAAAACTTAACCAATTAAATCGAAATTAAAAGAAATTGAATATAATTGAAGATATATATATATGATCCTCATGGATAATTTGCTCATAAAATTCATTACCTAATAATTGAATAGAATATACAATTAATTGATTGCTTAATTAATTAATTAATTATATGAAATAAATTATAATTGGTATCCTGAAGTTCACTAAAAATAAATAAGGTGATTGATGAGTGCATAAAATAATGATGATTAGTTAGGATATTAATTATAACCTATTGGCGCATGTTTCCTCTGCTTTCGGCCATGCAATAATTATTTTATTTTTATTGTCGAATATTACTAACTATATTAAAGATTTTAAAATAGTCAAAGTTGGTGGGTCCTATAAACCTACATGATAGCTACCTACATTTGTCTATATTATAGAAAAATAAATAAATAAATTTATATGCGAAATTAGTCCCACGAGAATCATGAGTTTCACAACATTCGGTTTCGGCGTCCATATACCTACGTAACTATCTCTATATTATATATATATATATATATATACACGTGGAAAATGAATTTTGTTTATTTATGTTTTTAATTTTACTTTTATACATTTTATTTTTTTAATCCTTATATTGATTACCTTTCGTATATGTATGTAATTTCTTTAAATAAAATTTTAAAAGAATACTTATATATAATTAAATACTAATAAAATTAATAAAAATGACCGGTAAACTAAAGAGCGTAATAAAGTTGCTTTATAAGCAGACCTCGCAGCCTATACAATAAATTATTTTTATCAATTACAGCTGTATATTCAATCAAGTTTTTTTCTTTTCTGTCTCTTTTGTTTTTAATTATTTTATTGTTATTATTTAAATAATTGAGCGTATACAATAATTTGTTGTGATGTAATGTGTGGTGAGAAACGTACTGACTTTGTTAATCCTGTCCAGTTATAGATTAATCCAATTTCTTATTACTAAGTCGGTGATAAATTGAATTATAAGCTGATATTATACTTTCAATTTTTTATTTTTTTTTTCATTTCAATAATTTTTTCAATTCTTTATATATATTATAATCTTTGGGTGTGTCAATTTTGTATGTTTGGATGAATATATTTTTTTTATGTCAGATATACAAAATTATATCGGTAATACTTCATCCGTCCCATAACAAAGTATCTATTTTTTCATTTTAGTCCGTCTCATAACAAAGTATCAATTTTATTTTTTTTTAATAACTGTACTATCTACCTAACATTACAAATACACTTACAACTTATAATATATTATATAAATATCATTATTTTTATATCACACATACTAACAAGGTTATTTTAGTCATTTATACTTTATTCCTACTATATCCCAATATAATACTAATATTTCTAAAATTACGAGCAAAAAAAGCAAATGGATACTTCTTTTTGGGACGAAGGGAGTACAAAAAATAATAGTTTGTATTGAATTATTGTTTTTTTTTTCTAAGTGAACATATTATATATTGTATTAATATTTATATACTCCCTCAGTCCCAAAATAAGTGTCTCATTGAGAGTTGACACGAGAATTAAGGAATAATAGTATTTAATTGAAAGTGGGTATAAAGTATAATAAAAATGAATAAAATGCCCTTACTTTTTGAAGGATTTTAAAGAGGATGTTAGAGTAATAATTAGGGGTAGTATGAAAAAGTATAAATAATTTTGTTATAAAATGGGGGACCACGGCTACTAAATAAGGAAACAAGACAATTATTTTGGGACAGACAAAAATGGAAAAACAAGACAAATCTTTTGGGACGGAGGGTGTATTTTATTTTATTTTTGTTATATTTATGAAATTGTATTACTCATAAATAAGTTGGATGAACAACTTCTTTTATTCTCTGTATGTCGAAATTTTTTCGAAAATTTCAAAATATTTTTACAGCTCAAAGCAAACACATCCTTAATTTTGATCTGATTCAATAATTAGATATTATTAGAAGAAACAATTGACACATATATTGATTAGGGTAGTATTTTATAATTAAAGAATTTGACGGGAAACCGAAAGTTGTCGGGATATGATATGTATATGCAGAAAATGGACCGCCGCCGGCCGGTGCTCCATTCGTAAGAATGTCTGACCTGTCCAAATGTTTATCGATCCACGTGGCATGTGGGCCCCAAGTCATTTGAAAACCTAACAAACATCAAATTACCTAACACGCAATCAGTTAGGGTAATAAATGGGATAACAAGTTTTGTTACTTTGGAAAAAAACAATAAAAAATGTTTGAGAATATTTATATTACCATCTCTAAACATTTTTTTTAATAATATAAAAATATATCACTATTTTTCGAATGCGCTCTTGATACTATCATTAATGTATGTGGTATATTTTTTTATTTAATATTACGGTCTGTTAGAAAAGACATATAGGACAAATCATGTATGTTAGATTTTACAGAAAAAAATGTTAACAAACTTAGAATCGATCACCGTTTCTTACGAAATATCAATATTTTATTTTATTTTATTTTATTCTATTTTATTTTCTTAGTGGAAGTGGTATCACACGTTGAATGTATGTATGAATATGTGTAGAGAGTAGAGTTGCTTAATGTGGTGAAAAGCCACTTCACTTGCTACCTTTATTCTTTCCATGTTTTTTACTTTTTTCACTTTAGTAGTTTGCTGTCATCAACATAAAGTATCAATCATCAAATAAAGTATATGCAGATTTCTTGCTGCCAATTAGGATCTCTACATAGGATTTTTGGTTGAATTTCAATTTTATTTAAATAATATTTTAATAGCTATTTTATGAAATAAACAATAGTATTTTTTTATTGACAAATCATACTTATAAAAAAAGGATATAGTTTATACTACAAACTATAATTAGTTTAACTCTATAATACCAAAATGATGTATATTTTCACAATTTGTGTTGTGTGTCCCAATAAAGCAGCAGGACCAATCACAACTCTCAATCTAATAAATTGGCCAATTGGATCAAAAGATCTCACTTTAGTTTGCAGAATAAATTATGCATGAAATAACTAAATTTAATAATCTAAAGTAATTTTGATATGAACACCAAATTAAAGCTGCAAGGAATATATTTTGATTGTATCTCTCTCTAATGGAGTATGAGGAAGCATCCTCTTCCTTTCCTCACCAGTCACCATGTGGATGTTCATTTACCCAAAATAAATAAATAAATATTTAAAAAGAGAATCTTTCGATATACATTTATTTCGACTAATTAAAGAATCCAAACATGCAGATTAATTTTTATTTTTTATTTTCCTAATTTTTTGCTGAAAAGAAGAGATCCAGTGCTTTTGATATGTTATTTTTAATTAATTTGATGCCTATCTACTCTATTCAGTGCATCAGGACTGATATATAATTATTAAAATCTTTGTTCCCAAAAATTGTGGCAATTATTTATGAATGGATTAAATTATATACAATTGAATAATTAAAGGGCAACGAAAGTACAACCTGTTAGGTACATAATACCGTAGATCCGTATACAAAGCAGTAGATTTGATTCTGTTTAGATTATTATGTGTTCATTATTTTATTTAATTTAATTTTAATTAATAATGGATATTTAATTACTTAAGTAAATCAATTGAGCCAACTTTGGGCGGGCCATGTGCGACAACTTTGATGGTCAATTTTTAAATATGGAAACTTATCAATAATGGAGTTTTTTTTTTTTTTTATGAATTATGATTGTTCTTGGGAGAAATAAGTTATCTAATGTTTGTATACGAGGGTGTGGTAATTATAAAGGGGTTTAATACATTTTGCAATTACATTTCCATCAATTTAAATTTCTATAAATTTAAGAATTCAAACTATGTGAAACTACGATGATAGTAATAATAATAATAATAATAATAATAAGAGACACACGTGTGGCACAGTACTTGTCACGTGAGCGCACTTGCGGGACGTAGTGTGGAAGAGCGAAAGTAGGTGAAAATATGGCCAGGTAGCACGTGACGACGACACCACGTTGGATTTTTTTTCATTCATGTGGAAATTGACATTTATAGTTATATATATATAGTTTGCTGAACCCTCACGGCTAATTTAAATATATATTTTTAAATTTTTTTGGAGATCATCTGAAAATACAATTATCAATTGTACAATTCATTACTATTTATTTAAAATCATGATTAATAGGCAGGGAGGCAGGGGATATGAATAAGTCGCAGTGAACATACGTAACGTACGTCCGGTCTCTGAATATTCAGGTGCCATTTATTCCACCCAATTCATAATTGTAACTTAATTTAATACTGTACGTAATAACAACATGTATGGTTGGTGGGTGGGGCGTAGCAGTTATGGCTTCAGACAATATTGAATTTCTAATAATAATAATAGGAGTATCTGACAAGATTTAAGTACACTACCTTTGAATAAAAACCATTCAATACAAGGAAATAAAAAGCATTACATAAAAATGAATACCTAAATCTATTAAATTCATTCATTCGACCAAATAATCAACAAGGCTAATTTAAATTTGAATAAGGCGTGTGAATTCATTTAATTAATTAATTAAAATTGGGTTTGAAATGAAGGGAGAGTACAGTTAGTATAGACGACTCTCGTCTCGTCTGTGACCCGTTTGTTGGTTGGTTACTCTGCCCTGCCCTGCCCTGCCCTAAGTTTTGTCGTGTAGCGACTACTAATGCGCGCTGTGCAGTGCTTGCCCACCATTCAAAAAATAAAAATATCCTTTAATGCTATCCAGCCTGGCTACTGCTAACTTATTAACTTCCAAAACGGTCGGTGTTGTGAAATTTCCATCATTTATATTTATGCCCATGCCCCTAATTGCACGACGCGTGTCCCTTGCCAGCTACTATAACCTATTCCCTATTCCCTACTCTCTCCTTACTCCACTCCAGTCCTCGCCACCCCTCGTCTCTATCCGTTCCCTTTTTCCCACGCTATAAATACATTCATCTCCCTTCCTACGTCTCCTCCATTGCCGTTTCTCCAATCATCTGCGACTAACTATCTAAACACCACATCTATGGCGGACAGGATCAAAGGTCCATGGAGCCCCGAGGAGGACCATCTGTTGCAAAAACTCGTGGAGAAGCACGGCGCCAGGAACTGGTCCCTTATAAGCAAGTCCATCCCCGGTCGCTCCGGCAAGTCCTGCCGTCTCCGGTGGTGCAACCAGCTCTCGCCGCAGGTGGAGCACCGGGCCTTTACGGCGGAGGAAGACGCGACTATCATCCGGGCCCACGCCAAGTTCGGGAACAAGTGGGCGACCATTGCCCGCCTGCTCTCCGGCCGGACCGACAACGCCATCAAAAACCACTGGAACTCTACCCTGAAGCGCAAGTGCCTGTCCATGTCGGAGGAGGAGCTCAACAGCTTCGATCCCGACGCCGTCCACCCGCCGCCGCTGAAGCGATCGGCGAGCGTCGGCCCCGGCACGGAGGTCTTCTGCTTCAACCCGGGTAGCCCGTCCGGGTCGGACATGAGCGGCCTGAGCCATTCGGGTCATCTCGTTTTCCGACCCGTTGCTCGGACGGTTGGGTTCTCGCCGCCAGACCCGGTCACGTCGCTTAGCCTTTCGCTTCCCGGATCGGATGCGACTACGCCGGCGCCGGCGTCGATTTTAACAGAGCAAAGCTTGAATCGGAATCCAATTCCAATACTACAGCAAGTGGCGGATCATCCCGCACCCGTTTTATCATCTAAGCAGTATCCATCGCAGCATCCTGTTGAAGCTGCTGCTATCCAATCTAACCAGTTTTTCAATCCAGAATTCCTGTCAGTGATGATGGAGATGGTGAGGAAGGAAGTGAGGAGTTACATGGAAGGGATTGAGCAGAATGGGTTCTTAAGCCTGCAGAGTGAGGGCATCCGAAATGATGCTGCAGTCAAGTGAGAGATTGGGATTAGGATCGGATCGGATCATAGGCAAAGTTTGATTGATTAATTGATTGATTGGTTGAGTCTGTTTATGATATGCGAGTGAGTTTTAAGGATGGAATTTATTCAGTACAAGTGGGCTATGGAAGAAGAAGAAGAAGAAGAAGAAAGACAGCATCTGATGACCTAGCTTGTATTTGAATCTTTGAGAGAGAGAGAGAGAGAGAGAGAAATAAGTTTGCTTAGTGTCCCTCACTGTATATAAATGAGAAGAGAATGAATTTAACAATGGATCAATCCCAAATTAAATGGAATTGAGAGGTTGGCATTTTGCACATTTTGCTGAGCAACAACCATATCCAAAAGAATTGGTTTTAGCATGGATGCCTAGAGATGCTAGATGATGTTGCTGCCCAATAACTTTGTTAATAATAACAATAGTAAATTAGTAATAATAAATAATAATTTATATATGTATAACTTCATCTGGATCCAGTTATCATGTGCACTGACTGAAAAGCAAGCATTCAGCATCTCCAGTTTTATGCAGCGCCAAGAAAATGTCATCTGAATATTTTAGCCAGGTTTCTGCATAGAGAATTGAACTGAACACGAAGCAGCACAGCCACAGTTCTCACACAAAGTTCATAAAAAACTGATCTTTTTTTTTTTTCTCAGTTCAACAATAACCCAAACGGAATTACATGAGATTCAACCAAAATCTCGCACTATCAGGTGAATTGAATTGTTTACATGCTTGTTACTAAAGGTAGTTCCAATCCAAGTTATTATCTCTTGCAAAAATGAATGCCACAAAGGGTTGGTGGGGGCAAGTTAAGGACTGAGTGCAGCTTTCTTGCTACATTCAGTAAGAATGGCCAAAATAGAAGTAGAGCAGAGTCAAGAGAATCAGAGGATACAAACGAATTGAACATTCATTCATTGTAGGAAAACCCTAATTGTACATCTTAATACAACAAGCCACTGATGGTGATATTACAGATGCGAACGAAAGATGAGGAGCTAAATGAAGATAAAAATACTCAATTCCAGAGCCACAGAGATTCACTTAACTTCATTATTAATTTCCCGATTTGCTTCGGTTATTGAAGCTCATCTTCTCGAAATACTTAATCGAGAGCAAGGAAAGTGAAAGATTTACCTCATCCTTTCCCCATCGAGGTTTAGATCTAGCCGGGGCGAGTGGAGGAGGATGGTAAGGCCAAGCGGAGACAGCAATCGGCGCCGGAGATGAAGAGACCGGCTTCAGCAGCGGCCATAGATGACTCGAGTAGAGGCTACGGAAGCCGCCGAGCGCCGAGACAACCGCCCGCAGCTGGATCGGGCTGCGGTGGTGATGCTTTGTGCAGATCAGCTCCCACAGACGCTCATCCTGCGCCGTCCGCTTCCAAAGCCGGCTGACGCACGCCGCCTTCGCTAGAGTGCTCCCGTCGTCGATCCGTTGCAGAATCTCAAACAACAGATTCTCATCGAGCAACACCGCCTCTGTTTCTTTCAATAATTCCTCACCTCCTTGCTTTATCTTCTTGCTCGCCTCATTTTCTGTATCCCCGGAGACGGCCGAGCTGCTTTCTCCGCCGGAAAGTGAGCGCTTCATTTCCGGTAAGAAAGTAATCGAGGAAGGAACGATTTGAGGTTAGGTTTGCGAATTGATAAGCAAAGGAATCGGCGAACAGGCTGTTTCCAACGAGATCAAGATCAGAAGAGCAAAGTTTTTGGAGTTATCCAGTTAAAATGACAAGTTTGCCCCTGAAAGTATAACCCTTTTATCAATTTGATCCTACCATTTTGCGCACATAACCAAAATAGCCCATAAAAGTTTTCAAGAAACAGCCCATTGAGCAGCGGCATTCAACTCAAACTCACTGCTCCAAAGTTTCCGAATTGAAATAAAAGCAACATTATACAACAACTCATACGTTCCCTGTACGGACATGGCTGAAGAATTAACACACCTGCAACTAACAGTCTCTCTCAATGGCAAACTCCAAGATTCTTGGCTTGCAAAGAGCCTCTAATGGCAGAACCTTAGGGATACTAAACCCTGTCCCTTCAGTCATATCCACCAATTCATCACTCACTCTTTCCCACTCCAACACCTGAATCATCGTCCCCAGTGTCAACCCCAGCACCCTGGTGGCGATCCCGCCGCCGGGGCATTTCCGGCGGCCGGATCCAAAAGGGAGCATGAATCCCTCTTCTTCCCTCCCGCCATGCCTCTCCGGCAAGAACTTGTCTGGCTCCTCCCACAACCTCGGATCCCTATGAATCGCCCATATATTGACCAGCAGCATAGTCCCCTTCTCCACATCGTACCCTCCGACCTTGCAATCGCCGGAGGCTTCGTGGGGTATCAGAAACGGCACCGGAGGATACAGCCGGAGTGTCTCGGCGATCACTTTGTTAAGATACGTCAGCTTCGGCAGATCCTCCTCGCTCAAGAGACGATCCGCCGGCACGTGGGCATCGATTTCTGATTTTATCTTCTTCATAGCTTCTGGGTTGTTGAGCAGCAGCGCCATTGCCCATTCCATGCTTATTGACATTGTATCTGTTCCTGCAACCAGCAGCACCTGTTCGTAGACAAATTTTACAGTGGTATAGTTAAGAAGAAAGACATCAATCAAGTATGAATTTTTAAAAACTTTGAATTGGGTTTGATCTTCTCACCAGTATGATTCCTTTGATGATCTCATCTGTATAGTATCCAGGATCATCTTCTTGCAGCGAGAGCAAGCGATCGATCATCGTCGTTTCCGACAGGGCTCCGCGGCGTTCATTCACCAAATCCTGTAAGAATCTGTCGAGTTTTTCCATCAAAGCAGCAAATCTCTTTTCCAGGCCCTGGAAATCCACCCACTGCAGAATTGGCAAGAGGTCGCCCAAATTAGTGTTCCCGCTGTACTCAAGCATCTCCCTCATTATGAATCTGACTCTTCTTGCCTCCTCTGCATCCTCGACGTTGTCTCCATAGTACCTTTTCCCAGCAATAGTCATCGACAGCACGTTGAAAGCGAGCTCGATGAATTTAGACTTCAAGTCCACCTTGATCCATCCACAATTCTTTTCCGAATCACATGAAAGCTCATTCAGCAGCAGGAGCAGCTCCTTCCTTCGCGTGCTCGTAAAAATGGCGATCCTCGTAGGCAAGAAAATCTCCATTGCTGCAAGACGGCGTAGGTTGCGCCAATGATCGCCGTAGGGAGCTATGCTGATTGTAGTGTAGTTGTAGCTGAAGTGTTTTGTCGACAGGGTGGAGGGGCGGTTGGCGAAAACAATATCGTTCTTGGTGAAGCATTCTTCGACGGCAGCCGGAGAGGTGACGAGCAGAACTTTCCGGACACCGAGCCGGAGCAATAATATGTCTCCATACTTGGCAGAGAGGGCTTGGAGAGTTTGGTTCAGTGGCTCTTTAAGCAGATGAAGATGACCTATCAATGGAAGTGATGGTGGACTTGGAGGCTTATTACATCTTTGCTTATTCACTACAATTTTCCTTAGCATTGTAAAGACTAATAGAAGAAGAAGTATAATGCTACAAAGAATTACGAGTTCCATTTCTGCTCAAACTCAAAAGTGTATTATGCTGTAAATGCAAGCCTTCTTGATTATTATATATACAAGTTATACAGATATTGTCTTAGTTGGGACATCAGCTTCATAGCTTAAACAAAAGTCTAAATGCCAATTTGTATTCCACATCAAATATGTGAAGACAGAAACAGTTAAATTAGGAGAAAAAAGAAAAAAGACTAAAAAGGCACAGTAGCAACACTGGACATCATCACCTTCACAAAACTGTAAATGGTTTCCAGAAAGCCACGTTGTACCTTAATGAGTGTCTTTTTTGAGACATGGCATCTAATCAAATCTTCACCCACTCACATAAGTAGAGATATAGAACCTTACCCTATCTATTATTGATGATGTCACCAATTGGGCTTCAAGAAGTTTCTCATGATGATCTGAAATGTTGGAATATTATATAAATATATAATCAGGGTAGGACAGTGTAAAAGATCATATAATCTCTTACGTATTCAAATATCTTTTCAATCATCAGAAAGCCCATTACTCAAAACTTATCCTTGTGTCCTTTTAACTTAAAATGCAGATATGAAGATCACAGTTAATTTTGTGGCAAATTAAAGCCAATCATTAAAATATCAGAGAACAAAGCTCTCTTCAATATCAAGCGAATCAAAAGACATTGGCCTTGCCTTCTTTTTTTTTTCGATCAAAAAAAAAAAAAAAAAACCTAACCACCTCAAAAAATGGGCATATTTACAGATTCACATTCCTGAAACAATGGCAGAGGAAAAGACATGCAGATCCCTCCAAAGATCTTAACATGACAGGCACAACTATAATATATTCAGATCGATCAGGCCACTGTTTCTTTATTTTGATGGAATTATACATTGCTTTATATTCATTATTTTTCTGCCCTAATTGTGTATTTGTGTTAAAATTTCAAAGTAGTGCTTTATCCTCGTGGTAAAAATCTAGCAAAAAGTCAAACTTTATCATAGTGTTTCAAACATATGAAATATATTATGATCACTGTCACACAAAAAGTCAGTTAATTTCTCTTTAAGCCATGCCATTGAATCCGCAGTCAACAGCCAACTTTCAAAGATCAAAAGGAATAAATAATAATGGAGAGAGAGAGAGAGAGTATAAAAGACAAAAACAAGGACAACTTGAAAGACACTGCAAGTAAAGAACAGGAAAAAAGCAAATGTCCAGAAATTACCACAAAATCTGCTCCCAACTCTCTATCTAAAATGGTGCAACAAAACGAACCACACACACAGATATATATATATATGATGAAGTTTGAATGCAGCAATAATGGATTTGTTGGTATGATGAAACATGAAAGGAGAGGAAGAAAACCCTAATATACAATTCCCAAAATTAAAGCAGAGGAAAACAACGATCATATATATGAATGTCAAAATAATCAATCAATCAAACCCTAACTAGCTAGCACAAACTGGCACGTACGTACGTGTTAATTTAACTTAATTTTACCAAACCCTAATTAATTGAATTCAGCGATTGTGGAGAGGGTCTGATTCATTGGGCACTCGTCTTTTGCTGGAGAAAAAGAATCCCCTTTGCGCATTACTCCGATCACCATCCATTTCTCCTCCGATCAGCTGCTGCTGCTGCTTTTCTCCGTCATAGGCTTTCGTCGCAGTTCCTCCATTGCTATCCTGATCTCCAGCCGATAACAGTAGAGCCATTACCAAATACAGCAACCCCAAGATCCGAAGCCAGCTGTGTGGAATGTTGTTGGTGTGCATGGTGTTCAATTTGTTTGACTGGAAGGAAGGAAGTTCTAAGACAAAAAGGAAAGAATATTTGAAAAAGGAAGATACAAAGGGTTTCTGTTTTCTGCGCGTATATATAAAGGAAAGGCAAACATTCAGATTCAGATTGGGAGGGTCTCTTCTCTTTTGGGGTTTGGGATTTTTGCAAATTTAGAAGAGAAGAAACAAAAGGGCTAAAGAAAAAGTGAATGGCTCTTTATAGAGTTTAGGGTACACACAGCTTACAGCTAGCCTGCAGTCTTCTGCTGCTGCAACTGCAAAACACATACACATAAACATGCATATCTTTCTTGGAAGGTCCAGGAGCTCCAACACCAGATGAATCCACACCACACCATTGATGATGTTGAGGTTGGATCTGTATCTAGTTGCAGAAGGAGCTGCTGCTGAGTAATATGCACACACACACATATAAATATATATATATATTTATAAATGTATATGCATGCATGCCAAGAATCACGTCCTTAGTCCTTACAATATAAGCTTTATTGCTGCTAGCTGCAGCAGCTGCTGCAATATATGTATATGTATGTATATATATATATATTCTTTGTGCTTGCTTCTTCACGAGGAGTTGTTCAGTTAATGCTTGCACTTTTCTCCAGTTGAATCTAACTCACTTTCATTCCCCAAATCAAGGACAGTCCCACAACCCCACCCCACCCCACACTGTCTCCTATCTACAACTACAACAACTCCCCCCCCCCCCCCATCTTTTTTGAATTCTTAATTTCTTACATTATCATCGATGAAAATTTCTCTTTAAGAACATTATCATTGTCAAAACTAGTTGTTATCTTGCCCAAGAAAGAGGGTTTGTATTAATGGATTGTTGCAGATAAGGGATCAAGCTAGCTAGCTAGCAAATAGTGTGTGATAATGGTCATGGCTACTGGCTGCATGATCTGTCTTTTTTAGATGTAGTAGTAGTACTATACTAGTATGGTATCTGTCTCTTCCATTTATGTACATAATTCAATTACATTGATTACTGCAGTAGTAGGTGTAGGGTAACACTGAAATATGTCACGTGCACTTCTTACACTACATTGTCTACTTTTGTCATATCCAAAATAGCTCGGACCAGAATATACAGTTTGGTCAAAAAGGAAATCATATATTGGAAAGATTTTATTAATGGTGACGATGATCATCGACTTTTTACAAGTTCTTCAGATTTTAAATAAACATCAGTAAAACTACAAGTAATACGGACGTGTTTTGTAATATCTGAAAAAAATTCAATTGTGAAAATAAATTTTATAAATTACGATGTGTAATTAAATTGGGCTGTTGAAGTCCACTAAAAACCTCTACTTTAGGCCCATTTATTAAATTAGGTAAAAATTGGGCCTGGGCCTTTAAATAGAGACTGCCCTAACCAGTTGAGCTTCATCCAATAATTAGTGGCCTCATTTCATACCCCGTAGACTGAAGGGCAATTTAGTCTTTTCCGAGAATGAAACGTATCTAGAAGCCGGTAAGCCATCCATCGGCCTCCTTCTGTGTCACCGTGGTTTTCTTGATTTTTTCTAATCCCCTCTCTCTCTCTCTCTCTCTCTCTCTCTCACCTCGCCTGGGTGAAATTTTGTTCATGCAGGAGGGAATTCGCAGGGATGTTCTCGATTACTTCGGCGGAGTTGAACTACCTCATCTTCCGTTATCTCAATGAGTCTGGTCTGGCCTCTCTCCCTCACTCTGTTTCTTTGTGTGTATAGATGTATGTTTTTTGGCACATATATGGCGATGATATGGTTTACGGGTTGTTTCCGAAAGGTTTGCACTTATGGTCTTTGAGATATGCCTCAATCGGTAACTAGGGTTTTAGAATTATGCTTGATAGGATTTTAAGTTCTGGGCACCATTATTGTTGATGTGTGGAGCTCCTTACCTTTTGGTGGCGTTCATCGGTTCTTTTCGCTTAAATTAAGTTTCTTTTATGGTAATTTTTACCCCTGTTACTTTTGTTTCTTGGGTCCCCCTGCCTGAGAATATGAATTGAAGAATTGAGTAATTGAATGGTGCGAGAGAGCATTCAAAGTAAGTTATTGACAGTGATGATGAATAGAACAGAAAGAACAGGTTTAATGATGGAGCTTCTTGGAGCAGGAGCTTTTGTTATATGCTGCGTTTAGTTTGGGAGTCCAGTTTTTGAACCAAAAAAAGGCTAGATTTTTGGTGTTGGGAATTGTTTGTTAGAAAATTACAAGTTGATAGTCGAGTATGGAGAATTGTACAGTATTAGATGAATTATCCACTCTATCAGATAAAGATAAGAAGCTTACTAACTTATTTCGCAGAGCAGTTTTATTTGATTATCTATGATCCACGAAAGCCATTTGAATAATGATTTTTCACAGTTTATTTGAAATTAGAAATGTGTGCTACTATTTTTTATGAGAAAGCTTGCATACCAAACCCTATGTTTTGCAATATGAGAAAGTTGCTGAGCGCCCCCCCTGTCACAACATATGGGATGTTTTCCACATGCCATGTTAGTTGTTGTCTTCCAAAATGTGAGTTGTATGGTTGTGGCCCTGTTCCATTATCAACTTCTTGCCTCTGCTAACATAATCCTGACCAGTTATATAGCCTTGGTCGCTCCTTGGGTCATTGTTCAAAGAAAGGCTAAGAGATTTCTCTGGGATACTCACTCTCTTACAAATAGTATGTTGAGAGTTTTAGAACCTTCAGAAGATGATTTTGGAAGCAAATGATGTGAAGATGTACAATTGCCTTAATCAAAATGCATTTGTTGTAGGAAATCTATAGTTTATTGTTGTTTGGGTGATTTTAGGTTTTATTAACTGATCACTAAAAATTTGCACCTAAAAGAATGATGTCATGAAGGTCTGTCAGCAAATTCATGAAAGTGATGTATATTTCGAATACATTTGACTTGGGATATATCTGACTGATCCTAAAAAATAACAATATTGATAATTGATATGATCACAAGGGAAGGAATATCATAGCTAGTCAAAGGTGAGGAGTTGTTTTCTAGTTATCCTTTCTTGTGTGATTTGGATTGGTTTTGGAGTTGGAGTTGGTATATTACCTTATGGTGGACATGGAGTTGGACTTCAATGTGATGCCACCACATATATTACCTTACCATAACTGAAGGAAATTTTGGTGATCTTTAATGTTTTTTGTTGGTTTATTGCTTTATATTGTTAACTGACATACATATATATATATATATACCTATAAAAAATTACCACCGATGATTTTTACATTCAACTAGGGTAACAATTTTATTCCTTAGGTTCTTATAACCATCCAAAATATTACAATCTGGGCAAATGCTACTGTTCTGTTATTTTAATGATATAAAGTTCAATAAGATATCTATCTTGTATTTGATATTTCATTGGAATATTTGTTTTTCAGGATTCACGCACACAGCATTTACTTTAGGATATGAGGCAGGGCTTAATAAAAGTACCATTGATAGCAGCGATATCCCTCCTGGTGCTCTTGTTACGTTTGTTCAGAAAGGAATTCAATATCTTGAGCTTGAGGCTAATTTGAGTAATGTGAGATTGGATGCTCCACTTTTATTTACTTTTATTGCTTGACGATTTTTCACTGGATTACAAAATTTATGTGCAGGACGGTGATGACACAGAAGAAGATTTCCAGTTCCTGCATCCACTGGATCTCATAACAAAAGATGTGAATGAACTTCAAAAGATTGTAATAGAGAAAAAAGAAAAAAATCTGAAAGATAAATCTAAGGGTAAAGAGAAACAAAATGTTGAAAATGGGCAAGGCCTGGATCACAGAGATGAAATGGAAATGGAAATGGAAAAGGACAAGAACAAGGAGCTTGCTAGGGTAAAGGAGAATGAAAAACAACATAGGGATAAAGAAAAGGAACGGGAGAGACAGAGAGCAGATAAAGAAAAGGAGAAAGCAAAAGGGAAAGAAAAGGAAGAGCCAGTTGAAGGTGTCAGTGATTTAAATCATGCCCAGAATGGAGTAAATGGAAAAATTGAGGAGAATAAAACTGATGGAGGTTAGATACATTTCTACTTAATGAACATGCCCTTGGCACCTATGCACACATTTTTATTAAAATCTGACTTAAGTGGTTGGTATTTTTTTATGCAGTTGTCTTAATGAGTAATCAATTTTTTTATGATTTTTCTGGTGTGTAACTTAGTCTGTTAATTTATGTTATTATAGGAGCCGAACCAATGGATATTTGTTCTAGTTTAGCTACTTTGCCCTGTGAATTCCCAAGTTCTGATGTTACTCTATTACAAGGCCACACTTCCGAGGTCTGTTCATATTTTTGAATTCTTCTATTATTTCCCTCTTAACTCATGGTAATACCCAAATAGATTTCTTCCTTGATTGTGAAAAGGTGTTCTCCTGATGCTATCTTAGCATTCGCAGGTTTTTTCATGTGCGTGGAATCCTGTTGGATCACTTCTTGCTTCTGGGTTAGTTCATCATCCAAAAAATATATTTAATGATTATTTGTTAATTTCCCTGTTGCTTAAGAGTATAAAATTTGATATTTCTCTCCACCATGCCCGTGATAGGTGCTTTTCATGCGATATATATTATAAAGTTAGCACTGTATTCCTTGTATCCAAATGAAATAAAACTCTATAACTTAGTCACTATTAATGTAGCCTCCTGACTAGGGAACATAGTACATGAAAGTGTTACTGAATTTTTAATCATCGTTCTCAGTACAAATGCTAACTTCATAACTAGCTAGCCCTACTGGTGTGTCAGTAACAGTATGGATCTTTGGTGATCTGAGCTCACTTTATCTAAATGCTTAGCATGTTAGAAAGGTGTATCATTTTATCAAGTAGTCTACTGTCTTTTAGATATTTTAGTGTATGAAAATATGTATCGTAGGTAGATATAAGTTAGTAATGGTGATAAATTGAAATCAAGACCTCTTAATTGACAGACTTCAAATGAGTGTTTCATCTAAAAGATTGATGTACTTGTGTATATTTTTCAAACATTAGTATTCTGATACTCTGACAGGACCTTTTGGGTGCAATTGTATGCCCTTGTCGATTATAGCATGCAATTATTTCTCATATAGATGGTTTTGTTGAATTGATTGAGTTTACTTGTTCATCCTATAGAAACAATTTATTATAGGATTAAAGTTGGTAGTATGTTTTTCAGGTGACATGCTGTTTGCCTTACATGCTTAATGCTTTTTCTATGCATGTTTTCTATAAATTCTCTCATTTTCCAACTGTCTCATGAATGTTGTATGTTTATTACCTAGCTCTGGAGATTCCACTGCTAGAATTTGGAGAATTGATGGATCCTCTAGCTCCAATTTGGAAAATGGGTCACCTAGTATTGTATTAAGGCATTTCAGGGGCCGACCAAATGAGAAATGCAAGGATGTAACAACACTGGACTGGAATGTGAGATCTTATTTTGAATGTCTACATTCTGTTTTGTCAGTAATAATCTCCACTGTGGCTAAGAACTGTCAAAAAAATTGAATAGAAAATTTGAAGCTGATATGATGTATTATTTTTTTTAATCTTATACAGGCTGAAGGTTCACTACTTGCCACTGGTTCATATGATGGCCAAGCTAGGTTATGGAGTAAAGAAGGTATGAGTTGTAGATAGTGTAGTCTATTAAAAGTTAAAAAGTCTTATTAAAGCTTGCTATGTTATGATTCTGAAACCTGGTGGATGATGAAAGTGGGTCTGTTTCTTTTTATTTAGTTTGGGAAATTTTGGTTTGGCTTTGGTATTAAAATAATGCATGGTGGGATGTTTTGTAAGAAGAAAATGTGTATTTTTTTCGGGAAACGTAGAGTCCAAATAATAGAAAACTGAGGATTGATAGGTAAAGAAAATATACAGTAGAGAGTAAACCTATGAAATGAACACTTACTAAGCACGTTTCTGTTAACATTTAATAATTTATCTTAAGTTTGAGGATATATGATGGCATAAGAGTTTACGATGGGAGGTGGCTTCACTAAGCATTGAAGACTAAACAATTAATGTACCTCTTCCTGTACCTTATTGGTTGGTCGCAATTGAGGTAGCGTAGCATATGCATACATGTGAATTTATTCACTCTGTTGTGAATGAATTGTATAAGCACTATTTGAACAAAGTGACTAGGCGTGGTTGCATTTTGTGTTATTACAAATTGTTGTCTTACTATGTTTTACTATGTTTGGTTGCAACCCCCATCTGATGCAATCGCTCAATTTTCAGGGGAGTTGATTGGTTCATTGAATAAGCATAAAGGACCAATTTTCTCTTTGAAGTGGAACAAGAAAGGGGATCTTCTTCTTAGTGGAAGTGTTGATAAAACTGCAATTGTATGGGACGTCAAGACTGGCGACTGGAAGCAACAACTTGAATGTCACTCAGGTACTTCCGATCCTCTCTTACTTTGGCTCAAGCTTTACTGAGCAAATAACTGATTAAAGCAGAAATATATGAATAGTTTTAGCTTCATAATAATTGCATGCTGTTTTGTGTAACAGCTCCCATACTTGATGTTGATTGGAGAAACAATGGCTCTTTTGCTACATGTTCTGCTGATAGCATGATATATGTTTTCAAAGCCGGTGATGATCGACCAATCAGGTGTTTTGCAGGGCATCAGGTTTGTTCTAGTGGTTACATACTTGATAAATTCTTTTAAATTAGTATTCAGTATAAGTGTCCTGTATCCATGTTGCAAATTTGGAGAAATTATGCATAAAGAATTCATGAAAACCACAAATTCCTAGGCCACTTCAATTCAGAGACTTGAGCTCCTCTCTTTGTTAGCCTCAGGCCCTCAGCAGTGTCATTTTCCATCTGTACCTAGTTTCTTCACTTATAAACATCGCTGACTTTCCCATGATACAAAATTTTCTCATCGGGTCGAAGAAGCAATGGAACTCGATCATTCAACACTCCTTGAGAGTTAACAATGCTAATTCCCGGTTCTGAATCTACTGCAGTACTTAATATAATGTCCAGTCTTTGATATATAGAACAAGCTCTTTGTGCTAAATGCCCCCTCACATTTTACTTCACTTCAATCAATTTGTAAATATGCTTCCTCAGGCTGAAGTTAATGCTATCAAGTGGGACCCTACAGGGTCAATGCTGGCCTCCTGTTCCGACGATACAACAGCGAAGGTAAGAGTTGTTTTTGGTATACATTGTTGTTCCTGACATTAAGTGCATGCTTATTATACCTCTTTTGAACTTTGGCCATTTACTAGTTCAAGCATTGAGTTTCTTGTTGATGATTATGATGCAGATTTGGACTACAAAACAGGACAACTGTGTACTAGATCTGAGGGATCACACCAAAGTATGTGACCATTGACCAAAACATTAGTCTGTCATTGTGTCACTGCAATTAAATGTCCTGAACAAGGTGTTTATATAACTTTTTCAGGAAATCTACACTGTGAGATGGAGTCCTACAGGACCGGGTACAAACAACCCTAATAAGCAACTGCTATTGGCAAGGTGATCATTATTTTGCACTAGAAATGAAACTTTTTTCATTGGGTAGTTACCCTCATTCTGCTTCTCTACAGCGCCTCCTTCGATTCAACCATAAAGTTGTGGGATGTGGACGGTGGCCGCCTTGTTCACAGCTTAAATGGCCACAGGTAGGAGATTGCCCAAATATTCTTAAAAGTGCTGCCAAATCAATTCTTTAGTACCCTAAACTTAGCAAACTATTCAATTCAGGGATCCAGTTTATTCGGTTGCATTCAGCCCCAATGGTAACTATTTAGCCAGTGGATCACTAGATAAGTGCTTGCACATATGGTCTGTGAAGGAAGCCAAGATCATAAAGACTTATACAGGAAATGGTGGGATTTTTGAAGTTTGCTGGAACAGAGAAGGAAACAAGATTGCTGCTTGTTTCGCCAACAATGTGGTGTGTGTGCTCGATTTCAGAATGTAGAGATTACAAGGTTTCTGTCCAGCAATAACAAAATCTAATTAGGTTCTGATTGCATTAACTGAGTCTAGACTTCTGGATGTTGCTCAATTCAATGTGTGATCTTCCCTTTGAAGAGCAATGAAGAAGATGGTACATACAGTAGCCATTCTCTCTATGTAAATGATTTCTCACTTTTCGTAGGTTCTTGTGCAAAGCTATTTTAAACAGATACGCTGACTATTGTCTTTATTTATTAATTATTTTTATTGTTATTCCATTTGAGGACATGGCTTGGATTGTAGTATTTGTTTTTATTCATTCTTTGTATTTCTTTATTGAGGTTTTGTGATGAATTCAATTCCAGCTAATGGAAAGTTTGAGTGATTTCCAAGTAACAATCTCCTAGTAGGACAAAATTCGGGAATCATGGCTGCCCACGATTTCCTGTAATATTTGGAAAAACAATTGATTCATACACCACTTTATTAAAATTTCCCAAGTTGTAAAAGTTAGGTTCGTTTATTACTTTGAATAGTTCAATAGAGGAGTATTAAGTAAAAAAAAAGAAAAATATTGCAGAGTGTTTAAGACAGGGAGTATAAAATACTACATTCGAGTTGGCAAAGATTGATTGAGTAAACAAAAAAATTATGACAAAATGGTTGATAAAATAATAATTATTTATTATTGTAAAAATATTGATATAAATAAATATAAATAGAAAAATATTTGTAATATATAATTAAATTGTGATTGTTTTTTTGTTGTATCTTAATAAGAATAATGTATCTTAAAATTTTAACAATTATATCAATTATATATTTATGTTAACATATATTCCCTCAGTCCCATATATATCCATTAATTTTTGCATAGAATTTTAGAAATATTAACATTATATTATAATATAGTAGAAATAAAAGTAAAAAAATTAAATTGTCGTTGATATAAAAATAATGGTATTTGTGCAATATATTATAGATTAAAAGTGTATTTGTAATGTTAATTAGATAGTATAATTACTAAATAAAATTGATACTTTGGGACAAAATGAAAAAAAATAGATAAACTGTTAAGGGAATAAGGGAGTATTACTCTTTTCTCTTTATATTTAAAACTCTTTATTTTTTATAAAATTAATTTATATTAATCATAAATTAAAAAATATTTATATATATATTCAATTTATTCATTCAATTTTGTTAAATGAATTAATTTTTTATTTGTGGCACAAATATTAATAATATAAAAATTAATATTTTTTGTTAAATAGTTAACTTTTTATGAGTAAATAATATATATATTATATTAACTTGTGTATATTTGTAATTTTTTAATAATAATTATGTGGAATGGTTAAAAATGTTGAGTAAACAAAGTAATACGATTCCGTTGAATATATGTTGTGTTGGGTAAATAATAATTAAAACAAAAAAAAATTAAAAAATCAAATACAGTCAACTATTTTGGAATAAAAAAATTAGATAAAAAAATAACTAATACAATATATTGTCTCCGGTATTTTAGGAGGAGTATAATTAAGAGATAATTAAGAATATATTAATGAAAATAATTATCCAATAATATAAATAATTATAAATTAAAATTAAAATAACTAATTAGATTAACTAAAATTTTAAAAAAAAATTAAAAAATTTAAAATAAGATTAAAGTGGGTAAGAAACGGCAACGTGAACGTAGTGTAGTATATGGGACGGGAATATTATTTAACACAGTGTACAATTGAACTAAATTGAACCAGTTTATTAAATAAACTATTTTTCACTGTACAATTTTTTTTGTACAAAGGTTTGCTTATATTCAAAATAATCAACTAATCAATTAATCAATCCTAAAATGATCCTACTAGACTCCACTCGATCTTCATTTGTCTTTGAAAAAGGATGCTGGTATTTTGCAAGGTGACAGAAGTGTGGACATGCATTTGAACTGTCAAAACCAACCACCACATACATATTCAATGCCAAATCAAGAACAAATATTAATGAAGAAACTTAATATATGATCACAATACATACCTTCAGTTGCTTGTATTTCTCCCTTACACCAACCAAATCACTCCCTCTTTTGCTCAATTGCAAGTCATGAAGAATGCTCACACATTCTTTCAGATCAGAAGATTTATATCCTGTGACTTCCTGTAGATCCTTAGTCTGCAAGAAAGTAGACATTTGGTTCTTAAATATAATGCACAATGCATAAGCCTATTCACCTTTGTAACCATTCTACTAAGTTACGCGCACTACGTACCCAAGGATGCAGGTTTGATTGCAGGGTAAATCTTGCAAGAAAAATGGCAGATGCTGCCACCATGGAAGGCAAGAATTTTAGACAGCCATATTCCAGCAAACTTAGCTCTGATAAATAGCATCCCAAGTGATCCAACTGAAGACTGCATATCTAAAAGAGACAACATAGAACACACAAAGACATAATTAAAATGTGTGTAATGTAAACAACCCACAAGTTTTTAAGCACTGTAAAATTTCTCACCCCATAATCTTGTTGAGCAATTTTAGTGAACTTTCTGAAATTCAACCAAAGAAACAAATCAAGCTTAGTAACAGGAGTTTAACAAATACAAAACATGAGTTAATCGTGGCAGAATTTTACCCAAGAAACGTCTTGATTGTGGGGTTTCCAACCTCAAACCTAAGGGTTTTGAGCACATCTGCTTCCATCTCCACCAAATCTTGCAAATTATACAAGTTGTCTGCTGTATCACAGAATTCTTCTATTTCCGGTGCATCAATCTCCTCGTATTTCCTGGAATTTAACCCAAAATTGATTGTGAGTACAAAACGAGCACCAAATCGTTGCAGGCTTGATGAAATTAGATGCCTGCACTTACGCAGCAATCAGCATTGATGCAATTCCAAGCAGCTGAAGCCTTCTCTTGTCGATAGAATTCACTGATAAGTATCTGTCAATATGAGAAACTGCCGAATACAGTGTCTCTGGGTGAAGATCGTACTCCTCTGCAACCTCTACAAGCCAATCCACCAAAGTTTCTCTCATATTAGGCGTCGTTTCTTTCTGGATTGTCTCGAAGTAATTTGGAGACGGTCTTCTCTTAGCCTCTTTCTGAACAATAGTGATGATGGAGAACATCGAATTAATTCACAAAATCAAACCAGTAAGAAAACCTATAGCAGAAATTGAAATTTTTGTTCAAACTCACTTCCATGGTACGAAGATATTCATATACATCAGAATGGTAAACATCTTCGGAAGCAGAATACTCTTCCGCTTCAGCGACTTTCTCCACAACTTTTTCCAAGTAACTTTTAGGCTTATATTCCTGCAGCTCGTCTACTAAATGAAATGGATCCTTCTCTCCAAATAGTGAAGGCAAAACATTTTGAATATCGCCAAATACCACCCTCTGTTTCTTTACAGACTGATGAGAGAAATTCTCAGAACTTCTCTTCTTCCCTGATGAGAGGTTGCCTTTTCCTCGGCTAGCCATTTTACGAAAAACGGGGACTCTAGAAAATCAAAAGCTACACGAATGTGAAAGGCAGACGCCGATCGAATTGATGAGAGCACGACAGGGCGTAGGCGTAGGTGTTTGGGGGGAAAAAAGAAACTCCGAATCCTGATTATATAAACTAAAATTGATTTGTTAAGATATGAGAACCGCCATGGATGGATATTAGATAAACAAAAATAGTAAAACAGTTAAGCGGGCGGGTAGAATTTTGGCTCCAACATGAAACGAAATTAAGGCAGCGAGGGAGAACAGGAGGGTAGGTGGTTTTCAGTTACAGCTTAATTTCGCTAAATTTCAGCGATTTTCCCGGGCTAGATTTATCTAGGGTTTTGAGTTTTATTTTGTTACACTTATTTTATCCAGATGGTCCTGGGGTCCGGGCGCTCCCAACAATGACTGTTCCTGTCGCGCCACATTATTTATTACCTAGCTAGCTAGGGTATTTTAGACATTTCATTTACATCCGGTTTCCCTCATAACTTCATTGAAAAATTTTCATTATAAAATTTACTCTATTCGTATCATAAATTCAGTTTATCACTGATAATTTATCCTTAGGTTTTGTTCTAGAAATATAATTATATATTTTAATTATATTATATAATATATAGTTTTTAATTTTAATTAATTATTTTTAATTAATTTAATTTAATTTATAATTATTTTTACTATATCATAATTATTTGTACGAAAACACTTATTAGTTATTTGTTAATTATATTTTATCAAAAAATTTTGCATTAAAGTTGACAATTTATTCGAAAATAAAAGAGTATTATCAGTGGCAGAGCTAGTTGGGGACCGAAGAGTGTTCATCTTCCTAATTATTTAATTTTTGTATTTTTATTATATAATATTTGTATAATTTTTAAAGTTTAAATAATTGGTCATCTCTTTGTGGATTTAATAAATATAATGTTACTATTTATATTAAACTCATGCTTAAAAACATTAATTCAAATACTTTAAGTATTAAAATTTTTTTAAAAAAAAACCTAAAAATTGTTTGTTATTTTTTAAAAATATTAATTATATTATATTATTTTGAAATTATTGTCTGTTCCGTCAGCGTTTTTTTTTTTTGAAATATTAATGTATGTGCATGTTTGTATGTTTTAATACTCTTTCTATATGTATCTAAATGTTGCATTTACTTTTTAGTCATTGTATTTAATAATAAAAATATATTTATATTTGTATAATTTTTTATACAAATATCCTTCGATTATTATTATAAGACACTAATTGAAGAATTTTTGCAATTTTTTTAATTTTTACTATAATTTGATTTAATAATTAATATTTAAATATTAATAAAAAATAAATAAATAAGACTTTAGAGCCCAACGAAAGTAGTAATATTTATGGAAATTTGTTTCATTGACAAATATTGAGTAACAGACTAATTATATACTTCCTTCATCTCTCATAATTTGTCTTTCCTTTTTTCTTTTTTTGCAAGTATGATTCTACACTTTAATTATATTTTAATTTTATTATTTTTTAAAATTTTAACTAAACTATTTAGTTATTTTAATTTATAATTATTTTTATTATACAATAATTACTTTTACTAAATACTTTTTAATTATTTACTAATTATATTTAGCTAAATTCTTATCCTCGTATCTATAGTGATAAACTAATATTACATGGGGCGGAAGGAGTATTATTTATATATATGAAAAAGAAAATACGACAAAAAAAATATTACATCGAACACTTATTTATATCACATTATACAACTATTCAAATTCAAATTTTTTACTGTTAAAATCTCAATTCAAAATCCAAACATAGAAACAAACACACCTAAATGTAATAAAAGTTATGTTTCAAAATACTAATTAAAAAGTAGATATTCATTATACTCCATCCAATTACATATATATATATTTTTTTTTTTGTTCATTCTACAAAGATGATTTCTTTTAATAAAGTTATTTATTTTAAATATATTTAATAAATATAAATTCATTTAATTAAATTTTTATCCTCATATATCTTCACAATTCTTTTATTTCTATTTTTATTTTTATTCAATAAACAAATATTTTTATTAATAACCCATTAATACAATACCTAAAATACAGAGGATTAAATATGATATTTTAATTTTAAAAAAATAGCAAATCAGGCTTGGGATTTTGATCCGAATCCTGTGGAGAGCAAGGGTCGAATGGATGGTATAACACAATTTTATATAATTGAAAAAAATGTAAGTGAATTAGATCTTTTAAAATAAATTTTATTTGTATTTGTATAAATAATTATTTTATAATTGAAAAAAATGTAAGTGAATAATTATTTTATAATTTTTATTAAAAATAATAAGTTTTTAATAATTACTCTTTTTTTTTTTATCAGAATAATTACTCTCTTCATTCCATGTAATATGAATATATTACTGTAGACACAAGTATTTAGGTAAAATATAATTAATAAGTAATTAAAAAGTGTATTAGTAAAAATAATTATTATTTAATAAAAATAATCAATCTTATTATAATAAAAATTCAAAATCTAACAAAGAAGATAACTTTAACAAATGTTTTCAATACTACATAAAAAAAATTAAAATTGAAATATATTAAATTTTTATAATTTTAAGTTACAAGACCATCTCAGTTGGCAATCTCTACCAAAAACAAAAACACAGCAGCATTGCAAGAATTGCAAAAATATGTATATCATCATAAATATTTATTTCCTTTCTTTATGGGTATCAAAAGGCAAATAATTTGTTCTTTGGTAACTCTGAATGCTCTTATCTACAACAATATTGAATAAAAAATCCAACGATCTTCCTCAAGGCTCTTCCAAGAAAGACGCCGGAATTTCCTCCGGCGACAACAGCGTCGACACCGACTTATACTGATACAGAAAGACAACAAGTTCAGTAAAAAACAACAAGACATTCATCAAACAATGTGTTAACTCTAAAGACTCAAAACTGACCTTATGCTGCTTGTATTTCTCCCTCACAGCAACTAAATTATGCCCTTGTCTGCTCAATTGTAAGTCATGTAGAATGCCGACGCATTCCTTGAGATCCGAAGGTTTGTATTCGGAATGTTTCTGCAGTGCTGCATTCTGCAAAAGGGACTCAAAAAATTCAGAACAATGGATCATCATCATATTTCAAAGAATTGTGAACTGATTATCGTACCCATGGATGTAGCATTGGCTGCAGAGTGAATCTTGCAAGGAATACGGCAGATGCAGCCACCAAGGACGGCAAGAATTTTACGCAGCCGTAGTGCAGCAAGCTTAGCTCGGCTAGATAGGAGCACAAGAACTCCAATTGTAAATCAGAAACCTGGTGTGCATAGGAAAACAGATAGAGTTAATTATGTTAGTCTTTGATTTGTGGAATGGATAAAGAATTGAGTCATTGAATCGTTGAATCACCTCATGGTCTTGTTGAGCAATTCTGGTGAAGCTTCTGCAATCACAGGGAAAGAAACAGAATCTAAATTAGTTTAACAGCTGTATAAAAGCTTCCCCTCTGAATCAAACATGGCGGATTTGATCTATACCTGAGGAATGTTTTGACTGTAGGATTCCCCATTTCAAATCTGAGAGATTTGAGCACATCGGCCTCCATTTTAATCACTTCTTCTCTTTTGTAAGTGTAATCTGTTATGTAACAGAAATCTTCGATTTGTGGAGGATCGATTTCCTCGTATTTCCTGAAGAATTCAGTAAATTAGATGAGGAAAGGCAAAACAGCAATATGCGGTATGAAGAAATTAGGTTTCAATTATCCATGGCCTTACGAGGCGATTAGCATTGAAGAAACGCCGAGGAGTTGGAGCCTCTTTCTGCTAATGGCGTTTACTGAGAGAAATCGGTCGATGTAGGAAACCGTCAGGAAGAGTGTATCGGGAAGAAGATTGTATTCCTCGGATACCTCGACGAGCCAGTCTACCAGCACTCCTCTCATGCTCACCGTCGCGTCCTTCTGGACTGTCTCCATGTAATCCGGCGACGGTCGTCTCTTAAGCTCCATCTGAACAATACAAAACCGCAACCACAAATTAGATCTAAATTCAACCAAAATTTACCGAAATTCAGATCCAATCGTGATAAATCCTCGAATTCAACTCACTTCCATTTGACGAAGGTATTCGTATATATCGGGAGCATATACTGCGCACATCTGCGGATCGTCGCGTATGTCGACCGCCGTCTCCTCCACTTTCTTCGTCGCCGGAATTTCCAATCCATCGTGAAAAACCTGGAACTTCTGTTTTCGATCTGTATCCACGTTTTGGGGAGGCAATACATTCTGAATCTCCCTCAGCGCCACTCTTTGCTTTTTATTCGGAAGCTTCGCCGCTGCCTCGGCAGCTCTCTTCCTCGTCGCCGCCGCAGCCACCGACCGGGTAACCCTAACGCAATCCTCTGCGATAGCCATTATTGCAATAACGAAAAAGGAGCTCCGCTAACGCCGCGAAAGAGAGAGGGAAATCGCCGACCGGAGTAGGGGAGCCATTTATGACCAAAGGTTTCCCGGTTATATAATGCGGAAACAATTTGGAGATTAGTAAAAACCGCCATTGCAGATTTGCGGCGAAGGTTTCGAAAACGAAAATATTTTATGTAGCGGGAGATTTTTTTTTGGTTGAAAATATTGAATGTAGATTGAAATTAGTGTTCTTAGATTTGATTTAAATTTGATTTTGATGGTCCACTGTATGTTGCTTCTTGCGGCCGCCAATATGAAAATAAATAAAAAATTATGGAGCGGTTTTCGCGGTTATGTTAAATTTAAATTTAATTTTTTTTCACGAGTGGTCTTTGATCTCCACCGTTGGGCACAGAAGCCGTACACTTGTCCAATGGTGCAGATTAATCTGGTTTTGTGGTCCCTGGACCTTCAATGCTTCGGCGAGTTGTCGTACTGTTGTGGTAGGCTTGTAAATGTATGGAATCTACAATCAGCATATATCAACATGAGATTATAATATGCAATATATATTTTAATAATAAATAATGAATTTGCTTATTTAGATTTTTAATTTAATATTTTTTTTGTTATGTGAATCCATAATATAAAAAATAATATTTTATATTAAATATTAATTTTTATAAAATAATAAAATATATATATTAAAAATCATATGAAAAAAAAATTATGGATAGATAAACTCAATATAATTTTAATTTTATATATTACAATATATTATTTATTTTGTATATTAATACAACACATTATCAAATCAGCATTATTGAAATACTTTAGATTATATGTCTATTATTAATTTATATCGTACGGTTATTATTGGACTATATTTTTTTAATTGAATATTTGATTATTAATTATATTTGTCTATTACACAGCATAACCCACCCACTTTATCCTGGCCTAGATTGGGCCATCATAAAAAGCCTAAATTTGGGTATTTAATACAATCCCATGCTGATCCAGTACGACATAATCCATAGGTTGAGCCGGCCTAATCCTTGTATAGTCTGGTCCGAAACCGGTTCGAAGCATATTTAGGGTGTGATTGTTTAGGGGTTTGGATTTTGGATTGGAATTTGAATAGTAAAAAAATTGAATTTGAATAGTTATATGATATGATATAAACATGTATTGATGTGATGTTTTGAATATAAAATTAATTTTTAGTATAACATAAAAAATAAAAAATAGATATTTAATTTGATATTTTTAGGAAAAAATTTTTATATGAATAGTAGAAATTCACCTAAATTCTTCAAACAAACTTTTATTAGACCATCTACATTTTTTTTTAAAAAAAAAAATCTTAACAAGTTTCTCTATTATTTTTCAACTTATTGCTCCCTCTGTTTCCACGTATTTTTATCCTTATTTTTTATTTTTATTTGTCTCACATAATTATTTTACTCTATCTTAATTTTACTTTATAATTATTTTTATTAATATATTTTTTTTAATTATTTAGTAATTATACTTTACTTAAATTTTCGTATGTATATAAATCATACAAAATAAGTATTATTTTTTAATTATCATTATTCTATTACTTAATTATCACTATATCGATATCACTGTGGTTCATTTTTATTTATTTTTTTAAAATTAATATTTAATATTAAGATTTTTTTTAATTATATTTTATTATATAAGATATAGAAATTTAAAAAATATATACTTAATTAAATAATAGAACAATAAATAAATACTTTACTAAACACACGTGTTTTAGAATTTGCTTAGAGTGTGTCTGTCTGGGTGTTTGATTTTGAGTTGAGATTTGAATAGTAAAAATTTAAAATTTGAATAGTTGTATGATGTGATATAAATAGATGTTAACGTGATATTTTGAATGTAAAATTGATTTTCATTATAATATAAAAAATAAAAAATAAGTGTTTAATTTGATATTTTTGGGAAAAAAAAATTAGATGAATAGTATAAATCTAATCCAATTCTCCAAACAAACACAGCCTTAATTGAGCAATCTACACAAACTAAAAATATCATCAAGCACCTAATTTTTTTTGTTGAATATTTTTTAATAGATACCACAGCTATCTACACCCTAATCAAAATTAAAAATATGAAACTTATAAAGCTAGGAACACGAGCCCGTACAAACTCACCTGAATTTCTTTCTTCCTTCTCATAGGCATATATATATAGCGATGCAAAGCAACTCAAAAATCAACACAGATTGGAAGAGATGGAGAAGAAGGTGAATCATACCGATAGTAGCTGCGGATTCGGGGAAGACGACGATGCAGGAGTTGAAGCAATGGCTGCTGCCACATCTCATATATTTCACTTTGTTCTTAATGCAGCTATTGAGCTCGATCTCTTCAGCATCATTGGCGGAGCAGGCGATGGCGTTCCGATCTCGACTTCCGACATCGTGTCTCGTCTTCCGATCCGTGGGCGGGAAGATGAAGCTGCGGCTGCATTGAATTCCATGCTTCGGTCGCTCGCCAGTTATTCGCTCCTTGCGTGCTCGATGAGCGAGGTTGCTCCTGGCGGTGCGTTTGAACGACGCTACCGACTGACGCCTTCGGGGAAGTTTTTTGTCAGAGACGCGAGTGGATCGTCGTTGGTTAAGTATCAAGAGCTCGGTTACCAATACTCGGAAAGCTTGTTGGTCTGGTATGTGCCGTTGTAACCGCGAACATGTGTTGATTCCAAATTCTATCCTGCTAAATATGAACTGTGTGGTCGAAGAAGGTTGATTTGAACTTTACAGTTAAAATTCATCTTCCATGTGAATGAATTATATGTAAATATTGTAGTATGCACGCATCTGATTCCGATCGCTGTCTCTAATTTGCGTTCACAATTCCGCAGCCAAAATCTGAAAGATGCAGTGCTCGGAGGCGGCGTTTTATTCGAAAGACTAAACGGCAAGTCCTTCTATGAACACGTGAAGTGCTCGAACACAGGATATGCTGAGGCGTTTCACGACGCCATGAGAGCTCATTCAGTATTCATATTAGGCAAGGTTTTGGAGAAATACCATGGTTTCGAAAACCTAGATTCTATAGTTTACGTTGCCGGTGGTGACGGTACAGCTCTCGAAATGATCATTTCAAAATATCCTTCCATCCGTGGAATCAACTTTGATCTGCCTGAGGTCATTAAAACTGCTCCACTCTCTCGAGGTAATTAGTCCGAAATTCCATTTCTCGAAACCAACTCTTCACTCAGTATTAACTATAAACTGAGAAGTCTGGATTCAGGAATAGAGCATATTGGCGGAGACATGTTTGTCGAAGTTCCAAAAGCAGAAGCCATTTTATTCAAGGTTAAACTCGACACAAAACCTATTTGATCTGGCTCTGTTTTGATCTCTCTAAACAACAACTTCAATTTACATGATAAGTTTACACTGCACAATTGGAACGACGAGTGCTGTTTACAAGTTCTGAGAAACTGCTACAGAGCTATCCCAGAGGATAAACCTGGTAAAGTGATCGTGTTGGAGTGCATGCTTCCCGAAGTCCCTTCTACAGATGTTCATTCAAAGTATGCCTGCCAGAAGGATATCATGATGTTGACATTGTTTGGAGCTAAACAGCGGACGAAGGATGAATTCGAAAGCCTAGCCAAGCAAGCAGGCTTCTTGGACTTTAAAGTTATCTGCTATGCACGCAGCATATGGGTTATGGAGTTCATCAAACAACAATCTTAATTAAGGTACTACCACATCTCTAATTTCCCTGCAGAAATAAGAGCATGCTCGAAGCTTAATTGAATTAGAACATAAAATTGCTACGCAATATCGTCGTATTGTTGAAACATATATTCCATGTCACAAACACCCTTTTATTCAACTACATCTGTTCAATAAATGCAGACATCTCAGATCTGATCTTGATTATTCACAGGGCTGAGCTGAGACATGAACAGCTCAAGAAGTCCTCGTTGTTCCCTCGGTTGTGTCGTGGGGAATGGGTCACTCCCTGCCAATGTTCGAATTCTGTTAGTTACATATATATAGTATTTCTTACAAACAAGACTTCATAACATAAATTGTTCATGCAAGAATGACACAAATCTACTTTATTTAGTTCACATTACTTGGACTGTTAGACAAACCTGTTGGATACAACTCATCCCACAGGGAGAGATTAACATCGATCACCTGCCCGAATTCAGGCCTCTGCGTATTATCTTCCATGCTCATGTTTGGGCTCAAGTTATTCTGTTGGACGTGGACACTCGGGGCTTGGGCATTCATTAGAGAAAGGGATGGTGCCATGATGTTGTCCTCACACTGAGGTTGATCTCTGGAGATAAAATGGATGTCATAAAAACACATCCACACTGTCTTTAATCTATTTTCGATCGTTAATGAACATATAACATAAGAACCTCATTGGAAGCAATCCATTCGAATCCAAGAAGTTGAGAATCTGGATTTGTGGATCTCTCTGTGGAAGCCAGTCTAAAACTGTGTCCTGATTTCTTGCTGCCAACATATTTACATCCGTCGGTTCTGAATGCAAATTCATCACCTGCAATACACAAAATCAATTGAACACTTGAAACTTAGAGAAGTCAAATCTTTCCCTACATTCGACAAACCTGTGAAGGCTTTATATCAGGGGAGTTCAATGTCTCCTGCAGAACATGCTGCAACAAAAACATGGTTTCAAAAATCGGCGAATTCAAATTCAAACAACATGAAATTATTACAAAACTGTAAGTAGACGGGGGCGCAGAAGCTCGCCTTGCGAGCTCTTATCTGATTAAGTCTGTCCTCAAGAATTTGTTCCCTAAACTGGAGTTCACACATTGTGGTTACTAAGGAAGCATCTCCTTCATAGATCCTGCGTAAATAGGGCAATTTTATCGAACAACGTTTCGCTATTAATGATCATATGATCTGATCCCTACTAGAAGAAACATTAGGCACCTTAGTTTCTTCTCCATATCGTCGAGTTCACACTTACATTTGAAAAATTGTTGTTGAAGTTCCTGCATTCATTCAAGCTTCTTATTTAACTAAGAACAGATTGAGAATTTGAAAGATCACAACATGCAATGTTAAATTTCACACCTCAACCTGAGAATCCACTGTGCTTGTTGAACTGGTGAAAAAGAGATCAAGCAAAGTCAGGTCATCAAACAGGTTAAACTTCTATTGTTTATTGAAATTGAATTCATGTTGTACCAGTTAGGATCCTGGTATCTATTATGATCTGCTTCAGATTTGAACTTCCCCAAAATCTTCTGTAGATACTGCAGTTAAATACTATAATCATAAATTAGGTAAAGTAATTCCACAACAATGTCAAAACTGTTAAGAACAGGATATTATAATTGACTAATTACCTCTTGGTTCTGTAGCCTGTGTGTTTTGTTTTGTAGTGCACGATGCATAAACAGATTGGAAAGACAGAAGAAATTATTACTAACCAAGTGATGAACATAAACGAATTAATAATGATGAAGGAGATATCGGAATTACCTTCCTCGTTCGTGCTCGGGTAGATTCACATACCGTACCATGATCTCCTCGACGGTGCTGATTATCACAGACCAGAAACTCGATCAATTAATGGATCAGTTAATGGCGATTTGAGTGCGAGTAGTGGTGAGAGAGTGAATGATAACAGTACCTCCTGTTTCCTGAGAAGATACTGACCCGTCCGGAAGGGGAAAACATGATGAGTCCGATATCAACATCGCAGAGAACTGAAAGCTCATACGCCTTTTTGATTAAACCGTTTCTCCTCTTGGAGAAAGTGACCTGCCTGTTTGTTGCATTCTCGATCTTCTTAATTTCCAGCTTCACTCTCCCCATTCACGCAAAATCCAAATCGATCACGGTTGCTTTCTTCCTTCAATTCGATCGAGAGATTATAACTCCTATATATGTATGGCGGTAGGTATTGCAGGCACACGCTCCTCGCTAACAGCTATTAAATACGCGTACGTGATGGAGAAGCAGTAATTAGGGGAGAGCTGAAATGTAGGGAGTTTCAGTTCTGAAATTTTGGAAGGAACTTATTATCGCTAGGGCTAATTATATAGTTAAATAAATAAAAATAATTTTGGATAACGAGAGACGACGACAACGATGACGAAGAAAGGTAATGGCAATTTTGGCGGTGTCAGGCTGCTGTGTGTGCAGAAATGCGACGGGAGAAAGAAATCAATGACGATGACGATGATGATGGCGGTGTTGGTGTTGGTTAGGAAGAAGAAGATGAATGAATAAGTATTAAAGGACACGTACTGTGGAGGCTCTTAATGTTCTCCTGCTTGTTTCGGCTTTGGCTTTCGGCATCTTCTTCCACCATTAATCTCTGTGTTGTTGGAGCTTACGTCGACAGTTTTTCAGGGTTTGTGACTTTTTGGAAATCAAGGCCGTAAGGCCGTACGTTTAATTTTTACTTTTTATTTTTATTATTATTATTTTTATTTCTAATTGAAATATGATCATATCCGCCGCCTGACACTGAAACTCCGCCGCCGAATCTCGGACACGTGTCGGCCTCTCATTCTCGGCCGCCGCCCACGGTTGGTCGATTCATCGTTTTGGATAGAAAGACATGAAAAGTGATGCATCATCGTTTCCTACATGCTTGCTTTTTTTAAAAAAAAAATAATAATAATTGATTAATTAATTAAATTATGGGAAACCTTGAATTGTGGTATTTATTGATTTTACTGATTACGAGAAAAGATCGAAACTCGAACCCCGAGTCGTGGCTGTGGAAGCTTTCTTCTAGTGGAGAAATTTTTTATTTTGGTTCATCAATACCACTTTTTAATTTTAATTTTATTCTATTGCTTATAATATTTTTGTATGTTATATCTAGAAGAATATAATATGATAAAAAAAAATAATAATAATAAAAAAATTAAAAAAAAAATAGGATATCGTTTGACTATGCATATATATATAATTATTAATGCATGTCAATTAATTGCAACGAATACAATTATAGTTTATTTAGTTATCTATGTGAAAATCCATTGCAATTTCAGTCTTAATTACGTTAAATGTATTTTACATATTTAAAATTGATTTTTATTTTAAAATATCGAAACACCAAATTCAACTATCAATTCCAAACACACCCACTCAACATTTCTTTAAAAAGATCCAATGTCTATTTTACATAATACACTAAAAAAAAATACAGGAAAGAAAATTAAAGAATGAATCATTTCTTTTAATGTTTATTTCAATTTCCATTATAAAAAACAAAAATAAATAAAAAATACTTATATATTATTTTCAATATATATATATATATATATTTCCTCCAAACAACATCATAATTTTCTATATATTTTGAGAACCCTCAACAAAAAATCTCAAAAACTCCAAAACACTAACAAAAAGCACTAAAAAATTAGAAAGTAATAATAATAATTTCTGGAGAATCAAAGCAGTTAGTAATAGTAAAATGATCGCATCTAGTAAATTTGATTGAATAAGATCATTGAATTTCAATAGAATACTGTTATTGTTATATGACATATAAAGTTCAAGTTCAATATATATATAAAGTAAAATAATTAGATGAGATTAAGTTCACCTCAAACTTGCATAGTTTTAAACAAATTAGACAAGCTCACACAATAAAATATCGAGTCGAAATTGAAATAAAATACTTCATTGAATTTGGTTTAGCTATTTAATTAAGCTGCTACACCACACTATAAAAAGCTGAAATAATTAGGTATTTTGATTTATTAAAATATTGGGCTTGAGTCCAATAGCAAAGGTGGGCCGGGCCCTCACATCTACTCGGAATTTTTTTGGGCCCTTTGTGGAAGTTGGGCCCATTCATTTTAATTATCAAACTGGATCTTTAACTGGACCCGAAAGTAGGGTTGAGCAAAATATCCAAAATCCGAAAATTCAATCCGAACCAAACCGAAATTTAAAATTTGATTCGAATTTTCGGATTGGATCGGATTGAATTTTTAACAAATTTCGGATTTTCGGATCGGATCGGATCGGTATACTTAAAATCCGAACCAATCCGAAATCCAAAATATAATATTTTAATATATTTTTTTATTGTATATATTTAATATTTTATTAGAAAATAATATATTTTAATATAAAAAACTCAAATTTATTAATTATATTTTAATATATTTAATTTTTATATATTATATATTTAATATTATAAAATAATAACAAAATATAAAAAAGAATTTAAAAATTTTAAAGAATAATAAAAATATTTAGAATTTCAGATTTTTCGGTTTGGTTCGAATTTTTTAGTTCGGATTACAGATTTTCGGATTTCGGATTTCGGTTATTTTGGTTCGGTTCGGATTGATTTTTTCAAAAATTTCGAATTTTCGAATCCGTTCGAATTTGCCGAAAATTCGAATGCTCACACCTACCCGAAAGTGATTCTGGAGTCCGAATGGGGAAAAAGCCCGAAGCCTGCTTAACCGTATAAAATATTCGCAAATAATATTCAATTAAATATAGAGGGTTTGTTAAGTTTTTTTTTTATGAATTTATTTTTTATATTTGGTACGAAAAATTATGGTAATAATATAAAAATTAATATTAAGTGTTAAAAAAATATTCAAATCCAACATCTCATTCAAAGTCAATTTTAAACTAAAAATATATATATATATATATATTGTATTAACGAATGCTTATATTATATTTTTTAAATAATATTTATGAGAATGTTAATACTTTGTAATGCTATGTAAACAAACCTATAATATAATCTACTACATATTATATAAATATAAATAAGGTTTTTTTTAATTGGAGTTTCGTCTGTGCGTTTTTTTTTTTTTTTAAAGAAAATATAATATATTTGAATAAAAAAATTTGTATTTTAATTAAATAAATTTCATTATTCTTAATATATATAAATACAAATAAATAAGTATTTATTTATTTTAAAAATATACATCAATATTATAATATATAAAATATTAAAACCAAAAATAAACTTTCATCTAATACACGCATGCACATAAATTAATAAAGTTATTTTTATATATATAGGAGTATAGTTAATTAATTAATGATCAAATAAAATAAAATATATATATATATATACCCTATATGTATATTGGAATATACTACATGGTATATGTTAAATCCAAGATCGGCCACGTAGGAGTTGGTTGTATTAAGTTGATGACGACCATTTCTTTAATTTGATGAGTTTTCATTCATGTTTTTATTTTTACTATCTCTTGACGATCACATGCTAAAGTGTATTTTTAATTCAGCATATGCATACTTAATCTCAACCATTAATTAATAAAAGGTAATTAAATCAATTTAAATATAATTTTAAAATTAAAGGTTGAGATTCATTTGCAGCATACTAAATTTATAACATTTAGCATAGAATCTGCATTGTTGTCTGATCAGCTATACATATAAAGGCAGCCAACCCATAATTAATGTTTTCTTTATTATTATTATTACTATTTGATACTCCCTCCGTCGCACATAATTTGTCTTTATTTTCTATTTTTGTCTATTCCATATAATTTGTCATTTTTTATTTTTGGAAATATAATTATGCACTTTAATCACATTTTAAATTTTATAATTTTCTTAATTTTATTTAAACTATTTACTTATGTTAATCTTAATCTATAATTATTTTTACTAATTACTTTCTAATTATACTTTACCTAAATTTCCGTGTCTACGGTAATACATCCATATTACATGGGACGGAGGGAGTATAATATATCTCTACAACCCTATACACATATTACTCCAAACGAGTTTAGCAATGTTATAAAATTCATTCAGCACACTTTAATCAAATCATTTAGAATATTTAGATAGTAATGTATATATATATAAGTAACATATAATACTATTTTACATTCAATTAGAAATTTATATAAATACATAGAACTAATTTAAAACATCAAATAAATTCTTAAAAATTAAATATATGTAAATAATTAAATTAATATATTTATTTGTAAATTATGATAGATTGTAGGCTGATTCTAATCCGCCAAACTAATTTAATTGCTATAAGCTTAACTTGAAATTTTAAAATTAGTACTTGATCCATTTAGCAGAAGTATGCCCTTTATTTATTTTATATATTTATAGGAGTATTACTTTTTTAAATCTAATGGAGGAAGTATATAAATTGTGGCATAAACCACTTGTTTGAACACAAAAGGTAAAAACCTTTTATGTTATAAGTGTTATGAAATAATTGATGGTAAATTTGTACAAAAATATTACATAGAATTAGGTAAAAAGAATTTTATGAAATATTACTAATCTAAAACGTCAAAACATGCTCCTTGATTTCTAAGTCCAAATATTAATATTAAAATACAAATAATATTAAATATTTAAAACGTCCAAATACTAATTACATCTTAACTTCTACAGAGTGCATTCCGACTCCAATCTCCACTGCAACAACAACGCCGGGAAGAAGAAGAAGAAGAAGAAGAAGATAGAGCCTGACCATACCCAATCCATTTTCATGGAGTTATCATTCGTCTCCGCCGTCTTCCTCTTCTTCGTCCTCTATTTTTCAGTCGCCTCATTTATCCGCACCAAGCTTCGAAGGTCGCCTCCTAGTCCTCTTATATCCTTCCCCATTATAGGTCACCTCTATCTCTTGAAGAAGCCCCTTCATCAAACCCTAGCTAAAATTTCCCGCCAATACGGCCCCGTCGTATCGCTACAGTTCGGATCCAGACCAGTTCTCGTCGTCTCTTCCGCCTCCGCCGCAGAGGAGTGCTTCACGAAAAACGACATCGTTTTTGCGGATCGGCCTAAATTGCTGGTAGGGAAGCACCTCGGAATGAACTATACCTCTCTCGTTTGGGCGTCTTACGGGAATCATTGGCGGAATCTCAGACGCGTGGCTACTACGGAAATCTTATCCACCATTCGCGTTAACCTGTTCGAGGATGTTCGGAGAAGCGAGATCCGGTCGCTCCTCAAGCGCCTCCGGTTGGGCGGCAGAGTCGAGGACGGGAACGATTACAGCGTGGTTGATATGAAGATGCTCTTATTCGAGATGACGACGAACATTATGATGAGAATGATTGCCGGAAAACGGTATTACGACGATGACTCCGGGAGTTGGGAGGAGGTGCGGCGGTTTAAGGAGATCGTGAAGGAGACCTTCGAGGTGAGTGGATCTTCGAACTTTGTGGATTTCTTACCTGTTCTGAAATGGATCGGAATGGACAAATCGGAGCAGAGGATGAAGGTATTGCAGGAAAAGAGGGACGGATTTGTGCAAAACCTAATCGACGAGCACCGCAAAATCGAGGATTCAGATAACAACAGGACACTGATTCAAGTTCTTCTTTCACTCCAGAAATCAGATCCTGATTCCTACACCGACGAAATCATCAGAGGCTTGATGCAGGTGCTGTTCTCCGCCGGGACGGACACGTCGGCAGCGACGACGGAATGGGCGATGTCGCTGCTGCTGAACAATCCAGAAGCACTAATCAAAGCACACAGCGAAATCAACGCCGTCGTCGGAAATTCTCGGCTAGTCGAAGACTCCGATCTTCCTCATCTACCTTATCTCCGCGGAATCATCCTTGAAACTATGCGTATGTATCCTGTCGGTCCGATTCTACCGCCGCACGAATCGTCGGAAGATTGTATCGTGGGAGGGTACCGCGTACGGCGAGGGACGATGCTGTTGGTGAACGCGTGGGCGATACATAACGACCCACTGGTATGGGACGAGCCAAGGGATTTCAGGCCGGAGAGGTTTCTGAAATTCCGGGAAGAAACAGAGGGTTTGGCGATGGTGCCGTTCGGATATGGAAGGAGAGGCTGCCCCGGCGAGAATTTGGCGATGCGCGTGGTCGGGCTGGGGCTGGCGGCCATGATTCAGTGCTTCGACTGGGCCAGAGTCGGTCCGGAGATGGTGGACATGGCGGGCGGCGCGGGGCTGACGATGCCCAAGGCGGAGCCGCTGGTGGCGAAATGCCGCCCACGGCGGAGCGCCGGGGAATTGCTCCGCCAGATGACGGTTTGACCAAAGTCAACAGATTAGGTATGTATGTATGTACATTTTTTATATTTAAATTCACAGAAAAATCAAAATTGAATTTTAATAACAACCACTGTGTAGTTGGAATGATGTCATGAAAAATAAAATTGTGAGTTGGGTTTTTCAGATTTTATAAAAATTGAATTATAGTGGTGAAAAATACTATAAAAATACTTTTTGTGTGATAAAGATTTTTGAAAAAGAAAAATGAAAAAAATTATATTTGATGGTATTTGGATGACTTTAATGGACAAGGACCAAGTCAGATAAGTTAGATGGTTTCATGAATCCAAGTCAACTGCTTTCTAGATTTGATTATTTTAAGGTTTCGTAATAGTGAGTGATATCATCAAGCTTATGTTTGAACGTGTTTTCAAAATGATTTAGGCTCTATTTACGTATGTATGTACGTATGTTTTGTTTTCGATTCCTCCTGTAATTTTACATATCCGGAGTCACATCAAATTAAAAAAATCCTAGTATATATATATACTACATGCGTCCCACGTTGAGGTTCTTGATTATTTATTAAGATTAAAATAATTAATTAATTTAATTTAAATTTTTAAAAAAATTAAAATTAAAAAATTTAAAATAAAATTAAAATACATAATTATTTTTTTTTAAAAAAAAATAACATGAGATGTGGACAGACAAAAACGATAACATGAACATGATGAGGGAATAGTAAAAATTTGAAGGAAATAAAAAAGATGATGTGAATGATATATAATAATAATTCGCATATTTATTGTAAATAAATTTTGAACAAAGAATGTTAATTAAATATTACTTTTGTCAAAATTATTAATATATTAATTTTGGAAGCAGATAAAAAATAAATAATAAATAAATTTGATTGAAAAAAAATATATTATTTTAAAATAATTTTTTGAGACATTAACCAAATGATTTTTTTTTAAAAAAAAAATTATATCAGAATTCAGAATTTATGTAGAATATAAAATAACATATCAGGTAGGGAGATGTTAAAATATTGGCTAATTCGTCTTAATCAATGCATGAAAAATAAACATTTAATTGCTTTATATTGTCAATTTGTGTACTACGATTTGTATTATATATTAACAAAAACTTATATATTATATATAAAACTCACCCATTATTTATCAAATCCTTATTGATATTACATTAGATATGGGAATTTTATTAAATTTTTTACTATTTATAAATTGTAAAAAATTTTAAAATAATTTCAAAGCATATCTAAATCACAATTTTGTATATTGAAAACAATTGAAATTTAAAATTTTAATGTAATATTTTAAAGATACTTCTAAAATTGATATATGATACCATATCAAATAGAAGAATTTGTTCGAAATTGATTCAAATCGAAATAATTTCTTTTAAATTTAATTTAATAAAATATACTTTTTCTCCGTCTATTAACAAAATCTTTTTTTTTTTTTTGAGTCCGAATCAAATTTAATACACATGTCACTGCATTTGTTTTATACAACACTAAAACTTTTTTTTTATATACCATTACATATATATTTATTTTTTACATAAAATTGTCAAATCTTTTTATACATTTCTACTAACTAATAAAGTATTTTCTTTTTTAAGAGAAGTATATTAATTGTAATGGTAAGTTAAAAGTAATGTAATGATAATTTTTCTTTTTATGTTTTGATATAAAAATAATGATGTGACCGTAAATTATAAATATTTTTAAAATATTTATTTTATAATTTGATAACTCAAAATAAAAATATTTATACTTTCTGATTGCATTAAAGAAATATATATTAGTAGCATTCATACTTACTTTGTCTTTCTTCCCTATGAAACTTCTCTCATTTATAACACATCTTTTAAGTCCATCCCTTGCATTACTTACCACTTACCAATTAATTTAACAATTCTTTCTTATTTAGACCTTTAATGCATGGTAACTTCGATTTACCTTGTATAGAGAATTTATTTATTTTTTTTACCAAACGTGGAAGAAGAGTTTATCCAAATTGGGAGGGGATCACCATTCCCATTTTATTTTTTTCTTCTTCTTCAATAGGAACACACAATGTACCTATGTATGATGGTGTATATCACCCCATTTGTGTGATGATGTTGGCGGGGCAGGGGTACGGGCTTGCTGATCTCATGCCATCCAAACTATCCAATTTAATTTAATATTTCCATATTTCAATTCTTACATAAAATGCTATAGGTTTTGTTTAGAAAAATATTTTTGGAATTTTGAAAGTTTGGAAAAAATTAAAAAATTAGTATTTGATTTGATTTTCGTGCAAAAAAAAAATGTATTTGATGTGATATTTTTTAAAAAATGAATAGTATCAAATGAATGAAAGTGTATTATGTAAACAAAACCATAATCCCCAACAACTAGTAGCTCTTAGGTCATTTCCAACCCAGCGCCATTAGGGTCGGTAGATTTGACGTCGGTTGGAGACAAATTATGTTGCACTGTAGCAACGTCGTTGCTCCTATTTTTTATTTTTATTTTTTAAAAAAAATTCAAATTTTTTATTTTAACTTTTAAATTTATTTATTTTTTTTATTTTTTTTAAAATATATTTTAAATTATAAAATAAAAAATTGTTTAAAATAATATAAAAAATTGAATATTTAAAAAATAATAGTAAAAAATAAAATTATAGTTAAAGCAATATTTGATGCCTTAGATAGGTTGGAGATGTGCTTAGTCGTTGAACAACATTTTTTTACTTTCTTCATTTGCCCTAAAATATTAAAAATAAAAAAAAAAAAATTAAATTAAAATTTGAAAGGCCCTTCTTAGGGTGGGACCATAGTAAAACAGCTTATTTTGACAAACTGAGATGTCATCCCTAAGACGCAATTAAGACTAATGTTGTTCTTCTTCATCATCTAGAACACACCCCACCCCCACCCCCACCCACACCCACACCCACACCCACCCAATGTTACGTGTCCCACGGACTTATAAAACAAAAAAAATCGTTTCTTTTGAATAAAACTGAGGAAGTATAATATAAATATAATCACTATATATATGAATGTATGTGTGCATTCAAGTTTCTATCCACCCCACACCCACCCCACACCCACCCACACAACAAAAAGATCAACACTCTCGCAGCAGCATCTCCCTCTAAAATGGAACTTCCATGGCTGCTTTACGCTTCCCTCTTCTTGGCCATTTATCTCTCCACCAAACATTTCTTCAACAGGTTGAGAAACCTTCCTCCTTCCCCCTTCCTGTCTCTGCCCTTCATCGGCCATCTCTACCTCGCCAAGAAACCTCTGTACCGTGCCCTCGCCAAGGTCGCCGGCGGCTACGGCCCCGTCGTCTTGCTTCAGCTCGGCTCCCGCCGCGTCCTCGTCGTGTCGTCCCCGGAAGCCGCCGAGGAGTGCCTTGCCAGAAATGATGTCGTTTTTGCTAACCGGCCGGACTTGCTCGCCGGGAAGCATTTGGGGTATAATTATACTTCCCTGGCCTGGAGTTCCTACGGAGACCACTGGCGGAACCTCCGGAAAATATCGTCCATCGAGATCCTGTCGGCGCACAGGCTCGATTTGCTCCGGGATATTAGGGCCGGCGAGGTGAGGTCGCTGATCGGAGCTTTGAATCGGGCGGCGGAGCAGCGGAGGCCGGTGGATATGAAGACGGCGTTTTTCGAGCTGACGATGAATGTGATGATGCGGATGATCGCCGGGAAGAGGTACTACGGGGAGAACGTGGTGGAGGTGGAGGAGGCGCGGCGGTTCAGGGAGATCACGACGGAGACTCTCCGGATAGGGTCGTCGAATATTGGGGATTTCTTGCCGGTGGTGAAGTGGTTGGGGTTGGGCGGCGTGGAGAAGGCGCTGATGGAGCTGCAGCGGAAGAGGAACGTCTTTATGCAGGAGCTGCTGGAGGGGTGCCGGAAAAGGTTCGCCGGAGAGGCCGCCGTCGGTAAGGCGAAGACGATGATTGATATGCTGTTGGCTTTTGAGGAAAAGGAGCCTGAGAATTGCTCCGACGCCTTCATACGAAGCTTAATGCTGGTAAATTGCCTTCATGGATTTTTCAGATTTAGAATATAAAATATCCTTCAATTGATTATACTCCATATTTTTTTATTTCAAATTTAAATAATTAAAAAGCCAATATAATTATAATATACTTCTTCCATTTGAAAATAGTATTTCAATTTCGTTATTTTAATTTTTTAACACAATAGTTTTATTTTTGGTAATTAATTCCTCATTTTTTACAAAAATATTTTTATACTTACTATTAATATAATATTATTATTTTTTAATTTTCGGGACAAATTAAGTAATTTTGGTATGTTTCATAATAAAATATTATTTTTTAAATAATTATCTTATCTATCTAAATTTTAAATATATTTTTAATTTACAATATATTATATAAATGTTACTTCCTCCGTCCCACGTACTATATGGGCGTTGCCGTTTCTGTCGGTTCCACATTCCATGTCATTTTTTCTTTTTTTAAAATGATTATACACTTTAATCTCATTTTAAACTTTTTAATTTTTTTTAATTTTAATTAAACTAATTAGTTATTTTAATCTTAATTTATAATTATTTATATTATAGAATAATTATTTCACATTTTTAATTATCTACTAAGTATAATCCTCTTGTAGCAGATACGGTACGTGAACGAGGAAGTATTACTTTATATCATATAACGTTAATTTTATATTACACAATATTAATAGACGTATTTTTATCTTTTTTATTACAACTTAATATGATATTAATATTCAAAAATTTATATTAAAAAAATAAACGACAATATTTCAATAAAACGGAAAGAGTATGTAAACTTATTTTTATAATATCTATATTTAATCGATAAAATCTATCAATATTCAATATTTAGAATACTAAATGTTGATGGTATAAAATATTTTAATTTATTCAAATATTTTTTTATATTAAAAAGTTATTTATTTAATAATAAAAAATAATTTTAATGATTTAATAAAATTTAAAACGACGCCTCGCGTACGGCAACCCGCCTACATTATAAATGTGGAAAGTATGCAGTAGTAATGGTGGAAGGTGGCAAATGGGACTCCTAGCCTGACATTTATTCAAAAGGAATTATAGCATAAAGTTGACTATAATGTGTATCCAATCACACCAAATCTAACCAATCTGTCTGGTCACAATGTCAACAATGATTTTATTTAAATAATTATTTATTTATTTATTTTCAATAAATAATGATAATTACACAGACTCTTCTGATCGCCGGCACCGACACGTCGGCCGGAACGATGGAATGGGCGCTGTCCCTGCTCGTAAAAAATTCCGGCGTTCTGAAGAAAGCTCAAGCCGAAATCGACGGCCGGATCGGGCATGACCGTCTGATCGACGAAACGGACGTCTCAGATCTGCCGTACCTCCGGTGCATCATCAACGAAACCCTAAGATTGTACCCTGCGGGGCCGCTGCTAATCCCCCACGCCTCGTCGGAGGCCTGCACTGTGGGAGGGTACCGTGTCCCCGCCGGCACGATGCTTCTGGTCAACATCTGGGCAATACAGAACGATCCGAAGCAGTGGGAGGACGCCGGAAAGTTCAGACCGGAGAGATTCGAGGGGGTGCAGGGGAGCAGGGAGGGGTTCAGGCTGATGCCGTTCGGGTCGGGGAGAAGAGGGTGCCCTGGAGAGGGCCTGGCTCTGCGGATGTTGGGGTTCGGATTGGGGGCGTTGATTCAGTGCTTTGATTGGGAGGCGGAGGGGCCGATCGACATGTCGGAAGGCACCGGGCTGACGCTGCCCCGTGCGACGCCATTGATGGCGGTATGCAGAGCTCGACCTGTAGCAGAGAAGATTTTATCGCAGATTTAAATTTTTAATTATTTAATACTATCAAATAAATTTTTAGATATCGAATTAATTATATATATTGACAGACACCATACGTTGTTCTTTTCACACTGACGTACTATGAAATAAATATTCCTGAATGCATTAACACCCCTCTAGTAAAAAACATATAAAGCTTTGTACAGTAAAAACATTTAAATTTATAAAGTATAAAGATAAATAAATAAATAAATAAAAGCACGTAATAATATCAATTATGGTAATTATTGTGACGAATTAGGATTAATGATCGAATATCAAATATAAAACGTAAAGTAGATACAAATTTACGTGGTTCACCAATAACGTGATGGCTATATACACGGACAAAAACAGAGAGCTAATTTATTCACGACGACAATGTTACATATTATTTTGTATCCTTAAGTCTCTTTAAATAAATCAAAAGAATATATCAGACGGGTTCAGCTCGATGCGAACTCAAAAGCCCATGCATAATTACGATACAAGATGAACAAACTCTTCCATTTTGCCTCAAATTTGCCCTTCATAGCCCAAACAATGTCGAAACTTGCTATACGGACCAATATCATATCATTAGAGATACACTGTAGCATATTGGTGTGACGGAAAGTATGAATCAGACATTACTAGACAGAGCGAGGTGCATGCTCTCTCATGCTAGTTTGACTAGAAAGTTTTGGCCAAAAGCTATAAACATTGTGTGTTATCTTATCAATCGCGGATCTTACACTGACATTTATTGCAAGACACTTTATGAGGTATGGTCTAATAAATCTGCAGATTATTCGTTATCGAGAGTTTTTTGTTGTACTGTTTACTATCACATGAGTGAGGATAAATTAGAGTCGAGAGCTAAGAATGACATATTTGTTGATTTCAAAGATGAAATTAAGGGATATAGAATATAGTCGCCTTTTGAGAATAGAGTTATACTCAATAGGAATGTGATATTTAATGAAAACTATATGCTTAACCCTATTGTGAAGTCGATTGGTGTAGAGAATTATAGTAGTGTTGATAAAACAGGTGGAGTTGCAATTGATTTTTAAAAAAAACAAAAGTGCATAAGTTCAAAGTTAATACATAAAATATTAAAGTAAATGGATCTAAATTTGGAGCAAATTTTTATAAAACCTATAGTCACTCTTGAACCTGCTTAAATTAAATTTTATAAATTGTACAGTGTAATTTTTTTTTTGTTGAGTAATAACTTTCTACCTTTTTAGTATGTTAGTTTTGTTTCGATCAAGTATACTTAGGTTGTGTTTGTTTGGGGATTGGATTTTAAATTTACTGTTCATTCAATTTTTTTTTTCAAAAATATCAAATCAAACATCTATTTTTTATTTTTTATATTATACTAAAAATCAATTTTACATTAAAAATATCACATCAACATCTATTTATATCACATCATACAACTATTCAAATTCAAAATTCTTACTATTCAAATCTCAACTCAAAATCCAAATCCCCAAATAAACACAACCTTATAGTATGATATAAATATATGATGATAAAATTTTTTGAATGAACATTTAAATTTTAAGGTGTATTTGTTTGGGAGTTTGAATTTTGACTTGAGATTTGAATAGTAGAAATTTTGAATTTGAATAGTTATATGATGTGATATAAATAGGTATTGATGTGATGTTTTGAATGTAAAATTAGTTTTTAGTATAATATAAAAAATAAAAAATAAATGTTTGATTTGATGTTTTTGAGAAAAAAAATGAGATGAATAGTGTATTTAAAATCCAATCCCCAAACAAACGCAATGTAATACTATTACAATTGTGAATTTTTTTTTTTAATAATAGTAACAAATGGTAAAATTGCAAAAAGCTAGTAACTGATTTGTTTACTTATATTTTTGTGAAATAATTTTCTAAAAATTCACTTTTAAAAATATAATATATACATACTAACACACAATAATACTATTTACTTCTTTAGGACAAAAGTACATATTTGAATTTTGGTATAGGTTATAGTATCTTATTAGTTAATTAGTAAAAATATGTAAAATAATTTTTGATATTTGTACTTAATATATATGTTATATTTTGATATTGTGTGATAATTATTTTTGTACGATGGAAATTGAGTTGTATTTAAAAAATATTAATAAAATAATAAACTCCGAAATACAATATCAAATCACGGATTTTCAATATTTTGTAGTGCATAAGACAACAATAATATAAATAAACCTTCAATTGAGATAGATAGTATATTTTGTCCATTCAAAAAGAAGATGAATAATTCAATAGAAAATATAAAAGCATTTTTTATATTCCTCTGTTCCATAACTAGGTATTCATTTATTTTTTATATATAATTTTAGAAATATTAGTATTATATTATAATGCAATAGGAATAAAGTAAAAATGACTAAAATAACCTTATTAATATGGTATGATATAAAGGTAATAACATTTGTATAATATATTGTAAATTGTAAGAGTATTTGTAATGTTAGGTACATAGTACAATTATAAAAAAAAGAAAAAGAAATAGATACTTTGTTATGGGCGGAATAAAATAGAAAAATAGATACTTTGTTATGGAACGGAATAAAATAGAAAAATGAATACTTTGTTATGGGACGGAGGGAGTATTACTAATACAAATTTTCATACATAACATCAAAATATATCATGAACAAACTCAATAATATTGGTTTATTTGGTTTTGTTTTAAAATTTAGGTGGTTATTTGAATTTCGATTTAAATAGTATTTTGATGTGAGATTTTATTAGAAAAAATAATACTCTTTCCGTCAGTTTTTAAGGGTTACATTTACCTTTTTTTGCGTCATTATTCTTAACATTAAAAATATCCTTATATTTGTATAATTTATTTTTTATTTTTTACAAATGTTCATGGAAGTATTTTTTTGTAATTTTTCTTAATTTGTATTATAATAATTAATATTAAATATTAATACTCAAAAAATTAAATAAGACTTTTAGAGTTGGACGAAGATATTCTTAGATTCAATTAAGAAATATGAAAAATGATCCCCTATCCGGTGGTGCAGGAATGAACTTGTGACAGAAATGAATTTGTGACTGTGAGGTTATGAGTTCAATATTGCCGGTTTGTTTATTTTATAAAACTGAAGTAATACTCCCTCCGTCCCACAACAATTGACACTATTTCTATTTATTTTTTGTTTCTTAACAATTGACACCTTTAGTTGATTTAGTACATAACATACAACATCATAAATGAATGACGTATGACTCACTCAAAACTCCTTTATTTCTACGTCTCTTTTCAAAAAAATAAATATTTTTATCTATATTTAAAACTATACATCTTTTATAAAATTGATTTATGTTAATTATAAATAAATAAAAATATTTTTTTATTTACTTAAAAATTTTATTCTCTACAAAATGATATCCATATTGCATATATTTTTTAATTGCTATATAATTTTTAAATATTTAAAAATATATATATTTTTTTAATCATATATATTAAATTTACTTTAAAAAATATAAATATTATCAATTATAAAAAAAAATAATGTAATAATATCATAACTAATTATTATTAACTAATTAAATATTATAACCTTAAATACCGTGTCTCTAATTAAAGGGTTCAACTCCGGTGAGACAAATGAAATATATTTTTAAAATAAAATAATTCAATTTATTTATTTACTCCCTCCGTCTCAGAAAATATGAGACTATTACTTTACATACGAAAATTTAGGTAAAGTATAATTAGTAAATAATTAAGAATCAGTAAAAATAATTATTATTTAGTAAAAATAATTATAGATTAAGATTAAGATAAGTAAATAGTTTAATTAAAATTAAAAAAATTATAAAATTTAAAATTTAAAATGCGATTAAAGTGCATATTTATATTTCCAAAAATAGAAAGAATAAGTTACGTGCGACGAATGAAAATAAAAAATAAAGACAAATTACGTGGAAATGAGGGAGTATTTTTTTGAAGACAAGTAAACGAAAAGAAAAAGAGGAAATTTCAAAATTTCTATTCCAATTTTCCTGTATTAAAGTCACCATAAGACCCATCTGATGTCAAGTCGTCGTCTACTTCCCAAAATAAACCCTAACTCTATTTTATTAATCCCAACGCAACTTCTTATCCCAGACACCAATCTCCACGAAATTACACTCTCACCCGCCGCCAACTCACCGGAAACCGTCGTCTCCTGTTCCTGCACGCATATAGCAGACTCCGCGGTCTTCCTCGAAATTGCATGCAAGTCCCTCTGCTTCTCCTTTCTTTCGATTACTGACTGACCCAAATGGCCAAACACAGCTCGTATTTACTATTTTAATTGTATTTCTAATTAAATGGTTTCTAATATTTGTAAATAAATAGCATAGCAGTAAAAAATTGATATCGGATTGCAACGTGGGGTGGTCACGCAGTTTGTGTGAGGTAAATCGCATTAACTATTATTTATATTAGTGTTAATTATGGATGTTATTCTGTATTAACACCCTTTTCTTAATTGGAAAAATATCTTCATTTTCTATCTATAAAACTCCCAATTTTATTTCATCTATAAATAATCAAGGTGAACTCCAAGCTATACATTATAGATATGATGATGAATTGCAACAATGTTGGATTATATTTAGTATTTAAATTTAGTTTAATACAAATAAATTGGGATATTAAAATAATATGTTTTGCAGTAGAATAGCAATTCTATAACAAATTGAACTTTATCAAAATAATTTGTTACACGGATTTGAATGAAACCTCGTATTGTTATTATTATTATTATTATAATAATTAACAAACTCAGGTAACAATGATTAACTAACCCAACAAATCCGTATAATAAAAAAGAATTGAAATTTATCAATTAGCATAACCATAACAATTATAATGTTAATCTGTTTGGAACCCTAAATTTAAGGTAGTGCACAACGTCAACGTGCCAATGAAAAATAAATACTAATAATATTTAACTGAATGGGATTTAGGGTTTATTGGGTTAATATTGAAATTGAAACAAACAAATAAAATAAGGGGCTATTTAGAGGGGATATTTTGGAAGAGTAAAAAAATAATTAAGAGTAGGGGGAGAGGAGGGTGAACTGGTGGTGGGGTCTATAAATACTAAATAGAGCCCTTGATAAAAACCCCAGTCGTCGTCCTTCGAATCCTCGGCGTGGAAAGCAACCAACAAACTCCGCTCTTTTGGCGACGGCGATGGATCGGCAAATCCAGGAAATCGGCTATTCTACGGCGTCGCGGCCGCTGGAGTATCGCGGAGGCGAAACTCCTCAGCGAGGCTTCTGGCTGGACGAAACGCGGCGGCAAACCCCTCTGATCTCATCAAACATTCAGGATTACGATCAAGCTATTGAATCAGCCTTCTTGAGGATGAATCTTTCGGAGGAGTACAAGCCCCATTATCAAACGCCGTCGTTTCACGGCCTTCCGGAGACTCTTGATGACGTAGCCTTGGGCGAATCAGTTCATCGGCCAATGGCGTGCGGTGAAAGACAGCGGGCTTTGGGTTGGGCTCACCATCCGAGGAATAACGGTGCTGTCAATGGGCCTTTCAGTTTGTTTGGGCCCCACGAAAGTGTGCCTGTGGGCCCGGATGCTGTAGGCTTTCCGGGGACAGGCCCAAATATCGGCGCAGGGAATCCTCTGGAGATGCTGAGGCAGGCACATGGAACACATCTCGCCTGTGGTACATACCAATCTCCTTTGCATGGCAAGCAACCCCTTTCCAGGAACGTCCGCAATAATTTTCCAGCATCGCTACCTGCCCAGCAGAGCAAATTTTACGTTTCTGAGCCTTCTTTGATGCATAATAATATGACTCACATGAACTTTATGCCCCAACAATTCACTGTTGAACAAATTAGGGGGAACTTGTATGCATTAGCAACTGATCAAGTGTGGAGTGGGGCTTTGAACTTTAAATTAGAGCAGGAGTTTAGTGAGGCAGACACTGAGATGATTTTACCAGAGGTCATGCAGAATTTAACTGAGTTAATGAGGAATCAGTTTGGGAGTCAATTTTTTCAGAATTTTTTTGCGGCATGCAATGAGAATCAGAGAACTAGGATAATGATGTCCCTCTCCAAGGCTCCTTTTAAGCTAATCAGTATTTGTCTCAATCCGCACGGGTATGAGCAATGGACTGGGAGGTTTTTAAGTTCTTTTAATTCAGTATGTTATCTGAGAAATTTTATCTATATGTGTTTTTTGTGCTGTGTATGCACAGGGGTAGAGCAATTCAGAAATTGTTTGAGAAGCTGAGTCCCAATCAAATCCTCCTGGCTGCTTCTGCTCTAAGCTTTGGTGCTGTGGTCTTGGCCACTGACCCCAATGGTCAGCATGTTATACAACACTGTTTGAGAAATTTTCCAGTCCAAGTGAATGAGGTAATAGAATTTGTTATCTCTTTGTGCTATTGATTGATTAGTCAAAGGTTCAAGGTGAAATAGTATAGGAGCTCCTGTTTCAATATTAAATTGCTTTGGTTTTTCTTGTTGGTACGTTGTTATTGGTTAAAAAATAGAGATGACCTCTCTCTAAGTTCCTTTCTAGTAGATAATGTTAACTAAATAGTTTTTTAATCTAGAGGAAATGTAGGTTTTCTATTCTTCCATCGTTGAGTCAAGTTTGCTAGGAATATAGGTTTATTACATAGTTCTTGTTTGTAATACATTGGTTTACTTATTTTTAGATTGGGACTTAATTTATTGGTTATGTTTTTACCTTTGAAGTTAACTTGTAATTATTAGTCTAGATAGATAAATTTATCAAGAATATTAATGTGAATTGAATATGACACTATGCTTTGCACTTGGATAGATCTAGTACACCTATTATTGCATCAGCTCCTTTCTTTGGATGAAGTTGCATCCTCTTGTGTATCAGAGTGGTTATTAGAAACCTTTTTCTAATATTATTATTGATTTCTTTATTTAAATATTGGACTTTTGACATAGCATAGGGTTTCTTAGAGATGTGCTGATTTATTTCAAATGGTCAATTCCAATGACTAGCAAGTCTTTTTTGACCAGATATTCGGTATTACTTGTCAATGACCAGTCCCTATAATCTATTTGATCTTATGTCCTTGTTCCTTCGATATAATGATTCCATACATGTGGTAAACTGTTTCTTCTATAAGATTTTACCTTTAAATTCGCGTGCATTCATTTACATTTTCTTGAATGGCCAATGATTGCTTCATCATCTGAATAACCTTGAACAGAAAGGTATGCTCGCCCCTTCTATAACTTGCTGGGAAATGTTTCGCATATTTTTCTGATGAATTGTTGCTATGATAGAAATTCAACCATATTTTTAGTTGCTGTACAGAAAATTTTGGCATTCTTAGCTTACATATAGATGAGTGTTAGCTTTTGAGTGGTTATATCTTTGATCAGATCTACTATATTGTTAATATTGGTTCCATTCGACAGCATATTTTCAGGGAAATAGCAAACAACTGTTATAAAATTGCAACCAACAAAAGTGGATGCTGTGTGCTTCAGTCATGCATAGAGAACTCGACTGGGGAAGCAAGAGAACAATTGATAGCTGAGATAAAGGAAAATGCATTGGACCTAGCACAAGATCCTTATGGGTATGCTACAAAATGCATCTCTTAATTGTTTAATCTAGGTCTGGCTAGTAATTTGCTTCTAGCATCCTCTTATTATTTCCTCTTCATCACTTTTAGAAACTATGTGGTGCAACACTTGATTGGATTGAAGATGCCTGGAGTTATAACTGACCTTGTAAGGCGATTCCAAGGATGTTTTGCATCTCTCTCCTGCAATAAGTATGCCAGCAATGTGGTGGAGAAGTTCTTACAGGAATCTGGAGAAAATCACATCACAGAAATCATCTTGGAACTGCTTGAGAGCCCAACTGCCTCGGTGCTTCTTACTGATCCTTATGGGAATTTTGTCATTCAGTCAGCATTGTCAAATGGACAGGTACAATAATTTGCTGAAAATTTTATTTCATTCTATATATTCTCATCATTCTAGGTTGCCCTAGCCTGAAGTAAACTGAGTTTTCAGGTCCTAATATTTTATAATCTAACTTCTAAGTTTCGAGTTTTCTGCCTGACCTTTTTTGTAATTAATTCTTTTAGTTTGCTCTAATAACCAACACAGCTGATTGCTGATACAGCATAGATTTTCCCTTTTATGTGAATAACAAAAATCCTAAACAGTAAATCCTAGGAAGTTAGCTTTGATGTTTGTGTAGTTTTCATAGAGGAATAGATCATATTTGGATGGAATGTCATATGCATGAATACTGTTAAGTTGTGTATACATGGTTTGCTTGATCTGCTTGTGCTGAGGATGCATGTTTTTCATCTACTTACTGCTACATGTCTCCCCACAATGGCTGCGCCAGAAAATCATATTTAGAAACTTTATCAAATGCGTATAGCAATAAAAGCCTTCAACATCAAGAGAACCACCTCTTTTGCACCCAAAAACTTGGGTGGTTTTGGCTTCTGTTATTTACTTCCTCCATAGAAAACATAAAACACTTAAACCACAATCTTTCTCATGCATGCATGAGTGCACACACACATTTCACAAAAACGCAAATATTATTTTCATACAGAATGGTCACTTTGTTGAACTATCTAAAGCACTATTGAAACTAAGACTCGCTTCTGGAATTTTCATTTAAACCTCAGATCCCCTACATGTGATGGCTTGAACCTGTTTGAGCCAAATCATTCTCTCATCATCATATTTCCAGATTTTTACACACTTAACATACTTGTATGTAAAAATAGATGCTTTTTTGTAGGTTTTCATGTGTAAGCTATCTCTAGTTAGGCTTATATATATTGGCTCACTAATTATATCTTGCCACTAAATGCACCCCTCTAAAAATATTCATCACACATAAACAAAGACGTTATCTGTTGTCTGCCATGCATGTCATAACACATAGTATTACTCTGAACATTTGAATTTTCTATTTATAATATTGAATCGCTCTCTGTGATTTTTATCGCAGTGCTTTACGTTAGTATGCTTTGGTTACATGCCAATAGGATAGCTTGATTGATGGAAATGAGTAGCATGATAATGTAATATATTAGTACTTCCTTGTTATTCTGTTGCTGAGAATTTTCTGGTAAATTAGTCCTTACCTTAGTCATTTCAGTTTGACTTATTGCCTTTCAATATTACATTGATCCGCAATAACTTGGTCACTACACACTGATTTACACTGAATTTTCTACTCCACAGCAACTCTTTGTTTTTCCAAAAAACTGTTGTCGCTGCTGCATAAATTCTTCATAGTACCTAGCACCTAGTTCTTGCTTAATTCTCAGTCTCTTGTGTCGTTTTAACGAACTCTATTTGAACACTATTTATGCCTTCAAATACAGAATGGGAGCAAAATAATTACTTATCTAACAATTTGAAATTTATTTTATGTATCTGTTTATTATTTGGTGTAGTTACTAGTTTTTGTTTCTTGTCTTATTGCTAAATAGCTTCTTGCCTTACAATTTTAAAAAAAAATTTGCACTCCCGCGTGTTGGCAACGATGTTGGTTGATGAATATAGTTTACTTTACCCAATATTCTAAATTTACTATATTAGGTTTCTTTAAAATTCCATATATTCATATGAAAGGGAGGAGTTTGAGGAGAACACATGGTTGAGATATTTTGGTAACTTATTGTCTTTCCTTTACTGTGCTTCTTCTTTCATCTTATATGAATGTAAAATGAAACTAATCTATCTAACTTTACATTGAGAAATTTAATTTTTCTCTTTCTACCATTGTGCTGCACACTTTACGGTACTATTTTATATCTTCAATGTGAAAAGTGAAGCCAAACACTATGCTGGTTGGCTATATATCTTAGTCATATACATGTGTAGCTAAGTTCTTTCAGATATACATGTATACTTGTGGTCGATGTTATTTTCAAATTCTTTTATGATACAGAAGGAGATACTGGTGGCATATTATTTTGTTCCACAATTAACTGATCTTTGTTTTCTTTACTGCACTTCAAAGCATGATTCCATATTTATTGTGCATTCTTTGTTTCATTCTCTTTAGTTTACGTTGCTAAATATTTTTCTTCACTCATCCAAAATTTGCTTTCTCTCGACAATGCTAGGGTCATGTCCGTGATACTTTGCTTAATTTCATCCAAGCAAATGCACCCTCTATGCAGAGCAACCTCTATGGCAAAAAAATCCTTGCTTGGTTTGAAAAGAGGAGATCCCGCACAGCGTAGATGTGTACAAAGCTAAGATGAGCACCTGGAAAACCCACCTCGATGTGCATTTTCATTCCTCCTGTTGTGCTGTCATAGCATACCCCCAGTTATTGTTAATTCTAATAATTTCCTAAGTATTGTGTAGGTCTAGATTTTCTTTTATTCCTTTTTTTTAAAAAAAACTGAACTTCATGTGGAAATATAGCGAGGATGTTGTACAAGAAGTTAACCATTAGAAGGCTGTTGAATGTGGAGACAGCTGCCATAATAATCTCTTGCAGAAATATTGCAGCACCGTTTGTGTATTCCAAAACTTTTGTATGTTGTGACTTTTGCCTGTACATAGTGTTTAGTGCCTTCTTTCCGACTGCTCGTCTCTCCCTATCTTCTGTTATTCTACGTGCCTAGAATAACAGAAAATAGAGCTCCGTTTAGTCAGAAGTTTTGGAATTTTGGGAGATCTTGCTGTTGCTTACTTATATGGACACTGAGTTTTAATTTTGTAAAGAACATGCAGTTTTTGGCTTTGAAAAATCTATGTGGACAGTAAAATTTATTTGAAGTTGTGTAAGGTTTCAATATGCATTTGTTTACTTTGTTGGATGCTTTCTTGATTACTGTTACTTTGTACACTGATTCATATTCTTAACTCCCAATTCCTCTCCCTAGAAGTTCCAGCAAACACACACACAAAATAAAAAATAAAAAATTATTTATTCATTAGTAAAAACAAAATATAGTACATGCTCCATGGCCAGATCAGACCATCAGATCCTATCCAAACACAACTCCTCCATTAAGTATTATTAAATCCACAGCCATGGTTACCGCTGAAGATCTCTCCCCCATATATGATGTAATTAAGTTCAAGGGCATTTGGGAGTGCCCCCGGAGCTAAGCTTGTCTCCATAACATGGGCACTCATGTCTGTTCCCATAAGTACCTGATGGCACACAGTGACAATCCTCACAGCAGATCCCACAGTATTTGAGGCACCTGTCTTTCGCTCCTGCCTTGGCACATCTCTCCCCACATTTCTGGTCACAGAAACCTGCCTTCCCAACAACAAATAGTTACTGCAACAAACGCTCATCTATGAAGTCATTAATTACCTAATTATTGTATGCAGACTACTTACTTGAGAGTTGTGAGGAGGTCTGAGCCTCAGCCTGTGAAGAGATCAGAACAAGAACCAGAGCCACCAAAAGAACTACTAGAAGCTTCATCTTTGTCATTCTTTGGTGAGGGCTTGGAAGGAAGAAGAAGAAGAAAGAAGAATAGGTAGATTGATTAATGGAGGTGGGCATGCAGATAGATGCATAATATATATATATATATATATATATATAACACACGCACACACCACTTTTTGCAGGGGGTGTAATAATGGTGGAGAAAATAAGGTTGGTGAGGAAAAGACCAGTCGGAGGGAGATGAATTAAATGTAATAAGTATATCATATCGACGTCTGGATACAGACTGTCTCTCAGACGTCAGGTGGTTTCTCTGTGGGCAAAAAGATTGGACCTTTATTATAATTTATATGCCTACTAGAAAATTCTAATCGACTTTTTTGGAAAATTTTCATTGAATTGGTTTGTGAATGAGGTAATGATAAGTTAAGGTAAGAGAGAGAAAGAGACATCCCTCGTGGTTGATAAAATTCCACAATGATTTTGTAAGATTTTTGTGTGCCAACCTTTCACATGCATATGTTGTGTGCAGTGTTGGACGGTTTTTTTTTTTTTTGCTTTTCTTCAACTTTTATTAATTGAATTGAATTGGGCTTTCTTACACTAAGCCCACATGGCATGTTTCCAGCCCTCATTTGTTTAGGACTCTGTACTGTACTAATAAATTATTTCCAAACTATGGGTATAAAAATCCTTCATGAAAAAATAGTAAGCTCCATAAAAAATTTTAGTTTGAAGGTTTTGAGAAAAATCGAAAATATTAAAAATGAGTATTTAATAAAATATTTTATGTGAAATATATAATTAATGAAATATTTTTTTAGAATATAAATCAATAATACAAAATTTTTAAAAATGTTTGCATTTGGAGCCATTACTATAGAGTATGGAGAAACAGTAGTCAATACAAAAAAAAAAAAAAAAAAAAGTTAAATTAAATTAAATATAATAATAATTATAATGTTATAAGATAAATAATTTTGAAGATCACTGTTTCGTTTTGTAAGGTAGTTTGGAAAAGGAAAAGGTTTCTTCCATTCCATCGATGGCGGCGGTATACTGTTGCAGGGAGTGCGGCGCCAATTTGAATCTGGACGCGGCGGAGCTCTTCCCTCCGGACTTCTATTTCGAGGCCGGCAACAAGAAGACGCTTTCGTTCTCCGCCGTGGATTCTTCAAAGTTCAGGTTCGAGAAAGAGGACAAAATCAGGCCCTTTTTCGAGACAGTTAATTATTGGGGCATCCAGCGGAAACGCATCAAAATTAAGTGCAACAGCTGCACCAAAGTGGTGGGTCACATCTACGACGACGGTCCGCCGTTGACGAACAGCATCGGGCAGCTCGGCTTCGGGCCCAGCCAGGCCGTGCCTAGAAACCCTAGATTCAGGTTCAAGAACAAGGCCTTGTCAATAAATTCTCAAACTTAACAGAAATCTTTAGATATATATATCTGTTGATTGTGTACATGATAAATAGGGTTGAAGATATGATGTGGTCCAAACATGGGTGAATTTCTTTGTGTTGTCGATGGAATAATTAAGAAGATTCATGTGCTGCCTTTTCCATCCCTCTCTAATGGTTTAACCCAAATTGGAAATTGAGGGTTCTTGGCACTATTCCATTTGTGAGCTATATATAGCTAGCTAGCTAACTTCATTCATGGATTTGATGATGTTCTAAAGATGTTTCACTAACTAATTATTGATCCATTGTTGTGATAAATCACTTCAATCTTGATTAGCTGTTGAAACTGTGACTGTCCTCATTTAATCAATCAATCAATCAATTATCTAGTTTATTCCATGTTCATATCTGAAATGCTGCTGCTTGTCCCAATTTTGTTGATCTAAATATAGTTACTACTGATTAGATAGATATTGAGTATTTGATTGATGGTTGCAGATTAATTTGAAACTAAACAAGTCTTGTTGTTGATGATTATATTGTGTTTGATCTTAGGCCTCATATTTGTAATACAATCTTATAACCCTATTGACCGAAATTAAACAATATGTACTGTGTAGATTATTACCCTGTGCTAGCTATAAGCTTATATTATTATGTATTCATGTTGTGTTTATAGATCAATTATTATATGTGACCAATTAATATCATATATTTGTATTATATATATATATATATATAGCCATTGCATTTTATTTTCAAAATGTATGCATAAAAGGTAATATTAGCAAGACAAAAAAATTGAGAATATTTCAAAGGACATTGTCAGTAGCGCCAATTGCGCCACGGCCCTTCAAATTGCAATTTGCAACAACCATATTATTATTATGATCATCATTTATCTGTTTTTGATTTGACTAATTGTGTCACCACTCTCTCACTATATATATATATATTTATTCTTATTTAGCTACATTCATTACTGCATCTTGTCTGCTCTTATAGATAGATAAAGAAAACTATTTGAAGATGTGTGTTTATGAGGTTTGATATTCAAAATATTATAACACACAGCACACTTTGTTAAACAACTATCGATTAAAGCCATATTGGCATTACTGCCATTTGGGTGAGTAATTTTATTTTATAATACTATTTCAAAATTTGAATAATTAAAAATGATTTTTCTAGCCATGATATGATGTTGGTAGCAAGAATTGCATTCATTACTTGACTATTGAGCTTAACCTCAGAACCTACTATGTTATGAAAATTGTTACATGCGTTATAGTCCATTCATTACTCCCAAATACTATATTTTTGTGTATATTTCTAGATAAGATAACAATAATTAATTCTGAATTTGATTAAAATGCGAAAAGGGCACATGATTAATGTTGGTGGATGGAAATAGGTTTTGCAATTGGTATTCCGTGGTTGAAATCTTTAGAGTCCCTACCAATACTGAATTTAAAAAAACATTTGAAAAACGAGAGATGAGGCCTAACGTTTGGTCTCTAAATAATTTCAATATAAATAAATAAACATATAAATGCTTAGGCAATTAATTATTCCCTTTCTTTTTAGCAATTGGCAATTTGATTATTTTAATGTCCTTCAAAATATATGAATATATGATAAGTAAAAATAAATAAAGCCTCGAAATGCGGAGATTCTGTGATATTTGGGATCCATCACAATTCACAATATGAATATGAGCTTTCGCATAAATATAGTAATAAGAATATATATATCATTGCATCAAACCTAACCACGACTTTAATAAAACTACAAAAACACGACTTTAATAAAACCGCATAAACATGACTTTTGCTTAAATGCGCCCCTTCTGTTTCCATGCATTCTCCTCCCCTGTCATTAGTTAAGTTCCCATCTCTCTCTCTCCTCTCTTCCTCTCTCTCTCTCTCTCTCTCTCTCGCGCACTATATATATATATATATATATATATATAATCAGCGCGAAACAGAGACAAATGTTTTGCTTCTTGTAAACGTCATTCGGTCGCTGCTTTACGCTTTTTGTCTCCTCCTCAAATTTCCCGACTATAAACGAGGCGCCGACTTTTCACACTATCTCAGTCTCAGTAACCCCAAATCTCACTTGCAGCAACTACTGTTAATCAAAATCGGTGACCATGGAGAGGAAGCAGGGTTTCTTCTCCGCTCTAAAGGAGGAGGTGGTTCGCGGCCTGTCGCCGAGGAGAGGCCGGAGCCAGTCGCCGTCGGGCTCGGGCCTGCGGATGCGGAGGAGAGGTCTCAGCTCGGGCCCGGCCGGAATTCTGATTCCGAGATCGGCAAGTTTGAGAGTCGGAGGAGGCGTGGAGACGCTCTCGCCTTTAAGAGAGGGCCCGGATCCCGACGGGTCGGATTCTGGCGACCCGCGGGCCGACCGGTGGGCCCATTGGCTCTGCCGGGCTCCTTCCGTATCGGCATCCGGGCCGGGCTGCTCTAGGTCGGATCTGAGGCTGCTGCTCGGCGTTTTGGGGGCGCCGCTCGCGCCGGTGCACGTTAGCAACAGCGAGCCGTTGGCACATATATGTATTAAAGACATCCCTATTGTGAGTGTGATTTGGTTGTTTTTATCCATTTTTGTGTTTCAGAAATCTTTCCTCCCTCCCTCATCTTCCTCGATTCCATTATTGTGTTTTTGTCAGCTCCAGTTCTGGTTCTAATTCGGATAATTTTGGTTAGATTTGTTCCTTTGCTGTAAAGGCAATCAAGAGTAATAAGTAGGTAGTATTTGTGTGGTGGTTCTGAGGAAGAACATGGAATAATTAAGACGATGCTACGCTGGGATTGGGACTGTTGATAGCATCATCTTCTTTGTCGGCACACACTGCTTACTGCTACTGCTACTGATATCTAATAATATCATTGATTCCCCCACCCAAACCAAACCAGGAGGAAGAATAATAATTCGACATCGAACAAGATTGATTTATTATATATATATATAAATATATATACCTGTGGTCCACTGCCCTTTTTCTGCTTCTGAATCAATGCTTCTTTCTGCTAATGTTGTCCAGGAAACTTCTTCAGCTCAGTACATACTGCAGCAGTACCTGGCGGCCTCCGGCGGGCAGAAGCTTCAGAGCTCCATCCAGAATGCCTACGCCATGGGGAAGGTGAAAATGTTGGCATCCGATATCGAGACAGCCACCAAGGTTATAAAGAGCCGCAATCCGGCCAAGGCAGCCGAATCTGGGGGTTTTGTCCTCTGGCAAATGAATCCCGACATGTGGTATGTCGAGCTCGCAATGGGAGGCAACAAGGTTCACGCCGGCTGCAACGGGAACCTCGTCTGGCGCCACACCCCCTGGCTCGGGGCGCATGCTGCCAAAGGCCCAGTTCGCCCTCTTCGTCGCGCTCTTCAGGTGAGCGAATACATTCTTGTTTTGATCATCATTTTTCTGCTACCCAGTTTTCTGAGATGTCCTAATGGTTGCATTGTAGGGTCTGGATCCGAGAACAACGGCAAACATGTTTGCAGAGGCGAGATGCACTGGAGAGAAGAAAATCAACGGCGAGGATTGTTTCGTCCTCAAGCTATCTGCTGACGCGCAAACGCTTAAAGCAAGGAGCGAAGGGCCTGCTGAGATCATACGCCACGTGCTGTTTGGATACTTTAGCCAGAAGACGGGGCTCCTCGTCCATTTAGAAGATTCTCATTTGACAAGGATCCAAACCAATGGAGGCGAAGCCGTGTACTGGGAGACAACCATCAACTCCTTTCTCGATGGCTACAGGCCGGTTGAAGGGATTATGATCGCCCACTCAGGGCGATCTGTGGTGACCCTTTTTAAGTTTGGAGAAACAGCTATGAGCCACACCAAGACGAGGATGGAAGAAGTGTGGACCATCGAGGAAGTGGCATTCAACATTCCGGGGTTATCCATGGACTGTTTCATTCCTCCAGCCGAGCTTAGATTTGGCTCTGTTAGTGAAGCCTCTGAGCTTCCTCAAGAAGACAGGGTCAAGAATGCCGTGGCAGCTGCCGCAGCCGCGGCTTATAGAGCCAAGGTTGCTTCTTTAGGCTAGTGACTGACAAATTAAGATCCCCTGTTAGGCAAAATCATACCCCTGGGTCATATCAATCTGTATATACAGTCCTGCAGAGGCTTCAACTCTCTCTGGAATTAATATATGGTTTTACATTCTTGACTCTGTAAAATTGTAATAGTAATCATAGCATTGTAAGATCAGGGCATCTTTAAATTGAATGCAGTATCTTTTGTTAATCCTTTCCTATGATGGCCTTAATGATCTTCCTAGTGTTATAATGCAGGCTCTGATAGAAAAGCTAAGCTACCAGTAGAATATGAACAAGTGATTATGATCAAGCGTGGGGTGTTGTAATGATGATTATGCTGATGGGTTTGCTGCTTTAGAATGATACCTAAGTTATATTTGACTAGAAAAATAAAACAGTCGAAAATTTCCCGAGATATAAAAGCAACTGAAAATTTATATTGGGCAAGATCAGAACATGAATCAGGACAACAGTGACTGAAGGCACATATCAACTAGATAATTTGGCATACAAGTTTCTTGTATGAGATAATTTGGATTAGTTTAATTGGGATGAATGGAGGGATTAGCAACTGACTTTATTTAAAGAATTTCATTATAGGAGTAATAAAATCAAGAAATACTGAAATGATGATGTATTGCTGGATACAACATGTATCAGGCATATATGACCTTAGAACTTGGTAATTTGAACTCAAACATCTAAAACTGATTATGGACAGAAATCAATTGATCCAATTTACTCAGACAAGAGCAAGCAAGAATCTCCTTTCCAGGACCTTTTTCCTCATTATTTGAAGCATAAAGGTAACTACAAATCCGTACAAAGGCGTAATGAAATGAGAAATTACCTGATCTGCTCAGCCGACAATCGGCAATAATATTACCTAGATTCTTGGCACGCTAACTGTTTCCATGTAAATACCGTCGTATATTACATTAAGAGAATTGTCATAAATTGATTGATCAACAATATTCAGAATCTGGGACTATTTTTTCCCCATATGGATAATATATTTTATTCACCTCTTGCGTATGCAATGTATGTATAAACCTATTTTTAGTCCTAATGTAATAACAAATCAGTTAAGCTACCTTCATATCAACACTCAAGGCCATTTCTCCGACAGAACATCCTATATTTTAGTTCATATCTTCCTTCTTAACTGATCATTCAAAAAATGAAGTGATCTACTATTCACCTATTCTTTATCATGAACAACTGTTAGCACAAAAAATATCAAGAACAACTGGCGAGCAGATTTTGTTATTATACACACATGCATATTATAGGAAGGATGACACAGTGGCATACAAGTATGACAAAATAAACTACTTATACCAGTGAGAGCTTTCTGCCTTGAGTTTTTCCCTTGTTATCTGCATCCCTCCATAAAATTAAAAAGTAGCCACCATTGAACAGTCTTTCAACTCATTTCAGTATGGAAGCACCATAATAGGCCTATCAGATCTTTTATAGTTGGACCAAGTGAAATCACTGCCAAAACAATTCTGGATCAAATTAACAAGCATACCTCTTTTAATAAACATTCCTGTTAGAAGACTTGTCCAATCAATCCCTATAAAATTCCTAATGCTGAAAATGGGCACAGGATCTGAAAAGTGCATCTAAGGCTACTTTACACAGAGGAAAGTTCCCTCATATGCTTCCACTTGTCTTGATAGCAATCCTCTAGCCTCACCAATTTTATGCATAGTCATCATCACTGTCATCTTCATATTCAGAATCAGACTCTTCATTGCTGGATTTCATGAAGCTATTCATGTCAAAGGAAGAATCTGAATTCATCTCTTCCATGTCAACAGTGTCATAACTCATTCGCTCTTCAAATTTCTCATCTGAACAATTGAGAAGCCAAGCAAGAGAACATTTCACCCCCTTCTGATGTATCATCTTGTGTCTTGGTCTAATGGTAGATTCAAGGCTATAAGTAAAGTAAGCTGGGAAAGCCACCAAATCATCCAATGGCCTTGCCATTGTGGTCTCGAAGTACTCAAAACTGAGTCTCATAATGTCAACATTCAAGGCCATCAAATGTGGACAACCCACAACCATTCGATTCACTTGTTCCATAGAGAATCCACATTCCATTAAGAAATCTACATGAGTAACAATTGCTTTGTTGCTCAGGCTGACAATTTGGGGCATTTTCTCAATGACCCTCCCAAAATCTTCATGACTCAATCCTATGATGGAATTGAGGAAGTCCCGTTGACCTGGAAGCTTCATTTCCAGGTCAATTCCTATGACTTCAGGATATTGTGCAATCACAGCTGCAAGTGAAGTATGTCTAACATTGTATTCTAAAAGCAATTTGACATTTGGTTTCACCTTCTCAGCAAGCCCAAAACCAAGAATGTGTGGCCGTTTCTCAATCAGTCTTGCAGCAGCTTGACATGGAATTCCCAAGCTTCCCAAGTACTCCACAAATGGTTTGATCACCCGACCTACTCGCATGCCCAGTATCTCTGGGTACCTCGTCAGCACCCCTCCTATCTCACGTCTAGATACTCCAATTCCAACCAAATATGCAACTGAAGTACTCATTGTGCCCTCAAGTTTGAATCCCAAAACTTCTGGGTACTTTTCAAGGACTCGAGGAATATCATTAGGCTTGATGTCCATGCCCTGAAGATATTTAACAACCGGCTCAAGATCAACCACAACACTAGCATGGAGGACCTGTGGGTACCGACGCAAGAATTCAGTAAAAGTGGACTTCCTGACACCCAATTTCCCAAGGTAGTCAAGCACCGGAACCATGTTTTTCTTCACACTGCAACCAAGGACAAGAGGATAATTGTTGATATCTGCAATTGTGAGTCCTAACTTATGAAGGAAATCCACTCGTTCTCTCATGACTTCAACTGTGACAGGGAGCTCTAATCCATCAAGCTCATCAGGAACAATCCCAATCCCCCTCAAAAATTCATAAACACGAGCCCGGTTAGCAATCCTTTCATTCTTCATTTCTAATAAACTGGGGTGAGTGTAAAATGAAGCAGGGTCAACTGGTTTCTCCTCTTTTACGAATCTATCTCCCTTAGACAAAGATACCTCGGTACGAGTAGATGAACGGGTTCTGCCAGCAGCAACTGAGGAATGAAGCTTTATCACAAATCCACACCTTCTCTTACAATGACTAGAAATGCACAAAGTCGGTGTAGAAATCAACTGCGGCTTTTGGAACACAGAAGCCGGCAACTCATAATGCACGAACAGGAAATTGGGTTTCGTGAGAGTGACATAGCTTGAAATTTTCATCCCAACCATTAACATGACCATCCAAAATTACCTGCATTCAAAACAAAACAATAATAAAATGTCACTCCTAACTACCAATACTACGCACTATCTTTGCTACTGCTACACAGGCAACTCTAAAACACAGAAGTTCCACCAGACTGCTTATGTAACATATTATAAAGACAGCAGAGCGGGAAATCAAACAAATACAACAAGATAAGAAAACAAGCACCTAAATCAGGCAGCAAGAGCAGCGAACAAATCCCAACTCCTCCGGAACATAAACCAGGAGAGAAATTAAAACCGGAAATGGGAGTGAAGCAGATGAGATAGATATTTCGACGAACCTCTGCAACCCACCGCAGAGTGAGGTGGAAAAACAAAGTTGGCAGAGTGAAATGGGCCAAATATTTTTTGGTAGGCTTAGATTTAAAATGGGCTTTAGTTTAGTGAGCCCATTAATCTTATATGGCTTTATTGAGCCCATTTCATTATTTGGTCAAAGATAGTGTATTTATTTACTATAATACACCTACCAACTTCCACCAATCCAGACCATCAAATTAAACTATTTATTTTAATTGGATAGTAAGTATTTGATTGTCTGCCACAATAAAAGCTGGGAGTGAGAACCAGCTGTGGAGATGAGATGAAGAACCACTTAGTGGTGTGGTGTATAGTATTTGGCATTGGTTTGTTAAATGCAAAGAGAGCTAACTGCCAACAAGCAGCATTTATGGCGTTGAGTAGAGGTTGGAATGGAACAATGATGATGGTGACGTCCATTGAACATTTTGGGTTTCTTGTGGGGCTGACGCGTGCCCAAGTTGCCATCAGTGAAGCTTCCTCCCCCCTTTCCTTTTCTGGCCTGTTGACTTCTTCATCTTCTTCCTCTTGGGTCATGTCCATTCTCTCATCTTAATCCTTCAAAAAATATTAAAGAAAAAGGAACACTAGTCCCCCCTCCCCCCTTTTGAAGTTTATTTGTTTATATATTGCAGCCACAAATAGAAGGGATTTGAGAGTGGCTGGAATTGAAAACAGTACAGAAGCAGGCAGGAAAAAAATGGGTGGAGGAAATGGTCAGAAGTCGAAGATGGCTCGTGAGAAGAATCTGGAGAAGCTCAAAGCTGCCTCCAAGGGTACGTCTGTAATACATTTGTCTAGAGGGAGAGAAAGAATGCGTGTGTGTGTTTTATCTTAGGATTGTTTGTTGGTGATGAAGAGGGGTGGGTTGGTTTGTGCAGGCAGTCAGCTTGAATCCAACAAGAAGGCCATGAACATTCAGGTTATATATATATATATATATATGTGCTTGCTTGTAGCTAGTTTCAGTGATTGATCTTTGCTATCTACCATTAAAATGATGTGTTCTTGTTGTGTGTGGCAGTGCAAGGTTTGTATGCAGACATTTATTTGCACTACCTCAGAAGTGAAATGCAAGGAGCATGCTGAAGCTAAACACCCAAAGGCAGACTTGTTCACCTGTTTCCCTCATCTAAAGAAATAATTACAATTGTTATCATTATCATGGTTTCATCTATGCACTGTGTGTGTATGCCTCTGAATTGTGTGAACCACTTTCAAGCTTAATATTTAATGCACAACTCTTATGGTTCATACATACATACATTAATATGCAATCTAGCTTTGCTTCTCTATTTTCTTATCCCCAGTAAGCCAAATATTAGTATCATACACTTCTTTATATGGTGGGAGAGAAACTGTGTGATTTGTGGATATAATGAATGTACAATCTTGGAAGTAAAGTTTGGGAGTGTGCTAATATTGAAGGAATGAAACCACATTCCATCTATTCATTACAAGAGTCAACAAGTTCTCATCATACGCGAGAATTCATCATTGTAACAAAATGTTCGATAATACTTCTTGAGCTTTACGCCATATTAAGTGCGCATCCTGCTGTTTTCTGCAGCTCTAACCTGGTTGAAGTATGGATGCGCCTGAAACAATTACCACAATGTTCATATTCAAAGCATATTTATATGCATTTTCATCTCAACTTCTTTGTGATTGTTCGAAGAGCAATCTAAATATATATATATATATATGTGTGTGTGTGTGTGTAGTGATTAGTATAGACATTGACTTAAGAAAAAGTTGTTATAGCTATCATGGGTGTTCCCAGCAAAGATTGGGATAGGAAAGTAAAAAGGGAGAGAAGATGCTACCATTGCCTCCTTGGCTGTAAGCCTGTCCTGATGATCGTAGCGCAGCAGCTTGTCAAGAAAATCAATGGCCTGTTCATTAATTGCAAAATCAAAATAAATTAAGCTGTGATGTTAAGTAGATTATCTGACAAGGGGAAGAAGAAAAAAATAAGCCAGAATGAATAACCTCTGGTGAAACCAGATGTTGATTGTCTGAATTAACAAATCTTGACCACGGTTTCCTACTATGCCTGAGAAACAAAGCAACATCAGTAACTCAAGTTCATAGAAAATGTTCATAGTTTTACACATAATGATATGGTTTCCTTTTTCATAAGAACTAATACATGTTCACAGAATACACATATCATGCTTGCATTCAGAGGAAACAACAGATTAAACACATCCATTAAGTTTTTCTCCAGTTTGCATTGTGGATTGTGAATTTGAAGCAGGAATACTGAAAGAGCAAGTATATGTTATTAATACCTTCCAACAAGAGCATCAAGTTGAGGATCCAATTCAAGATGATATTTGTTCAGATACGCATTCAACTCATCTGTCCCAAGCACCTGTTATGTCCAAGGTTACACAGATATATACAAACCTAAGGCAAAATATGGAGATGTGAATATACACAACAAAATGCAGAGTACAAGAGAACCTCTTTCTAACCTACATGAATTTCTCAAAGACTCCAACCCAAAAACATCTGATTGTTCAAGAGGTCATATTAATCTTATAAGATGGCAGATATTTACTTTTCTCTAAAGAGATTATAACCGCATCAATATTCAGACATTGCAGTAAGTCCATGAAATGAAATGTGATATGGATGCAAAACGAACGAGTGAGAAGAAACTTTTTCCAGAAATATTCTGGAGACCAACCTTGGCTATTTTAACAAGTTGATCCTGATTATCATGACCATAGAAGAACGGTTCTTTACGAAAAATCTGTAATCAGAAGAGTGGTCAGACATGTCGAAACTTAAATAAAAGCATATATATATAGAAGGTTGACAGGAATGATCCATACCATTCCGGCAAACATGCAACCAAGACTCCACAAGTCCAGAGAATAGTCATAATCTTGCAAGTCAACAAGCAGTTCGGGACCTTTAAAGTATCTAAAATATATAAATTTTTTTAGTACAAAACATCAGAGACCACCATGACAAATGCATGTACATTTCAGTTGGAATCTTATAAAGTGACAAAATATTATGAAGAATAGATCTATCACAAATTTGAATCAGCAATACCCTCAGGGCTCGCTTGGTAACATTGACGGTAGCTCAAGTGTGAGCAGAAATCACTGGGCTTTACCACCCTAATCAAAATAAAAAGAAAAGATGTAAGTTAGGAACCTTGATGCGACCCTGACATTGTATTCTTTTCCAGGGTGATAAAATTCAGCAAGCCCCCAATCAATCAGCCTAAGTTTTCGCAGTTCGTGATCAATCATAACATTGTGAGGCTTGACATCTCTATGCATTATCCCTTGCGAATGGCAATAATCCAATGCCTGCAAATCCAAACATTCAGCAACCAGTTAAACCTGCAGTAGTTCATTGACATCTTCAAAAGATTGCAGGCAAGGAATCTACAAAACTTTGATACAATAACTTTCACCCACAAGTCAGCAACATTTACACACTATTTATCTTAATTCGATTTTAAAAATACAGATCACTCCCCCAAAACTCCATAACCAAAACATGAATTAAAATTCAAGTTGAATGAATAGTAGTCATTTTCTGATACTAAACAAGAATTTAAACATGAGAATTGGTGTTTTTTTGTGTAGTAAATCATAGCCTACATGAGAACCTGCAACTACCAATCAAAATTGATATCCAAATCCTAGTACCAAAAATTACAGGATAAGCATATGCTGCAGGCTAAAGAGCTAAGGTACATATAATATACTAAAATAGCACGTTAGAAGTAGAAGAATCCTTGCTTCAGTCGCATTCCATATTGAGTCATCAAATGTGAAATTTGATTATTCAATGAAAAAAAGCAAACTCAATACAAGTATTTCAAAGATTAATTTCGCCTCTATTATATATCTCACATAGGACAGATGAGAATAGTCTCTCCACGGATAAATTTTTTCAAAACAGTGTTATACATTTACATTTCTCATTCAGATACAATTCTATATGATCAGATAGGCCGATCCTCGTCATTCCAATTTTTGGTGAGTAATTATTTTATTTAAGTCAATCGTTAAATCAAACCTTAATAATAATAAAAAGGAAACAAAAACAAAAAAAAAAAAACTGTTAATGTGGTCAAAACAAGAGTACAAAAGGCACCAAAGGGGATAGAACAATATGTCAACTTACGAATACACAAAAGTTATAGAGTGATAATTAAACCTTGAGAAGCTCATAGATGTAGTAGCGTATATCATAATCAGTCAATGTTGGATACAAGACTTTGAAATCAGTGCTGTTCACATATTCAAAAATTAAGCTAGGAGTTTTTGAATGCTGATCTCTAACTATATCAAGCAGCTTCACAACATTTGGACCTCCACAGATACTTTGAAGGATCTTTATCTCTCTCTTTATCTGGATGAGTTCACAAAATAGTCAGTGAGCAGCCATGCAAAAAGTATGTTATAAATAAAGTTCTAGGTATCATTAGCCAGTGTCACAATATGCTAATTAGTGAAAAGTCAGGGGAAGCATTATAGAGTTGAAGATATAAAGTCATTATTTTAAAAGTTTTAAAGATGTAGATCCAACAAGTAAAAAGATGTGGTGACATATATAACACCACCATACAACAAGAACTTTACAATTTATGCCAACATAAGCTATGCGGAACCATAGTTGTCAATCACGGATAGCGGTGCGTAGCAGTCAACATCTAAAATGCTATAGCGGGATAGCGGTATGACCGCTATTTAAATATTTAAGAATATATATATAAATTATTATATATACAAAATTATAACAAAAATATATAAAAAAAACTATACATTAATTCATAATTATCACTCAAACCAATAAAATGTTAATATATATATATGATCATAACTATTAGATTGTTATATAAGCAAAAACAATTAGATCACTATTGTGTGATAGATATATATCAAAGCTAATCAGATTCAAAATTTGATAAAAATAATTTCTTTCTCATTTTCATCATCCTCATTGTTTGATTACTTTTGTCTATATATTCTTCCTTTTCTTCTTCATTCTCATCCATTTATTCAATTGTTATATTCATCACCTTGTATAATATCATTTCCTTTTTTAAAGCTAGAAATACCTATAGCTTTCTTTCGCATTGATGTATTGATGTTTGTATCTTAGGGTAGATAGCAGACCTATTAGCATCAACAACAACTCCCTAGTCAAATTATCATTGTCAAATATTAATTTATCCTCCGCAATTATCAACTTCTTTAATTAACTATTTATTTGAATCATTCAAAACAATAGGACCAATCACATCATTGTTAATGATCTAACAAATTTTGGTTATACTTATATAAACCAAATCTTACAACTTTTGGCTTTCTAATTTATTTTTTTTCTTGGAATGAATCTAAAAATTTAGTTAATATTTAAGATAAATGTTTTTTTGTCTATATTCTAATAAAAAAAATACATTTTATAAGTAAAAGTTAGATTTCAATTATTTTATAAGATAAATGTTTTTAAGGTCTAGCGTAACGTAGTGGAGTGGCGCTACAGGCCGCTACCGCTATTGCGTAAACGTGGAATTGCGGAGCGGCCGTAGCAGCAGAGTGTCTTTCTGCTACGCTACGCCGCTATTGCACCGCTATAGTGCACTACTGACAACTAGCAGCGGAACATCACAATTAATTGAGTGAAAATTTGAAACTATCACCAACTACATTTGAAACTATCACCAACTACAAATGCTATACAAAGCACCATTTACAAGTGACTTTCTCTTCCAAGGAACTTAATGTGTAGTGTCTAAACTATTATGAATCCTTTAAAGGTATTTTGCCTGTTACAAATTCCAATAAACCGTTTAAGGAATTCTTAGGAATATATATTTATTTGAACATAGAACCATGAATATAATCTTGGAAGTACATAAACCACAAAATCACTGAAAATAATTTGTACAAATTCTAAAAAGTTAATAATCCTTTTAAATTAGGTTGTGATTTAGTTATTGCCTCATTAAGAACCAATCTCCAAAGCCTTGATAAAGTTTACCTTCTTCTTCTTCACTGGTTTGAGAATTTTTATGATGCACCTTTCATTGTTTGTTACATTTATACCTTCAAAGACCTCACTATATTTTCCCCTTCCCACTTTCCGAACAACTTCATAGTCATCTTGATCGCTGAATTTATCAGGAAAAATGTATGTGATTATACTGAACCAACAGAACCATCCAGAGGAAAGTCGTATACTTAAACCTATGCTTTAGGAACCAGAAACAATTCAGATGGGCTGATCATAGTCATAACGCTAGATTAGTATAGAATCATTGAACTTATTCATTCCCAGAAGCAAGTGACAGAACCAGTAAAATCATGTATCTTGAGGGAATCAGAGAGAAAGCAATCAAAGATCTTAACACATCAAAAACATGTTCCTAATATTTTATTCTTTCAGATCCCACAATCGATATCACAAAAAATTCCACCGGCGCCAAGCCTGAAGTGAGAGCACAAAAACTATGTATGTGTAAATTTTTTACAGCACAGAAAAATAGTAACATCAACAAAAGTACATAAAAAAAGTTTACAAAACGAAGACTTGGCAATACAAAATATCTTTCAACCAACCAACTACTGAGTTCCTCAATAAAATGTAATATATATGTCTTATTATAAACAAATAATATTATTAATCTGATTTACCTAAACCAGGTTAAAGGGTAGGAATTTTACTTTCTGTTGCCTCATTCCTCAATGTAAACAGGAAAACCATAGAACTAAAAATTGCTAAGTGAATTGAAAGTATCAGTAATATTTGTGGTTAAGCTCAGCATGCAGTTTAGCAGAAAAATTCCTCAATCCTGATCACTTGATACTAAGAATGGAATAATTGAGCAAAGGGTAAAGTCGTTTGGTTGAAGGAAACAAGAGTTTAACAAATTTAGTGGTTTGCAGTGATTCAAGTGAAGCTTTCTTAGTTGCAAGGTGAAGGCAGCCCTTTGGTGAAATGAAGTCAACGAATGATATTTTAATTCTCTTTAGGAATCTTAGAACTTATTACCAAGATATCACAATCAGCCAGCATATTAGGTGCAATCTCAACTGTCATGTGCCAAAAGTATCTGACCAATAAATAAGATTTTTTTTTTTTTTTAAAAAAAAAGAAAAGTCTAAGTGATACTTCAATATCCTGTGCTGAATGATGCATCATACAAAGCTTTGGCCAGACTATCCAGTATTAAGGCATCCTAAACTGTTGTTCACAATCGAACAATTCACCATGCATCCCCAACTTAAACCGTGAAAGACTACAGTCTTGTAGCAATCACACTTTGAATAGCCTATAATCACATAAACTTCTAGCAGCTCGTTCGGTAAAACCATTTTATGATTATGACAAGCGTTTCAAGAATATAATCCAGATCCTTTCCCAGTACAGTTACGTTTATGCTCAACAAAATACAACTTAACATGCACCATAGAATTAAATAAAAATTATGTAAAACCTTCAAAGAAGATCTTCTAGACATTCCAAAATAAGCCTGAATTAATGCATTTCCAACCGCCATAAATAATTTTTTTAAACAAAAAAATTCAATATATATGTCCCTTCACCCAAAATAGAACAAACAGGACAATAGATGAAAACGACGCTAATTCAGGGAAAGCCGCAAGGATATTCATTTATAACATGTATACCCCCACTGAACAGTGAGAGACTCGTAATCCCAGTAATCCCGCGGGCGATGAACGTTGACGTCGGTATAAACGCGAGCTTGAGACATCACAATCTTTAACCTTTCCTCCGGAGAGGGATTTGGGTCTCTTGACGAGTAGATTTCCGATTCTTGCTTGCCTAATGGCTATGATATTGATAACTATACAAGTACAACCACACTGGGCAGGATGATGAGAAATCTCACTGGGCCTTCCCGTAATGGCCCAAAATTCCTGCAATATAATTGAATTTGGGCTTCGTCCCTTATTACCATAAGATTAATAATAAAAATAATGATAATAATATGATTATTATTGAACCCTGCCCATATTCAAATGATTTTTCCGTAACAACCTTCAAGATGATCAAATTATTTTGGGCCGTTGGTTCGGATTCGTAACTGTCAAGTCATGTCTAAAAGACCTCTACTACTTTTACTCAAATCAAATCATTATTTAAACACAAACAAACACAACCAAGCATGCCCTTATTAGTCATAAAAAATATTGATATCTAAAATTTAATGTCAATTCAAAACATCAATAGTCAATGAACAAATCTCACATCAGAATTTACAAGTTCAAAATCATTCCCAGAAATGTCCAAGAGTACCTGCTATAGCATATTTGTTATATGCATAAGAAGCATCATCTGATCTACAAAAACGGTAGGCTTCTTGTGGTAATATCAATTTGCTTACAGAGCAGCAGAATCAATGATCCAGAGGGCTTTTCACTATGATTATTACCATGTGAATGAGAAAATTACATGTGTAAATTTAAAGGAAAAAAAATGCATATAAGAGCTGTAAGAGCTAAAGAATGCATTCAGCAAGATACTCAACCCCGTTTTGGTGGGACATAGGGAACATGCTCCTCTTCACATAGATTCTGCAAAATTTCGTAATTGGCATCAGAACAACTTCAAGTTAAAAAATTGTGGCAAAAATGACATCGGCTGTGTAAAAGGTGAATTTTGTTACATCCCGACATGGGTTTTGGTTTAAGGAAACAGCCTTTTGAAGAAGGCTTTCAAATTAGACTAGTACTAAGAGAGTTTTAAGGAAAATTCTATGCTGTTGAAGGGCTTCCAGGTGTATAATTATACTAGATAAAAAGTTTCCAACCGAATTTGCTGTTAAGGGATTGAATTCATGTATCCAAATAATCCAACCATTAAGGTTAACTACAAACACCGCTGCAAAGGAAGTGATATTCTGAGTAATTGGTTGATTTACTTGAAGATCGACTTCTAACAGCCTACCTGCAAGTCTTGAGGGAGCGCTTCAGAGACTGAAAGAGTGTAACAGCCAGGAACAAATTTACCTGAAAAATAACAAGAGATCAAACAGGCGAAACAAGAGTCCTGGCTTTTATGATGACAGAAAATTAGAGAATGCTTAAGGATAGAGGTGTGGATCGGAATAGCATATCGTATGTTCAATTTCACAGCTTATGGCCTATAGCCCTATACAAGACTCCTTAGGCTCACATCAGATTCTGGTAGATACAGATAGTAATGACAAAAGAAGAAGACATTTCAAATTCTCCAAAAACTTCATTAACTAATAAAAAACTAACAGCCCGTGGCCCTTAACATTATGGTTGTCCTCCTGATCAGAATCCCAAAAAATGAACCAGAGCAAGCAGCCATCTCCTTATCTTACGGCCCAGAAAATGCATGGCTGAAACTCATTTTCTATTCCAGTATTGCAGGAAGCATGATTGAAAAGTTGTTTAATGACTGCAAGTTAAAGTCTATATTTATAGCCAAACAGATTATGTGGCTTGTCCAAGTCCCCGACAAACTAGAAATATGAACACGTAGTCGACAGCTTGATAGCTAGATTATGCTAAATCATTCAATCAAACTAAACACTTAGTCTTATCCGCAACATATTCTCCCTAAAATTGATAGTCCTTTTCCTCTTTCGACTCAAGCATCATACGTACTAAATTTAGTAGAATTCCAATTCACGTTGAAGAACTTTGGACATAACAGAGAAAGCAACCATTGCAGTAAGGTATCAGAACAAGCTACGTACCAATCCGGAGCCAACGAGCAGCCCAGCTCCTGGATGGATCCATGACGGAGATTAACCTAGTAGAAAACCGCTTACGTTAAATTATATAAATCAAATTCTTAGAAGGAGAACTTGCTCTCCTTTCCTTTCACAACAAATAAGTTCAAATAGAGTACAAAAATAATAGGACAAATAATAAAGGGAAACCAACCCAGTGAAATTGGGGGTCGTTGCCTCAACAACACGTTCGTGATCGTCCTCCATCTGCAAGACAGGGCAGTTTTCGCACCCAGATTCCCGAAACTGTAAAAAAATTACGCGTATCACCACATAATCTCTCCAGTTATTTAGATGGGCAATTCACACGAAAAAAGAAAAGGAACGAACTGAACCTGGTCGTATGTTTTTACGAGCCGACATCGAAGGCAAGCCCTAAGTTCATGGCCGAAACTGGTGGGAATCTGCGCCGCAGCCGGCCCGCCGCCGCCGCCACCATGACCCGCCATTGTTCCCTTTCAGCGACTCTGCCGGAACCAATACCGATTATCGGAAAATTAATGGAACACACCCAAAATATTAAAAACTAACACAGGCTTTAGTTATTTAGGGTTTCGAGCTCCATAGTCCAGAATTCTCTGGGCCTCTCTTAACTGGGATTAACTTATAATTGGGCCTATTGGGCTTCAGCTGATTATCCATAAAAAAAAAAAAATCAGCCCAATAATAGGGATGACTATGAGGTTACTTTCAGAGCTCCTGGACCTCAAACACCAAATGAATCCACACCGTTCATTTGGATTTTGAAAGGTGTGGATCCACGGGGATCTTCAAACCCGCAGGAATAAGGAAAGGGAGTTGTGCTTCCTCACTGCAAATGCAAATCCTGAAGGCTCGCATATCATGGCGCCAGCAACTGCATCGTTGCCTCTTCATTAACTCACTCCCTGCGGAAATTCAGAACTCTAAAATCCCCACATCTTGATCTGCCCGCCCTCTTAACATTTCCAATGTCTGCAGGCACAGGCAATGGTACGACCCGCCGAACAGTAAAGAAGGAAAAACATTTACATACTTTTTTTTTTTTTTTTTTTTGATCGGAAACATTTACATAATACTTTTTAGTTGATCGGTTTGTTGGGCAGGGAATGGGCAGCGGCAGTTTTTTCTTTATCTTCCCAGATATTGTGGTTGACTGTATCTGAGCGAAATCGAGATTTTCTATTTAGTTTGTTATTCAAAGTTTGCTTTTCGTCAAGGCCGATGCTTGCGTTCATTTTCGACATCTAGGGTTTTGCCGGTGGAAGAAATTAGGGAGAATTTGTTTGGGGGTTTTGGGTTACAAAAGTAGTTCATTTCTTGTTTTCGTAAGCAAAAAGAATGAGGGCTTTTGGATTCTGGTGCTTGTTTCTGTTTATAACGACAGCTTTTTTGGTGAACCTGCGTCACTATGGAAGCGAAAGCAGCAGCTCGAATCCTGGTAATGAAGTTCAATTTCCTTGGGATTTTCGACCTCTTTTCGACTTTTTTACAAGAAACATGTAATGGTGAATCCTATACGATGTTCATTCTATTTCTCATTTGGCTGTGTATAACGTTATTCGAAAATTACCTTCCTGATGCATTTGTGGGATTGCAATTGCAATAATGGAAAAACAGTCGTCCCTGTTAATCAGTTCGATCCAATTTCTCTGTTCTTTGCAGGTAAGGTTTCTCTGTTCTTTGCGGGTAGTAATGTCTTGGCAAAGACAGTTAAAACCAGGAAGCTTAAGGTAGACATTGACATTGAAATTGAATGTCTTGCCAAGTGATCCTTACTGTGTCCTATGCTCTAATCTTACTCTCTGTTGTTGCAGGATTACATCGATCCGCATAGCTCGAATCAAGCGGGTGGATCAGGCCGTGTTAGCTTCGAAGATTACGGTGCTATTGATCCATCCCCAACCTCAAAGACATCGATCAGACACGGCCCCATCCAGCACGATACTCCTCTGCTTCCTTACATTCCAATTCCTTCCCCTCCTCCAAGTGGTTCGGACAACAATGGGTAATGTCTGCTCGATCTCAATGCTAATCACAATGCCTCGGACCCATCGGCTATGTGTCGATGGAGAATGATCTAATAGATGCTTAGTTAGTTGTATTAGAATGCCTACACGAAATATATAAGTATTGTGCATAGTTTTGTAACTTCTTCGTTCTTGTGTCATCCAGTTCTTGGAAATCTTGAAACTTTTGGAAGTTTGGTTTTATACTTTTATTCCGGTAAAAATTGTTGCTTTTGTTATTGTATTGTGTTAATTGTGTTGATGGCTGTGGCTGGACCAGTATCGATGTAGTAGGTGGAAATTTTGGACAATGTCTAGGTGTGTGTTATTGGGTTCATGAGATTTTAATGAGTCATTATTCACGTGCTCGTTGATTTAAGGACAGAGATTGCCCAGTGCAAATAATCACGTTTTGATATCTTATCATCTCTTTTACGTCTCTTGAAATTAAATTTAAGTTAATAAAAATAAAATTTACAGCAGCCAAATTGAACTTTAAATTGACTGCGGATTCCACTGTTTTGTGTAATTTTTTTATGGAGTTATGGTCCTGGACCGCGCAAGTGGTGAAACGGCCAACGCGTGTGGCCGTTTCAACGACAGCGTAAGTACAGTTATTAGTAACAGCAGCAGCCAGCCTTATATTACACATGTTGATCATACGACGGCGGCGACTAAAATAAGGTTTTAAAAAAATAGAGTAAAATAAATTGATTGAACAAGAAATTTGTATAATTCGAGATTGATATCAATTAAACAATGACTAGCACTGATTCATCCAATTCTATTTACATAAAAATAAATAAATCCCACTCCACCAATTTTAAATGCGAAATTAATCTTGAATCGACATTAGCTACCGGCGATTTTAATTTTTCCTAATTTCTTGAATTCCGGCGGCCGTTCACTGGATTTCCAGCTTCAACGGCGCCGACAGCCGCGACTTCTTCGCCGGGTGGGGGCTCGAGACTTCATCTTCGCCGGCGGCGCCAAATCGGGGCCAGAAGTGATCGGGTTGAGCCGGCAGGTTCAAGTCGAACTCAGCCCGGTGGCTGGCTGTGGACCCCACACCCTCCGACGTAGTCGCGGCGGCGTTGCTGTGTGCGCCGCCGTCGTAGTGGCGTCGCTTGTGCCCTCCCAAGGCTTGTCCGGTGGGGAAGCACTTGTGGCAGATCGAACACTGGTGCGTCCTGCCGCCGACGGCGGTAGTCGCGGCGGCGGCGCCGACGGACCCGGAGGCGGAGGCGGAGGTGGTTGACTGCTCATCTCCGCCGCCGGTGAGCTTCCGATGGCTCGCCTTGTGGCCGCCCAAAGCTTGGTAAGATCCAAAAGCCTTGTTACAAACCGAACACTTATAAACCAATTTCGAAGAATCCGCCGGCACAGGAGGCCGCGGCGGCGCCGGCACCACCACTCCATGCCGTGGCATAACTGCGCCGGCGCCGCCGCGAGCGAGCATGATCAAACACAGCGCCAAGTACTCCTCCTCCGTCGGCTCACTCCGCGGCCGCTTTGACCGCTTGCCTTTAGTCCACGCCTCGAAAGCGCCGTTATCGAACTGAAACGACGCCGTCGCCGCCGTGGGAGAGTTCAAAGCTTCGAGGGCCATTGCTATTGAATTGAATTTTCCCAAAAAGTTGTGAATAAGGAATTGTTTGGCTCAGATGTGAAGTTCCCGCAAGGCAGAAGCGTCTTTTATATAGGAAACGAGTGAGCAGTCTAAACAGGGCATAAGAAGGAAGCCAGGAAGTTGCGTGTTAAGTGTGGGGAAAGTAAGAACCTTACTCAACTCAACTAAAATTAAAATTAAATAAGTGGTATTTTTAGACAATAGTATTTATTATGTAACCAAAATTGATCAGTCAAAGTCAGAGCTTGGACACGCTCTGCACTTGTCCTAGTAAAAGTTACACTATTATTGACTTTCAATTCTTACGTGTTTAAATTAACCATATACAGCTAAAGGTATAATACTAGAATCAATGAATGTATTGTGCGACAAGGATCTTGCCCAATTGGCAATTGCAATTAAATGCACATTCTGATCCAATAGTAAATACCTTGATCCAGCTAATTAGGGTTTCAAATACAAATACAAATACAATGCACTGCCTTTAGTCGAGTTCATGAATCTAACAATCTCCCAACATGGGCTGCTGCTGCTGCTGCTGGTTTCGCACGTTCTTAATTTTTAATTTGACTTTGATTTTTGACTTATTATTGGTCCAATTTGTACTGTTAAATCGAAGGGGCATTCTTGGTATCGCATTGAAGTGGTAGGGGGTATAATAGTCAAAACACCGCCTCACCCTGTTTTTGTGATTGGGTTTACGCTTTACACACACTTCATTGTTAGTATTATATACCAACAGTATTATCCACGTGTTGAATTTTTTTTAAAAATGTGGATTGATTCTTTCTTACATAGTTATCTAGAAAGAATCTTTTTCTTTTCTTCCTTACCTCTCAAAAATTGTATGTATTGTTGGGCAGTGGTTGGCTCATTGTTTGGCAAACTTAGTCTCACACAAAGTGAAAGTGAATTTGAATGTGAATGTAGAATGTGCCTGAGAGGGTAGTTCTGACTTTTGACTTGGATGGATATGCACGGAATTGCATTTCTTTTGTAGGTCTTCCAATTTTATTTGGTATTCTAGATTGTGAGTACTATTATTAATTAATTTTAAAAAGTCTTTTTTGGATCATTTATGGCCTAATTTATAAATATCTTAAATTGAAGGATGATTAGCGAAGCGGTGACCTCATAGCAAGAGTCGCAAACCCGATATTGCCCAACATAACGAACTGTACTCAGCGTCATTGTAGAGGATAAGCGTGACTTCTCTGCCAGACTGCCACGTCACCCAAAGTTGAGTGGACCGCACTGTTCGGCACTATAGCCTATAGTGTTAGTGTGGGCCGGGCCGGGCCGGGTCGGGTCGGGTGAACTCGATTAAATTGGGTATTTATTTAAATGCATGTTAGCTTTGGTTTCCTTATCTTTTCACCTTATTTTTTTATATTATTAATTGTTTTTTTAACTAAAAAATATTTATAATAAATATTTATCAATTTTTTTTTATTATTTAAATTATTGAATTAGTATTTGTTTATATTACTTTCAAGTATTCATTTTTATTCGAATTTGACGTTTTCAAACAAAGTTCACAATACTTTCCAAATATATCTTAGTATACTACTTTCTCCGTCTCAATACAATAATCATGTTTGCTATTTTTGTCCGTCCAAAAATAATAGTCTTATTTTCATAAATAATCATATCATCGTAAAACTATCCCTATTTTTTTTATTATTTTTACACAATTGTCACTACTTTTTACACTAATATACTCGCAGGCAAAAAAATCATTTATCTTTACTTTTAGTAACTATCAATATAATATTAATATTTCTTAAATCTCGTATCCAACACAATAAGATTACTTTTAGGACGAATATAATATTATATTTGATTTCTACCTTGAGTTTCATATTTTATGATAAAGTCAAATGTATATATATGGTAGTTTCAAGCGTATATAAATTAATTAGGCTTTTGTTTACTATTAAGTTTAAAAGTTTTGGAAATATAAAAATAAATTGATATTGGATGTAATGATTTATATATATATATATATATAAAATAGTTGAAATAAAAACAAATATTCAGTTTTATTTAAAAATATTAATACTATTAAAAAATGTTTTTTTTATATATATACATATAGATAGAGCCTTTTTAGTTTTTTTTTTTTTTTTTTTTTTTTTATAAAAATAAGTTTAAATTTAAATATCATTTTCGTTCAACATTTTAAGTCTTGTTTGACTGTACTTTCACGTTAGTCTGAAATTAAAGATTGATTTGAATTTTTATTAAAATAGTACTTTAATATAATATTTTATATTAGAAAATAATATAATAAATATATTAATATTATTTTGAAGCTCATGTACGGCTAAACTGGTAAAGCTAAACATAGAAGATAAGAGAAGTTAACAATAGTTTTTGTCATTACATCCGAATATTAAAAGTTGGAATGTAATTAAACTAGTAATACAACTATCATTATAAATGTGTAATAAGTTTATTACACAGAATTATTAAAATGTTAATTTGTGACGTCACTTGTTTTTGAAAAATATTGTACTATTAATTATCATTATTACTGATTTATTTTTCATAACATAATTTTTATTGGGGGACTCAGTTTATATATTTCCACAGCTGAGGGGCAAAGTTGAATAATGTTATATATAAGGGGCAAAATTGGAAATTAACGAGTGTCGTCTATTGATCTGAGGTTCAGTGAAGTCTGGGTTTGGCAGAATCACTCGTAGTCAGTCGGTGCTATGGCCGCAGCCGAGCAGCCGCTGAAAAAGCGGAAGTTGTACGACCCGCCGCCACCATCTCCTCCGGCGGAACCATCACCGCCTCCGCCAGAGCCTCCGCGACAACCCCCGCGGCCGTCGACGCCGCTGTCTTTGTCCGAAGAAGAGATACTACAGAGGCGCAGGAGCAAGGAAGAAATTCGAAATATTTTCTCGTGCTATAAAAGGATAAAGTTCTGCATCGATCAGAAGGATAAGCGATCTATGCCGGAGCTGAAAGAAGCTTATTTGTCTCTCATCAGTGCTGCTAGAGGTCAGGATGTGGATTGTTTACATTCATCTTTATCAGTAAACTTGGGTCGTTACTGTTAGTTCTCTGAATTCGCTTGCTTCTGTTCTAATAACTGAAAAAAACTAATTTGAATACAGTGAACCGATGCTTACCTGCCTCTCTTCCGTGAAACTGAAAAGCATAATCTGTAGGGTTTTAAATTGATCTTTATGTTTCGGCCTTTGATAATTTATCTGAAAAACCATCGATTTACATTACTTGGGACATCAAATTGAACTACTGCGCGCGAGATGTTTGAAGTTCCGGTGATAATTGGATTTTACTTGTAGAGATTTTCTTTATTGCCATTGTTTCAGCTCCGCGAATTGTTTGTAGCTCTGCTTAGGTTAAAATGCATTGGCCTGATTAATTTCTTTCAAAAAATATTTGTAGCAGTGACTTCATCTGTAGACCGTAGTCTGTATTCCTATATCTTGAGTTCCTGTGGCATAATCCAGTATCTGTATTCAAGTGCTCCATTGTTCTCCCTTTTTAATTATTCAGCCTAATTTTAAGACAATTCTAGACTTCACTCCACCTATCACATATTTAATCATTTTCGGTTAATAATATTCTGTAGTTATTTCACCAACCATGTTCTCACAAATAGTTAAACTAAATGTATGGACATAACAAGTCCTGCCATTTTTCTTTATAATGACAAAGCTTGACAACACATGCAAAAGCATAAAGCTGAAATGACATGATTGTCTAGTTAGCGTTGTTATCTCACTCTTGCTCAAAAGGTACATCTTGACCGGTACTTTTAGTATCATCCGTATCTAATATATGAGCTGCTCTTATTGTCAAGACTGTGAGCATTGATGTTTTAGGGCATCCATACCACGTGGATCATGTGAGCATCATTAGCGGATTTACATTGGATTACTTGATAAAATTAGCACCAATTTTTTCCTGGTGACATCATCTATACCCTGTATATTTTAAGGTTCAATTAATATTTGATATGTTCCGTATCTGCAAGTATTATATCTCTCGCTCTTACACGTACATTTTTGCATATATTTTTACTTCTATACTGTATATGTTTGTTTGCCCATGTGTATCACAAATAAATTTCAACAATCAACATAATATTATTTTTTTGAATCTATGGGAGAGAACACCCTTTGTGCAATACAGAGCATATATTGCATCACCATTCACCAGTGATTAAATCCCTATAAGATATTTTCTTCTGTTTAATCAAGTGGACAGTAGAAGTTTGATAAGATCGTCCTTAAAGCTACCCCCTTACCATAAATGACTGTGTATAGTTATTTCGTTATCTAATATATGCTGATCATTTTGATTATGTTCCTCAACAAAGTAATTCTGTAATAATCTGGACTACAGGAGCCTGCCAGGTATACCTCTAAGCAGCAACCATTGTACGATGCTCATATGAAGGCATGACGTTGCATCTAGACTTTGCATTAACTATCATGTAGAAGAAAAGTTTCTATAAAGTTGGTGCATAAGACTAAGGACCATTAATTATCACTTCATTGCTCCACATATCACTGGAACTTCCTAGAAATGTTGATTTGGACAAGCATGTCTTCCTTATATTTTCACTTACTTCATTGTTGAAGATAAGGAAAACTAGAGGCTAGTGGTGTTAGGATCAAATTATTACTCAATAACTTCCAATCCATTAATTTCAAAGCCTATTTTTTTCTTTTGGTATTTTATATTAATTACATGCTGTTGCTTGCTTATATTCTCCCCTAATGTTCCATTAACCTTTTTTGTTTATCCAAATACTTTTTGGATGTGATGTTTTGTAGGGAATAAAAATACAAAATAACACACCATTAGTGTATGGATAAACAAATTTAAGGCTCTATTGTTATATGATGTCCATGTCTCTTGCCTGTACTAATACAGACCTAATTATATCATTAAGTGACCTTTCAACTACTTTCTGTGATTGCATAACAAACATGGAGTTTTGGTTATTATGTTTTGAATTTCCAGTTGTGTATATGCTTCTTTATGCAGCAACTGGTCTGATACTGTATAATGCTGTGAATTGGATCATGCCATTGCAGGCTGTGCACACGCAAAGTGTCTGGCAGCAGAGTACATAACACGTTATGCATCATGTTGCCCTGCTGTACTTGAATCTGCTGCGGATGCTATCATGAGTTTGTATGAATGGTCCTTTGATGTAATAAGCAAGGGAAATGACATTGATGGTAATGCTTTTGAGACTGCAAAGGCTTGTATATTTGGGCTAGCGAATATCTGTCAAGCTGCTGCTTCTGAGGCCACAACTGCAGCAGCTGCCCAAGCAATATCCTCTACAGTTTTTCTAAATCTCTTTACAGTTTTTGCTTCCTCTTTCAAGGGAAAAGACATATTTGATATTGTTGGGAAGAGTGTCTTGAAGATATATGCCTCAGAGGAATCCTTTTCTGACTTCAAGCATAAGTTTTTGGAGGAAGATAATTCCAAGTTGGCCAAGTTATCAAAGCTTCACGCATTAAGCTTTCTAAAGATTTTATTCAGTTGTCCTAAAGATTCCCTTGTCGCTTGCTTTGATCTTTTCAAGTCCAGTGGAAATGAAGGAGCTCAGAAAGGAAAATACTTTTTTCATCAGTTAACAGCTGAGCTGAATGATATTGGTGTTCAAAATATGGATGAGGGGGATGATGGATCATCCAATTATTTCAGTAGCACAAACTGTGAGTTGAAGCGATCTCCTGAAAATTGCCCTGCGTCGAAGGAAAAGTCTTCTTCAAATTGTTCCTCATCCATATTGAAGAACTGCTTGTTGGGACTGGTAATGCTATAAAGTACCTCTTTTAAAAAAATTTCCAGTAGCATTCAAATCAAAGCATTGTCTTATTGAGTACAAATAACTGTAATTGTACTTGTGGCGTCTGACATGTCTGAAGGCTTTTTAGTGGGCCCTGTTTTTGACACCATTATTAGCGAAAGGATTCATTTTTTCTTTATGTATATATATATATATGATAATATAAAAGCAGTACAGGAACTAATTCCCTTAATCCCCAAGTTGTTTCTTTAGTATGATCAGCTTGTATTTGCTTTCTCGTTTGAGGCTGGGTTAATCACTGCTCTTTTCTTTCTAGTATAAATATTTCATTTTTATATGCAATTTTCTTCCATGTCATGTTTCCCATTTTGCTTGATGTGCACTGTGGTACTAATAACTGTAACTAATGCTGCAATTGCTACCCTATTGAAAATTTTTAGCGTTCAGTTGATGTATAGAAAATTGCTTGTTACTTTGTGTTTTATCCATCAGCTTTAGGGGCTTAGATTATGCGTTTGATGTTAATTTTGCATCTATCACCCTTTGGAGTTAAGAAAAGTGAGATAAACCTTTCGCCTACTATATTCTTCGATTTTTTTCCATTATTTAATGAATGTATTATCCTATGCTGGTCATTGGCATTGCATGGTTATAAATATGAAAGGATGGAGTTATTTAAATCTAGTCGGATTGAAGCCAGTAAAATCGTGTAGGATGCTATTGCAGATAAATTGAAATTTGAAAGCAATGATTGTTATGCCTACATGGCGTAAAAGCATGATTTCAAATTTGACATTAATACATAGATTAATTTATTGAATTAACAGCTGTTAGTAATTAAACATTGATGTTAAAGCCTGGTCCTCTTCATTCAACTGAAACACCCTTCCTCTGTAATGGTATTGTCATTTTACATATTCCACATAACTGAAGCTCAAGATCCATTTTCTTTTTAGCTGCTGCAATTGTAATAGTCTTTGTGATCTCTGTCTTGTAGGTTCTTAGAAAAGATACGGCGCTTAAAAGTGTAGTTTTTTCAAGGTACAGGTTTCTTTCTCAATCGGAATCCCCTGAAGTTGTTTCTGACATTACCTCTGTTCTAGAAGGTGTGTTTGAGTCATTTGCTCTGCAAGTGAAGGTTGAAGACAGTCACATTGATGGTGGTGCTTGTACTCCTGGATCATCTAAATCTGCCAATCAAGGCTTGCTTTCGGGGATATCTAATCAACAAGGATCACCTGTAATTTCAGGGAGAGATTACCCTGACAAAATTTCAGGCATCCATTTGAATCGGCAGTCTTTCTCACCTAGAGCAATTACACCACGGGATTTTAGAAGCAACTCATTTAACGGCAGAAACCATTCTCCCCATGTAGAGAGAGGTGCAACTTCAAGTATGGATCTCTCATTACCTTCTTCAAGATCCTCCTCTGTAGCTGCAAGTTCTCCTTTTGAATCTCCCAGTCCCAGGCAAGCAATATGCTCACCTCATTCTTCAACAAGCCATGTGGTATGGTTTTCTGATGGTGACCCAGCTGCCATGGATATATTCCCTGCTTCGAAACAACTCTGGCTGGGATCATTAGGTCCTGATGTCACTGAAATGCTTATTAAGTATCAGTTTGAGAAGTTTGGACCCATAGAGCAATTGCAATATTATCCATTTAAAGGGTATGCTACTATTGAATTCAGAAATATAATGGATGCCTTAAAAGCTAGGGAAGTGATGCGAGGGCGTTCACTATGGGGTACCTGTCTGCGGATAAAGTTTTTGGATACTGGATTAGGAACAAGAGGAGTTATAAATGGTACTGCTATTGGTTCAAGCTGCCATGTCTATGTAGGAAATGTTGCAAGCATACAGGCAAAGGATGAGATGCTACATGAAGTCAAAAAGGTACTTCACAAGGCTCCTCGAGCTGTTGTTGATGTTAGCAGTGAAGGTGCATTGTTAATGGAGTTTGATTCACCCCAAGAAGCTACTATTGCAATAGCTCATCTGCGGTGGTACCGCAAGGAAAGTGTCAAATTTCACCCTCCTTCCTCCAATGTCGTGCCACCCAATGTAGTGATGAATGCTGAAGATGCCAGGCCTGCTACTGGTTCAGTTCATGTTGACACAAGAAACGCTATCCCTGGTCATGGCTTAAGTGGGTCTTTGCATGACCAAATTGCAATGGATAATCCTTCTGAGGGTCGCCTTGCAAGGACATCGGGGTTATCTTCGCTGCTTGCACAGTTACGTGCAAAATACAACATCACTCGTCCTCAAGGTTCTTTTGAAAATCATATACCTGGCGCTCCTATGCGGGAACATGAAAGACCAGCAACTAACACTCTATGGATAAATATTCCAAATATAAATCCATCATGTATCACTGACGATGAGCTTTTGGCTGTTTGCAACCTTGCAATTAGCAACACTGGATCAGTTGTCCGGATTAGTAGAACAAGTATGCCTGCCGGTCCTTACTGGTTTGTTGAGTGCAGTAGCCCAGATACAGCAAATACCTTATTAAAGAATTTACGTGAGTGCCCAGGGATTTTCTTTCAGATAGAGTTCAGGTTAGAATCGTGCCACTCTTCTATTAGTTTCTTCATGATTTTCTTCTCTTTCTTGTGAACACACTACTCGCCAAATCTCTTCACTTTTCATTCTACTTATTATTGTTCGGCATGAGTTTTCTCTATTTTGCTTGCGTAATCTGCTTCTACTTTTCCTGTCATGATACTAAAAAGTTTTATAAAGATGTTCTAATTTTGGCCAGGAGATCCCTAGTGGGAATACTGTTGTCCTATCACACTTGTCACATTTACTTCCAGTTTTCTGTGAGAATGAAATTGGCATCTTTCTAAAATTACCCTATGTTTTGGTCAGTAATTCGGCAATGCATCATGTTGCCACTCCCTCAGTGAGACCTGACGGTGGTTCTTTGGAGCTTACATCACCAAGAATATGTCAAGAAAATTATAGGCCCATGATGCAAAATATGCGTCCGTTCCAATCAACATGGACTGCTGGTGCAAGCTCCCCATCCTTTTCAGCTCACACTCCAGGTTCATCTATTCCTCCACCTCAGCCAGTTCAGGCACCAGGATTTGTTCGACCTGTTTATCCCCCTCCTAATAGTTTATGGGATCCCCGTGGGATGGGTCACCATTATCCCCCAAAGCCAATTCCTTCTACTGGAATGGCTCCTCATGCTCATACCAATATGCGAGGTCCACCATTTTTACCTGCTTCTGTGACTCCACTGGCACAGATTCAGGGCAGTTCAGTGGCACAATTTGATCCTTTGTTTCCTCGGCCTGTTGTTCCTCCACCACTATCATCCTTACCACCACCTCCATCTAATGCACCACCACCCTCATTGCTACCTCCTCAACCTAATTTCCGGCCCCCATTGCCTCCTCACCCTGAATTACAGCCTCCATTGCCTCCAGCACATCCACCTCCAGCTCCACCTCCTCCTCCACCTTATTCCCTGCCACTTGCATTTCCTCCTCCCCCTAGCTCACCACCCCCACCTCCACCATCTGCAGTTGCTGGTACAGAGAGCAGGTCATCTGAGCACTATGGATGGCAGGGGATATTGAGTAAAAGTGGTGTTTACTACTGTACGCTACATGCGCAAAGAGTAGATTCTGATATTTGCCGGTATTCAAATGTTATTGCAGAGCCCGCAGAGTAAATATATAATCTTGCCCTTCATACAATTATTTGAAATATATATATATGCCTTGATTTTTAATATTTTCTAACCGATGAATGTGCAGGTGGCCTGCTAAGTTGGATATGACAAAACGCACTGATTTTCAGCATGTGAAATCAACATTTTCTAGTACTCCGCCTAACCGAGTGAGTTCCGAAATTTGTTGTTGCTTTCTCCTCTTGTGTCTTTGCATATCTGTGTCTGCCTGCTTATGTCCTCTTCACACTAGTGCGTTTCAAGTTTCATTTCCTAGCTGCATAGGTATCTACTAGTTTTAACGTCAAATTCTTTTTAGCATAATTAATATTGCCAATTGGCATAGCATAAAATGATGCACTGTTGAATGAGATAATCAGTGTTAGAATTCATTAAGAATGCTAAGTTGGTGTCTACTGTCAACAGCTTGTCATTTAATCTAAAGGTTATATCCTCCTTATATTGCTAATGGGATCCACAAGAAGCAAAAGATAGATGATGTTCAAGGTTCTTAAAAAAGTTTTTACTTCATGCATAACAATATTCTCCACTTTCGCCGTCTTCCAAACCATTTTTTAAGAAACTTATCATTAGACTTTTAAACAACTGCAATAATCAAATTGTGTCCACTGTCTAATCAATGCATATGAGCTACAGTTATCTCAAAAACAATCATAAAACAGCAATTTAGGAAATTGGAACTTATCATGGGCAACTAAATGCCATTTCATATCATGCTGTGTTTTGGTGATCAAGATTGTTTGGTCCTTCAGAACTTTTGTGGCATTCGAGGAAATCTGATCTTTATTTAGTTAATGATTTACCATTTCCCTCATAATTTGTACTCTCTTGGTAATTGAAGTCACTTGTGATATTTACTTAACGTTGATTTATAAGCTGAATATTGATTTTTGGATAATCAAGAAAATTTTACTGGATGTTCTAATGACTCTCTCTAAAATGTGGCAGAGAGAAATTTGTTGGTTGCTGCCATCCACGCATGGTGATCATAAGGGCGTAAGTTATACTTTTAATTATGCAGTTCCCTTTCCTCTTCATGCTGCTATAGTTGCTGCACAAAAACATTTTCACATCACAAAATGGAAGCCCTTTTCGATACTTTTTTGCATGTTGACACTTTAAGCATTTGCTTTAGATCAAGCACAACAATTTGCTACATTAAATTGTTTATTGTACCAGATAAAAGTACCCCTCCCCTCCGGTTGTGTTGGAAATTCCGGAAATATGTAGGGCTTTATATAGCTTTATAAGATATGCAACACAGGTTTATTCTGAATAGCTTTTTTGCTGCAATTACATGTCTGATTTGCCATCCAAAGGCTTCTCATTTCTTTGCTATGATTCACATAACTGCACTTTATCACGGCTCATCAACTTAGAATATATATTTAAACTCTTTCCATTCTATTTTGCAGTTTCAAGATTTCATATCATACTTGCAGCAGCGCAACTGTGCTGGAGTAATCAAATTACCATCTTCAAAGTCCTTGTGGGCCAGATTACTTTTCATTCTTCCATACTCACCCGAAACTTGCTCTTTGCTATCGATTCCTGCTAATCCATCTCTCTGCCTGATTGGACTGGTTGTTCCTAAGGAAACAAATTCCGAGTTGACGTGATAAATGCACTCGGAAGTCATCCACAATACTCTACCAAAGTGCTTACGGTAACAACCCAAAAACCGCCATCCCTTCAATTTGATTCAAGTTTCTCTTGATTTTGTTGCTGCTTTCCGACAGTATTGTTGCATCCTTTCTGAGTTTTTGGTACTATCACAGAAAGGCAAATGTGTATCTACAGTTGATAGAAAATGGTTGATACCATCATTTTGTACATTTACTCCCTTGGGGTTCTTATAAGTAGCCTTTAAGCTGCATATGCATTCACTTAAACTGCATTTGAAGATAATATAAACTAAGTACAGAAACATTTTTGCAACATTGTAAAACTAGTTAATTCTTTAAACAGGGTCAATTCTTGAATCAAATATCAGAAACCACTAAATCCAAATGAAGTTTTGCAAAAATCTTCCTGTCCTATCATGATGCACAGACATATAGCTGCAATGTTTTACCATAACAAAAGTTACTACAAACATGTTCTAATGCCTAAGAATTTTTCATCCTGTCTTATCCGGTTCCAATCCAAACCAAAACAGTAAAGGTTTTTACCTAGATCCCACGGGGATCATCTTGATAGCAGCAGCAATAGGCATGCCAAGAAACCCGAGCAAAACACTCGCCGACCATTGTTGCCATGTGAGAGGTGTGGTATTGGCGAAAGTGCCAAGGAATTCGATGATGATGACTTGAAACACTGCTGTGCAGCTCAGAACCCCCACGAAGACATAGTTGTCGAATATCCCTTTGAATACATTTATCTTCTCCATGTTTCTTGAGCTGATCTCATTGAAAACCTGCAATGGAAATTCCAAGTCAGAACAAAGTCGAACCAAAGAAGGTGTGGGGGGTATAGCTGTAAGTAGTGTGTATCCAAATTTTAAAATAACCTGGCAGAAGACAAACGAGTTGAAAATGAGGGTGTTGAGAATCAATTCAGAGCCCTCTCCCCGCAGGCTAAATGCATCTTTTCCAGCTGTTTGAAGGTACCATATTATCACAAACTGATATATAGACTGACCCAGAATATTCCTCCACATGACATTGGTGATGAAGTTTCCTTTTCGCCCCACCGGCGTCCTTCTCATTAGGTCATCAGTTGGAGGTTCAGTGGCTAGCGCAAGCGCCCCGAGTGTGTCCATAATCATGTTTACCCACAGAAGCTGAACCGCGGTGAGTGGAGCACTGCCTGAATCATGCACCATAGGTATATGATTGTACATGGATATATGTATGTATATATGTATGAATACATAATGTACAAACTGATGCAAGTATCGAATGTTTTACCTGTCAGACACGCCGAGGAGAAGTTGACAATTAGCGCAACGACATTTACTGTAAGCTGAAACTGAACGAATTTTTGTATGTTTACGTAAACAGAGCGCCCCCACTTGGCAACAGTTACAATTGTTGAGAAATTGTCGTCTAGAATTATTACATCTGCGCTCTCCTTGGCCACCTGGAGAAATCATACCAAGCAGCAAGTATCAGAATTGTGTGGATGTTTGTTGTTGTAGTTTTATTACATTAAAGTCACTCTTATACATGTGATCAAGAAGTTCAAAAGAAAAACATTAAGCTCAATATATGGCATTTCCAAGAAACAAAGATGCATTACAATAAGACAAAGGTTGTTAACCTTTGAGCAACTAACCAAAAAAGTATAAAGAAAGTAGGACAACAAATAGAAGTGTAAATGACTTTTTCTATTACATTAAATATCAGAACAAAAAAAAGAAATAGTGAGAAATCCTTTAGAATTTGAATATTGCTCCCAGATCAGATAGACACTGTCCATACTAGAAGCATAGGGGCAGGCAGAATAGACTAACTATATGCGCTCAAAATCGCAACGATTTTTCCAGGGTTGAGAATAAATGGGATTAAACCCTTTATTACTTGTTTTGTATTTTCAAAATCAATACCAAACAGGGGGTACCTATTCAAGTCATGCTCAACTATTTCATACCAAGCAAGGTGGACCTATTTGTATTTAGCAATATTAATGTTGCCTTCAACTGCTCGTGGTGTATATTGTAGTTCAGGGAGAGGAATCATTACCTCGGTCCCAGAAATTCCCATTGCAAGGCCAATATCAGCTTCATGAAGTGCAGGAGCATCATTTGTTCCATCCCCAGTCACAGCAACCACTTCATCAAAGGTGGATCGCAAATGTCTAACTAGGGTATGCTTATCCATTGGTGAAGAACGAGCCATTACCTTCCAGGGAATTATGTAGAAAATATGAGAATCATTGCCATAAGAACAACAATATTTGCATAAAAATGCCTATAATTACTCTAGAAGTATTCCAAGAAACATTAATTTGGGTGTGTTTGTTTGGGGGATTGGATTGGATTTACACTATTCATCCAATTTTTTCCCCCTAAAAACATCACATCAAACACATATTTTTCATTTTTTATATTATACTAAAAATCAATTTTACATTTAAAACATCACATCAACACCTGTTTATATCACATCATACAACTATTCAAATTCAAAATTTTTACTATTCAAATCCCAACTCAAAATCCAAACCCCCAAACAAACACACCTATCACAACACACAAGCATATGACTCCTCCATGACAAGAAATTTTGGGGTAAACAAAACAATAAGCTTAATAACAATAACAATGCCAACGCGCAAAGGAACTGAAATTTAATTTATAGCTAGAGCATTAAAAAATCGGAGTGCTTTCCCATTGACCCAACAACAAATTGAGGAGAATGTAAATTATAAAATTTGGCCAGGGTACCTGTATCTTTGGAATGAGTTTCTGCAATTCCTCATCGCTCTTCATTCGAAAATCTGGGCCTTCAATTGCAATGCCATCTTCTGTTAATATTCCACATTCCCTAGCAATTGCCTTTGCTGTGTTTATGTTATCTCCAGTTACCATCCGAACCATAATCCCAGCTGATTTACAAATTGCAACAGACTCTTTGACTCCAGGGCGAACTGGATCTTTAATGCCAACAATTCCTATCAAAGTATAACCCTCAAATGGAACAGGATTTTCAGCTGAGAAATCACTTCCAATATCCTTGTATGCAAGGCATAGTGTTCGTAGAGCGTCATTTGCAAATTGTTCTATGGTATCCTTCAGATGATTAATTGATTTTTCATCCAGGGGAACAGCCTCACCATCTGAATTCAGAGTCCTGTCACATGCAGCAAGAATAATCTCGGATGCACCTTTGCAGTGGGCCTGACAGCCTTCTCCAGGTAGCTCTAGAACAACTCCCATTCTTTTCTTCACAGAATTAAATGGCTCAACCTTGAGAAGCTTCGACCCCTGCCTCTCTGCCTGGAAATCTCCTCCTAGCAAGAGACCAAATTCCAGAAGAGCAGTTTCAGTAGGTGTACCGAGGATTTCAATTTTGCCATCCTTCCCTGTTACAATATCTCCTCCAGTGTTGTTGAATATTGATTTCTGTATCATTTTCACAACAGAATCAGGAATGTCCGAGCAGAAATCAGAACTTTTCACATGGCTACTTGCTTCTTTTATTTTCCCACAAATGCATGCCTTCACAACAGTCATGTGATTAGTAGTTAAAGTCCCAGTCTTGTCACTACATATGGTTGTCGCCGATCCCATAGTTTCACAAGCTGCCAAATGTCGAACAAGTGCTTTGTCATTCATCATCTTCTTCATGGCAAAAGCAAGGCTCAAGGTAACAGCTAAAGGCAACCCCTCGGGTACTGCAACCACGACAATTGTAACTGCAATGGCAAAATATTCCAGCATTTCCAGGGCATCATCTCCCGACCAACTCCATTGTGAACCTGAAGTCATCTTCTTGCTAAATAGTCCTTGCACAAGAACAGCAAACGTGATAACAGCAAAAAAGAGACCTATTTTCCCAATAATGGTTGCCACTCCATTGAGTTTAACTTGCAGAGGTGTTTCATCATCACCACCCTCCGAAAGGGTAGCCATCAATTTGCCCCACTGGGTTCTCATACCCACAGTTGTAACAAGCATTTTGCAGGATCCATCCTGGACTTTAGTTCCAGATAGGAGAAAAGGATTTTCAGCAGTTACATTTATGGGCTCACTTTCCCCAGTTAGACTGGATTCATTTATTAGTAGAGAATAGCCGGAGATAAAGAGCCCATCAGCCGGGACTTGATCCCCAATAGCAAGATGAACTACATCGCCAGAGAGTAAATCAAATATGGAAATCTTTTGTCTGTATCCATTTCTTGTAACCTGAACAGTGATCTTTTTCTTCTCCTTATCTAAATCTTTGAATTGCAACGACTGTTTGTAGTCACTAGTAGCAGTGACAAATACAACAAGAAGGATACTAGCAACGATTCCAAGTCCATCATGAGCACCCTTGGGCCACCCTTCAGTCGCAATACCAACAATTAGAGAAATGATGGCGCAAACGCCTAATATCATTAGGGTAGTATCCTGCAGGGCTTCCCATACGAAAAGCCAAAACCCCTTGGCAGGGCTCTCAGCAAATTTATTGATTCCGAAAATATTTCTTCTTTGATTAAGAGACTCCTCAGCAACACTAATCCCATTACTTAATGAAGTCGACAGCTTATCTGCAATACCTTCGACGCCACCATGAACTTTCAACTTCTTCACATTATGCCCTTCAACAATGGACCCTAACTCATCAGCACATACCCCAAACCCTGCTCCCTTTACTGCCTCCGGTACTGAGTAACTTATACCTGGAGATATTCAGCAGAAAATCAGTATAGAGCAGAAGATAGCTTACGGAACACAGAGTGCAGTCGCGTCCAACCTTGAATAAAGCTTAGAGCAGCTTGCGAAACTAGTACTGCAACTCTCAGCTTCTCCTGCAATATTGAATAATCAATAGCTCGCTTATATGTGTTTAACAATAAAACAATAAGGACTATCTAAGATATAGGAATATCGAATCGCATAACCACCGTAACCTTGTGCTACTTAATCAAGTATAATCACCCAATCATTGAGTCCACCAAGAACCACCAAGAAAAGAAATCTCAATCTTTTGATTTCTGTGCATAGAAAGTGATGATGCAGCTGAGTTATCACATTGAGTTAGGATAAACCAACAAACATCACCACGAAAGATTCTTTTGGATCAACTCTTTTACGTTAAGCAAATACCTAACAGCTCTCATTTTCATATTTCATAACCACAGAAATTCCATAAAAACAATTCCAGTTCTCCAAGTTAAACTTCATAACAAGACATGATCATGTTTATTATTGCTCAAAATCCCCAGCAACAACTTGCAAAGCACGAATAAAATTATCAGAGGGAAAAAAATAAAAAAATAAAATGAAAATAGAGGCAGTCCAAAAATAGAAAAGGAAAAAGGTCAACAAGAGGGAGGCCAAACCTGGTTAGACTTCTGGATCTCGCGAACTTCAAAACGCTTGCTGAGATTAGCAGTGAATCGGAACCTCCTCTTCCGATTCTTCACCAGCCAACAAGCTTTCCTCCACCGCTGCAACGCCTCCTCCGACGAATTCTTCGGCTTCACCTCCGAAAACTCCTTCATAATACTCCCCATCAGCCCCGGCTCACCACTGATCCACAAATCACAAACTACCACAACCGCAGATGGCCAAATACGTCCGAAAACCAAGGGAAAAAGTATGCAACGCAGTTCGCCGCCCTTTTTATAATTGATTTTTCAGCGCCACACAAGAGCAGCAGCCAAAATAGATGGCTTGAAAAGTAGCACTCTCGATCAGATTCACTACAAATCCATCTTCTCCCAAATTATTCGTCTGGTAGCAGTAATTTCCCGACAATATCCTAAAGTAATGGATTAGTTGCGAAACCGGAGGGAAACTGCGAGGCAAGAGCAGCTGTGATAAAAACGTGCAGTGATCTATCTACTAGGGAAGCGGACAGAAAATCATGTACGAGCTAATCAGAAGGGAGTTGACCAGTTCGAAGAAACACCGTCCATTCCAAGTGCGATCAATCAATCAACCACCAAACTTGCTCCTCGCACACAAAGGCAAGAATCTGAAATCTGAATCAAAAACTCAAACTGCAACTGAAGAAAGATGGAAGCTTCCGGCGCAGACGATTTCTACCTCCAAATATTTTCAAAATAAAGTAACCCAACTCTCCTCATTCAATTTCTTATTAAATTTCAATAGATTTGGATTTAATTTTGCACCATAATACTCACAATCTAGTCTAGTAATAATCTGATAATTATCATTATTATTTTTCTTTTACAAATGAGTTACGATTGTATGAATATAATTAGATTAATGGTATATTCTCATTATTATTATTATTATTATTATTATTATTTTATATTTAGAGATGTACTTGTGACTTGCAAACCACTAATTGAAAGCGGCATGGCAAATTAGCAATCAACTTTTTTATTTTAGTCTCAACATTATTTAAATTTGGGCATGCCTATAGTAAATTGATAAGATAAAATAGTAAAAAACGTGACATTAGAAAGTTACTCCACTAACCTTTTATAAAGGAAAGTGCTTTTTATTTAAGATTAGTGAGCAAGTTTTCATCATAGAGATTAGAGCATCCTATTCCTATTCCTATTCCTATTCTCCAGTCTCATCTTAAACAGAGTTAGTTACAAGTGATGATACAAAGATGATGATCGCTAATTACTAATACTACTATTTTATAGTATTTGTATATAATTTAATTAATTATATATATATATATATTAAATGTATTCTTGAAGGAATTGATTTTGTCATAATTGTAATTAACCGTCTTCTCATTAAAGTAAATTGCATTTATTGTCTTTAATTCTCTTGCTCGATTATTTTAAGCACTATTAGTAAGCAGGCTTATTTTTAAAATTTCAAAACAGGCCCAAATCTGAGCCGTTTCAATCTCTAAAAGAAATATAAAAGATGGGCCAAATTTTCAACCACAATCCCAACCCACATTTGTGGCAACCCAATACTATTGTAATACTCCCTCATAATTATGATATAATAAAAATAATTATAAATTAAAATTAAAATACTAAATAATTTAATGAAAAAATTATGTAAAACTAATCGAAATAGAAAATTTTGAAAAATTATGTGGGACAAATAAAGTATAATATAGTACTCTATTCCATTTTTTATTTTTTGTATGTCTCAAAGCAAAACATATGTATCATTTCATAATTTTTAATATTCTTTAACTTTTAATATATTATACAAATATCTTTTTTTTATATCATACAATCTTATAAAGATATTTTTGTTATTTTCACTGTAAACTTATATAATTCTAATATTATAAAATTTATGTGAAAAAATAAATATTACCGATTTGATGCGGCGGATTTATTATTATTATATAAGCTGGTGTGAATACAAAAGATGCTTTCCAACATGGACTGAGTCACTAATTGAAGAAACTTCCATTTCCATTCAAACAACACAAAACAAAATCCAATTTTCAATATTTGCAACTCTGATTGATTTTTGAAGAAGATCAAATAAAATAAAATAAAATGAAATTATTATTATTATTATATTATTTTAAATTATTTATTATGAATGATTATGGTGTGGGAGAGAGCTGGGGATTGAAAGAAAACCATCTGAAGCCACAGCTCCATTTGTGAGGCAAGGAAGGGGGCTTGGGGAGCCAATGCCAGCTCCTTCTAGAAACCTTGTAGTACAGCACTTCTGGCCACGTGTAACAGCACACGCAGATCAGTCCCACGTGCCAAAAGCAGTACACGTGCTCGTAGTTGTGGTAGCACACCGACAGAAACTTCCGGCTAACCATCTCCGGCAACGTTTCCACCTCCGTCCAACCTTCTCCGCCGCCCTCCTCTGTAATCATCATCTCCCACACTTTGATGATTCGAGAGATCCCCGTCGCTCCTACCCCTCCGATTAGGTACAGCTTCCGATCCTCGTCGCTCACCAGGCGGACGAACGTCAGCCGCTCGTCCGGAAGCCTCGCCGCCGACGTCTCCCACCTGCAGCTCTCCAGGTCGAAGCACACGACCTGGAAAGGCTCCGGCGTGGTGAAGAAGAGGCGTCCGTTGTAGTGGACGCCTTTCTGATGGTAGTTTTCTGATAGCGTTGGATTGAAGCCGGGGAAGCGGCGCCAGGAGGCGCGATTGGAGTCGTAAATTAGGGCATTATTGGAGGAGCCTTTTGCGGAGAGGGCGAATAGCTTGTAACCGCCGTCGGAGGTGGAAATCAAGGTGAGGAATTCGAAATGGAAGGGGCGGGCGGGGAAATTGACGCGGCGGAGGGAGCGGCGGAGGAGGTTGCAGACGAGGAAGCAGGAGGAATTGAGGAGGGAGAAGCAGAGGAGGCCATTGGAGGAGGAGGAAGAGAGGAGATCGGTGGAGCAAGCTGGGAAGGAGAGCGGGAGATCCGTCGACCACGAGTTTCCGACGGTGTTGTACAGAGGACAGCTCCGGAGACTCTGCGGATGCGCCAGAAGGATGAAGGAAGACGAAGATGAAGAGATGGAATGGGTGAAGGAAGGAGAGTAGAGAAGAGAGTTGAAGTGCTTACAGGTAGATCGGAGAGCGAGGAAGGTTTTGAGAGGGAGGAAGGAGAGCACCCGCTCCAGAAGATGCTCCGGCAGCCGACTCCATATCTCTGGATCCATGGATGACCTCGATGCAACTCTCCAACAATCCTCTCTCTCTGTATCTATATATATATATATATATATATACTCTGCCTTCATCATATTTAAATTTATTTTCTCCTATTTTTATTATCATAAATTTTAAAATAAATAAATAAATAAAAAGATTGCTTGTTCTTTTGGGGATTAGTATGGTCACAATTTTCGTAACACGGTTGCTAGTCGTCAAACATATGAAGCATTAGGGTTTAGGGTTAATATATAATTATTAATTGGGCATGCTTACAATAATAATATATACTTACTTGTGCTGATCCAATAAATAAATAAATAAACAAAGCTAATAATAGCAGGTAAGTGACTGTATGCATATATATCCTATCAATTAAGGGATAAGCTCAACTTATTGATTACTTAAATCAAATAAATAAATGTTCAAAGCATAACGTTTTGGTTTTCTTTTCTTTTCTTTTGTTCAATATATCAAATATTAATTCTTTACTACTTCTAAAAATCTAAAACTCCAAAAGTATATGCAACCAGCAGCCTTCAATTATTATAAAAATATAATATATATATATATATATATTATTATTATTCAAGTTATCGATTATTTGGTTCCTTTGTCGTGACGGATATGCAGCGTTTACCCCGTTGCTTGCGCCAACTTGGCTTTTCAAATTAATTAATTAATTAATTAGTAGTATATAAGTACTAGAAAAACTATCTATTATAATTTATTATTGTTAATTAATGATAATGAATGGTGAAATGACAAAACATGGTACAAACTAATAAAATTGAAGGAAAATCATATTTAAAAAATTATACTTTACTAAAAACGTTTAGAAATTTTAAAAGGTTATTATATTCACATTCAAATCTGCAAATATTTGCTTAATATGTGTAGTGTAGGGCTACACCTGGGCTGGGCTGGGCTGTTCGAAAATGAGAATAAAATACATACACATAAGAGCATAAATTTGGGCTTGGCCCAAAATTTCAGATAGTTCACTTTTTATCTCGAATAAAAGGCCCAATCCAATATTTAATTGATGATTATTAAATTAAAACTAAGTTGAGTTTACATATGTTTTTTCCCACCTATTTCTAAATTCTAAAGTATTCCTATATAAACACACTGTACATTTCATGTACACATATACACATGAATAATATATATATTATATAATATTTTTTAATAAAAAATTTGACATCATCTATGTTATATACTCCTTCCGTCCCGGAAAAAAGCGTCGATTTTTTAATATTAGTATTATATTAGATTGTAGTAAAAAAGATAAAAATAAACATAAAATTAATCAGATTTGTGGGTGTTTATTAAAATTAGGCAGTACAATTACTAAATTAGAAAATTGTACGAAAATGAAAAATAGCAACATTTCAACCTAGACAGAGGGAGTATATAATACTTGTTTGAAATAGTAATATTTTATATAACAATGAATATTAGGTATAGTATTTCTCAAGAATAGTAAAGATACTGAATAGTTGAAAGAAGACAAAATAAAATAAAATAAACATAAGTGTAACCTAACCTAACAAATAACAATTTCAGTATAATGTATCCAAAGTATACAAACCACCCCCATTGACAATTAATTATCTTGAGCTGTGTGAAGACTGTTTTTAAAACATCAAAGTGAATATATCGTAAACAGGCATCATCATTATTATTATTATTATTATTATTATTATTATACTCTACATTAGTCAGAAATGAATATATATTAAAATTAGGCGACACATTGCAAATGTGCCAAATAATAGTAAACAATAAATGCAGCTTTTTGTCCAAAAGGCATGGAACCTCTCCTCTCTTCTCACTTTCAACTCTTCTTGCTATTGTTTATCATAATTCCAAAACAAAAAAACGAAAAGGATCTGAGTTCAGCAGGTATAAATTTCTACTACTAGTATAATAATAACAAATAAAGTAGTGGGGTTTCAATTATTGTTAGTGATCAGATCATCACAATCCCAAATCCCTAATCCCAAATTTGAATCAACCCTTGTTTGTCTAACCCCAAATTATTGATCCCAGCTGCTTTCTTGAAAAAATATTTGAAAACACCACTGATGACAGATATTTTATTCTGAATTCTGATCTACACTATGGGCACACCCTTTTCCAGGTTGTGATTATTATTATTATTATTATTATTATTGATAATTTTAGGACAAGCATCAACCCCAAGAAACAATTGCAGAAATCACAGAGAATCTTTAGGACAGACAAGACAGACAGGTGGAGCAGAATCAGAAACACTAGAAAACACAATACATTGCATTGCATACTGTTAGGGTGTGTTTGTTTGGGGGTTTGGATTTTGAGTTGGGATTTGAATAGTAAAAATTTTGAATTTGAATAGTTGTATGATGTGATATAAATAGAGTTTGATGTGATGTTTTGAATGTAAAATTGATTTTTAGTATAATATAAAAAATGAAAAATAGGTGTTTGATTTGATGTTTTTGGGGGGAAAAAATTGGATGAATAGTGGAAATCCACCAAAATCCTTCAAACAAACACACCCTTACTGTATTCTGTATGGTCAAAACCATCGTCTGTCTGTCTGTCTTCCTCCATAGCAAACAAAGAAATGTTTCGTTTCTTTTCAACAGTGATATTTCAGAAGGCCCATCAAACTCAACCCTCGCATCTCCAAAACCAAATCCCATTTTCAAAACTAAAAACACTTACCTTCTACTTCTTCTTCTTCTTCTTTCATCTGATCTGATTCTTTCACCAATGGAAGTCAAGATTCTGTGAGAAAAGATTTCCAGGTTTGCCTTTTCCCATTAGCTATTTTTGATCGGATCATTCATCGACTTTATGGCTATGGCTACAGATTTGGATCATAAATCTGGTTTCCTGTTTACCTCTTCTACTGCGACTTTATTGCTGTATTTGGTCCCCTCAAAAAGTGAAAAGAATTCAAATTAAAGCGAGCGTTTACAATAGTTAAATTTTTTTCAAGTATTCCTCATCAAATATGGTCAAAATTCCCCAAGTTAAAGGTAAAAAAAGATTGACATTTAAAGGGGCCACATGTTGGCATCCTTTTTTCAGGCATCTGAACAAAAGAAATGAGCAAACGATAGATTTTCCATTGCAAGAAGTGGAAGCTTACTTGTTCTTCTTTTTCCTCTTCTCCAGAAAGATGCTGTGTGCTTGCTCTGGAGAGCAATTCAAGCTTGAAGAAGAAGAAGCAACAGCAGCTGTGCCACAGTCCCCTGAATCACTGGCCACAAGGGACTTCTCTGCCAGTGGCCTTTCATCGTCAAGAACTGCAACTGGAACCATTGTTGACTGGGAAGCCAAACTGGAAGATGCTCAGGTGGATGAAGCTGAGTCAACTTTGAAGGAAGCTCTGTCTTTAAACTATGAGGAAGCCAGAGCATTGTTGGGGAGGCTTGAATATCAGAGAGGCAATTATGATGCAGCTCTTCAAGTTTTTCAAGGGATTGATGCTAAAGTCCTGTCTCCGAGGATGTCCAAAGCCATTGCTGAGACATTCAGGACTCCGCCTGCGGTGGCGCCGCAGAAACTGCGGTCCCGGGGGAGAGCAATGCAGGCAGGGGTAATGTCTCTGCATTCAGTGAGTTTGCTTCTTGAAGCAGTCCTGTTGAAAGTGAAATCCCTACAAGAACTTGGAAGATTCAAAGGTATGCACTCATTCACTTGTTTCAATTATTGAAAACCTAAAAAAATTACCTGACTGTTGTCTTCCAATACCAAATGCCAGAGGCTGCAAGGGAGTGCAAGATCATCTTAGATACAGTTGAATCGGCTCTGCCTAATGGCATGGTGCATTGTGAGATCAGTGAAGACTGCAAGTTGCTGGAGATTTTTCACAGATCCCTGGAATTATACCCCAAGCTATGGCTGCAAGCAAGGTCCCTGGATGAAGCCATTGCTGCATACAGAAGGGCTCTGTTGAAGCCCTGGAAAATCAATCCCCAAAGGCTAGCAAAACTGCAGAAGGACTTGGCTGCCACATTACTCCATGGAGCCATTGTTCCATCTCAATGTCCTAAAAGCATCAGCCCTGAAGAAGAGTCTATTCTTCTGCTGTCTATACTTTTGCAGAAGGCCTTGTGTGGTGAGGTGGAGTGGGATCCAGAAGTCATGGATCACTTAACCTATGCCCTCACAATCTGCAGAGAATTCGAGTCTTTGGCTGATCGTGTTGAGCAGCTTCTTCCAGGAGTGTATAATCGGATCGAGGGATGGTACTTTCTTGCACTCTGCTACAGCGCTGCAGGTTCAAATCAGACAGCATTGAACCTTTTGAAGAAGGTATCAGGCATTTCAGAGAATGGTCAAATACCTCACTTGGCAGCATTCTTGCTTGGGGCAAAATTGAGCGCCCAAGATCCGAATGAAGCTTCTCAGGGAATTAAATATGCTCGTAGAGTGCTCGACCTTTCGCCAGGCGGGAACAGGCATGTGCTGAGCCAAGCCCATAAGTTTCTAGGAGTCTGCTGTGGAAATGCTGCAAGGCTGTCTGTGTCTGATGTAGAAAGAGCTGCTTTGCATAGGGAATCACTCGCCTCATTGAACCAAGCTGCTCTAATCCAGAAAATTGATCCAGAGATTATCTTCAGACTTGCCGAAGAAAATGCTGTGCAGAGGAACTTGAATTTGGCCTTTGATCAAGCTATGCAGTTCCAAAGATCAACTGCTGGCAGCTCGGTCAGAGGTTGGGAACTCTTGGCTCTAATTGCATCAGCAGACCAGAGACTGAAGGATGCCGAAGCAATCATTGATCTAGCATTGGAGGAAACAGGACGTGTAGATCAGCTAAAATTTTTGAGATTGAAGGCCATTCTTCAGATTGCCCAGCAACAACCAAAGCAAGCAATAGAAACTTACAAGATTTTACTGGTGTTAACTCAGGGGCTTAGTGACAAAACGACCAATGTGTGTGTAACATTCAAGTTCTCGATAGAGCAGACAAAGTTGAGAATGAGTGCTACTGTTACATTATAAACTTTTCTTTGGCAGGATGAAGAAGGCAGGAGATTGGAGCTGGAAGCGTGGCTGGATTTGGCCGGACTTTACTCCAATCACGGGCTATGGATAGATGTTGATATCTGCATTCAAAAAGCCAAGGCTGTTGAATATTACTCTCCTCGAGTTTGGCACGCAACAGGTTATGTGTTACAAGTGTATGAATGCTGAGTTCTGATATCCCCAGTCATCCTGACAGACATTTTTCAATGCTTCCAGGAAGACTATCTGAAGCTCAACAACAACACAAAGAGGCAATTGTTGCACATTCCATTGCCTCGTCTATAGAGCCTAATTTTGTCCCAAGTATAATTTCAACTGCTGAAGTGTTAATAAAGATGGGCAAGGAATCACTACCTTTAGCAAAAAGCTTCCTGATGAGTGCACTGCGGCTGGATCCCACGAACCATGATGCGTGGTTGAGTCTTGGACGGATATATAAGATGGAAGGACTGGTGCAACAAGCGGCAGATGCCTTTCAGGCTGCGCATGAACTCAAGATCTCGGAACCTGTCCAAAGCTTTCTATGAATAAAAATAATTTATTTAGAGCTGACAAAGCTGAATACAAGGAACTAGTGTCCAAACATTCTTACAGGGGATACCTCCACAAGAGATGATACTGGTTGCCATCATTTGCCCTGATGTTATTCTTGCTGATCGAACTTGTACAGTTTGCTGTTAGAAACAAAAAAATTGAAGAGAAAGAAATAGAAGCTTATGAAATATCTGTGCTGATGGCAACTATCATGTTTGCTTTTATTAGTTGTTCCCATACATGGATTCACAGAAAGTTTCCAACTAACGTGTTTAGGAGGTGTTAATTTCTAGATCATAATATTCAGGTTGAGCCCTTAGGGAATATAATTCTTCATCAAAATAAATTGGTATCATCACAAATAGCCAATTTCAGCAGAAATCAATTGTATAGGACAGCCTCTAATGGAGGTGGAAAAGCATACAAACTACATTTAGGGAGTAGATATCCTCCCATACCAGCGCAAAACATAAATAGGGATTCAGAGACGAACCAAATCAGAAACCCTAGGCAGATTCATAGATAAAATTGTTCCCAAAGCAAGTGAGAATTTTCTCTCTTTTTGAGCTTCTAACACAGTTGATAAATACAGAGGTGAGCCTTCAACTCTCAACTATACATTAATAAGTAAAACAAAGATATTGTTCAGCTCAATGTGCTCTTTACACACACTTTATTTTGAGAATCGTCAATTGATGATGGTCATTCCAGATCACGGGTGGACTAGCTATGCGAAAGTTGTTTTGTAATCTGCAGGAAGAAAAAGTTATTTAGCTTGCAAGCATATAAAAAACTAACATATACACACATAAAATACCATCGTGTTGCTTCTAGGCATTCTCATCATTCAACTTTGTCAATAGAATAGGCCATCATTTGCAGACAAACAAAAATATATACAATAGCATGAATCAAGGACTCGTTGGCAATAGATTACCACGAAGTTGACTGGTACATCCAATAAAAAAAAAAAAAAACATGAAGGAAATTACATCTATTAATATCCCCACCTACTGCATTGTTATTTTCTTTAAAAATTCTTTTGTCCCACTCTTAAAGGCTAGGGGAAAGTGGTAATCCGGAAATCTAATCCCAGTGAATGAAACCTGGATTCAGTGTATTCAGGTCCAGCAGTAAGACTCACCAATGTTCAGATCCCATAATGTTATTAGAATATTTTATCAAATGTGATATATTGTTGGCTTAATCTTTACAGAGGTACTAAACATGAGAAATTCAACTGCATCTTTATTTGGGATACTTAAAAGAGAAGGTATCATCCACGAAAAATTATTTATAAAACAAAATATACAAAGTGAAGGTGCATGCTTACAGTGTACAACCAAATCCAAGTATTGAAGTGAGCTCATCCCATCTGCCACTGCATTTAAGTAATGAGCCAACAATCAGATGAAAGATTCATGTAGTACTAGTACCATTCGCCTCATATACCTGAACGTTATACCATGGCAAAAAAAGATGTACAAATAATCCTAAGACAAGGAAGAATGAGAGCAATACCTGAAGAACTGGCTTGTCTCTATCAGTATTAGCATTCTGTTTTGCAGCAGCAGCTAGCTGTGCTTTTGCAGCTCTTCCTGCTGCAGACTGTTCAAACTGCTCTTGCCTGCATAATGGATGTAAATAACATTCAATTAAAAGGCTTGGAGACTTACAATCAACTGCTTGTTAAAATGGCATGTGAGCAGTAACAAAAGCAGCCTTAAGAGCTATGGCATTAAATTATTTTCTAATGTATGCATTTGAACAAAACATCCCACAGAATCTCCATTCTTATCTCCTTGCATGTAACTCCTATATATATACACAGTTCATTTGCTAGTAAAAGAACGTGCACATATAGCTGCATCAGCCTTCAACTGAATAAATGTGAAATTAGAAAGGGGGCTTTTGGAGAGGAAAGAAACTCAGAGCTAAAAGGATCCTCTTAAAAAGGACACATGTAAATCAACACAAATCCAAACACTCGATGAAAATTTGTAGAGGCTAATTATTACATCGGAATCAACTAGGGCACAAAAATCTCAATTTCTTCATCCAACCCTAATTACGATGTCGTCGTAAGACAAACAGAACTGGAGAAAAATATTAATAAGATCACATAATATATGTACTACACAATTGAATCGAAAAGTGAAACCTCTTCTGTGCAGCTTCTGCAGCTCTGGCACGGGCCTCTTCGGATGCCACACGCTCCTCTTCTCGCCTCTGCTCCTTACTTGCTCCAGTGAAACAATCAAAGCAACCCATCACACACCTCTCCTGCTCTCTGTCTCCGTAAATTCTCAGGTGTAAGACGAGATTTGCAGATTCGAAGAATTCGTCCCGGAATCAGTACGCTATATTCCAAATCGGCAAATCGTCGTCGGCATGAACGGGTACCGAGGCGAGGAGTCAAATTTAACCGGTCAACGTACTTATATCATTTCTTTCTCATTGGTTAAATGTTTTTTCTTACAATTTAATAATAACTATGATTGTGTTTCTATAACCACATAATTTCAGTTTTCTACGATCTTTTTTTTTTTTTTTTTCTCAAAAAATTTAATTATACATTATTTTAATATTTAATTCAAGTCAAATTTTTAAAAATTCATCCAAAAAAAAATAAAAAAATACAAAATATAATTTATTTTTTTACAAAATATCATATCATACATTGTTTTAATATCAACCTCAAATCAATTTTATTTGAAACTCGCGAAGGTAACATAGTCTCTATATATTTAGCAGAGCATTGAATAAGATCGTTCAATGAAATTAAATTTTAGTTTTTTAAATCTATTAAATATAACTATTACTAGTATAAATATATATTTTTTTATTCACTGGATAAAATATTTTTATATATATATATATTTTTAAAAAAATATGTATAACAAAAGTATTAAAATAATTATTTAACCACAGTAAAATCTAATAAGGATTTTGGACTTCAAATAAAATAATATTTTCTCCCTTACATTTTATATTTTCGTTCGTATCATTTGTTTGGAAGAGTATATTCTAAATTTTATATTTTTATTAGATTAAATAATTATTTTAATTTTAATTTATAATTATTTGTACTGTATTATTAATTTTATTAATATATTTTTAATTATTTATTAATTGATAATTACTTTAATTAATTTATATACTTCATCTGTTCCAAAAATATAGTCTTATTGTATTAGATACGAGATTGAATGGAATATTGATATTATATTGATAGTCGGTAAAAAAATAAGGATAAATAACTTTTTGCCCTTGTGAATATATTAGTGTAAAAAGTAGTGACAATTGTGTAATAATAATGAAAAAGTAGGAATAGTTTTACGGTGATATTATTATTTATGAAAATAAGATTATTGTTTTGAAACGGACAAAAATGATAAACAAACTATTGTATTAGGATGAAAGAAGTATTATGTTATAAAGATAAATTAATTAATATTATATGTAATTAGATGAAATTACAAAATAATAATAATAATAATTTGTTTGAGTTGAATTCAATAAATATTATTGTGGATATAAAATACAAAATTATTCCTTCTTTGTTTCAAATTCTCATCTGAATTTTATATCTAAGATTTCTTAAGAAAAAGTATCCATGTATTTACTATCAAACCAACATATTCATATCAATTTATATCTAGGGGTTTGTTTGTTTGAGAGATTGATTTTGAATTTAGATTTGAATAGTAAAAAATTTGAATTATAATAATTGTATGATGTGACATAAATAGATATTGATGTGATATTTTGAATGTAAAATTAATTTTTAGTATAATATAAAAAATATATATACTCCCTCCGTCCAATTTCTATTGTTCTAAAGTATATTTGCACGGTTTTTTAGGTGATTGTCTTTTTATTATAAATTGACAAATTTATCCTTAATTGTATGATAGAGATTAAAAGTAATAAATGAATGAAGGGTAAAAATATAAAATTTGTGTTTAAAAAAAAATAGGACAATAGTTGTTGGACGTCCCAAATAGAAAAGTAGGACATTAGTTTGTGAACGGATGGAGTATATGTGTTTGATTTACTAAAAGATTCCATTTTTTTTTTGTTAATATTTGAGTTTTTTTTAATTTAATTTTTTTTATATAATTTATTAAATAAAGATAAATATTTAACTTATTATCTAAAAACATACTCCCTCCGTCCCAAAACTAATATTCATTTGCTTTTTGCAAGTAGTAGGAATAAAGTAGAAATGACTAAAATAACCTTATTAGTTTATGTGATAGAAAGGTAATGACATTTATGTAATATATTATAAGTTGTAAGAGTATTTGTAATATTAGGTAGATAGTACAGTAATAAATACTTTGTTATGAGACAGACTAAAAAAAAAAAATGGATATTTTGTTAGAGAGAGAGAGAGAGAGAGAGAGAGAGAGAGAGAGAGAGAGAGAGAGAGAGAGAGAGAGAGAGAGAGAGAGAGAGAGAGAGAGAGAGAGAGAGAGAGAGAGAGAGAGAGAGAGAGAGAGAGAGAGAGAGAGAGAGAGGATAGTGTGACTGTCACATTCAGAATTATATCACTTTCACATTTTACAAAATTTATTTTATTCATCTAAATTTGTTCCCTAAAATATATTGTGGTTAGAATAGAATTTTTCATGCAGCATTCATTGTCACATGCAATGCATTCAAATTTCAAATGTTCAAGTTCAACCTTGGTTCATATTAATTTGTAAATGCACCAAGTAAATACACACCAAGTAGTAATTTATTCAAACTCAAACGTATTATGCATAATTAATTAATTAATTATGAATGAAAATATAAATTAAAATATTATATAAATAAATAAATAAATATTAATATAAATTTCAACAAATATTATCAAACATGAATATACACACGTTAACCTGAATATATATCTATAATTAGAAAGTGGGAAGTGGCAGTTTACTTCACCATATAAAAAGGATAATGAACATTTTTTTATAACTGAAATTTTATATAGTAGTGTATATATATTTTTATAAAAAGAAAAAGTTATTTACATTATCCAATACGAAAGTACAAACCGGGAAGCCTCAGATCGAAGAAATCTTCAAAAGCTTCTTTTTCTGGCCATGGCGGTGTTTGGGGACCTTCCTACTGTGATCTGATAATCCATTGATGACACTCGTCGGAGAAGATGGATCCTCGCTCTGCATACTCATCTTCTTCTCACTTAGCTTGCTCTGAAACTCAATTTTCCTCTTCGGTTTCCTCTCATTGACTGAAGAAGAAGAAGCAGCAGAAGAGGAAGAGGAGGAGGAGGAGGAGGAGGAGGATAAGCTTCCTGCTACTACGCTAGGCACCAAATACCATCCGATGGACGTACAGAGAATGGCGAAGGACCGACCAAAAACCGCGAGCGACACCATAATCAACGCCACAATCGCAAGGAAGCACCAATAAGGTTGCCGGAAGCTTTCCAGAGTGAAGCTTCCCTTGCACCTCACCAAGCATCTCCTCTTCTTACTAGTGCTCTTCTTTGCATCCGATTTCTCCTCAGGAACGACCTCCTCCTTCTCCGCAACCGCAATTTCGTCGCCAGGATTGATCCGATTGTTGCTATTGGCATTCGCAAGTTGCTTGACGAGGCTATGCGGCGTCTTCCCCTTCTCGCGACTCCTCTCCTTCGCTTTGACGACGATCGGCTTCACGTGGTCCACTTCGTCGTTTGTATAGACGAACCGGACGAAGGAAATCTCCTCCGATCCCAACCGCGTGTAGATCTTCTGCTTCCGGTCATCGAGATCCGCGAGGAGAGCGTAGAACTTGTCGAGTCCGCGGTCGGCGTAGGGATTCTTATTGTTGTTGCCGAAGTTCTCCTTGCCGAGGATTTTGCAGAAACTTGCGGTTCTCTTCGATCTCTTAGCCGCGGAAGCGGTGCTCGCCTCGCCGTCGCTGAAACTTCCGGTGCCACAAATGAACATCGTCGATGGATCGAAAAATTCAGGAATTGATTGAATCCAGAAAAACCAGGCAACGAATATTTAAGCGTGGTGAGGAGAGGAGACTTTGATGAACAGAGCACAGGTAGAAAAAGAGGCAGCGGTCAGTTCCTGGAACCTTCTATTTTGTATTTATTCGCATGACTCAAGACTGCATAGCATAGCAGGATAGGGTTGGTTTGGGGGTGTTTCAGTAATTTCACCCAATACCATATTTAGTACGTAATTACATTAAATATTGTTATTATTTTCTTACGTGGCATGGTTAGTATGAGTATAGCCCATACTACTAGCCTCGTGTAAATTGAATTCAGCGTTAAAAATATTACTGTAGTATATTATTTTCTTAGGAATTAATATTAAATAGACACATACATAGCTATTAATATATTTAATAATTATATTAATTCCAGTTTGGTATAGAATTAGCTACTACTACTATACACACATAGCTACTGTATTGTAGGCTGTAGCTAACATATATCGACGAAATTCAATGGTTTAGGGGGTGTCAATTTTCCTAGAGTAGGTGTACAAGATACAGCTGAGAATTATTGCCCATTGACTTTCTTACTCCCAAATTAAATATAATATTTAATATCTGAGATTATTCGTGTCACTACTCAGCTAATAATATCCTCTAGAAGCTTGTCACATGTCATTCATGTGAATTTTAATCACGTAAAACTTATCCAATATAATCCACGACGTATAGATAAGAGTCAAATTTACCAATACATGTTTTTACAATAATCAAATGATGATAAGTTTTCCATGGATTCATTGTAGTCTATTCAAACAATTGGAATTTAGAATATAAAACTATAACAAAAATTAATTAAATAAAATAAATTCAACGCCCAGATTAGCCCTCTGTCACTTTTTATTTACATAAGTGGAGAAAGAAAATTCTAATCCAGTAAGCATATTCAACAATCTGATCATTGTTTATCAAATTAAAATTATTCGTGACAAGTGTAGCTAATTTAAAGAAAACCCCAAATCAATTTAATTTGGTTTACTGGACGATGAAGCCGTGTTTTTGGAGTCTTCTAAATTCGACGGCGGTGGAAGCACGCTTTTCCAAGTGCTGCTGACTTGCGCCGATAAGCCCTTCTAGAAGAGCCAGCCAATTCTGAAATTAACTGCAGTCAAAAAGTCTACAAAAAAAAAATTACACTAAAGAATATTTTACTCAATTCACCTGCAGAACATACAAAGAATTAAAGTAATGAATTCTACAAAGGAGGCCCCATTGTTAATATTTACTGTGAAGAATATATGCAAGAAAGTTTAAGGAAGAAGGAAGTGTAATAAAGTGAGGACAGCCAACCAAAGGTGGGGGCAGCACCTGACATGCATGTGACTTACATTAGGCTGCAAGCCACAATTATGACTATTCTTCCATTGTTGTATCTAAAAAATATCTAAATGCGAATTACAGAGGAAGGGAGGTGAGCCCACATCAAACAATAATGTGAATTAGGATTGTCTGGTTAATGTTAATGATGTCTGTTTATCACCTTTTCATGTGTTAATTTGAATCTGGAGGTTTCTGAATAAAGCAGAGAAATTTGTCTTAAAGGGGAAAAAAAGAATCTTGGCAGTGGCTGTAGTAGTGGTAGTGGTGGTGGTGGTTATGTAACTGTGGTTTAAACTTTAATCAAATTTGTCTGATTTGCTCCACCAGACCAGTTTGTAAGATAATTACAACTTGTGTTTTATCACTTCCTTTCGTTGTCCTCTCTAAAAAAAAAAAAAAAGACATCCTTTATCTTCACCCTTCTCTTATCTTTCATTCATTCGTTCGTTCGTTCCCACCGTCTGAGAAAAACAGAAAAGAAAAAACAGGGTGAAAAATTAATTGGGGGAAATTGATCTTGGTTGAGATAGTTTAATTCTGGAGCAGAGAGAAGAAAATGGCGTTTGCAGGAACAACCCAGAAATGTATGGCGTGTGATAAGACAGTGTATCTTGTGGACAAGCTGACGGCTGACAACAGAGTCTACCACAAAGCCTGCTTTAGATGCCACCATTGCAAGGGCACTCTCAAGGTTTTTATTTCATAAGATTCTTGCAGTATTAATGGTTTTTGGGAAAGGGGTCTTTGGTTAAGATCCTAGATTTGATGTGATTAATTTGAGTTAATTAAGGTCGTTCTAAAATGGTCTGATTCAGGAGTTGCTTCAAGCTTCAGTAGATCTATTGTAATATATTTAGATTTTTATTTAATTTGGTAATATATTGCAGCTGGGGAATTACAACTCGTTTGAAGGAGTTCTGTACTGCAGGCCACACTTTGATCAGCTCTTTAAAAGGACTGGCAGTCTTGAAAAAAGTTTTGAAGGTAATAAGCTTTGATTTGATTGTTTAAGGAAATGGAAAATTGGAAACAACCTGTGTCTAGTGTATGTATGGTCACTTGGTTGGTTGTGGTGCTGTCAGGAACTCCTAAAATAGTGAAGCCAGAGAAACCTAATTCAGGGTTTCAGGTAAGAAGAGATAATTAATAAATTAATTCCAATATCCTTCCTAGGTTGAATTAATCAATTAATAGTGTTGTTAATTTTGATCTGCAGAAGGCAGATGGTAATAAAGTTTCGAGCATGTTTGGTGGGACAAGGGAGAAATGCTTGGCCTGCAAGAACACAGTCTACCCAACAGAGAAGGTGAATTAACAACTTCCAACTTGTTCTAATTAACTCATAATATCCATTCTTTCATTCTTACATGTATTTATTGATAATTGATAATCGATTGTGAAGAAAATGTTATGGATGATGGTCAGGTGTCGGTGAACGGAACGGCGTACCACAAGAGCTGCTTCAAGTGCAGCCATGGCGGGTGCACGATTAGCCCCTCCAACTACATCGCCCACGAGGGGCGGCTCTATTGCAAGCACCACCACCTCCAGCTCATCAAGGAGAAGGGCAACCTCAGCCAGCTCGAAGGCGATCACAATCCCGACAGCAATTCTAATGCTAATGCTAACCCTGCTTCGTCGACACCAACACCAACTGCAGCTTAGCATATATATATATATATATATAGAGAGAGAGAGAGAGAGAGAGAGAGATAGAGAGAGAGTAACAATAATGTGTCGGAGATGGTGTGTTCCTTGTAATAGCTATAATCTTCAACTTTGCTTTTGATCTCAAACTATACTACACTGCTCGTGAATTTGTGTTTTTTTTTTTTTTTTTTTTTTGTCTGAGTAGTAATGGTAAATTTGTTATATATATAATCAATGTAGTCTCGGAAAGGATGACCTGACGACGGTGGTGGACCTGTGACTGTGAGGTCACTCGTTTGTAGAGTTTATCGAGTGTGAACTTTCGGGTTTTCTCACGACATATAAAAAAATTGTAAGGTAAGCCAATTTATTATTATTATTATTTTTAATTCGTCTATTAATTTTATTTTATTATTTATTTTGATAAAATTAATAAATTAATATTTAATTATTATTTTAAAAAATATTACTAATTTTATTTATTTTATATTTTAACTAAATTTTTAAAAATATTCGCAACTATCTATTATTTTTTTAATAAAATATTCAATTTTTTTAATTTTCGAATCCAAATAAATTAATTTTAGTGTACGGCGGGAATATATTTTTGCACTATATGCAGACAATACTTTGTGCTGGTTAATGTAGTCATGTATATTCCTCCAATCCGTCCCACATTTACTGTTTCTATTGTCATTTAGCTCATTTTATATTTTTTGACTTTTTATTTTTTTAAAAATAAAATGAACACATAATTCTATTTTAAAATTTTAAATCTCTAATTTTCTTAATTTATTGGACCAATTAATTACTTTCTTCTTTTATAAACTTTTAATAAATTTCTTTTAATATCTTACTTTACTTACTCAATTTCAATATTAGATATCACTATTTTTTTTTTATTTTTTGCCAACCAAACCAACATAATTTACTAATTAGGAGTAAAATTTAAAAGATATATAAAAACTATTTAATCTATTGTCTATTTCCGTACAAAACTTGAAATGTGAATAGTACAAAACTTGAAAAGTTTGCAAATAGATACTATGACTATGTATTTTTAAACATTTTTTTTACATCATTTTCAATATATTATTTATATTTTATTCTTTAATAAAAATCAATAATTATAGTATTGATTACTAACTATTCATTAAAAATAAAATACTATTATTAGTCAAATTTTATATTTTATCCGTCTCAATACAGTAATTTTGTTTATCATTTTTTATATTATGAAACAATAATCTCATTTCCATAACTACTCGTATCACCATAAAGTTATTTTTACTTTTTCATTATTATTACACAAATATTTCCAACAAAAATTGAAAATTTTGTTTGATATGTCATTATGAGCATGTTTTTATTTAAATTAGATAATTGGTAATTGTTGGAATCTTGGGCGGATGCGGCACGGCCGCAAGAGGAGGGTGGCTTGGGACTTAGACGCTTCTCGGATATGAATCATGCATTTTCTATGAAACTTTGGTGGAAGCTTCGTGAGAGTTCCTCCTTGTGGGCGCAGGCGATGCGACACAAATCCTTTTCGATTCCTTCCCGGGTAGTGCTCCTTGTCGGATATACGACAGCCCAGTGTGGAAGCGCTTGTGCCGTGTTAGGAAGGAGGTTCAGGCCCAGATCTATTGGACTTTAGGCCGAGGGGAGTGTTATTTTTGGGAGGATAGATGGTTTAGGGAGCAACCCATTTTGGCCTTTCGGGAGGGTAGACTACTCCCACCGATATTAGTCCGGGACATGTGGAATGGTGACGCATGGATGTTGGGCGACTACGAGCATATCTTCCGGAGTCACTAGTTCAGCGTGTTATGGAGGTTCCTATCGATAGACAGTTTGAGGACCAGATGATTTGGATGGCTGCGCCATCGGGCACATTTATGACATCTTCGGCGTGGAAGCTTTGTCGTGATACGGAGGTATGGAGTTGACTTTCAAGGAAATTATAGTCGCGCCTTCTTACTCCGACGATGTCAGTCCTTTTATGGAGATTATTTCGGCAACGAATACTGACATATGAGATCCTTCAACACTATGGTGTTTCGATTGTTTCGCGATGTCATTGTTGTTGTACGGAGATGTAGACTATTTTGCATCTCTTTATTGGTTCGGAAGTTGCCCGACGAGTATGGGAGCACTTTGCGGTGTTTTTCAGGCTACTTTGCCAGACATACATACACTGCATCTACATGTGTTCTTGTGGAGACTTTCTTCGGCACACTCTCAGAGTATCAGGGTGTATGTTCCGTTGTTGATACTATGGTTCATCTGGATTGCTCGGAACGATGCGAAGCACCAGGGGCTTTGTGTATCTTCCGAGAAGATCATCTGGCGGATTCATTCACACTTGCAGACTCTTTGGCGAGTTAGGATTCTCTTACGTCAACATTGGGCGGGTGACTTTCATATAGCAGATGGTTTTGGATTTCGATACCCCCTTCGATTCCTCGGCCTCCGATTATGGTGCAATAGGAGACACCGTCTCCGGGATGGTTCAAGCTTAACACCGATAGTGCTTCGCTTGTTAATCATGGAGCAGTAGGAGCGGCTGGTATTACCGAGATTCAGTCAGGGCAATACTCATTGCATTTCAGACTCCGATTCCGCAGGCGGCGAACACTTTGGCAGAGCTGACAACGATTCAGACTGAAGTAAGGATGGCGATTGACCAAGGATTGATGTCGTTATGGATTGAGAGAGACTCGGCGACATGCATCTCTCTGATCTCCACCGAGACGAGCCACTGGACTTCAGCGATGCCTTATGTGTATTCAGTTGCGACTTAGGGATGTGACTTGAAGGATATCACACATATATATATATATATATAGAGAAGGGAACAGCGTCGCAGATGCCTTAGCGACTTTGGCCCAGTTTATCTCCCGATTAAGCGGACACTTCTCCCTTCAGATATTCCTTCATCGATTAGAGGCCTCTTTCGAGCGGATGCTGACGGTTTCCCGACCTTCCGCTTTAGGTAGCATGCTTCACCATATTCCTTGATTTTGACTTAGCCTTGATTTGATTGATGATATTTAGATTTGATAGCTTATTTGATTTCGATGTATTAGGCATATTGCTTTAGACCTTGATACTTAGACTATTAGCTTGTCTTATCTATTTGTTTTACAGTTTGTATATATAACTACATATAACTTGATTCCATTCGAATCTGGGCTGTAGCCACTGCTATATAGTTTTTTTTTTCTAAAATATATATATATAAATAAGAATTGTTTTGCATAATTATTTATTATAATGAGATTATTATTTTCAAACAAACATAAATAATAAAACATGTTTGTAGTAAATAAATACTACTTTCGTTCTTTTTTTAGTATTAATTTTTTAATATAATTATTATATAAAAATATAATACAAATTAAGGCAAAAATTAAAAAAAAATACTTTAATAATGTCTTATAATATTATTTATAATAATATTTCTGAAAAAAAATTTGTATAAGGCTAAATACAATGCCCCAAAATTAAATGAGATCATAGAGTAAAATTTTGTTTACATGGATATTTTTTATTTCTTTTAAAAAAATAAATAATAAAAGTAATTATTTAATATTATATATATATATAATTTAGTTACATTTTAATTTTCATCGTCGTATTCGTACCCTCTGGCCCTATAAATAAGATCCCATCCCCACCCCCAAAACCGACAGGGTTTCCTTACAGCAAGGGGGCTGTCATTTCGCATCCGATCCTCTTCGATTTGCCGCCGTCGCCTGTCCCCTCCATGGATGAATCTGAGAACATCGTGCTTCCGCCGGGCTACGTCACACTGGTCCAACTCCGAGAACGATGGATGCGTAAGCAGGCGGAGAAGGAGAAGAGGGAGAAGAAGAAGATGGAGAAGATAGAGAAAGAGAAGGATCAGAATCAGAATCGGACCGGAGTTAACGAGGAACAGAACAATAATGTCGGCGCATCCTCGGAAGCTCCGCAAACAAATCCACCCCGCCGGCGCAACAGGCTGTCGCAAAAGAGAAGGCAACGTGAAAGGGCCCGCCGAGAAGCGGCGGCGCGTGAAGGTGCAGACGCAGCGAAAAAGGAGGCGCCGGAGGTCCTTCCCGGCGCGGGGAGACAGATCCCGACCGGACAAGGAAGAGGCGGACAGAACGTATTAGGGTTTGCTAAAAATGGTAATAATCTGGGCTGCAGGTCGGGAAACAAAAATACTGTAGCGGCGCCGGAGAAGAACAAGGCAGGCGGCGGAGATGGAGGAAGATTGAGAGGATCGAATCAGAATCGCAAGAACAGCAACAACAACGTTGTCCAATCTCAGGCTCCAAATCTGAAAGAATCCGGCAATGGCGGCGGCCGGTCCACTAGATTTAACAGCCGCCGGGGAAAAACTCAGGAGATGAATAGAATGGTTTGGGTGAAGAAGGTCGACGGGAACGAGGGTCGTGATTGATGACGATGGTCGTGGCGGTGGTGGTGATGTGATTCGAATGCGATATACAATTGATATTATCCATGATGTGTTGTTTCCATTGATGTAATGAAATGTTGTTAGTTGTTAGGGTTTTCTTGGTAAGAGTTTGTCTTGGTTATTGCAAAATGCTGTGCTAATGGAAACGGAGTTTATCGCCTTTTTATATATATTAGATAGTTTGAATTTTAGTTGTTTAAGATGGAGTTCGTTGAATAAGAATTGGGCGCGAATTTGAATAGATTCATAATAGATGAATAGCGGGCCGCGAATTAGATGAAGGCGTATTTAAAAGTAAAATAAGAATTGTGCGCGAATTGGATGAAGGCGTATTTAAAAGTAAAATAAGAATTGTGCGCGAATTGAATGGAGACATACTATTGGGATAGAAGAAGACATGGGCCGGGTTAGAATGAATCCGAAGTGTATATGTGCTTAAGTGGTATCGTCAAATTATTGGATAGATGCATTTTAAATAAATAGGATGATAATTGGGCCGCATTCTTGTTTACATGGATTCGATGAAGAAATGGGCCATTTTGAACATATTATCGATTGAAAATTTGACCGTCTTAAAGTGGAACGAGAAATTAATAAATGAGCGAAAACGTTCTAACTAAATGAAACGATAATTGGGCTGCATTAGAATGAATTTGAAGTAGATATATGTTTTTTTACAAATATATATTTCATTCGTCCGTCTCTAAATTCACATTTATATTTTGTATCATTACATATAAAAAGTTTTCATTATTGAGAACCGTGATGGTTGAATAGTAGTAATTTTTCTTTTTTTTTTTGTTTCAAATATAAAACAAACACACTCTTAGCTGTTTTCATACTTACTATAACATTTTCATTACCTAATTTCCAAAATAGTAATAGCAATAATAAAATATCTATAATCCTATTCATCATTTGCTGACAAAAAAAGTTAAAAGCTCACAATAAATTTGTCCTAGTAATAATATTATCTGTAAACGACGAGTCCAGCAAAAGCCCTGAATACTTAACAAATAAATCATAATTATCCATGAATAGAATCCTCTCCTCGTAACGTCTCTGTGCATTCAATCTCAAAATTATTGCACAATAAGTATCATCAGATAGTGCTTCGACTCTTTAAGGACTCCAGTCTCACTGCATTCCCATTACTCCTATAAGACATCTTCTCTAACAATTCCCTTTCTGCAGAATCATCGTCATGTCGGAAGAAGAGCTGGAGACCGAGCCTGAGCCTCACCCAGTCCTCGAACAGCTGCCGGGAATCCAATACTGCATCAACAGCCCTCCTCCATGGCGTGCGTAAATTAATTTTTTTTTAAATCAGTCGATTCGATTTTTGTCTGAACGAGTTTGAATCTTGTTGGTGTTCTTCATCGATGCAGCTGAAGCTGTTTTGTTAGGCTTCCAGCATTTTATTCTGGCGATCGGTTCAATCGTGTTTATTCCGACCATGTTAATCCCTGAAATGGGTGGTGGTAACGTGCGTCTGCAATCTTCTGCTGTTCGTACAGAGAATCATTAACTTTGTTATGTCTGAATCTGCTCTGAATCGTGATCTTTTGTTTGTTAGAAGGAGAAGGCGGCCGTAATCCAGACATCGATGTTTGTTTCGGGTGTGAACACTCTGCTGCATTCCTTCTTCGGCACGCGGCTGCCGTCGGTGATCGGAGGATCGTATGCATTCCTGATTCCAGCGACAACGATCATCGGCGCCGGAAGATACACCAGCATCCAGTCGCCGGAGCAAGTTAGTCCTTTTGTCGTTCTTCGTGTTCGCATATATATATATATTTGTATATATATGTGTTTGCAAGAATTTTATGTTATCGATCCACTTTTTGAATCAGAGATTCCGGCAGTCGATGAGGGAAATCCAAGGCGCGTTGATCGTGGCATCGTGCTTCCAAATGGTCCTCGGATTTAGCGGCTTGTGGAGGAATGTCGCGAGGTTAGACATCATCGTATGGATTCGAAAACGTTCTGTTTTCTTGCATCGATGATGGCTGTAACAATCTTGTAATGTTTTCAGGCTCTTTAGCCCTCTTTCCATGGTTTCGTTGATCGCCTTCACCGCGCTTGGACTGTCTCATCTCGGCTTTCCTCTGGTAATGGAATAGCTATGTAATAATCTAAACCATTCTCGATTCATTTCTAAATTATCCGTGCCTACATAGATCGCCACATGCACCGAGGTTGGAGTGCCGCAGCTGATTCTAATCGTCGCCATTTCACAGGTAACAACATTGTATTGTGTGCTGATGATCCTTTTACTACATCATAAGTTCATTACATTCATTCGATCGATGTGTTTGCAGTACCTTCCGAAATTGATACATACGAATAGGCCGGTGCTCGACAGATACGCTCTGCTCATCTCTGTTCCGTTTGTCTGGTTCTACGCCGCTGTCCTAACATGGACAAACGCCGTACCCAAGAATGCTCGGTGCAGAACTGATGGCCCCGGCCTCATTGGCGCGTCTCCTTGGTATGTAATATCGACTCCGTAACCACGCTACCCGTTATTACAAAGCGCGATTTCTTGACATCGTTAAATTGATCGATTGCAGGTTACATATACCCTATCCATTCCATTGGGGGCCTCCTACTTTCCGAGCAGGAAAAGCCTTCGCAATGATGGTGGCTTCTTTCGTTGCTTCGACTGAGGTCCGGATAGACTTAGATATCTATGTATAGTTTGTAAGAAATTTGAAGTGTTTAATGTAGTTTTGTTTGTGCTGATTTGCTTGTTTGGACAGTCGACCGGCTCGTTTATTGCCGCGGCTAGATATGGCAGCGCGACGCCGGTGCCGCCTTCGGTGCTAAGCCGCGGCGTTGGATGGCTGGTGAGGTTTATGAAGTTAATGTAGTAAAGATTTTTTTTTAAGGTAAATGTAATGTAATGGAAGTGTTTGTTTCGTCGAAATTCAGGGGATTGGTACTCTGCTTAATGCTTTGTTTGGGAGTGTCACTGGCACCATGGCAACTGTGTAAGCTCAAGAACATTATGATTATGAACATGTAATTGATTCTTCTTCTTACATTATCCTTATCGAACGTTTTTGGTCTTGCAGTGAAAACACAGGCCTTTTAGCGTTGACAAGAGCTGGAAGTCGAAGGGTTGTCCAGATTTCATCCCTTTTCATGATCGTCTTCTCCATTTTAGGTTTGTGATGATGATGATTATGATGATAATAGGAAGAAACCTTTTTTTTTTTTTTTTTTTTTCTGAATTATGATTATAATTATTCAATCAGGCAAATTTGGAGCTGTATTGGCTTCTATACCGCCGCCTATTCTTGCAGCGTCGTACTGCGTCTTCTTCGGCTATGTCTGTATGTTCATAAACCCTAATCCCCAAATTAATTTTTTGTTTTTTTTTGAATCATATAAAATTGAGAGTGAATTAATATCTGCAGTATCAGCGGGATTAGGGTTTCTGCAGTTCTGCAACGTGAACAGCTTCAGGACAAAGTTTGTTCTGGGGTTTTCGTTCATGGTAGGGCTGTCTGTGCCGCAGTACGGACGGGAGCATTTTCTGGTACCGGAGGTGGGCCCTGTCCACAGCCGTGCGCATTGGCTGAACGACATGGTTTCGGTGGTGTTGATGTCGAGTGCGACGGTGGCGGCGGCGGCGGCGGTGGCGGCGGACATGATTGTCCGGGACGAGGAGGCCCGGAAGGATAACGGGTCGGATTGGTGGGAGAAGTTCGTGGTTTACAGCAAAGATGCGAGGACTGATGAGTTCTATCGATTGCCTGGCAAACTGCTCAACAAATGTTTCCCTTCTTTATAAATTACTATTATTAATGTTCTTGTTCTGGCCAGACATTATTAATAGATAGATACATCGTATCGTATCTATATTTCTGTTGTTTTTGTCAGAACCTTCTTAGTTTATGTTTGTTCTCTGTCCAGTTATTAAGCTCCATTTTTTACTATTATTGTTCTAAGTATTTTATTTTTTCTATTATTTTAAATAATTTTTTATTTTTATAATTTGAAATATTTTTTTTAATTTTAAAAAATTAAAAATAAATTTAAAAATTAAAATAAAAAAATTAAAAAAATAAAATAAAATATGAGCAACGCGCACGATTTGGCATCAGTTGTCCAACAGACCTTCTATATCGGATACAAACATATTTTATCAAGTTATTTTGTAGTTTCGATTAGGCATGTTTTCTTTGTAATTTAATTTTAAAATAGCTTTATATTTATTATATTTTTTGTCGTGTAAATCTATATTTATTTTCTTTAAATTGTTAGTAAGAAATATTTTATTTTTAATACATTATTTTTTTTATACTTTGTTTTAATATAAATAAGAATAATTAACAATCATTATGCAGTTTTATTAAAACATATACTTGAAAGTAGAAATGAAAATGGTACTTTATTTTGTATGAATATTTTATTTATTTATTACAAGTAGATTTTGTAATTGTAGTACTTTTATACTATATGAATTTACAATTTTGATGTTAAAACTGTTATGTAGTGTAGTTAAATTATATACTTTTTTCATTCAGCAATAAGAATTATATTTTTCTATTTTTATTTTATTGAGTAACTATTTACTTTATTATTCATTATAAATATTTTCTAGCTGTGAAAATTTGTTTGTTTTGATTTTATATTTTTATTAAAATTTATATAATTGGCAAACCCAAATAAAACGTGAAGGGATAATTCCATCTTATTAATTAAAATGAAATCCTCATACATTTATCAATCATATCATTTGATTTAATTAAATTTTTCCTCACCACTTTGTTTTATAATTTATATATAAAACAAAAACCAAATGCACGCACAAATACGGTTACACCTTTATAGCTACCAGCACCGCACGTATGGCCTTCTCCGCGACATCGATCGCCTTCTCCAGCGGCGCCGGCGCAGGACCTCCGAACTCATCGGAGCACGTGTCCACGTCGGTGAGCGCCGACGACGCCTTGGTGCGCGCGTCGTCCATCTTCCCTGCCTTAACAGCCGCAGAGGTATCCTGCAACGCTGAGATCGAGTCGCCGAAAACCTCCACGCACGTGTCAATGATTTCCTTGTTGCCGTTGTTCCTCACCGCGTTCGCAACCGCTATCGTGTTCTTAACGGCCGCGATCGCGTTCGCGATGGCGCCTTCCGCCTTACCTGGCTGCGAATCGACCGCTCGAGAGGCGCAGAGCATCACAATCAAACCAAAAATCGCTGCGACGGAGGTTAGGGTTTTCGCCATTGCTGCAATTTCTGATGCTTCTCTGCGTGTGTTTTTGTGAGCGTGAAGATTTGAATGAGGAATTGGCTTCGCTGCAGGTCGTATTTATATAGCGATTGAAGGTAACTATAATTATTTATTTTTATTTTTTTATAATTGTAATTATGGTAATTTTAATATAGAATATTACCATTATTACTGTTACAATTTATACTATTACCAAAAAAAAATATCGAATTTTACCTTTTATGGTCCACAGTATTTTAAATAGAAAATAGAATTTTGATTAATACAGAAAAAAATAAACTGCTTTGTATTTAAGACCATATGTTTTAAAATTGAATTGGTAACTTTTTAATGAGAAATTAAGATTGATTTAATTGCCATATATTAACCTTCGATTAATTTTGGTATCGGTTACCTAATTGGAGGTTACGACTCATTCGATTATTAATTACATGGTGACTTCAATAATTTGAAAAAATTTGAAAAAACAAAAAATTAGTATTTGATTTAATATTTTATTAAAAAAAATTGTATTTGATATAATATTCTTTAAAAATTGAATATTGTCAATTTTTTGAATAATTGATTTTATGTTATAAATATACTTTTTATATTTAAATAAATAGTTAATTATCTATTAGAAGTATGTTAATATCATATTCAATAAAAAAAGTACAAATATTTTTAAAAGTTTTACCTAATATTTTTACATCTATTTACATCATTAACGTTGACGGATTTTAAATATTTCTTACTCATGTTCTATTTTAATCCAAAAATTATGTTCTTATTCTATAAAAAAAATTAATTCTATCATTATAAAAGTATGATAATAATTTTATTTTATTTTTAATAGTAAAATTTTGAATTGAAATAATTCTTTGATGTCAAGATATATTAATATAATATTTTGAATCTAAAATTAAATTTTAGAGTAATATAATAAATGAAAAGTAATTTTTAAATTGAAATAAAAAAAAATCTGAAATAGTAAAATAAAAATAAAATTTTAACACACATATAATTATGCTTTTTAAATTAGCATTTTCATCTTAACTAATTGTTTTTTTCCTTATTTCTCATTACACATTATATTACAGTATGCAATTTTTCATAAAAAAAAAAGTCATTTTTATGATTCACATAACATAAAGACAGTACTAATAATTATGTGATAGGTTTTTTTTTTTTTTTAGTAAGTATTTAATTTATTTCTATTTTTTCTAAATTACTATTTTAATTTTAAAGATTTATTTGAATTATTTTATTTTATATGTAAACTATTTGCTTGTAAAATATATAAATTTATTAAAATATTATTTATTGTATATATTTCTATTTTTGCTAAACTATAATTTTAATTTTAAAACAATTGAAATTATATTTTACATGAAAATTATTTCATTTGTAAAATATATAGATTTATTAAAATAATATTAATTTATTTATATATATATTTTTTTGTCATATAATTTTACATTAAAATAAACAAAAAAATATTTTTTGTTCTAAAAAAAATTATTAAAAGTTCACCCAAACTATTTTTTACTAATACAATTTTTAATCATTTCTTGTTTCATATCTATTTATCCATTTACTTTTTATACGAAATTTTAGGAATATTAATATTATATTGAGATGTAGTAAAAACAGAGGTAAAAAGACTAAACTGTATTGTACGATATAAATGTAGCTGGATTTGTGTAATATATTGTAAATTGAGATGGTAATTGTAATGTTATGTACATAATACATAATATTTAATTGTATAAATAATTAATATCAAATAATTATTTTACCCCTGTCTCTTGACAAACTAACTATTTTTCTATTTTGGTCCGTCTCTATGTATCATTTTTTTTTTAAGTAATTATACTATTTAACTAACATTACAAATACATTTACAACTTAAAATATATTACACAAAATATAATTACATTTAAATAACACAATACTAATAAACTTATTTTAATATTTTTACTTTATTCATATTATATTTAAATATAATACTAATATTTTTAAAACTCTGTGAAAAAGCAAATAATACAGAGAGTATTATTTTTTAATTTATAATTCCAAATAAACTTATGGATAGGGACGAAGAAGTGAGTATAATCAAATCTACTGTTTAAACCTCAAAATCTCAATCCAAAAAAGATCAAATAACCAAATTATCTTGATTCCATAATAGTACCAAATATTGTCATAAATAGTTTCAAACGTAAGTATAAATACTAATTAATAAAAAATTTCATAATTTATATTATGACATTTTAATTACATATTAAATTTCACTATATATTATATATAAATATACCCCTTTTTGTATGAAACTAAACCCTAATTCATCAATTTGAACTCCATCGTCATTTCTGAACCCTAATTTCAATGGCGTCCTTCATTTCAGTGGCTCTTCTTCTTCTCTGCGCCGCCGCCGCCTCCGTCCACTCGCAGAATATCGGCGAGGCTCAGAACGCCGTCGGTAAGTCGATCGCCGCAGTTCAGGCCAGCATCGACACGGCGCGGTCGGCCGGCGGGTACAAGCCGGAAGTAGAAGCCTGTGTTGCAGTGCTCAACAAGTCATTCAACCAATTGGAGAGCACCTCCATTGCACTCAAACAGAATAAGATTCCTGACGCGCTTGCGGCGGCGCGTTCAGCTCTCGGCAACGTCGGCCTCTGCGAACCTCAGTATGGAGGCTCGGCGCCGCCGACGCTGAAGTCGGCGTTGGCTGACGCACAGAAAAATATTAATGAGATTATTACCTCTCTCTCCTAAGGGTGAAGGAAGCGACGGACCGGGCCCGACCGGACCAGACCGGACCGGATATGGAAGGGTTTTGAGAAATAGTACTCTTTTTCTCTATAGCTGTCAAATACGTTGAAATATTATTAAATAATGTAAAGTATCAATAAACTAATTATGAAATATTACGTTAATCAATTTGTTTATGTATTTAAATATTATATTCGTACTATACAAATCTATAATAATTTAAAAAATTAAATAAGATAGAAGCTTCCCTTAAAGGTATAAGTTATGAACTGGTATATTGTCACAAAATTGGGTGTAAGACATTGTATTGTTAACTCAAGAAATGTTGTAAAATAGTAGGGGAGTGAATTTACGACCGTGAGGTTATGGGTTCAAATCTCTGTTGGTTCCCACGTCATATTTTAAATAAAATATATTTGTAAAATATTTTTTAATTAATGATTTATATTTGAAATCTTTTTGATAAAATTTAAATCTAATATATAATTGTATAGAAAAACTATTTTAATTTAAATTACTACATTTAAAAAATATATAAAAAAAACAATAAATTAAATCCATTCAGATTTTTTCACAAAAATATATATATATATATCATCACATGCATAATAATATGTATACATAACCCTCTCCACGACATACATTTATAGAATAAAAATCCAATCTTTAAACAACAAAATAATTAAAAATTAAGCAGAACAGTAATGGCTGCTTCGTCGTCGTCATCGTCGTCTCTAATTTCTCCGGTAGCTTTTCTTCTGTTGATTTTCTTCTTCTTCGCCGTCGCCGGTGCGCAGCGTGACGTGGCGCTGAGGGCCATTACGAAGTCGATTGGGGAGGTTCAGAACAGCATTAAGGTGGCTAAGTCACTCGGCGGTGGCCAGAAAGGAGCCGCCGACACTTGCGTGGAGGTGCTCGGCGATTCCGTCGACAACCTGAATGAGACCGCCGCCGGCGTGAAGGCCGGAAAAATGGACGACGCGCGGACACAGGCATCGGCAGCTCTGTCCAACACGGAGACCTGTAAGGACGAGTTCGGCAGGTCGATGCCGCCGGCGCTGTCGGCGGCGGTGGCTGCGGCGGAGGGCGGCATTAAGGAGGTTCTGGCGGCACTCGATAAGTGAAATAAAACTAAAACAAACTGAACGTTGTAACGAGCTGAGAGTTCTGAATAAATACCTGATTTGCCCTTTTATTTTTATATAATTCTCAATAAAAAAATTTATTATATTCTCTTTATTTCGTAACATTTCATACGTTTTTTATTTTAGTCTTATTACATTATATTTTTATTTTTATTAATTTATTGATATTAAACATATTTAATAAATATAAATTAATATAATAATTTTTTTTTTAATTGAACCAAAAATATTATTTTTGTTTTCATACAATTCATCACCGACACATGATTCTCAATAATAATAGTAGTATATTGTATAATTATATTTTCTTAAAAAATATATATACATATTCAACTGGTTTTTTTTTTCTTTTATTACCTATATAGTTCATCGTAACATTAAACAAACACACTAAAAAATACAGCCAATGAAATTGTTCAATTTGATCGATCAAAATATTTGAGTTATCTATCTATACTAACAAAGATTAAATTTTAAAATAAATTGCATCATATACTCATTCTGTTCAGTAAAATTAGGCAAATTTAAATTCTAGATGAAGACTAAAAGAATAAATATTTTATTAAAACGTGATAAAATAAAATAATAATTAAAAATATTTTTAAAATTTTAATTAACAATAGAAAAGAAATATATATAATAAAAATAGTGATATTTGTTATAAATAAATATTAAATTAAAAATAATAGTTAAAAATATTTTTTAGATTTTCTAAAATTAATAATAAATAAATTTAACAAACTGACTTAAAAAAAAAAAAAATAAAATAAAATACACTTAAAATGTGTAAAGTAATTTATTACTCAATTTACAATCCAACTTATTAAAATACTCTACAATTTTAATGGGCTCCAGGATTCGGGCACCAGACAAATTTTCACCGGCGTACACTTATCAGGCGTTGCACGCACAGGAGCTCCCAACAATACCCCCAAACTAAAAGGGGTAAAATCGTAAAACCACACATCAGCGGACAAGGCCATGACTTTTGCTTCTGGGATACAAAATTCCATATTTACCCCTACCTCCATTTCCGCCGTCGTCGTCTTCCCCAAAACTGCAGCATGGCTTGTCTTCATCGATCCTGCCCATAACCACACTGCTGCTTCTTACCCTCATGGCCAGCGGGCCGTCCCCAGGGCCCGCCCTAATCTGCTGCTCAACGCACGAGTCGAAATTACCTCTATACCCTCCGGTCCGGGTCGACGCTGCCCGAACCAGCTCCTGGTAATCTTCGTAGCCGCGACCCCGCGCCGAGCCGACGCTGAAGCTCTTAGCCGGGTTCATATCCTGCGAGATTACTTGCAGCCCCGAGACGCCGGCGTGGCTCATCTTGTCGGCGTATCCCGACAAGGACCTGACGTACAAGTCCCGGACCTTGCACAGACCACGAACGGGAGCCAAAACGATCCGTAGGAACCAGCTCCTCCTTGCTTTAAATTTTGGCTCCATCTTTGTCTGTCTCTCTATCCTTAATTCGAATGTCGGAAAATTGAAAATGGCCTGAGAATCTGCAGTGGAATTGGATGATTGGACGACTGTAATGTATAAACTCTATTGCCTGCGGATATATAGAGAAGAAGATGAAGTCTGAGGCTGCTTGGAGCGATCCCGGGATCTCGGCACCGGATGGATCCACGCCGCTCATCCACGTTGGAGATGCATCTGGTTCTTTGGTCCATGGTGCGGGGATGTGAAACTATATATATCAAAATCCCTAGCCTAGCCCTCCACCAGGTGAGATTTATTGTTAAGGTAGAGTCAGCTAAATTAAAATACTGCCATTTATTAATGTTGTGCTCATTTATTTTATGCTAATTATTTTATTTCTGTACTTACATGTATAGTAATTTTTTAAATATATATATTTTCAAAATATTAATTACAAAAATCATATAAGTATATGTTTTTCTGATATAAAATCTTTTTTTTTTTTTTTTTGCCTATTCTTAAATTTTCAATATACAGAAGAACTTAAAAACAAAGCAAAAAATGTGGCCATGGCTTTACAAAATGAATTCCTCCTTTTGCTAGTTGAAATCCTAATACAGGTTTTGTTTAATTATTGCATTAATTATTTGCAGCTTAAATGCCCTCATAATTTGTTTTGTACATCTATAAATTCACTATCTACCCTTAATAATTAATTATTCAGATTATTTGACAGTGGACTTTCGAAAATATCACTCCAGATTTTTTAGTATTATAGACTAAAAAGTTATATTAAATCAGTTACCTAATCGTATTTGGTATGTGTATATGTTTAATTTAATTTAATTTTTTATATATTATTTTCAATTAAATGAAGAAATTATTTTGGTAATTTTAATAATAATAATAATAATAATAATAATAATAATAATAATAATAATAAGGAGGGGTCCAGGTCAGCAGCACAAAGAAGACAGAAATGAAGAACAGCATCATTTTGTTAAGCGGCGGGTGCGGAATTTTAATATTAAGAATTAAGAGGGCGTGATACCCAAAACGACGCCGTTTGATCATGTCGTGGCTGGCTCGCTCAATCGCCGACGGTCTCCGCCTCCAAGAGGATGCGGCGGATGACGGTGAGGGGAAGGATAATACTAATCGTAGCGATCCGGAAGGTGCTATTCAACCTCAAATTCCTCACCACCGGTTCCCGCCGGAGGAGGATCGGCGGCGAGATAGACCATTCGATGAACAAGATCGTTTTCTGTCTATTAGTGAAGGGGATGCGACCGATGATGATGGCCAAGAGCGTGGAGTGAGAGACGATCTATCGGAATTCAGAGACAATGTCGCGCGTCGAATCTGGGGCGTTGCCTCGTTTCTCGCTCCACCGCCACCGTCCCCTCCTCCCGTGACGTTCACCAGGGAATCTGATTCGGTACGCGCGGAATCAGACGATGAACAGCCTGAGTCCGATGATGATCCCGAGGAGGATAATGAGGAATTGGTGGAGTACGAACCGCGAGGGTTTGGTCAAATTGAGGAGTTGACGAATTTCTCGCCGCCGGAGGATTATTATACTCGTATTTTGGATGAGGCGATTGGAATCACGGATGAAGTGCTGGCTTTTGCAAGGAATATTGCCCATCATCCTGAGACATGGTTGGATTTCCCTATAGAGGAAGAGGAATTTGATGGTGAGAAATCTGACCTAATTTAAGCGTTTTTATGAAAATTTATACATTCTGTTTGATTATTATCGCTTTAGTTAATTGTGAACCAGTCTGCTCTTGAGCATTACTCTGTGAAACGATGAAATTCTTGCCATAAGCTAATATCTGCGCTTGGAACATTGATCCATTGTAAACCCCAAGTCCATTTATTTCTTGAAATGTGTTTGTATTGTGTAATAAGTAATATATTAACATTTCGAGCACTTGAATGCTCGACATGGTATATTTGTGTGGGTATTGTTCATCAATTGCATTATTAAAAGATGCTTACATTCTTTCCTCAATGTAAAGTCAGGAGTGGCAGTGTCCATTCTCCTTGATTGAGGTTCTTGGTTAGGGACCATTTTTTTCGTTGGTAAAGTTTATGAAAACCTTGCCTCTATGTTTATGCTGGGACATCAACCTTTTGTAGTTTAGAAAAGGTTGGTGTAGTCCTCTTGTTAGAGTATTTATATTACTGCCATCTCTTGAGTATGTTTTTGGTGTTATTTTATGGTAATTATGATTCCCAAAATATTTTTTCCTTAGGATCAATGTGACAAGATATTGTATCAACTTGGATGTTCATACCTGTTATGAAAATTGTTCTTATGTAAAGATAGTTGAGTGTACTATAACATGGATATATTTAGCATAAACTACTACAATGATTCCTCAAACATGAATGTCGTTGTCTACTTTTTGTGTATTTCAAAGAGGGCGAAGAGTTTAATTATTTGTCTGATCAAAAGATTTAATCCACAAAAAGAACAGTGGATTAGTTTAAAGTTGAATGGTTTGATGCTAAAGAGCAAGAAGTTCCAAATATATGATAATTGTGGTTTAAAGGTTGCTGCTTCCTGATACATCTTTTTAAATTTGAATTGAGTCTTGATAACTGCAAATCAACAATATTTTCTCATCTATATTTCTATCCATCATGCAATATTATACGCCAGATTCAGTGAGAACACTCTGTTATGAAGGCATTTTCAGTTTAATCATTTTCAGTTCTTTTTGTTCTTCAGATTTCCATGTAACAGACACCCAGTACAAACATGTGTTGGCTATCGAACATCTAGCACCAAGATTAGCTGCTCTTAGAATCGAATTTTGTCCAGTCCATATGAGTGGAGCCTACTTTTGGATGGTCTATTTTGTGCTTCTGCATTCAAGGTTAAATAAGCAAGATGCTGACCTGCTGTCTTCTCCACAGGTTAGTTATTATTAGAGAGCAAAATGATTGCGGTGAAGTAAAATATTAGAATGCCTATCGTTGTGGTTTGTCATAGCATTTTCTTAAAGTAAGAATTTCTTTGACCCTTTTTTGTTGAAAACAAGCAAAAGTAGTTTGTTCGCAACAAATATATTCAGTTTTCAATGTTTGGTGTACCGTCTACGTGGTATATTAGATATTAGATAATTATGGAGACCTTTTTTTTCTGGTTGACATACAACATGTGGTGCAGCTATACCCAACCTGCAGTTGGATAATTATGTAACATTTTCTCACTATGCTTATGGAAGTAACTACCAAATGCATCTTGGAGATAAACATTTGCCACTTAATGCTATCTTTTTTATATATCAAGTTTTGAACATCTCTTTGACATATTGACATAGTGCTGATTTTCCATTGAAGAGATGTCACATTACTGTGGTTGTCTTCCGTTTCCTTTCCATTATTTTAAGTTTACTATGTTGTATATCACAAAATAATGTTGGTTTGGCTGGTGAAGATGACTACCCAACTATAGTTGGGTCATGAATTATTGGTTTGGTGAAGACTAGCATCAGTTCATTACCAGGCTTCACACTTGAAATATCCTATAGCACTTTTTCACCAAAATATGTTATAAAACTCAAGATATCAATTGAAATTTCCTAATTTGTGTTGTTTGTTTGCAGATTGTGCGAGCAAGGGAAATGTGGATGCAAGAGCTACATAAACAAACCAAAGGAGAATCATATTGGTCTGGGACGACTTCTTTCAACTGTAAAGAAAATGCATATTCACCACTTGATAAATTTATGATGTTCTCTGACCAAAACGAGCAAAATGTGTCGGATCAAGTCTGTGCCACCGAGTCTTCGTCCAACCAAACGACAACTGAAGATGAGATTGAGAAGCCAGTGGTCAATGAAATCGAGTTCATCGACAAATCAGTTATCAGTGAGGATCCATCCCCTAAACTTCAGGATAAGGAAATGGTTGCCAGTTCATCCTTCGTGATACCAGTGCAGGATGATAATGATGACGACGGATGGGTAACAGACGACTCTGACTTAATCGGTTTCTCTGGCCCCTCAGTTGCTGTAAACGAAGAAGACATATCATTCAGTGATCTGGAGAATGATTTGGATTATTCCACCATGCCCATTAAGTCCAAATCAGCTTCCACGGAAGACAATAAAACAACCAAAACATAAGTAGGCTCGCTTCCACATGGGCAATGCCCCAAGGGAATTCGATTCTGCAGGTCAAGTTTTTGATCCTCCTACCCATTGAGTGCAATATTTGCCAGCCCTTACGCTTGCGGGCTACTCATCCATCCATCAGGTTTGCAAGATTGGAAGCATCGCGAGTTGCATCTCACAATTCTTCAATGTCTCTGGTAAGATGCGCCGCTAGAGTTTTGGTTTGGTAATGTCTGATATGAAGAATTACTGTTTTGTCTGATTTAGTGTTGAAGTTCATAGAAGTTCCTGTGGAGGAACTCCTTGTTGTTTCAATTCTTTTCCCCTCCACTTTGGTCATTGGCTTGTGTTAATAGAAACTTCTCTGTTCGGATCCTTTTCGGTTTCGATCGAGAAGGGGGGCAACTCAAATGTAATAAAGAAAGCTTGCCTGTAGTGTTTTGTACATACATACATACATACATACTTATTATGGTTTTGCTTGCTTGATTTGCTTTCTTCCTTGAATGAGTTCTTCTGTTTTGTTGATAAGATTTTGCTTTTCTATTTGATTTGGTCATTGTTTACATTCTTGCCCAGTTTCGATGATGAATTTTGTTGGATGTTTTTTGTCATGCTGATATGTATATGTACATGTTATGTGTATCTGTCTAAATTGATGGGTTGTAAAAGTTATGGTCAGCCAACCTTTTTCAAATTATTCAGTTAGGGTGGGCGTGGTAGTTACTAGTTAGTTAGGTTGCTTGTTCGAAAACTTTTGTTTTTAGAGTATCTTTTTTTAATTTAAAATTATGAAATTATTATTTTAGTGAATTAATTGTTTATTTAATAAAAAGTAAAGTAGTTGGAAGTTTTAAACATCAATAAATAATTTGCTCCTTGTCCTTAAATATCAGCCGGTAGGATGTAGTTCTTTTTAAATTTTCAATAAAAAAAAAACAATATTCATCTAAAAATTATGCTACACCCTAGTATTTTAAAAAGTAATTTACAAAAACTCTTAAAAAGGTAATTATGTGCAATATATTTTAAAATAAAATAAAATTTTATACAAATTTTAAATTATAAAATTAGATAGAACAAACTGAATCATAAACAATCTTATCTATTTTTATCTATACATATTTCTTAATATAAATATATTATTTAAATAAAATATTATATTTTCTCGTGTTACATATTGTAATAAATATAAAATTATATTGATGAAAATATTTAATAAGTAATAAATTAAATTAAAACAATAAATAAAGCAAACTACAAAACTCACACCTACACCCTGACGTCACGTGACAGAGACTTCAAACGCACGTGACAGAAGGGCCATAGGCTCCGGTCCATCTTCTCCAGAGTCCAGAATAATTTCTTTTATTTTCCTCAACTCAATTCGTAATTTCGTGGAGAATGGCGAGAAACGAGAGCCACGCTTCCAATCCAAATCCCTAAATCATTTTCCACAATCTTTGTTTCCACCCAATTTCCCTCTCTTTCCTTCCAATCCAATTCTGTTGCAAGCCACAATTATTTCAGACGGACAAAATTCCCTTCTGTCTCTCCTTGTCCTCGCTCGCTCGCTCGCTCTGTTTCTGCAACCGCCGGTCGTCGTCGCAGGCGGGGCTCATTGAACCCTTTTTTGTGTTCTTTAACCCACCCTCTTACAATAAATATACACTGCTCATACCCGCGTAGGATGAGGGGGGGAGTACATGCTGTCAAGTTGCAACTACTTTTCCGACTAATTATTGCGCCAATCAGCGAATACCGAATTTCTAGGACGACTTCTCGGTATCTGCAATTCTAGTGATTTTCCCTATATCTAGTTTTTTTTCGATTTCTTGTCAATTACGCATTAACTTTATTTGCAGTTACACGGACCCTGGGGTTTAATTTATTTGAGCTCTGGGGAACCGTTTTCTGGGTTTTTAGGTGGTGTTGTAATCGTCTGTAGTTTTGTGTTTTTATTAGAAATTTGTGGTTTGTTGAGTAGTTTGAGCTGGATGGAAAGAGGTTTGGTGAAGAGGGGTTTTGAATTTACTAGGAGGAAGAAAAAATGGGTAATTGTGTTTGGTTTGGTAGGATTCTCGAGCTATGGCGTGTACAAAGTTTATCACATGCCCTCTGTTGTAAGGAAGAGGAAGAGAATGATGAAGGTGATCAAATCCATTGTATCAATTGTTGAGATGGTCTCTGATTCTGCAGAGACAGTAAACATTGTGTCAAAGGATTTGAAGGAGTTTCTGAAGTCTGATTCCGATGAAATTCCTACTAGTTTAAAGCAACTATCGAAGATTGCAAGGTCCAAGGAATTCTCGGAGTCAGTGACTCGGGTTTGCCATGCTATGACAGTCGGTATCTTAAGGGGTTATAAAGTAGTGGAGGGTAGCAGCAATGAGATTCAAGAGGGTGGTGGTGTGAGTTTTTCGGAGAAAGTAGTGGATAAATTGATGTCCAGTGCTGGTACAGGCTTTGCCTCAGTTGTTGTTGGGAGTTTTGCTCGGAATTTGGTAATAGGCTATTATGGAAATGGAGAGGCCGGTGAACGGTTGAGTGAGAATGGTCATTTGGGAGCATCCTATGTTAAGTCAAGTTCCTCAACGTCGCCTTCGTGGTTAACTGTTCTCATGGATGAAAAATGTAGGATTTTAATTGCTGACAGCATCAAGACTTTTGTTAGCACTGCTGTTGCTGTTTATCTCGACAAAACTATGGATGTCAATTTTTATGATGAGATATTTTCAGGCTTAACCAATCCTAAGCACCAGAATAAGATGACTGAAATCTTGGCATCTCTCTGCAACGGGGCAATTGAAACACTTGTTAAGACCTCCCACCATGTGTTTGCTGCATCAAAACAACATGATAAGGTGGGATCAGGTGACTCTTTCTCAAGCATTGATGAAACTGAAGTTTCGAGCCTGGAGGAAAAAATGGAATTGAAGCCGGAAGCCCATGGAAAGAAGGATATTAATGGGCACACTAATCTGCAGAATGCTGGATGGGTCAGCACAGTTTCGTCTACATTGGCTGTGCCAAGCAATCGGAAGTTTGTACTTGATCTGACAGGCAGGGTGACATTTGAAACGGTTAGATCTGTAATTGAGTTTTTCTTATGGAAGATATGTGACTGCTTGAAAAGAAGCCTGAATGCAGTTAATGATGAAGTTATCGGAAGAGGTTTTGAAGTTGTCAGATATGTTGGCGCGAAGTCTTCTGTCATCCTCACAATGTGCCTTGCATTGTTCTTGCATATTTTTGGGAAAACCCAAGTATTGTTGCTAGCATAAAGTGATTTGTAATTTTCATTCCATGCAAGGACGGATTCGCATTCTCTTGATATTATTGTGTAGGCATCAAATAGAAATATTTGGCTCTTACTACTTAGACTATTTGTTGTTCTGAGCATGCTTCTTGTTTAAATTGCATATTTGCTAGAAGCAAATATAAACTGTTATGTAAATAAGCTGTAGTAGTTGGCAATGGCCAGAAATCAATAAACTTGATCATATTTAGGATATGAAATGTGCATTTTATTTTTGGTTTCAAGTTCTATGATTTGAAGTTACTTTTCCAAGAATGACATGGCGTTAAGAAACAACATATTTGTGTATATGTATAGACTGCAATCCATTTGTTAGGCCTTATGTATAGAATCTTGGGAATGTAAGGTAGAAGTATTTTATCAGAGTATTAGTAGCAAGAAGCATCTGGGCCATGGCCATATTTCTTGATATGCAAAGAATTTAGGGGAAAAGCTGGGAAAAAAGTTTTATTGATATGTAATATTTGCATCCATTACAGATGATTGGATTCAATGGTGGGGGGGCACACCATGGTCTTGTGTGTAGATATAATCAAGATGTGCATCTTCTGTCTTCTTCTCCAGAACTCCTTCTTCATGTTCTTCTACCCCAACCTCTTCTCCACTCTGCAAAAAATACATACAGTTGATTATATACTTATGTAGTTGTGCATTGGCTATTGATCACTCACCATAACAGAATAAGCAGTTGTTGCAGAATCAAGCCTTGAAGAAGCATTGGTAATTGTGAAGAGGAGGAGAAGCATTACACACAGGCTGCAGATTCTTGACATATTGATGCTGTGTTTTTGTGTGAGAGAGAGGGAGAAAGAGAGAGATGTGGGGTGGGGGGTTGGGATGGGGAGGAGGATTTATAGGGAAGTGACTGTCCTGAAATTGGATATTTACATTTATTGTGGTTGGATTAAAAACTAATTAGGAAAATTGTTGATTATTTTGGTTACCATTAGGATGATTATTGCAGTTTACCATTATGTGTTGATTTGGATTTTTGCAATTATGTTTAATTGTGTGACCATGACCATTTATTTTTATTAAATATATTGATTGTTGTCATGTTGTTAAGTGCTTACTCACCACCTAATTTATTTATTTGTTTATTTTCTATTTTTAGATGAAATTGAGAATGATTTGGGTGGTTTTTCCATATAAAATACATATATGCAGTTAGTGCCAATGTAAAATAGAAAATAATGTAACCAAAAAATTGAAAATAATATCAAAATCATCAAAGATATTTATTCATTCATTATTTTTAAACATGTGTTCAAACATAATTTTTTTTTATGGATGATTAGGTGAAGTCCCATTTGTATAAATGTAATCAAGATGAATATCCATTGACTCGTTCGTTGACTCTTTTGATTCTGCTTCGGCTTCTCCTCCGTCCTATTGTTATATTCAAAATATTAAATAAATTTAAATATGTATAAACACGAAATTAAATACATAATTTTACAAAATTCTTAAAAGAAAGAACTAAAAATATTTTACATAAACTCACCGAGACTTCTTGATAGGCTTTTGAAGACTTAAGATCATATCTCGAAGCTTGAACTGAGAAAATCAAAAGAAGCATCACACAAATGGCGAAAGTTTTCGACATTTTATGACTCAATCAACAAATTACAATACTAAAATCTTAATGGAGACTAATTGTGACCGTTCAATTATTTATAAATGGACGAGATGAAATAATAATAATAAAAAGTAATAAATTAGGGATTGTTATAACTTAAAATATATTATAGATTGTTCTAATATAATGTTACTAATAACTCAAATTATTACAAATACTAATATAATCTCGTAATATTACTATAGAATATGAATATATGATTTATATTTATCTATCATTCACTCAATATAATATATTATATTATGTAATATGATATATTTTGTCATTGACTATTACAATATATTATTTTAAATCTTTTATTTTTGTTATTTTGTTACTATACAGAATAAATCCAGCAACAACTCTGTTATAGATTATGTTTTAGCATTCAATCCAAAAATATATTCGAAATTTGTTTGTAAATGGTAATTAAATATAACATTTTTTATTTCTATTATGGCAATGAACATTTACAATACAAGTAAATTAATTTAGTGCGTTCTTGAGGTGGGATTTGGGATATATAACTTCCAGAATGGTTATTAACAGCAAAATTCTAGATTATGTCCATTTTTTTTTTTTTATATATAAGTAAATTTATTTTATTGTCCAAAATCGCAATTTGTGCATATTAAGCTATGGTGCCGTAGTGCGTAAGGAACATGCATAATTAAATTGATTTAATTAAATAAATAAAGATTGATTTTAAATTTTAATAATTGATAATGTAAGGGTGTACGTTTTTATATAAATTTTTATTATTCATTATTTTTTTTTTAAAAAAATATAAAATTAAATTCTTCATTTTTTTTTTACTTTTTTATATTAAAAAAATACTACATCAAATATATATTTAAATGCTAAATTTTTATAGTTTAAAGTTGATTTTTAAATTTACAACCAAACATACATTGAGGCTCTAATTTTTTGATTTTTTGATTTATTATTATTTAGTTTTTTATTAATATGATACTCCATCCGTCCCAAAGTTTATATAGTTGGATTAAGGTAGCTACGAGAATCTAAGAGAAGTATAATGAGTGGATAATTAAAAATATATTAGTAAAAATAATTATTCTATAATATAAATAATTATAAATTTAAATTAAGATAGCCAATTAATTTAATTAAAATTAAATTAAAAATTTTAAAATAAAATTAAAATGTGTAATTATTTTTCAAGAAAAAAAGTGATATGTAACGTAGATCAGAGAAAGTATTAAATATTTATTAAAAAGTGTCAAAATCGTTAAGACTGTTTGGGAAGTAAACAAAAGTCGCAAAACGCGTTAACAGAAGTCGTTTTTGATACGTTTTTTTTTTTAAAAAAAAATATATCCAAATAATTAATAGTCGTGTTTGATACGTTGCGGAAGAGAGAATTGGGTTTTTGAGAAGGGCGGTGAAACCGAGCATACGTCACACGTGTGCGTTGTCACCGAAGTTGGTTTTCCCCGAATTTCGACGAGAATTCTTCAGTCAAGATACGCACCTGATTCTGGAGTAAAGCTTCTCCACTCAGCTTCAAAATGCTCGGTGGCGATGGATCGGAAGCTCCTAGTCGGTGAGGATTCAATCCCCTTTCTTGTTATATACAATTTCTTCCGATTAGGGTGATATGCGCGGGATTTCGCGGTACAATTTGAAAAAGTAAAGGAAAAGCTCGTTTTCATTAGCCAATGGTTTTCGTCACTTCGAGTTATTTGTTGTCGCGGATGAATTTGGGGTGATTGGTTGCATGTGTTATGTATACTTATTGGATAATCTTGCGCAATCAATTATACTAGTTTATTTTGCGATATTTCCGAGGCAGAGGTAAATCTACTGGAAATGAGGATTTAATCTATATACTACGGAAGTTTCTGTTGTGTATGGTTGGGGAGTAGGTATCTGAAACTAAGTTTATGCTGATAATATTACTGGAAATGGGGGGAAATTGGCAGGAATGAGCTTCTGAGCATGGTGAGGAAGCATTCAAAGTTTTTAGATAAAGCTGCACAGGACGAAGATGATACAGCGGATGAGGTGGATGTGGACTCTAGATTCTGGCATGATATTATTGATTTGTATTTTGTTCGCTACAGAGGGTCAAGGGGGCGAGAGGATGATGATCTCGTATTCTTTGTTAGAAAATCGGTATTGTATCTCCTAGACATATTGTGTTTCACAGTTGCTTTTTTGCATGAATACTGGAATTTGATGGAGTGCATTTAACAATGCAGAGTTTGCAAGCACCAAAACCCAGTGATAATGTGGAAACCAGCTCTCCCTACTTTGTACGCAGGTGGGCACCTAAGGTAAAAGAACAAAATACTTCTTGTATTGGTAGCTAACTAATTGCCTCAGGTGCAAGCTAACAGTCAATGTATTCATTTTTTGCCTTTTTGTTAGCCTATTTAAACACACTTGCATAATTGACTATTACTGTGTGCATTAGTGTTTTTTTTCCACATCAAATATCCGCATGGAAGTTACATTTAATCTTTTAAAAGGGAATGAACACTGCAATGTTTGCAGTGTAATAAGAATTTGGAGTGGAGTGCTTGTAGATGTACATTCCCTGATTGGTTGAATCTTTGGCCCATGTACTCTATGCTATTTGTGTTTTATTCAGCTATATGTGCATAATGATATCGTGATGCCTGTAATTCACTGAAATTTGAAGCATATAGAATCACAGCATGATTTTTATTTTCCTATAATGAAACCCACTTCTATTGTGCCTGGCAGCTGGATGAATTAGTTGGTGAAATTTCAACAAGTATAGATTGGAGACGCTCTTTCTATCTGAATCTGATTGCTCATACTGCTTTCAGTGTGACTGTAGCAATTTGCAGGTATTTATTCTGTTGTGATTCCTAGGGATTCTCCTTTCACAACTAGCTCAAATTTGCCTTCATGTTACATTTATACTTTATTAACCCCCCTCCAATGATTGTATGGACCTTTACAGTTGGTTGACACGGCCACCTTCGTATAAGTTAGCTGCTGATTTGTTCATTCTTTTAATATGAGAGTTTCTGGATGAGATTTGTGTAACCTTGTCTAGTTCATCTGGATATATTTCTTGGTAATGTAGGTCTCACGGGAAAGCATTCATGACTTCAGGCTTGTGCATTTTTGCTTTTTAATTTTTTTTTTTGCTTTCAAAAGGATTGGGGCTTCATATGTGCATGAGAACTTGAGAGAATGGTTTTTGGATGAAGTAACCTGAGAAAGTGATACTTGTGGAAGATGAGTAAACTTTTGTATTGGAAAACCTACAAGCATGTATGAAGATCAGCTATATAGTAACTGCGTCTTACAGAAAATGATTTTTTTTCCTTTCCTGTATGAGTTAATGTAATGCATATGATGGGATGAGCTATATTCTACAGATATTTAACTAACAACCTTACAGTTATAGCTATAAAAGACAAAATTGGGTAGATGTATCCGGGCTATATGGTATTGGGCTACTTTCTCTTTTAAAGTGTAGAATAAAGATTTGGTGGATTTTGGACATGTTAGATTCCATAAAACCCTAGTAATCAAAGGATGGGATGTATTGCATGTGGGGATCCATGATTGTCTCCGGGAGATTATTGAGGCCCTTTGCTTCGTTTGGGAGAATTTTTCCATATCTATTAGAAAACTTATTCACTTATTTATAGACTGCAAGTCTTAAAGAAGTTAAAAGTGTAGTAACCATGTAATGGTTTTGAGTAGTTATATTTTTGGGTGCTTCATTAATATATGTTATGTGCACTGTATATAATATATAAATGTGTCTTAGTTATTCCTTTTCTAATACATTCAGTATCAACTGTTCTCTTCCAGTCATCAAGTCCTTCAACAATATCAGACAAGTCGAGGCAAGACCTTGTCTCCAATCTACAAGGTATCTGCTCTTCTTGGACATTAAATTGTATATTTGGTCAAATGTTTTTGTTTTCTTGCAATTGGTTGCCGCATTGTAGTGTACTTGGCCTTAGAAAGCAATTTTGATATGTTATAAATATTCCTGCTAATGTGCTATATATAGTATTTGTTGAGGAAGCTTTAACTATATTATATGTTATTCAGTGGCCCAAAATGTAGATTTCCTTCATAGGTTTTGAGTTTGGAAGAAAGAAGGGAGTAGGGTTATATATATATATATTAGTATTTTGTTGCCAAGCTGAGATGAGCATGTTGATTTTGAGTTTCTGAAGTCCAGTGTCTTTCTTAAATATTTTTAACTTTATAACCTATATAAAATTCTCTTCTTGATAATATTAAAAAAAAAAAAAAAACAGCAACAACAAATGTAACTTCTTCACCCATTGAACATTCCTTTTAAGCTTGTGCCATGGTTGATTGCATGGTAGACTCCACTTACCATATATCTTTGACAGGTTGTGAAGACTGTATATGCATCTCCAAGCCGTATTAATTTTCATTTGGATTCCAGAAAGGCAAGTTTTTTTCACCCCATGCACATTAGCTAACCCTGTATGTTCATGCATTATCTATGCCCATTAGCTAATGATCTTTATCATCGCTCTCAAATGTGTATTCAGGAAGTAGAAACGATACCTGCGTATCCTGATATCTGTTTTGCAGTGGATGACTTTGACTCCACTTTTGATGCAGTGGTAAGGTGCATATTAATAATATTTACTCTCTTACGATATGTTTAATTGATAGATTAACCAGTATTTTGCACTTTAGGATGGGGTTGTTTAGATTGGTTATCTGTTGTGGAAACCATATCATACTTACTGTTATCTTCTCTCTCTGAGTCTATTAAGTGAATCTAGAAATCATTATCTGTGAGGGGTCTCTTTGTTACAAGTTTTGGGGAGGAAGGAGCTTCTATGAACATGAGGCAGGATCACTCGGGCACTGCCCACTTTATTTACTGACTATTTAAGTAGGATTCTCTAATTAGTTGAGTCAGAGGAATGAAGTTTTGAGTATTTGAAGGTTTGGTTGTACTGAAACCGGTCATTATCTTTAGAGTGAAGCTCTTGAGCATTCTTTCTTAATTCTAATGTTCTTCTGTGGTGGATTACTTATCACAAAATTGAAGTATTATTGATGATAATAAGGGAATATGGAGGGTTAACATAATTAGCTGATGCATAACTTTTTTCCTTTTTTGATTTATTGGTTTACTTCGTAAATTCTGCAAATCTTATGTAATGTTCTTTATATTCTTGAAGTTGGTTAACCTGAACTCTATACTCTCCCGTTTCTAAAGTCTTAGTCTTCACAGGTATTGACTGATACAGACCACTGTTATTGCGTCCTGTTAAATGCTCATGATGGGGCTGCTTTTCCAAATGAGAAAAAAAGAGATCAAGGTTCTGGTTCAGACATTTCTTCCTCTTCCGAGGATGTTACAACTTCTGGAAAGACGAGGAGCTCCAAGGTAATGTCCTGGGAGTATTTAAACTTGTTTTACCTGGCTGATCCTGTTCCCTACTGATGATTTACCTTGTTTGCAGATTACCCTTTTTTCTGGGTTTGTCAGTTACCAAATGGTTCGAGATGCTTATGATGGTAATTTGCTTTGTTCACGCCTACACTTCTTTCTGAGTTTTTATTTTGTTCTATGCACTCTTGTAACTTCCATTTGTGCACACGTCTTGACCTGAAGACTGGTCCTTTGCCAGGATTCCAAAATTTGCGGTGGTGTATTATACAGAAACTAAGTCACATTAGAATAAGTTTTGTATTTCCCAGCTAATAAGGATAAATACCAAGATGATCTGTTGCCGAATGATTGATGACAGTTGTTTGAACTGTACTTTTATATACCACTGTTGGAGTTGCTCAGCTGAATGGTAAAACTAGATGCCAAAACTATTTTCAAGCTATTTTCAAAGGGACAAACTTAGATGATTAGTTTGACTGTAAATGTTTCCTTGATAAATGAGAACTTATCCATTGGAGAGAATGAGTTATGTATTTGGAGAGTTTTGTTGTCGGAACTATTTAGCGATTCCATTAACAGTGACCATGAATATTTGCTTTTCTACATGTCTCTAATAGAGATGATGACGACAATGTAGTGCATTGCCTTGAGCGACTTTTTCTGGAAGGTCAAAGAAAAGTCCCACATTTTGCAAGAGCCTAATCAGGAACTTTTTGTTTTATCCTAGGCCACCTGTTCATTCAGCACAATGAATATCAATTAATATAGTTTACTTTAATTGATAGTTAGTTAATCATGCTACACGGCCTGTTGACTATTGTGAGAATAGTTGTCCTTTCTAAAGTCTTAAGCATTAGAAATTGTGATTGCATACTATAAATGCTTGTTTTTGTCAAATAATACAGTTCGTGTGATCATTTTTTATTTTTCTGTTTTTTGGTTACAATTTCCAGCTGGCAGGACTGGTTTTGGAAGCCTTCTATCTCTGGGTCATTCTTCTGGCAAAATTGATAAAATTTACATGAAAGGTCCTGGGGGTCGCGGTGAAGTTGAAGTTGCTGTCTCTGGTGTTCTTGGTCAGTTGCAAAATACCTTCTTTATGCTGTTTAAATGTTGTAGGATGCAATTAATTTATCAATTTGAGCATAGAAATACCTAGACATCGAATATCTTCTGGAAGCATCAACTTCTTTACGATTAAGGATGTTCAGTTGCATTAGTATTTCTTCACTCCATGACAAATTAATCTTATTCAGCCCTTTTATATCTTTTGCAGATCAAAGCAAAATAGACAGTCCCCATTCACCTAAAAAAGGACTTGATATCGGAAGTTTCATGCGCACTGCAGCCTCTGTGGCATCAACTGCAGCAAAGCAAGCTTACGCTGCTGCAGCCTCTTCCCATCGACACGCAGAGGATGAGATGCTGCCCCTGAAGTGCTGCTTGATGTCCATATCCCTCCCGTGGGAGACCATTGCCCATGATCTTTTATTAAAGGTGATCAAAACTCTTTTCTTCCACCTAAAAAGGAATCCATTTTATTCAAGAATGATACAATATAATATGCCTCGATCAACCTGGGACAAACTGAACATGCAGCGTTGTTTGTGTATTTGTTGTTTGCAGGGAACTCCCCCTGTGAGCCTGTAACAACCACCGAGTCCTCTTCTTCTTGCAGAACTTTTGGCGCCAGGCGGTCGGGAAGTTTATTTTGCCTACCAGCTATGAAAATGCACATGTTCGAGGTGTCTGAAATGTTTTGCTGATGTTGGAAATGAAAAAGGTTGAGTTGTAAATTAGGATGCATGTTGATTCATTAGTGTATCTTAGCGAGGGAGGAGCACTCTTAGCTTCTGTTCAGGATATAATAACCGGTTCTTCATTGAAATTTATTTCTTGTTTGCTTCACGTCTCACATCACACACCCACAGGATTAAAATATTTTTGTTTATACTCCTTTGTCGCCTAAAATTATGTTTATCTTTTATTGTCTCTAATTATATATATTTGTTAATATCTTTTTACTATAAAAAATATCAAAAAGTTTCAATCAAAGTTTTTTATATATTAAAACTGTGTTAAAAAGTTTTGAACATAAAATTAAAAGAAACTTTAAGAGAGTATTAAAGTCTTGTAAATATCCAAAATATTATTTAAATAAAAATTTAAAAAATCCAATGTTTTTACACTTTTCACCAAAATTTTGAAATATTATATTTAAGATTTTTTATTATATAAGTAGAATATTATATTCAAAAATTTTATTTTTATCCAAAAATAAGTAATAACTCAGCACCTATTTTCCACCCAAGTCCAAACCCTCAAAGGCTAAACCAAAGTAAAAACTGCGATTTGCAGAATTCTTTTAAATGATGTATTTGTGGTAAAATGGTAATTTTGTAAACTCATCTTTATCAATTTTCAAATTTAAATAGGAATCCCGCCCGTTGGACTGACTTGTCACTGACCGACTAACATTGCCCTTTTCTTCAAATCCACACCTGAATACTGAATAGTTGAAGAAATCCAATCGAAGAAGATCTGCGTGGAGAAACAATGGAGAAGATTTGTGTGGCAGTAAGGTTGAGGCCATCTGCCAGCGAAGATTCTGTTAACGCATTCAACTGGAAAGTCGATTCCAATCGTGTTTGCCTGCACAGATCTGATGGCCCTCCCGTTTCGGGGCTTTCCTTTGCTTTCGGTAAGCTAGATAGCGGTCTTGTACAATGTTTCATATATATGTATACATATATATATAATTGCAATTTTGAATTTGGTAATCTTTTTGCAGATCACGTTTTCGATCAAGAATGCAGTAATGAAACTGTATATGATCGTATGATTAAGGGCATTACTGATGCTGCAGTCGAGGGATTTAATGGTAAAAATTGTAGTTTTAGGTTCTTTCCCATTCTCACAACTGATGTTAATTCTATGGTTTCACGAGGGAAATATATTGAGAACATGAAGCTGTTAAATTTCCTTAGATTAAAAAGAACAAGTGTAATTTTCTGAAGGTTTTCTTGGAATTAGAGGACCCCAATTTCAGGGCATGTTCAATGAATTGATTACCTCAGTATGATTCTTGGCAGTGTCACGGATGGCTACTTTTGTGCTGAATGAGGTGCTGTAAGAAAAACAATTATTAACGTTTACTAATGTAGAACAAGAACTGATACTGGTTTTCTTGCTGTCACCTTTTCGTTCGCTTTTCTGATGCTGTTTTTAGCATAAAGGGCTGATTAACTTCTTTTCTTTCTTCGTTTATTGGGTGGCATGATCCATGTTTGGTAGAACTTCTATTTATTACCCTCGAGTTTTTTGTTGTAATTTGGAGTGGAACCGAGTGTTTTCTTTTTTTTTTTTTTTCTCTCACTAATACAAGGTAAATGGAATGCAGGTACTGCATTTGCTTACGGCCAAACAAGCAGTGGAAAGACCTTTACCATGAATGGTTCAGAAAACAATCCGGGAATTATCCCTAGAGCTGTCAAAGATATATTTGGAAAAATCCAGGAGGTGGGTTGAGTTATAGATATAAATGTTGGAGAGAAATAGTATACTGAATTTACTGATATAGTTTTGTATGTCTTGTCATTTAGGCAACTGATCGGGAGTTTCTAATTCGAGTTTCCTACATGGAAATTTACAATGAAGACATTAATGATCTCTTTGCATTAGAGAATCAGAAGCTTCAAATTCACGAGAGTTTGGAGGTGGGTTGTGATAAATTTTTTTAGTATGAAAATTTCTTTTAATATGTGGAAGTACTGATGTGTCTTTTCCTTTAGCGTGGTGTGTTTGTTGCTGGACTTCGCGAGGAAATTGTTAACAATGCTGACCAAGTGCTTAATCTTATCCAGCTTGGAGAAGGTGAAACATAGAATCAAATCATCACAATTTTTGTGTTGGCCTTATCTAATATTTGCATGAATTTGTCCTCCTTTCAGCTAACAGGCATTTTGGTGAAACGAACATGAATGCTCGCAGTAGCAGATCACACACTGTTTTTAGAATGGTACGTTCTTTTATATTTACAAGCTTGTATTGAAAACTTCAATATCTTATAGATTATAACACCACGGATCTGTATATGTATAAATTGCATGTGTTAATATATTTTCTTTATAATAAACCAGGTAATTGAAAGCAAAGCAAAGTACAATAAGTCAAGTTTGGATGATGCAATTCGTGTCTCCGTCTTGGTTAGTCCTATGCCATTTGAACTGTATTGAATTCAACCCCTTCTGTTATCAGCTGTGCTAGAAAATTATGTATGTTTATTTCTCTAGAAATTTAACTACATCTGCATCTTATTGTTTCTCCTATACTATTTTAGGTGTTAATATTTTCTGTTTTTTGGAATTAGAATTTAGTTGACTTAGCTGGCTCTGAAAGAGTAGCTAAAACTGGTGCCGGGGGTGTTCGTTTAAAGGAAGGGAAACACATTAACAAGAGCTTAATGATTCTTGGAAATGTAATCAACAAATTAAGTGAGGGTGGAAAGCAAAGGTAGTTGCAAATCCCTAACTTCCTAAAAATAGCAATAGATATTGAGAAACTCATCAAAATTATTTTCAGGGGTCATATTCCTTATCGGGACAGTAAGCTTACTCGTATTCTTCAACCTGCACTTGGTGGTAATGCCAAAACTTCAATAATTTGCACCGTTGCACCAGAGGAGGTATTTAGATACTATTTGTTTCCAATGACTTTAACTTAATTGATACATTAATTTATTGAGCCTCGATTGTGTTTACAGATTCACATAGAAGAGTCAAAAGGAACACTCCAGTTTGCTAGCAGAGCAAAGAGGATTACAAACTGTGTTCAAGTGAATGAGGTCTGTTATAATCATTCAGAAACATTCTTGTGTCTATACTCTATGGAAGCAATAATTTAATGCTTGTAAGAAGTATCATGGCAAGAATGCAGAATATGTGGTTGTTACTTAAGGCCAAAACTTGCTAATATGTGTAGCTGTCTAAAAATTGATCAGCTGAAAAGCTTTCTTGAGGCAATGAATGTACACATGATAACAGGATCCTTCACAAATCTGACAATGCAACTTTATTTTCTTTTTATTTTAAATGTATTTTCAGATATTGACAGACGCTGCGTTGTTAAAGAGACAAAAACTAGAAATAGAGGAACTTCGAAGTAAGCTTCAGGTACTTCTCTCTCTCTCTCTCTCACATACGCTCTCACACACACACACACATCTCAGTATTAGGTGAATGAATCTAAGATTTGATTTAAGTCAGTATGTCTATTCCATCAGGGTTCACATGCAGAAGTGTTAGAGCAAGAAATTTTGAAACTGAGAAAAGACATGCTCAAGGTAATATTATGAGTGTTTCCTAGACTCAAACATCTTAAAAGGGTGTTTTCTAATGGCATATAACTGTTACCCCATTTCAGTATGAACTGGAGCGGGAAAAGCTGGCTGCCGAACTAGAAGAGGAAAGAAGATCCCAAAAAGAGCGGGATCAATGCATCAGGGAGCAGCAAATGAAAATTGACAATCTTAGCAACCTGGTTACTTTGTCAGAATCTGATAGGAATCTTGCCCAAGTAAAACTTACCTTTTTAAGTTCCAAATGATCACCCATACGTATTCATAGGATTATCTAAAACTTGGAACTAATGCTGATTCGTAGGATGATGTAAAAGCACATGTTCAAGCCAGAAGTGCCAATTCTCAGAGCACTTGCCAAGAGGATACTTTTAGTACCCCTTGTTTTAAAGCTCCTCCTAAGGGGTTTGTTGCAAGGAGAACAGACTATTCAATGTTACCAGAATGTAGCCCACTTCCAGATGTACTTGGTGATTTTGCTGATGAAGACACATGGATGAAAATGAACAAGGGTTTCATAGCTGACCTTGATTCACTTCATATGACTCCTGCAAGGAAAGTTCAATCATTTCCATTCAGTGAGGTGCGTATTATTCAACATTTCGGCATGATTTTGTTTTATCTTTCCACACCTCCCAGTTTACCCAATTTAATAATTGATTTCAGATTTTGAAATATTCTAGTAGCTTCTAAAATTTGTGATCCATTACAGGATAGCTCAATGGAGAGTTGCAGTAAAGAGATGCAAAACCTTCATATGCAACTAAAAATTGTTACAGAGGAAAGAGATGAAGTCAAGGTTAGTTGTTAAATTGTATGATGCAAGGTAATATTATTCAATATTCCTTCTTCAATGCATTTATTTCGGTTACATCCCCCTATCTTAATACTCTTCATCATATGCTTTCCAGAGAAAGTATGATGAACAGGCCTTAATCAATAACCAGTTAGCAAGAGACGTAGCTGATCTCCAAAAAGAAATAGAGCAAATTCGAGTCATTCCAAAAAAGTTACATGAAACAGTGGCAGATTGCAAAGACATTTACAAGGATGTTTTTTCTATATTACAGGTGCTGTATAATATTATTTAAAAATTATGAAATTTATTGTAATTCCCTTTAGAGTATAATGAATGGTGTGATCCTCCCCTCCAGCAGAACTACGTATCTGATGACCTGTCTGCAACTGCTCAAATACTCTCTACAACAAGTGAAGTTGGTACTTCTCTGTTTTCAACTCTAGAATCTCATCTATTAATGGCTGTGGATGGCAAGAGGACTTCCTTGAATGATAATTCTATTAGAGAGCAGTGCAACATGCTCCACCAGAAGCTGCGCAACACAGTTTCTTCCTTGATATTGTCAGATACGCCAACCTTGAATGATGGAGATAGCAAAGACTATTCTATATGCAGCAGCAAAATTAAGGTAGCTGACTGGTCATGTAAATCAAGATCCCACATGCAAATCTTGTTATTCTTCTCCATTCTGACAATTGGCTTCTATTTCCCCTACTTCAAGCAATTTCTGTCAGGTTTTTCCTGGGATCTTTAATATTTGTTGAACTTCTGCATCTTTGATTACTTGTAATTAATATGAATATTGTACCACTTTTTCTAGGTGATGTCATTCTTGGTAAATCCCTTACTCCATTGCTATGCATAGCTTAAAATTTTGTAAAGCTGATAGTGAACTCCTTGGTAACTCCTCACTTCTATCAACCAAAATAAGTTTTGTGACTGATTATTACGCCATGCTATAGTAACTCCTTTAGGGAAATAGAAGATGTTTTGTGTAGTACTAGTTTGAGGTTGATTTGGAGGGAAGAGGTTGTTAACTTAATTGATTAATTCTTCAGAAGAATAGTGGTTGTGTCAAGAGGAACAACAGGCACCTTCGAGAGTGAGCTATGAAGTTGCACAAATATAAGCTAGAACTTATTAACTTGCACTCTGACATTGATGAGTTAGAAATGTTAAGTTATTATTTCAATGTGATGGTAAGCATCTGCTTTGGCCTTGTTTAATGTGAGTTAGTTATGGTTTACATATCTTTTGTCTTGAGTCTCTTTATCACTTAAGAATATAACATTTCATGGTGATGAAGGGTTCTTTGGGAGAGCAAATTGCTTGTTGGAAGCAGGCACTAGAAAATGAGGTCAAAACAATCAAACAGAAGTACAAAGACTTGGAGGATGAGTTGAATGTGACCAATCAGCTTCTTAAGGTCTCTGAGGGAAAATATAATAGCTTGGAAAGGGAGTTCCATCTTCTGAAACAAGATCGTGATGCGGCACTAAAGAGTATGGCCGATTCTTCGCAAATGTTAGAGCAGATTACTGCTCAAAAGGAGAAAGCTTTGAAGGACCTAAGCACTGAAATAAAGATGAGGAAAACACTTGAAGAAGATCGTGATGCAGCACTAAGGAGCATGGCCGATTCTTCGCAAATGTTAGAACAGATTACTGCACAAAAGGAGAAAGCTTTGCAGGACCTAAGCACTGAAATACAGATGAGGAAAATACTTGAAGAAGATCGTGATGCGGCACTAAATAGTATGGCCGACTCTTCGCAAATATTAGAGCAGATTACTGTGCAAAAGGAGAAAGCTTTGAAGGACCTTAGCACAGAAATACTGATGAGGAAAACACTCGAAGAAGATCGTGATGCGGCACTAAAGAATATGGGTGATTCTTCGCAAATGTTAGAGCAGATTACCGCGCAAAAGGAGAAAGCTTTGAAGGACCTTAGCACCGAAATACAGATGAGGAGAACACTTGAAGAAGATCGTGATGCGGCACTAAAGAGTATGGCTGATTCTTCGCAAATGTTAGAGCAGATAACTGCACTAAAGGAGAAAGCTTTGAAGGACCTTAGCACTGAAATACAGATGAGGAAAACACTTGAAGAAGATCGTGATGCGGCACTAAAGAGTATGGCTGATTCTTCGCAAATGTTAGAGCAGATTACTGCACAAAAGGAGAAAGCTTTGAAGGACCTTAGCACTGAAATACAGATGAGGAAAACACTTGAAGAAGATCGTGATGCGGCACTAAAGAGTATGGCTGATTCTTCGCAAATGTTAGAGCAGATTACTACACTAAAGGAGAAAGCTTTGAAGGACCTTAGCACTGAAATACAGATGAGGAAAACACTTGAAGAAGATCGTGATGCGGCACTAAAGAGTATGGCTGATTCTTCGCAAATGTTAGAGCAGATTACTGCACAAAAGGAGAAAGCTTTGAAGGACCTTAGCACTGAAATACAGATGAGGAAAACACTTGAAGAAGATCGTGATGCGGCACTAAAGAGTATGGCTGATTCTTCGCAAATGTTAGAGCAGATTACTACACTAAAGGAGAAAGCTTTGAAGGACCTTAGTACTGAAATACAGATGAGGAAAAAACTCGAAGAAGATCGTGATGTGGCACTAAAGAATATGGCTGATTCTTCGCAAATGTTAGAGCAGATTACTGCACAAAAGGAGAAAGCTTTGAAGGACCTAAGCACTGAAATAAAGATGAGGAGAACACTTGAAGAAGAGATCAAACAGTTTCGTATTGCATTTGCTTCTCGACAGAGGTCACTAATCTCTATGCAAAGTGACCTCAAATCTATTTTCGAGACCATGAAAGTGCAGAACCACCCAGCTTCACTATCCAAATCTTATGGATCTTGATAAAACTGGAGTGCTGCCTCCTTTCAATCCAAGCTTTTCCTGGTTTGTAAAACTCACTCTATCCGTTATATTTGTTCAATACACCATTATTCATTTGTGTTATGTTGTTTGCCATGAATTATAACTCTTTAGATGAATGTGGCTATGCAGGTCAAATGCAAATGTGCATTGCCAATGATATAATAGATTTATGCTTCCCGGGCGTCCTTTCAACTTATAGCTCTAAGGCTTCATTCCCATGGCTTAATCAGGTGCTCATTGGTTGCTTTTGTTTTATATAAGTGCAACCATAAATGTTGGAAAGTAAATACGTTGACAGATGTGAAGGTGAACACCACTGGTTACTAAAATTTAATTCTGTATGTATGCTATGTGTTTGTGAAGTAGCTTTCATGGGGCTGTTATCTTATCATTTGTGATCATTGTAATTGCACCTGCAGATATGTCTGTCTGGGCTTTTATTGTTTAAATTTCTCTTATAAAATTTCGTATTGATCGGAAGTAAATTTTACATAGCTGATGTAAGGACCACTCTGCCATAGCCTGTCCTGTGCTATAACATTCATTACACAGCAGCTTTCTTTCCCACAATATGGCCTATATCTAGCCTCCTCCCTATACCCCCATTTATGAACAACTTTACCTGCTTAGAGAACTTTCTGTCTGTACCAAGATATCTGTCTTAAGCCATGCCCATTACAGCTTTCACGAAGCAAATTTTTCAAAGATTCTGAACCACTCCAAATATTGTGATGGATTGATATTTGAGACATAATAACCAATGCTGTGGTCCTGTGGAAAGACAAATATGGTGGATAAAAAAAAAAATACAGGATAGTGGACAGACAGGCAGCCTCTCTGCTGTCATTCATTGACTATACATCATTATAGTGATTTCTGGTAGTTACAAGATAAGTGTTGGATGCAAGAAAACTACAAGGTATTGTGTTCTGCCCACATGGACTTTGATTGTTTTTTTATCCACTCTACACTATTCTTGACTAATCTTTGTCACAAATACATGAAGCTAGAGAAAAGAGTTGACATAGAGCCAGAGAAAAAAGTGCAAAGAGCCCATTTTTCTTTGTCAATGTCTTTATATAATGTTGAGATGCAGATCTGTGCTAGAAGACAAACAAGTTAAGTACATAAATGAAATATGCATTGTAATACTGATCTGATCTGTGTCTCTATCGTGCCCATCCCCTGAGATGTTATTTATGTCTTTGGGCAATAAGCTGTCCAAGAATCTTCTCAACTTGTTCACTCCCTAACTGAAACAGAAACAGAAACCCCATTATTCTCTTCAATTCATTTATTACACATGCAGCAACACAACTCCCCTTTTGCCCTTAACAATAGTAAGTAGTATTAGGTATGGCTTCTTTTCATTTTTCTTGCCTTCCTTGTGAGTAGTATACTTGTTGCATTTCTCCAATCTGTTTCGAGTATGCCGAAGCTTCTGGCAGAATTCCTCCTGGAGAGACAGGAGCCATTCTCCTTGCATCATTACCTTCTTGAAAGAGGTCATTGTAGAGGTAGTCTTGATTCTAGTTGGTTCTTGAAGTATGGCCCAAGGAAGAGACAATGCATGGTTACAAATTGCTCAGAGTTCGTCAAGGCCATGCTCGGAAGGATAGCGCTGCTCCGTGGCGGCAGGAGAAGAAGGGAGAGAGGAGTTTCTTCCACCAAGGATTTTGTTTCTTGCTCAGAAAGTGATGAACAAGAGGTAAGTGTTAGTTGAGTTATCATCATTCATGAAAAATCAACATTCCCTAAAAGGGTGAATTGATTCACTATTGTTTGTCAATGATCATCATGAAGCTAGCAGGCTGCCGCAGCCCAGAAAGGGAGATCATCCATGGAGCATGGGAATGATACCAGCCCTGTTGTCTCAGTTCTTGAAGAAACAAATTCTGATCAACCTTCAACACTTGATGATGACAGTAAGTCCCCCAAATCAATTTTCGATTGTTCTAACAAATTTAAATGCAGCTTTATTTTCATCGAAAACCAATTCAACTGAGCTAAGAAAACTCCATTGCAGCAGCAGCACATCAATATGAATGTGAGTCCTACACCACTCAGATTCACTCCCAATACAGCATAAACAAGAGGCTGTTGCAGCAAACAAAGCAGCTTCTGATCGACTCTGCGAGGGAAGTGATCGAAAGCGAAAATTGTAGGCGACAAAGAGACAACAAAAAAAGCAGAGCGCATCTGAAGAAGCAAGTAGTGGGAGCTGAAGAACTCTGGAAAGTTTTGTGTGAGAATGTATGGATTTGGAGCAATGAGAGCAGCAACAACATAGCCCATCTGCTGCACTCTGATTACCTAAATTCCTTAGAGGATTGGGAAACAGATTACCAGAAAAAGAGACAAGGAATTGCAATGGAGATTGGAGAAGAGCTTTTGGAAAGCATTATCAATGAAGTTCTTGTAGTCTAAGATATTTAGGAAAAATAAAAATAAAAAACCTACAATTGAAGAACCTCATTGATAAAAGCTCTTCTTCAATCTCCATTCTAATTCCTTGTCTGTTTTTTGTAATCTGTTTTCCAATCTTCGAAGGAATTTAGGTAAAATTCCATTTGTTTAAGTCATCTTATTACACACACACACACACACACGTTTATTTTCATTCTTTATATATTAATAAATGAATATGAATATGATGCCTTTGGGAAGAGGCAATGGGGGAAGTGAAACAATAATGGCAATTAAATGGCTGAAATTGATGTTTCAACTGCTCCAAATTCTTGCAAGTTTTTGTTCATTCCTGTTTTAATATTTTATTTGAAAAAATAAATGATATGAGAATAAATACAAGTAAAGTAGGCAAATAATGTGTATGAATTTACATAAATGATACAAGTGTAGATCATTACAACGGGAAACATAAAACAATTCTCATTGTAAAATGTTCTAGTGCGACCTATTAGTAAACTTTTTATAGCAATTATATATATTTCTAGATTAAGATTATTAAGACATTACCTTTAAAAAATGCGACTAAGTAAAGGCCACGAGCATGGATGTGTTTCCAAAATGAAATTAATATTTTTTTATTCTATATAATTTTTAGTAAAAATATATTATATTTTTCATAAAATATCAGGTTAAAATATTTCAATGAAACAAACGTAATATGTTCCAAGATCAAAGCTCACATTATGTTATGAACAAATTTATTTAGACGTTGGTTTTTGAAAATTTAAAAAAAAAAATTGAATATTTAATGTTATATTTTATTTTCAAAAAATTATATAATGTGGTATTTTTTTGACAAAAAAAAATATTGAATATTGATAAATGTTACTAAATTTTCTAAATATATATTTATGTAAATAGACCTTAGATTTGTATAAGCAATGAAAATGGAAATTATAGCTAATTAAAAAAACATATATACATAAATAGATTTGATTTTATTTATTTAAAATTTACTCTCAAATTTTTTACTACGAAACTATTCCATATGAAAATAAAATATCTTATTAAAAACTACTTCCTTCCTGGGATATATTGTGACATATTTATATTTAAGTGTAATATTAAAAATATAAATTCAAAATTATGTAAAAATTATTTATTATAAATATATATATAATTGCTAGACAGAGTACTACTAATGTTTAACAAAAGTATAAAATAAAACTCCAAATAAACAAATAAATGCAAATGCAAATATATATATATATATATATATAATGAATATATGTAAGCCAATGTCAGCAGAATAATTTACTACAGAATTTCATCTTGTTTAAAAATAGGCATATGCAATCATGGGTACTATTTTTAGAAAGTTGTAATAAATACATTTTCAGTTACAACTTACAACAAGCAACATTAATTTCAGCTACCAACGCCGTCTGCTGGTGCTGAAATATAATTTTATCATCAAATTAAATATAACCCCAAATACATAATAAATAATTCAATAAATAAATTGGATTCAATTGGTGTAAGTATATATTATACAATTGCCATATTTAAATTTTAAAATAGGGAAAAAAAATTATTTTTGGTCCCAATATAATTAAAATTTATTAATTTTGGTCTTAATATAATCAAAACTTATAATTTTTTGTTCCAATATAACCAAAACTCATCATTTTTGTCTCAATATAATCAAACCTTATCTTTTTTGTCTCACCGTCAACAAACCGATAAAAAATGTTAACGGGAAAAGAAATCAAACCTTATATTTATATTTGAAAAAATTGCACAATCTTGCAAGTCCACGTCAGCATTTTCCGTCGGTTTGTTAACGGTGGGACAAAAAAAATAAGGTTTAATTATATTGGAAAAAAAATGATGAGTTTTGGTTATATTGAGATTAAAATTAATAAGATTTTTATATTTGGACCAAAATTGATGAATTTTGATTATATTTGAACCAAAAATAATTTTTTCGCTTTAAAATATAATATTTAGTCATTGTAATGGTCAATTTATCATATGTTATATGTTGGATATTATGACTATTATTTGATGCTTTTAACATGGCACTCATGATCAAATTAACATATCCCATATGATTTTATTCTGTAACCTTCTTTTTTTTTTTTTGCAATAAATAAATAATTATTGGGTACATTTATTGTGAATTAACATAAGAGAACAAAATTAAAAATAATTTGAGTTTTGTAACATGGAATGTGGTCAAATTGGGCTTTCTCTACCGTGCCAACATTTAACAATATATCACATATCTGTATCACATTTCGGAATTTTGAAACAATTTTAATATAGTAGAAATTAAAATTTTGAGTATTTGTGTATGATACTTTTGTAAGAAAATAAAAATAAAATATTTTATATATATTTAGATTAAATTTGTGAGTTTTGGAAGTTACTTTTTCGAATATAGTTATGTTTTTTAAAAATATTATATGTATATTCAATATTTTACTTACATGTAACGTAACTGCTCTTCAATTATGTTATACCATGCACGCAAACCCTACACCACTTTCAAAGCAACTTAATAACAAATTAAAATTAAAAATTATATGGTATTTATATATATATATAATATATAATCATATAATTATTTTTTAATAAATTAATCTATACCTGCCCTGTCTAATACAAAATTAATCATTTTTATAATCTACATTGCTAGTTAAGAATTCTAATAATTTTTATTCTAAGTAGCAATACTTTTTTTCAAATTATTCAGGAAAATAATAATTAGTGACCTAAATAACTAGCTTAATGCGTGTTTAGTTATTTAGGGAATTATAAAAAATGATAGTATTAATTTATTTATTAAATTATTGTAACACTATATATATGTATGTCATGGCATGGGGTCGAAATTAATTGCATATAATAATATACTAATATATAATTTTCTATTCAGTTTCGGCTGCAGGCCATAAATAGGTACCCTTTATGTTTCCCAAATTATTTTAATGGACTTTGATAGTTCCCATAATTCGACTAATAATTAATTCAACGTACGAAAAAGAGGCAACAATAATTTTTTATCATTCATTTTCTCTTAATTTTGATTGTGACACTGATAATGACTTCCATTATAAACATATATACATAAATAAATATAATTAATTAATGGCACTTAATTAATTAAGATTGTGTTATATTGTTTAATTTTCTTTAATTATTATTTTAGTTTGCAATATTTTAAATAAATAAAAAAAAAATCACTTTTATTCTATAATATTTTGACAGTGTAAAACATAACTATAAGAAAACCCTAAATTTTCAACAATCACCTACTAGTGTTTGTAAATAAATATCAAAGATCCATAATATTTATAAAAAAAATAAAATAAAAATGAACTTCCAATTCCCTAAATCAAGCATATTTTTTTATATATTGACCCATTTAATTAATTATATATAACTATAGGGAAATTAGAAATAATATATATATAATGTAATGGCCAAATATGATTCTATTATTATTGATGTTTCTGACAATATAATCAGATTCCAAAATATAACCAATTACAAATAACAGGCCCTTTGATTTGATTTAATTTGTAATGAATATGATTTAATTAACCTAATTAATTATAGTAATTATTTTTATTAATCCCTTTAAATTGGTTAGGAGCTGAGAGCCTGACGACACTATCCTCAGCCACACTGCAAGAAGATTGCTTACACGACAGTACGGACACGTTCTTCATTACCATTAATCCCAGCCGTTGATGTTGATCACGACGATCATGGCTCTTTCTGCCCGTCTTCGTCACTTCTTTCAGGGCTGTCAAAAACGGGTCGTCCATCTTCTTCAAACCCTTCTTCGACGAGCTTCTCGCCGGCGCCGGCGCCGGCGTATTAAACGTGCACGGCGGCAGAGGGATCTGCAGGTCTTGAGACGAAACCCTACCACTCCCTTGCAATGGCGCCGCCACCGGGCACGGCGGCGGCGGCAACTTTTGCCTGCAGTCGGCGGCTGCGGATGCTCCGGCAGCCGCCTTGCTTATTCCGGGGCGATTCTCCCAGGAGAAGGGCACGTTTCCTTGGGAGTGAATTTTGTTGGACATCTTGGGACAAATTAAAGAAATTAAATCAAGTGTGGGATAGGACACACAAAAGGGGTTTTATTGTGTAAGAAAATTATATATATATATATATATATATAAATAATAATAATAAAGGGTGGCTTAATTCTTTATTAGGTTTTTTTAATGTTATTTAGAAGAGGGTGTTGTTATTTTTTTGGAGGTTTGTTCATGGAAATAATACTCTTTAACGGCAAATCCGACCTTTGGGTGAAGCAAACAAAACGTGAAGTGGAGGGTTTTGCAACTTTTCAACAAAAAGGGTGTGCATTCAAAATAAATAAAGAAATTAAAATACTGTATCTATTTATTTATATATACACTGTAACCACCAAGAAAGAATTAAGCTATATATTCATCAGAATTATTGAGCAACAAAATCATGACTTCATGCTATAATTAAATAAGATTGCATATATATACTTTTACACTTTTATTTATTTATATATATATATATATGAAGCCTATATTATATAATAATAAATTAATAATAATCATCATCAAGACTTGACTCGAGTGTGGAATTAGGAAAAGTTTAAGTCGAGAAGTCAGCTACCAAACAAGGTGACACGTAAGCGTTGACCAAGTCAATGCCCTTAATCGCCATTATAGTTGTATAATTGCCACGCGATTTGTCACTTGCAAATTTAATTTTTTTAATTTATTTGTATGCTAAATTATGACAATATATATATATATATTTATATGTTATGGATGATGCATGGTAGGTAGAAACGAAACGACATGGTGATTAATGACAAAGAAACGTAATAAGCAGGCCAAGGTCTGTTTGGCTGATTTGTCCAAAGAAAAAAAATCCAAATTCGGAAAATTAAACTCTAATTTAATGGTTCGAATTCCACACGTTTTGCTTTGGAACAAAATAACAATAACAATAATATTAATGTTCTGGCGTTGTGTCTATTTTTCATGACACCACAAAATCAAACCCATCTTCAATCACGCAATTAAACTGATCAATATATATATATATATATATGCTTCTAAATTCAGATATTAATAAATACACGTCTTTTCTTATTTATATATATTTTTATAAAAATAAAATTTAAAAATAAAAATAAGCTCAGAAGTGCCGATTTTCTTCTTCGTGCAATTTCAGAAGTTGTGACAGACCCGCTGACACTAAGGCACATATTCATCACAGCCAGTGCACCAGCCGGGAATCGAACCCGGGTCTGTACCGTGGCAGGGTACTATTCTACCACTAGACCACTGGTGCTTGTTGTACTATCAAAGAAACATAATATTTAAATAATATTATATTTCCTAATACAATATATAATAAAAATAATCGGAAAAAACACTAGCGTTAACCACGGCAGTATTTAAAATTCTCTATTTTTTATATAAAAAATAATATTCATATTACAACTTTTTTCATTCATTCTTTTCATATCCCTGTAAGTCTCACATAATATTTAATTTAGACAAAAAAATAATAATAATAATATTCAATTAAAAATATTTAATTGGTCAGTTAAATGTGTAAGAGAATTTTAATATTATTTATAATTTAGATAAAAATTAAAAAATATTTTGATATTAATATATGATATTTTTTTATTAAAAAATAATTCAAAATAAATAAAAAAATATAAAAAAATTGAATTGAGACAAAAGGGGATCTAAATAATTTGGGCCCTGCTCGTGGGCTCCAGCCATATTATTGATTTTTTTATATTACAAAGGACATATAGCTTTCCTCCAAAATAGAATGAAAACCCTAACAACATAAATATATAAGTATAGCCAATTGTTTTTGGGACATGCTACGTGTAGAGTTATAGGGTTTTAATTTTGAATTTTACTTTTAAACATTAAAATTTTAAATTAAACTAGTACTTATTTGATGTAATATAATTATATATTGTAATTATATTTTTTATATATAAAATTAATTTTAGTATAATATAAAAAAATAAATAGTTAAAAAAATTATAAATAGTAAACACTTAATAAAAATTTTGTATTCATTATTTCTGATACATATTTTTAATAAATATATTTTATTTTATCTTACAAAATATTATATCAAAATAAAATTTAAAGCAAATCTCAAAATTAAACCCTAATCTCAAATAAAAGAGAAAATAAAAAATCATCAAGTTTTGTTCAAATATATATATATATAAATTATCAATTTTAATTTTATTATAAATAATTTTAATTATTTTTTTATTTCACCGCTGAGATGAAATGAAAAATACTGATGTGAACATAATGGACTTAATGTAACACATGGTCTAATCAGACACGACCATATATATATATTGTCAATAACATTTGATTCAACAGTCGATTGATCATTTAATTGGCTATTAAGTTCTCACATTTTAAAATAGAAGTGTATGTTTTGTGTGAATATTCTTGAATGCACATATTATGACCATATTCGGTCAAAACCAAATGCCATATCATGCTTGTTATAATTTCTTAGGCTTTGTTCTTTTTGTTTTATTTTTATTTTTTTTAAAAATAATAAACTGGATATATTTATTATTTTTATATTTCTTATACAATTCAAATATTTCACATAAAAAAAATTTATTTTTCAACAATCTCGGTGCTTCAATAATGGAATTATAAATAATTATAATTATTTATAATAAAATTAAAATTAATAAACTTTTATTATACAAAAGATCATAATTAATTATATTTTATTTCAACGAAACAATTTTTTTTTCCTAAAATAAAAAACAAACACACCATTCGGACAAAATTGTAATACTATTAATTCCTGGGAGCATATTCACGCAATTTCATCCTTAAATTCAATATATAATTTTCATTATCAAGACAATAAATCAGATATTTAAGCATATTAATAACAATATCTGTACGTAGGTTGGAGAAGCGACACGTGTAATAAAGTAACAATATATATATAATACACTAGTCAATTAATAACAATTCAATTAAAATAAATAAATAATAATTGGTACGAATTGTGAGGCGTTGGGTTAGAGAAATAGACGGATATCCTCTCTTCTTCTCCCCTGAAGACCTGACCTGCGTAGAACAGCTTCCAGCAGGCGTCGTAGACTCACTTCCGACACAAATCTTGTTCCGCCGCGCTTTAGCCTCGACCGGGTTTCTGTTCGTATGTTGTATTGTGTTGTGGGATTGCGATTTTACTGCGAAACAACCGTGCTCTGGTATATTCCATCTCCTACAATTTCTAGGTTCTGTCTCTCCTCCAACACAATTTCTGGCCCTCTTCGCATCTTGGCGCTTTTATAGCCGGAACGTGCTCTCAATTCGTCATCTTGTTCTCTCCACTTTCCATCCATAGTTTGGAAACCCTAGCTTCGATTTGGTGGGGCAATTGGGGTTCGGGAGGGAGGATGGATGATTCGGAGCATAATAAACTCTTTGTCGGGGGAATATCGTGGGAGACGACGGACGTTGTGCTGAAGAGGCATTTCGAGCAGTACGGCACTGTTTTGGCCGCCGCGATTGCTAAGGATCGGAATACTGGGAACCCTAGGGGATTCGCGTTTGTCACATTCTCGGAGACTGCGTCGGTTAATAGAGCGCTTCAGGAAGCGCATCAGATTCTTGGAAGAACGGTGTGCTTGTTTTTACTCTCTACCTTTTTAGGGTTTCTTTTCGTTGATTTCCCCCCTTTTCTTTATTTTTCTTATATCTGATTGCAATTTAGTCGAAGCTTGAAATTTGGGCATTGCATGTTGTACTATGTTCGACTGCGTGGCTGGATCAAGATTCGCTTTTTGTTTTTGACATTTATGTGGGCTTTTATGTTATTGTATTTCGTCTTTCTTGCTGGAGTATGGGCTCCTTTTCTTTCCCAACTTTCGTTGCTTCTGCAAGTCCACGATCTTGTTGTTGGCTTTCTTGAAAATATTGTCGGTTGTCGTTATCTTTTATTTTAAAATTTTCCATGGACATGCGAGTGCAGGATTGTTTGAAAATTCTAATCGGAATTTATGTTTGTGGCGACTTGTATTTATTTTTGCCCATGGAATTGTTTATCTTTGAATATATGCACACGGTTTTTAATTCTTCGTTTTGTACTTTAGGAACAATCTTCTGCCTTATAGGCTACAACCTAATAAAGAAGTTTTATGTGATAACAGTGCAATTGTCAGAATTTAGATCTCTTCCATGTTATTCGGCACATTATCAAATGTTTGCTTTATCGTTACACTGTTCTTTGTTCCTGAAGGAAATGGAAATGATTTAATTGCTATTTTGTTTGATTCCTGAAGGAAATGAAAATGATTTTATTGCTATTTTGTTTGATCCATGAGGGTTGTTTGATGCGATATTATGTCTTATGTCGTTAAATAGGTGGAAGTTAAACGGGCCATTCCTAGGAGCGAACAACAAATTCAGCAGCAGCAGCAGCAACATAGAGGATTGGATAGGAGTAACAGTAGGGCTAACGGTAGAATCAACGAAGAGTCGAAGGAAAAGAAAATTTTTGTTGGGGGTCTGCCAGCCAACTTGACTTTGGAAGAATTCAGAAGCTACTTTGAAAAGTTTGGTAAAATTACTGATGTAGCAGTTATTCACGATAACAATACGCGCCGACCAAGAGGATTTGGCTTTATTACTTTCGACTCCGAGGACTCTGTTGAGGAAGTTTTGCAGAAGAAATACTATGAGTTGACTGGAAAGAATGTAGAAGTCAAGAGGGCTATCCCGAAAGAGGGAATTATCAATAATATCGATGGTTACAACGGAGGTTTTAGTGATAGGAGGAAAACTAATTTTAATTCTTATCAGCAAGAGAGCTACTCACCTTTCAACACAAGGTTTGGGTATTTTCCATCTGGATTTAGCAATGTTGCCGGATACCCATATGGAGCTCCATTGATTGGAAATGGTTATCCTTCTGGAGGATATGGTGGAATTGGCTATGGGTTTGCTCCAGTTTCTCAGGGTAGTCCTTGGAGTCCTGCAATGTTTGGTGTTGGGGGAGGCTTCTTGCCATACGGAAACGTTGCTCCCGCCTATCCCACCTACCTGAATAGTGGGCCTGGAGTAGTGAGCTTCGCTACAAATGGGTATAACGGCATCTTAAGCAATGGATTCAGTGGAACATCTGTTCAAACAGGTGTTGAAAATATGCAAATTTCAGCCGAGCCAACTCGCTTTCATGCTGCTGCGACTAATGTAGATGCCAACTCTTTTGGTTCTGGCAGAAGCACTGGAGCTGCTGCTAGCTAACAAAGTCAAAACAGAATGACAACCTTTATCAATCAACCAGCTCTAGCTGACTACTTGGAATCTTCATTGTGTATATTTAACATGCTAGAAATATTCCCCACTGACAGGGTTGAAAATTTATTCTGTTGTCTTTGTTTTGAAGGTCTTTCAAATTCTTAAAAAAAAAATGGTGTGTTCTGTTGTTTTTGTTGTTGAAAATTCATGGATTCAGAATTCAGTTACTGTAATATAATTTTTTATCTCTTCCTGTCTCGTGTTGAATTTCCATTTTTATTGTCAAGGTGTTGGAAGCAGTGTTCAGGAAATCACGGTTTTGACCTTTCTGAATCTGTTGTGCTAAGGGAGGTGAATCAAATGTATGTTATGATTGTTAGTGTAGGAGCATTGTTAATGTGATACTTGTGTGGTGCTGTTGATTGCTTATCAATCTGAAGTAAGTTTCCTGAATCCTTTGATCCTGTGTGAGATGTTGACTGAGGTGGCCATTTTCGTTTAGATCCCCATCTGGTCTATACTTCATGATTTGTTGTATAGGTACTTTAGTCAAATGTCTATGGTTCTACATTTCTAGCACTGAAATGGGTTTTCTATAGAACTCCATTTTCTTTGTTAGCTGCGAATAATATACAGTTTCCATCTCTATTTTGTGGTGGTTTTAGGATGTGTTATGCTGGTAATGGTTGTTGGTGACATTTGCTGCGTTCAAACTTTTCCATATTCATTTCTCCCTGTGTTAACCTTACCTAATTTGTGAATAATTAACTCCTTAGCCAATGATTAGATAAGGATTCAGTTTTGAGGTAACTAATTCCTCACTTTCACCACAAATAAGCCTCCTAGTGGAAAGCTGAATAGGTGATCAAGAATGGGAACTAAGCGGTTGCCTGGAACTGCCATTAAGGATTTGAAGTCTGTAAGAGGTATTCGAAGTTGGGTTGAAACCTGAAATGGTCATTGTCTTTGCGTATTGCTTTCCTAAGTTGGATTCAGTCCTAGCTTTGAATGCAGCTTTTAGCACATCTGGATTGTTAGCACATGGTTTTGGCTTTGTTTCTGAACACTAAGCCTGTGTGTTACTCTTACTTTTCAGTAGTGTAACATAAACCTCTCTTGTTTCTGTTACTCATTCTTATGCCTCTGTATATAATTAGTAGAGGATTCTATCGTTTGGTCTTGTCTTTTTTTGCAGTTGATCAGAACTGACCCACAGAATGCATCCAGCAGTGGCAGCGGTACTCTTCTTTTGCCTTAGTTCTCTAATGAACTTTTATTACATGTGTTTGTTATGCCATTGCCTAGTAGTTGAACCTGGAAATTGTAAATTTGAGAAACCAGTCTCTGCAAATGCATTTTTACCTGGTATGACAATCTGTGATTATTCATGTCTGACTGGCTAAAATATTATTTGTGGTTCACTTTACTTGACCCTTTCTTTCTGATTTGGTGCTGGATTGTTTATCAATATTTATTTTTACCTATGACTTATTTCAGCAGCTTCCTTGGTTTTGCTATACCCATTTCTATCATAGTTATAAAGAGGTATGATGTAAAGATCCAGTATAATTGAAGGTGTTTTCATTAATCGAAACTTAAATAAGTCACTTTATATGTGGTGTGCAGATTGCTTTTTATTGTTCCCAAGTATGTGTTTTTCCTCATTATTTGGTTCTTGTTGTTTCAAATTATTCTGAAAGTCATCAGAACTTGCTTGGTTTTCTCTGCACATAACATTATTGTTGACTGGCCTATTTCTGACTTCTGAGTCTTGAATTGATGGTTTTAGTTATCCTTGTTTTTTTTAACGGGGATGGTTTATATCTTATTGCAGCAATCTGTCTATTACTGTCACATGTTTCAATTCTTGAATGCAGAACAACAATCTACTTCTTAATCTGTTTTCAATAATCATTCTTCAATACTTTGAGGTCCCTTCTGGCTCCTCAAACTGTCAAACTATGTTGATAATGTTTTCAAGGAATGACTCGAATGGATGGCATGACTAAACACAAGTTCTGCTTTGGTATTCTGCAGGATGTCTGATTCATACAAAAGGAACAGGAAATTACTCGAGCGAGTTACAAAAGGATGTCTGCAGGGGACATGGCTAGCCACTTCTTCGACCATATTCCGGAATTCTGTCCTCAAGGTAAGCGTGCATACATTTTGATAGTGCTCCTTCTCAAATGCAGTTAGGGAAATGCTTAATTGTTAGTTAAAAAGGTAGTTTTATTGCAAAACATACATTTGAATGTGCTTAAAAGGGATGCAAGAATCTTCTTAACATTGTTGTGACTGTAGTGTAGATGAGGTTAAAGTTAGAAAATAATCATGTAGGACATAACACTGAATGGTGTTGGCTATTGCTGGTACACACACACAAATACATACACAATGCTGCTATGAAAATACAGTATGGTAGAATCTCCAATATGCCCCTGACCCTGACCCTGACCCTGGGCAGGGGCAGTGGCAGTGGCAGGAGGGACCAGACTGTAATGGTGAGACAGTGTCAAGTAGCAGCCAACAAATATCTTGACAAAGATATGATGCATTATGCATACTACACCTTGAATGTGTGTTATTGTTTTTGATTGATGAAGAAAAGCTGAGGCCAATCACTCATCCATTGATTGTCTTCAAATAATATCTGTAGTGGTTTGACTACAATGCCCTTGTGTGATCACATCACCTGTGACACTCTCTCTCTATATGTATATTTATGTATGTATATATATGTATGTGTGTGTACCTGCTGCCTGCCTAGTGCCTATTTGGTCGTGTCTGTAAGTCAAAAGGTTTGAATATTTTGGCCACAATAGCTGTATTTGTATTATTAGGGGCCTTGCATTGCCCTGCACCCAAAAATGAGGGTTAAAAAGAATTCCAAGAAATGGTGATTCTTTAAACACAAACAAATTTGAAATCATAAAAGTAAATAAAAGTTTAATACGCATCCAGTAAATAAATGTAGTCAATGTTAGTTAAAATTTTCTCACTCACAAAACAGTGTTTACTGACAATATACACTACAGAATGCTGCTAACTTTTATTTTTATTTATGAATTATAATAGCACATAAAACAGCTAAAAACCAATAATGATAAAAAAGAAAATTACAAAAGATTGAATTCTAGTTAGAGAGTGGGTATAAAATATATACTTATATTTGTGTCATGCATGTTTTCCCCCCAATTCTCTCTCTCTCAAGACCAAAAAGGAGTAGAGAATTAATAATTGAAGGGCAATGCAGATTTTGAAATGGGTCCATTTTGGTGAAAGAAAAAATCCCTTCAATAATGGGAGGGGTAGCTTTGTGGGCAAAGTACTGTTAGGGTTTTCCTTTTCAGTTTTTTAACCAGCCTTATTAAAAACCCACCCAACCCCAGCAGATATCTATCTATCTATCTACATATTATCTCTCTTAATGTTGGCAGAGGGAGAGAGAGAGGGGGGTGACATGTTGGCTCCCAATATTTCCAGACACCATTGTATGGAAAGAAATCAACATAGTCTTCTAACCATTTATAGACTGCAAGAAAAACAATAAACAAATCTAATTGAAACCTAATAATAATACTGATAGTAACAATATAAATTGACATTATCAGAACATGGCATCAGCAGCAGTAGCAGAGCAGCACCCTCTTCGTTTATTGTATGTAATAATGCATTTATTTGTTTATTTTCAATTTACTCTGGTGAGAGGGAGAAGAAAGGATGATGATGAAAATGAATTTTTGTCTTAATTGGAGTATATATATATATATCAAATGTGTATTGTTTATGGTGAGTCTATGTGTGCATTTTGTTTCTTAGGTTGTTGCTGAATTTGTGTTTGGTTTGGATAGTCAATTTTTATGTGTGTAGTCTGAGGGGAATCTAGTTTGATTGTGACCATACAATTACGGTCAGATAGTGACTTGTCATTGCTATTTGCTGGTAAAAAAGACCACTGAGAGTTAGGGTTTTTCCCAACCCAAAAAGAAGATGATTTGCATTCTATGTAGTGTGTTGTACTAATTTATTATAACTATCATATATGATCCATGTTAGATTAGATTAGGGTTAGTTAGTTAGTTGTTTGCTGCTTCTACCAAAATCTCTCCTTGGATCTTGTTTTGGATTTTGTATTTTGTATTTTATCTGCTCGTGAACTCTCTTTCTCTCTCTATATATAATGTCTCTGTATATATATATATATGTATATGTATGTATGTATATGATTAGTACTTTTGGACAGTAATTGTAGTGAAGTTGTGTGGGTGTGGGTAAGGACTTAGAGTTCCAGGCCTATTAGCAAGCAATAGCATTAACTCCTCTCTGCTTCTGCAGGCAACTTCTTATCTACAAACATATACAGACATTTTTTTTTTCAAATATATATATATATAGATACATACATAAATAAATGCATTATACAATGTGGGTTCATTTAATCTTGGGGTGAGTGGGTAGGGATTTGAAAATAATAGGAGTATAATTTTGTTAAATCAAATAATAACAATAGGAGTAGGAGCCACAAATATAAAAGGTGTATATATATATATATATACTCCATATTATATGATGTGGTGGATTAAATTGACAAATTATTACCACATAATAAAAAACAAAATTGGTGAAGTGGGTAGGGTAGTAGTTTGTAATAATACTACACCCTGATTTGATTTGCTTTACTTTCTCACTCATTTCATTCATACATCAGACCACTCACTCATAATAATTACATTTGAATATTTGTCTCCTCACACAAAATATTTGATTTTTCCATGCAAAATTAAATTAAATTAAATTAAATTAAATTGTGGTATTAAAGGGTCCCTTTCCTTTGCCTTTACCTTTGGCTTTGTTTTGTTTGATAGATATCATAATCATGATTTCAGTTTGGGAATGGAATATGGAATATATGGAGCAAAATGGTGACCCACGACCCACTTTTTGTCTCCAATCATCTTTTCACACTACCATACCATTATTAATTAATTAATATTTTTTTCAAAAAATAAGATAAATTTTAGCATAAATATGAATTAATACAAATAAAAACACCCTTACAATAATATTTGAAAGGAAAGGAAAAGAAAAGAAAAAGGAGAAAGAATTAAAAGAAGAGGGAAGTCCATTGCACTGCATGGTAGAATTGGAGGACAGAAAAAGCTGTAATGCATGAAGTGACTGGATAGAAATGGCCAGACATACATTCATTCAATATTAAATTAAATTTTATAGTAATTAAATTAAATTAAATTACAAAATACTCCTACTGTACATATTATGTATTTATATACATACAGCAGGTACAGTAATTAAAGTTTCCTTTCCATGTCAAATCTATATTGAATTATTTTTTTTATTTAAAATTAAAATTACTTCTATTCCCCTCTAGATCTGCACACTTCTTTTCTTACTGCTACAAAACAACATGCGTACGTACGTACATACATACATACATGTGCCTTTTGGCGTATCTATCTATCTATCTATCTCATTTTGAAATTATGGGTGTTTTTTTTTTTTTTTTTTAAATTTAATATTAAAACAATATTTGATTAGATATTTTATAAAAAAAATAAAAATACACAGTTTGAATGATTATCTCTCTCTATTAAATAAGCAATGAGGTATGAATTAATATTAATAAATGATATTATATACTGATTAATTATATCATTGATTTTCACCGACACATATTATATACGCATATATACATTCTTGCGGCTGCAGGAAATATCACTTTGCATACACACTATAAACATGTCTTTTATAAATGGATAGTATATATATAAAATATGCATATAAATCCAAAAAAAAAAAGAAAAAATTAAAAGAAGAATGGATAGTATATATAAATGGTGGGGGGTTATGTGCGAAACAAGTGGTTTTGGCTTATTTGGGCAGCATAAGAATTTATTAATTAATGGGTAGTCCATGGGTTTAAGGGTTTAGGGTTTAATATTTATATAATATGCATGCATATATACATTTATAGAATATAGTATAAATATTATGAATGATTCCTATGTATATATAAATAATAAAGTATGTACACAGATTCCCATGAATGAGAATGAATTAATGCTACCCATTTCCCAGCATATGTTTTGCTCGCTGAAATTCATTCTCTTTGTTTTGTTTCTTTCAACTTTGAACAAACCTTACATACATATCTATATATATAAAAAAATAATAATAAATAAAAATTGTTGTTCATAGTTGATATACATATATATATATAGTGTGTGTGTGTGTTTGTCTTTTTTTTTTGTTTTTTTGTTTTTTTTTTCTTGAGTTACTACTACTATTGAGGATTCAAAGTTTCCATGAGATGGGAGAGCAATGATTACTATTTTCTCCCCAATGATTGACTTGCTATCTTCAATCACTATAGATAAATACATACACGTACATATATATATATATATAGGTAAGTATAAGTAAGGTGGTTTCTAATTAATCCAGATTCCATTCCATCCATTAGATATAGTTCTTGGTGTGGAAGATGAAGTCTGTGAATGACAATGAGAATAATGGCAGCAGCAGCAATAACTGGCTGGGGTTTTCCCTCTCCCCTCAGATCAACATCAACACGAACATGAACATGAGCATCAACATGAAGATGGAGTCCAACAATGAAGCACCTTCAAATCCCAATCATGACCTTCCACCTGCTTCTGGAACCTTCTTCTACCTTTCTTCTTCTTCTTCTTCTTCTTCTCCACAGCTCTCCAGTTGCTGCTGCTGTGGCGAAAATGGCGGGGGGTTCCATTTCCAGTGCCCTGCTCCTGCCCCACTACCAGTACCAGTGATGCCTCTCAAATCAGACGGCTCCCTCTGCATCATGGACGCCCTCTCCCTCTCCACCTCGCACTCAGGTTAATCAGCTTTCTCTTTCTCTTTAATTCTCTTGTAATTTGTCTCAATTAATGTTGTTTCTGTGCTCATCCTTATATATGTACCCTTTTGTCTGTTAATTTATGACTAGTCTCCAACAACAGCACCTCTCCCAAACTAGAGAATTTCTTGGGCGGGGGAGCAACAATGGCGGCACATCATTACAGGGATGCTGCTGCGGACGCCATGGCTCTGAGCTTGGAGACCTCCTTCTACAACCATCAGTACTACTCAGGGGGGCATGGGTTCTTCCAGACAGCAACAGAGGAGGGGCAGACACAGACACAGACACAAATCCCATGGATTGATGGAGGAGGAGGAGGGATGGGATTTGGGGATGTGCAGTGCTTGAGGTTGTCGATGAGCCCTGGCTCACAGTCCAGCTGCGTCACTGTCCCTTCCAACTCTAACAATGCTGCTAATGCTGCTGTTGTCATGGAAACTAGGAAGAGAATGTTGTCTGATTCCGCCAAGCAAACGACTACTACTACTACTACTGTTCACAGGAAATCCATAGACACGTTTGGGCAGAGGACTTCTCAGTACAGAGGTGTTACAAGGTCACCTCATCTCATTACCATCATCATTACATTCACACACACACATCCATTGCAATAGTGTCCAAGAATGTCCTGAAAAGTAGTCTCCTTTCTCCTTCTTTTTCCTTTTGTTTGCCCTAATGAGGAGGAGGAGGAGAGGAGAGGAGAGGAGGTCATATATATATATATATGTATATATCATATTGTGTCTGTCCATTTTTGATCGATTTTAATTTTGTAATGATACAGGCATAGGTGGACAGGTAGGTATGAAGCTCACTTGTGGGATAACAGTTGCAAGAAGGAAGGCCAGACTAGAAAAGGCAGACAAGGTAATTACCACCACCCTACCTACACTTCCACTTCATTGTACCTTCTTAACCTCAAACATAGCTTGGTATGATTATGAATGAATTTGTTGTCATGTTTGGACATGGACCTGCTCGATCTTCTTGCCTTAACATCATCATCTTCTTCTTCAGTTTATCTTGGAGGGTACGACATGGAAGAGAAAGCTGCTAGAGCATATGATCTTGCTGCCCTCAAGTATTGGGGCCCTTCCACCCACATTAATTTTGGGGTGTGCTACTCTCACTCCTCACTCATTCATACAATTCAATTCCATTCCATGTTGTAATAAAACTTTTGTGTTTCTTGCAGCTGGAAAACTACCACCAGGAGCTCGAGGAAATGAAGCACATGAGCCGCCAGGAGTACGTCGCGCACCTCAGGAGGTACCTATAACTCTATCTCTATTCTAAATCAAATGCCTTCGATCCGATGATCTACAGGACTAATTAATTCAATTCAATTCAATCCCAGGAAAAGCAGTGGATTTTCCAGAGGTGCTTCTATTTACAGAGGCGTCACCAGGTCGATCCAATTCCTTACAACATGATTTAAATCCTATCTATCATCACTCTCATTCATTGTCCTAAAATTAGCAGGCACCATCAGCATGGCAGATGGCAAGCCCGGATTGGCCGCGTGGCCGGCAACAAGGACTTGTATCTTGGAACTTTCAGTGAGTTCTTCCATCCCTAACTCCATGGCTGCTTCTACTACACTAGTATTTTAATTTTATTTAATTTTGGTGCATGGAGGGAGGGAAGGGCCTACCAGACCTTAATTACCTATTGATGTTCGAACAGCAACTTTGACTGTTTTTGTTGTGGTTTATGCTATGAAGTTTGGTGGGGACTTGAGAAGACACAACAGAACTAAAGTTAAAGCCCAGACAAAATGATCTAAATATCAAAAAGGGGTTCTTGCTTTTAGGACATTAATTCTTCCTTCATCGCTGTCCTAATTAATTCACTTTCAGGCACGCAGGAAGAAGCCGCCGAGGCTTACGACGTCGCCGCCATCAAGTTCAGAGGCGTCACGGCCGTTACTAACTTCGACATTTCCCGTTACGACGTCAAGAAGATCATGGACGGCGGCACCGGAGAGATGGCCCGCCGAATCAAGGACGACGACAAGCCCGATGTTGCGGAGCCCGGCCCGATGTGTACTGCCCAAATCGACACCTTTAATAATAATAATATTAATAATAATGGAGCTTGGAATTCGATTAACGTTGTCGGATGCGGCGGCTATCAGAATCCGGCGCTGTCCGCCGCGCTGAATGATCTGATCGGCGCCGACTCGAGCCACGCCGCCGTGGATGAATCCGCCGTGCACTTTTCCAACGCCTCCTCTTTGGTCACCAGCCTCAGCAGCTCCCGAGAACCCAGCCCCGAAAAGTACAACGTAGTATTCCCAAAGGCGGCTAGCCCATGGCCGGCGCCGGCGCCGGCGCACTTGCCGGTCATTGCTGCCTGGAACAACTCATAAACGGCGTTATGATTCCGTTACGGAACGGCGTAGAATGGAAGATCCCTTATTATATATGCATTAATATGTAAGAAAACCCAAGAAGTGTTTAGGTTAGGAAACTTCATTCCCAACCAACTCAGGAAAATTTGGAAAACCAAAAATTGTTTAATTAAATCTCCTAAATCAATCTGGGATCAAGATTTTGCAAAGTAAATTGGAGGGCTTTAATTTATTTGTGTTATATGATCTTGGATCTTGTTTTTGTTCATTATTATTGTCAAGTGGAAATCAACATGTTCTTCTTACATTGCTTGAATTGAATCTAATCACTCTTCTTTTTGGGCATAAAATCTTGATCTTTAACTGACATTCCCTCCCAATCCCATCACTCAAAAAAGTGCATTCTTGCATGATCTTAGATGCATTTTGTTCTTCTTGCATTATGGGAGGGACAATGAGGAAATGATGGCAGAAAAGCAGGGAATAAGACATGCAAGAATAGTGTGGGTACTGTCCAATTATTTTAGTGATCACTCACTAGTCTTGATTAACAGCTAAAAAGTAGTTACTACTTAGTGGAGTGGGAAATTATTTTATTTTATTTTATTTTATTTTTAAAAAATAATTTTTTAATTTTTATGTGTAATATATTTTATTTTTGGGTGTCAAATGTTTGCCATATTAGTGGTCAAAAAGTTGCACAACTCAGACTAGAAATATTTCAAAAGGTTGGCTGTAAAAGAAAAATAAAACTAAAACAATTTCTTAATCGCAGTCAATATTCATGATTACTTATTGGCTATGGATGGCTTTTATTTATTTATTTAATTTTTGTATGAAATAAAAAGTTTGTGAAGGACAGTGTAGTCCTCAATTATTAAAGGAGAAAATTAAATACCAAATTAAGTAAAAGTTTGTTTTCAGTGATTTAAGGAAGTGACTATCCATTGTGGACTTTTTATTTTTATTTTTTATTTTTTTATTTTTGCATTACACACACATGTATTAGTGGATAAGTGAGGGAATAATCTTTAACAGCTGGGAAGGGTGTGTTTATTTTAGCATAATTGACTTCTGAGAAGATCCAAAACCAACTCTTAATTTAATTTAATTTTTTTCAATAATAGAAGTGGAAAACAAAAAAGTTGAAAAAAAGAGAATATTTAGATCACGAATAATATATTTTATTTATATAATTGAAACCTCTTTACTATTTATTTATTTTTTGTACTCTTAATAGTAGTAACATTTTTGGTGGGATTTTTTTTTTTTTTTTTCTTTTTTTCTCGGGGTATGGTGGACCGCAATAAAGTTTGGTTTGATAGATGTAAGAGGGACATAAAGAGAATAAAATAGGTATAAAAAATAAATATTAACTAAAATATTTTTGAATAAAAAATATACTACTACTATATTTTAAAGTTCACTTATAAAATGCAATTGTAGAGTATGAAATGATACAAGCAATTTTTAGTTTAAGAAAGTGTTATATATTCAAAAATGAATTAATAATAAAAATAATAATTATATGGTAAATAACTATTTCATATATATATTTATATATATAAATATTAAATATTGGGCTGATATGTAAACTGATTGGGTTGACATGTGGTACAGTTTGAATGGGCTTTAAACCTGGCCCAAGCCCAATAATTGAAAATAAAACCTAATTTCCGCCACCAGAGTTCTTCACCGGCGCCGTCGTGCAATCGCCGTTACTCACCACGTCTCTGCTAGGGCACGTTTTACTCAGACCAGAGCCTGGTGTTGTTAATTAATACAGTGGTCTTCAATCCCAAACTCCTCTGTCGTTGTTGTAGCACCGCCGCCTTTGGCCACCTTTGGCCTTGCACACGTACTTGCTTCCTTTTAATAAACTACCTTCTACTCACGTTATTTTTATTGCGGGTAAAGTTCGTTACATTTTGTTTGTATACTGCGTGAAGCCTTTGCTTTAGTGTATGTATTTGCCCGGTCTTTCTTGTACTTGCTAAACTCTTGTACGTGGTATTTCTCGGTTCTGCTAATTGTGCCTTGGAAGTGGGAAGAACACTGTATTTTTTTTTATTTTATTTTTTTCATCTGATGTCTTAATAGTAGACTTTGGTGGATGTTGCAATTGTCCACTTTATTTGAAAGTTTTAGGTATGCCCAAATAGGCTTAATGTAACTGATGATTAGTATTGATTATAGTAATTATCACTTAAATGAAGGTCATGAAAAACAAACCTTTGACTAATGATTTTGGATAGGTTAGGAGGAATGTTTAGGCGGGATAAACTCTTACCTTCCCAATGTCCACAAGGCCTATGTGCTTGCAAATCTTAGTTAACTAATATTTTGTCCATGCAATGCATAACTCGTGAGTTAGCATATGTATATTTTTTTCAGTATTCATCCTTGCTTGTTTTCTTTTGCCCCTGCCATGTGTTATCCCTTGTTTCGTGGTGGTATGACGGAAAAAAATGGATGAAATTGCTTGTACCAAAAAAAAAACAAGATTTTCAAAGTAACAAGCAATTTATCCTAGGTGTATGTCTGCAACATATTCCAAGTTGAATGCTTTCTTGGTGCTCTTTGTTCATTTCAAGATATAAGTTTTGGTGCGGTCTCACTAATTGTTCGTTTTTCTTAGCTGAGCAAATATATGTTTATAAATGCATGGCCTTCTTTTTCATTTTTGTTAATGATGGCCTTCAATTTGTTTGGTTCCATGGCATCCATGTGTGGATGTGTGTGTATCAAAAGGCCCAATTGGAAATTCATTATCACTTGAGCTTTGTCAGTATGCTCTAACTGTATAAGATGCCTTTGGATATTAGTCATTTCCTTGGTTGAGATCTGGTATCCAACACATTTATATTGAAGCCATGACAGCATATGCATATTTATATATGCACACACACTCATACATATATGTATGAACTTATACTCTATTTTAGTTGTTGCAAAACTCACAAACATCTGTTTTTATTTTCTAGTTATTGAATTTCTATTACTCGTTTCATAACAGGTTGTTCAAGTACTTGGAAAAGAATTCAGATATAGGTTTTTCAGCCAAAAGAAACACTAACTTGACAGAAGGGGTTTCTCTTCACTATTTCTTGGTGAAGCACCCCTGACGGAATATTGTGTTGAAAGAGAATGCTGAAGCTGACGGGTTTCACCGAAAGCCCACCAGTAATTAACTCTACTGTACGTTCATTAACTTTGTGCAACTTCAACAGAAGTACTATATATAGGAATGCCTTTATTCCAATGAACCATAGTATGAAGTTCTCAAAACATACTGTGCTTAAGGTTCCACATATTCATTGTGGAGCTTCTTTGGAAGTTCAAGATACTTCTCTCAGGTATAATTTTGCAATTCTTCTCCAGTTCTGGCTTACCTTATCACTTTTCCTCTTAAAGTATTATGTAACATTGAGCAGCTTATAACATATATCTTCTTCACATTACTCTTAGCCCTTTTCAATTATTGTGATTTCTCAATAGGGCAAGCTGCATAGTAGTCCTTCAATTGTGGGATCACAGCTATCTGTTCCAAATAATATCATACTTTCCATGTTGTCCTTCCAACTTACGTCTAGCTAATTTTTGGGGATCAATATTGTACTTAAAGTTTAATGTTGATGTATCTTTTATAATATGTTTAATTATATGAATTATTCAATTTATCCTTGCTATAAGTACTCAGCTAATCTTGATTACGCCCACTCAAGTACTATAAAGTATGTTAAAAGATGCACATTTTTATGGTTTATTTTATGTAATAGTTTATATCACAATACTACAAGTGTGCAAGGGACTGCTGAGATGCAGTTTCTAACTGTATCTAATTCATTTTGTCCAACAATTTATTACAGGGGTGCCAATTTACAAGTCCATGGGTTGTCAGAAACAATTGTGGGAGTTCTTGGTGGAGGGCAACTTGGTCGGATGCTCTGCGAAGCAGCCTCCCAATTGGCAATAAAAGTGAACATTCTAGACCCATCAGAAAATTGTCCGGCGAGTAGCCTGTGTAATTATCATATGGTTGGAAGCTATGATGATAGCACTACAGTTGAAGAATTTGCTAAAAGGTAGGATTTGTAGTTTGCACATTTTATTTTTGGTGTTTGGTGTTCAAAAGTGGTGCTTGCTAATGTCGGTTTTATAGATGTGGAGTGTTGACTGTGGAAATTGAGCATGTTGACGCTGCAACCCTAGAGAAACTTGAACAGCAAGGGGTGGATTGCCAACCTAAAGCATCAACAATACGAATCATCCAGGTATATATATAATTTTCATTTTAGTCCTAATGATTGGTAGGACCTGTTTCTTAAATTTCTCATGATCTGATATTTGTGCTCAATTTTTAAAAAGGTGGATTAAATATTTTATTATGCAGGTCTGTTAATTCTTCTGCATAACCCTTTCTATATTCAGCTGTGTTCAAGTCTGCGGTGTTTGTTTTTATATGAAGTTAATGATTTGGTAACCATGAAGGAACACATAGACACCTCAATTCCTAAAAGTGAATAATGCTTATTGCACCATTCCTCAAAATTGTCTCTTATTACATCTTTACATTTATAAGATGAGAAGTAATCCGGGGACTATTTTGAATGATAAATTTATCCTAATTTTGTTTATTGTTTCTTATTTGTGAATATTAATGTTATACCCAAACCATCTTTAATTTAGACCACTATATTTTTTATGTTGATTGACAGGATAAGTACCTTCAAAAAGTCCATTTTTCTCGACATTCTATTCCACTTCCTGAATTTAAGCAGGTAATCAAGAGCTAGCAAAATTATACTACCAGTGATAGATGTATGCGACTAAAAGTAACTGTCCTCACATTAGAGTAATTAATATATTGCCGTGGGTTATGTTTGAACAGATAGATGATCTTGAAGGTGCTAAAAGAGCTGGAGACCTATTTGGTTATCCTCTAATGATAAAAAGCAGAAGGTTGGCTTATGATGGACGTGGAAATGCTGTAGCTAAAAGTGAAGCTGAAATTTCTTTTGCTGTAAATGGTAATTCCATACTGGAACACTACTGACCTCTTTTATCACATGCTTTTGCTCCTATAAATCTTTGAATGTGGATCAAATTAATTTAGCTTACTTATTTGTTCAATTCAAAATTGAACAAGTGGTTATAGGATTGTAATGGATCAATAACTTAATTCATTTCATGCTATCAAGATATATAAATTAATCATTTTATGATCAATATTAAAATCTAAGGATTATAACATCATAGAAATTTGGATTAGGGATATATGTTTTCTGGTAAACATATATATATATATTATAATTTAATTTGTATCTAAATGCCATAGATTGTTTTCATGCTCTTGAAACATCTTGTGCATAGCACTCCCCTGCCCCCCAACCACCGCATTCATTCATGTATTCTAATCACGCCTCCTTGATAACATATATTTTAACTGAATCCTTATGACATTCCAGCACTGGGAGGATATGAACGAGGTTTATATATTGAGAAATGGGCACCATTTGTGAAGGTTAGCTTTTGTTTGGTCCATTTACTATCATATGATAATATCTGCATATCATCTTTGTTGGATGTTAATGGTCCTGGGATGCCTCTTCAGCGTTCAAGCAACAGATTTTTTTCAAATACATTACACGATATCATGACTTCCAAACCTCTGCAATGGACTGTGAAATCATACTTATTAATTTTCCTGCTTCTTCCCGACAATCTAAAAAGCATACAGAAATTTCAGTACCATGTTATATATAGTATGGAATCTCTGGTTATGTTTTATTCTTGAGAATATAGGTGTCTGGTAAATGATTTATACTAGATTGATGACGAAATCAGTGTGGATACTGAACTGAACTTAAACAGAAGTGAAATTATCAAAACATTGAGTGGCCTTCTATATGCATCTGTTTTTTACTTTGCTCCCCATATGCAACAGGTATTGATTGCCACCCACTGTCCCTCTGTTTACTTGGTACACCAGTTTTGTGGTATTAATGATCTGGTTTGTTGTATTTTGTGTAATCATTAGATGATAAGACTCTTTCAGTTTTATTATTATAATACATATGCTTCTTGTGAAAACGTACTTTATTAACAAGAAAAAGAGAGTAGAATTACTTGAAACTATAATTAAGCTAATGTTGATGAATCTGAAGACTGAAGTAGCACCCCAGGCGAAATATGATTGCATGCAAGTATGATCCCTAATCAAAGGTCAAGACAAATCCTATGATATCTTTTTGTTTGCTTGAAAATTAGAGGTTCTACATAACATGGGCTTTCCTGGAGTAGGGCTGATGTGCTGTACTTATTAATGCAGGAGCTTTCTGTTATTGTAGCAAGAGGAAGAGATGGTACTTTGGTATGCTATCCTGTTGTAGAAACTATCCACAGGCAAGATGATAGCTAAATCTTTCTGGTGCCTAGATAAATTATGTTTATTTGTCATTGATGTAGCTCATCATTTCATTATCACAATTTCCAATGCGAAAGTCGTGACATGTCTCGCTATCCAACAAACAATCATTGCAATTCTAGTTCACATTATTTCAAAAACACACATCCAACCTAAGCTGTCTGTCATAATTTGTTCTTGTATTTTCTATACGTAGGGAGAACATCTGTCACATTGTGAAGTCTCCTGCCGCTGTGTCATGGAAGATCCAAAAACTAGCAACAGATGTTGCATGTAAAGCCGTGAGTTCATTAGAAGGTGCTGGTATATTTGCAGTTGAGTTGTTTTTGACCGCTGATGATCAGGTTGGGCTTTGATGTATAATTTCTAACCTATACTGCATGTAAATATAAGCATTTATAAGAGCAGAAGACAATAGCTTTTCAGTTTCTCTCCTCAGGTCTTATTGAATGAAGTGGCCCCTAGACCTCATAATAGCGGACATCACACAATTGAGTCTTGTTTTACTTCACAATTTGAGCAACATCTGAGGGCTGTGCTTGGACTCCCACTTGGTGATCCATCAATGAAGACACCTTCTATCATGTATAATATACTTGGTGAAGAAGAGGTAAATTTACTCTTGCTGGAAAGGATTTTAATTTGTTTTCTTAGCAGCATGAAGTGGTTAGACTTTCACTGGCCAGTATATGGAACAAACCCAACGAGTGAGATTATTTTTTTCCCTATAAAAACTCTTCCATGCATGAAATAATGATTTCTAGTCTATAGATGAATTTATAACTAGCTCACCCAAAGTAATAATTAGGTCAAAAGTAAGCAGAACTTGCAACTACACTTTTGGTGAAGAATAAACTATAGTGGACATATAAGGAGAGATCTTTGGGTTCATGCTTTACTGTACCTTGGTGGAGAAATAGCAGTGAACTCTCTTCTGTACACAGGGAGAACCAGGCTTTCTTGTTGCAAATCAACTCATTGGAAGGGCATTAGGGATTCCGGGAGCTTCAGTTCATTGGTATGACAAACCAGGTTGGTGAATTTTTAATTTAATTTAATTTTTTTTTAATATATCCTATGTGTATCAGCGTACAGAAACATGCTTACAAGGTCATTTTCCAATATTGCAGAAATTAGAAAACAAAGAAAAATGGGTCATATAACATTATGCAGCCCACTTATGAGTGTTGTTGAAGCTCGATTGAAATCCATGTTGAGTAAAGAAAAGAATGACGACCAGCCTATAGGTCAGTTCTGTTACTTGACTTTATACCGTCCATTCTCCAACTGATACAAGTAGGTCATTTCCACCATATCCCGCATTTATAAATAAAAATTGGATTCAATCTTTCAAGGTGTGTTTACTATGGAGTATAGGATGGGATTATTTAACCATATCCCATCAAGCATAGTAAACACATCTCAGAGAATTGCTTAATCTTTTGAGTTACTTATGAGTTATGAGAAAAAAAAAAAAAAAAAAAAAAATTCTTAAGAGGAAACAGTTCAAACAAGCTGTTGGCCATGTAATCCGATTACATTTTGCATGAATCTTCCACTTGGATAGAATTCCCTTGTTTTTTTTTTTATTTTTATTTTTATTTTTATAATCAGTCTCTTTAAACTTGGTTTTGCAATCTTTCATGGAAAATTAAAGTTTTCCCGGAAGTTCTGAAAATAACAATCATTGTCGCCACTTGCCAGTGGTGAAAGATTATTAAGTATTATGATGTCAACTTACTTGATTGTGAGAGAACCAGAGTTTGTTCACTGAAAATGGATGACCTTGTTTTCTCTTCTAGTTAAAAATAAATAGACAAGTAAAAATAGAAATGGTGAAAAAGGTGAGGATTGAGGCATCTGTTTTATGTTTTCTTTGTCTGCAGTTTGGCCGTGGTTTTGTGTTCCTTTGATATAGCAAATTGCTGCTCAGTCTTTTGATGAGTATTGTATAATTGGCTTGCTATTGCAGCCACTCCACGTGTTGGAATCATAATGGGCTCTGATTCCGACCTTCCTGTTATGAAGGACGCTGCAAAAATTCTAAGAGAGTTCAATGTGCCTGCTGAGGTTGCTCCAGAAACTGCATTTTATAAAATTTAATAGCAAGCAGTATTGCTGCTGGTGTTCCCATAATTGGTACGCATTATCTTTAATTAGCCAACATTCTTTGTAGGTAACAATAGTTTCAGCTCACAGGACACCTGAATTGATGTTTTCATATGCTTCAACTGCTCGTGAACGCGGTGTCCAAGTTATCATTGCGGGTGCTGGAGGTGCCGCTCACTTGCCAGGTTACCATGCCATTTATAAACTCATCTTTATTTCATAAGATAACATTGAGACAACCACTGAAACCTTGTTCCTTGATAGGCATGGTTGCTGCATTGACGCCCCTGCCTGTGATCGGTGTGCCTGTTCGTGCATCTACATTGGATGGAATCGATTCTCTCCTATCCATTGTTCAGGTATTTGTTTCTATATCTTTATCTTCAGTTCTTTACCAGAGCCTAGGAAATCACATTACCTATACTAAGCACCCTTCTAACTATTTCTGTGGGCATGAATGTATGACCAAGAATAATCCTTCGTCATCTGTCTCTGTTTCTTTAGATGCCGAGGGGAGTTCCAGTTGCAACCGTTGCAATCAATAATGCAACAAATGCAGGCTTACTAGCAGTAAGGCTGTTAGGAGTTGGTGACATCGAATTGCAAGCAAGGTTGGCGATAATCTCCCATTTCTATAAGTTTTTCTTTGTTGCCGGTATATGTCTAGCAACTTTCGACTCACCTCTTCCATATTTCTTCACACAGGATGGCTCAATACTTACAAGATAGAAGAGATGAAGTTCTAATTAAAGCCAATAAGCTGGAAAATGATGGCTGGGAAAACTACTTGAATTCGCAATAATCGTCTTCCACATTTTTCTCCAAGCCATAGCAAGGAGTAACAACACACACAGTAATAATTTGATGCAGAGGTAAAAATCTGAGCAAATGACGGTAAAAATTTGTGTTCCATGTAATGCTATATAATATATGTGTGGTTACTTAAAATCTGATCCTATTGTGTCTTTACACAAATACTATTTGTGGTAGATTCCCATTTCTGTTATGTATTATTTATCTTTAGCAATTAAAAAGAAAGAACATCATAAATGGCTGTCATATATGATTATATTCTATATTGTGGCCTTTTAACTGAATTACATTACAGTAGGTGGTCCTGCACATTTTTTCAAGAAGGCCAAATTATATAAAATTGTCAAGAAATGATTGTTGCATTGCATTCCCTTTTATCTTATAATTTTTTACACATTCCTAGTTGCTGTGACATCTTTTAATTTACATTAAAGGACACTGTAATGAATATAATATTCACATATTATATATATTATATGCATGTCCTTCATAGGACCCAAACAACTGTTGACAACTCTACAGCATCTCTTCCGAATCCAACACAAATATGTGCTAAAATAATAACAATAATAATAATTATACATGTAGAGGAATGATCTGAATTTCCAGCAGGATCACAGCCCACAGCAGAATCAAGTCTTTGACTATCAAACTACAGTTGGTGAAGAAGAAATATAGAATAATTACCAGCAAGAAGATATGTATATATATATATATATTCACACCCTACAGCTGGAGGCTGTAGATTTGGACAACCAATTAAAATCAAATAAGCAAGATTCCAATATCTTTGTTTGTACCAAAGGGCTTAAAAGTTAAAAAAAGAAAAGAAAAGAAAAAGAACTGCAGTGACAGAGGAGTTTTAAATTTCCAAGCAAGATGGGAATTTATGGAGTACAACTGCAGCAACAAAGTCTAAATGGTAAAAAAAAAAATGATAAGAAATGTGCATATTTGTTCATTACATGAGTTCAGAAAAAGATGTCATAAAATATATACACAGTACTGTACTAAGTGTAATCTTGTGGGACATTTGTACAGAGGAGTGTATGATATGGTGCATGCACCAACTGGGGAGAATGATGGAAATCAAACCGCATAATGAAAGGGGTCTCAAAAGAATTGTATTAGATTAGTAGCTTCTCAGCAAAAAAAAAAAAATTAAAAAAATGAGTGTGTAACAGCAAAGATGTGTGTGTGTGTGTATGTGGGAATAGAATAGAATAAAATAGTTGGCAAATGTGTCAGTAAAAAACCCCTCTAATAATAATAATAATAATAAAGGGAGGAAGTAAGGGGGCAGTGAAATATAAAGAAATGAATAAAGAAGTGAGTGAATTAAGCAAGCAATCTTGATTTTCAAGAGAAGAACCTCTCCCATCCATGATGAGAATTTTTTAAAAAGAAACGTAAAGTTAGGGTGGCTATTGGGTATTGGTATTAGAAATGAATGTTGAAATGAAGGGAAACAATGGGTAAAGTAAAACTTAGGGCATGACAAGATTGGAAGGTAAATAATTGATGTTGGTGAAGCAATAGGATGACATTCAATATATATATATATATATAGGCTATAAGTGGGATAGGCATTTGCATGTTGTTGTTCATATGCTTGACTATATGTTTGGTCTTTGAAAGCATTTCCTTTGCTGTTTCTGCAAGTACCCACTTGCTCTTGCTGCTCAATTCTCTCTTTCTTTTTTTTTTTTGAGTTTTGATTTCTCTCTCTGTTTTCTTGTGCAACTCAAGCAAGCATATGATGCTGTTGGTGGCAATGATAAGACCAATGTAGATGCACCACTGCACTCCACATTCTCTTTGTTTGTTGACAGTGTTAAAATGGCATTTGGTGTTCTTGCTTTCTGCTCAACTTCATCTGCACACATTGCTCATTTCTTTCTCTCTCTCCATCTCTAAAGCCTCCTTCAGAATTTACCTTTCTGGGCCAGTTTCTTGATTTCTATCCATCTTTGTCTCAAGATTAGGGCTTATTTTGATGTGGGGTTCTTGATTAATTCATATTTAATGTTATTTTATATAGTTAGGGGAAAAAGGGGTAAAAGGGAATCTGCTTTGTTTTTTCAAATAGTCCATGAGCTGTAACATACATAGCCATTGCCTTTCACTCTCTCCCTTCTCTACTTTAAGCTCTGAAAGGTTTACACTTTCTTGTCTTGTGGGAGTTACTTTTGCCACATTTTGGAGTAGGGTTTGATCTTTGGGTTCTTGAAAGAGGAATGAGATATGGGTGGGTAGGGTGGGTAGCCTGGTGCCTATATATATATATATGTGTATATATACACACACATATATATAGAAACATAATCTATATCATGCCTGCTACATTGGATTTGCTCCTTTAATTTGCATCTGTAGTCTTGATGATAAGAGGGGATGCTTCCAATTAGGGATTTCTTTTGATTTCCTTTAGCTTTCTTCTCTGTGCTATAAAGCTGTCAACAGGCTCCTTTGTGGTCAATACCCTAGTTTTCTGCAAACTGGTTGCTTCAAATTCTGGGTTGGGTTTGATTTCTTGGCAATGGATTGTGAGGGAAGTGGGGATGGAGGAGCTTTCCTCCATGGCAAGAATAGGATCATGAGCAGCTCTTCTCCTCCACCTCCTGTCATGGCAGCTGCAAACTCAACATCTGACAAGGTCTCAGGGGTGACAATGTGCACAGAATCCATGCTGAGTGCTGCTGCACCAAATGGAGTAGACCCTTTCTATGGCTGCTGCACCAACAACTGGGATCTGCTTGTTTCACTGAATCAGAGTGGAAACTTTGGAGCACCAAATGAGTTTGTTGATCCACATTCTCACTCGTCACTTCTGTTAGAGAATCAGGCACTTGGAGGGAGTTCTTCCCATATGCTGCCCAGCATTACAGGTTTTGGCACTGAAACCTTCTTTGCCCAATCAGATTTTTCCAGCAGGAGATGGGTTGGAACTCACATGCCAACACCTTCAACAAATAATGTTTCAGAGAACTCACAAGCCAGGAGGAAAAGGAAAGGAGCAGTTAGAGCTTCTTCACCTGAGGTAAACCTCTTGAGGTGTTTCTTGTTGTCTTGTTTTTGGTTCAATGGCTGCTTTTCTTCACTTGATGTTTTTATTTAGCTTCTCCCTTTTCTGGGCTCTGCTTGATTTTCATTCTTATAGAATGCTGAAGATGAACTGCAGAAGGATCCATCTGGAGACACACCGCAAGTCCCACATCAAGAAGATGAGCAGCAGCAGAAATTGGAACAAGATGTTGGGCAGAAATCTCATAGCAAACAACCTGCAAAGGATTCCAATGGTGGTGAACCTTCAAAAGAAAATTACATCCATGTTAGAGCCAAAAGAGGACAGGCAACAAATAGTCATAGCCTTGCTGAAAGGGTAAACTAATTAACAATACAGAAATCTATTATATGTGTGTGTCTTTGTAATATTCAAAAACCCTGCTTATGGAAATAAGGTGGCAACTTAGTTTGAACTGGTTACAGGTGAGGAGAGAGAGGATTAGTGAGAGAATGAGGCTGTTACAAGAACTGGTTCCTGGCTGCAATAAGGTTGACCCTCCTGTTCTCCACTCTAACTAGCAAATTTCTTTTCATCTAGATCGATATCTAAATTCTACGGTCATTTTGATTTGCTAAGATTACTGGAAAGGCAATGATGCTTGATGAGATTATCAACTATGTTCAATCACTCCAACAGCAGGTTGAGGTATGCAATACCCATCAAGCATCTTTAGAAATAGAAAATTCTTGGCTATGAAATCATATTGTAGAATAAGTATGCATTTACTTGTTGGCTGCAGTTTCTGTCGATGAAGCTGGCGACCGTGAATCCAGAGCTGAACCTGGACATAGACAGGATTTTGTCTAAAGAAGTGAGCCCTGTGCACATACTTCTCAGTTTACAGCTTCCAAAAGCAACATTTAACATTCTGTGTCATTGTGATTGTTACTTGTTAGATTCTCCATTTCCATGGAAGCAATCCAACCACACCTGTAATCACAACAGGATTGAGTTCTTTGCATCGATTTCCAGGATATCCCTTTGACAGTGCTCCAGCCGCTACTCAACAATTTCCACCTCTACCTCAGGTAACAGAATGATCCATCTAATCACCTAGTATCAATCACTTCATGAATTCAAGAATAGATAACAATGTGTTGTATTTAATCCAGCATATATGGAACAACGAGCAGCAAGGCATTCTCCATTCGGGATTCGACACTGACCCCTCTGTATGTAGCTTGGGGTCGAATGGTAATTGCCAACGCTACTTTGCCGCATCTCCTCATACCATTTGACACCTCTATTCAATGCTCAGTGGCATCTTTTGCAGGGCTTTCAAAAACAAAGCTATAGAGTTTAGACAACAAAAGAAAAAGGAAAAAAAAAAAAAGAATCCCCGGCGATCTAGGCAAATAATTCAAGCCCTTACCAAGATGAGTTTGTATGGAAGTAGAGGGTATAAAAGAAGTGTAATACTTCCATTTATTGTTGCAGCATCTGTATAGGTTCTTAGTGCTGACTGTTCATGTTCTTTCAATCTTTAGATAAGAAATGTGAGTGTTTAGAGATTCACAAGACTGTAGATTTCAAGATGGGAATTCCATTGCTGAATATCAATGATTTTGCTGTTGCTACTAAAATTCAGAGTACAAACTGTGCAGCTAATCTGGTTTGATGTCAATAACACTTGGAAATAAATCAGATTTCATCATAATGTTACTCAAAATACAATTGGTCATCTCCCTATCCCCAACTGTATGGGCACACATATAATAGTGGAAAAGAATCTACCATAAATTTCTGATCATTAAAACCTTCAACTGTATGGGCACACAGTGTGACAGGGAACAAAGGCATTGATCTACAAATTATAATAATGGAAAAGAATCTACCATAAATTTCTGATCATTAAAACCTTCAACAGAATCATCAACAATAATGTCGCCATTACATTGCACATTCCTGTGATTTTATGGACATTACATTGCACATTCCTGTGATTTTATGGAATTGCTCTCTGTGGCATTCAAACAATATTTATCGGAATCACAAAAGCTACTTAATTGTGTGTAACTAAATAAATAGTACAAAACTTTCCGTGAATAGAATCTCATAAATAAGTAATCTACAGGGTCATGCAACATGTCAAAATAATACTAACCAATTGACAACACGAGCTCTGCTGCGGACATATTGTAGCCTTTACACCTCAGCACTATCTTCTACATGAATCAATTTTTACCTTTCCCCTTTCTCTGTTTACGAGCACTGGGCTTATGTGTTTCCGTTCTTGCATGGACACTAACATCCTCAAATTTAATTGGTTTGATGATAACACCAGATTTTTTCACCACCTAATCCACAAACAATAGAGTGATGAGCAATTAACTATCAAAAAAAAAAAAACTTGTAAGGTATCTGGGAGTCTCAATGCAGAGTCATTATCTACCTCTGGGCGGTTAAGAGCTCCAATGGTGGTGGCAGGGTTAAATTCTGGTCCAATGGGCATCCTAATACTCTGTTCAAATACTTCCTTTGATGTATACGGATATGGCAGTGTCTTGGTATGCAGTTTCTCAGCCTACAAAAAAGGAAAAATTGTTTTAGCTTCCATGATTTGCAAGCAAACTTCTATGCACAAATTATTTGTAGGGAGCATCCTAAGTATATTAAATTATCAATCTGAATGACAGACAAACAGACTGACTACAAAATATATGTAACCAAATAAGTGGAATATAAAACTAAGCAAACCTTTTTATCCAATTTTTCTGAAATAATGACATTATGCAAGCGTGCATCCTTCCTCTTCTTCAGAGATTCTTCTCTTCTGTTTTTTGCCATCTCATGCTCTTCCACCATCCATGAAGGTAAACCTTTCTTCTTCTGAATGTTTGTCCATTGGCCCCATCCAGGAAGTAAAACAGGCTTTTCAGGTTCAGGATTTTCTTCATTTAAAATTTCCGCTTTATCTTTCTCAAAATCTTCTTCAACATCATCACCAGCAAAAGCACGTTGTATTAGCTCGGCTTGACCAGGAAGCTCATAAGTAGATTTAGGGCCAGAAGATAATATTCCATCCACCATTTCCCCATCACTATCAGAATCTTCATCATTATCCTGCTAATAACATCATAACCAACAGACAGAAAAGGGGAACGATTACACATTTGCATTTAGGATGGGAAGCATATGTATTTAAATATGACTCACCTCAATATGCTGATTATCTTCCACTGGTGTTAGATTAGAGTTAGGAACATATTTGGCGTCTTCTAACTGTTTAGTGGCATCTGAAGATTGTTTTATCTGTTCATCATCAGTTACATCAGTTTGTAAATACACAGATTCATGAAGGCTCATGTGCCAAAATGACCCAAAAATATAAATTAAAAAAATTATAAAAAAAAGTGTAATTCAAGTCTAACCTTCTTCCATGAATCAGAAGCTAAATATGCAACCTCATAAGTTGACTTGGGCTCTGGGTCTTCAGAATCCTGAAAGCTCTGAAAGAATAAAATTACAGCAAATAATCATACTTCACCTTACAAGAATATTAGAAGAAAACAACAAGAGAGGAGGAAGAAAAGGAAAGGAATAGAGAGGAAAGTAAGATGATATACAACCTTAAATAGGGATTTGTTACTAATCCCAAACTCTTCTCGAAGTAAATTATGGTCGACGTCTGCCACTCTTAGATTTTTATCAGCTTGTTTGTGTTCAATAACATAATCATCTTTGGGGTCATCATCATTTTCACTGTCACTGTTTCCATAATAGTTATTAACTTTGACCTTCTCCTTTGTCTCATTGACAACCTTCCTAGTAGCACCAAAAACCATCCTACCACTTGAGGCATCTTGGTCATGAGTTCTTAACCCACTATGATCTTCCAACTGCTTCAATGAAGACTCATACTCTTCAAGAGCAACCTTTGCCTCTTCGTCAGCAGCCTCTTTCCTCTTTTTCAAACCGCGCACCTGTACAAAGGAAAAACCGAGGTATTATATTTAATGATTTCTTCAGCAAAAGATAAGCCATATATCCGGTAAAGACCGACACAGGTTTCAGAAGAATAAACATTGTTGTAGTAATTGAAACCTCATGATATTTGAAGTAAAAGAAAAATAATCTCAATGTTCTCCAGATTACCATGAAAGGTAAAGAAAGCACTCCAGACTTAGGTAACTCTTCATCCTCTTGTAATACTTCAAGTGTTTTCTCCTTGGCCCTCTCCAATCGTTTCAATTTAACATCTTGGTCTGAATCACCCATCATGCCATCACTTTCATCATCTTCATCAGTACTCTCACCACTGCTACTGCTTTCTTTCATAGACTTAATTTTTCTAGTTAAAGCAGCATGTTGATTAAGTTGTTCGCCAAGAGCAGCTCGGGTTGCTTCATCTTGGACTTTGAGACCACGCTGTAGAATTCGTTTTGCCCATTTGGAGGTGTTTTTGTGTTTTAGAGTCAAGCGTTCCTGAAAGATTTGGTTGACAGGTTAAATAGGGGTTCTACTTAAGATCCATGTAAGAAATGAAAACAAAAGCATGATGAATCATCATCAATTGACCTCAGCCCTTTTAAATTCTTGCTTCATTGCCATCTCCTTTGCAGCTTCTGGATCCATTTGAATTGCTGCTTCCGCTGCCTTCCTTTGTTCCTTTTTCAGCACCCTGTGATAGGTCTTGGACTTTATTTTTTTAATTCTTTTTGACCTCATCTCATGGTGAAAAAGATAACTACGCATTTTAGCAAGCTCTTGCTGTCTATTCTTCACATCTTCGATGGATATCTGCCCCAAAATCCAGGATATAAGTGTGGATGTGCAAATAATATCTTCCTTTGGACCAGGAAAGTGTATTATAACAAATATAATGAAGGGTTGCGGCATGAATAGAAAAGTTCATACATTTATATATGTAACAAAATACCTTGTTCAGCTCAAGAAGTCGGGCACCATCTTTGATGTGAGCTTCAACAACTTCATTATGGGTGACTAAGGAAGCAATTTTCTTCTCAAAATCAGTTCTTGGTTTAAATTCTGAAGCAATTGCTCCTATAGTTGAAAATCCAAGATCAACATCTTCATCAAAAAACATAGTTGGTGCTTCTCTATTCCTCTTAACCAAAGGTTCCCACTTGGTAATATCCTTCTTAGATAGATCATAAGCAGCCTTTCGCTCCAACCGTTCTTGTTCTGGCTTGGGGAGCGGTGCAAGTGTGGGCATAGACTTTTTCTGCATCCGGTGTATATCTTTCCGAACTTTGCTGAAACCAGATTTTCCATGCAGCTGGTCCAAAAGGTCTTGCATGCTGATTCGACCATCCCCATCAAGAACATCACTGCTAGGATTATATTCAGACTCTGGATAAGCCTCAGAGATGATGAAGTCTTTCTTTTTTCTACCTATTGGGATGCAATTTTGGTTAATTTGGGTAAATTGGTTGAAAAGTATGCAAATCATATAATAATAAAAAGCATCAGACAGATTAATAGAACTTGGTAGAACATTTACAGAGAGAGATGAATATCCACATAAATCACCCAAATAATCCATGTATTCACTGTTTATCTTCACAACTCACGAACAATATACATAGAAATTGGTAGGCATTACAAGGATGAAGCATGAAATGGAGATAGAAGTTCAAAAAATACATGACAATATAAGTTAACGGTGGTGGCGCAACAGTAGGGCCCTGCAAGGTTCAAATAGGACCCACCCAAATTCTTCTACTTCTATCTCTCTAATAAATAAACAAATATATTTATATACATTCTAAACTCTCCATTTTTTATTAAATTTATTTATGTTAATCATAAATAACTATTTTTATTTTTATTTATTTATATTATATAAAATTTTATTCTCCACACAATAATATTCATATTGTCTACATTTTATTGGAATATAAATTTTTTAAACATTTAAATATATTTTTTTATTTTTTTCATTATATATATTACATCGTAAATAAAATATTAATTAAATAAATCACTTTTAACTTCCAGTTTAAAACTCAACTGGTAACCAAATAGTTAATTACCTTCAAAGGCATCACTAGGAAGTCCAGTAATCTTTTCCAACATTTTTGCATGCTTGCCAGCATCTTTGTCTTCAAATTCATTGCCATCAGAGTTGTCATCCTCATCTTCATCCTCGCCTTCATCAGATGCAACCTTCCAATCCTATGAATCAGACACAATCACTATGAGAAATCCCAACTGTTTTGTTTGTGTAGGAAGAAAATAGATAGTTATGTTTGCAAATAAATCTTCAGGGCACACCTCAAAATCTTTAGGAAGCTCATACTCATAGTTTTCAACAGTGTCATACCGCCTGTTCTTCTTGGATTCCTCCTCTGGAATCTCTTCTTCATATTCATATACATCATGGTCAATTGCATCATCTGAATCAATCTCTTGATCACCGTCTGAAAGCTCCTCATTATCCCGATCCTTAAGTTGATCAAGTTCCCTTTTCAAAGCATTTGGCAAATGAGGACCGCGCCGAGGCCTTTTCTCATTAGCTTCATCCTTTTTCTTCTTATTGCGGGAGCTGAATCTCTTTCTTTTCTTGACCATAGATTCTTTATCTTTCTGGAAGCTTCGAGTGCCATTATCCCTGGATTTTTTGGTTTTCTCGACCAACATTGCACCAGATCCTGAAGCAAAAACCATCTGAGTCAATTATAAAAATTACAAACGTGACTCACATTAATTACCATGGATAATATCCCACCTGAGAGTAATCAGACCAAAAAAAATTTATCTTTTGTTAGAATGTCCACTTTGCAATGGATGTTTGTAACCCCTGTTGAGTAGACCAGGTAACATTAGCCTCTGTAAAACTCAATAATACTTCACATTCGTAAACTTATCACCCAAGACCAATCACAACTTTTAATAAAGAAAACCAGCTACATAGTCAGTGTTCACTTTAAAGACTAATAAACTTTTATGTTATAATAGATAACATAAAACTAATTAGTAAGTAAACATGCCCCTATAGTATTGGAAAAAATTCATTAGTTCATTATAGTCTATCTGAATTTTTTAAGTCAGCTAAACCAATCAAATAAGCACCTTAGTTAGAAAGAACTTCATGGAGCAGGGAGACCGTAGAAACAATGAAGTCCCGTGAAAATTTTCCCACAACTAACTTATGGAATGGCTAATGAATAAGCATCAAGATAGTGCAGTGGCTAAATAAGCAACTGAGGCGCTCCTTCTACTACTCTTATAACAAGAACCCATAAAAGCAACAAATCGAATAAAATTTAAGGGAATTTGACGTTAAAATTACAACTTTAAGGAAACGGAACCACGCAAATCTGTCAACTCATCACACGGTCAGATTTCATCACTGTTCGTATTCCTGGCAGTTGTTGCACTCGAAATATACATTGACATCATAGAACACATTAACTCGATTATACATAAACCTAAATATTCAATAACTCAAAAACATGTACCCAGTCACCTAAAGATAAGCCCAACCTATATGAATCAACCGTCCCGCTATGACTGGGAAGATAATGTCGGCTTCGAGTCGGTGGATGAAAACGAGAAGCGGCGGTAACACGGTTGATATAACTGAATCCCGATTCGGAAGAAGCGGCAGTCGCCGGTAATGGAGGCCGGCGGGAGGGTTTAGCTATGAAATAGCATCACTATATTCGTGTATATATGCGAGGCCCGAATCCGTACAAAATTACAAGGCCCCTTAATTGGGCCTTTAACGTAGTGATTTTTGGGCTTTAACAAAATAAGCAGGCCCATTTATATTTAAACAAGAACAAAAAAAAAGAAACGAAACAATTTTAGGCCCAGTTATTTATTAGGGCATGTTTAGGGTTGAATTAACTTATGATAAGTTAAAGAAATCGTGTCAATAATATAAAATTTAATATTTAATATTCTTTCGTCTCAATTTAATGAATTTTTTCATTTTATTTGATTTTACTCAAGAGTTTATGTAATTAATTATATACAAATATAAAAAAAAAACCCTGTAATAACAAAATTATTTTCTTTGTAATTGCAATAAAAAAAATAAAAAATTATCAAAATTATCTTTCTCAATTTCACAAATTAGTATAATATTATTATTTTTTAATGTATATTATAAAAAAAATCGGTATCACTAATAAAAAAATGATTTTAGCGAACAAAGCCAATATTCATTGTAAATTTTGCCGTAGTATTTGAGACTTACATTATTGTCCTCTTCAATTCTACGCGTATATCTAAATTACAATTAAGGAAATTAAATAACAATAATGTGGACTAAATCTGAGAAATAAATTTTGAGATTTTTTTATATTTTAAATTAAAGTCATGACGATAATTGCAATTGAAATGTGCAAATTCAACCAGAAGGCATGGCAGCTTTCATAGAAGCAAAAATAATTTCATAACCAAATAAAATCGTAAGATTTATTTTAGATCAAGAAATACTAATATTTTCTAATATTATTTTAATTAGAATAAGAGTATACAAAAATTAGTTTTAATTCTTATGTTTTTTTATTTTTTATTTTTACATTTATGAAATAATGGTTAGAACTTAAAATGAAATGTTTTTAAAATATAATAATTTTAAATACGGTATTAAAAATATATATACCGAAATTACAAATAAGCACATATGATTAAACTGAAAACCCCCCAAAAGGGTAAAAGTCAGAGGGTTGACATTGCCAATGGTCAAGCGCTAAAACTGGTATTCAAGTCAAAACCACACCAAAATCCATATTTGTAGCTAACCCCTTTACTAATTCTCGCCAACTTTTTATTCTTATTTTTTCCGAATTTAAAAATTACGCTAAATAATAATTACACCACATTTAGAAAAGGGAAAAAAAATTTAACAAAATTTTGCATGGATTTGGTGCAATCTTTGTTGATCTCCTTTAAAAAGAATTCCAGTCAATCTTCTTACTTCATTTCTATTAATTATTTTTTTTATCAAATTATTAATCATTGTAAGAAGCTTGTTTTCTGGCTAGCCTCTATAAAGTTTTTTGCATACATTGGAGAAGAATCGAGAATCGTCTGCATTTGGATGAATTTCTGCGCGCTGCATGTTGGAACGCAATCGGAGAAGGCGATGACGAGAAAAGACAGCAGGTTAATCGAATAATTTGAACGGCGCGGGGATTTGGTGCATTGATTGGCAGTTTTTTTGAATGCATTGATGAATTTACTGGCTCTGCCGTTTATGTTCATTTAAAATTAGGGTTTGCGTAGTTGGGAATTTTAGTAATGCTTTTTTGTGTTTTTTTGTTTTTCTGGTTTTGTTGGTGGATGTATTTATGGTTTTTGATTTTCTCTTTTTGGGCAGGGAATCGTTCGGGAAGACGTGTTGAGCTGTTGCTTTTACCCTTCGATCTTTAATTTTATTTTTGGGGGGGTTGGGGTTTTCGTCAATCCTTTTCAATTCTTTGGTCTGTTGGCTGCAAGCTGTAAATTGAATGTAATGCAGATAAAGTTTGTGTACGATTATTGACACAAATCCCCATTCTTACTGAATGTTGGTGTATTTTGTGTGACCTTATAGTGTTCGTACAAATGTCTCCTTGTAATGGAGACGCTTGCTTCTTCGTCTCCCCCACGCGTCCTTCCCTCTCTGTGCGTTGTCTGGAGTTTTTGCAGACATTGTTCTGAAATTCAGGTCATTTTCGGGTGATCTCGCGGTATTTGGGGGTTAATTTATCCGATTCTGAAACTTTTCTTGTTGATAATTTGTTGAGCAATGGCTCCGTTCTGGTGGGGGAAGGAGGCGCACAGGGGGACGCCGGTGGTCGTGAAAATGGAGAATCCTAACAACTGGTCGATGGTGGAGTTGGAATCTCCGTCGGACGAGGACTTCCTCTACCCAAACGACGCCGTTCCGAAAGGAGTACGGAACAAGAACGCGAAGCAGATGACTTGGGTTCTTCTTCTGAAGGCGCACAGGGCGGCGGGATGCCTGACCTCCATTGGTGCTGCATTCTTTTCTCTGGCCTCAATTGTCCGCCGGCGAGTCGTCTCCGGCCGCACAGACTCCGCCGACACCTCATCGGCGGAGCCTCCGGAAGTCAAGTCGAGATTCTACAGTGTCATCAAGGGTTTCCTCTTTTTGTCTTTGGTACTTCTTTGTTTCGAAATGGTGGCTTATTACAAAGGTTGGGATTTCGGAGGTCCGGATCTTCAGCTCAAGCATCTCTACGGTTTGACAGATCCTTTGATGGTTAAAAGCTTGTTTGATCTGCTCTATTCCACCTGGTTTTGGATCAGGGTTGAGTATCTTGCTCCACCCCTTCAGTTCTTGGCCAATGTCTGTATAATTCTGTTCCTAGTGCAGAGCTTGGACAGGCTAATCCTCTGCCTCGGTTGCTTCTGGATCAAGATCAGGAGAATCAAACCTGTTCCCAAACAAGGCCCTGCTGATCTTGAATCTGGAGATGGTGAGAGTGATGGACATGGCTATGGATACTTCCCAATGGTTTTAGTTCAGATCCCCATGTGCAATGAGAAAGAGGTAATCCAATTTAGCTTGTTAGAACCTCTGTAATTTAATCTCTAGTTACAATTGAGTGATGCATTTGTCGAATTCGGACTGTGTTCTCAGGTTTATCAACAATCGATTGCGGCAGTGTGTTCTTTGGACTGGCCTAGGGGCAGAATGTTGATTCAAATTTTGGATGATTCTGATGACACAGCAACTCAGTCGATGATCAGAGATGAAGTTCACAAGTGGCTGGAGAACGGCGCCAACATTATATACAGACACAGAGTGCACAGGGAGGGTTATAAAGCCGGCAATCTTAAGTCTGCAATGAATTGTACCTACGTTAAGGATTACGAGTTTGTAGCCATCTTCGACGCTGATTTCCAGCCTGCCCCGGATTTTCTTTTGAGGACCGTTCCTCATTTTAAGGTATCATTATTGCCATCTCCATTTTAAGGATTACACTTGGTATTGGCTTAAATTTGTGTTCTTGATTAATTGTTTTGTATTGGATCGAGTCCGTTATGTGTTAAAATCTCATTGCGATATCTTGTATTGAATTCCTTGGCATTTTTATTTTTCTGGTTCGTATTTATTGCATTTTGTCGGTGCATGTACACGGGGGCTTAGCTGTGCGTATAAAAATTTACGTCTACGTTTTGAAAATTGTAGGATAACGAGGAACTAGGATTGGTTCAGGCCCGGTGGTCCTTCGTTAACAAGGATGAAAATCTGCTAACAAGGCTGCAGCTCATTAATTTAGCTTTTCATTTTGAAGTAGAGCAGCAGGTTAATGGGATTTTCCTAAATTTCTTCGGGTTTAACGGAACTGCTGGTGTTTGGAGGATAAAGGCGTTGGAGGAATCTGGCGGGTGGATGGAAAGGACCACTGTCGAGGATATGGACATTGCTGTGCGCGCGCATCTTCATGGATGGAAATTCATCTTCCTCAATGACGTCGAGGTATTTTGCTGCAACGCTAATCGTTTTGATTGTTTTCATTCGTACAATCTCTGCACTATCGTTGTTTATACGAATTTGAATGAATTTTCAGTGCCAGTGTGAATTACCCGAATCTTTCGAGGCTTACAGGAAGCAACAACACAGATGGCATTCTGGACCGATGCAATTGTTCCGGCTTTGTCTACCTGCCATTATCAAAGCGAAGGTATGCCGTAACATTATCCGATTCCCGTTATTTCGTCATTCCGAGCAATTCGAGTTTAATTCCGAACTTATTTTGCAGATAAGCATTTGGAAGAAAATCAACTTGATTTTCCTCTTCTTCTTGCTGAGGAAACTGATTCTCCCATTCTACTCCTTTACCCTTTTCTGCGTCATTCTTCCGATGACGATGTTCGTCCCGGAGGCGACGCTTCCATCGTGGATCGTTTGTTACGTTCCCGCCATGATGTCGTTTCTCAACATACTTCCGGCGCCGAGATCGTTCCCGTTCATCGTGCCATACCTTCTCTTCGAGAACACCATGTCGGTGACCAAATTCAACGCCATGATTTCCGGTCTCTTCCAGCTCGGCAGTGCCTATGAATGGATTGTGACGAAAAAGTCTGGTCGATCCTCTGAAGGCGATCTCGTAGCATTAGTCGAGAAAGAGTCGAAGACCCAAAGAGGCAACCGTAACTCGGAGTCGAATCTCGAGGAAATGCGGGCAGAGATTAAAAAGCAGGAGTCGCGGAGGAAGCACAATCGGATATACACGAAGGAGTTAGCGCTGGCGTTCTTACTGCTTACGGCCTCGGCGAGAAGTCTTTTGTCTGCGCAGGGAATCCATTTTTACTTCTTGCTCTTTCAAGGGATCACGTTTTTGGTCGTCGGGCTCGACCTGATCGGCGAACAGGTCGAGTAAATCATGAGACAATCATCGGAAATCGGAGACAAAAAGAGTCGAGAGAACGAAAGGCCCGTGCAAAATCATCTTTAGGTATGGCGATCGAATGTACTGTGATTATCATCGATTTTTCGCATAAGATTCTGTATAGTAACGGCGATCGACGACAACGTCGTCGTATCGTATCGTATCGATGTTTTCGAATTCGATTCTTTTGTTTATCTGGGCATTCGTATTTTATCAGGATTTTGTTCTCTGCACCTGATGATATGTAATAATGCTATGCTTAAGTGTTTTTTTTTTTTTTTTTGGATTTCTGGGAAGTTTTAGCAAAATATTGAGTATTTTCTTGCAGAAAGAAATGTGATATTTGATTCGGACAGCAGTTATTATTAAGTTCGGCCGGAATTAAGTTCGGCCGGAAGTTTACCCCAAATGATAATGATAGCGGCTACGAGTTCACAATGTCATAAAATAAAATAAGATAAAATAAAATAAAAATGAAAGTATAGTTGAAGAATTTTTTATTGACCTAACAAAATGAGTGACACACCATTACTAATTTATCACTTGTCATATCTCATTAAAAAACACACACAAAGACATGTGATCATAATTTATTTACACACACAGCTAGCAGCTATATTTGGTTGTTGTGTTAATGTAATTTATACACAACATAGCAATGTAGAACTTTTATAATTTATTATTATTATTATTATTATTTTTAAATGGAAGCATGTAATGTGGGCAATATTTAAATTCAGTTATAAATGAGAAATTGTCAATGTAGGTAGTGGAATTAATATGGTTGGTGTCACAAAAATTATGTTGGCAAGAATTTATGAGCTAGCCCTTCAGTAACCCGAATTTAATTAGAATTGTATTATGGAAAAATAAGAGGGTTTGCTTAGTTTTATTAGTTTTTATTTAATAAAATGTTTCATAATAAAAAAATGTGTATATATATATATATTATATTGAAAATTGGAATAATGAAATAAAAAATTGTTTGAAATCAAAAGTAAACAAACCCAAAAGAGTTGTGAACATCTCAAAATTTTACCTCAACTTGTACCCTATATGGTTTGTTTACTCTTGGTGTAAAATTAATTTAAAGTGGAATGTTTGATTTAAATTTTTATTTAAATATTATTTTGATGTAATATTTTATAAAAAAATAAATAGTATTGTTTTATTATAAATTATGCATATGAATAACAATGATTTTAAATTAAAATTACAATCAAAGATGTCCCAATTATGAATTTATTTGATTGTGATTTGAAATAAAATGTTATTTGAATTTTATTTAAATAAAATTTTGATTCAATATTTTTTATTAAAAATTTCAATTTGAAATAACAAAACAATAAATCCTATTTAGTTATTTTATTGGAGATAATTTCTTGGATAACTTATATTAATTTTTTTACATAATTTTATTCTTATTAAAAAAACATTTATATATATATATTAAATCATAATTCTCAAATCATTTCAATAATGTCTTGAATTTAATTTCAATTAAGTATATTATATTATACTTTATATTTTAAAGTTCATCCAAAATGACTTGTAATTTTCATTTCAAATCAACAAAAACCCTTTAAATCTTAAAACAATACAAAAAAGCATCCAACCACTCCCCTAAATTTGGTGGAAATAAAATGATCATATCAAAATCAATGTGTAAATTTCAATCAAAATCAGAGCTGTCAATTATTTATAAATTTAAAAAGACATCACTGGTCATTTTATGTGTAAACTCAATGATAGTTAATTAATAGTTTTTAATTAATTTATAGACCAATCTTTTTTAAACAATAAATAAATAAATAGACAGTAGCCTTTTTACTCATTAATTATTCTATTAACAAGACACAATCTGATAATATTTTTGCACAGCTCACTACAAATCTCAATTTTTTTATTTTTTTTTTATATATTTTTTAATAATAATAAAAAAAGACATCGATTGTAAATTAATTTAGGGACCATATTGAAATTTATTAAAAATACACACATGCCCACATAGTCCAACTCATCTCCCATCATATTGATCTGTCCTTTGTACCGATTGTGGACCACATAAAACAATTTTAAATTAAATATTTGAACATATATATATATTTACACTGAATAATTTAAATTTAAAATATAGAGTGTCTAGAAATAATTTAATCATTGGGATCAATCTTTCTATTGATTTATTGGGATTTAATTTCTAGTTCTTGATTATATTTCTTACATTTTATATAATAGATAATGTATAAATTTTAAATAATTTAAATCGCCAAAGGCAAATATCACGACATCACGTGACACGGCACGAGACAAAGACAAATTTTAAATATTATAATAATTATTATTTATTCGTCGTTTTCTATTAGATCGAACGGTCAAAGCCTCGAGGCTGTCCAAAGACGGTCTTCAGGCCACATTTATTAATTTTTTGGAAATAACAAAAATAAATCTAAAAAAAATCGAGATTGTCAATTTAATTTCATTTATATATAAAAAGTTAAAAGAAATCCAAAAATAACGTGAATAAATTTTAATTTTAATTTTAATAGTAAAAAGTAAGTGCTGTGTAGCTCTATTGTGTTGCCCACGCTTCTCGAGACCGTTACACGTCCCATTTCTTTGTTTTTGTTTAACTTTAATTTATGTTACAATATTCCAAAAATAAAAATATTTCTAATTTATTAATATCTATTATTGGCAGGAAAACGACGCGCCGAGCCAGCGAAGCGCAGATTCGATTCCACCACCGCTCACGGGAGAAATATATATATCATTCTTCAATCTGCGACTGTGTAGAGAGCGCAGCCGACCGTCGTCTCTCCGGCGGGGGATAGTTTGCTCGTTTTGGGAAACCTACCTGCATTGCAGGAAAGAGGATGGATCTCGCGCTCCTGTGTTCTGTTCTCGTGGCGTTTCTAGGGGTTATTGGATTTTGTTATTGCACTCGGAGGAAGAAGGATAGGAGGTGGTTGAGGGAGGAGGAGGAGGGGAGTGGCGCCACTAAGACTACCGTCATTCCTGAGGGAGAATGTGGATCCGGAGACGCCGGCGAAGATGATGTGATTATTGTTGGTGCTGGTGTTGCCGGCGCCGCACTCGCTTATACCCTCGGGAAGGTACTGGAATTTTATTTTTTTGGCTTATACTTTTGGCTCGTTGTGCAACCTCTGTAGATGCCATTAATGATTTATTTGGATTGTGCAGTTTTGATTCAATTGAAGTGAAAACATAAATAAGATGTGCTCGATTTGAATGAAACTAGAGCTTGGAGACTCAGTAGTTTTGATTTTCCCTTTCCCTTCGGTGTTTTGGTTGCTGTTATCTGAATTCTATTTCTATCTGTAACTAAACTCCAGGATGGGCGACGTGTTCGTGTGATAGAAAGAGATTTATCAGAGCCTGATAGGATTGTTGGAGAGCTACTGCAGCCAGGTGGTTATCTGAAGCTGGTTGAGTTAGGGTTGGAAGGTAAGCACTACAATGGATATTGATGGGCAACATACATATATATATATATATATGTATATATGTTAATGGTTTTTGAGTGAGTTTCGATTTTGTTCCAGATTGTGTAGAGGGGATTGATGCACAGAGGGTGAAAGGTTATGCTCTATTCAAGGATGGTAGATCCACCCAGCTTCCTTATCCATTGGAAAATTTTCAGTCCGATGTGTCTGGTAGGAGCTTCCACAATGGCCGCTTCATACAAAGGATGCGCGAGAAAGCTGCGTCACTTCCAAAGTATGCTGTGTGGACGCTTATTACTATTGAATTATGAATTTGATGTTGATGTTCTGTTTTACATGGCACGTGGGGGGTGAGCTTGCTACCGAGCTATGTTCCAACTCTAATGGCGAGAGGAGTTAGGGAAATGTTGTGGGAGAATTATAGTTATATGTTTGGAGTTTTCTTGATGAATGTCTTTTTGGGTTAAGCATTCTCGTTGTATGCGATAATCACTCGAGTTTCTCTTTGCTTGGCAGTGTTCGAATGGAGCAAGGAACCGTGACATCTCTGCTCGAAGAAAATGGGACCATAAGAGGTGTACTCTACAAAACAAAATCTGGTGAAGAGGTGAAAGCTTACGCGCCTTTAACCGTTGTGTGTGACGGGTGCTTTTCTAACTTGCGGAGAACCCTCTGCAGTCCGAAGGTCGGTAGTTATATGAAAGTTTTACTGTCCAATTATCGCTTGTGTCTGATATGTTTCAGTTATCACTTTCTTGAACTTAGATTTTGATCTTATTGTCATTAGGTTTTACATATCATTTTGTAACATCATTTTGTGATCTACAGGTTGATGTGCCGTCTTGTTTCGTTGGAATTGTCCTCGAGAACTGCCAACTTCCTTTCGAAAACCACGGACATGTGATTTTAGCAGATCCATCACCTATCCTGTTTTATCCCATCAGCAGCACGGAGGTCCGGTGTCTGGTTGATGTTCCCGGGCAGAAGGTGCCTTCAATATCGAATGGCGAAATGGCCAAATATCTTAAAAATGTTGTTGCTCCTCAGGTAAGATCGATGGATCATCTTGTCACTTCTATCCACCCATTGCAGCATGATTTCTGATGGTATGACTGTTTCAGGTTCCTCACCAACTGCGCGAAGCATTTGTTTCGGCTATAGAGAAAGGCAACATTAGGACAATGCCAAATCGAAGCATGCCAGCTGCTCCTCATCCAACTCCCGGCGCTTTGCTTATGGGCGACGCATTCAACATGCGCCATCCATTGACCGGTGGGGGAATGACAGTTGCATTGTCGGATATAGTTGTGTTGCGCAATCTTCTCAGGCCCCTACGCGACCTCAGAGACGCACCTTCACTCTGCAAATATCTAGAATCTTTCTACACTCTACGCAAGGTTAAGTCGAACCTTAATGCAACCAATGCTGTTTCCTCTAACGTAAATCCCCCTTTCTCACTTCGATTATCTTTGTCAACAGCCGGTAGCTTCCACTATCAACACATTGGCTGGCGCCCTGTACAAGGTCTTCAGCGCTTCACCCGATGAAGCGCGCAACGAAATGAGGCAGGCATGCTTCGACTACTTGAGCCTTGGAGGTGTCTTCTCAAACGGGCCTATATCTTTGCTCTCCGGGCTGAATCCTCGACCGCTGAGTCTGGTTTGCCATTTCTTTGCTGTTGCAATATACGGTGTTGGCAGATTGTTGCTGCCCTTCCCATCACCGAAACGAATGTGGATTGGAGCCAGATTGATATCGGTGAGTACACAAAATATATAAATCCCGGCATATCTCAACTCTGCCAAATTTCCATCACTGACCTTAATTCATACCAAAACCAGGGCGCATCAGCAATAATCTTACCGATCATCAAAGCTGAAGGAGTCAGGCAAATGTTCTTTCCGGCAACTGTTCCAGCTTACTACAGAGCTCCCCCTACTAAATAAGGGATGTTAAACCGGATATCCGTACGCACGCTAGCCGGGAGGACGAAAAGGCCACAAAGGTACCACCTGAATTAAGTGAGCAGTTGTTTTTCAAGAAGAAAATGTGTATGTTCTGCATTTAGGTGTGATTTTGTGTGTTCTTTAAGTGCCTTAATTGTGTGAATTTTGCTTCAGAACTGATGTTGGGATTTGATTTCCATGTGTAAATGACAAGTGTTTTTAGAGACAATCACATGTGATCAAAGCTAGTATCCACATGTTAGTTTTGAAGTGTCTTTATCTGATTATTTATGTGATTTGTGGTTGGAAATTAGAACAATCTTCTTGATTATTTAAGTATAACAACCAATAATTCAACAAAACTATTGCATTTCATTGCCACATTTGGAATATCCCAACAGTAGCAGTTTTTAAAATTCAAGAAATTGGACACCACACAAATTGCATTGTCGTAAGTATACAAAACAAGACCATCTATGGTAACTTGGACTGTGTTCCTTTTTAGGTTTGATTTATAGTCTGGTATTATCAATAAAAGATTTTGGCAGCATTTATAAATTGATATCCCAATATATATATATATATATATATAATGCCAATAATTTACAGAGTACATATTGCAATAATTAAGTATCAAATTACATTACATATGTAATTATGCATATAAACCAACCAACACTCTTAACTATTCCCAAATATTTTTCTTTCAAAACTATCAAATCGAACTTTTTTTTTTCAATTAATATATTACACAAAAAAATAAAAATAAAAAATTGCTATGTTCACATCAAATTAAATAATATTTCAAACCAAATATTTAATATTTTCAAACCCAAATCAAAACTTTTTTATTTTTCTACATAATTGTGATTACTTGTATGCTTCAAATAAAAATTATACACGTAATCTTAACTACACTAGCAGGCTCTAAAAGTACAGCAAAAATATTACCCCGATATACTGATTCAACTGAAATCACCTGAATACAGGAAAAAAGAATGGATGTTAGTTGGGATAAAACTCAATTATATGGAGGAGACTCTCAAAAGGAAGATGATCTGAAGGAGAACCCTTAAAGCTGCCCATTTCTCTTCCTTTCCGACTTGATAGCTTCGTAGGACACCATAACCTCCTTGAATTTTGCTTCGGCATACTCTGAAGAACAAAACACAAGAAGCCATTGTGACGATGATGATGATGATGATGATGATGAATCAGTGAAATACAGAGGAAGTCTAGTAAATATGCAGTTGGCAATGAGTTTGCAACCTTTGTTGTCCTGATTTTGATCTGGGTGAAATTCCTTCGCCTTTGTTCTGAAAGCGGACTGTACAAACGAGGATTTAGATGAGCAAATGGACGGAAAAGAATAGTCGATTTATTTCAATGAAATTGGAGTGTACCTTTATTTCTTCGTCCGTGTAAGGTTTTGTTCTCATCCTGCAAAGAAGGAAGATAGACAACTTCTAAATGCTATGTTTTATCTTCCAGATGCAAATATTAATCAAGGCCCTTCAATATTGTACAGTATTTCACAATATGAAATCGAATAAAGAACTTGGATGCCCTTCTAAATGTAAATTGTAAGATTATTAGATCATGAAGAAAACATACCTGCTAAGGCCAAGAACGGAGTAATGATGTGATAATGGAGAGCTTGCAGTGGCCCTAGACGTATCCGTAAAGTTACTATCGTGGTTTCTGAATGATTTATCTGCTTTCCAGTACCAATCATTCCTCTGGAAATTCTGATTGTATGGTCCATTCTCTTGCCAACTCTCGTAACTCCTCCTGAATTTATTTCTACCCCTGTTAAAGACACTCTGCATCCGTCGAATTCGCTCCTGAAAAAGAAGAAAAACTTATCAATGCAGCTCAAAGTGAAATTACACAGTTAACAAAATTAAGTCTCTTTCCTAGCTTAAGTACTCGTTGGAATCGAACTTGATATAAAAATTCTTAGTATAAGCATCAGCTTTAAATGAGATATAGTGACAGGGAGAAAAAATGAATAGTCTATATTTCTGGGCAGACAAAAAGATGTTTAGAACTTATAAAATGACTAACAACTAATTATCACCTGAAATTAAATAATAGAAACTGGTTATACTGTATGTAAGCATATTTTAACTTCTTTCTCACCACTCTTTCCATTTCTTCTTCGTATTGTTCTTGCATACGTCGGTTATATCTTTTCCATGCTGCCTCTTGAAAACTCGTTCGAAAAGACTGCCCGTCCTTTTGTGCTGATTGAGACCTGCTCAACTTTTTCAGTTCAATAGCGTACATGGTCAGTAGAGCAGAATTAGGTTGAAATCATTCAAGCAGCACGGCTTCAGAGATGATACTTCGTTATGCCAATGCATGCTCGCAATCAAGTTTTATTGATCAGATTGAAAAACAAACGGAGATGATGCATGAGTCTAATGATTACCTGAGAGAATACCCAATAAACCGTACTTCGCAATTGGGTAACCTACAAAATTTTTTGAGAAAAAGACATTAATTAATAAGGAAGCATTAGCAACCAAGTTAAAATGTAAACCACCCGATGGACTTTGCTAAGAGTTCCACACAGTCCTTCGGACAAGTATTTTTGAACAATCAATTAACATGGCTATTTTATGTTTTACTCCATGTTATGCAAAATTGCAATCTTTTTTAAGATTCTTCGGGGATATAAATATTGCTCATCAATATGAATGGCGACTTTGGTGGCTTTCATCCATTTTCAATATTAGAAGGTAGATTTCCCCGCAATTATTTACTTATATATTCCAAACCAACTTCAGCGCCATATTTTTCGAGATGCCCCTAATCCAAACAAGTAGTACTTTTCCATATTACCTCCATACCACATGTACCAATGCTTCATTTTGCTTCAGTAGGATGTTTGAGTAAAACATGTTTTATTTATTTATTTAAAGCCCCGAAAAATACCAGAAATGTTTCATGTCAATTTCCTTTTATTTACAGAGAGAAGAGTAAAGAAATTTAGAAGAATAATGATAGCAGGGAAAAGTGACCAACATATGCACGAGAGTTGATGAAGATGCCAAAGAGTGGAGGCAGTCTACTAAGAGTGTGTTCGTTTGTAGAATTTTAACAAAATCCTACTATTCATCCAATTTTTTTCCCCCAAAAACATCAAATCAAACACCTATTTTTCATTTTTTATATTATACTAAAAATTAATTTTACATTCAAAACATCACATCAACACCTATTTATATCACATTATACAACTATTCAAATTCAAAATTTTTACTATTCAAATCCCAACTCAAAATCCAAACCCCCAAACAAACACACCCTAAAAGCAAATACTGGATATTTTAACAAACGAAACTTACAAAAGGCAATCATATCCGCCAAGAGCCAACACGAGAACTTTAAATCATGAGAAAAAAGGTCCCGCATACAAAATGCAGTTAATTTATGGCAGAATGTGAATGTGTCTAATACAATTATTTTTCCCAGTCAGGCATCCACAACAAAGTCCTGATTTATAACTTTCGAGCTATCAGGTTGAAAATGTTTTAGGAAAATTAGAACAAGAATCATCTACCCACAATTCCAGCCTCTCAATCATTGATTTTATAGCAACTTCACTCATACTTGGATATAAAACCCTAATTGAATTCAGTGTACCTTGTAATTAGATCAATTGTTTTTTCTACTCTATTTCATCTCTCAGCTCTACATTTTTCATTGTAGTTTAACAAATGTCTTATTATTGTAGGATTATCTAAATTAGGATTGATCTAAGTGTCTGTGGACAAACAAGCTCAAAGGTAAGATTCAATTTCTGCATTTTTTTGGAGTTTGTTTGCTCTATATTCCCAACATAATCAATAGCTACTTAATCTCCAATAAAGTAAAAAATCAAAATGCAATATCTGATGACTGTTTCGAGTACAAGGGTTTAGGGTTGTATTCAAATCCAACAACCAAAACTTCGAGAATTTGAAGAATATCCATAACTATATTCTAGGAAAAAACTCCAACAATAAATTAAAAAACACCAAATTCTAAAGAAACCGAAGAAGAACTTACAGCGAAGGTCGTGGCTGTCGCTCCTATTAACCCAAAAATAAGAATTCCCCAATTTTTCATGTCTTGATTTTTCTCGTTATAATCCGTCTTTGATTGCGGCCATGGATCATCCCCGTTCCGTTTGCCGCCGCCCACGACATCGCCCATTTTTTTCCTCCTATTTTCAAGATTCTCTACAGAGAGGCGGCGACTCCGTCGGCTTCAAATTCATCGGTGGGAGAGATGGAATTTCTTCTCGCCGACTTTGATTTTTTTTCTGTTCTTAATTAATTGTAAATCTGCCACTACAGTCAGCTCTTTATATTTTCTTTTAAATAAAATACAATATATGTATATTTGATACTCCATCAATCTTCGTTAAAGTAAGTGTTTATTTAGAAAAATGAGTAATAATAGTAATTTTTTTTTATAATAAAAAAATATATAAAAATATAATAATTTTTATTTAGAAAATAAATAATAATATCTTTTGATAAAAATAAAAAAATAATATAAATTTAAACGACAAACAAAATATTTTATTAATAATATTTATAAATAAATAAATAGTCTCTATTTAAGAAAAGGCACAATTGGCTTTAAATTCCTATTTTGTCTAATTTATTAATAATCAGTCCCCATTACTAAATTCTTATTCTGCAGTCCCTATTTTTCCATTTCACTCATTCTTCACTCCCTATCATTTCTTTATTTCTGATTTAGCTCTCAAACCCCTTTTACACGTTGGTTATTCTTCGCGCGGAATTGGGAGTAAAACATGTTAGTCCAGAATCATTGGATCAAAAATCACCACCGTAGCCGCGTTGCCCATAAGCCAACAATCGCGAAGAACCATTTTTTTTTTCTTGTTTGATATTTTCGTGCCACTGCGAGCCCTTCTTCTCCGGCGAAGAGCGACGTCAGAATTTTACAAAGGTTAGGACCTCTATTTTAAAATTGGTAGTTTATGTTTCATGAGGTGATTATTTTGTGATAAATCTTACTAGCGCAGCACTCCTTCATTTTCTATTTCATTTCGTCTTCACACTTTTTCCTATTGTAATCTCTCGTTAATTTCGCACAAAATTGGAAGGGGAATCTACTCGCCTATAATCCGGTGAACGTGAAATTGTAATTACAGATCACTGGCCTAGATTCCGACAAACACAAAGACACATCTATCCCAATTTGTTACGGCCATTGGACAATAATCCATTTCTCTTCGAAGAAGACCCACCTTATTGTTTTCGAAAGGTTAGAACATCTGTTCTTGATTGATTGTAGATATATTATGTGTGGTGAATGAATACCAAATCTCAACCCTGATGCATTTTTCATCTTTTTTTCCTATCTCCCATTTGGAAAACACATTATGTTAATAGTAGTGAGGTAAATGTCTAATGCACTTCACATGTTCGATAAAATGTTTCAAAAAGTTACATGTATTAGTGTAAGAGAATTTAATAATTTTTTGTTCAAAGTATTGAGTTATAATTTCACTTTTCATGAATATGCACTATTTTGGAGTTTCAATCAAATATTATATCCTCAGTATTGTCATCACTAGTTATTTTTGTGCCTTTATAATCTATTGTAGTTTGGTGTTGATATTATAGAAAACAATGTTATAGTGATGGGTAAAATAACATTGTTGGATTGCCTACAACCTTACTTCTTCAAGTATTGATTTATATATGGTATATATAATTATAATTTATTATAGTCCAGTAGGTTTAGATTAGTGTGTAAAAATATTATATTCATGTACTCTAATTGTACAATTTATTATATAATCACATATTTTTTCCTAAGTTGCTGAACATTAATATTTTATCTATTTATGGGCAGAAGCATCGTGCTAAAGTGACTATTCTTCATCCATTTACCAAAAACTCAGAACAAATCAAGACGCTGATATCTTAATTGCAGCTGCAGAAGTACTCAATTTGGTCCGTGATAGTTGGTTAAAGCCAGACGCAATTGTTGTAGATATTTAAATGTGTAATTTTTTTTTTATTATTTTGAAAGAATGTCCATCAATCCTCTCATTGTAATTACTTTTAGCGTGCTAAACATAATCTAATGTTGTATATAAATATACAACAATAAGAGAATTGTTGCATTGAAGCTCTTTTGTAAATTTGATGTATTATGGTAGATGAACAGAAATTATGGGTATGTGAGATAGTATTTTATATATGACTTGTTGACAACAAAGGTTTCTGAAAATTTAACAGAGGTACATAGGAGCTCTACTGGAGTACTTTCCTACTCAACTGAGTTACTATTTTGTTAAAAGCTTCTGATTGATTGATATTTGAGTTTGTGAGTGCGAAAATTTAGATTATTATGTTATGGGTCAAAATATTTTAGAAAAAATATGTTTGTCCTATTACACAAAAAACACTTGAAGTCCTAGTAGTAGATTACAACTCGCGCTTTCACTTGAATGTTGTTGTTGTGTGTGTGTTACGATGTAGATTACTATGTAATTGGTCCAAAGATTTTCAATTCCTGGCAGCAATTATTTACACTTAACAACCAATATAATTTAACTTAGTCATTTATGACTTGTTTAGCCATCTACAAGTGGAGGTTGAACTATAATTGTACATATGCCACACAATATAACGAAGTTATTTCTGACTTATTTAGTCATCTATAGTAAATATATATTATTTATCTTTTCAAACAATTTAAGGTGCCGCGGAAATACTATCACGATGAATTCATCCTTGGTTAACGACAACAAGTGAATAATTTGAACAAAAAGTGTCTGTTTTCCAAGCACATATTATCAGAGTATATATACTCGTTACTGAAGCATATAATACCAGTATTATAGGTACACAAGATCTGTGACAAGATATGTCCGTATTTGATGCAGGTATGTAAGTATGCACTTTGGGTACACACACCGACATTCAAGGTATAAATGATAATTGCTTAGGTATTTTCTTTGTAGTAGAAGGTATTCGTGAATGTGATTGATTTCAGTTGATCCCCTGAGGGGCACAAACTCGGTGAGAGTACTTCATCTCCTAGCATTGTTGGAAAAATTTAAGTACTGTACGTTTATATTTGACAGCTCATACCATACTTTTCAATGGAAAGACTACAAAATATGTATGAGTAACAAAAAAACATAATTTAACTCTAAGTTATTTAATACTTGTTCAGTCATTCATAATAAATATGTGTTATTTAGCTTTACATACAGTTACAGAATTTACGAAAATATTATAATGATGAATTTATCCCAGTTTACAGACAAAAATTATTGAATTGAGAACAGCTTGTTTTCCAAGCACAAGTGTCCAGGCATAGATACTAGTTATAGAGCATATGAGATACTAATTCCGGAGTATATTGGTAAACGACTGAGGTACCCATTGATGCTAACATGTGTGAATGAATGAGATGTTGTAATATAATGTCGCTCTCATAGTGTTTGAAATCTATTATTGTGAATTCAATTGGAGAGAGTACTCTCCAATTATTAATACTCTCCATTATTAATTTGTACAACCATTGCATATGCATCATAACTAAGTACTACTCTTACCAACAACACAACTAACTAACGCCATAGCCTATTATTCACCTATATGGATCATGTTGTTAATTTTTATAAACAACTTTTTAATTTTCTAAATTGGTATAATTGACTATGTTAAAGATGAATACATCCCATGTTCGAATATTGTTAAAGATAATGTTATACTTTACTTAATGTTCGAGATATGAAGTATTAGACCCCCCAAACATAAATAACTTAACTTGGGGTATTTTCTAGCTTAATATAGGTATATCATTAAATAACCGAGGTCTGTCGTGTTTGACAAGAAGTATGTATCAATGTGATGAGGGCATAAACTTTCGCAGTACATGTATATAATTTTCTTTCTTAGGTGTACCACTAATGTAGTTACGTATTCATATATGCACTTCTGTTCATTGCAAGCATCACTTCAATCATTGCAAGGTCTTGTAATGAATTAGTTAATTCCAATTTAAAAGCAATATGCATAACTTTTTTGGTTTATTGTTGTCTTCATACAAGGATAACCTTCATAATTAATGAATAACATGTATATGAGCATATATATATATATATGCTTTTTGAAGGTATTTCGATCTAGTTAGACGGGTACATCAATATGTTGTTGAGGTACAATATGTGCATTATTGCAATTTTAACCATGCGAAGAATTAATCATACGGCACAATTTATAACATTACTCCAAACTTTAAGTTTCACCAAATTTAACCTATAATTCAATCCCTCAATAGATCTTAATATAATATCATTGAACATGAGGCATATTAAACAATTCAACCAACAATTCAATCAAAATAACACACTACTCAAATCAAGCACAAATAACAAAACTCAAATAAATCCCATATCCATCCAAATTCATTACAACATTCACTTACCATGTGTTGTTCATTGAAATCTACGGTTGGTCGGTGGACCTTTTAGTATTTTGGTCGTAATTTTACCGCGATAGCTCTTCATATTATCAAACTTGCTGCCGATACTACCGGATTCGCATGGATGTAACACTCGGAGAACATACAGACCAATCAGTACTACAAACCGATAGATAACCGATATGTATTCTTTACCCAATCTGTAAATAAATATCATTAATACACATTATCCAAATCTTGAATTTATTTTAAAGTTTGTCAGAATCTATCAGGAGTATGTAACAATAGATTCCGAGTACACAGTAGTCCCTTAAAAGTCTATTACTTAGCAAACTAAACCTGAAAAAATGCAATTCGGGGTACCTAACATAATCGCATTTACCAACCCACAAATATAAGTAATTATCGATCAATCAAAAAAACAAAAAAATATTAAATTATGCAACTCCAGGTAACTAAACAAAATGTATATCTATAAAATTAACTAAAATCACAAATTAAACAAATAAAATCACCCAAAATTGGTGTCAAAATAAAAACCCAACTCGGTCTACGTAGGCAAACATACGAACAATTTCAAACCCAATTAACAAACACAACTACACCGATCACCCAGGGCTCCTCAACACCGAACCGATCGAGGCATACAAATATTGGACTAAGACTTATACCCCAAACAATCGAACAAACTACGATATAAAATACTAATGTTAGACAAAATAAAAAATCGAAAAAGGTCTTACTTTTTTGAGCTTGTCTTTGGGGATGAGAGTGGGTCAGTTGTTTTCTTCACCATTTTTGCACCGATCGTTCGATACTTGATCACCGAGCGTTGGAGAACACTGGTTCACTTGAAAATGGAAGATGTAGGGTTTAAAATCGGGATGAGGAGAGTTATGGGAGGTTTTTATGTCTAAACTCCTGTTAAATCGTAAGTAACTGTCTTAATTTTACTATTTTTTTTTAATTCGCAAAAAAAAAATGTACTCGATATTTAACTAGAAGTATATAAAATTATAACGAGGGTAGAGCGGGAAGTAATGTAGGTATATATTTCAACATTAGAAGTATTTATTAATCTATTTCGAGTACTTGTTGTGTTTACAACGGTGAATTAAGAGAAAAAATAAATTGGGGAGCTATAATAAGTAGGGACTGCAAACTAATTAATTTTCAAGAGGGACTGATTTACAAGTGAATTATACTGACAGGGACTTTAGTCCAAGTCTCCGTTAAGAAAAAGAAATATAGAATTAAAAATTATTCTTTGATGTAATAATTTTTTTAAAAATATTTGTATTAAAATTTTAAAAATATTAGGAAAACAAGCCATATTCACAGTAACATTCTTTTATTTTTCATGAAAGTAATTTTATTACCTGTTAACTGTCAACCATCATCATCACCATCATCATTCGTCATCAACGAATCAGTAGGATATCCTTACATTCACGCAATTTTTGTCTGTTCGATCACTCTCCTTCCTTCCTTTCTCGTTTTTGCTCACAGTTTAGGGTACATGATACGTCACGCCTCGTTAACCTGCAACAAATCCCCCAACAATGCAGATGTCCAGAAGGCCCATAAATCCTTCCCGACGCGCATCCGAGAGTGGGAAGACACCCCAATCTGTCTTCTTCATTCATTCCAGATCGCGCTCCCGCCCTTACCTATCAATTGCGGCCGTCGTTCTGGTATCCTAACATTGCTTACTCGTTTTTTCAATGGTTTCGATCAATTCGTGTTCGTTTTCCCCATCATGTTTAGTGATTCGTGAGTGTAGATTTTGGTATTGTTTCGTCGTTGGCTTGGGTGGATTTCTGATTGTGGATTTTAATTTTCGATTCAGGGAGCATTCCTTCTTATCGGTTATCTGTATCGCGGGAAAGGTTTGATCCTCGCCTCCTCGTAATTTGATTGCTTATTTGCAGCTGGTTGTGTAGCACTCACTGAATTTGATTGCACATAGGTCAGCTTGTAGAACCCTAACATCTGATTAGGAATTAGGACTTATTCAACAGTGTTCTTAATGGAGCTTCGATTAGTAATGGTAAAGACAGAATTATATATATATATATATATATGCATTGTATTTCTGAATGAAAACACTGTTCATCTAACAAATTCTTTGGCTATTTCTTTGGTCTTATTTGGAGCTTAGATCAGTAATGTTCCTTGCTGGATGGTTCGAATAGGGGTTTATGATCTTGAATTTTGTTCTCCTCTTCAACTAATTCCTTGATTATGAACACTGAATTTCTCATAGGTACTCTGCAAAACAGTAGAGCAATCAGTTGGGTACAAGGTAATTGCATTTTCTTGCTTTCAGTTGGAACATTTTTTAAGGATCATCCACAAATCGATGTTGATTGCACTTTGTAGGGATGTAACAATTAACAACCATAGTTTTGCAATTGATATTCAAAACTCTTTTTAGCACTGGTTCATTGTATAGCATCTAGTACTGTAAAGATTTTATGAGTGCTTTGCAATTTGATGTTTTCCATTAAACTATCGTGGTTTCTAAACACGGCGAAGAACATTCATGCCGGCATTACATCCATATGAGGTCTGTTTCAAAATTTGAAAGCTTTTAGTTTCATTGCTGCACAATGTATGCATCATTCTGTGAAACAGGCGATTTTTCATGCCACGATGAAGTTCTACGCGCGATTCCAATTTTAAAAGAAGCATACGGCGATAGCATGCATAAGGTGCTCCATGTAGGCCCTGATACATGCTCGGTTACCTCTGCATTGTCGAAAGAAGAAGAGACAGAAGCTTGGGGCGTGGAGCCTTACGACATAGAAGATGCTGATCTAACTTGCAGGACTTTAGTGCACAGAGGAATTGTTCGTGTCGCAGACATTACATTCCCTCTTCCCTACAGAGCAAAGTCATTCCTCCTCGCCATTGTCTCCGATGCACTGGATTACTTGTCTCCTAAGTATCTCAACAGAACCATCCCTGAAATGGCAAGAATGTCGTCGACAGGCCTCGTCATCTTCACAAGTAAGACAACCTTTTTCCTTTCTTTTCTATCACTTTTTATCAATCGACGATTTCATTTTAGGATATCCGCGGCATCAAAGATCCAAAGAAGCCGAAAAAGACAGGGGTGGACACAAGGTAAACAAGTCTTGATGTGTGATCATATTTTGCTATATTCGATTGAAAAATCTGTTGTTTTGGATCGTTGATTAACAGTTTAAGTCGAGAAACTCGACTTGGTGGACGACGTATTTCGCGGAGTTAAGCCTGGAAGAAAATGAAACAGCTGCCAAGAAGTTCCAGAAGGCTTCAGAGAAACTAGCGTATAGCCCTCACTGCCAAATCTTTCATCTCATGCCATACCAGTAACCATTTCATTCCTCCATTGCAATTTTTTCTGTATCCATTAAATTAATTCATCATCTTTTAGAACAGAGTAATAACTATTCATTAATTTTTTTTATTTTATATTTATGCTCAATCGTATTCTTATATCAAATGGGCTGACTGCATTTTCATTCTCTGCTTACAGAATTTTGTTGTTTTGTCAGCTCACTCTTTGATTTACTGTGGTTACTCTATCATGCCAATGGTGGAAATATTTAACAATACTTTTTTGTAAAAGAAAAAATAAGTATTGTTGAAAATGTGCTTTATTAAAAACCAAACACAAAATTTTTTTAATGAACTATATTGTACTGGAAAGTTAGTCAGAGCACCTACAATGGAGTGTATGTTCTTATCTTCTTAAAAAATTATACAATATTAATCTAAAAAGTTAAAATATTATAAATTTTATAATTTTATCAAATATAAAGTATCATAATATATAGTATTGGAACGTACGGAGCATATTTTAAAAATATATGCTATATAAAATTTGTTGTAAATAAAAAATAAATTTGTTTATGTAGAAAAGGGAGAGAATTTAAGAATTTTATTTTAAATTTTACTATGTGAAAAAAAAAAAAAAAAAAAAAAAAACAAAAACCTTCATGATCTTTTATGATTTCCTGTTGTAAAATGTAAAAACGTGTTCTCTTGTTATTTGCATTGTGCATGATCTTAATTAATAATTCTACGTATAGTATGTATATATATAAATATAATACAACATTCGTCCGGATTTTCTGCGTTTCCGTTGGCCGACTTCTCCGTCTAAATTCAGGAGAAAATCCAAGATTTTAGTTTCCAATTATTCTTGGATTACGTTGTAGGAGCGAAGAATCTAGAGAGGAGGATTTTCGAATTTGTCGTAATGAATTCATTTTAAATGATTTTATTCTTCTAAGTTTTTCCATCTCAATTTCAAGATTTTTGTTGGAAGCTGAATAGTTAGGTTCTTGTTTCTTTGATTTCGTTGATCAGTTTTGTAATACAGATTCATTCGCATTTGCATTCTTTGAAGAATCTCTAATTTTGCCTTCAATCGAGTGCTATCCTTTCGGACGCCCATGCCGACTACAATAGCTCATGATTTCTGAAATCTCTGGGAACACACGCAACGGTACGTTAATCCACTCATCTATTTTGTTTTTCCGAGATATCGTGTTTTGTTTCATCCGTGATTCGAATGCGGTTTGTACGAATTTATCTAAATTGCAAAAATGAAATCGCGTTAACAATTTCAATCGCATTTGAATTCGCCGGAACAGTGATGCTCTCAATTTTGTGGTCAGGGCGTTTGGGATTGCGAATCGTCTCGTATTTAACGAATAAATCGCATTAGGTCTGGATTGAATCGATGAATGTGATTTTTGTTACCTTTTGAATGCTGCTGCTTAATTATTAGATTCTTCCTTCTTCAGCTCGCACACACATGATGATATTCCATAGAGTCGTTTGCTTAGTTGGGTAGAGATGGACCTAACTGGTCTTCTGACTTCTGCGGGGATCAACACCGGTGTCTGTGTGGGCCTTTTTTCCCTCTACTCTGTCTTGAGGAAACAACCGAGCTTTGCAAGTGTCTACTTCGGGCAGAAGCTTTCTCACGTGCATTCCAATCAGCAAGATCCATTTTGGTTTGAGAGACTCCTTCCATCCGCCAGTTGGGCTCTCAAGGCTTGGGAAGCATCCGAAGACGATCTCTATGCTGCCGGGGGTATAGACGCCGTGGTGTTTCTTCGTGCTGTTATTTTCAGGTGCTTACAGAGTTTTCTTACACTGCTTGTGATTGAATCTGTTGTTGGTTTTTGCTTATTGACGGCTACTGTAATTTGTGCAGTATTAGAGTATTCAGTGTTGCCGCGACAGTCTGCTTGTTTCTTGTTCTTCCGGTGAATTATTATGGCAAGAACATGGTGCATAAGGGAATCTCTGGTGAAAAATTGGATGTGTTTGGCATTAGGAACATCGCTGAAGGATCAAAATGGTATGGAATATTGGAATGTGTAATTTCATTTCATGGAATTCAAATTCTCTCAACTTTTGCCTCTTAAATCTTGTTCTCCGCAGGCTTTCGGTTCATTGTCTTGCATTGTACATCATCACTTGCTGCAGTTGTCTTCTTCTTTACTTTGTAAGAACAATGGCAGGGCTTTCTTCTCATCCAGATATCTCATTTACAAATTTGATGTTCTTCTGTTTGATATTGGCAATGGCCTGAATTTAGGAATACAAGAACATCATGGAAATGAGATTGGCACACATCGGCGAATCCCTTTCTTCCCCGAGCCACTTCACAGTGATCGTTCGCGCTATCCCTTGGATCCATGGAAGATCATACAGTGATTCTGTGTACAAATACTTCACAGACTTTTACTCGTCGAGCTATTTGTCGCACCAAATGGTTTACGAGACTGGCGCAGTCCAAAAATTGATGGTGAGCATTTAACTAGATTGCATTTTGACGACAATGTACTTATCCTCTGATATTATGTTCTGCGCAGCGCGACGCCGAGAAGATGTACAAGATGCTCAAGTCTAACCATCTCGAGAAACACTGCGCACCACAGTTTATGAAATGCTGCTACTGTGGAGGGGCCGCTACATCCTTCAAAATTCTTCCGGATGAGTCTGAAACATCGAAGAAATCCAACAGTTTCGACACTTCGGATATGAGAAAGAAGGTACACATAGACACACACACATTAAAATGCACTCGAAAGGCCATGTCTGAATTTCATGGTGCTAATCCTGTCTTCTGCAGGAGTGTGAAGCTGCACTGGTGTTCTTCAGGACTCGTTACGCAGCATTACTAGCTTCGGAGGCTCTTCAGTCGCCGAATCCTATGCTGTGGGTGATCGATGCTGCTCCGGAGCCTCAGGACATCTTCTGGTCGAACCTATGCTTGGTGTTTCGTCTGCTATGGATACGCAAGATCATCGTCAGGGTCGCCTCTGTTTCGTTCGTGATCTTCTTCCTCATCCCGGTGGTGTTCACGCAGGGCCTCGTCCATCTCGACAAGATCAGGAAGATATTCCCATCGTTCACGAACATCTCGCAGAGGTACTAATCCCGGAACCTCTTTCTTCTTCGATTCGAATTTACAACGATACATATGATCATATCATCGAAAATCTCCTCCCTGATATATTTCCCCACCCTTTTTGTTTTGCATTCTACTAGAATCACAAAGGATTACAACTCGGTCTTCCTTTTTTCTTTTTCCATGAAGATTCTTGAGGAGCTGATCACTGGATATTTACCTAGTGTTGTGTTCATCATGTTTCTCTACATCGTCGCCCCATTGATGATGGCTTTGTCTACTCTGGAAGGCCCCAAATCCCGCGGCGGCCGAAAACGAAGCACCTGCGTTAAAGTAGTCCTCTTCTACATCTGGAACGTCTTCTTCGCCAACATTTTATCAGAAGCAGCAATCGGCCATTACCAAGTCTCCATCCAGAAGCTTGGGGATCCGACAAAGATCCCCAACGTGCTCGCCCGAGCAGTCCCGGCCACGGTACTTATACCCAAATCTTATTTCATAATTTATAAGTCTGCATTTCCAAGCTTAATTTCGACGGTGCAGGCGACGTTCTTCATGACGTACGTGATGACGTCGGGGTGGGCGAGCTTGGGGCTGGAGCTGATGCAGCCATTCCCGCTCCTGAGCAACATATTTTACAGGTACATCGTGCACGACGACGGGGAGGAGGACGAGTCTTCGTCGACTTCGACGACGGTGTCGGATTACATATACACGTTTCCTTATCACACAGAGGTTCCGAGGGTGCTGCTGTTCGGGCTGCTAGGGTTCACGTACTCGATCGTGGCGCCCATGATTCTCCCCATCCTGATGATCTACTTCATCCTGGCGTATTTGGTGTACCGCAACCAGATTCTGAATGTGTACATTACCGAGTACGACACCGGAGGGCTGTACTGGCCCATCGTGCACAACACGACCATATTCTCCCTGGTGCTCACACAGACCATAGCTATGGGGTTCTTCGGAGTTAAGAAATCTCCGGTGGCGTCCACCTGCATAATACCGCTGATCATATGCACCCTTCTCTTCAACGAGTATTGCCGCCAGCGGTTTCAGCCAGTGTTCCGGAAGATCCCAGCACAGGTATTCATTAATTGATTGATTGTAATTAGTATATTGTAACAATTTGGGAATAATTAATTTGCAGACGATCATCGAGATGGATCGGAAAGATGAGACGTGCGGGAGGACAGAGGAGATGCATCAGATGTTGCAGTCTGCTTATTGCCAGTTCAAATCGAAGTCCCTCAATTTGCACGAAACTGCAAAGCAGAACCACCACACGCACTGTATGGAACTCGAAATTAACTAACTTCATATTTATATACTATAATAATTTATAATCATCAGATCAAATTGACATATTGATTGATGTATAGTGCTGCTGCATGCATATGGGTATGGGTGGGTAGATACATAGATAGGTCAATAATTTATTAGTATTCTTTCTATTTATTTAATTACCCTATAACTAATATTGTAAATTGATTTTGTTAAGGCTGCTATTGCATATAGTGTGAATTCATAAATAGATTCTCCATGATTTTCTGTGTGGAGATGGAAAGAATAGAATAACAATTAAATAATAATTAATGAATAATATAATATAGAATTAATTAGTGAAGAAGGTGCAGTGCATGGTGTCGTGGTGGGGTGTATGTATCTTCTTCTCTTTGGAAGCAGAATAAAACCACACACACACACACACACATATATATATATATATATATATTGAATTGAAACTGCTTTTTGGTGTCCCTGAACAGTAAGAAACGACACGACAATTCCTTAATCCAATTTTATGTCTCTAGTGATCGACCGAGTGTCAATATCGCCCATTTTAAAAAAATACCTATTTGCAGCTCCTTAATTAATTTATTAAGCACTCGATCGGAATGTTTCACAATTTGTCGTCGTTTGCGTGTTGTTACATACATCACATTAATTTATTATTCATTTCTTTTCAATTATATATGATCTTAATTCTACACACATATATGAGATATGGTCATTTAATTTAATATATAGCCAAGAAATTTCTTGAAAGAGGGTTTAATTGGTTGTTTGTTTAGGGATTTTAGTGTTATGCTGTTTCTTCTTAGAGTATATTCCTCTAAACTTTACAGAAAACTATACATATATTTAAACAATTTAATTGTTGTTATAGATTATTTTCATATTTAATCCTCTCCTAATTATACATACATATATATATATATATATATACAGATATGATAGAGCAGATAAGAGAGTGAGTGAGGTGGTCCGAGTTATTTAATTGAGTATAAAATAATTAATTAGTCAAAGTGCTCATAACAAACCTTAGACCCTAATTAGCTAAACCTAACGTATTATTGGTTTTAGTTTTGGACCAAAAAGTCAGCCTCAAATTGTCAATCTATACACTATGGGGTGGTTTAGCTATCTTTAGGTTGTGTTCTTTTTGTATTAATTATTCATTAAAAATTTGTGTTCTTTAAAAAATTGTAAATGATTTTTTTTTTTTTTTACTCCAAATATGGTAGCAACAATAACATTTTAATTAAAAGATAAATGTTTGATAGAATATTATAAAAAGTAAAAGTTAGAAACAAAATTATTATAAATGTAGATAGATGAATGTGAATATTTTGGGAAAACACAGCCAAACAAGCCTCACCTTCATCTATCTATCTATATATATATATATATATATATTTGTACGACGAGAGAATCGCAGTGGCTATTTATATATATTACGTATGTTTATTTTTGTTTACAAGAAATAAATTAGATAAAGTTTCTAGGTGTTAATTGTAATCTCATAAAACTTGGAGCTTTTACTTATATCAAATTAATATTTAATCCAAATAATTAGTTTATTAAAATCCCTTATAAAATACTTACACCAAAAAACATGTTACAATTTCAATTAATTAGGTGGATCAATTTGATTTCCCACACTTTTGACACTATTTTTAAAAGCTAAATTAGATGCAAAGTGTTTTCATCTATTATTTTGTCCCATCAAAAATGATTTGGCCTTATGAAAGTGAAATCGTGACTTGCACACTTGAAAAATAACAGTTGTGAATATTGATATTAATATAAAAAATTATGATCATTTATCTACTAAACTACATAAATAGGAAAATTAAATATAAATGTCTTATTTTCTGCTCCGTCCCTTAACAATCTATTTATTTTTTCATTTTGGTCCGTTTCATAACAAAGTATTTATTTTTTTAGTAATTGTACTATCTACCTAACATTACAAATACCCTTCTAATTTACAGTATATTACACAAATATCATTACCTTTATATCATACAATACTAGGGTTAATTTAGTCTTTTTATCTTTATTTTTATTTTATCCCAATATAATACTAATATTTCTAAAATTCCACGTAAAAAGTAAATTGATATATACATACGGGACGGAGAAGGGAGTATTTTTTTTTTAAGAATGTGGCAAATTTCTTGTGAATAATATTGTACTACTAATTTTATTGTGGTGTTTTGTATGAGATAAAGGTACAGCTAATTATTTAGGTACTTTCTTGTCCTAATTAGGGTTTGAAGCTACAAATTAATTATACATTTGGAGTTGGATCAGCTGATCGATCTAATTAACTTGTGTGTATTACAATCTTCACATGATTCTCTCTAGAATTCATCATCAAATTCAATAGAATATAAATATTCATAATTAACATAATCACAACAAACAAGAAATATATTTAATTAGGGTTTCTACAAACCTTAAGATAACATATAAATATATATATCATCGACCCATTTACACCTCGATGAATTCAAAATGCTCAGCAATAATCAACAATTAATTAATGTACACCAACAAATTTTATTAGAATCAATCATAAACCATCACTAAATTGATGATGATCTTGATCATCATGATACCTGATCATCATCTTCTCTGCAACTACCTCCTCCAAACCGCTCCCTGCAGCAGCTTCCATGGCCGCCGTTGATCCTTGCAAGAACCCTTCTCCGCTCTGCGACGCCGGCGCATGAAAAATCATATTAGTATTGATCTCCCCCCAATCATCCATTACAGTCGAGCTCTCGTGATCATACAAGAAATCCAATCCCTCCACCTCTTTCTCACCATTATTATTATTGTGATGCATTTTAACGTTCGAATAATCGAACATTAGCCTCTCCATAGCCTCGTTCGACAAATCGACGACGCCTCCCCAAGGCGCCTCCCCCGACAACACGGCCGTGTTAATCACCGGAATTTGAGACATTGAATTACTCGCCGTTAAATCCATAGAGCAGTAACTATTCTGATTAATTACAGAAATGTCACTCATGGCAGGATACTGATGACGATGATGATCGGCGATCTGATCATCGCCGCCGCCTTCGTCGGAAAATCTGCCCCCAAGTTTGATCAACAGCCGCCTGATGGACGCGTGGTCGTTGAACCGCGGCTCCTCCGGCAAGTAAGGCACCGGAGGAAGAACCGACGGCGGCGGCGGCGGAAGTTGTGGCGGCAAGCAGCCGCCGTAACCGCCGGCCAGCGGCGGCGGTTGCTGGAGGAAGACAAGGCTGTTAGGAATTGCAGCGGCGCCGGCGGCATTATCCCCGCCACAATTAGGTTTTGTAATTCCCCTAATTGCAGAGGCAGAATCTCTTGCAGCTTTCTGCTTCCCCTTCCGCTGCTTCCCCAAAAGCTTCTTCTTCAACCTCGTGTTCCAGTAGTTCTTGATGTCGTTGTCCGTCCTCCCCGGCAGCTGCGCCGCAATTATCGACCACCTGCCGGAGAGAATTTAATTTAATTCCATGGATTTTGATTAATGATTCACTCTCCATAAGTTAATTAATTGATCAATAACCTGCTGCCGATGCTTATGTAGAGGCTGCAGATGATGTTGTCTTCTTCTTCAGAGAATCCGCCATGTCTGATGTTGGGGCGGAGGTAATTCAGCCATCGCAGGCGGCAGCTTTTCCCGCACCTCTTTAACCCTAATTATATCAGAAACCCCAAAATTGCTAAGTTCGATCACGACCTCCAAAACAGAAATTAAATCACAAAATTGATTAATCGGGGAAGAAGAACTACCGATCTTCTGAGGCAAAGCGATCCAATTTCCTCCGGTGCCGTGCTGATCGATGTAGGACTTGAGCTTGGCGTCTTCCTCCGGCGACCATGGGCCCTTCTTGACGTTAGCCTTGTCGCAGCAAGGAGCTCTCCCCATGGATGGATCGATCGATCTCTTACTGAAGGTTATAAATTAATCACAGTCTCTATCTAGCTAGCTGCAACTAATAATTCTTGATGGAATCAGAGGAATGAGATTAAAATGGTGCAGGGAGTGAGTGTGTGCTTGTGAAGGAGAGAATTGAAGGATTAATTAAAAGAGAAGGAAAGGGACAGATGAAAAGGTCTGTGAGGATGACGAAGATGATGATAATCAGATCGAAGACAAAATTAATAAATTAATGAAAAAGGAATGGAGGATGGAATTGATTATACAAATAATTAATAGGAAAATGTGTTGGCAGAAGAGAAATTGGAAGGGTTTTCTTGTTGTCTTTGTGTGTCGTCTGAGGATCATTTTATCATCATCATCATCTAATCTCTGGGCATTATTATGTCTTGATGCCCTAAAAAGCTGTGCTGTTGCTCCTGCTGCTTTTATTTTAATTTAATTTATTTCTAGTCACAGATTATCAGACACACATATATATATATATATATATTTCATTGTCAGGAATTTCTTCATCTTTATTTTAATATGTTAAACCTCACATTGATCTACGAACAATTGCTGAAAAATATATGCTGTAATATTGGAAAAGCCTGTTTTATTTATAGTTCTTTCATGGAATATCTAGTATATAATTATTTTATACATTTTGGTTTAATTGAATGAAACTTATTTTTCTCTGAAAACCCAAATTATATATGTGCATATATATATATATATATATATATTTCCTTTAATTTAAACACTACTTTCAACCATTTTTTTTATTAAAAAAAATTAACCAAAACTTCTGAAAGCAACAAAATATTGAAATATATATATATATATATATATAATACTACCTCATATTAGTTTTGGTTATTTTGTTACACTATACATATATTTTTATAAATAGCACAATAGAGATAGCTTTCTCTCCATTTTTCCAAGGCATGCTTTTGTTTACAGAAATTTGTAATTAATAAAAAATTTATATATACAAGAATCTTTTATTTGTGTTTGTATAATGTGATTTGATATAATCTGTTATGAAAATAATATTGTATTTCTTATGGAGTAGTGTTGTCATGACAAGACTTTCATAAAAAATTCCTTACACAAGGAAAATAGTTGTATTAATATTACTTTGGATCTTTCTTCTTTAACATACATCCAGTCTAAGATTTTCTTTTGATATTCTGTGAATGTTTTGATCAAAACAACCTTGAATTATTTATTTATTTATTTATTTATTTTTATGATTTGTATGGATAATTTTGACATAAAATTTGAATAAACCATAAATCTAAAACCATGGTAAAAAAAAAAAAAAAGTGAAGGCTACCACAAAAAATGTGAGGCCTAGCAGAATCTCGAATCCACCAAGAAATGTGTGTACGTATACTTGCACAATATCGAATCTTCAAAGATTAATCAATTACAAATTTTTTCAAAACAGCTGTATGTAGGCATGCATTTTAGGAACCTATGTTGACTATCTATCTATCTTTATCTATATTTGACCAATTAATGATTCATTAGTTACTGTATGAGTATCTATTTCCTTCAGTGTGTTATTTTTCCCATGTTTGGTGAGAATTTGGTTGATATATACACATCTTATACATCAATAATTATTTATCATTTAATTTATTATTATACCTTCACCGGAGGAATGATCGCTTAATGATCAGCGTTAATCAATCATATCGTAATAATATATTAAATACATTTTATTAATATTTGGAACAAAATATATATATATATATATTAACATAATACAAATATTGATAATACATAATAATAATAATAATAGTAAACGTCATAATTGATCCCGACACAGCATATTATTATAATACAAATACACACTGAGTTATCAATATATGATACCGTGACACAAGTACAACACATTCTTTTAATTCCAACTATTTATATAATTATTATTACCATGTGCTAATTATGAGTAATCAACAATCAATGTCCTAACCGGCCCTATGCTCTCACATTAATTAATCAATTCATAACATGATAACATCACCTTCCTTTTTTTTGTGTGTGTCAAAACATTACTTTAAAATTCTTTTATCATTTTTTAAAATCATATCAAATATTTTTATTTTATTTAGGATTTTATAAAATATCTATTCATATTATATTAAAAAAATAAATCCAATTTTTATTTTTTATTTTTTATTTTTTCTTAAAAAAAGTTATTGTGAGCAGGTGACAAGCAATTTGGGCCTTAAGGCCCGACAACGCTATTCCTCTAAGCAATAAATGTAGTTGTCTGTAGGTGTGTTCGTATTGTGAGTTGTCTCTAAGCAATTTGGGCCTCTAAGGCCCGACCACGTTATGACTTAAGACAAGTGTATGGTAAATTATTGTCATATTAGACATTTTATATCTATATGTCTCAAAACAAGGTTACTATTTTCAATTTAGTAATTGTACTACCTAACATACTATATATCCTTAACTTATACTATATAACACAAATATCGTTACTTTTATATTACACAATACTAATAGAAGCATTTTCGTCTTTTTCACTACTACGCATTATAATACTAATATTAAAAAATCTACGTGCAAAAAGTAAACGACAACCTTGCACTTGGACCGGGACGAAGGGAGTATATTTTTGTGTATTGAGACTAATAGTAATATATGATATATATGTATAGATCATTATTATTTATTTAATTTATATGTTGCATTCATATTATTTCAATTAAAATTTGGTATTTCATTATTTTTACTTAAATGTGACACTAGTCTATACCATTATAGACATTCACTACATTAGGAACCTTTACATTATTGATGAATTTTCAAAAAATATATAATTTTATCTTAAAAAGTAAACACGATGGAGTGACATTCTTCAATCGATTTGGATCATCCATCTTTGAGTATCCGGGACAACACCGTTTTGTATCGCGATCAATCTTGAATAAAGCTTCTCCGACACCAGAGGCGAGCTGAGTTTATAATCGATCCTAGAAAACAATTCGAGCTTCAAAACAATGCACAACAATGTCCAAGGAGAATCGGCAAACTTACCTGCTGCCCTTATACGTAACGCTTCCTACAGGCGCGACGCCGACTGCTGTTCCGGTGCAGAACACTTCATCAGCTTCCATCAGTTCCTCTATCGAGATACAGCGCTCCTCGACCTGCAACAACTTATCGGGCAGCCATTATTGATGGTGTATAAATGGCAGCTGATGATAAATATATGAATGATCGAAGGCACGAAGATCGCACCTCGTAGCCGAGAATGTAAGCAATTTCCATGACACTTTTACGCGTGATTCCTTTCAAAATGGTTCCATTTGTCGCCGGAGTCGACAGAGTGTTTCCCTGCAAACATGTAATTGAACTGTCGAGATTCAAAATCATGCCAAATTTATGAAGAAATGGATTTCAATTATTAGCTTTTGGCGACTGTTACTATGTTCATATACCTTGACGATGAAGACATTGCAAGAAGAGACCTCCTCGATGTTCCGTTTGTTAACAGAATCGAGGTATAAGACGTCGGAGAATCCTCGGTCCCTTGCCTTGCTTATAGCTTTCAAAACCTACAAATGGAATTTAAGAATGAAGGATGAGATCTGTGTGTACAGTTGCAGAGGAATTTCATAGGAACATGGCGTTTACAGGTGCATAATTGGTGATGGTCTTGACGCCGCCCGCGCCGCCGCGGGCGGCGCGGTGAAACTCGTCTTCGACGTACAAGTTGAGCGGCGCAGTGCCTTCCTGTAAAGAGAAGCCAATAATTGAAGAATCAATGCACTTGCAGTTGCAGATCGTCGTCTTCCTTCGAATCCTATTCAAATTACAGAGAATCTAACCTTGAAGTAGTTTCCAACAGGGGAAGCATACACTAAGAACGTGTATTCCGAAGCCGGCGCTAGTCCTAGAACAGGTCCGCTGCCGATCAGCAGAGGCCTAATGTAGAGTGATCCTTTGCCAGGGGGAGGAATCTGCTCAAATTCAACCGTAAAACATACAGCGAGGAGCATCCGTTAATGGCGATCAGAACTATGTATGGAATATAATTCAATTACCCATCGCTTGTTCGCCAGAGCAGTTTGTTTCACAGCAGAGACGAATTGACGAACAGAGGGAGAAGGCATACACATCCGTTCCGCGCCGATTTGCATCCGAATTGCATTTTCTTCGGGGCGGAATAGGAAGATGCCTCCGTCTACTCTTCTGAAAGCTTTCGTGCCTTCGAACAATCCCTGGCGACCGCAAATTAGGTTTGAATATGAACACTGATAATTTATCCCCAATTTTTGGGAGCAAATTTGTTCGCTCTAAATCAACCGATGATAATTGATACCTGACCGTAGTTCAACACTCCTGCAGAAGGACTCAATTCGACGTTACCGTAAGGACTGATCTCGCCTTGTTTGAATTCGAACTCCTCGTCATTCCCGCACTTCATCATGTACATATAATCGGTTCGCATCAAACCGAACCCTAAGTTGTTCCAATCCACGGGTGCGTATTCATCGTTGTCATTCAATCTGCAGATTATCGACAGGAGCAGAAAGCATCACTCGATGAAGATGCTAAAAGACGTATGAATTAGAGAATTGTAGATACCTGAAGCTTGACGGTGCGTAAGGCTCTGGCAGGGAAGATGCAGCCGCTTGAGTACCAAAATTGGCAGCTCTAATCTACAATCAAAACCACATAGATCGTCCATCTCAAGTAAATTCTATATCGGAGAAATTCACACGAGGCTAAAATCATCAAATCCAAACCACAAATTTCACAACTCCACGCAATCTACCCTACCAAACAAAATATGCTCCAATTAACATCACACAGAATCTTCCAGAATCCAGATCATACACACTCCATACTATTCCGAATATTTCACCACCATGAGATTGAACATACAAAAAAAAAAAAGGCGGAGAAAACACCTTTGATGCGTGATAACTCGAACGAGTCAGTATTCTGAGACAAACACTCTTCTGAATCAGCATGACCGGCGGTGACAGCTCCGACGAGGCGGCGGTGTTAGTTCAATTCTCTGCAAAAGCTAAAAAACCAACAGCTAAGAATTAAGATGAAACTAGATTATAGACATGCAAACAATGAATTTTTTCCATAAGCAACTGATCACGTTACCTATCCCAATCACAACAAAATCCAACAAAAAAGGTACAATCAGAATCACAATCACCCGAAAAGATCGTCAAAACTCTACTATCGATACTTCAGTTCCCACAAAATCAATTAAAGCTCTAGCTAGCTATATTTATAGACAGGTTTTCCCTTCAAAGAGGATATTATTCTCTCTTTTTTAGCCGTACCAAAATTAATAAATGATTCAATACGACACATACAATTAGTTTGAGCTAACTTTAACTGATCCTTGTTATTATTATCATTATTATTATTATTATTGGTACAAAAAATAAATAAATAAAATTAAAAGAAAGGTTTCCAAATATTAGGGAATAAAAATTGGACACGCAAGTGTGTGTGGATTTGTTTGCTGAAAATAAAATTGATGTCATACTCTATCATAATTGATGAGGATAGGATCCTGCATGGGCTTCGTTCGTCTGTAGCACACATATATCTTCTTTTTTTAAAAAAAAATAATAATTTTGTTTCATTTCTTTTACTACTATATACTAATAATTGGTATTCAATTCCTTATAAAAATATTTATCTTTTCTCTTACAAAATTATATTATCAAAACTATATTTCAAACAAAAAATAAATAAAAATAAAATAAAAGAACTAAATTAAATTCCAAAAGGCCTAGTTTTGGCCTAATTACTTATTTATTTCTATAGGCTAGGGCTTCCACGTCAGCAATTATCAGACTCATCATCCACCAGAAAGATATATACATGCATGCACAATAATAATAATAATAATAATAATAATAATAATAATAATAATATTAGATAAGTTCGAATGAATCAATACGCATATTTTTATTTATTATTAATTAGCCCTCCAAGTTTATCTTTGATTTTGTTAGTTGTTGCCAAACATTCCATTCAATTTAGTGAATATTTAATTTAATATTTATTTTTATAAGATTAAAAAGGTCACTTAGATTAGATCTTTTTCGATGGGACCACTTTGCCCTCGAAAGTGGGAAGGATTAGGGACTGATAGTGGTGGCATTTTTGTCTTTTCTCACATCTTGTGATAGACACAGGGCAACCCATTGAATACGTGCATTTTGGACACGCCTCATTTTGGACACTCCTAAGTAAAGTTTCATTTTCAAATTTATAATTTTTATTTCAACTTTTTCTTTTTCTTTTTTTTTTTTAAAATTTTTTTTTTCAGAATGGATCGATTCAATTATTTATATATTTTTTAAAATGATAAAGTAATTCCATAAGAAGCAAAAAACGTGTGGAGTATTGACTGGCCATTTTATTTTGGCAATTTTCTTTTTCTTGAAAATCCAACGAGACTCTTCTACAAGTAAAGTTCATATATGGGACAATAATATAAAATAATATTTGCAAAATAATTCCCAATAATCTTTTTTAAATATGAATATAAAAATCTTCTAAGAAGAAGGCCCAATTAAACATTATGTAAAGATGGCTTTATTATCTTTGAGATTTTTTTTTTTAATATGAAATATCAATAATTATTTATAAAAATATATTATTTTAAACAGAACATCACCTAAATACAAATACATTTAATTGTAAATATGTAAATAACATTTAAATCCTATTTAGCTATTTACAGTTAAATACCTGCAGCTATTTATAAACCTCCACAGCCGTCGGATTAAAGAGGCAGGCCAAATCAACGACGAAGATGAGTTCACTATTTGGTGCATCTTAAATTCTTTAGTGTGCTGATGTTTAGGATTATTATTATCCAGAAAAAAATAATTTTTTATCTCAATATAACTAAAATTTATTAATTTTGATCTCAATATAAAAATTTTATTAATTTTGATCTCAACGTAACCAAACCTCATCATTTTTGTTCCAATATAACTAAAACTCATTATTTTTTGTCCCACTATAAATTTTTTATTAATTTTAGTCTTTTTTTTTGTCTCACCGGCAACAAATCGACGGAAAATGCTGATATGAAAAAAATAAAAAATCAAACCTTATATTTATATTTGAAGAAATTTTACAATCTTGCAAGTCCACGTCAGCATTTTTCGTCGGTTTGTTGACGGTGGGACCAAAAAAGATGAAATTTGATTATATTGGCACCAAAAGTGATGAATTTTTGTTATATTATAACTAAAATTGATAAAAAAAAAATTATATTATAATAAAAAATGATGAGTTTTTTATTATATTAGAACCAAACGATAGTTTTGATTATATTGATACCAAAATTAATAAAAATTTTATATTGTGACCAATATTGATAAATTTAATTTATATTGGGACAAAAATAATTTTTTCCCTTATTTTATTATTAGTAGTAGTAGGGCCCAAGATTGTTATTGGGCTGAAAACTAGTTTTAAGTAAAGCCCAGATGGCGGAAGAAATTTAAATTTGTTTTTTCTTTTATTATTATTATACTCATTCCCTTGCCTTTAAAAGCATCTATTTTGTTATTTTCAATTATTCAAATACAGAGTATTATTTTCCTAATAATATTAACTCATTATACATTGAAATACTTCCAATTCTATACATATTTATATCAAATATCATTATAATAATTTCCACATTAAAAACAAAATAAATTTTGTACACAAAAATACGACTAACTAAAATTACAATACAATATTTGCACCAAAAGTAATAAACTGCACTATATTCAAGACTGAATTTTTAGTATACAAATTGTGCAGTGTCAGAATGCAGCAGAGTTGGGAACACATGAAAACAACATTAGTTAATGGAAGCCCATAATTCATTCACATGTCCCTTTCTTCAACCATGAAAACCAAGTCAATTCTCCAAATATCATGTATATATATACATACACATATACATACAAATCAAGAATCTTGCCTATATTAAATTACATGCACAATTTGCTAAACTCTGCCCTTTCCTCCATTCAAGACACATGCACACGCACACAGTCTTTTCTCTCCTGAAATTAAAAATCAAAGCCAGCATTCATACATATCCTAAACTCCACTGTCCTAAAATCATCCATTCCATTCTCATCATCAAAACAACATATCTCCCAAGAAATTCAATGGGGTGCATCAAAACATCAAAAAGCAAGCAGCAACTCCTGATTATAGCTCTATTTCTAATCCTACTGCCATTGATCTCAACATTAAGCTCTTTCCATATGTTTTCCCAAGGTAACAAAAAGAACATCTACTTCTTACACCAAGTTTTCTTTCATATGTACACTAACCTTGTTGCAGCAACAATCTTTTTATATATATTTTGTCCAGGCAGGGAATTATCCAGCAGGGTGTCATCTGATGGCACCAACTTGGTAAGATTCTTCCACTCTTTATTACAAGACCCCTTTTCATCACATCAAACAGTCACTGATTGTGATGAGCAGCTGCAGGTAAGAAAAAACAATCAAGAAAGAGTTAGGTTATTAGTGATGGGGTCAAGACCTCCAAGATGTGATGAAAGTATGTGCAAGAACTGTGGGCAATGTGAGGCAGTCCAAGTCCCTATTTCACCCACTCAAGAAAATGATGATCAGGTGATGCAACCAAGGGATGACTTATTTGCTGCTGCATATGACAGAGGAGATGATATCTCTAATTACAAGCCTATGTGCTGGAAATGTAAATGTGGGGATTTAATCATCAATCCTTAGATTCAGACATTTTTGCATCAAGATCCTGTTTATTTTTTCTTTTTTTGAATGGGATTGTGGTCCTTGGACCTTGAATCCAGATGGAAGCCACACACCACCATTCAAGGTGAAGCAGGGCTGTGCACTTAGTCGGGACCTGGGCCCCGTGGACCCGCCAAGAAATCCTCATCCTCATCCTCATCCCTGTTTGGCAATTCTATCTATTATGTATGTATGTATGCACCTGCAATTTTAAGTATAAAGTATTCGAAATTTGATTAAATAACAAGCAGAAGATAAACTTCTTATCCTCGAATGGATAAATAAGACATGAGAATGGGACCTCCTGTTCTCAATCTCTGAATCATTAACTTTATGGGGCCGTTTTTTCAATTAATTAATTCGTTGATTCAGAAGATATTTTATACCTTTCAAAAATATATATGAAAACGATAAGATAATTATATATTTTACCTGCAAATGGCATTGTCAGAAAGACTTCTCTGTATTATCTTGAAATTTAATTTACACATTTTATTTGCATTTCTGCCGTCTTTGGAATTACTTCCTAACATGAAAAACCTTTAACATCAAATTATGGAGTAGAAGTAAACAAATTGGTCACTATCAGCTCAACTTAATATTCATCAATACAACTATCATATCACACTCAAGTTGTTTGTTTTGGGTTTGGGGTGTGATAACTTGCGTTTTCTTGTTCATTTTTATCTTCATTTTCATAAAGAAGATATCAAATTTGATTTTCTTTAAAAAAAAAAAAGAAAAAGAAAGAAAGAAAATCCAAATCTAAAACACATGATCGAGAGAGAATCAATAGCTGTGTGTGTAAGTGAGGGAGAAAGAGAGAAATTTAACGTCCAGTTGACTTGGATCTAAGAACAGTTCAAGAATTGTGAAACACGAGCTGGTAAACATCCATAAATAATAACAGATGATATTGCTTGTTCTAGAAAAAAACAATTGCAAGAAATTGCATTAAAATCAGGCATACTTGTAGACGTTGTAGCCTCATCCACAAAATGAGATTAACTTCGAACTCTATTAGCATCTGCCCGATTCAAGTAATAATAGTTTGTGCGGGCGGGATAGAAAATCACGAGGCAAGCAAAGCTTCGAATAATTCGAAGCTTGAGCACACAATTATCCATGTTTGGGCTTGGCCAGTTGGTGTGAATTCCACTGCAGCAACATCCATATAATCGATGTGCCTGCCGGCACAAGAGCAGCAACAGTGTTCAATCAACTTTTAAATATCAATCACACGAGAAGTATGGTATGAATTATAAAGTACAACCGCAACAAGGAAAGAGATAGATTCAATGCACTAAATACGTACAATTTAAACTCATAGGTGCAAACTAGATTCGGGCAACTGATGTTGGACTTTTGGACAAGAAAAGACTAAAATTATTGACGCATCCATTTCTCTTTTTAGCTACATAATATTATTATACAATGAATAAAGTGCCAAACAAACTTGCTTTGGTAAATAATATATAGAAATAAATGTTTTTCTTGATGGCAACAGATGGCAACATTTCAACAGTAATAGGAGACTAGCATTTGTTTTGCATACATGAGAATACATGTTTGCTATAATATTTCTTATTCTCTAAATATCATACATTCAAGACTTACTGAGAAGAATAATGATTAAAAAAAAGGAAGAAATTTTTTGGATGGGGAAAGTTGAAAAAAAGAGCTAAAGTTATAAAATAAAGTGTAATTATTTTAGTTATTTCACTTAATGGGTAGTAAAGATATCTTGTTTGTTAACTTACTTGAAGACAGTAATCTTAGATTTTGATTCTAAACAATGACAGCATACTTGAAGTTTCAACTAAGAACAAAATGATGCATGAACAATGCATTATTATCCTAAAGTGAGATGCGCAAAAGATGAAATTTACTACTGACTCACAAGCAGTAAATGTTGCCATAAAGATCAATGGTAAACTAACAGTTGAAAACAACAAAATTTCCAGCATATTTACCCGCAAAAATGCCAACAGTTGTCAGATTTCCAATAGCCATGGTTTGGTATATCAGGTACTCAGTCAGGAAATGACCAAGAGCGTATATGAAGGATAGGAATGTGACCAAATACAGAGGCTTGTTATCAAGATTCAATGCGCAAAGAAAACACAGGGTGCAAGTCAACAGCGTCCATACTCCAAATGTCCGGCCGTGAACTTCAGTCACTACAATGCAATAAAATCAGCTATAAACTTGCATAACACAATGTCAAGCAGATCTAGCATAGAATCACCCAATGCAGATCTTTTCCCTAAATACCAGAATATCTTAAGACTAATTTATATGAAAAATGAATGTACATGTTACATATATATAGCAAAAAAATTTCCTATCCTTAGAACGTGAATTAAAAATAATGTGAAGGGTTCAGCAATAAGAATATGGCCAAAGTACTAACTCAATCAGACTGAATCAAAAAGGATTCAGATGAAAACTAGAGTTGGTGGTTCTAGTCGCCGTTTTAATCTTTTATACATACACTGTTAAGGCTTGAAAAAGTATAACTTGCGCTTCAGGACATGAAACCACTTAACAGAGACTTTAAACATCCCCATGGATCGTCCAGATACAACAGACGTTTCATTGGCTAACAAAATGTTTGCTACTCAATAATCTAAAGATGTAGCTCTCGCTTAGAGCTATTTGAGCATTTCATCACCAAAGAAAGTCAATCCATTCAACTCCGTAGATAAAACTACAAATATATGGTTGTGCAACAATGGACATAGGTTAGTTATATTGACCTCAAATAAACTGCGGCAAAGAACTCGACAGAAAGAACTAAAAATGGTTCTGTGCAATGGGCAGCAGTTCAATAAAGAAACACTAGAAACCCTTAGAATGCAAAAGGAACATCAAGCAATAATAACATTATCTTAGGCTCTCTTGAATCTTCCCAATTCTCAAATCAAGCCTTCACCATAAACAAAATCGTTTCAAATGTAGATAGCTTCTTGTTGTAATAAGAGACGTGAAAAGTGAAGCAGAAGGATGCAGACATCCTAACCAAATATAATTGAGCAGAAAATAAGTCCATAGAGAAAGAGATAGTTATCGGCCTAGCTTCCACTCCTTCACGGCCCCAAATATATAGCAAATCGAGCTCAAATCTACCAATATATAAATATATATATATATATAATATTAAAACCTTCTCAGAATTTAACAGCAATCATTTCTAGGCAAAAAAAATGCAATATTTATAACATATACTGGACCATTGCCAGATCCCCACATACACTAGCGATCCAGATCAAATCGTCAACTTCAAATTCTCTGTCGAAATAAACTCCAATTCGTGATTCCAACCAACATGAAACTGCACCGACGCAGCTCAAAAGCAATAAAAATGGAAGAAGTATGAAATTAGGAAGGAAACTATACTGGTGGCCTGGGAGAAGACAGCGAGGCGAAGAGCCCAAATGTCGAAGAATCCGAACCAGACGGAAGCCAATCGAAGTGTCCCCACCAGCATCAGCCACCATCCCAGCAGCTTCATCTCCTCCGACTGGCACAAGGACTCCTCGTCAAATTGCTTCAGATCCCACCATCCCACATCCCATTCCCAAACATACATATAGACATACAGTAATCCTAATTTAATTTAAAATTAATTTAATACCTAATAGCTCATTATCTGCATCTTTATTTTTTATTTCTACTCACATAGTAGTATTATTGTCGTTTAATCCAAATCACGATATTTCTAAGCATTTTTATTAAGAATATGGAGTAATATTTAAGTCTTTAATTAATAATTACCATAAATCCATAATTATGGAGTATTAATTAATTCGTAGAAATATAGGGAAACAAATTAATGGATAATAGCTGTACTGCAGGAGCGGGCCAGCCGGGCACGTGATCACTTTAACAATGTAAATTAACCACGATTAACTATTTCCTAACCATGGACAAATCATAAATCGCAAGTGTGTTAAGAAAAAAAAAAGAAAAAAACCAAAGTCGCATAAGTGAAGTAACGTTTTCAGAACAAAACAGTCACCCTCCCAAAGCCTCACACCTGCCGGAAAAAAAAAGTAGCCGCCGCCGGCGACCCTTCCCTGATTTCCCTCAATCTGTACACAACCCTAATTCCTCCTCGTTAGTTCCGATCTGATCCTACAGCTAACTACAGCCACCGCTCGCAAAAACACAATGGCATAAAAACGAGGTGTTGGTTAATTAGGGTTAATTAGAACGGAGAATCGTGCGGCGGCGGCGGGCACAGTTCCTTGCGAAGCTTTTGGGAGAAAAGCCTGCACGCATCCATGCTTAAATCCAGCGCCGCCGACAGTGCCACGTGTACGGCGGCGTCCTCCGTGCAGTTCACTTGCTGCACGCTCACCTCCACCGTCGGGTGCGACTTGCTCTTCTCGCCGGCGATGACGGCCGACATCACGAACCCTCGCGGCGCGCAGTACGGCCATAATAAGTACCCGAAATCGCCGCTGCTCCCCGGGCTGCAGATCGGCGACGGCGCCGACGACGACGCACTCCTCGTACTTCCATTGCCGTTGTTGCCGGAGCTGTTCTTTAAATCTATGACGAATTTTCCTCCCCGGCTGCAGCTAATTGTCGACTCGGTTAGAACAATCCCGCCGGCGGCGGCGGAGGCGGCGGAGTCGGGGATGAGTTCGAATCTGTAGCCGAGGCCGTCGGCGGGGCCGCGCTCCCGCCAGGCCTCGAGGCGGCCCCAGGGCTTCCAGGTCCCGTCGCCGGGGCGGAGGATGAGCCAGCAACCCGGGTTGGACCGGCTGACACGGTCCGAACCGGGAGACGCGACGAACGGCGTCACCATTGAAGCTGCAGCCACCGGAGATCCTGACAGATCGTGGATTGTAATGGACCATCCTTTTCTTTCCTTGACGGACCTTTCCCTGTCGCTCCCGAACGAACTTAGCCAAACTCTTCCGCCGCAGCGCGGCTCCGGCGGCAAAGAGCTGTTAATTAGACACAGACGAAAGTAATTAGTACATTAAAGTGATGAACCTTACAGTCTCGGAAAAAGTAGAAATCATTGCAGGATATTAAATCCTTCCTTAATATCATCGATGAACAGACGCATATGATTTTGGAAATGCAATTAATATCTTATTACCGCGAGCGCTGGCTTCGGTCGGCAGCTGTCCGGAAGCTGAACTTGCAGGTGAAGACCGGCTGCCGGACGTTTCCGCGGACAAGGAAGATCTGCGGGCTGCATTCCGGAGCTCCATCGAACTGGAAAACGAATCTCGGATCGGGTTCGGCTTTGACGTTCAAGTGAAATTGCGCACCACGTTTCGTTTCCTTCCCTAGATTAATCCATCCGCTGTGAAAAATCACAGCCCTTGATTCTGCCGCCTCCAGATCTAACGGCACAGAGACTTCCCCCAACAGCCGCCCTGAGTTGAGCCCACACGTGGTACCACGGCGGCCGGAAAATACCGAGATCGTCATATGCGGCGGCGTCGACGTGGAGCACAGCGACGACTTCCCCTTCAGTCGGTCCAAATCAGATTTACTGAGATGGAAAGTCGCCGCAGTCGGAGAATTCCCCTCCGGAAACTGACCATTCTCCGACGCAATGTACGGCACCACCGCACTCTGAATCGAGAAGTTCTTCACCTTTATTTTGCAGAAAAACGGCGACGACGAAGGATGCACGGCGGAGCGCACCGGCTTCGCCGCCACCGGCGTCTTCAGTCCCAAATTCCCCACCGTCAATCTCACGTAAGGGCAAGGATCCATATCCACACTCAAACAAATCCCCAATTAAACAAAACCCTAGAAAAATCCCCAAATCGCCAAACTTCCAAAAGCTCCTCTTCGGAAGAAATTGAGCAATCATCAACACACCTGCGACGGCGACGGCGGAATAACACTACGGAGCGGCGACGGCGACGGCGAGCAGCGGTAGTCCATAGAGATGCGCGCTTCGCCACAACGACTACTGCAACTTAACGACATGGTCCTGTAATTCTGCCCACTTCTCGTCATCTCATCGCTGTAGCTTTGGCGAAACCTAAATGAACTGTGGATTACAGCTGTGTACAGCCTGTCATGGTTCAATGTTGCGCCAGACAGACAGCGGTTGACACTCACCGAAATTATTAAAATGCCCCTACGTCACAACGTGAAATGACTAGAGTGCCCTTCGTTCTAAGGCCGCGTTTGTTCACCTTTTAAACGTATACTCGGAAAAGCGGACGGTTTTTTCCTCAGAAAAAAGATCTTTTTTTAAAATTAAGCTGATAGCGTGTTTTCGGCGAGGTGATTTGATAAAGAATTAAAGCGGGGAGGAAATATTAATGGAAAATTGAGAAATTTTTGGGTTTAGTTAATGTGGGAGATCCAAACAAGCCTTAGCCTTGGTTCGGATACCTTGCTGGTGGCCGTCGGATTCAGGATTATCTATGGACTTGGATGGGACACGTGGCGCACCGGCATTGTGTGTGTTTTAGTGAAACCTCGTGCGTGATCCGTCTCTCAGATTTGGACAGCCTGGCAAGACGTTGCTTTTATTTTCGGATAATCATTAATTATTGATATTGCCATTCGTGCCTTCATTGGTTCATTAATCATTACTAAAAATTAACGGAAGAAAACAAAATATATAAATTTAATATTATAACTTATTTTAATAGATAGTTCGTATTAATATATTTATTTTTAACTCAAAATACTTAAGACATATTTTTATGTGTATATCATTAAAAAAAGTAGTAGTAGTATTTTTTTATATTATTATTTGGTTCGGTCATGCATGCACGTGATGTACTAACAGGTGTAAGATTGCAGATCTTGAGAGAGAAGGCGAAGGGTATTAATATGTATGTGATCACTATCACTATTAGTTGAATTTTTTATTATATAATTATATTATACATATTATATTGACAATCTTGATTCACATTTATATATTCGATAACTTGTCCTTTTGGCCTAGTCACTATTGTTGGATGTAGAGGACTTCAGAACTTCTTTTTTTGGTAATAAACTGTTAATCTTTTTATAGATCTTGATAGTTAAGTATCTTATTTTCTGCTTGTGAGTGTATTGACATTTCATCTCATTTAGTTCTTGTTATAAGCATTTAGCTCTTTTTCTTTTTTTTTTTCTCTTTTTTACGATAAGCATAAGAATTTATAAAACTAAAATATAATATATATTATATTTTTTATAATATTTATGAAAAATTATGACACCCAAAAATATAACATGCACAAATTAAATTCTCCAAAAACACAAAAAAGGAATTTAGAAATTAAGTTTATTTAATTTCCCCCAAGGAAGGATGATTTACAAAGAAACAACGAAGAGAATGTTACCTTCAACTAATTGTCACACAGCAACAGCAAGAGCAACTGCAGCAGATTCATTCAGCAGCTGAGTAGAATTCCATGATGTTCGATCCATCCATCTATCATCACATTCGTCGTCGTCGTCGTCATAAAATCAACAACAAAAGGCCTCGATCCGACCACGAACACAAAAATAATATCGAAAAAAACATTTGTGGTGATGCTGTGACCATCAATCCTCTGCTGCATTCCTTGCCGGCTGCTGCATTTTATTATTTTCGTCGCGGATCAGATCAACAAGAACAACTCTCGTACAGCACGAGCTCATTCGACATGATCTACTACCGATCTCTCTTTTCAGAGGGCGTTCTGAATTTCTATTTGCCCTGTACTAGGCTCAATAGGAAGTCCGTGAATACATGTTCATATTCCGGTATTTTCCCATATCCTGCGCATCGATTGCAGCGTGGAATTAAAGAAACTAGTCTTTAGAAAAGAAGTGCAATGTTATTATCAAGAATCATTGGAATATTGCTTGCCTGGGAAGTAGTTAATGTCTATCACGTAGTAGTTGTCTCGAGTTCCATGTTTGCGGATTATGTCGAGGTTGAACAGCCTCAGGCCCTGGCGCAAAATCATTCGTTAACAAAATACCAAACTTATTCGTTTATTAATGATTTGACAAACCGTACCAGGCGATGGCGTAGTCCTCTAGCCAGTCTCTCCAGTAAAGGTCTTGGAGGGAGCTCTGCCAGCAAAAGAAAATGTTGAAACATGAGTTGGAATGAACTTATGGCGGATCGAAAAATAGATAGGATAGTCACCAGCAACGCAAGGATCTAAATCTGCATCATCAGCAGATGCAGCAGCGCAAGATACTCTGGGGAAGTGATAGACGCCGGCATTGTTTGAAAGTTCGAGCCTATTAACATCAGGCAAGGAGAATCTCCGGACAACTTTCACAGTTTCCCCGACAATATATACTTTGAAGAGTACTCCTCCTACAATAGCACAATGCGTGTCGGGATTGAATAAGTATGAATGAAAGGGTTTTGGAGACACTTCCTTCAGTTAAAAAAATCAATCTAAAAGCAAAATGGACGATCTGCACATACCATGATTAATGAATTCCTGCAGAACAAGAGGGGGGTTGAGATTCTGCAGAGATAACTCATCATAGGCAAGTGACAGCTCGTGTGACTTTGCAACCAATGGCTTCGCCACTGTGTAATATGTGTCATATGATATTGAATTAGAATTAATATTTACTGCAAATTTATCCAATTACTCTGTTTATAGTAAAGAAGTTACCCTTATATTTGAAGTCTGCGATATTAATTTAAATGTTTAGAAGACATACCAATAGGTAGCTTCAGCGCAGCCTTGTTCACTGCATCAGCTATGGACGATGGATCTTTCTTGATAACCAATTGCTTTGGGACACTAACTTGTCCTGCATGTAATTAGAATGTGAAACTTCTGATGGCTTTAGCAAAAGCCTAAAACTAAACGAAAAATATCAAGCATGAAAGAACAACAATAAAAATACAAAATCAATTACCATAGGAATCAAAAAGATTCATATCAGCAACAGCCTGAAGCATAGACTGACGGTTGTGCAAGTGCTGTATGGCATCAGGAGGATCAAGAACAGTGACACTCGGATGGGTTTCCCTATATTCCTTCAAAAGTGATAGAAATATAAATGATCAGGAATCCTCAGAGATTTTCCGAGCATGTTAATGCAAAAAATCATTCCATAACCACCGCCAGCCATGTGTGCCACAAGATTCAACGGAATATGCAAGGGAAGTGAAAGGAAATGGCCAAAGGAAAATACATAAATTAATACAAAATAGTAAGGGCTTAGATCATTTATGCAAGCAAGAAAGGAGCATAAAGGACCAGAGTTGCACTTTATGGTAGGCTATGTGTATATTACCCACTTAAACATATAGCTACCTCAAACAAACTCAATACATCAATGGGACTATAAAGAGCAAGGTCAAGGAAATGCCTGTGCATCTCAGGATATTGATTTAATTCCACATTAAGAATCATCTGAAAGATGAAGATTGAAGAATGTGAAATGGAATTGTTATCACATCCGATATATGTTGAAAAAGTCTTTTTGAACTAGTTAGTTTCATAGCTAAAACATGCTATCTTCTGCCAGCAAGTTAGGAACACAGTTGTCTCAGAATATATAAATCCAGTCAACAACTTGTAGCATCAAGACTGACCGGAGTGCCTCTACGAATCCTACTCATTAATAATACAATAAAAAGGCATATCCTAAGTCGGCACAGAACTGGGTGGGTATGCATGAAGCAAAAATTGAAAAAATGGGCCCATCATGAGTCATGAAAGATCATACATACTAAAACCATAAATCCAGTAGTCATCAATGAATGTAAATTCAAAATTAGCAAACAGCACGGGGAGGGATAACAATCACCACCCCACAATCATTTATTATCAAGCTATGATTAAGAACCAGCGAGGAAAAATAAAAAAAATTGCAAACACCTCAGAATAATTTAACTGGTTGCCCACCAGGCACCACCAATGAACTTGCGGTCTACGTCATCAGTGTGTATTGCTTGATGACCCTAAACAGCCAAATTTGTCTTTCTAGTGATAAAATCCAAGTCATTTCAGAAATCTTAGCTAATGCAGATATAGGGTGGTGAGACCAACCTCAAGTATGCGCCGCCATTCTTTTCCAGATAACTGTATGACCAAAAAAAGAAAAAAGAGGAAATGGATTTAACATTTGCACAACTCATATAGTTTTAAAATATTATACATTAGCTTAAAGATCAAGAAGGGTGGGGTAAAGGAGCAAGAAAAATCACCTTATGAAGTACAATGTCAAAAGGGCCTTGATCGGCAAGGGGCTTACTGTGGTCAATAGCAACAAATAAAATTCCCTTCTTCCTGCATTTTGTATGACCAAAACTGAATCAGCTGCTAGCATCCTCAGGTGATTCAGCATTGGTAGTTAAGAAGGTAGAAAGCTCACATAGAATAGAAAAGCATTCAGATCAAATGACGTAAACCTCAACCGACAAGAAGCCGACAGAAATACATGTCATATGAAAAGTGTTTCAGAATTTTTTTTGCAAAATCATCAATTTGGTTGGCTCATGATCCAATGAAACGTCTAGGCTCAAAAGAACAAAATTGAAAGATATCCAACAACATAGGTATGACACAAAAGAATGTAAATGAATGCAAAGCAAAACATAGATCCAAAATATAACACACAAGCCGAGTAGGGTATCGACAATATTTACAGGCCAGAATTCCATGACAAGACTACCACCAACACTTATCATTGGCAAGCACAATATTATCTTTGATTCTAAGTCAAATCTCCACTCAATACAAAACTACCAACAAATACAAGACTTTTGAGCTTAGAAAACAGAATGATAGCGACAAGAATCAGACAGTAATTGCTACTATTGTCAATGTGGAAAGTCTTTATGCAGGATTGTCACAATCAAGAATGTTCCCAGGAGGATATTCCATTTAGAGATCCAAATCTGGAAAAGTAAATATATCCCACGCAAGTAAAATTTTACACACGTTGGTCCCATAAATCGTTTAACTCAACTAACATAACATTAACAACAAATTTTCTGAAGCTGCTTATAACCTTAAATCACCAAGAAAAGAAGCTAAGAAAAAACAACCCAATCAAACAACAAATCAATCCATCTCAATCCACCCCCCTAACAGAGAAACCACATTGAACTAATTTACAAAAACGTGCATTAACACATCCAAAGTTACCCATCAGAATGCGCTACATGTCTCACCCAAAAGAATTGTGAAATTGAAACCAGACAATAAAACAAACACAACACGGTTAAATTACCTAGCTAAGCCTTCCAGTTTGGGCTGCAAAAAGCTCTTAACCTTTTTGGACGTAAGAGCATAACCGACCACAACCGATTTCATCGGAGACGGCGGTGAAAACCCACCGCCGGCCGCCACCGCGGCGTATCTCCTCTGAGCCACCAATTTCTCGTTCTCGTTTTCGTCGTTCCCCTCCCGCTCCAATCTGACCTCATTTTCCATCTCCTCCTCTTCCACACCGTACGCCAAGCCTCTCATCCTCATCCCCCGATCCTGCCTCCCCCACAGAAACACAAATATCCAATTATGTATGTTACAATCTCTAACCCTAAATCAATCCGCTTATCCCAAAACAAACAGGCTCGTCCTTTTATATACTATCAAAATTATCCAATTCCCCTTCGTCCTCTTCAATTTCGTGAGGCAAACGCCTCGTCGAATATCCTCCAAATGGCGCGGCTATCCGCAGCCTCTCGGTAATACCAATATGGGGCTAGAAATGGAGGTGGAAACCCAAGATTTAGCCAAAAAGAACGAGGATGAAGCGGCACAGAGACGTGCAGTTTTGCGCAAAGCGGGAGGCGAGAAACCTTACACGCGTACAAACGACGAAGAAGATGAGCTGTTCTCAGTGTAACAATGGCAGAGTATTGTCTAAGTCCCAAAACAGATGGAACACAAGCACTATATATAGACGGAGATAGAGACACCAAACTGTATCTATACATTACTAATATCTGTTACGTCTATACATACATACATACATACATACATAAATACTGGAAATTATTTTATATTATTTTTATTCTATTATTATATTTGTGTGGGCCCGACAGCTGTACACCCTACTTGCTGACCTGGCAGATGAGTCAAACAGTTCAATGATTTTCCTTAAAAAAAAAAAAATAGCAACTTGTCAATTACAATTTCTAATTTATTCGACTTTCGAAATTTAAATTTAAATTTAAAAATCTGTGATTAGTAGAAATTGAAATTTTTATCACTAACCTTTTAGTATTTGATATTTAAAAATTTGAATTTATATCTTTTTATGGTTATAATTTAATTAACTTACCTATTTGATAAATGTGATAATGACGTGTCATGTGTGGTGCAGATAAGCCTAATCTTCAAATCAAAATGGAGTGTTATTAGAGGTTCCCGGGACCTGTGGTCCATGTCCATATGAACGGAGATCATGCCTTGTCCCAGCACAATCAACGGCGTGATTCTTTCTGGGTTCACAACTCCAGGACCTTGAAACCAATCCTTCTTGTCGAACCCTATCTTCTATCTGTTTTTCTGAATAGTGTAAATTTTAATGAATCAAATGTTTATAAGAATATTCTGTTTTTTATTTATGAAATATTTTGAGAATATTCTTATAAAATAAATAATTAGAAGACCATGTTCAAATCTACCATTATTACAATTTTAATAATAATAATAAAAGAAATAGATAAATGAAGCTGGACTAATAAAAAATTAACAGCAAGAAAGTACTCCTTCCGTTATGTTAATATCTGTTCACTTGTTATTTTTTTCTTTTTATAGTAAAAAAAACGAGAATATTTTTCGATGATAATCCAAAAAGAAAGTTAGTATAGATTTAAATGACGGATGAAGTAATAAGTTTCTAAAATAGGTCGTTCACTAACACAAAACTAATTTAAATTTTAAATTTTAAATTTACTGGTTTGTGTACAGTGACGAAACTAACATCTAAATTTCGGGGGATAAAATCTTATAATTTATTTAATATTCAGCTAATAAATTTAAATAAATAATAATGGCAGAATTATATATGAATTATAAATACATAAAAAAATAATATTTTAATACTAAAAAAATCATAAAAATTGACACCTCAAACTCTAGTGTAGTTCCGTATCTGTTTGTGTGTATTTCATATCCAATCTGTATTAAAAGATTATATATCATGCGGTAGCGTTACGATGTTGGGTTAAATTATTTTGTTGATACTATTAAAGATATTTTGGTAGGACTAATATATACTTCAATTGACTAATAAGTCGCGAATATAAAGTATATTAATTACGTGCCCATGCTAGTGGGATTTAACAAAATAAAATAAAATGATAAAAATCTTGTGTAATTGCTACATTTTTGGACCACTATAATTAATTTGCATGGATTTTGTTTTATTTGTGACATTTTGATTGTAATTGTTTGGTAACTTTCCTGCCAAATTGTTTAAATATAATTTCTGATAAATTTTATGTAGTTGGTGTTAGGTGGGTCAGCTGGATATTATATATATATATATAAGTAAAATTATATACAAGTTTGGAATGATATTTAAATAAATAAATAATGACGTTACATGTAATTGACATAACATATTAACACCCGCTAATTCCAACGAGTGAATTCTGCAAAATTACAGGTTGTGTTGGAGCAGTTTTTTTCTCCCCACCCTGCAAAAATAGAAGAAAATCTCTTCAATTGGAGATTGTCTTAGTAGTACTCTTTCCGTCTTATTGAAAGATTGTCATTTTTTATTTTCGTGCGTCCCAAAATAAAGTTATCATTTCCTTATTTAGTACTACCTAGTTAACATAATAAATACCTTTTAAACTTACACTATATTATACAAATGTCATTACTTTTATATTACACAATACTAATAGGGGTATTTTCGTCTTTTCACTACAACTCATTATAATACTAATATTTAAATATTTACGTGCAAAAATTAAACGGCAACCTTGTACCGGGACGGAGGGAGTATATTTTTATTTTGTCAAAATATATTTTAAAATACTCCCTCAGTCCCACCGGAATTGAACTCTTTGATTAGGGACACTGTATTTAAGATAATAATGTTTAATTAGTTAATAATAATGAATTATGATATTATTATATTATTTTTATGTAAGTAATACTTCTTCCGTCATTCAAATTTATATTCACTTTCATTTTTGAGTTGTCATCGAAAATATTCTCATTTCTTTTTTACATAAAAAAATCATTCCACTTTTGTACTATTTTTTACGGTAAAAAGAAAAATTAACACTTATTACTCACTTTTATTAAAACTTGTGCCTGGTCAAATGAGCACACATTTGCACGACGGATGGAGTAATATTTATAATTTTAAAGTAAATTTAATATATATGATTAAAAAAAAGTAAAATATATGTTTAAATATTTAAAAATTATATAATAATTAAAAAATATATGCAATATAGATATCATTTTGTAGAGAATAAAATTTTCTATAATACAAAGTAAATAAAAAAATATCTTTTTATTTATAATTAATATAAATCAATTTTGTAAAATATGTGTAGTTTTAAATATTGATAAAAATATTTATCATTTTAAGAGAGAGATAGAAATAAAGAGGTTTTGAATTAGTTCTATGTCATTTATGATGTTGTATGTTATGTTGTTAATTAAGTTATTTATATTTGTTAAATATATTTTGATTTAATAATTTTTATTAAAAATAGAAAGGTGTCAATTGTTACTGGACAAACAAAAATAAAAATAGTATCAATTGTGATGGGACGGAGGAAGTATTTTATTTCTACATAATATTATTATTATTATTATTATTTTCTTTCAGAAACTAATCAAACTACTAAACAAGCATCAAGTAGGCCCAAATGGGCCGAAATCATTTTCTTCTTCTTCTTATTATCATTATTATTTGGAAATTAAAAATAAATTTACCAACAATTGCAACATGTACCCATATAATTTTTTTTGATGGATCCTGTAAATTTTATTCTCGGTTAAAAGCGGGCCGGATCGCATCTAACGGGTACAAGACCCGACCAATTACAAGCTGTGGTATATAATGGGGTTTTTTTTTAACTCACCATGTCCGGATTTCTCGATGGACTGCGAAACCCTTGAAACTCAATTGAAGAATTTCTATTGAAGTTCGGACGATTGTCTCGGAGTTGCTCGTGGCTGTAAGTACCGCTGTCCTCTGTTTCGTTCTGTAAAATTGGTGTTTCTTGTGATTTATTTGCTGTGGAAATGGTGTTTTTTTGTTAAGCACGTGCATAATTCTACGTGAAAATGGCATTTGCGTTGATTCTGGGGTTTCGCTCTCGAAGTTTTACTTGTTTGACACACGCATCCTGTGGATGAAGTTAAGGGTTTTCTGGACAGCAGAGGAATACATTGTTTTATTTAATATATAGATTTTTTGTTTTGATTAAGTTCGACAGTAGGTCTTAAGTTTGTGTAAATGTGCGGGTGGATGTTTGGTTTTTGGTTTCTAAATTTTGCGTGGAGTTTGAGGGATGGAGCGCCTTGTTGCTCTTTCTGTATATGCGTAAAAGAGCTTGGTGATGAAGCTGGGCTTTTGGAACATTTTTTGGTTGTGAGGGTAGTAGATTAGGGGATTTGACAATTATTGTTTTCCCACTTTGACATGCTGGAATCAGGGGGTGTTTCTTGTTTTCTGGAGCTGTTTAATGGTTTCAACTGGCATCCAATCGTTTGAGTATCGATAGTGGTAAATACATGCCAAGTGCTTGTGGTATTGTTTTCTAATGTTTGTAGTGTTAGCTTGATTACTTTGATGCTTTTCAAAAAATTTGTTTCTCATGTACTGATCAAACATAAAGAGAAGGAAGAAATCTGCCAGATTTTTAGGATCTCAATGCATCAAACTTTGTTCTTAAAAATGTAGAATGTTTAGTAAATCAAGTGGATGTGTGATTTCCCTGCTCACATACAGTTACCGATGAACATGAAATTCATTAATCTTGTATCATTCAAGTTGTTGTCCATGCTTTTCATTCACCTTTTCTTTTTGTTTTTTTCTCTTATTTGTAGTTCCCAAGGACTTACCGAACCTTTGAGTAATCTGACATTAATTGCTCTTTACTATGTAATCTGTATTGACTTTCCAAAATCCTTGTCGTTATCGATTAATTGCGTTGGCTTTTTCTCATTTATTTATTTATTTATTCTTTTCAGAAGCCATCATTTTGTCAACTGAATTCACAGCATGTCTGCTTCGGTGACACCTGCCAAGAGACAACATGAACAAACTTTTGCAGAGGTAACGGGTAGAAGGAAGTGGCAGAAGTCATCAGCTTCCGGATTTGATAATGCAGCATCAGGTGGACATTCTTCCAACAAAATTATAAGGTTACTTTGCCCTGCTGCCAAAGTTGGTGGAATTATTGGAAAAGGTGGCAGCAATATAGCTCAAATACGCCAAGAGACTGGAGTAAACGTCCATGTTGAGGAAAGTGTTCTTGGATGTGATGAAAGGGTGGTGGTTATTGTAAGTTCTGACAAGGATAGCAAAATTGTATCTGAAAAGGATAAGGCAGAAGTTAACAAGGCTAGGACCCCTGAATCAGGTGAAAAACCTGAAGAACATCCAGAAGCTGACGAAAAACAGGCTGTTTCAGCTGAAAACACCCAATCAGAAAAGGAGAAAGAAAAGGAAACTTCATCTATTCAGAAAGCTTTGCTGATTGTATTCGACAAAATGGCTGATGGGTTGTCTGAGACAACTGAAGGAGATGAAGAATCTACCAAGTCGCCATCATCTGTTGTTAGGCTCCTTGTCTTTTCCGGTCAAGTTGGCTGTCTGTTAGGGAAAGCTGGCAGTGTAATAAAACAAATGTCATCCGAAAGTGGAACGCAGATTCGCATTCTTCCTAAAGATAAGCTGCCTTCTTGTGCATCTTCATCTGATGAACTGGTTCAGGTATTTTTATCATTTGTACTTTTTTTTTTTGCTAACCTCATCTGTTAAGTGAGAGTTGAATGTTGTGCCGCCTTTGTCTGTACCATGTTATATGTGGCATTAATCAGAAGCTAACACACGTAACCTGAATTACTATTACCAACTTCTCCTGTGAAATGTCTCTGATCATTTTAAGTTTATTTAGAAAGTAACTTAATAGTCAAATTCATGAACTCAATATAAATGTTGGGACAGGGGAAAGCAAATCAAAGATACTGATGAAAAGTGGTGATTCTTGTTTTTAAAATATCATTCTGAGTATTTCTCACTTTCAGAACTAAATTACTGATTAGATTTATCCAGCAGTTTTTGACATGTTCAGCTTATTTTGCAGATCTCTGGCAAGCTTGATGCCCTCAGGAAAGCACTCCTGGCTGTTTCGCAGCAACTGATTGAGTATTATTCTCGTAACCATGATACTTTCTCTGCCAACAATGTTGGTCCACCCTCACATTCCTTTGGCCCTCCCCCTAGACATGATCGGTATCCCCATTCAAATCATCCTTTCCATGGACATGGTCCACCGCCTTATTCTGCTGGACATCATGATGGTGACGCCAGTGTTCCTGGTAGAGTGAATTTTCGTCCTGAGATCCTAACCTTCCGATTATTGTGTAGTGAGGAGAAGGTAGGTGGTGTTATTGGAAAGGGAGGTTCTATAGTCAAGGGACTTCAGCATGAGACAGGCTGTGAGATCAAGGTCCTAGATGGTGAAGGCAATTCCGATGATCGCATAATTATCATATCTGGCCCTTGCGTATGGTTTAATTCTGTATTTCGATTTCATCTTAGGTTTCATGTTTCCTTGTCGCTTGTAATAATATATCCAAGGCAATAACTAGTAGATGAAATGCATTAAATGCAGTATCCAGAGGATGGAGTATCTGCGCCACAGGATGCGGTGCTTAGAGTACAAGCCAGGATATTTAGATCTGCACCCGAAAGCAAGGACAATACCATGATAGCCAAACTCCTTGTCACTTCCAATCAAACTGGATGTCTTCTTGGCAAGGGTGGTTCGGTAATTGCTGAGATGAGGAAGTCATCTGGTGCCTACATCCGTATTCTGGGCAAGGATCAAGTGCCAAAGAATGCTTCAGACAATGAAGAAGTTGTCCAGGTATTTATGATGACCATATGTTCAGATACCTCATCATGCTTCTCAAAAGTTGCTTAGTTTTTTCATTTGGACTTATGCCTTTATGCTTTAAATAGTTGCCCCATTGAATTTTTGTTGCGACACAGATAAGTTTAGGTTTTCTCTCTGCTTGCATTTATTGCTTTGAATGTGTGTTTTCTGAGGTTTGAAGAACATCTAAGGGAAAAATAACTTACGCATGGCTTCTCTTTTGTCATTGATTTGTGTTGTCTGCAATTCTAGGTAAATGGGGAGTTTGAGGCCGTTCAAGAGGCTCTTTTGCAGATAACATCCAGATTGAGGAACCATTTCTTCCGAGACTTGTTTCCACCTTTGGACCACCCTCCAAACCCAGGATTTATGGAGCCATTGCCCCCAATGCCTCCATATCCTCCATACATGGGCGGGAGGGAATTTTCACCATCGGGAACATTCTCCAACCGAGGTCCTCCATTTAACAATTTTGATGGCCCTGGTGGCCCTCCACCAGTGGGTGGTTTCCGCCCACGTGACGATCACCCTCCTTTTGCTCCTGATTTTCCCAGGCCAGGGTTCCCTCCTCACATGCCTGAAAGAATGGCACCTGCAGCACCATGGGGCCCACCACAGGTGTGTGCGCTCTTAAGGTTTGGTTTGTGATTTACTTATAAAGATAACATCGCGACTTTGGTTTGTGCTTTTTTTCCCTACTTTATGCCTTGGGGTGCATTTCCAATATAAGTCCTTATTCTCAGGTGATCTTGTTGATATAATAATGTACAAATGAGTTGTGAAAGTTCTTATGCTTCTTTAACTCTGTGAAGGGACCAATGGAACCTACAGGCCCTATGGGATACCCAGACTATCAAGGTCTTCCTCAAAGAAGACATACTGGATTTGGAGGGTGTGTTAATATAGATTTGCCTTCCTTAACCCATTAAAACATTTAATCATGGATTTATGTTTCTTAGATGCCTGTTTTGTCGATGTAGGGGAAATCAACAAGCTGTTATTACAAGCACGACTGTGGAAGTTGTTGTTCCCCGCTATGTCGTTCCAGCAATATATGGGGAGGATGGTGGATGTCTGAGACAAATTCGCGAGGTATGCATTTCAAGACAGTACATTGTATAAGTTGATTTTTTTCTTTTTTAGGTTCTCAATCTTCCAATGATCTTTATGTCTAGTTTCTGACATAATGCAAATGCATTTTGTAGTGTAGCATGCTTTAGGATTGGAATGCTTAAAAAACTCGGAACACTAATCGTTGACCCATATTAAACACCTGATTTTGCCTCCACGTCATGGCCGTTAGCTACAATAAATTATTTGATTCTTGATCCATTTTGCCTTTCACGCTGTATCTAATTTTATAGCTGTCAAAACTTACGACATTGTTGTGCACCTGTCATTTTCAGTTTTCGGATGCAAAAGTAACTGTCACTGATCCCAAACCCGGGTCTTCGGAAACTGTAATCATCATATCTGGAACACCTGAGCAAACTTACGCCGCGCAAAGCCTCATTCAAGCATTTGTAATCTGCGAGACGGAAGCTTCTTAAAGCCCATGGCCTTGTCGGTTGGTGGTAACGACAACTCTTGATGTCATGGTACATCCCCTCCTGACCGAAACAGATTTTCAGCTGAACTATGTTTATTTATTCATTAACTTTTGGCTAGCTTCTGTTAGTACTTACAAAATGGACTCCTTTCCGAGGGAAAAAACCCGGTATCTGATGCAATAAGGACTTCTATGAAAACTGATACTATGCTATATCAAATAGTCATCCATTTGATTGGATGTGTCGATTATTCAGTAACTTGTCACCATTACTGAGTCTTGAAGGGCTTGTATCTCCTGACATCCTTAGCCAGTCCTTCAATGGATCCGGCAGCCGCGACGAGGGAGACGATCAGGCAAGCCCAGCTGAGTATCTTGAGCCATATCCAGGTGGTTGAATACTTGGGTATCTTTGCCTGTGCAATGTGGATCTCTATAGGGAAGTACACCGTCAGGGGATAGAACGATATTGCCCCGATCAGGCCCAAGAACCCGTTGAAGAACGGGAATATCATAGCGATCAGAGCTGTGATCGCGACGTACACCGTTCTCCACACCAGCCGGAACAGGTTGATCCTGTACGACGACCCGCACAGTGGGATCTCTTTGGTGATGAACTTGTTCTCCTGCCATCTTTCGTTGCATTTCTTTTCTACGAACCCGAATATTGGCTGCGCGAATACCTGGTAAGCACCGACGAGATGGATTGCAATGCAGATGTTGGCGACGTCGATTAGCCAGTATGGCTCGTAGAATCCGAACCCGGTGAGGAAGTTTCCGGGAGCGTTGTTGCCAAATGCGGCGTAACCGATAGTCCCGCAGAGGAGGTAGAACAATGTGGTGGTGGAGACGCCGGCTAAAGAGGCCCTCTTCATCACCTGGTTCTCCGGCGGCGGCGATTTCAAGGTGTCCTGTCATTTATTCAGGTATAAAATAAATTGTGACAATCACTTCAATACTTTTAATAATTAGAGAGAGAAAAAAAAAAAAGACAATAGGTATTTAGAGTCACGGAATTGATTTTATGAATATAGAATGAACAGTATATAAGGATACTAATTTAGGTAAGGGGAACTCCTAATTCGAATTGAATGAATGCGACGCCCAACTCTTACTAATTAAGGTCGCCTTTAAAGGTTTTTTTTTCTTCGCTCCTTTTGGCCTATCGGCAGCTATTGTAATATATTCGACACGTGGTCTACCATCGTGTAGGTAGGGACACGTGTACACCACCTTTATTCTCACGTCTCTCAACGCAGTGAAAACCAATCAATCCATCAATCAGTCAATCATCCTTTATGGTGTACACCAAATCTAATTAAAAACTATTGAACTCCAACACGCAACTCTCTCGAATATGAAAAAATAAAATAAAAATTTTAAAAAAAGGCCAGCTGCGCTGTCGTCGCCCAGTCTAATCCATGTCAAAATATACACATGGACGGGATACGACAAGACAGCCTTCAAATATCAGCAGGCAGTAGTAATAAATAGCCACACACCAACCAATACCATACGTTATTACCTTAATTATATAAATAATTAATTAATGAAATTATATTCTACGTATGTAGAAGGTAATAAGAGATTGAGGTGCCTGAATTTCGACGAGGACGGTGGCGTAGGCATAAGCGAAGGCTATGTTCCCCATGGCCTGGAAGCTCTGCCAGACTTTGTCGGCTCCCGACACGTCGACGCCGACCTTCGTACCGGTGAGGCTGGTCTGCACTTTTCCGGCGCCGGCGCCGGCGAGCTTGGCGATTGATAGTCCGAGTCCGATGGAGGAGTAGGCGAAGGACATGACGGCGGCGACGATGGAGAGCCAGGAGAGCTTGTGGAAATTAGGGATTTGGCTGAGGATAATTTGAATCACTGCGAACGCCGCCATGTACGGATAGTTCGATTCCGAGCACCTCGAACCGTGCCCCTCCTCGTGGAAGCAGTTGGATCTCTTCACAGCACTACATATACATACAGATATATATTATATATATAGATATAGATATAATATATGTATGTATATTCGATTAGCTTACACCATACTAATGGAGGCAGTGATGGTGTATCCGATGGTGACTCCAACGAGATTGGTGTACTGCGCCAGTCCACACAGCCGCACCTTCACACCACCTGCACGTCACGTGACTCGATCGACTCAATAGTCCAATCAGATCAGGACACGTACCCACCCTCAATTCGTATATAAGTACCTTGCAGGTGGGCGCGGACGACGTCCATGTAAGTATAATTCCGGCGGCCGTGGACGGGGCCGGGAAATCGGTAGGCGTCGGCGAGCAGAGTGGAGGTGAAGTAAGTAATGGCGGCAAAGGCGACCAGCACCGCCATCCCCGCCGCCCATCCGAGCTGCGCAAGCGCCCAAGCCAGCGACAGCACTCCCGACCCTATAACCGCCGTTATTATGTGCGCACTCGCCGTCAACATCGTCCCTGCAGCAAATCCACATATTAGAGTATATAATAGATCATATATATATATATAAATGTATATAAATATGTATGTAATTAATTACTAACCAGTTCTTTCATCGCGGCCGTCGTCGTCGAAGCTCTTGCCGGCGGCGGGGCATGATTCCGGCGGGGCGGATTCTAAGCTTAGGGAGGTCTTCTGGAACTCTTCCGGGGCCATCAATTATTATTAATTAATGAAGTGATTGTTAAGAATGGATTGAAATGAATTTGAGATGACGGCGAATATTTAAAGAGTGGAGTCGGGGGATGGGGAAGAGCAAGAGGAAGAGGACATCCAGCGATTCCGGGACCACTCATCGTTGGAAACGTCGGGGACTGGAAAGACCCGATGAATGACCAACACAGCCGCAGTATAAGTGGTTTGGATTAATCTGGTGCCCGGGTCCCGGACATATATTGGTGATTATTGTTTATTTTTATTTTATATCCATATTTATATTATTAGAATACGTTTTATTTTCATTTAAATTTAAATAAAATTTAAATGTGAATCTATATAATATTTTAATATAATTTTTTTATTATACTCTTCGACTATTTTCTAATATTCAATTTGATATTTATGCGTATTTTTAGGTAATTAGAATTTTTGTTATAAAATGTTAAATTTGTTTTTTATTTTATGTATAAGAAAAAAATAAATAAATAAAATAAGGGTAAATTAACTGGAACGAAAAACATAGTATATTATAGACTAAAATCAATAATCATAGTACTAGGTGAGACCTTTTTAGATTCCTAAACTAAATTTATTTTTTTATTATTATTTTATGTTTGTTCTATTTGAAAAATATTGATTAAATAAAAAGGAAGTATTACTTTTAAATTAATATTTAAATAAAAAACACAAAATCAATTATCATTATTCTACAACAATGATGGAATTTAAATAAATATATTACCTTTTATTAAAAAGTTACTTTATCTAATTTATTCTTTATCCAATCACTTATTATAAATATTAAATAAATGTACGTATATATACTAATCCTGCCACGACAGAGTCCTTTCCTCCTGCAAATTTCTTCGTCCTAATCCGGAAAGCTTCCGTCATTTTACAGTTTTGGGGATTGAGAATTTCGCAGCGGTACAGATTCCTCTCTTTCACACCACCGCCAATGGAGGATCATTCTCTCCCGCAAGGTTCTTATTTCTTGGGATTTGATAGCTCTACGCAGTTAAGTCCACTCTTCTCTTAAAATTGGGTTTACTGTTCAGTTGCTCTACTGAGATTATTTGTTTTCGCTAACTGCTCAAGTTTCAATTCGTCGATGAATCCTGATTAATTGTTTGTCGCTATCCTGAATTTTACATGGAAATCGTCCCCATTCGTGATTGTGCCAATTCGTTATTAGGCCGGGAGAACTGAAACTTCAATTGAACTAAACAATGGATATATCTGATTATGTGTTTTTAGGTCATTGAAGGCAACTGTTTTAGATGCAAACCTGAACATTGTGGCTAGGGAGATAGTAAATTTCGATTCCGATTTGCCTCATTACAAGACCAAAGATGGTGTTTATCGAGACGCTTCGATCAATGGGAGAATTGTTTCGCCCACTCTAATGTGGGTGGAAGCATTGGATCTCATTCTTCACAAGCTTCAGAAATCTCAATTGGATTTTGGGAGGATTGCTTCTGTTTCCGGCAGCGGCCAGCAACATGGCAGTGTGTATTGGAAAAAAGGGAGTATTAGCACCCTATCCTCATTGGATCCTACGCAGCCATTGGCGGCACAGCTCAGCGGCTCCTTTTCGATTAAGGATTCGCCTATTTGGATGGACAGCAGCACGACTGAGCAATGCAAGGCAATCGAGAAGGCCGTAGGCGGTGCCTTGGAATTGTCAAAGCTTACAGGTTCACGAGCGTATGAAAGGTTCACAGGTCCTCAAATTAGGAAAATATATGAGACACAGCCGGAGGCTTATGATGCTACGGAGAGAATCTCTTTAGTTAGCTCCTTCATGGCTTCTATACTTATTGGCAGCTATGCTTGTGTTGATCACACTGATGGAGCAGGGATGAATTTGATGGACATAAAAGACAGAGCTTGGTCGAAGAAGATTCTTGAGGTTTGTAGTGCAGAATAGTGAACTTTACGCATCGAGCTAGATTATGCATCTGTTTGTTTAATTGTTGTTTCAGGTAACGGCTCTGGGTTTGGAGGAAAAGCTTGGGAATTTAGCACCTGCATACGCCGTAGCCGGTTCAATTTCCCTCTATTTTGTGGAGAGGTTTGTCGAACATTAATCTTCTATCTATGTAATGCCCACAGCTTGTGCAAAGCAGCTGTTTTGATGATATTCTGGAATGTAATGGCATTGGTGTTGATGATGTTCTTCAAGACTCGGGTTTATTGTGTTTGACATCTGCTTAAACTCATCTAATTATGCCTTTTCAGGTATCGTTTTGACAAAAACTGTTTGATCATTCAGTGGTCTGGTGACAATCCCAACAGCTTAGCAGGTATCTGTTTATGTTTTTGTTCTACTGTTTTATTATAGAGTGGAATAGTCGATTTTCTTCACTATCCTTGGATCATACATCTCTCAAATCCGTCTGAACTAGCAGAAGTTTATTTCTTCATGTTGAATTTATGGATGCAATTTATAATGAAAATTTGGTGCTTTCAGTACTATTCTATTAGCGAAATAGTTTTATGAGTTCGAATAATAGACACAGAACAGAGTGGTCCAAGCTGCTTAACATCTGATTCATGAACTATACTGTAACTCCACAGGTTTAACCCTTAACAGTCCCGGTGATCTAGCAATCAGTCTTGGAACCAGCGACACTGTTAGTAACCCGCACTTCGCCTTGGTTTTCCTGTGTCTATTAGTGTTTCAAAGAAAATTATACGATATAATTTAATGTGAACATCATCCTACATTTGTTTACAGGTCTTTGGAATCAGCACTGAACACAAGCCGAGCTTAGAAGGGCACGTGTTCCCCAATCCAGTCGATACTAATAGCTACATGGTAATGCTGTGCTACAAAAACGGTTCTCTGACCCGTGAAGGTACAAGCAAAGTGTGAAAGCAGCATATTTGATACTAATTATCAACATGAGACAGGGTTTTTACTAATCTTTTGAATCCATATAGATATACGTAACCGGTGCGCAGACAGCTCATGGGACATCTTTAATTCGTATTTGCAGAATACTCAGCCGCTAAACGGTTAGTATGAAAATGAATCCTGTTGCTCCAATTCTGTACAATTGTTCTATGCATTGCTGTGGGATTTTCTCGATATTTTTCATCGCAGGCGGAAAGCTTGGCTTCTATTACAAAGACTATGAAATTATTCCTCCTCTCCCGGGTGCGTATAGTTAAGCAATTCTGTAAATAACAAAGCTCGACATGACAATAAGAAAAGATGTCTGAATGAAGCTTGAACATGTACTGTTTCCAGTTGGATTCCACCGATTCATCCTTGAGAATTTCACCAGTGAATCATTAGATGGGGTGAAAGTTCGCGAAGTTACAGAATTCGATGCAGCTTCTGAGGTTAGTCAACGAACATATACCTCTCGAAACACATACAACAGGAGCGTGGTGACAACAATATTTTTGCAGGTTCGAGCAGTAATCGAGGGTCAGTTTCTCTCAATGCGTGCTCATGCTGAAAGATTTGGGATGCCTTCACCTCCAACACGGCTAATTGCAACCGGCGGAGCATCAAACAACGAAAACATTCTCAGCTCAGTGGCTTCGATCTTCGGCTGCAATGTCTACAAAATCCAGAGCTCAGGCAAGTCCTTTACCTCTCTTCACTGCACTCCAATGGTGCCTCCTACTAAACATTCTGAACATCCATACAAACACATTTATCATTCTTTGTCGTATGCTTGTGCTTACAGACTCGGCTTCCATGGGAGCTGCCCTCAGAGCAGCTCATGGATGGCTCTGCAACAAAAGCGGCAAATTTGTGCCCATTTCATGCCTGTTCTCCTACAATTTGGAGAAGACGTCTCTCAACTGCACACTGGCGGCGAGCCCCGGCGATCAAGAACTTGTGAATAAGTACACTCTTTTGATGAAGAAAAGAATTGAAATTGAGAATCATCTGGTGGAGAAGCTAGGAAGGGTGTGAAGTAGTAATAATTTAAGTCACTGCTCATTTTGATCTTCTTGAAACCTAATGGATATCATTTATTTCGTTTGCAATAAAAAATGCTTTTTGAATGAGGAAGCAGTAACTTTGTAGATATGAAGAACATTGTACACAAACAGATCCAGTAAATTTCAGAGAATAATCACATATCCCATCAGATTATGATATTGCAAATTGAACAACACATCAGACAACGAATCATTCAAAATTAAACACACATTCATTCATGATCAAGAAAGTATCTAAACTCAACAACGCCCGCTATTATTTATTTATACCTTATGTTCTAATGCAAATGTAGAAACATGGGAGTAGAAATTACAGTAACCAATCTTAAAGCAAATTCAAAAGAAGAATCAATATAGCCTGCAATGTGTGTATGCTGTTGAAAGATCAAAGAGAGGGGAAGTGAATGATTGGTTATTATGATGAAGAAAAGTAAGAGAGCAGTGAGTGCATTAAAGCCATTGACGATGAAGATGAATGGATTAACGAGATGATATGAAAAAGTGGCAAGCAAGGACCATCTTCTCAGTGTTAGCAATTCTTGAAAAGGAAAACAAAGAAACAGGCAACAATCCACTCCCAAAAAAGCATCACAAAAGGAAAGCTAAATCAACCAACAACGAAATTAGGAAATAAAGGTAAAAATCATCATCATCATCATCATCATCAGTTATATATATATATATATGTATAATAACTGTTCATCCATCAAGTACACAACCATAATAATATAACCCTTTTCTCTTGACACAATTCTTCTTCACTTACAGTACATAGACGATGATGGATGAATGCGCTAAACAATAAATATGCGTATACCACCATCAAACCGATTCCAAATGCCCTAATTCGATCCTTCCATTCCTGCATTTGCTTCAAACTTCAAAACATGCATAATGTTCTTCTTCTTCACCGGTTAGCCATATAAATAGAATTAGATTTTTTTAGGAAAAAAAAAGAAAAAAGAAAATGATGCCAATATATAAAATGAGGGGTTCCTTTTTTTTTTTTTTCAGGGTTCAAATAAAATGAAAAAAAAAAAGAAAAAAGAAAAAAAAAGATGCCTGGCTCCATCCTGTCTGCCTCCTCAACCAGCAAAAAGCGAGAAAGGGGGGCTTCCCTTTCTCTCTTTCTTTCTTTCTTCCTTCCTCACCACTTCCTTGGAAGAAGGAAGAAGAGTCCGCATCGCCCACTCATCTGTTAAAAAAAGACCCCACATTTACTACACAGCCCCACCAGGGAGTGGGAGCAGCAGGCATTTCCATCGAAAGGGCATTTTCGTCATTCCACAGGCTCGTCCGCTCAGACTCCGCCATTGTTGCTGCTTCTCCTCTTCCTCCGCGGCCGCCGCCGCCGCCTTCACTTGGTCCTCCTCTCATGATTGCTGTTCCTTCTTCGTTAATAGAACAGAAGAGAGAAATGAGAGGCGGAGGAACAGTTAAAAAATAAAAAACGCCGGAGGAGGAGGAGGAGGAGGAGGATTGGTGAAGAAGAAAGGATGGGGATGGGGATTTGGGGGAGGGTATGGGTCGGCCGGTGAAAGGGGCTTTTCAACTTTCTCTTTGTTCCTTTATTTCCTCTCGCACACTCCGATTTGTCTCTCCTCTCCTCTTCTTGGCTCTTTCTTTTCTTTGCCTTTCTAATTCTATTCTTCTATTCAATTCCACTTTTCCTTTTCCCCTTATAATCCTCCTTTTTATTTTATTTATTTCTCTTTGCTTTGCTGCCGCCACTTCATTTCTATTTTATTTTTTTTTAAAAAAATATATATACATATATTTTTTTTACTTAGTATTTCTTTTCCTTTATTTTTTAAATTATTCGATATATATATATATATATTTGTTCAAATATTGCATCAGAATCTTATGAATAGGTAGACACTGAAAGTGATGTTTGAATATAAAATATTTTTTATATAATTTATAAGTTGATTAATGAATAATATAATAAGCAATTAATATTCTCAAAACATTTCAAGTATTTTTGTACTACTACTCTTAAAAGTCTTAACTTTAATACTCCCCCCCGTCCCATATAATTTCTCCCTATTTTCTATTTTCGTCCGTCCCACGTAATTGTCCTTTCTATTTTAGAAATATAATTACGCACTTTAATCGCATTTTAAATTTTAAATTTTATAATTTTTTAAATTTTAATTAAACTATTTTATTATCTTAATATTAATCTATAATTATTTTTACTAAATAATAATTATATTTACTAATATACTTCTTAATTATTTACTAATTATACTTTACCTAAATTCTCGTATCTATAGTAATAGTTTCATATTTTTTTTGGGACGGAGGGAGTATCTTCTAAAACATTTCTAAACACATCCTTATAGCTTATAGAGTGTGTTTGATTTGTAATTTGATTTTAAAATATGATTTAAATAATACTTCAATGTAATATTGTGTTTAAATATATATATATATATATATTTTATAGAATTATTATTTTGGCATTGATGAATTGAGTAGTACGTAGCACTATTAGGGTGGGTTTGTGTGTTTGTTTATTGAAGAATAAACAATCCATTTAATTAAGCAACCAAAAACTCAAACATATATAATGACATGTTTTAGCTAGGGTGTGTTTGGCTTGTTATTTACATGTTTTGTTTTTAATTAAAAAATAAAATAAATAATAAATAATGGAATTGTATAGTAAAAAAGAAAAAAGAAAAAAGGAAAACCACAAACCCTTAATATTTTCACATTTGTATATTATAAAGGGTTTATTTTAGGGTTCCAAATTAATGATTTACTATATATATCTTAAAAGATAATTAATTAGAAGATGCATACAATTAAGAGTCAAAATATAAATAAACATATGTATTTATTTTTTATCCGAATTGAAATTGAGTAAGAAAACGAGCAACAATAAATGTATATGAAACGAAGAGAAATGATAGGGTGACGTGAGGTGACATATCACCGACACATCACGGTCTCGGTGGGAGAAGTAATTTAAACAATTGGCCACTACCTAAAACAATTAATAATTAAAATAATATTTTGACCAAACAACCCCAGATCCTTTCATTTTATTATTATTATTATTATTTTCTATATTAGCTAAATATTCTATTATTATTATTATTTAGAAATTTAAATGAAAAAATTAGACTCCAAATATGCCAGCTTGTCTTTGGTTCTGTATTCTTGAGGTCGTTTGCTAATATCCTGTCTTTTTATGTGTGCTTTTTTTTACAAAGCATCATATCTTTGGTTGCAGGCTTTTGTCTGTTGTGGATAATAATTTTGGGCTCGGCCCAATTAAATGGGCCCAGTTAAGTTAAACATACAGTTCCTATTTAAATATCATAATTTAAATACTACTGGACATGTGCCACACATAGACAACAAGTTAAATAAAATAAAGAAAAAACCCCACTAACAAACAAGTATGTAAATTAATGGCCTCTCACGAGATTATTGGGAAGCTCCCGGACCACAACTCAGCGCATCATTGAAGCGTTCGGTGGCTTGGGAGTCCCGGGAGTTCCCAAGAACCACTCTGCTACTGTTAGTGAGTAAATTAAGTTAACTTAAGTATGTGGATTCATGACTAATAGTAAGTGATGATGGACAGTGTGTTCAACTTTGTGACCATAGTGGGGTTATTATGACTCACTTTCTCATTCTATTTCAAAGTCAAAGGTATAAAAAAACAAAAGCCCTTTATTTACTTGGTTGAAATTTCCAACAAATTAAAATGGTTGCACTTACATCAAGAACATGTGTTTTTTCCTTCTTATCCTTGAGTTCTTTCCATTTTGCATTATAGTTGATGAATGTGATTCTTGCCCTTTTATTATTATTATTATTATTATTATTATTATTATTATTATTATTATTATTGATGTTATTTTTAATCATGGGCTGTCCACCAACAATAAAAGACACACACATGCACACACCTAGACACTATATATGTAAATTGATGAATCACATTCTTTGAGTAGGGCCCTTTTCATTGAGAGGCACTAGACAAAGTTGAGATGCATATAGAGCAAATTGACATTTTTGTTTGTGCTGAAATTTAAGAATTCTTTCATGTCATGTGTTGTGTTGGTGTTGGTGTTAGTGCCAATATTTTTGTTTTTGTTCTAGATGGACATTTAATTACAATATTAATGGCTTTTCTTGGTGGTTGTCCTAAACCCCATTTCTAGACAACTCTAATGTTCCCAATCACTACTAAATACTAACTTGTCTCCCATATGTATATACATACATACATATACATATATATATGTAAGAACCCTATGTAGCCACAAGAATCAGAAACCACCCCAACTTCCACTCAATCCAAACAATTCCCTTTTCCCATGGAATCCAATCCCTCATTCTATTAACAAATTCCCTCCAATTTCAATACTTTAATACACCCCTACTTCACAAAATTTATATATACAATTGAAGTGAAAATTAACATCCAAGAAAAAGCATGATCAAAATTATTCTTGCACAAACAAACAAGTAGACATTTTTCTTCTTTTTTATGAAATACAAACACTCCCTTTACCTCCTAACTCATAATGTCCAAACTAGACATCTATTATACTCTTCAACTCATCATATATATATATATATATATATATTCAATCATCACTTAGCCCCGGTCTGCGGTTCTTTAGCTGCGGCCGCGGCCTTACAACATCGGCACGGATCTGCCTCCACCAATAATTGGACAACCTCGTTCATCGTCGGGCGCAGCACCGCCGCCCGGCACGTGCACCGTATCGCAATGCATAGCACCTTGATCATCTCCTCCTTATACGGTCCCGATATACGCTCGTCGAGCACCTCCATCGCCCCCTCCTTCGTCGCCACCTTCGTCGATATCCAATATATGATATTCTTGTTCTCCCCGAACTCCGCTTCCACCGGCTTCTTCCCCGTCACGAGCTCCATTAGCACCACCCCGAAGCTGTACACGTCGCATTTCGTCGTCGCCTTAGACGAGTACGCGTATTCTGTCGACAATGCAATGAGATCGTTTTTAAAAAACCCGGCTAATGTTACGTCGACGTCGAAATTTAGTAACTAAACTTACCCGGATCTAAGTACCCGTAAGTCCCGGCTATGACCGTCGTCGTCGACTCCTTCGTCCCCCTCGCTTGCAAGACTTTCGCGATGCCAAAGTCGGCAACCTTCGGGTGGTAATCTATGTCGAGAAGTATGTTCGTCGATTTGATGTCTCTATGGATGATCGGCGGCATCAAGTCGTTGTGTAGGTACGCCAACCCTTGAGCGACGCCGAGCGCGATACGGTGGCGCGTTGGCCAATCGAGGACGAGCTTTCCGGTGTGGAGCGCGTCCCATAAGTTCCCGTTCGGCATGTACTCGTAAACGAGGAGGCTGAAGTCGACGTTCGAGAAGTAGCAATAGAGTTTGACGATATTTTTGTGTCTGATGCTCCCGAGAGTCTCGACTTCCGTCGCGAGCTCCTTGTCGAGCGTTTGGTTGTCGTGATCAGACATCAATGGATACGTCTTCGCCTTCCGACTGCTGCTCCACAGCTTCTTGACAGCAACGACTTCGCCGCTGCTCAGCTCGATCCTGTAGACCGTCCCGGAGCCTCCGTAACCGACAACGTTCTTGTCCACCATCGCTTCGATGATCTCCCTCTGATCGAAGGTCAGGCGATGGAAGCTCTTCACGTCGTAGGACGACGACGACAACGTGTCCTCATTGTCCATAACTTCCTTCCCTCGGCTGAACCGGAGCCTCACGAAAAGGATCGATCCGACGACTGTGATCGCGACAGAGACGATGATCAGCCAGATACAGTTTACCTTCTTCCTGTTGTACGATTGCGAGCAGACGGCGAATTCGGTTGCGCGCGACAGGCCGCGGTAGGAATGGACACACAAACCCGGGTTACCGGAGAAGCTCTCGAGCAATCCTCCCTTAATGAACGACGCGGGGATCGCGCCGGAGAGCTGATTGTTCGAAAAGTTCATCGAATTCGGGAGTAGCTTCGACAGGGCGTCGGGGACGTCACCCGTCAGGCGATTGTTCGACAAGTCGAGAAGATTAAGCGAAGCGAGCGACGAAAGCGATTCCGGGATCGACGAATTCAGCCGGTTTCCTTGCAAGAGCAAGAGATTGAGCCATTTCAAGCCGCCGATCTCCGGCGGGATCGGTCCCGACAAAAGGTTAAAGCTGAGATCAATCTTCACCAGGCCCGTCGCCAATGAGATCTCCGGCGGGATCACACCGGAGATCCGGTTCCCCTGCAAGAACAGCTCCGACAGATTCCTCGCATCCTTGATCGATCTATCGATCGAACCCGTGAATTGATTGTACGCCACGTCAATAATCGACGCATGCGGCAGCGACAGAATCCCATCGGGGAGCTTCCCCGACAAATTGTTATTACTAACACGAAATCGAATAAGCGACTTACACTCGACATAGCTCTCCGGCAGCTCCCCGGAGAGCATGTTCTTAAGAGCAAGAAGATACTTCAGCTTCCCACGGCGGCACAGCCCCTCCGGCAGCCTCCCCGTCAGGTTGTTCTCCGACAATTCGAGGACCACGAAAACCGACGATTTTCCGAGATCCTGCGGGATTTCCCCTGACAAGAAATTGCCATAAAGAGACAATGTGTTCAAGGTAGTTGAGTTTGCAATAACCCCTGGAATTGGCCCTGCCAGCCCGCTGTTATAAGCCTGGAGAACTTCCAGCTTCGGCAGCCGGCAAATCGACGCCGGAATCCTCCCGCTGAAGTTGTTCTCCGACATGTCCAAGTCGCGAAGCTCCGTCAAGTTCCCGAGCTCGTCGGGAATCTCCCCGTTGAGCTGATTGTAGTACAGCTCCAGCTGCTGCAGATTCCTCAGGCGACCGAGCTCCACCGGAATCCGGCCAGTCAGGTAGTTGCCGCTAAGCTCGAGATCCACCAGCGCCGTCATGTTCCCAACTGATCGTGGGATCTCACCTCGGAGCTTACACGACGTTAAAACCATTGTTTCGAGCTTCACCAGGCCTGATATGTTCTCAGGCATCTCCCAAAAGTTGAGCTTCTCATTCTCATTCTCATTGAAGAACAGCATCTCAAGACTAGTCAGATTCGCGACAGACATCGGAAAGTCGCCGGAAAACTTATTGTAGGACAAATCAAGAACCTTAATCGCCCTCCAGGGCGAAAAATCCGGCAATGGACCGTTGAAACCTGCAGAGCTCATATTCAGCTCTTCCAAGAAAGAGCAGCTGAGGATTCCGACAGGGAAGTTTCCGGCGAACCTGTTGTTGCCGGCTCGAAGGATTCGAAGCTGGGGAAGATAGCTGCATATGTCATCAGGGAACTTGCCAGTCAAGGACCATCCAGAGACATCAATTCCTACAACCCTGTCCTGATCATTACAGGACACCCCTGTAAAGTTGCAATAACTCTCCCATCTCCCGGAATCCCACCGCGCCAAAGAATTACCCGACAACGATTTCTTCGCCACAGCAGTGAAGAATCGAAACTCCCTGTTGTCAGAAACTCCATGGCAAGAAACAGACACAAGTACTAAGAAAACAAACGAAAGCGCGATCTTGGCAGGCATGATTCGAGGCGTGGAGGACTTTAGGAAGGCGAAGAGGGAAGGGACGAGGAAGATCATCGATGCAATGGCGAAAGAGAAGGCGAGAAAGAGATATATAAATGGAATGATCGATGGGATCATTTTGGTGCACCTAAGCGAAGCTAAGCTAAGCGAACCTCATCGATCATTAGTCTAAAAGAAGGTTCCTTTGGTCGATGATCAACCGATGGATGGATCGATTTTATTTTTTAATTTTTAATTTTTGAAAAATATTTGTGTTATTTGCATCCATTGACATGTAAGGAAGTGCTATCATCTTTGCATAAAGATGCTTTATGCTTATATGCTTCCACTAATTCTCTCACAGAATAGCATCAATACACATTAAGAGAGAGGACCCCTTTTTAACATCAATTTTTGAATGTTGATAAGGTCTCTTGATCATTGTTTCACTTGGGACTTTGGATGATCACAGCCATTAGATTCTCAATCAAAATCCATCTTTCTTTTTTTTTTTCATAAAGATCAATGATGCTTTAGTACACTTCTTGTAAGAACACAGCAATCCCATTTTAATTTTAATTTTTTTTAATAAGATGGATAGATTATGTTATCGGCTACGAATTGTAACATAAAAAAGATAAGTAGTAGTTGCAAAATGAAGCCAATTTTGTAAAGTAAGGATTTTTAGGAACTTAAATTACTATATAGAAGTAGACATGTTTAAGCTTTAGACAGCCCTCCAAAACAGGACAAGTATATTATCTGCACTGTACTTCTACTACTGTATCCCTTTACATCCCCAATATCAATATATATATATATATATATATATTTAAAAAATAAAAATTAAATTAAAATTGATGTCCTAATGGGAATAGGAATGACCCCATGCATGCAGTGCCTATTTACCTTTGTAAAGATCTTTTCTTTTCTTTTTTTTTTTTTTAAAGTGCTTTATTTATTTCTTGCTTGTGTACGTGTATCTTATCCTTTTACATCATTATTATACAATCATCATTGTTGTAGTTAAGATTGATTGTTTTGGAGTTTGGTTATGGTTTGAGGGGAAATATAAAAAAATAAAGGCTTCTTATTTTTTGAAAAAAATATGTACGAAAAATGGTATGATCTTATCATTGATTATTTTGATTATGATTGCTATTTTAACTGAATTATTGATATATTTTTTGCTAGAAATAAATCAAAATATTTTAAATATATTATTATTGATTAACCCCTTTTCAACACAAATTCCTCTCATATTTTAGTAGTGGATGATTGTATTAATTCTTAGGGCACTCAAATGCAAGCTTCTATTTATAATATCAATTTGCAAAAAACGTTCGAAGTCCACCTATTAAAAGCATAAAAAAAATATAAAATTATCTGAGAATAATTCTATTGGAGGATGAATACCATGAAGGAGTTCAGCTCCCGGGAGTGGCCAAGAAAGTAATTCATCAATTATGAGAAATATATATACAACCAAGAATGGACAATTTTCCAATTTCCACAAATGAAAAATTAAGGATGGGGCCATGCCATGTAAATGTAATGGAGATAAATGCAAAGCAAAGATGCCCACTCTCCCTAAAGCACATAACAAATAAATATATAAACAAATATTTGGCATCACATTATTCATAATAAATAAATAATAACAATATTATTTTTAAAGAATAATCTTCTTTACACAAAGCCAAGTCTTATCTGTAGTTCCATCATCACACCACTGTCTCAAATACTGCTTTTATTAATAGTCACAACTAAATTTTGTTCTCAGGTAAAGTTGAGGGTCAATATTCTTTATTTAACAGAGTATATATACACTTACTGAAATAAATTAATTGGTAATTTCATTTTCCTTTTTTCACTAACCAAGAAGCTAATATATCCAAAATTAAAGGCTTGTGGAGAATCTCACATTTGTGATCATGTGGTTGCGTTAGGCCGCATCCCAAACAACCATATCTATTATATATATCAAAGAATGGATTCAATAAAAAAATAGAAATAAAAATGATGATTCCAAATGTAAATAATAATATAACAATTCCTGAATGGAAGTGCCATTTTCTGTTAGTGATGTATTTATTTATTTATATATATTCATTCCATGGGAGTGAAATCATTATTACTACCTCTACTAACGGCATTTTCAAGCAAGTGGAAAACTTGGTCAAATGCTAGTAAAAATCACAGCATATAAAAAAAGTAAATAAGATGAAAGAAGATTAAAAAAAACAAAGACTACGCAGGACAGGACTGCAAAAAAAAAAAACACATATATCAACATATCAAATACACTATTTGAATGTATATTTTGAAGGAGAGATTCTGAATGCCTAAAGATGTCTGAAACTGTGCATTCTTCAAACGCACAAAATAAATGGTAGTTCATTTCAGGACATCTGAATTCTATCAAACTCAAAAGGGCTACACATAAGCAGGTAGGCAACTTTGTTACCTCATTAATGGAGTGCATTCGCAGCGAAATTTGAATCCATGGCTGATACCTGGTTTCCCATATCGTATATAACAGCAGTGACAAGATAAATTCACACAAAGGTTTAAGCCCCCGAGTTGGAGGGATTGCAGAAGTCATTCTGTCTGGACAGCCCAAGGCAGTTCTATACCTGATCAATTTACAAGTATTGAAACACGAACAAAATTCACTTTGTGCAAAGAAGGGTATTCTTAAAAGATATGGAAATTTATAACTGAAATCATAGTGGCTGTTCCCTCTGATGTACTTCTCCTTTGGAGGGTCTGAGTGAGACCATGCTCTAGAATGCATAAAAATCGCAAGCTGTTGGAACAATGTCGTTTCAAGTCAGCAATCGCCATTGACATCAAGTAGATAATTCACTGCATGTTTAGATGATTACAATAGGTCAGTGAATTCTAGCTGTAAAATCCGTTTCGATAAAATAATTATGCTAACAGGTGGTCATATATCCTGTCATCATGCTTCTCTCTTTTCTTATTAATCATTACAGCCAAATGTGAACTGTGAAGTGCTCAAGAAGAGGTGAACCTAAATGCAATTTGCCCTTATAATCAAATTTCTGTCTCTCATTCCCCAGTAATTTTTCTTTGAGTAAACAGTTGTAATGCCAAGGAAACTTCAAAAAAAAATTTTTTAGTATTATTTGCCAAAAAGAAAACGACAATCTTCCAACCTACTTCTCCCAAGGACAGAGCTAACATTCTGAGAAGTTGAAAATGGTGTGTATCATAAATTTCATTATTGTATCATAAAAAAAGCTTGAGATAAAAGGCTTACCTGATGGACCTGCCATGAAATAGACAATCTCATTGATCAAATTTCTCACTTGGAAGGAACAACTACTTCAAGGTTCTTCTGAAGCATCCAGCCTTTGGGATAGAAAAGTCCCCGGGCTTCTAGATGAAGGTGCCAATTCATTATCTTATTACAACCAAGAGGGATACCTTCCATTTGACTCTCATCTTCAACTATCTGTTCTATAAAGGTTGTCTCCTGAAAGGGGTCATAATGTCCATATTTTTTCACATGCACTGAGCTCAATACAAAAGCTACTTAAAAAATTAAAAGGGTGATACATACTTGGAAACCCTCCTTCACTGTGTCCAACTGCCGGATTGGCTCTGAAGTTGGACGATGCCATCTCTTTGGATCCCATAATATGGTGCTATTGAAGGCAAAACCTGACATATCAACGTGGAATCTACGAAGTCGTTTACTCTTCTCATTTGTGTGCCATCCAATTACTTGGCTTCCATTGCACACAGGACCTTCAAGTATTGCTTTATTTTTGCTTTGAGCCAGCATACCAACTGGCCAAGTGCCAAAACGACTGAATAGCACAATGTAGTACGTAAGAATCATTCTCATTTTGAGAAAAAACATAAAAAGAAGAAACAATACTTAGTACTTATGATTTGTTAATTATACACAAGCATGCACTCTCTGACATCCAAAAACAACAAGAAACATAGCACAAAAGTTTTTTGGACAGGAATAGTTTGTTGACTTTAAGAGTGCAGGTGGTGCTGCTCATAAGCTCCTCATATTTGATAGACAACAATGACTAACTACATAAGTTATTTCTTCTGAGGATTATGTCCACAAAATCCAAGGTTCTCTTATATTGTGCTTTTCTATTTAATTTATTAAGCTTTCATCTTGCACTATCTTGTGCTCTAACAGGAGTTTAACATACAAAGCAACTACATACTCAGAGGAACAACATAGCATGATGAAGAATGAATGATTGCAGAAGAGCACTCAGTGTCGATTTAAAAGAGTATTCCAGTAAACTAGTTGGGTAAGAGAGGAATATGAAGCCTGATATCAATAATCACAAAGCAGATTGAGTGGAGAACTTGAACTTCCACCTATCACACTATTTTAATTAAACTCAGTTGACTGTTAAAATTCAATGCAATAAAGAATGTCTAACAGGTGTGCATACTGTACAGCGTCCGTGTTACTTTGAGGGTAGAAACAACAAAAGGCTCTAACTAAATAGACTTTCATACTGTATAATTCTCATATTAATTCAAGCACACAATTCTGATGCTCAGCCCCATATCTCTCTTACATATCCACACACATAAGGCCAGACAGAAATAAAAAATGGCAACTTGGCCCAAACTCATGTACCTAAGCATATGTGAACAGAGAGCAGAGGCAAATCGCATACAGAAGGCCAAATTCATATGCAGCAATTCATTCAGCAAGGAACTGTAGTTACATTCCATCCAATCTTACTATGGCACCTCATAGATCAAACAAAGATGAAGGTATAACTTTACGACTAATGGATACAGCATTCACATCATCATCCGAAAATAAAGAAATTCAATTCTTTCTCAAGATTTACCAAGACAAACTTAACTTGCTAAGTTCTGCTATAATTCTACATACAGAAAACAACCTTATATTGCATAACATTCCTGTTCCCATATCTCGAGTATAGGTGCATTGCAACACATCACAAACTTGTCATACAGAATTGAATGAAATGCAAAAATAATTATGCTGTTATCTCGAAAGCATAGATGTTGGAAAACTAACCCGATTTCTCTTATGTTTTCAAATAACTCAAGCGAGTAGATATTGTCATCATCAGCAAAATATACAATCCCATCAAGCTTATGCCTCTCAATATGCTCAATTGCAGTATTCCGCTGGTGAACTCCCCTGTCCTTTACATCCGTGGAATTTTTTTTACAAACTAAATGCCTGTGCACAATTCCCATGTTCCTTAAAATCTCCGCAGTCTCCATAGATGCGGCATTCATTTCCACCACAACCCACAACAATGGCGGCCTCACCAATCTCAAGACCTGCCCTAACCTATTCAAATAGTATGCTTGCAGAGCTCTGTTGTACGTTGGCGTCACCACTATCAACTGTTTACGAGGAACGAAATCCAATATCCTCTTACTCACAACTCCATCACTCTTCTGAGCCACCCCTAATTCAACAGCATTCACCACCACATCATTCCCATTTGGGACATCAACCCCGCTAAAATCGCCAACATTTTTCTCAACATTCACCACATCAGGCACCCTTTCAAACGCGAACTCTCTGTTCCTCACATCAGGGTGATTCAGTTCATTGAAGTCATTATTAAACGGCGCCATGCCGAGTAGAAAACCTAGGAAAAAGAACAGCAAGCCGCGGAGGATTGATTTTCTCCACGAGAATTGACTATTCTTCCGAGAGTGCTGCTTCTGGAGGAAAATTCCGGCAATGAATCTACGAAGCGGAGAGAAGGTCGTTCTCCCGTGAGAAAACAGCTTCTGCGACGACGAATGGACTGAAAATGGATCGCCGGATCCGTTCTGGTACGACCGGTCGTTATACGGCGACAACGTTCTCCGAATCGAAGCCATTCATTCAGTAGAGATCGCATCCAAAACAAAAGTGGCGAATCAAAACGACTCGAAATGGAATATAGACCCCAACGCAGAGATCAAATCAGCTGACTCTAAACCCCTCCCACCGCAGAATTGGAAACCCTAATTCGTAACTGAATCTACAACGATGCCCAAAAGGGAAAGAAGAAAATCCACAGAGACAGATGACTATGAAAATTCAATCAAAGTTGGAAGTGCAGGGAAGGAAGGAACGGAGAGGGACGAAGGATCCATGGCCGCGTTCTAACGTGCGCCGGGAAGTTAAATCCTAGCTAAACTCCGCTGTCATGTGCGAGTGTAGTTTGTTCTTGGGAGATCCAGGGACCCGCAACTCCAGATAGATCTACACCGTCCACGTCACTATCGCAGCGTAACCAATGAACGAGATTCATTTGGTATTGGGACTCTCCAACGACATCCACTCAAAGACTTCAAATTCTATTTAAACTTGTAATGCGCGGACAGTGTACCCCCAGAATGGCTGAAGAGGGAGGTATTTGGTTAAATTATTTTTACAATTATTGTGATTCTTGAAATATAGCGTGCAGATGTATTTAATTTCATACAGTTTGACTACTTAGTTTCAAACTAATGATCTAAACATTCTTCTAATCAATGTCTATCAATTAGAGTACCCTAAATTCTTGATTTTAGATGAAGACCCTTCTCAATATACCTATTGGGACATGGCAATAACCAGACATAAATGGTAGTCAAGACTGTGTACTGCATATATTTGACATTAGACATCCCATGTGGTTTCATCATTGACATTGTAGGCCAATCAATTCATCACAATAACATAGGGCAACTCCAAATAGAAAAATAATTCAAAGAGGGTTGAATATTCGTAAAAATGCAAGTGAATATTCTCCAACCAAAATCAGAACAAGTTTTTTTTCGTAACACTTCAAAATATTCAGAGTAGCATTCTACAAATGATGGCAGCTGTTGTTAGAGGCATAGGTCCTATGGTTTGGGTAAGTGTAAAGATACTAAGGCAGGAAAATTCATTGAACCTTTGATAGGGAGTGACTTCAGTCAGAATGTTCGCGAAAACGTATGATTTTACGAATGAACGCCTTCTCCTTCCGGTAGCTGATAACAAGAAGAAGATTCGACATTTGTTAAAACAAACACGATCATGATGTAGCTTTATGATGCGAAAAAAGGGTATTAAAACTTAAACTAACAGAGGGAAATGAGGTGAAGACTAAAACCGCATGTGAGAAATATGCAAAAGGGCTAATGGTTAATGGAGACTTACATTGCGAAAGCAGCAACGACAAAACATGTCAACCCAAAGGATAAGTGGACAGCAAAGGTAGTCCAGAAGTTATCTCGGTTCAGGTGTGTTCTCTCAAGGATGAAAGTGGCTATACCTGAAACTAGTATATATCCGAAGCCCGAGGGCAAGCAGGCTCTAAAGGAAAAAGATCCCTGAGAAGACAGAATCAAACATACCAAAAGTCAGAAGAAATAGTCGAGAACAAGCAAAACATATTTATTTGGTTGCATAAAACAGAAATTTACCTTGAAATAGTTTCTAATGAAAACTGCGGAATAGGTTACCCTTAAGATCATATCTTTATTGCAGTCAAGGGAAATTGTTGATCAGAATAGTTGTGGTGCTAAGTATGATCACTTGCACTTATGTTTGAGTAAGATACTAAGGTATCGATAACAATAATACAATTACAGCGCATAATTCAAGCACTATCCAATAAACAACAACAGACCTTATAGGTTTTGATTGAACGCACCGTCAGCATGATTCTTACTACTGTATAGTAGTTATCAAAGCAGATTAACCAGCCCCCAACCTGGAAGCAGGGTCTTATGCACTTTATGTTTCTTTGAAATGAGTTCGTGAGAAAAACAGATCAAAACAGGATATCGTAAGCTGTCGAACACAGTATTTACAGGTCTTGAGATCAGTACTAGTGATAAATAGCTACTTCAGACATATATTGGGGCAGTGCAATGCAATAATTATTATCAAATGCACGTAAAGACATGTGAAATTTTGAAATTAAAAAGTAATTTTGGAGAAATCATAAAGGATACTCAAAGAATTTGCTAATATCAATCCAATTGCGCCGGCTGATCGTATGAGTGAGACATTCAGGATTATGTAAATCACTGAGAAGATAAGTAATGAGTCATTTGACCGTTTGAGCTGACTTTCTGATGCAACTGCATGCAGAAATGCTTCGGATGTCCCTGAAAAAAAAGTAAAGAAAGAAAGAAACATAGAACAAAGAAATTTATGAGTTCACTTGAAATGTGAACTCTCAAATATGGTGCAAGAATATAATTGGTTCAAATAATTTTCAAGAACCACTGAGCCATCCTTCAATAGTTTATCCTTAACTGTTATAATGGTGCTTTAAGGAAGACTGAAAAGATAACGAAATAAGTGGAGTGCAGCTTAATAGAAAGGCTGAAAAAAATGCAGGTGATACACAGATGACCCCCTTACCATTCATGGCCAAAACTATCACATAAATGCAATAATACTGGAGCGCTACTGAAGCTTCCCCATCACTCCATTTCCTACCATACAGTAATCTGATGAGGGAATAAGAATAGCTCGGCCCAAATGCTATAACCACCAAACCTGACCATATTACAATAAAACACGGCACAATTTTTTATCCACTGAAAAGAGAGGGGGGGGAGGGGTAGTATTACCAGAGCAAAACAAATCATTATGGTATGAAAGACTATAAAACACTTGCCATGTTCATTCTGAGCTCAGATGAAAAACATACCTATCAGCAAAACAAGCTTCAGAGCATCAGTCAGACTCCTTGCCAGGTTCTTCTTTTTATCTTCGTTATCTCCTGCAATCACATGAAATTAGTAAAGCCTAAATTGACATCAGATGAACGAATGTGGTAAGTAATTTGGATGAGAGAATTTTTTTTTTCTTTTTTTTCCATTTTTTAATCTTATTTTGGTCATTCCATTAGGAATCTGTAACAGTGTTGGACATGACTAATTCCCGCTAGCAAACCCAAGTCTTTCACAAGCCAGATAACTTACAAGGCTCATCTCAATGCATCAGTTGTTGAAACTTAATCTTATGTGGCAATATTGTATGCATGTCAAAATACTGGAGCAAAGAACACAATTCCATATAAGAAGAGCAATACAGTTTTACCGATCATAATAACCATTTCAGTAACATATCAGAAGCTCAATGCAAACCACTTGAATTTCTCTACCACCAATAATCCTTGTGAAAGAAATGGTCAAATAAATCAAAAGATAAATATATTAACATCATGTTGCTTTGCCAGGAATATGATTGCTTGTACTGTTGTAATGATGCGTGTTTGTTTGGGGGTTTGGATTTTGAGATGGGATTTGAATAGTAAAAATTATGAATTTGAATAGTTGTATGATGTGATATAAATAGGTATTGATGTGATGTTTTGAATGTAAAATTGATTTTTAGTATAATATAAAAAATGAAAAATAGGTGTTTGATTTGATCTTTTTGGGGGAAAAAGTGGGATGAACAATGGATTTAAATTCCAATCCCCCAAACAAACACATCATTAAAAGTGTTATGGTTTGGGGTAGTGGCACTAGTTTTCTTCCTTCAAAATGGATCCAAAAAGGCTCCAAACTCAGAGTAATCTTCATTCTATCATGAATAGAACCCATAATTCATGTTTTCATCAATCAATTTACATATATATATATATATGCACACAATGGTCTATATCTAATTGAAAAACACATGTAGGGGAATTGTTAATAAAACAACAAAAATAAAAGAATAGATATAAACCTGATGCAGACCTTGCAAATGTCGCATATGAGCTTTCTTCAAAGGGAAGAAAAACTAGCCGCACCACTAAGCTCCCTAATAGTCAAAACAAAGCTTTCATAAAAATTCGGATTAAATAGTGGAAGGGAGATCCCATAAGAATTCAACTAGCCGTGAGAGAAATGAAATCAATTCAATAATAAAGGAAAAGGACAAGATGAGACACATTGCAACAGAAAAATGGAGTGATGACAACAAGTCATTGAAGTAGTAATCCCTCACTTTAGAGACATAGTAATATGGAGAAGAGAAACTGTTTCAAGCACCAACAGAAAACAGAAGAGCGTTTTGTTTCAAAGAGAGGAAGATGGATCGTCCACATTTCATAAGAAGGTCAGCGGACAACTGAAAGCTAAGTATGGGAATTCAAAAGATTCCCGGGAGAAATAGCATTAAGCAATACCATATATCAAAAGCAATAAGGCATTCTTACTAAATACATGACAAAAGACAAAAAGCAAAAGGTGGTAATTGTCTTACCTAGTTTGTCTACAAGTCCATACACTGCTTGGTTATATGGTGTATCCAACCATACAAGAACCATCTTTTCACCTTCCTGAAGTATTAACTTCCGGAAAGACTGGAGGGTGAAAATCACACACATGTTCGCAAGAGGTTGATCATAATTCATTATATTTCCTACCCTGTAAAGTATTGCAAAGTTAAATAGGAAACAGAAATATTATCAAAATTATTATATATCTTTGAACTGAGAAATTAATATGGTTTTCCTTGATAAGACACACTCATAACAAAGAGCACCCATTCGTTAAATAATAGCTTATTCTTTATCATAAAGGAGGCTAATTATTTAAGTATACAGCAAGGGAGGAAAAACGCATGCAAACAAGCATATCAATTAATTTCAATCACTACAAACCAAGAGAATCTATGGTAGAAAATTCTGTTAAATAATCTCTAGTAAAGTCATCCATTTGCCCGTCAAATTTAAGTTTGTTACGAGAAATGTATGACCCAAACTCAACAAAATCATATAGGTATAAGGGAATGATACCTGAATGGAAACAGAACAGAAATACTGTATAATCTAAACAGAAGAAAGTATCCCCAGTAACCTACAAAAATTGATGCTCCATATGCAACTTGTGCCAGGGAAAATACAATTGCTTTCTCCTGTAATTACCAAGTATATTATTAGTCAGAAATCAAAACCTAAATTGAATGTAGCTATACATGGACAGATAAAGTCTAGAATGAGGAAAAACAGGCAACACGTCCTAGTTATTTGATAAAAATAATGGAGCAACAAGCCATAAATCACAGTGAAACCCAATATAACAACAACCTTGTATATATTTCTTGCTCAACTTCATATATTTAGGAAAATATGCTTGGCCCAAACATAAAAGTACGACAGAGAAGTTAACATGATATATTCAGTTTGATGGCAAAACATGTGTAGCTAATTATTACCAAGCCAGGTTGCTTCAGAATGAGGATATATGTTACTATACAGCGTGAAAGAGTGGCTACAGCTTCCACTATAAGCCTCAATCTCAAAAGAACCAAACACTGAGACAATATATAAAAAGGCTCTGCCAGAAGCTCCACTACGCATGCAAAACCTGCACATCAAGCATGGCGTCACATAGCAAGAAAAATATGGTAAATCATATCAAAACTGTTATGTAGAAAGAAAAACAAGTCTTCTGGAGTGTTCCTCAAAAAACATTAGTAATCAAGAGAAGTATGACTACGGGATATCTAATGATAGAAATAGCCATTAAACACTATAAAGTGTTGCTACGAGCATGAAGTGGTCTGAAATATGGTGTGTAGAGAAAATTCCCGCTTGGCAGGATCAACTCATTTTACATTTCTAGGTGATAAACTTTTCAGTCTGGTCTCTGACATTTTTCAGATGAATAGTTCTTTATTTTAAGAATGGCCTAAGATTTACTTTAGTCGAACCCCAATCATTCAATCCTAAAACTCTGCTCTTTTTTATGTATTGCTTAGATAACTACACTTGCAAAGCATGATGATTTTTTATTTTTTTTACCATTTATCAAGATTGATTGAGCATAAGGACTTGAAAAATCTAGGCCTTGCCACCAAAATATAAAGAAACATGCTGCAACTGTAACCAGTACTCCTAAAGGAAAAGTCATCCAGGCTACTTTCAACAGCTTAGCTGCATTTGCTCCTGTTGCTGAAGCACTATCGCTGCAAGATATTACCCAAATTAGATTTTCAGATCATATTCAGAAAAAACGTGACATGACAGCATTACCGGTAGCCCCTTTCTAAAAAATTATCATTGCAAGAACTTGCTCCCCTCAGAAAACCATCATTGCAAGCCCAAGAAAGCTCAACAGACAAAAATTAAGCATTTCACAGAAGAAGCAAAAACATGCAAGATGACTTTAAGTGGCTTGTGGCACGGGAACTTCACATTTGATTTCACAACAATATGAAGTCACTGATTGTGATTTCTAACAGAATCAGAAGGCAATGAAGCACTTGATAAAAGAATAACAGCACAAACAAATTCGCAAACTGGATCCCATAATACAAGTCTAAGAGTTAAACCGTACCATCCAATATCTGCTCGCATGCATGCTCGCCGAAACCCTTCTCTACTGAGAAACAATACACAAGTGACAAACAGATGGAATTGTACGGCATAGAGCTGCATTTTGTCAAGTCATGTTGGGTATCAGAATTTTTGGAAGAAAGAAATGAACCAGTCAAGGACACATTTGCAAAATGCAATATCTCATCATGTGCGCATAAATTTTTCTTTCCTTAAAAAATATGTTTATCTTCAAAACTTGTGAACTCCGAAGCACAATGTCTTATCAAGCCAAAACACGAAATGATACTCCAGAATTGGCATGTAATTATATGTCTAGAGCATTTCAGCAATTATAATCAACATAGGCTTTATTCTTCTTCTTTTTACTCATAGATTTGATTAACCCTTCTAAAACCCCCCATTGCTTCGTGTTCAGGGATCATATCTAAATTGCAACAAAATACGACCTGGGTGGATCCAGGGCAGAACCGCTACAATTGGAAGCTACCAAAACACTGTTCGGGAGAATTACAAATGTCTGCAAGTAAAGAATCATTTAAAGCAAAATTACCGCATAATCTTCTTCGGAGAGGTGCCTGACAATCCAGGAATTGAATACGAACGGAATACCCCTCGACAGAAACTGCGTAGCTACACATAATCATTGTACATAACGCTGTATCAAAAAAGCCCTAAAATTTTTTCAACATCCGCAGATGAAGATTTACGACACCCCGTCACACTGCACACAAATTGTTCTGAATGAATACTTATCTAGATGAAATTAACAAACCTAATAGGTACTTAAATGTCCGCGGCAGATTCGCGGGTGAATTTCCATCGCCAAGCTTCGAGTTTGACATCTCTGAAACCATAATTTTCTCGTCGTCCGATTGTTTTTCGTATATTTACTCATTCATTATAATATTTATAAATTTCTCCTATTTATCATTTTGACACTATTTACATTAATTTTTTATATATATATAAATATTATATAAAAGATACTTCGTCCCACCTAAATATTATGTAACATTTGTGTTTGGCACGGGAATTTAGGTGGAGAGTATTAAGTAGGATAATTTGAGATAATTTGGATATTAAGGGCGTGTTTGGCAATTAACTGATAGCTATTAGCTGTTAGCTGATTCAATTAACTGATAGCTAGCTGTTAGCTGATTCAATTAGCTGATAACTGTTAGCTGATTCGATTCAATTAGCTGGTTTGACTAGTTCATACGATTAGCTGTTTATATTAAAATGTTTGTTAAAACCAACTGTTTGATATTAGCTGTTTATACGCTAAAATGACAATTGAGGATATTTCTATTTTATTCTTATTTCTAATATATTCAATTATGTTTTTTTAGTTTAGAATGTTTAAAATTTTTTGTTATTAGTTATTGAAAATTGTAAAAGTGTTATAAAAGTATTTATTTTTATTACAGTTAGATTTAAAAAATAATATATTTTTATTAAAATATATAAATAGTTTTTTTTATTGAAAATGATGTAAAATATAAAATAATAAATTTTTCGTGTATATATTTATTATATTAGTTATCGATTAGTTCATTATATTTATAATTTTCAATAAATTTAATTTAATTTATTTATTTTTAGTATAAAATTTATATAATGTAATTTTAATAAAAAATAAATAAATTATTAATATTTATATTTTTTATTTTATGTTGATTTTAATAAATTTATATATTTTATAATTAAAATAATTTTTATATAAAAATTAATTATTTTAAATTTATAAAAGTAAAACTATAATATAATAAAATATTATAATATAATTAATAAATAATCAAAATATATTTATTTGTATAAAATGTATAATAAATTTTTAAGAGCATATAAGGAATAAAATAAATTTTACAGAAAAAGCTATTTCAAAACGTTGGTTAAGTTAGTTTTTCAGAAATTAGCTTTTTAGATCCAAAAAGCTATTCCAAAAATGCTAATTTACCAAACACCTAAATTAACTTTTTGACTGGTCAAACAGCTAAAAGTTGTTCACTAAGCTAAAAGCTCTTCAAAAAGCTATTTGCCAAACACCCTTAAGTGATGTGATTGGAAAGAAAAATGATTATTTGTTTTTTTTATTTGAGTGATGTGATGAGATAAAGTGAAGTGTATATTAATATATGTATAAAAAATATAATTAATTATTTCTAAATTTGAAAATGTTGCAGTGAATTTAGAAAAAAAAAAAAAAAATTTGGTATGAATATATTAAAAAATATTATATTAAAAATATATTTTTTGCTATTTTAGAATTTTAAAACTCGAAATTTTATTTAAATGCATTACTTGATATATTTAAAAATTGACAATTATTGCAAAAGAAGACAATGACACGCGGGTCAAGGATTCACACCCCATCAGCTGTAACCACGTATTAATCGAGTCAAACCACATATATTGGTATGAATTTTAATAAAGCCCTCGCTCGATTAAAATTAGGCCATTTTAAATGAATATTTTATTTAAAAAAATAATAGATAATTGAAGGTATTTTTGAAATTTTAGTTAAAAAATAAAATAAATAAAAATAGAGAATGTAATAAAGTTAGTGATATTTTTTTTAAATAAGTGTTGAATAAAAGATACAGTCCTATGTATTATGGGCCTATTGTCGTAAATACTAGAATTTAGGTAACGTGTGATTAATTTAATTAAGATTAAAAAAATTATAAAATTTAAACATTAATTTGTTGACTTTGCCAATTAATAATGAGATAAATCTAATGTACGGATTAAGAAAAAAATAAATTTGATGGACTAATAATAATTTTATTTTTTTTTTTATTTACAATCACTAGTATGTTCCTATACCAAGTTATTTCATATGATTACTTTTAAAAATAGAGGCTATTGTTTTTAAACAAGAAAAAAAATGAAAAAGTATCACTACTATACGGAAATGAAAAAATTATGACAATTATTCCATCAAATTTAATATTACATTCTCGTCCGCCTTCAAGATTTCATTTTATTTTGATTTTTAAATATTAATTATTATATTAAAATATGATATAAAGTTAAAAAATAACAAAAATATTTATATTAACATATTATAATAATAATAGAAGGACATTTGTAAAAAAAAAAAAAAATTATATAAATATAATAATATTTTTAATGTTAAGTACAATACGAACAAATAGAGTACTTTGTTTTGTTTGAAAATTACACCAATTTGGTAAAATTAAACCCGAGTCTCTAAAAATAATCTAATAAATAAATTCATACTCTCTCTGTCCTAAATAATATGCTATTATTATGATAGATACGAGAATTTGTATAATTAATAAATAATTAAAAATAAATAAAAATAATTATAAATTATAATTATAATTAAAATAAAAAAATTTAAAATTTATAATAATATAATTATACTTTGTAATGACAAATTTATATGTGAGGGAGGGAGTAACTATTTTAAACCAACTCGTGACTATCTTATTTGTCTGTTACCACTTAATAAAAAAGTCCATTGGATCCGTCTTGTTAACGTAACACATAAAAAATATTATTATTATAATAAAATAATATTAGCGATTCAGAGGTGGTTAGTTGTACGGCAGCACACATGGCGTCCGCCCTCGCTTGTTCATCAGCTATAACTAGTTTTTTTATTCGGCCCTCAGGGACCGGCTATAAATACGACCACCGTCCTCTCATTCACGAGATCGACCATTTCCATTTCGATTTCGCTTCTCCTCCCTCCTGCAGTCGCCGGAAACATTTTCGCCGTTGCTCCGTCTTGCCAGTCCTCTCTTCGTCGTCTATTTCAGGTATCGGCGTGCGTGTCCTTGGATTCTGTTGTATGCAGTTCCTAATTCGTAAACCATTGGCTGGTTTGATTGGTCCGTGGTGTTTCTTTTTTTAGATAATTGTGAATCTCGGATGCATGTAGTTGCGTGGTGCTTTTATTCTGCAACGATTCCTTTCACGTGTGGTGTTCGATGATGTGCATTTTTTTATTATTACTATTCCATTAGTTTGTGGAGATGGAACGAGGAGAAGATGATATTTGTGTGATTCGTTGCGAACCTAATGTGGATTGATTCGAATAGTGTATATATCATAACGTTTCTAAGTAATTTGAGGAATATTTGATTTACTTATTTCCTATAAGAGCATATAAGATAACAGTTGGTCAGAGAAAAGGAATAAGCTTTGGAATATGCCATTTTTGCATTCAGGACCAGAAATAACCTACAAAGATCGGGTTCTATGTCGAAAAATTTGAGACGTCTTTCTACTTTGACTTGTATTTATTTGTACGGAACTTTTGAGAAACCAACCTCATCTATCAAGTCTCAAAATGTTGGAATCTCAGAAAGGTGGGAAAGAGTGGCTTCTCAGCTTCATTGATTAATTTTAAGCGCAATTCCCAACGTTATAAGAACCTATGCCTCTTTCTGAAGCCTGCTTTGTTGAGCTTAAATTAATCAGTAGAGATGATATATTAAATCTCCCCCGTGCAGTGACTACTATAAGTTATTTCTATGACCTCCAATAATATTATTTTCTCTTCCATTCCTCGGATTTCTGTTGTTGATTTCAGTTTTCTAATTTCATTCATTTTTTAATGCAGCACAAAAGAATACATTGCCTGATCCGTGCATATTATTTTTTTTGTTCATCTGTTGAATCCCACCTGATTTTTGTTTGGTAGTTTGTTTGCGTGTTTTGTTTTGTTTTTTCCCTATTTGTGCATACCCTGAAATTGTTTGCTGCCTAGAAGTGCGCTGCAGAATTTCTCAGAAAATACTTCAAGATTTGTATGCTTCCATCCAATCAAATGTTTATAATGGTTCATATGTATGCAGGATTGCATGTTATATGGTTTTCCAAAGATGATTGGCTGGCTTACTTTTATCTATGTTCTTTGTACAAATATGCAGACATGGATAATGCACAAGGCCAAGGGGTGTACCCTCAGCACCGTTGCAAGACTATTCACTTGGTTGATGTTCCTTCTCTTTTTGTGCTCACATATAAGTTTTTGAGTTTAATAGCTCTCAACTTTATAAGCTACCTGATATAAATGCTTCATATGTTTCCGGATATTAGGTGAGACATGCTCAGGGGTTCCACAATGTGGCCGGAGAGAAGGATCACAGTGCATACTTATCTCCAGTGCTATTTGATGCACAACTTACTCCTCTTGGTTGGCAGCAGGCAAGAACTGGTTACTCCTATAATCTCTTTTGTGCAAACAAGGTTTTGATGGCCATAGTTGTTGATCATAACTAAACTGGAAAGGCATTTCTTTTACATCTAAACTGTATTGGTTTATTCTTTAATGCACAGTTGCTATTTGTCAATAAAACGATTTTTTCTTTTCCTATTAAAGCTTATATAAAAAGTGACTTTTCTTTTTTATTATTAATTTCTCAATTGTAACAGGTAGATAATCTGCGCAACCATATTCAAGCGACAGGTCTTTTGAAGAGAGTTGAGCTAGTAGTTGTTTCCCCTTTGTTAAGGCAAGTATATGCGCCCTCTCATTCTTGCAAGCTACAAAGAGATTGAAAATCTGAGTGTTGTCTTCAGTTTCAAAATTTTGGTTTTAGGCATGAGTATCATTGTACAAACAAGTAAAATTTTAAAAAAAGATTCTCGTCAGAAATTAAATGAATTAGCAGTTTAAGAACATAGTATAAAAAGAAGCAGCTTCTTTAGCAAAGTTCCATTCTTGAATTTCCAATTCTATTATTATCTTGAATGCATGTATTTTTTGTCTTTTTAACACCTACAAGTTAGTTTAAGTACTGTAGAGTAGTAGTAGCCTATGGTTTAGAAATGTTGCATCCTTGCTTTTGGTGATTCAAGTTTGAATATCCACTCTGTCACTAATCACTTCACTTTGCAATGCAGGACTATGCAAACAGCTGTTGGGGTTTTTGGTGGAGGTAGTTATGAGAATGGAGTTGATGCACCTCCTCTAATGGTAGAAAATACCGGAAATTGCAACCGTCCAGCAATATCAAGTTTAAATTGCCCTCCATTTGTGGCAGTGGAACTTTGTCGAGAACATTTGGTATTTACGACAAACTTGTTATTCAGTTGTTTCTACCTAGTGATTTTATCATTCACATCCTTGGTCGTTATGTCTTTCTCCAATTAAGCTAAGTTTTATGCTTACATTGTTCTTCGTTACGTATACTACATTCCACCTTAGTGAAGCCGCTAGCAGCTAGCTTTGAATGAATGGAAACTTGAAAAACATTCAAATTCTTTAAAAAATAGGTAGCTTTTTGCTCATTTTATTTGAACTTTTAGGGAAAAATATGTTTTGATGCAATGTTTTTGTTTAGTGCTTAAGTTTTGAAAATGATGTATTTGGGGTTACTTGTTTCAAACAAGCGATCTCTGGTTACTTGTTTCTGAAAAAAGGCATTCAGAGGGATGCATGAGAAATCTAAGTTGAATTCATGTGCTTAATTACTAATTAGTATGGATATTGATTATTTATATGTTACATAATGCAGGGAGTTCACTGGTGTGATAAGAGAAGAAGCATAACTGAATACTCACCTCTTTTTCCAGCTATTGATTTTTCCTTGGCAAGTATTTTGTTATTTCCCGATAAATATCCTAAAAAGACAATGATGGTCATTTGTGCCTTCTGAGTAAAATTACTACAACCTCATCATTTATTCATTAGATCCCATGCTTCTTTCCAGATAGAAAGTGACGATGATTCTCTCTGGAATGCCGAAGTCAGAGAGCCAGACGCAGACCTTGCTGCAAGGGGTGTGAAGTTCTTCAACTGGTGACCTTGCTTTCTCATCTATGCAGTAATTTTATTAGAGTTTTGTGTGTGATGGCGTGCTTGCTAAAGATTTTTAAAATGTAGGAATTAATTATATTACAGCTGATAACTACGAAAAGCTATCATATGGAAAATCATATATATATATATAATGTGCCGTGATGATGAAGCATCAGCATGTACCTATTATAAAATCCTGAAGTAAATTTCTTCTAAGAATTGAATAATGTGTTTTTGGCTTTCTGATGGTGTAGGTTAGGGACAAGGAAGGAGAAGGAAATAGCTGTGGTTACCCATAGTGGATTTCTGATTCACACCCTTTCATCATTTGGAAACGACTGCCATCCATCGGTGAAGACTGAAATATGCAGACCGTAAGTTTGTACTTGTTTTCAAGCTTCTTGCTTCACTATTGCCTAGTTAATGTTTTTCGAATTTTTATTTTTGATTTAGATCAGTCATGTACTCATGCGTCTCTTTGAGGTTTGGGTTGAATTTTAAAGTTTGAGAATAGTAAAAATTTGAATAGAAAAAGTGAGTAATATGATATAAATAGGTGTTATGGTTTTGGTGGAATTTTTTTTTAATGAATGATAACACACTTGTTTGTCTTCCGACCATTCAGAGGATTCTGATGTTCATTGCAGTTCTTGAGATTATGTTAAAATGTAATCCTTGTCAGTAAAATAAGGTGTTGAATTGATCTTTGCAAATTGGATGTGCAGATTCAACAACTGTGAACTACGATCCGTTGTCATAGTGGATAGAAGGTACACCAAAACTGATATATCCCTAACAACATTTCCGTTTTCCATTATCTAACACTACCCCAATTCTACTTTCCTATTCACAGTATGGTCGGAACAAGTTCTTCATCAACTGATTTTCCCGGAAAAATTCCTCAAGGACTTGATGCTCCAAGTGACGAAGCTGAGGAGAAACATTGAACCATATATCTCCATGACCATTGATCACAATTTCAACAATGATAGTAGGTAGTCTTACTATCGTCTCACTATTTATTTACAAGTGATGTAATAGTATATTCATCGGATTTTTCGATATTCATATTAGATTATTGATGGGAGCATTGAGGTTAGCTCTGTACTGAGATAATCTGCAGCATTACAACTTTTTGTTGTGGGGCTTTGGTGACCATTGGTATTTGTTTTGTCAGAATTTACCTCTATTGTTTGTTTAACAAGTGTCAGTGAAAAGATTGATTTGAACAAGTTCTTACATGTTTTTTCTTATTTCTCTATGCTGTGCTATTCTTAATACATGTTGATTTCTATCAATTGTTAGTCCAAGTAAAAAGTCTCTCTTAAATAATACATAGAGTGGGTATTTTGTTTAAAATGCAACAAATACTTGTTCACTTCAAAATTTTAAAAACCGAAACAACTCAAAAACACAAGCAAACATTCCCGTTACACTTCTTTAATAGAATTTGTGCATGAAATATAACAGATACGCTCTAAAAACACATGCAGTTTCTAAATTATACAGTTTGCTTTAGAACTATGAAAGCTCCTAATGTGAAAGATTCCCGCAAGTTTTTGGCACAATAAGAAAGCAAATCTATGGGGTGAAAGTCTCAAAGATGAAGAACCAAAACTTTTTACGTAAGAAACCACTACTCAGTCGCCGATAATATAAAGAACTAACCCCAATATTAGGGAGATGATCAGAACCAAAATGGATAGCACAGACTTTAAATCGGTGAAGTTTGCAGGATTTGTACCTGCAATGTTCTTGGTCTTCTTTGAGACTGAATCACCTGGCTTCGTTGCTGACGACAAACCCATTGCAATATCCCAGAAGGAATTTGTGGTAGAAGCTGTTGCGGTGGGGGGATTCGATTCAGGTTCCATAATTTCTGAATCGTCTGATGGAACTTCCATTGACATCAGCTCGGTGCAGTGGTCTTTAAGAACCTGGAAAAAGAGATGCTGGTTTAAACCAAACTACTAATTTATTGTTCAAAAATAAACTACTAATTCCACTAGTAAAATCAAAATTTGTCTCATTTTATTGTTCAAAAATAAACTAATAATTCCACTAGTAAAATCAAAATTCGTTTCTCATTTATAGAGGAGAAGCATACATGATTCTGAGATGAAGAATTTGCATTACAACTTATTGGAGAAGAAATTGATGGAAGTGCAAAGTAAGTTAACAGACACTGTTCAATGAATAGCATCTGTATTCATGAATAAATACACCAGCAATGTTTAGCTTTCATATGAATTTTCGACAAGCCTAACTGATGCATCCCATTGAAAGGACAGTAGGATATCAAAGAATTGGAACCATTAAAATAATAAGATTCCTTATAAAATCACAACTACAATGCATCAAAGAGCAATCGATATTTTAATATGTCAGGCGCCTATTTATCAAATTTTAGCAACATAGTTTTCTTTGTTTAGAAAATGTTGGTAGTAGTCAGTTGAATGAAGTTGGTTTCTGAAATTAGATGATTGACTCTAACTAAGGTCTATATGGCTGCTCTACATATAGCATCAACTTTACAAGGTAAATGTGACTCTATGGAGAACATATAGGGAGGATATAGCTTCAGAAACAATATCTGTGTTCTCTATGGAGTCCGTCCTAACACATATCCTAATCATTAAAAGCATGTTTGAAGGAAATTATTAACTGAAGTTTATGCATTATTCAATCCAGAAAAGCAAGAAAAAAACTTTATTGATTATGAAGGATACCTCCATTGTTTCGGATGATTGAATATAATCACAGATGTAAGTACCATCCAGCCATGGAACAAACACTCGTCGAGGCAATGATAGGATGCATTGTTTTCTGCTAGGAAACAATTAGAAAAAATTCAAGTTAGTGAAAAAGAATCCAAATACTGGGTCCTGGTATCAGATACAAGGTAAATTCAGTACAAATACAAGCGGCAATTGGATTATGTATTTGCATACAGAGGAATGATGAAGCTCATATTTGTTAATTTGGTTGCTAAGTCCTAAAAGTTCTCATGTGATGTGAAATAAATAAATATAAGGATGAACAAAATAACACATCTAGACTAAAAAACATAAAAACTGGTATCATTTAAATTTTCACAATCTACCAGAAACTATTTGTTAATCATTTCATCTAAATAAAGTTTCTCAATGCCAGAGTAAGATAAAGCATCGGTATCATTCATTGTTGAAATCACTGATGACCATGCTAGAGTTTAGAATAAAAAAATATGGACAGGTAAAGCATAACCAGTCAAGTTAAACCTCCACCTTTGACCACGCTAGAGTTGCTTTTGTATATTTTAATCTTCGTAACAAGATTTCAGTTTGTACAGCAAATTCACCACTTTCCCATTTAGTATTAATCCCAATACTATGTGAAATCCTACTAGAATGTAAGAGTATTTTAAGCAATTTAATAATGAATCAGCATGCGTAAACTTCTAAATAAAAGCTTATGTAGGGAGGTACACAACCACAACTCGAAAGACAAATTAATGTTTGACAAAGAAAACATGCAAAGCAACTTAATCTATAAGTGAATGGCAATGAAAGAAACTGTTTTCCTAGGCACAATCCTTCTTGCCTTTGTGTCAAAAGATCAAAATGTGGAACAGGAACATCAGATCCGTTCTCCTGGCCGCCATCAGATTCCAAGTCCTTGTCAGCCTCATCACAAATATTATCCAGTCTACTGAGCAAACTCCTAATAATATCCTCCTATTCACATGAAGATTCAAAAACATAAAATGGATGAGATAAATGAATTAGTCAATCAGAAATTTCAGGCAATATTCTTAGGAAATAAATGGCAATGGAGCTCTGAATGTTGGTTACCAATTTTATGATTCACGCTCTACAAATGACAATGAGCTCTAATTATTTAAAGCACCAACTGATAACCTTTCTTTATAAATTGAAATTCTTTTATAATATGTGGACAGAGAATTGACATTCTTAATGTTGCACAGGACAAACCATAGTTTTCCAATTTTCTGGTATTAAACTAGACCACCACACCTAAGGTGAATCATATTTATTCACAAGAACCACCAATTTCAGGCTTGAGATTGATAGGAATTCTGCAATACTAATGAACATATCTTAATTTACACAACTTACCAGCTTAGACTTGGGAGAATCTAAAAAATATGTATGTACATGAAAGTTACGATAGCCCACAAAGTATATCAACATCTTTTCTCCTCTAATAAAGTAATCTATTATTAATTATAATTACAGATGAATTTGTAAACATTTTCTATCTAATTATTCATTTTCCTGAAAAAATACTTATTGTTATAAACTACATAATTTTCATGGAGAGAACAGGAAAATCTCTGCTGAAGCACAATAAGGTCAAGCTACCTTTATATCAATTAAAGCTTGCAGAATAGGTTCCTTCGAATTCAAGTACGAAAGAGAGCAAACAGATCCTTGAAACAATAGAACACCAACCACCTCCTTCTGCCCACACGCTTCACATAAAAATAGTAGTAAGGGAACAGTGCAATATCCATATACACTAGCAAACAAACTTAAAAAAGGAAGTCAAACACACCTTCCAAATATTTATCTTGCAGAAAAGGTAAAAGCAATTCAACTTCATGAAAATTATCAGATAAAGATAGCTCATCCTGATTCTCAGCCACCTAAGAAAGCATAAAAAGGAAAAGGATGATGTATCTATTTGTTTGGTGAGGAGAATCCAATCACAGCAACTTAGGCAAAGTTATTTGTAATTAAAACTATTCCATCTATCTAAGGAAGCAGCAAAAAATACTAGTCTAGTTTAAACCCCAAGAAGAAATGTTTCTTGGGTTGGAGGAAGTGGAAGAGATTGGACAAGTCAACTGCCAAGCAGAAGCAGAAGCAGAAGCTCTTCTTGCCACCTCATCCCTTGTCCACTGTTTTATGTATCCTAAAGAAGCTTCTAAAATAAGTAAAATCATTTTTTTTTTAACTTCTGATATTAAAGCAGCCACAGCTACATGTAAAAGTCATCCACTTGATTTTTGTATTGGCAAATTAAGTAGTTGTACCAATTTGCCATTGATTATAGCCTTTGCACTTGAAAGTTCCTTAGCATGGAGTATGATTTCATCCCGAAGAATATTAGAAAATTTTGTGATCTCCAATTCATCATGTGGTATAGGCAACCTGGAGAAGTGGTTTCAAAACAATCAAAATGATATGAATATGAAATTCTATGAATGTTAATGCATATAATGAATATCTAATAGGAGAGAAACATGCAGTTAACAAAAAAGGCCAATGTGATGAAGCAAGCTTCAAGCACAAGTACGGATAGGGGACGTGTTGAAATTGAAATGCAGGTATAAATTTAGGACTGACGAAGGACATGCAAAGATTTTCACAGTATGTTTTATGCAAATAAATAAAACCATCACCAATCTCTTAAAATAATGTTAAACAAAAATTTATAGGAGAAACTCTGGGATAATGAGCAATCCCCAGATGTAACATCAAGAACACAATGTCAGACAATTGTACAAATTACAGGCGTGCATTGAGATAACAGTCACCCTTCTGTATCTTTCGAAATGAATTACAAAACCAGATCATTACGGCACTGGCAAGAAATTTATGTAAACTAACTGAGATGCAGCTAAAACTAGAATATGGAGAATCTTAACTGAAGTAAAAAGTGATATCTTTTTATCTAGTACATAAGAAAACCCAGTAAGGAGCCAAGAGGCTCTCTTGCTGTATGCATTCCTAAAAATACGAGAAGAAATAATGAGACCACTTTACGAATTTTGATATCATATCCAGCATTTAAAATTTAACTTCAGCTAATAGAAATAAAAATGAAGTGTGTTACTGTACTTGTCACTCAGGGATTGCAGTTCAAAGGAAACATCTCTATTAAGCATTCAGACCAACAGACAAATGAGACGACTAATAAATAAACAAAGATGATATGAATTCCTTTTCCCCATAAAAAGGGTGCATACTGCATAGTATTAACCAGAACCAAACATGCTTAACATATTACATCCTCAGGCATTACAGTATATAGGAGAAATTAGCTCACCCATAAAGAAGAAACGGTTAATAATAACTTAATCTGAAACCAAGCACCATGATTAGGGTCAGAAAGAAGAAGATTATAACAAGATAGATCACCTTAAATCAAAATTATATGTGCATCGGAAGGTTTGAAGGGAACCCAAAACTTTTCCCATTTTAAACTCACAGGGTCGTAGACTGCTTGAAGTGATGTTTGATGCTAAAGAGCAATTCCGGCATGTCCACCTGAAGTTTAGCAACCTTATCATGTACTACTGTAACTAAAATATTTTAAAATAAGTAAAGCATCTGATAGTTGGTAGTTGGTAGTTGGTACCTCAGAGGGCTATAGCCTATATGAACTAGCACTGCCTCATTACTGTCACTCACCATTGAGGAGGCTGCTTCAGCAACTCCTAGTAATGTCTGAGTGAAACATGTCAATACAGTTGAAATGGGCATTAAAAATAATTTGGCAGATTCCCTGATTTGATATGCGTATAATGGTCGTGTTGGTCAAATGCGATATCTAGGACCCAAATAAGCTAAATTCGTAACATACTAATATGTCTCCTAGGCACTGACTTCATCCTCAGCCCTTGCTAATAATTCTCAATTGGAAACCTGTCCATTCTAAACTAGAAACTAGAAATGGGAAAGCGCAAATGTAATCGACTCCTGCATAACTTTGCTAAGGCGAATGAAAAATTTGGTGGAACCATATTACTAATTGTGGGCTGAGTTAAGATATTACATCACAGGACCTGCAAAGAAGCCATATGCCGTGAATGCAATACAAATGGGATTCTATTAAGGGTCCTCACATAAAAGATTAAAGATATGTATGCTATTGTAAACAGATGTTTTTTAATATGTAATATACTAACAGGTACGACATAATAAAATTGGATTCTCATAAAGCAAGGTATATGTATGGCCAGTGAATGGTAAGATGATTAAACCTGGCATAATGTTGTAGTTGAATTCTTGAACAAGTTCTCATTAATCCATACATAAATTCCAATCACCTTCATGCCACCCAACAACATTCTTGAAACCTATAAGATAAAAACATTCATATACATCAATGTGAAAAGGCCAAAGAGAATCTATGTTCTTCATTAGTATGAACTGATGACAGAGAATATAACCTTGTAAAGGAGTGTATTTAAACACAATAAGAATCCATTCACTGAAAAGGATCTATTTTTTGTTCAATTTCAAGTGATGGAAATAAATGAATAATATCAAAGCAACATCCAATAGTCTAATTTACCCTACACGGCAGAATTGGCTGTCAGCCTCACATTTCAGCCAGATTTCAAATAGAAAGATCCGAATTCCAGAATCATATCACTCTATACTGCACACCACTAATAGATATTTGATGGCCAGCACTTGATATATCTATTGGCACCTCTAATTCTTCATTCATTCCAAGCAATTGCTTCCTAAACCATTATTTAAACCATCAGTACTACCACCGAACCTAAAGGTAACAAACCATGCACGGATGAAACTTCCAGCATCAGTAACACAATTAAACTCAATTAACACACCGTAGAAAGAACTGGTTAAACAGCATTAAAATTTTCAAACTAATGGAGACAAGCAAGACCGTAGATCAGAAGTAACCACAACACCATATAGTTCTAAAACCACGAATCTGGACCTGACGCGCATGCTCCGACACCCAATCCTTATCAATAAAGAGAGCGGCAGCCTCGGGCTGAGACTTCGCTTTAGAAGAATTCTTCTTCTTATTCTTGTTACTTTCCCCAGCGCCATCTATCACCGAGCAAGGAGGTTCTCCGGAGTCATTCGGTGGAGTAGGCAATAGATTATACACGAACCCTTTGTCCAGCTTCGAACTGAACTTCCCAATCACAAGCCCTGCCTGTTCAATTTTAATCGGGAATTTCATTTTGAGCATATCAGAAAAAACAATTATCACAGAATCATTTATCAATCAGTTAAACATTCAATCATACGGTGGCAGACCTCGGCTGGGACGCCGGAGCGAGTGAGGCGATCTTCCGTCAATTTGAGCTGTGTTTCATCGCCGATCACAATTTTCACCATTATTCTCAATGGAACCCTACTCTCAACCCCCGAAGTCGAGGAAATGCGAATTTGCGACGATGTGAGGTGGGTTAATTGAATGGAAGAAATCGCGCAGACGAAGACAGACTGGAGTTTGAAGTGCACTGACAAATAATGTTTTATAGTGTTCATAACTGAAACGGTGCGTAGAGCAAGTAAAATGTTTAGGGTAATTTTTATTTGATAATTTTTTATTAATTTATAATTACCATAAAAAGAAAAAAAGAAAAAAAAAAACTGACAAAAAATAATAATATATATATCGAAATGATATATATTTTGTATTTTGTATTTATGCAAAAATATATATAGTATGTTTTTATGGGATATAAACAGTGGAAAATAACAAATAAATGTGTTGCATTATCAAACAATCCCTCCAAAATCCCCACAAGAACACCTTCCATTGCAAAATCTATGTAGCCTCTTGCTATCACGTATAACTATATTTCTCGAACTCGAACACGCCACGAATTTCATAAAACCATGGCACTCCGAACACATACCCATCCGCTTCACCACTCGAATCTCGGCACCCGCCGCCGTGTTCAGCAACCCGAAGGCCACCGCCAGCTGTTCGCTGTGATGACCGGCCGAAGCAGAGGAGGCTGCATCACCTTCTGTACTATCCAAATTCGCTGACTTTCGATAATCTTCGATCATATTATTAAGAAACATAACAATGCTGCTGTTCTCATCGTCGTCGTCCGGGACATGTTTCTTGCTCCCGGGCTTAAACGCAAACACCTCGTCCCGAACGGTGATCCAGCTCCAATCCGTTACCCGGTCGTCGATGTTCTCGCCTTTCATCATTTTCCTCACTCGAGAAACGTCTTTCCATCGCCCGGCCGAGTGGTACAAATTCAGTAGCGAGAAATACGTCTCGGGATCCTTCGGTTCGAGTTCGAGCAGCTGTTCCGCGGCATAAAACGCTAACGATAACTTCCCCTGGCTTCTGCAGCCTGCGATCAAAACCGACCATACGAACTCGTTCGGCGTAAAGCCCGTCTTCGTGATGAAGTTGAAGGCTTCCTCAATCCGACCCAGCCTTACGTACATATCGATCAGGCACGCGTGGTGGTCGACGACGGGGTTGATTTTGTACTCGTCTTTCATCATTTCGTAATATGCCAGCGCCTGCTCGACAAACCCAGCTTGGCTGCACGCTGAAAGCACGCCGACGAACGTAATCTTGTTCGGTCTCATTCCCACAAATCTCATGTCCTCGAAGAGCTGCACTGCCTGCTGAGAATGCCCGTGCTGCGCAAGCGCAGTGATCATCGATGTCCACGAGATCAACGTTCTTGTAGGCATTTCTAAGAACGCTTTAATCGCTCGATCGATGCTTCCACATTTGCTGTACATGTTAACCAGTGCAGTTCCCAACACCACCTCGGATAAAAATCCCGTCTTTATCGCCTGTGCGTGAACTTGCTCCCCTTGCTCCATCGCCACCAGATTGCTGCACACAGTTAGCAAACTCGAAATGGTGTAAAGATCGGGTTTCAATCCTAATCTGTACATATGTTGGAAAATCTTAAGCGCCTCTGTTCCGCAAACGTGGGCTGAAAGCCCGTCATCGGCAAGACTCGTCATTTCTGCGTGTCCAGCGATCATTGCGTTCCATGTAATCATGTTGATGCTTTCCATGCCGTCGAACACCTTCTTCGCCAAGGCAATGCATCCAGTTTTCAAGTAAAGATACATTATTGCGGTCGTCACTGGTAAATCTGATCCGTATCCGAGTTTGATAGCTAAGGAATGAACCTGTGATCCGGTATTTACAGCCTGCGTCGTACAGCACAAACTCAATACACTAGTCAGAGTCATCTCATTAGGCTCAATGCCTTCGGCAAGCATTCGAACAAACATTTCCAATCCCATTGTTGAATTCCCATTGTCCCCACAAGCAGATACTGCAGCAGTCCATGAAATCACATTCTTTTCTTCGATTCTATCGAAGGCTTTGATTGCCATCTCCAAACTACGGCACTTGGAGTACATGCTACAGAGGGCGTTCCCAATGCTCGTATCGTGGTCGACATTGTACTTTACAGTGTATCCATGGACTTGCTTCCCGAAGGCAATGTTGCACATAGAAGTGCAAGCATTCAAGGCAATCCCCAATGTGTAATTTGTAGGATATCTTCCAATTTCCAGCATTTCCTTGAAAACAGAGATGGCTAGGTCAGGCTCGGAATTCTGGACATGGCCGGACATGAGTGAAGTCCAGGTGACAACATTTCTGTGGGGCAAATTGTCGAACACCTTGCGAGCACTTTCAATGGCGCCACATTTGGAGTAGGCGTTGATTAGAAACGTCATGAGGAACAACTCCTCGCAGAATCCGCACTTCACCAAGTGCGCGTGAACTGATTCCACGCCAGAAATTGATTTCTTCGCTATACATTCTTGCAAAATCGGAACGTATGAAGACGATTCCAGTCTATTGCTATCTTCGCTTATCAACGAAACCGCCTCTCGTAATTCACGACTGAGCGAATGAACCTTATCCAGATCTTTCCCCGCGTAATTCCTCTGCAATCGACAATAAAAACTCAACAAATTGACCATTCCACTCCAGACAGCACATTCATACTCCCAATTAAACCATAACACAACCAGAAAGCTCAATCAATTACGTACAATACCTTTTCGAACGTAAGGAAAGACGGAGGGGATAACTTGGAAGATTCGGAATCGAGCTTGACAGCGGCGCTACCGACCACTGCTGGAGGCAGAGAAGCCATGAGAAGCAGTGAATTCTTCTGCTATGCAACGGAACCGATGATTGCATGTAAGTTAGTTATGAGTTATCTGATCTGCTTGGATAGGAACGGTCGGGTCGACCCGAGATTTGGGCAAGTCCACCGTTAAAAAAATATGGGTCATGCTGTGTTTCTTTTGCTTGAATTTAAAAAAATTTAGTTTGAATTTATATTAAAATAATATTTAATTAAATATTTTATTAAAAAAAAATATATGTAAAATTCAAATAGTAAAATTTAAAAAAAATTATAAAAAAAAAACATAAGATTTAAAAGAGTGATGTATTTTATATTACTAATAATATTTAATTTGACAGAAATAACTTTTTGTCCTCTTATATCACTATATTTGTTTGACCAATATTTTTTTTTTTTAATATATATTTTATACATACAATTTACTATATTTTATATTAAAATTTATTTTTTTAAAAAAATACTAAACAAACAAATTCACTCTTTATTTGTTCTTCAAATATACTCCCTCCGTCCCCAATTTATCTATCTATTTGCTTTTTGTATGGAGTTTTAGAAATATTAGTATTATATTGCGATAAAATAGAAATAAAGGTAAAAAGACTAAATTAACCTTGTTTTAGAAATATTAGTATTATATTGGAATAAAGTAGAAATAAAGGTAAAAAGACTAAATTAACCTTATTAGTATTGTATAATATAAAGGTAATGACATTTGTGTAATATATTGTAAATTAGAAGGGTATTTGTAATGTTAGGTATATAGTATAATTACTAAAAAAATGAAACGGATACTTTGTTATGGAACGGACCAAAATGAAAAAATTGGATAAATTGTTAAGGGATGGAGTAGAAATTATGTGTCCATCCAAGGACTTATATGCAACATACTTAATCATAGGGGATTTGTGTTATTATTATTTTTTTAAAAAAAGAAAATTGTTATTATATACTATAATAAGTAGTATATAATAATACTCCTCCGTCTCGTAATAAAGTATTTATTTATATTTTGCGGCATTATATTTAACATTAAAAATATTTTTATATTTGTATAATTTTTTATACAAATGTTATTGAATTAGTATTATAAGACACTAATAGAAATATTTTTACAATTTTTTCTTGATTTGTAATACGTTTTGATAGAATAATTAATATCCAAATATCAACATGTAAAAAGTAAATGGATATTTATTTATGGGACGGAGGGAATATATTTTTTTTATAAAATATTATATTTAAATACAATCTAAATTAAAATTTTAAATAAAACATTTAAATTCAAACTCAGGCCAAAGAAAAAAACCGTAAAATAAATTTTAAATCTCAACCAAATGTAGAATGCAATTTCTTACCTTCAAGAAACTAGCGCGGTTGATCACACGTTTTTAATTAATAGTAACGAAATGTTTGATTGTAAGTTAAAATCAACATACAATACATATTTAATCAAAAATATATTTTAAATAATTTAAAATATGTACATTTCAATATATGAAATAAAAATAAAACATAAAAATTCATATAATCCTATAACTACAAATACAAATATATGTAATTAATCTATATTAATTTACAAATATAAAAGATAAGTCAATAAAAATTTATTTATTATTTATATTAAAATAAATCTCACTTTAAACAATAATAAGAATAAAAATTTCTTTATTATTTATATGAAAAATAGAGATAAAATATAAAATAAATCTCACTTTAAAAAATAATAAAAATAAAAATAAATAATACTCCCTCAGCCGCATAAGAAGATAGCATTTAACCTCAACAAATGACAAACATCCATCCCCACTGCTTATTGCAATTTAATTCAACAGACTCCAAGAAACGGTTGAAAACATAATTATTGAGATTTTCGCAACAAACAAAACTTAGACCAATCAATCATCATCTTGCACCAGATTGAAAACCAAACTTAACTGCATCAAATTTCAATTTCGAAATTTAAGAAAATTACCATTGCTCATCTGGGAACTTTGCTGACAACCCTTGCTCCAACTCTATCCAGCTGCTTCACCATTGCCATGGCCTTCAAATTCCCTTCCTTCATGAACGCCTCCACCATCCTCTCCCCGATTTCCCGCCCTCGTTCTTCGCTGTCCGTCACCGCCACTGCAGTTGGCCCTGCCCCGCTTATCGTGCACCCGAACGCGCCAGCTTCAATGGAGGCTTTCTTCACTTCAGCCATGCCTGGAATCAGGGGAGCCCTCCTTGGCTCCACAATCTTGTCCGACGACAGAGCTTTGCCCAAGTTCGGCAAATCCCCTTGCAAAACGGAGGCGACGAGTGCGCCTGCCTGGCTGCAGTTCCAGATGTGGTGCGACATTGTGATCTCCGGCGGCAGCGCCGCCCTCATCTTCTTTGTCGGAGCTTCGAATTCGGGGTTCACCAGGACGAAGAATAAGCTCTGTTCTTTCGGGAATTTTAGCTGCAACAGTTCCAGAGGTTCGTAGCTGCGAATCAGGATGAAGCCTCCCAGGATGGACGGCGCTACATTGTCTGCGTGGTAGCCGGAGACCTTAGACTCCGATTCAAGACCGGCAAGGACCAATTGGGACGGCGATAATGGCGCACCGAATAATTCATTGACTGCAACCGCAGCTGCGGCAGCACTAGCTGCACTGGATCCAAGGCCGCTGCCGAGGGGGAGGCCTTTCTCGAGGGAGATCGAGAGGCCGACGGATCGAATGTTGAGCATCTTCATCACGGCAATGGCCGCGATTCCAGCACAGTTGAATAGGGGATTTTTGCTCAGCTTTGATCCAGCACCGGAAATGTGGGAAATCGATACTTCCCCGGGGTGAACCGCTGGATCAATTCGGAGGTTGACGTAGTCACCGATTCCATCGACTGCGCAGCCGAGGAAGTCGAATCCCGGCCCTAGATTGGCTACTGTCGCCGGAGCGAATGACTTGACGGAGGAGCACAGAGGCTGGGGTTCCGCTAATTTGGAGTAGGCGGACGACGGTAGGGCGAATGTAGAAGGATTGAACCTCAAGTTGGAAGGAAGCTTCGACGGCGATGTGGAGGCAGCATCGGCGGAGAGTGAGTGGAGCTTCAACTGAGAGCAGCAAACGGCGGCCATTGATGGCTCTCAAGAACTATAATCCCGGAAGAAAGTCGAACCTGACTCGCCCAATTCGCGACGCTCAAATGTCAAAACCCTCCGAATCTGCCAGGTTCAACTAGACAAACCCAACCAAAGAACATCATTCAATCTAAGAAAATAAAAAATTAGCGGATGCTTCGAGGATTCACAATAACAGAAGAGCAAACGCATCAAATTTAAAATTGCTGCAAGCGATCGAAATATTGGCTTCTCGATTGAAGTAACAATAATACAGCAAACTAATCAAAAATTGAAAACTACTGTAAATGCTTTAAATATTCTCGATCTCATAGCCATCCATCCGTAAAAGAAAAAGATTAAAAGAAAGAGAAGGACTGACGCAGGCGGCGCTGACGACGTGACGGAGGAGAGAAGCCGGGTGACTGAGGTGAAGCCGTATCGAAATGGGAAAAGGGAGAATCTCAGGCAAACAAACGAAATAGGGTTAAAGAGGGAGACCACTTGCCCAACCAGTTCCGAACCGGCGGCTCCGGATCAAACTGGCGGTTCATCATTTTTATTAGCTTTTGGAAAAAAAATTATATATATAGAATAGTAATATTAAAATATAATAAAAAAATTTAATTTCATATCTTTATTATTAATGATATATAAAATACTATAATAATAAAAATATAAAATATGTTTTATATTTATATTTAGTTTCATATTTTTATTATATAATAAAATTTTATATAATTATATTAATTATTCAATATATTAATTTTTTTACAAATAATTTATTTACTTTAATTTAATATTTAATTTAATTGTTTACTAAATTTATTATATTATATTTTTCTTATATTAATTTGATAAAATTATATTTATCATTTTTTTTAAAAAAAAATATAAATATATATATTAATCATATTTTAAAAATTTATAATTTTTTTAATTAAATTATTAATTATATATTCCATCAGTCCCGTATAATATGAAAGTAAGTAATTAAAAATGTATTAGTAAAAATAATTATTATTTAATAAAAATAATTATAGATTAAGATTAAAATAAATAAATAGTTTAATTAAAATAAAAAAATTATAAAATTTAAAATTAAAAATGCGATTAAAGTGCATAATTATATTTTCAAAAATAAAAATGATAAATTATATTAGACAAAAAAAAATAAAAAGTAAAGACAAATTATGCGAAGAAATAATTTTTAATCGTTAATAATTTTTATTATATTGTAATTATTTTTATTTTTTAATTATTTATTAATTAAAATGCCTAAAACTCTACCACCAACTAAGGTGAACAAATTAATGTAGGGTAACATTTATGATTTATTCAAATACATCTAATTTTAAAATCAAACACTAACTCGTAACTTTATATTAGAATTATTATTTATATAACTTTTATAAAATATATATATACGCTTTTAAATAAACCAAAACTAAAATTGACAAATTTTAAATAAAATTAAATTATAGTAAACCATCTGGAAATTAAAAATAATAATAAAAATATATATATAAATTGACAGTTTTAACTAGAATTATCAAAATACATAAAAATCTCATAATTTACATAAAAATAAAATAATAATAATAATAATAATAATAAAAAAACAAAATAAACAAGCACATAAAAATCTAAAATATCATAATAAATTGGAAGTTTTTGAAACTTTTCAAGAACAATAATTTAATTTAAAAAATATCACATTAAATCTCTCTTTTATCTAACAAAAGCAGCATCAAATTTTAACTTTTTACTATTTTAAAAAATATTTAATAAAGATGGCGACTATCACAAAACGTGGAACACAAAAGCTATTCATTCAGAAATTCAATTTCAAGAGAAAAATGAGAAATAAAACAAAAGTGACTTGTATCAATAAGCTAAATGCAACATAGAGATTTAACATCTACACATAAAGCATAAACCGTATTCTATCTACTATGTAACCAATTAGTAAGATCTCACTCTTTATGTCCATCACTGCAAGTTTGGTTGTCCGGACCTGTTTTGGGTGAGTCTTCCCCACACCATCTTCCCACATCGCGCCAAAGTTACAACAGCCAACACGTAAAGCAGAGGAACACCGGCGATGCAGCCGCCAGAAGAAAGATTTATCAATGTCTGCAAAAGCCAAAAGTTCAGCTGAATCACAAAAGGATAAGAAAAACAACGAAGTTTGGGGTTTCACATTTGTACAATACAGGGCCACCATTTCTATTTTCGTTGTCATGATTCTGAATCAGGCCCGTGGTTTTCAGATCGGTATGAATGAAAAACAAATCCAAAAAGATTAGGGACTTCATAAAGGATTGCTGTAGATTTAAATTGGTCGTGTGAATATCTCAACTGTTTCTTGAGCATTGCATCACTATACCACCAGGAAATGTGGCCAAATGGTTCACTAAAAACTACAAGAATTGTTATTTACCATGATATAAACTAATGAGAGCAGCAAAGAACAAATTCTATATAAATGGCCAATATACTTATACAAATCGTGCCATAGTCATATAGATGATAAAACTGAGATACTTACTAGCATCCCTGCAGCAAGGTGAACAAGAGGAACAAAATACTGGTCAATTTTGTTTCCTTCAGCATAAGCATTGAATGCAATAACCATTGAGAAAGTGTGGATTGTGACAAATGCAAGTGCTATAAGAGCTGCAAAAGAAGGAAGAAGAAAGACAATGAAATCATTGTTACAGTAGAAGAGAGCAACGGAAGAGAATCAGGCGGAAATTTGTTCTAACCACCTCCCATTTTTCATATTAGACATGAAAAGTTCATCTACAGTTTAAAAAACTAAAACCACCAATCATCAAGTAGCATTATTTTATGCATTGATTTTAAATTACATAGCCTTCAAAGAAACCAGGCACTTACAAGAGACGAGAAAAAATGGTATCTGAGAGCACTTCTCCACATAATATGTTGCTGGCCCAAATGCAGGTGTTAACAGGCTTATGCAGAAGAAGACAGCATGTGCCACACCATGACCCATTCCACCAGCTGAACAACAAAATAGAAATTGCGATTTAAACTGCAAGATCGCAAAATGGGTAGTAAATATATTGATATGCACAAAAGGATGAAAACACAACACAATAACACCAGAAATGTAATAAATTATATATGTTCGAAAATCTTATAGGGCTTCAGGAGAGCAGATTAAGGTAGTAGACCGCCAAGATCGAAATCAATAGGTCCAGACAACATCTGTTTCTATCAGTCTGTTTCTCATACTTGTCCCTCCATCTAAAACTGACTGCATGCTAGAACTATGCATAGATTTAAATCAGCATGTCATCAACTAAATTGACATGTTGAAAGAGAATATTCTTATTAAAATGGATATATCGTGCCGTAAATTGGGAGGTAAGTTGTATGTCAAGTTGCCAAATTGTGAAAGTTGAAATTCATAAGAAAATTGACATTCGCCAATCTCATGCCAATATATATGCGAAGCGGCATTAGATGCAGCTACCTTGCAGAAACTATTCCCTGTCATAAGAAATCTAAAATCCCTAAGCCAGCTCCAAGCGATGGGCCATACGATAAGAACATATTGCAGAAGAAAAGAAATGATCACGTATGAGTACTCTGGCACTCAAATTAAGACATACACCAGCTTACCAAGAGCAATTTGCATCTTATCTGTAATATAGAGGCGAGGCTTAGAGACTCTGTCAGCAAAAGCATCCAGTATTTCTTCCATCCGCCTGATAAAGGTTTGTGATGCAAAGAGATTAAAAATAAATAAATATTTTTATCTAGTCTATTACTATGATTCAACAGAAACAAGATAGTTTTCCAACATATGACAAATGTGATTCTAGATAGCAGTTGAATTCTTAGACTTCAACATGCAAAAAAAAAGATTAGGACTTATTCCAGATGTAAGGAGGAAAGCCAATGCTTGTTTCCAGACAATGTGAAATATGTTAATTAGATATTCTTGATTAGTAATTGAAGTTGTCCAAGCTAAACTCAACTCATTCTCAGCTTCCCAACCACTCAATCATCAATTCAATGCAGGTGCAAGAAACAACTGTTCCACTTCAAAGTTTTCGAGCACATTATTAATTACATTCTTGACAGGCATTGGTTTCACATAGTAAAATGCAGGTTTTCTAAGTAGTGCACAGTGTATAAGTATATTTACTTTGCTTTCTCTCTCTACATATTACGAAGTTCTTAACGGAAATACTGCTTAGATTACTTCAACAAGAACATGAATATATTCGTGCTATTTCCATCCATAATGAAATCGAGTCAAATAAATGCAATATCAATTCAATGTCATGCTTATTAAAAAAATTAGGCACAAACATCTATCAACCAATCAAGGTAGGTCATAACCAAAAACAGTTTCCCAATAAACACCTTACTTGTACAGTCTCCACAAGAAAAGTCGGAGGCCCTCCTGGAAGACGACAGAAGTCAGAATAACAAGTGCGTATGGCCACCACGCCGATGTTTTGAAGGGGAGGAACGCTCTCCACAGAGCCGATAATGCGATGAGACTCATCAGCCATAGCAAAGTACTGCGATCAACAACATAACGTCGTACCGGAAATCGTCATAATCGATTCTAAAAAGCACAATCAAACACACACAGATGCGAAAATTCATCGGCACGGAGGGAACCAAAACAAACCTGGAAAGAAGGGTGAGGACGAGGAAAGGCTTGGGGGAAATAACCGCGGCGAATAGTGAAAGAGATGGACCCAATGCTAGCAGCGCGTAGCCGATCCCCGCCGCCACTGTCATCTTGCACCGCTGCAGAAACTCAGCCCCAACTTGGGTTGAACTCTCTAATTCTGTGGAGTCATGTCCAGGGTAATTTCGGTGCGCAGAGTCATACCCTCTCAATAAAGAAAAATACTCCTCCCTCCCATTCCATCAATTCCATTTCATTTCATTTCGGGACGTCTTATTTATTATTTTTATATTTTAGAAATATAATTACTTATTTTAATTATATTTTAAACTTTTTTTATTTAATAAAAAAATTCTGGTATCTTTATTAAATATTTTTACTAATACTATATTTTTCTAATTATTTCAGTCTTTTTTCAAAAGTCTTTGCAATTTTGTAATAAATTAAAAATAGTCAAAATTAGTTACATAAATTACAAAGAAATGTAACTAGTTTCGAGAATTACAAAAGAAATGTAATTAATTTTGGGTAATATTTTATTAATAAGTAGAAATATGTAAAAAATTTTGATATTTTTGTCTCTTAATTTTATACATAAATTTTATATAAATGTTACAATATGTTTATAATTTAGTTTTAAGGTATTTTGGTATCAATGAAAATAATTTTTATTAAAATAATAAATAAATATTATTGGATACGACAAATAAAATTGATAAAAAATTATATATTTTTTAATTGTGACGGAGATAATATAATTTACAAAAATTGTCATATCTTGTGGACAATTTGGGGTATATGAAGAACAATGAGAATATCAAAAAAATCTTAATTAAAAAAAATAGTACTCTATCCGTCCCACATATCCCTACTTTTGTCAGTCCATATAATTTGTCCTTTCTATTTTTGGAAATATAATTATGCACTTTAATCGGCATTTTAAATTTTAAATTTTATAATTTTTTAAATTTTAATTAAACTATTTATTTATCTTAATCTTATTTTATAATTATTTTTACTAAATAATAATTATTTTTACTAATACACTTCTTAATTACTTACTAATTATACTCTACCTAAATTCTCATGTCTATGGTAATACATTCATATTACATGGGAGATGGAGTATAAAATACTATTGAATTTAAATTAAAATTAATTTTTTAAACCAATAAGTCAAATTTTGTGAATAAAAGGAAAACTTTATATACAACTAATTATTATATATAGCCCACAATACTTTAATTTGGATTAAAAATTTTGTTACTTGCAATACTAAATGATAATTAGAGGGAAAAAAATATATATATATCAAAACTTTATAAATTGTTTTATATTGTGATGGAGTTTGGAGTTTATAATGAAGTGAAATATATGGGGTAGAATAGAAATCTTTTATTGTGTGATCGCTGAAGAATGCAAAACATTAATAAACTAACCATACCCGGATCCGGACCCGATCCTTGTCCGGTTTCGGATACGGTGTGGACTATTCGACTACCAGAAAGCTCCTCTGACCTAACTCATCGGAACTGTCTTCTTCTTCTCCAATTGGCGAGCATTGAATTCAATGCTTCGTCGTCTGCGGCCTGACTGGAAGTTATGATGAGCTGGTCCTCATTTCTCGGGATCCCAATTTGCCTAGCTTTCCTCTCCTTCTTTCTGCTCAAATTTTTCGCTCCCAAATCCCTCATTAATCTTCCTGACGATGTAGGGCTCTTATTTGTATTGCTTTGAAAAAAAAGAAACTATGAACGCCAGGTTTACAATTGATCGTATAGTTTAATCTTTTATTTTGTATTTTCTGTCCAGAGGCTGTTCACTGCTGAGGAACTAGCTCTTTATAATGGGACTGATTCTGGACTGCCAATTCTTCTTGGTATTCTGGGGTACTGCTTTTTCTTTCTGTTTTACCTTGTCTGTTTTTTGGTCTCTGCATATTTGGCGAATGTGAATTAATCATAGTTTACCATTGTTTCTTCGTTCTATATGTGTTTGCGATGTTATTGTGTTTTTTATAAGGCTCTTGCACTTGTTTCTTTGGCACAGATCAGTGTTTGATGTAAGCAAAGGGAAAAGTCATTACGGTGCCGGAGGTGGCTACAATCATTTCGCTGGAAGGTCTGACACTTTATCGTAATTTTAGTTTTGTACTATTCATGGAGGAAATGATCAATCTTGCCATGGGCGATAGCAGACATGATTTAGGTTTCAAAGTTAATCAACATTGTTACATTACAGTTATCCACATAATAGCTTATTGTTTGAAAGTGCATATGTTTCTGATTTGATATGTTTAATTGCTTTATGATTTCATTTTAGCTCATACTTGATCGCCCCGGGGTACTGTTTGATGTGTTGTGCTTCCAAATCATTATTTGTATGTCCCGAGTGAGTTAAGATGAGATCGTGAGCTTATGTATGATTGTTAATCTATTTTTGGCCAGGGATGCGTCTCGAGCATTTGTTTCGGGGAATTTTACTGGTGGGTAACTTCATTTTGTTCCTTCCAACTTTGCTGCTTGCTCTCGAAAGTTCTTAAATATCCTTTTTGGAAAAAACTTCCCATTTTCTCTGTATGCAGAAATATGTAATTCTGTGTTGGACAAGATTAATGATGGTAAAATATACCTGTAGTGAACATTAAGCTGTAGGCTGTTTGCTGAATATGATAGGGAGATAGCAAATGCCGATAAATATATGAGCCAGATTATTATTATTATTGGTCTATAATAATTATATGAAAATGCAGCTATATTCCAAAGTTTCAATGCCTCATAATTTTCTAGATTTGGTTTCATCTAAAAAACAAATGTGTCTTAAGTTTTGTTTAACTTGCCTTGTTACTATTTTGTAAACTCTTTTATTGTTGTAAATATGCAGGAGATGGACTTACAGATAATCTGCATGGTCTAACTAGCACCGAGGTTAATTTGTAGTATTATGTTGGAATACTTTTCCCGCTTGTAATTTCTGATACATGTATTCCGATGTTGATTTCAAATACCTGACAACATTCTCCATACACCTTGAATTTTGATATGGCTGCTCTTCTACCACTTTAAAATAACATTGGAATAATGCACAATCCCATAACAATTATGCACATATATCTTCCATATCAGTTTTCTCATTCAGTAATTTATTGAACTTTTGTTTTTCTTTCTTTGTGGGGTTTATATTCCTGTTCTTACGACTGTAGATGCTTTGTCTATGCCTATATAATCTAGGTGAATAGCATCATTGACTGGAGAGGCTTCTACTTCAGGACATACATGTAAGTGATTAATGCATTCGTATTCTCTTTAAACTTCGCATGTTAGTTAGACTTGTTTAGTATGCACATTTTAATGTATTCCTGGGCTTTTATATTGCAGACATGTGGGAAAATTAGTAGGTCGGTATTATGACAGTGGGGGAAACCCGACGAAATACTTGAAAGGCGTTGAAGCAAAGGCAGCCAGAGGCGCTCAGCTGCTCGAGAAGCAGAAGATTGAAGAAACCAAAGTGCCCAGTTGTAATTCAAAATGGAGTCAGGACGAGGGTTCCGAGGTATAGAATCTACCTTTTGCTCATCAATAACTGCATATAAGACATGATTTTTCTATCGAATTTGGCTAGCTACAAATATGGCCCGTAATTTTCTTAAAATTATGTTCTATTTCCGATTTTGTTGCAATGGCATCAAGCTAAACTCCAGCACTTTGTTACAGGTGTGGTGTGATGAAGGATACCCAAGGTTAGTTCAGAGACCTATTGAGATAGCTATTACAGGGAAGATGAGCAAGCGGTGTGCTTGTCTCAAAGCAGACGAACTTGCACAGTCTGGTCTGGAAGTCTACGATGGCTGCGATTACTATGCCCAGAAATGTCGGCTATAGACTGAGGTAGACGAGCACCCCTTTGTTGATTGTGTGACAAATATTTGTTTCATTGCATACCTTAACACAACTTTTCATATGCTTTACCCTTACAGTCTTACACGCACAAGTTATTGTGCTTTTCTTAGATTAAGACAGGTTCGTCTCATCTTCCATTTATAAGTGTTATAATCGTATAAATGTGAAAAGTTTTGCACTAATGGTTACATGTAAATATGTTCTTTCATATTGGTCGAGCTCTTGTTTAATTCTCTGGATGCCTAGATGAGCTTTACACTAAAGTAATATATGATGATTTTTTATTGTTGATTAATAGTATTAAAATTTCCGAGAGTATCTAGGAAATGGAGCTTAAGATCTTCACAAAGATCCCAAACATCTCACGATTCTCCTTATTGTATCGGTTTGGCTTCATTCTGGTTTCGATTATTTCTCAACAAGTACTTCCTGATGCAGGTACACCGGGAGTGTAATATGGCGATGGTAGTCGGCGACGTCGGTTCCATATGGCTCTGCTAAGTCCCTGAAGGAAGCTATGATCCTTCAGTTGTGCTGGAGGCAGTAGGTTTCTGTAAATGTCTTCATTAAGAGATGAGCTACATATTCACCAAATGGGTGATAATTAATCACCATTCGAATTTTGCAGTCATGAAGAAGTATTGATTGGACTATTGGTGTATGTACTCTGCTTTAATTTTTATAATACTAGTATTTTGCAATTTATAATTAATTATTATTTTTTAAAAAAATTACATTGTAAATTATTATTTTTAAATTATTCCCCCTCAGGTTGTGCTGCACCTGCCAAACAAGATCCTAAAAAATACATAAATTTCCCGTTTTTCAACAAAGTATAGTTACGACTGACCCAATAATTTTTATCGTTAATTTTATTTAACTAAGAGTTTTTAAATTTTAAATAATAGTAAAAAATTGAATACTTAATATAATGTACCATTTCATTAAAATATAATAAACATTTAATACTATAATATTTTATTGAAAAATAATAATTGTAAATTTTGTTTTAAAAAATATGTATTTAAATAGAGCTATATTTTTTCAGTATCAAATGCTACCGAGTATATATACCCGAAAAAGTGAAGTGATATATCAAATTATATATTAGTGAAAAAAATTCCACAATAAAATTAAAGTTTCCTTAACATGAGTTTATTGATATAACATAAAATGACGACGATATATCAATTATCAAATAACGATGCATTTCATTAATGAAAGGATGGAGTGAATGCATATAATAAATGAGCTAACAAGTCTAGCCTACATACCCAGCTAGCTTAGCTATGTATGCATAAAAAAAATAAATGCAGTATTAATTTATAGTAGTAAATTAAATAAATATTCGTTTGTTCCATTAATTACATGACGCCAAATTATTCTGCAGACTGCAAACTGCAAACTGCACTTGTCCGTTCTTCCATAGTTTGCAGTTTGCATTGAGAAATGGATTTCCTCTCTGCTGGTTCGATGATCCAAGTCCGTGTCCATCTTCAACACGATTCTTGATTATGGTTTCTTCCGCTGTAACTAACAGATTCGTAGCACGATGGATGACCCCTGGAATTTCCCAATTTAGTGCAGGTGCAGGTGCAGGTGCAGGTGCGGTGCTCATTCATGCATGACTCGTCTTCCTAAATTTCTGCCTGCGGAAAAGCTCAACGGATTCCGGAAATATCGAAAATTCTGAGAGATTCTTGCATATTTGGTTCAAGTAGCGATAGCTAATAAGTAGAAATTTCGAGTTCGGAAGAGGTTTGCTGCTGTACCGTACGTCCTCCAACTCCAATGGCGTCCTTGGAAATAGACTCCGAGAAGAGCGTCGGAAACTCGAAATGGAGAGAAAACAACGACGGCGGCGACGCCGACGACGACGAGGAAGTCTCCCCAGTGGAAGAGGTTCGTCTAACTGTGCCGAACACGGACGATCCAACCTTACCTGTTTGGACGTTCCGGATGTGGTTTTTGGGGCTGGCTTCCTGCGTGCTGCTGTCGTTTCTCAACACATTCTTCAGTTACCGCGACGAGCCGCTCGTTATCACCATGATATCCGTGCAAGTGGCGACTCTGCCTCTCGGACGGTTCATGGCAAAGGTGCTGCCGACGACCAAATTCCGGCTGCCAGGGTTTGGTTCGCGGCAGTTTTCGTTGAATCCTGGGCCGTTTAACCTCAAGGAGCATGTTCTCATTTCGATTTTCGCCAATGCTGGTTCCGCATTCGGCAGTGGTTCTGCTTATGCAGTGGGGATTGTGGACATCATCAAGGCTATTTATAAAAGGAGCATCTCATTCTCCGCTAGCTGGATCCTTGTAATCACTACTCAGGTTCGATTTCTTCATTGTTGAATTACAGTGACTGTTCTGCTGTGGTTTTTGAGTTCTTGTATATGTGTATCAGTGGGAACAGAAGAGTCTAGAATTCATCAGCATATAATTGAGGATGATTTCGATTGTAATGGTTGTTGATGTGGTCGTGACTTATTGATTTGTTTTGGAGTAGGTTTTGGGGTATGGATGGGCAGGGATTCTGAAGAAGTATGTGGTGGAGCCTGCTGAAATGTGGTGGCCTAGCAGTCTTGTACAAGTTTCTCTCTTTAGGTAATTTGTGAAGCAAAAGGATATTTTCTGCAACCACATGGTTTCTAACTGCTTGCTTATAGTAAGCATAATTGTTTTTGTCATTTTCCAGTGTGAAATAGAGAGCAAGAAAGAGAAGCAAAATCCATTGCCATGTTTGTCTTTGAATTTCTTCAAATTTACTCTACCTGATGTCACTTTGTTGATGCAACAATGGGTTTTTTAGAGCCAGTAGAATTCTGTTTTGTTCTAGCTGAAGTGAGTGACCTTTCATGTTGATTGCAACTTTGGATTGATGGTTCTACCTGTGGTGTGCCTGCACATTTTAGCATTTATTTAAAATTCTAATACAATCACAGCAATGCAAAAGATCTGCTTGAGCTGGATTTGCATCATTCAATAGTATCTATTAAAATAGTGATAGTATTGTTTTGGTTCTAATTCTGTGGATTTGATTGAAGAATTTCGGAATGTAATAAGCTAAATCCTGATCAAGATTTTGAATGTTTTTTGCAGGGCCCTTCACGAAAAGGATAGCAGTAAATACTCTAGAGCTCGATTCTTTATGATTGCTCTTGCTTGCAGCTTTTCATGGTACGTTGTCCCTGGCTACCTCTTCCAGACCCTGTCCTCTCTTTCATTGCTGTGCTTGATCTTTCCCAAGTCTGTGATCGCCCAACAAATCGGTTCCGGCATGCAAGGACTGGGAGTTTCTTCCATAACATTTGATTGGGCAGTTGTGGCATCATTCCTTGGAAGCCCTTTGGTCTCTCCTTTCTTCGCCATCTTAAATGTTTTTGTAGGCTATTTTGCTGTCGTGTACATCATGGTTCCGATTGCCTACTGGGGTTTGAACACCTACAACGCAAAGACATTCCCCATCTTTTCCTCTGAACTATTTGATCGCCACGGCCAGATATATAATGTATCCGCTATTGTGAACAAAAAGTTTGAGTTCGACTTGCAAGCATACAATAAGCTGGGGCATATAAACCTGAGCACCTTCTTTGCTTTGACATATGGCCTTAATTTTGCAGCAGTGGTGGCTACTCTCACTCATGTCATCATGTTCAATGGAAAGTAAGTCACATTTGGTATTTTATAACCAGGATTCTCATAACCACGGAGTTTTCTTGTGCATACTTAGTTATTGTCTAAGAAAATTCGATGCTGTCTGATTTGATCGACATTGTCTGTAAAACAGGGAAATCTACGAGCGCTATAAAGCTTCGCACAAAGGAAAGGCGGACATCCATACAAGACTAATGAGGAAATACAAAGACATCCCAAATTGGTGGTTTCACTTGATGCTTGTTGTGTCCTTAGCTGTGTCTCTTGCTATGTGTATATTCATGAAGGACCAAGTTCAGCTTCCATGGTGGGGGCTTTTATCTGCATCAGGCCTTGCATTAGTCTTTACGCTCCCTATAAGCATAATAACAGCCACAACAAATCAGGTATGATAGTTTCCAAGATACATACAGCATTGGTTCATGTTTCTTCGACTGTTGGACACTAATTTTATGATTCTTGAGATCAGACACCAGGCCTCAATGTTATCGCAGAATACATCATGGGAATTATATATCCAGGAAGACCAATCGCCAATGTCTGCTTCAAAACCTACGGCTACATAAGCATGAGCCAAGCAGTTTCTTTCCTCAACGACTTCAAACTAGGCCATTACATGAAAGTGCCTCCGCGATCCATGTTCATAGTTCAGGTGAATGTCTTTTTGTAGGATTATAGAACTATTAAGAAACATTATCTGATTCAAGCATTGACAAGTCGAGTTTGATTATCATCAGCTAGTAGGAACAATCATCGCCGGAACAGTCAACATGGGCGTGGCATGGTACCTCCTGACAAGCATCGAGAACATCTGCCAGAAACAGCTGCTTCCCCCTAACAGTCCATGGACCTGTCCAGGCGACCGTGTCTTCTACGACGCATCCGTCATCTGGGGCTTAATTGGTCCAATGCGAATCTTCGGGCCCGGGGGGAACTACAGCGCCCTCAACTGGTGCTTCATTGGCGGCGCGGTGGCTCCCATCCTGGTGTGGCTGGTACACAAAGCATTCCCCAAGCAGAAGTGGATAAAACTGATAAACATACCGGTGATCCTGGGAGCAACGGCGGCGATGCCCCCGGCATCAACCCTGAACTTCAACAGCTGGATACTTATCGGTACGATCTTCAACCTGTTTGTTTTCAGGTACAGGAAGAAGTGGTGGCAGAAATACAACTATGTGCTGTCAGCAGCACTGGATGCAGGGCTGGCATTCATGGGGGTGGTGCTGTACTTCTGCCTGGGGATCGAAAATGTGCATATATCATGGTGGGGATCTCAGGGGGAGCATTGTGACTTAGCTTCATGCCCTACTGCTAAAGGTATCGTTGTCGATGGCTGCCCTATTGTGCACTAGCTCTGTTGTGTTAGATCACATCTATTATGCCATTTCATAATTGAATTGAATCACTAGGTTTTACATGAAAATGGTGATGAATTGTATCCTTCTTTTGTTATGCTCATCAAATAGGTATTTTGCTTCTGGTATAAATATGTTAAGAATATCGATGTTCTCCGGGGGAGGGGTCTTATAAAGATCGTTCCCGGGGTTCTTGGGATGAATTTTTGATTGTGTGCTGACTTGATTTTAAACTTGTGTTGCTGAACGGGTACAAAATATATCAAATCATATAAAAGTACTGGTACAATTTAAACTAGTGAATAACTGTATAAATTAGTTGGTCCATGTTAATATATTGTTAGTATTGAAATATTGTAATTTAGCACACTATTTCTTGTCGAACCTTTCGTTGATTCCTCCTAAATTGCATCGATTTATCCTAAAGATGATCCCGGCTAAGCATCCGTAGCTGAATGCTTAGAGCGTCGTAGAAAAAGGGGGATCTGTTTTTCCAGGATACAATGATGTTTATTGCAACCTGTTTTAGGTATGAAACAAATACATGTCTCCTCATTACACATTCATCAATGTTGAAATACAGCACAAACCTTTCTTATGTTCACCAAGTTTACAAACTTGAACCAAACTATAGTCTTTTGTTTTCGGATTTTTACGTACTAAGGTACACAACAGGGCTGATCCTATACACGCAATACAATACAATACAATATGGTTTGATCCATCCAACGTTTAATTAGGAATCAGTATTACAACAAAGCAGCACTACAAACACTTCCCCCTTTTTTTTGTTTCAAGTGTTTGGATAATTGGGAGGGATAATAACACCAACACTAAATGATCCTTCAATTTGCAGACACACTGAATGTCTGTCTGTAATTAAGGATGTCAAGTCATCGTTAGCTTGACCCCGTCACCGGCATCTGCTGCGGCTGGCAGAGCTGGAGATAGATGTGCGCTTGTGGATCATCGCGGACACCTAAACTACTACTAGGAAAGAATTCCTTGCAGCTCGCCTTTTCGCTGTCCCCAACTCCATAAACCTTAAAAAACACATGCATTAATTAAGAAGTTGCAAATTTAAATAGTACGTTCCGCGAGCAAGATATGTATATATATATATATACACACATATACATGTATGCGCTTTCTGTTTAACTAAACAACTTGTTCTATGTATGATGTTTACCTTTTTACGAAGCTCGGCATTCTCTTGTCGAACTAGGTTCACTTTCTTGTGCAGCTCCAGATTCTCCTGATGGATCAGGCTTCCCTGCGCAGTCAGATAAAAATTAAGATAACATTTGTAAAAGTGAACAGGCTGCACTATGTAAAGACATATATATGTGTGTGTGTGTGTGAGTGTGTTGTGGTAAGATAACCTTTCGGTTCAGTTCCTGTATCTGATCGAATAAGAGCTGGTCCTGCAGATAACATACATACAATGGAGTCCATTATTTACACGTTTTTTTTTAAGGATTTGTTCGTGTAAGAAATCAGGCTTATCCGAACCTTCCTGGCGCGGACGCCTCTGAGGCTCATTTCCAGCTGGTTTTCCAGACTCTGCAGATTTTTGGCATCCAAGTCTGAAAGTTCCTCACCTAATAAGTGCCTGCATTTGCAATAGTTTAGTTTCAAATAAGACTGCTGCCTGCTGTTGCCTTAGTTCTATCTTAAATTTTTACATATAGTAAATTTGTAAGATTTTTAAATTGAAAAACATTGATGATGATAGTTAAATGAGTTGGATACACAAATTGAAAAACTAATGATTCGCACCGATGATTTTCTTGAAGGCTCTGGAATTGTTTCCTCAGCATAGCCACTTCCCTTTGCCAAAACTGCCAAAAAAGAAAGTCGAAATCAAACAATACTGTTCATTCAAACTCGACAAGAAATACTAACAAAAGAATGCACAAAACATCAACTCAAGATAGGAAACAAGTATGATAGATTCCGTTATAATATCATATGGATCTTCTTCAAATCCTTCAACTAAGCAAGCTAATGGCAACAATAATTCGACTACTAACGGAAGACATATCAACTTCAATGCATTTTGATTTCACGGGCACGGCACAAACCTTATAATCATTCAACCTTAGGCTTTATTGCCTTAGCACCCAAGACGACACCCACTTATGGTGTTTTTGCTCGATATCTCACGTTTTGGTTCAAGCTCAATCAAACGTGCGATAAGAAAAAGGTACAGACAATTCATGAATTCTTCGTGTAAGTCTTTTGAGCTCAACTTAAAAATCAACGACAACATGAATATAATATGGCCTTGTTTAGTTTTATCATATTCCGAGTAAGATTACTTTCTTACATTTTCATTGTTCTACACATTGTAGACGGTTAGATTCTTTCATATGTTTTACGATGAGACTGATAATGGTCATCGAACAATAACCTCATCAATAAAATCTAGAGTATTAGCGATATGCCCCCATCATATGTAAGTGAATTCCACTCTAAGTGCAGTGTGTGGATCAATATTTTCATTAATTTCCAGTGGAATTGAAGATTACAATAGATTGATGACAAAAATCGATACTTACACACTTCCTACAGGGGATGTAGAGTAACTATTTGCCTAGTGAGTGTGCATTCCGGCGCTTGATTGAAAATTTAATGCTACTCTGAGGTGGTCGTATGGACTAGCACATTCTATATTGTAGCATATAGTCGTGTTGGAGATTGGTGATAGAAAAGGGTGTCTGTAAATTAAGGGAAGGTTTGTGTCGAAACAACCAAGGAGAAGAGATGAGAGTTGAAGTTTGATGACTATGTTTCCTGATGAATGTTGTTTTGATTAGGATATTACTTGGCTTGTGCTATCAAGAAATGTGATTACACAATGCTACTAGTCGCCAAGAACGATAATTCGCTGATGTTGATTTGATTTGAAATGAATTTGTAGATTGTTATGGTTGATTGGGAAGCGTAATTAGGTAGTCGGGGCATTGGACTTTCTAGTTGAACAAATGTAGCGTTCGATATTTGATTAAACATACAAAGTTGTTCCTTGATGAGAGGTTGGTTGGTGATTGTCTTGCATGTTTACAGTGATTACGACGCTCTAAAATGTTCAAGTTCTCGTGCAATAGGTATATATGGAGGGAGCATATTTTTTCTTCCATAAAGATGCATTGTATTTGGAAGAACATAAAGAACTGTAAGAGCGACTTGCTCGGTGACTTAGGAGGAATGAAAGCAATAAAACATCATCCCACGTCATTAAAAATCACTTTCGAGTTCGAAGTCTAGTTCAACCAATCTTCAGAGCCTCGAACACATATGGTTCTTGGCCTATTGAATAGAACTAAGCATAATGTTAGTAAATGCCCCAAGTTGATGGATCAGAAGTTTGTGTGGATCTTAGATGTCTCTTAGCCTTTATGGTTTGATCCGTGTTATTTTTCTCGCACTGAACTCTTTGTTGCTCATTGTACGACATCTTACATAAACTCTAAGACCATCCCGAGAATGCCACATTATTAGTCCAATCTCTGTGGTACCGATAGACTAGAAGTAGATCACATAATATAATCGTTGGGGGTTTTAATTTCATAGCTAAGGTGAAGCACTTATTTGAGAGAGTGTTGGAGGATCATATATCCTTTGAGATTCTTTATCACGGGACGAGTATGAGAGTGGGGATGAAATGCATTTTCAAGTAGAAATAATCGGCAACTATGATAGTAATGCTAGAGATGTTAAGTTAGTGTCATACCGGCGATACCTGCAGAGATATTTGGTCCTTTCAGGAAAATGCCATTGACTCAAAAGTCTCGATTCCAAGTCCCCTTCATATGCCTGCAATTCATCCATGGAGGAGCTGAGCTTACTGATCTTATGATACTGATCAGTTGAAAATAACGAACTATCTTTTAAGGGATATTTATTTTTTCTCAGACTCCATAGTAGCGATCTGTCCCTCTTTGGCTTCTGCAATTTTAGGATGGGTTAGATGCATGTATGAGCTGTTGATCGATTCAAAGAATGTAGCAGAACTACCGGTGTTCGAGAAATATCTCTCCCTCGACTCCGGGCTCTTTCTTGTCTTATTATACTCATGCATCTTCTTCTGCTTTCTTACAGACAAAATATCTGTCTTCATGGGAATTGAAAGATCTTGCTGTCTTCCTTTATGTCTCGCAAAGTATAACCCCGACTTAATATGCACTCTCTGAGACAGAAAAAAGAATTGATGGCTTTGTGACTATTACTACTTCGCGACGTATTGTTTTAACAACTTGCATCATGACAGGACAGAGGAAAGACACAGATCTTATGAGAAAAAAGGACAGATATATTACCAGCATTCCCGAGCATGCCATCGATTCCTTTAAAAGTAAAACTCTCTTGAATGGCTGCTTCTGGATACTGAATCCTTTGAAGTTAGTCCTAAAGAGGTTGAAATTTTCTCTTCTGCCAAGAAAACGAACTAACTTTTAATGGAATTTATTTTCTCCAACAGCTTCTTGACTTCTTCATATGTAGCACTTAATCCATTCCAGCCTCTGCAAATGTTGGACAGATTGGATGAATTCATCAGCTGTCTTTCTTATTCAGATGAAATTGCAACATCAAATAAGAACTACAGTCATGTCGAAAAGGTGTTTTTCCTGAGTCATGTAGATGTCTGGAAGAAGCTTTGTTTACCTTTTCATCATTATAAACTTCAATTGGATTCCTTCAAAATGCTCTGAAGCATCTTCTGTAGCATCCTTTGATAAAGAACAACCATGGCAGAACATATTTTACATTCAGAATAATCAGTAGAAGCAAGATAGAAACTGATTGTATTATTTGCAGTAACCAAGATGCCTTACTGTAACACTCAAATTGGATGTTCTTGATGGAAGAAGGTTATACTGAAATGTCATGCCAATTTATGATCATCGACAATTTCTAATCTCTGCTGACTGACTCATTCAGCACAATTTCTCAGTGATGAGGAATTTCTCTTTCCAATATTAATCAGTCAAAGGTATGAAAATATGGTTGTCCTTGACAGCCAGAGGCCAAAAGGATACTCCTGATAGATGTGAAGTAGAAATTAGAGCACAAAACTTGCTTAGAGGTATTTTTGCACATTGATAATGCTATGATGCATAATACAAGAAGAAAAACTGTTCAGCAGACAAAGGATGCGAAATAGACAAGAGCAGGGGAATCGAATTGAAATGCATAAGATAGTTAATGTTAGTGTAGTTTACATGACAATAGAGTGAAAACTTTAAGCCTAACTTCAACATTGTGAAGTTCTTTGTAGATAAGTAGCTGGTGCTGAATGCAGTACTAAGTAGATAGCATTGCACAGTCTGGTACAAATATAAGTTTCCAGGAAGGTAGTCTAAGGTTTTAGGAAAATTATATGCTCCGAAGCAATGTAAGAAACTGTAAACAATTAAAAACTGTATTTCCCCATTTTATCTAGCAATCTCAACTCTCAAATATACAGCAAGATAGGAGATTGAATGAGAAAATGGAGATAACATAACCAATCCAGAGTCCCATCAAAATTATTGCAGCATTCTTCATATGAAAATTGTAAATTTGCAACAATAAGCTCAAAAGTAAAACCTTATTCTAGATTGAGGATATTCTAACACTTCAAAAATGTGTAGCATACAATAAGACACATAACAGAAAATCTGTGTCTCTGATGGATTTGATGCATAAGGCATCTTGTTATCCTGCCTATTGTAACTTTCATAAGATATTTTAATCCTTCAAAAATTTGGCCTTTTTCTTTTCATCCTTAAAGGACCTGTTTCTCATATCCTCTTTCATTTGTTCTTTCTGCAATGCCCAAATCTTGAAGGGCATCAAAATATATAATCTTCGCAAAACCATTGGGATATAGTAACTGTATTCTCACTTTCATCTCAGAGACTTTGCCAACTATATCATTCAAGGAATGATGCAGAACTAAATTCATTCCTTGGAATAACTTCTTAGCTCTGTATGATTTATGCCCTCAACTTTCCTGTCACATCAAGTAGATGATCATTTTGCAAGAGATAAAGCACCACCAGCATGAACTCTTTTGTCCTTTACCACGTCCTCAGGTTGTTAATAATTTGTTGGGTTGGTTCAGACACTCCCCCGATGACTATATGTATACGTTATCAATTCATACTGAAAATTCAAAACTAATCAATCCTTGCAGACAGTCTCAGGTGTCATTGAGCACACAAGCATCATAAGGATTGGCCAAGCAAACCCAAGACTGAATTTCGGTCTAGAAGGTTATCCCCACGGCATCATATATCGATGATATGACCCTATTCAAGGTTGATATGCAAGAACTGCAGTACTGCTGAAATGAATTCCTACTGTTCTCACTCAATCCAAAAGTTTAGGAGACAGTCCTGTGGTAATACAAGCTTCTAAATGATTCTACCTAATCAACTCTAATAAGCCAACATTGATAAGCACATTGCATCTTATTGATTGCTTTTAGATCAATCAATATCTACCTTCCGTTCATTTCATATGATTTAATCAGGATCTCATCAAATTCAGGCCTGGAAGCTAATGGCTTCACATCTGAGGAAAATCTTCAATTACCAATTCTATATATACACTATATGTTAATCCTGCAGTTCAAATCGAAGTATCATCCATATGTTTTAAATTATTTTAATGGAAATCTAACATGAATTTGTGCCCGAACATCACCTTGAGTTCTGAATCCATATTTGCCAACTGGTGATTATCCTCTGTCGCTTTCTCGTATCGCTCAACGACTGAACTCATACTGTCAAAAAAAGTATTCCACAAACGTCAGCGATGGTGCAAATTCAATTCATCTCATTTTTAAATATCTATGCGGCGAATTTAAGGGCGTCGGATGAAAACATGCTCCTAGCCCTCAGGATATCAAACTATTTCAACAGTATTCCCAACATTCAGTATCTGAAATTGAACAGAGACTTTCAAAGCACACTTAAATCCATACGAAAATCACACTAACAGAGAAAATTCCACAGGATCAAATCACATATGATTACAGCACACTCGTACCAAAGCAAAAAAACAGAATCAATTACGAAACCTGGTGCTGGAAAAATCATAGAGTTTGCCAGTGGTGGAGAAGATGATGACTCCAACTTGAGCATCGCACAGGATTGCGAGCTCCTTCGCCTTCTTCAACAGTCCATTCCTCCGCTTCGAAAACGTCACCTGTCGGCTCGTTGAGTCCTCGATTCTCCTTATAACAATCTTCCCTCTCCCCATCAACCCCTCCTCCTTCACACCTTCAGACGGAATGAATGGATCCACGATCTAACCAAAAATCTGCAAGCACCGAATAAGAAGAACAACAACAACAAAACAACACAAATATAGGTTTCTCCGGAATTTTGATCTCACGCCATTGACGGATCTCTCCGCTCTACTATAATAGGAAAGCCCCACTAAAAATAGGTGCCGCAGGCGGTTTTCTCGCACACGTGGACCAATAAGATTCTCTTTACGACATCGAATCAATGGTCGACACGTGGACCGTACCTAGGAGGACCTCCTTTTGGGCGAGTCTCCCCTTGAATTGTCTCTTTTACCCTTTGTCGTGTTCTCTAAAAGAGCCGTAAGATTTCTTTTCTTTCATTTTTAAAATGCTAATTAAATTAATCTAATTACGTAACCATATTATTAAATTCCAAATCTACCCTCCAAACTAATGCTTATAAACAAACGATAATATTAGCATCTTTTGTACGCTATTCATATTATATTTTTATAATTCTTTAATTTAATTAAAAAAAATTAAAAAGAAATCATTAGCGTTACATAATGTTTTTCAGTAAAAATGCACTTATTTGTAATTGACACTATTTAATTATTTAAGTTAAATAAAAATAAGTCAACAGTAACATTATTGAAACATATCATCGTACTGCAATGACATTAATTGTCAGTCCACATGAGGGCATGTGTAAGAATTGGTACAAAAGCTTAAAAAGATAATGTTAAAAAACACACCCCTTATGGCAATATGTGCAAAAATTCCTTCTTTCTATGCATTCCCATTTGTTTTATTTGCCATATTTATGCCTTCAATAAAATAAAAATAAAAATAAAATTATTATTATTTGGTAATTTTTCTTTTTTGGGAATTAAAATATTATGAATATTTTTCCAGATGTTGACTGAGTACTCCTCCTGTGTTGTTGGATAATTAGTGGGCTGCTTAATTAATTATTTAATTAATTATAATATAAGAGAGGCTACGGGCATGATTATATTTTAATATTAGCAGTAGTTATTTGATTAATAATGCTTGTCTTGTGGTCCCAATTTTTTTTGTGTCCACGTTTCGATTGTTTAATTAGATGCTTAAATGTTTTATATATATATATATATATATGAAATAAATACAGTGAGAAAATTGAAATAACTCAAATAATAAGAAAAATATTAGCTGTGTTAGAAGATCGATACAAAATTATTAGTGCTTCTAGTCAATGAATTAGGAAATTGCAGCAAAGTTGACATATTGAATAGGGGTGTCAAAAATAACCCGATCTCAAAAATCGAATCCGTTCGACCTGAAATTTTTCTAAGTTCAGATTTGGGTATTTCGGATTTGAAAAAAATCGAGTCGACCCAAACCCGAAACGAAAAAAATTAGTATCGTGTTCGGGTCGTATTTTGGGTTGATCTGATAACCTGAAATATAAAAATCAGTAAGGTTTTGGTCTCTGTGTTTTAGGTTGACCTGAAATTTTTATTATTATTATTTTAATTTATAATATTTATATTATTTTAAATATAAAAATTAAAATAAAAATGATATTTTTTAGGTCAATTTAATTTGTTTTTAAGTTTTCGGGACTGTTTCGTGTCGGGTTCATATCGGGTTTGTTTGGGTTTCGGGTGACCTGAAACTAATTTAGGTCAACCAGGACAACCAGAATCCGATCGGAAAGAATTCATATCGTGTTCGGGTTTAGAATTTCAGGTCCAATTTTAGGTTCGAGTTAACAATTTTTCTGTTATTCCCATTGTTCAACCCGACACCAATATGACCCAACAACACGAATTGACACCCCTAATATTGAGGTTAAATTTTCTAAAGTTAGAATTTAATTTCAATTTTTTTACTAGTTAATTATTATAATTTTCTTTTAAAATATATAATTACATCTTGTAAAATGTCATATTCAAATTTATTTAAACAAAAATTAAAATAATAAATAATAAAACAAAACTCAACATGTTAGAAATTGTATACTCCTATATGGGAAATTACATTATATATAAAACTAAGGGTATGATTCTTTAACATGTGGTTTTGGTTTCCTATTATTTATTACTTTTTTTTTTCCATAATTATTGAATGCGATATTTATTTTTCATTAATGTATTGTAAATAAAATATTTTTAATTTAAGATATTTATTACAGTACAAAATTAATAGTAAAAACAATTAATCAAAAATTCATACACATGCTAATGTTTTGATTGCTTTGATTTTGATTTGAATTTTAATTTAAATAATAATTTAATGTAATATTTTATACAATAAAATGATATTATAATTTTATTTAAAATAACATAAAATAAATATTAGTAATTTGAATTTGAAATCCAAACTAAATGACATATTGATAGTATATGGACATTTCAAAATTATTTTAATCACTAAAAAAGTATTATCTAATAGTAGTATGCATTTTTTAAGAAGTTTAAAGGTGTGGTTCTTTTAATAAATTTTGAAAAAAATTGATTTGAATTTATATTAAAATAGTGTACGATGATATTTTATGAAAGAAAAATATAATTTTTTATTTGGAAAAATACAAATTCAAAATAATAGAAATCTTGGATTTAGGTATAAAATGGTGCGTTTGTTCGGGGGTTTTAGATTTTGAGTTGGAATTTGAATACTAAAAATGTATGATGTGATATAAATAAGTGTTGATGTGATGTTTTGAATATAAAATTGATTTTTAGTATAATATAAAAAATGAAAAATGTGTGTTACATTTGATATTATTTAGAAAAAAAAAATAGTAAATTTAAAATCCAATCACCAAAACGCCCAAAAGAAATGCACCGGAGTATATTAAAATGAAGTTTGAAAGTGCGATCTTAATTAAACTAGGATTGCCAACCTTTGCTTTAAATTTTGGGTTTGTTTGTTTTATATTTTGATTTGAAAATAATTTTTTTTTTTATGTGAATTATAAAAAATTGTGTAAAATAATATAAAAATAATAAATGTATATAATATATATTTTTTAAAAAAAATTGTTAGATATTCTTTACAAAAAGAACGTATCCTTTATATTTTATTATTTAAATTATTATTTTCATCTTGATCATTGTTTAATAGGTTTTTTTTTTTTTTTTTTTTGAATGATTATTTTAAAATGATTTGTATAAAAAATAAAGCAAGAATACAAGCAAACATGCTGAAAAAATATACTCCTGTATTTTGAAAACATTTTTTATATTTTAGATTATGTAAAAACCAGTGAAAATATAAGTAAAACTTAGACATTGATATTTAATAAAAAAAATTATATTTTAATATAATATTTTAAATATTCAAATGTATCTAATAACTAATTTTTGTTGGGATAGTGTCGTCTAGGTAACAATGATAATAATCTAATAGCTCTTCCAGTCAAGATAAGTATAGTACTTTAGATATCAAAATTTCACTAATATAAAACATATCTATTTGGGATAAGATAAAGAGAAACTTAAGTTTAGTAAGAAATAAAGTTCTTTCTTTTTTTTTCTTCTTAATTAATTAATTTATTTATCAAACTTAAAAATATAATGTCTATGGGCAACGGTAATTAACACGGTGTCATTTGACTCATCAATACATACCTAAAAGACAGAAAAAATATGTGTATATATATATATATATATATTGTAATCGCTTTGTTCACGTACAAAGTAAATATTTATTTTGGTGGAATGTTTAAAAAATAGTAGTATTTTAATTATAATGAGCAGTTAAAAGTTCTGTAATGATATTTTTACTTTTTTGGTGTAAAAATAATAATGTGATGTAAAATAAGAGTATTTATGAAAAAAATAAAGTATTTAATAAAATATTTACTTTGTAGTTAGACTTTCAAATAAAAATATAATCCTTTATAGATGAACATAAGAAATATAATATAATATAGTACTGTATGGGCAACGGTAATATAATATATTGTGCATATTATATATTGTATTGTATTATATAAATATATTAGTTATGTTAAAATCAATATACCGTAGTATTATATTAGCATGTGTATACACTATTTATTTTATGTTCTTGTGCTAATTGATTTGATCTAGTGTATGATATGGCAGGTAAAAATTCTACAAAATTCTCTCTCAATCTCATAATTTTTTTTATTTATTTTTTATTTTTTCATTTCATATGAATTGAGAAGTTGATTCCATTCAAGTTATAAATTTAAATTTAAATTCCAAACTCAAACATTTTGAATGAATGTTTTATTCTTAAATTTAATATTTGAATTCAAAATTGAACGAAATACAATTGATTATGTCAATGAATTATACTCACAAATTATGTGCATATAACAATAATACTAAGTTTTTTATTAAAAAAAAATATAAATAATATATTCTATTAATTCAGAAAAATAATAATTAAATAGAAAATATTCAATTTGTTCATTCAATATTTAACAATTATCCACAAATATTATGATAAAAATACAAATATACACATAAATTAATATAATATATATTATTTACTTACAAAATATCAATTGTTCAAAATAAAATATTATTTTTTTATAATATTAACATAATTTTCATGGTACACACAAAAAATCAATACAGTGAACAAACTAATTATGGGTGTGTTTGTTTGAGGGATTGGATTTTTTTTCTACTATTCTTCCAATTTTTTCCCCCCAAAAACATCAAATCAAACACCTATTTTTCATTTTTTATATTATACTAAAAATCAATTTTACATTCAAAACATCACATCAACACCTATTTATATCACATCATACAACTATTCAAATTCAAAATTTTTACTATTCAAATCCCAACTCAAAATCCAAACCTCCAAACAAACACACCCTATATATATTTTTATATTATTTTTATAACTTTTATATTTAATATAAAAATATATTAATTTAAAAATACAAAAATAACACAATCTTTTATCGCCTGTTTGGTTTGAGGGATCCTTTTGTGGTCTGGTTTAAAGGATTAGAAGGGTACGGTATTATAAAACAAATTATATTATATTAGCTAGTGTTCATATTTTATTAATAAATTAATCAATTTTTATTCTTTTTATTTATATAAGGTAAAATAATAATATTATTATATATTATATTTTTTCATATTCTTACTAAGTGAGATATTATGTTTTTTTTCATTTTTCCTCATTTTTTTTTTCATATAAATCAAATATACTATTATAATTTTAATATTCTCTCTCCTCTATTTCATTAAATTTTTTTTTTTTCTTCCCTTCATTAGAACTAAACAGATCCTTACAAACCCGTAAATTATTTATTAAAGAAATGTTTTGCAGTCTTAACAGATAATATTAGCATATCGGTAATACTCCATTAGGGTTGGTTATTCTTTTATTTTAATATGTTAAAATATATATTTTTTATTTTATAAAATATAAAAATTATTTTTGTGATTTATTTATTTTATTATGTATAATTAATATTAAAAGATAAAAATGTAAAATAAAAAATAAAAAATAAAATCCTTAAACCAAACGAAAATAATATTAAAAAAAAAAAATCAATTAACACTCCATTTACATGAAAAAAATACGAGGCAAATACGCAATTTATCAATCTCTCTGCAATCTCTCTCTCTATCTCTCTCTCCAGAGATTACAGATTAGATAGTGTTGTTCTTGGAGGTCCCCAAAAGTCTATACGTGTGTCTGCATTTGGGTAAAACCTAAATCCTTCCTTCACCTAATTTTCAATTTTCCTAATAAATTCCTCTCGTACTCCCACCGATTTTGATTATTGGGTCAACCCGATTCACCTCCGTCTGCGATCGCTTCGATCTGCTCGTCCTGCCGCTTGCAATTCAAGGTGGCTCCCATTCCTTTGATGGTGGTTGTGGATTCCTTTTGATCCCTCAACCCCCCCGTGTTATCTCAACTAATGTTCGCGATTGGTTTACCTGACGTCGAGTTTGAATTTTGATTCACGTTTGTTTGACTTATGCGTTTTCGTGTTCTGTTTTGAATATTCTTCTGCAGGCGAGGGTTTGTCTCTTTTCTTTATTTTTATTTATCTTTTGCAGGAGGGGAAGAAATGGCTGGAGTTTCTGATGATCAAACCACAAGCGTATGCAGAAACTGGTGAGTTGATCTTCCTCTTCGTTTTAATTAATTAATTAATTAATCAATCTAATTTTCTGCTGGTCAATTATTTTGATCTGGCGAGACACCCTCACCCTCACATTGTTTTTGTGGTTTCACATGGAATTATGTGACGAAAGGGAGTTGTTAATTACTTCTAAGTAAGAAGAATTGATGATTTGACGGGTTGTGAGAATGCTTTCTGCATTTTCTGAACTTGCTCAGATTTGCAATGGCTGTTACACACTATGTTTTACGTGATAGTTTATAATGGCTTTTTATTCTTCATTTTTCCTCTTATTGCCTTTTATGTGCTTTGCTTGATGGAGCTGTGCATATACAAGTCAGCATTCACTTAAAGAGTTTAGTTTACTTGAGATTGTATTATAAGATTCAATTCACCAAGGTTTTGATTGGATTGATCTTAGAGAAGATTTTATGCTTGTCTTCTTTTGCGCTTGCCACCTGTGTTTAAGCATCTTGCTCCTTGTGCCTCCATGCTAAAGAAATATTTCATATGCCTATATTATTGAGCATCTCAATGGCAGTGCTACTTATTAAGTTCTTGGTTAGTTTTAAGGTGTGGAAGGCACAACTGAAAACACCTTATGCATATTGTAGGCTGTCTCTATTTACAATTTTAATCCTAAACTTCTCCTCTAGTATTGCATATATAACTGTATGTGTATATGATGTTGATCATTTGGTCTGTCTTGATTTTTAAACATGTACCTTTATTGGACGCAAGTACACTGTCAGATTTTTGTGAGGTTCTTGTAAGCTGTTGTTGAATGCCCTTTGATTTAATGAAAGTTCTATCACTATCTCTTTTCCATACGTCTCCAGTTATCACTTTGGTCTCTGATCCACCTTGACGGTAGAAGAATCTGAAAATTGAATTGTTGGACACTTTATGCGTGTGAGGTTATCAACTTAACCGAAATTTCTAAGTGGGGTCACTAACTACTAGAAGTAAACCTGCATGTGGTTTGGCATTTTAAAGCTTTTTTTCCCCTCCCATTGTTCTGACAATGCTGTACTCTTCTATGCAACTAATATAAATTTACTATTGTCATTCCAAAATTTTCCGTACAATTAAAATACAATGCTCTCATGCCCATGCTTAGATCATTCAACTTAAAGAAAATTTCCATCCCCAATGACTGAATGTTTGGTCATACAAATCGTGATGATTTATTTGTATTTAGTTTTGTTTTATCATTCAAATATGCTGTATCCTAGCATTTTCAGTTACATAACTTTTGGTGGAGTGGTATGACTCCAGTATATTTGCACAATTTTGAAATATAATTATTTCAGTGTTAAAAATGACACTTTTGTTTTATCCTAATTACTGTTGCATTTGGTTTTCATATACTCAGTGTCGAACTGTTCATCTACTTGGCTCAATATTACTTTGTCAGTTTCTGGGAACTTTTACAACATTTTTTTTTTCACGGTAGAAGAACTTGTGGTGTTGTTTGCAGTGACAGAGAGATACCTTCTTCAAATTTTGACTTGCATGTTGCCCACTGCTCCCGCAATTTAGAAAGATGTAAAGTTTGTGGTGATATGGTTCCCAAAAAGTCAGCAGAGGAACATTTCCTTAGCACTCATGCTCCGGTATGCAAATATATGTTACATGCAGCAATGCTGTCAATTTGAGTTTCCTCAGAGGAGTAAAATAAAAAATTTAAAGTATGTCTACTCCTATTCTGCTGTTTGAAATATATTTCTATTATGTTGACACCTCAAAGGAAGCAGCAAACCACATTTGCTGGACCTGTTTTTGTTTCACAAACATTCAGTATTTCAGTGTGCGCATGCCTCGGAAGGTGTTTCTTTGAGGAGCTATCATTGGTGTAAAATCTCATCGCACAGTATTATGCTTTTCATTTGGAACTTGTACAGTGTAATTTTAGCTACCATTTATATCTTATTGGAAAGTTTTTGGGTTAGAAAAATCTTGATTCAAGACAACCGTCACACACCTTACATCTATGCCAAGTTTTAGATGCCATGTATCATGGTCTAGCCAAAAGAGGCATCCTCGCATTTTTGTTAGGTGTAAGCTTTGCACAATGTGCACCCAGGCTGACAAGTGGGTGGCTGCACGAAAAATCAAGCTTATAATTCTAAATAGGCTCACATAATTGGTTTTATCACTTTGGAATCTTCTGCTCTAGCTCTTTTCCAGGAATATATTGATTGGTTGGTTTTTAAAAATGCTTCATATCAATTATGAATGCTTGTGTCATACATACGAGGTTTTTTTATTCTACTTTTTTAACTAGGTTTGGATGGTGAGAACCAGTGGCCTGTTTTTTAGTACATAACTTTATTAGGTCATTTTAAGGGGTGGTTTTTTAGTGACATGAGAATTGCAATTTCCAATTAGGTGGTTGATTAATATAATTTTGTTTTGGGGAAAATGCGCCATAAATTACCAAGTTAAGAAATCATTATGTATATAATTTGATAATCATCTTTTATTTCCAAACTAAATTACTGTTGTTCAAATGATGTAATCTGGTGAAAATGGGAAACTAATAATGCACGTACCACTAGGTGTAAAGTTAAACCTTTAAACCTATAGAAGTACATCTACAAGTTCTGTTCACCATTTATTATTTGGGAATTTTTAAAATGTACATCAACATTTTACAATTTTGTTCAGATGTTCATAAACTTACAAGTATAAACATGTTTTCATCAAACTACTTTAATCTTGCATGAAATTTAAGGTTCTCATGTAGCTAACAAAAATTTCAAATATGTAATTACAATTATGCTTGGTTGCACAACACTTCATTAGTTTGTTTGTCAACTCTTCTTGAAATAAATAACAGTAAGTTAAAATGCATGCTTAACCAAAACAATGTTATAAGAAATATTTGAATTAGTATGGTTGTGTTCTTTTTAGTGTTTATGAATTTTTCGGATATTTATTGTTAGTTATTGAGAATTGTGAAAGTATTATTAAAATATTTGTTTTTGTCGTTTTGAAAATATTTCGTGAGAGGAAATAGTGTGTTTTTATTGAAAAAGATGCATAGTGTTTTGTGTAGTATTTTCTGAAAGTGAACAAACCCTAAGACAACGTGGTTGTTTACTATGAATTTACTAAGAGCATGTACTGATGCCTCTGAAAATGCATACAACTAGATAACAAACGTCATTACAGAGCAAGTATTTGTTCAACTTCTTATGTGGGAAAACATGGTATCTATAGTGAAATGTGTGAAATAATTGTTATATTTAAAAAGTAGGAAGAAAAAAAGAAAAAAGACACAACATGAACTCATCCTTAAGGCTGAACAAATGTACAAAATGCATTATTGGCTCTCAATTTCTCATCCAACAATCGCACTTGTATCCATTGCTGTTGCAAGTTAATTTGTCTTGATTTCGATTGCTTTGCAGGTGTCTTGTTCTCTGTGCAGTGAAACAATGGACCGCGACATTTTGGATGTACACAAAGGAGAGAATTGTCCACAGAGGATTGTGACATGTGAATATTGCGAGTTTCCTCTGCCTGCTATTGATTTATTGGAGCACCAGGTAATAAATTGATATAACAACTTAGGTATCTTTAACTTAAGCTGACGTGCTTCTCATTTATTATGCCAGGAAGTATGTGGAAACCGAACAGAATTATGTCAAATGTGCCATAAATACGTGAGACTTCGAGAGCGTTATGGTCATGAAAGCAGATGCAGCAGTGTTGTTAACAACGTTGCTGAATCTTCAAGGTAAGTAGTATCATTATCAGTAGATCATTTACGTAATTTAATGATATGGGTTTTACTAAAGAAGATTATCAGAGACTGGAAATAAAATTCAAAGAATTGTAGTCTTATGTGTCCTGTTTGCTGATTTTGGTGAGTGCAGATAAAAGCAGATAATATCTAATACCTTTTAAAAAAGTAAAATTTAAATAATCTATCGCAAAAAATGAAAAATTAAGAGAAGGAAATTTCCTTTATACACTCATCATTATTGCGGATACGAGTTTGCTGTAATCTTAACTTCATTACACTGTAAAGAATTTGTTCAGAAAACTTTAAGTTAGGAGGCTACTATTTTTTGCCCCTTTTTTTTGGTCTTTGTCTAATGACTAAATGGAGCTAATGCTGCGGTGAAGTGGAACACAACTGAAAATAAATTTTAGAAATATATGTAAGATATGACTGTATGGTACTAAGAATCTTTATATGGGTTTGTTATAATTGTGAATTGTTAATATCAATTGCTAGGCATGCTAGCAAAATTTGTTTTAGAGGATCCATATAGCAAATACTTCTTTTCTTTTTTCAACCAATCTCAACATGATTTCTATTGTTTGAGTTTCTACATAAGTTCTTTATTAGGAATTATAGTCATACCATTTTAAGGTCTTCATTCTTATGAATACGAGCTCCTACAAGCGCCATTCTCGAGTCACATGAAAGAAAATATATTTTGTAGTTTCAAATTTCACAAAACATGTCAGAGAGTTAACCATTTATTACTTTGAATTCAAAGTTTGTTTATTATTCTGTTGGTTAAATTAATTCTCTTCTCCGCTGCACTCTATTGTGATCGATGTTATCCAAATACATTCAATTAATAGTTGTAAAACCTGACCCCTTTTAATCCCTTGGCTTTTCCGGCATTGACTGAATGTTGGTAATTTCTTTGAAGGAATGCAAGGCCACCCGAGAGAGCCCGGGATGCCCCAAGAAGGCAGCCACCACCACCGCGGGATTTCTCCTCAAGGCGGTTGATGTTTACTATCGCCATAACTGGGATTGCTGTTCTGTTAGGCTCGCTGTTCTTCCAGAGGAAGCCGGAAACCAGTCAAGTGAACTGATACCGAGGAGGATAATCCATCGGGTTGCCATTCTGCTCTTATTACAATCCTCGCTACTACGTGTTTTTTAATTTTATTTTTTACATCGAACTCTGCCTGCATCTTTGCATGTTTATAGAGTAAGAAAAAAGGATTATCCATGCGAACACTCTGTTAGTAAAATGAGAACCGAGGCGACCCTTTCTTAGGTAAATATCTCATGTACGTGAAAAAAAACGAAGGAAACAACATGGATGTTAGCATTAATTCCTCTTGGACCAGGAAATGAATAAATTATATGCGTATCTTTTGATGCTACCATTAGCCATTGGGTTATGTTATGTAGTCGAATTCGAGTTAAATAGGGTCAAAGCCATAAGGTAACTAGTCGAGTTCTGAGTCTAAACCATAAGTTTTAGGGTGTAGTTATATTAGTTTTGGAATTGATTTGAAATTGGATTGGTTTGATAATAATACAATTTGGAATAGAAAGTTCTATTTTATGTGATATAAATGAGTATTGGATGTAGTTTTAAAAGAAAATTGATGTTTTGTGAGTGTATTAATTTTTTTGGGAAGGGTTAAAAAAAAATAATAATAAAAAAAAAGAACAAAGCCATATTAATTAAACCATATGATCATTGTAACCTATATATAACAACAAATATTGCTAAATTAGTAAATATTTTATAATTACTTAATTAGTAAAAGCAAATCTATTTTAATGATTGTAATTTCATGTAATCTAAAAGCAAGCATTAGATTGTTTGTAATTTTTTTATTTTTTTTAATTTTTTCACTCGTCCAATACAATCATTAAAATTAAGTAAACATTTTTAAAAATAGGATTAAAATTGATTGATCTAATATACAATAGGACTAAAATTGATTTTTTTTACTTATTTTTTATTAATTTTTATTTATTTCCCGCCACTGATAGTAATTATTAATTTTAATAAGTTAATCACAACAATTATATAATAATAAATCTAGTTAAATACTGTCCAAACCGACAGCAAAAATCCAAACTGCGAGAAGTTCGATTTGCATGCACCAAATGGAGTAGTTTCTTCCCACTCACAGTTGGGAGAATAGATTTCCTGTTCACGCGCGTCGATGCAGATATCCGTGATTGATGCGAATAAAAAACACTAGCGATTTCGATTGATTCAGTACAGGTACGGCGGCTTCGCATTCCCGTCGGAGCGCAGGATAGTACTCGACGGAGAGGATCGATGATTTTGGATCAAAATCCCCAATTTTCAAGGTACAGACCTGGAATCGAAGGGAGCCGATGGGACGAACCGAGACCGTTGAATCAATCGAATCGTGCTCGCCTATCTCTGCACGGACGGTTATTCTATGAACTGTGTTGATTGATGGGTCGGAAAGTTGAAATATTCAGGAAATTTTTTAGCTGTTCGTGTGGGGACTGGACAGGTGAATAAACAATCCTCTATTCCCACCAATCATCCATTGTTGGTTCTGCTTTACTTCTACGTTCAATTTCGACAATTACGTTTATTTTGTCATCTGATCGTGCCTTTAAATTGTGCGTTGTTATATGATAACTAGTTAGAATTTGTTTATATTTCAGTTTGTGCTGTACGTCATTTTTCCTACGGTGATTGATACATTTAATGAACTGCTGATTACTTTGCTTTTGCCCAACGAAGCATTTCAGGGCATTTAATATTGGGGTTACTTGTTGGTTTTCTCTTGATAAATTTTCCAATTCAATTTCTCAAGTTTAACTCTTTCTTTTGTCTCCATACCGGCAATGGTTTTTTACTTTCTTTTTTTTTGGTGCTTTTAGTTGAATTGGTTTCTTACAGTCTTTTGTACAAATGTATAGCAAACTTGATATTTGTCAAACTTCCACTGTGAACCAGCTAAGTACTTTTAAAATGGCTCAAAGTTGATATAGAAATATGTTTTACTAATTAGTCAACCTTTTTAAAAATAGCATCATATTAGAGAGCCAAATTGTCAAACACCAGAGATATTTTTTGGGATTTTAATACTAGATTCGGATTGTCTTCAACTTCAAATCTTGACTTCTGAGTGCTTTAATTTTTCGGTGCGATTTCACTTTTTTGTATGTAGGTTTAGGATTGAGAGATTGTGGTGATTGGATAGTCAAAATGCTATAAATTTACCAAAATCACATTGGTCTCAATCCAAGTACAATATAACTTGCCTTTCGAAAAATGGAAAGTCGATGGTCAGAAGATTGGATTTTCAACAGCTTTCCACACAATAGCTAGAAAGCCTTTAGAGGTGACAACTCTTGAAAGATAAGAAATCGCATTACTAAAGTTAAAAGTTATTAAGTTCAAGTAAGTGCGAAAGTGATTTCTTTTTCGTTAAGGAAAGGAAATCTTATGTGTGCATGGAGCTTATAAGTCTATATATATGAGCAATACTGGCCTTTGTTAAATATATACAGCCCTGAATTTTTATTGTTTCAAATTTACTGCACACAGGTACCGAATGAATGATCAAATACTTGTTATTTGTGTAGTTGCAAGATTACTTTTACAATATAAGGTTGTAACTTTTGGTGCAGAAGTTGTTAGTGGAGCTGGAGGCATGCCGCCTGTAGGAGTTCGTTTGTACATTCAAGATCAATATGTAAACATGTTCACTCTCCTTCTTAATAAATTATTAGATGGATTTTGCATACTTACAGCTAATATACTCAATGTTGGGTGTTGCACATCAAAACTCACAATAATATACTGATTTTAGGTTAAGGAATTTTTATGTCATGATGGTTTTCAGGTGGTAATAGACAATGGAATTCTACAAGTGACTATATCAAACCCGGATGGAATTGTTACTGGAGTTTGTTACAATGGGGTAGACAATTTGCTAGAAGTTCTCAACAATGAGAGTAACAGAGGGTAACTACCTCCTTACCTTATTTACAGAAACCTAAAAGTTCTGATATGACACAATATCTATGTATTTGATATAAAGATGCTTACATCTAAAAAATAAGTCATGTCATTGGCTGAAGAATAGGATAATAAGCAAAGATTATTCAGATGCAGGAATCATCTTAAGTCAGCCATTTTTTATGACTTTGTAGGTATTGGGATGTGGTGTGGAATGCATTGGATGGAAGTGGCAAAGCAGGAGTGTTTGAAGTGTACGTTTACATCTTATACATCATTGAACTTATCTGGCTTTCAACTGAAAAATGAGATTTGTTGTCATACAATAGCATCAAGGGAACAGTTTTTAGAGTTGTAAGGGAAAGTGAGGAGCAAGTGGAAGTTTCATTCTCCAGGCCATGGGATCCATCTATGCAGGGAAAGCTTGTTCCTTTAAATATAGACAAGAGGTGAACTTTCTAAATTGCGTTAATATCTATGCACTGATACATAAGCATGACTGCAAGTCCCCTCCATAATGAAAAAAAAAAAAAAAGAAAAGAAAAAATCCTCCATGATGAGATTGCTGAGTTTGTAGGTTCATTCTGTTACGTGGTTGCTCGGGATTCTACACCTATGCAATATATGAACATGTGGGCTCAATGGATTGGCCTGCTTTCAGCCTTGGTGAAACCAGGATTGCATTCAAACTTCGAAAAGACAAGTAATTTTTGTTCCTACTGTGTTTATGATCTCATCACTTTTGATATTAGGGAAGTATGTAATAGCCATTCTGATCATTGTTTCAACCATGCTAAAAGTGAGAAAAAAACAAAGGAAATCTTAAACTACACAAATATAATTTAATTTCTTGCTTTCAAAAGGTTAAATTGTATGTATATGTGTGTGAGCGAGTGCATTTTAAGGAGATCAATGGGTAGTATGATGGCCCATTTTCCTTTGAAAGTGTATGTGGTATCTATGCTATTCATTGAATGAGAGGGAATGATAGAGGCATCAAAATGTATAGGTTTCACTACATGGCCGTGGCAGACAACAGAAAAAGATTTATGCCTCTTCCTGATGACCGACTACCAGGAAGAGGCCAACCTCTTGCCTATCCAGAGGCAGTCCTACTCATTAATCCTGTGGATCCTCAGCTAAAAGGAGAAGTGAGTTCATTTCTACTTTTTCACTTATTGTGCATGTGTGTTCTTGTTCTAACAAGTCGCATCTATTGCATAATGTTTGGTTGATTCCCCTGGGCTAGTCTGCCTCAAATATAATTGGGATTGTGTGATTCCCTTTTACAGGTTGATGACAAGTACCAATATTCGAGCGATAACAAGGACCTTAAGGTTCATGGATGGATTTCCATGGATCCCCCGGTAGGATTCTGGCAAATCACACCTAGCGATGAGTTCCGCTCTGGTGGACCTCTTAAACAAAATCTTACCTCCCATGTTGGACCCACAACATTGGCTGTAAGGTTCCTCTACCTAGTAGTATTCATTAAAGACAATATTCCTTATTGGCTCTTTGCTTTTATCCTATTATTTTTAATTGCTTCAAAATCTCGTATTTTTGCTTGGCTGCTGGTGCATGCTTTCCAGGTGTTCCTCAGTGCTCACTATGCAGGAGATGATTTGGTTCCAAAATTCGGTCAGGGCGAACCATGGAAGAAAGTTTTTGGCCCAGTTTTCATGTATGTTAACTCAGTGATGACTGGACAAGATCCATTAACCCTATGGGATGATGCAAAACGGCAGGTTAAGTGTTCTAAACAGAGTTGCACAAACTAATCAACCCTAATCAAATAGCACTCGTTTTGATGATACATACAAGCATTTTCTTGATATACCTTTTTATTTCCCTCCTCAGATGCTGGTTGAAGTCCAAAGCTGGCCTTACACTTTTCCAGTATCGGAGGACTTCCTTACAGCAGATCAAAGGGGTAATGTCAGCGGTAAATTATTGATCTCGGACAGGTGAGGTCTCCCTTCACATTGATTGACTTCAGAATGATTGCTTATTAGATCAAAAGAGTTACTATTGAGTAATTTGGTTCCTTAGGTATGTGAGTAATGATAGTTTCCCAGCAAATGGCGCGTATGTTGGCTTGGCACCCCCTGGAGGTATTGGATCCTGGCAGAGAGAATGCAAGGTATTTTCTTTAGAATTTGTTTTCGAGTCTCTGTTCTCTAAATTCCTATGCTGTAAGATATATTCTACTCTTGTTTCCTTGAGAGATTCTACCCACAAATGAAAACAAAACATATTGAGTTGCTGGTGACTCTCTGCACCACCAGGATTACCAATTTTGGACAAGAACAGATGATTTGGGACATTTTTCCATCAACAATATCCGCCCCGGTAACTACAATCTTTATGCATGGGTCCCAGGCTTCATTGGAGATTATCGGAACGAAGCTGCCATATCCATAACTCCTGGTCTGTTCCCATATCTGCCTTTGTTATCATTTCGATTATAGTCAAGATCCTATAGCTAACACCGCCTATTCAAAATTGTGACAGGTTCTCAAATTGACATAGGGAACTTAGTATTCGAGCCTCCCAGAGATGGCCCGACTTTGTGGGAAATAGGCATCCCTGATCGTACTGCTGCAGAGTTTTATGCTCCCGATCCCGACCCAAAATATGTTAACAGACTCTTCATAAACCACCCTGACAGGTACTTAACATTTTACTATACTAAAATCTGGTCTCTGGAATTAATCCACTCAACCAACAGGTTTAGACAGTACGGGCTGTGGGATCGGTACACTGAAATGTACCCTAAAGACGATCTAGTTTACACAGTCGGCGAGAGCGACTATAGAAAGGATTGGTTCTTTGCACAGGTTAACAGGTACATTTTTCGCATCATTTATTAAGTCAACAGCATCTTTTATTTAAATACACGCTCAAGGCGACTCGTCAACGTAGGAAAAAAGAAGACAACACGTATCAAGGAACCACATGGCAGATCAGATTCCAACTGGACAATGTAGATCAATCCGGAGCCTACAAATTGCGCGTGGCCCTTGCTTCTGCATCCTTAGCAGAACTGCAGGTAACGGCACGAATCGCAGGCTTGATCTAATGAGCTCCCTCGAACTTACTTAAAATGTTGTCGTGCAGGTTAGAGTGAACAATCCAAACACGAACCGTCCCCTGTTTACGAGTGGCCTGATCGGGAGGGAGAACTCGATCGCGAGGCATGGCATCCATGGATTGTACTGGCTGTACAATGTCGATGTACAGGCTGGTTTGCTGCAGCCGGGTATGAACACAATATACTTGACTCAGCCCAGAAGCCAGAGCCCTTTCCAGGGGCTAATGTACGACTATATTCGACTCGAAGCTCCCGGGAGTCTGCGTGGCGCATAGCTTGTGGTTCCTTTTTTCGAGCAAGAAAGATAAGAGTTGCAGCTAAAGAGTTTGTTTTAACATTGCATTATCTTAGCAGCTGAGCTTAAGCTGCTATTTTATAGTCGTCGTCGTCGATCGAATTCGAGGTTGAATCTAGTTTCTCAATATGATTTGACAACAAAATGGGTATGCTTAACGTGCAATTTTGTTGGGCGTTATGACCATTTTTATTGTCGATATTGTGGTTTTATGATTTTAACATAGGGAAGTTAACTTAGAATTATTTTCATTTCATTGAACTACTAGGAAAGATTGCAAGTAACGTTAGCAATGCATGTACTGAGTAATTTTTAAGTGAAGCAATATGGTATTAATATTATTTATCTATTTATGATATTGATACAAATGCTAAAATATTTTATTTTAATTGTCAATATTAAATTTTGTATTAAGTAGTAATGAACGTTGGTTTGTAAACTCGAGGGAGGGAAAATAGGATATTACAATTATAATAATAAGGCAGGTGACACGTGTCGATATACAAAGGGGCGAGCGGCTCCGCCATGGGCGGGGTATTTATGTGAAGAATTTCCTCGACCAGTTGGTGAGCAATTGCAGAAGGTTTTTGAAGGATCTGCTGTTGCTGCTGCGGCGGCGGCGTCGATCGTAGCAAGCTAAGGTAATCCTGCATGCATCGAGGATGGCAACTGGCATCGTCACCACGAAACTCGAAGATTTGGTACTTATTCGAAACTAAAGCGCAGTCGATTTGCTTTTGATTTTTCAGTTTCGCGTTTGGAAATAATATTTGTATATGTCTTCACAGATCGTGATTGTGGCTGGATTTTTAGTTCTTCGGTAGTTTCGATATTTTTTAAACGAGTTTATGTAAAAAATCCTACTGTTAGGGCGAGTTTTTGCGAGTTTATCTAAAAATTTATACGAGTTTGTGCGGAACTTACTGCTAGGTTGTGATTGACAACGGAGTTCTACAGCTCACCCTGACCAATCCTGGGGGAATCATTAGAGGCATACGCTACAATGGAATTGAGAATTTGTTGGAAGTTAACAACACGACTCTCAACGGAGCGTAAGTAGATGTTTTGATATCAACTTGTTCCGTGCGTCTGTTTTTCATTGCTCCGATGTTTGATTTCAATGCGCGTGAAACACTGATGCGAATATCACAACTGTTGATTAATTTACATTTTTATGACAGCGATGAAAAGGATGATTAGTTAAATTAATTAAATGAGTTTGAAGATAATTCTATTATCCCACTTTATCCTGCATTGTTTACTCAAAATTGAATCTATGGTTCAGCACAGTAGTTTCCATGGTATTTTACCTACAAAATATCAATAAAATGCTTTCAGAATGTTTCTATGAATTTCTATGTAGACGCATATTATTATTTTATTTAACAAAGAAATAATAATAATAATACAAACAATGAAGACAAACTGGTAGGTCCCTCTAGCATAACCTGGTGATAGCTAGAAGTGTGTCAATGTTTTATGTGCATTGATTGTTTATACAACCGATAAATTAGCTTCCACCAAGTGTTCCAGAAATAAGTTAGTTCCACTACACACACAATGTCTCAATGAAAGCTATACATATCTTGTTATGGCTTTATTTTTCAGGTTTTGGGACCTTAATTGGAGTGAAGCAGGGAGCCACAAAACAAGGGGACAGTTCGACACGTATGTCTTTATTTATGCTGCCTCTTTATTTTCTCTCCAAATGCATCTGCATAACATGTAATGTAGTAATTCTTTTCAATAGGTGTGATCCTATTAGGTTTGGTTTTGTATTTGAGAATAGTAAAAAATTTCAATAGGTATGATCCTTTTAGGTTTGGTTTTGTATTTGAGAATAGTAAAAATTTGAATTGGAATATTGTTTGGTTTAAATTGATATTTAAATGAGATATTGATTTTTTTAGTAATATGTTATATAAAAATAGGTATTTGAATTGGTTATTTTTGGGGAGGGGGGAGGGGGATTTGATGAAGTATACAAAACCATGTTTAGACCTTACAGAAATATAGAGCGGAATGTGTTTATTTAAAGTTTGAATTTGGGTGGAAGTTTGACTATAGAAAAAACTTTGATTGAATCAGTGCTAGCATAATGTTTTGAATAATAAAAATAATATTTTATGTAATATAGTAAATAAAAAAACAGGTGTTTTATTTGATTAATTTTTAGAAATTTAGAAAATAGTTTGATAAATGATGTCAAATCAAAACCAAGCGGTAAAGTAACAGAACTTGAATTCATCAACATTTTGAAACTGTCTCTGCATACTAATGGTTAGATGCTACTTATAATAAACGTGTATACTTTTAAATATAATGTATATTAATTTCTAAAATTTGAATATTTAATACAGAAATATAGCATAATAAACTGGAAAATTTATGCTTATGTAGGATTGAAGGAACAAGCATGAAAGTAATTGTTGAAAATGAGGAGCAAGTAGAACTCTCATTCACAAGAACATGGGATCCTTCACTTGAAGGAAAGCAATCTCCTTTGCGAATAGACAGAAGGTTCTATCTACCTTACCTAGTTTAGTTTGTCCATTCGGATCAAAGGACGAAATCTTACCATGTCGATTTTTTAGGTTTGTGATGCTTCATGGCTCCCCAGGATTCTACTCTTACGCTATTTTCGAGCATTTGGAAGACTTCCCTGGTTTCAACCTTAACACCACCCGAATCGCGTGCATGCTCAATAAAGACCTGTAAGAATCTCTTTACTACAATAACACTGCATTGTTGTTTTATTGCGGCAAGGTATCCTTCCATTTTCCGATTGTTTAGGCAAGATATTTAGATGACTGTAGGTTTTACCAGGTTTCATTACATGGCTATATCAGATAACAGGCAAAGATACATGCCCAGGCCGGAAGATCGACTGCCTCCTAGAGGTCAAGAACTGGAGTACCCTGAAGCCGTGCTTCTTGTTGATCCTGTCGACCCGGAATTTAAAGGAGAAGTACGCTGAGATTACTACTTCCTTAAAAATACTGCTGAAGAATGTGTTTTCTTTATACCTTTAACTTAAGAATGTGTTTTCTTTATACCTTTAACTTGTCTTCTTCATTGATCTTTTTCATGTGCAGGTGGATGACAAATACCAGTACTCAATTGAGAACAAAGATAATAAGGTGCATGGGTGGATAAGCTCCGATCCACCAGTGGGGTTCTGGCAAATTGCGCCAAGCAATGAATATCGAAATGGAGGACCTTTGAAACAAGACTTGACCTCTCATGTGAACCCGACCACCCTTGCGGTAAGCACCTGTTGGCTGTTGAAGCTGACTTCCTCTCTCGTGATTTTTACCAAAAACTTTCTGTGGATGCAATCTGATTTTCGTGCCAGATATTCGTCACATCTCATTATGCGGGAGAGGATCTTCTTCTCAAATTTCAACCTGGCGAAATATGGAAGAAAGTGTTCGGACCAGTTTTTATCCATCTCAATTCTGTTCCGGACCGAAAAGACGCGCTTACTCTTTGGAATAATGCCAAAGAACAGGTAAGCTGTTAGAGTTTGCACAAACGTACAAGAGAAGTGCTATATATTCTGAAGTAAAGTGACGTGTGTCGTTATACAAAATCTCAGATGCAAATTGTTCTGCAGATGAAAAAAGAAGAGGAATCGTGGCCGTACAGTTTTGTAGCCTCAGATGATTATCCTAAATCTCACCAGAGGGGTGCAGTGAGGGGTAAAATGCTTGTGCATGACAGGTTACTTCTCTCTAACTGAGTCGGGTCGATCATTGGGTTGAAGACGTTGAACTACAATATTATTTAGCTGTTCGGTAGATTTTCTTAACATTGAGAAAAATAACACATCACTATACCAAGTTTTCGATTCAACATTGTCAGGTATGTTAGTGAAGATGCCCTACCGGCAAAAGCAGCATATGTCGGACTGGCTGCCCCGGGGAATGCTGGATCATGGCAGAGGCAATCCAAGGTATGTTGTTATTATCGAGTCTATTCAGTTTGTATCACGCCTATATATAAGCCTTTGATTTCATGCTTAATAACTAGGAAATTCTGTAAAATGTAACAATAGGGATATCAATTCTGGACCACGGCTGATGAGAATGGTTGCTTCACTATTAACAACATACGCCCCGGGAACTATAACATATATGCATGGGTACCAAGCTATATCGGTGATTATAAGTTCGAGAATGCACTGACCATAACTGAAGGTACCGTTTCTATCTAAAAGCTTTTAGCAAAAACCAGTTGTCAGCACCCAGCTTTCGGACACTTATTTTTCCTTTTTGAAGATCACAGCATAATGATCTGACAGTTAGAATGGTTCTTGAACATAGGTTGTGAGATTGATGTTGGTGCGCTTACTTATAAGCCGCCAAGAGACGGTCCAACGCTGTGGGCAATCGGGATTCCTGATCGTACTGCAGCTGAATTCTATGTTCCAGATCCCAACCCAAAGTACATCAACAAACTATATGTAAATCACCCGGACAGGTTAGTTCTAACCAGCTTTCGAAAAATAGTCTCAAATTTGCCATGGACCAAATAAATCTTTTATGCATCTTTAAGTATCTCCCATCATGTTTAATTTATAGATACCAACACAATTATTTTTAAACTAGTGGATATTTTCCTTTTACACAATTTGGCAGGTTTAGACAATACGGATTGTGGGAAAGATATGCAGATTTATATCCAGATAAAGATTTAGTGTATACTGTGGGTATAAGCGACTATAAGACAGATTGGTTCTACGTTCAAGTCACAAGGTGGAATATTTCTACATTCAATTATGTTGCTATGTGAGCTTACCTCAGTTTTCTCTTAGTACAAAGGTGTAGAAGTAAGAGAGCATCGCAATCTCTCTTGTAAATTGATTACGAGTGCGCACCATTTCCTGCAGGAAAATTGGTGAGAATTCATACAAGGGCACAACATGGCAAATAAAATTCAATCTCGACAGTGTGGACGAATGTGGGACTTACGTGCTGCAGCTGGCACTCGCATCTGCTCATAAGGCTGAGTTACAGGTTTGCGGCGATCTCTAAAACACAAAACAAACATGCTACTGATGTCCTAATTCCAGTGTGTTCTTTTTTTTGTAGGTTCATGTGAACAAATTCGATGCAGATCCCCCATTGTTTTCGACAGGCGTAATCGGGGGAGACAATGCAATAGCAAGGCATGGAATTCATGGAATCTACTGGCTGTTCAGTGTGGAAGTTGAAGGCGGGGATTTAAAGCAGGGCGAGAATACCATATATTTGACACAGACACAGGATAAGAGCCCTTTTCAGGGTATTATGTATGACTACATTCGTTTCGAAGGGCCTCGTCCTGTTTAATCTTTGCATGAAAATTTCGAAAAAGAAGTGCACTGCAGATGGTAAATCCTCTCCTATGTAGCAGTCAAGTGGTTATACTGTTGAGTAGTCTAATTAATGAGAGTAAAGATCTGCATGTATGGATTAATATTGAAGCAGCAAAAAGAACATTCCTATCTGCTAACAGCTGAAAATGTCAGTTACAAAAGAGGAGTTTAGTCCTTTCAAACTAAAACTGCAAACTGTGAAACGCAGAAGGTATCAATATTTGAATTGATTGATGATGCCTTTATGAATTTAAAACTTCGAGTGCAAACACAAGCCATACATATATATTTAATAAGAAAAGCAGGAAAAAAAACAGGAAAAGCCATCTATCTACCTTCTGATCTTCGATCTCAGGTGATTGGATTTTGCACCGGCGCAGCTTGAGCATCGACAATCATCAGAGTATGATCAGATGAGGATGCTTCCTCTTTTGAATAACCCAAATCCAAATCCGAACCTCAGGATGAAAAACTAAGGGAAGCTGCTGGCATGATGGTGTTAAAACCGAGCAAAGTGATGTAGATGAGACTCTATTCTCAAAGACACGGGCACCCAAAATATTACGAGGTAAAAGGGAAAGAGAAGAAAAGAAAACTTTCTTAAGGACCATGGATGGAGATACGAGGACTCGACTACTTGCCCCTTACTGTTGTGCCTCTTCGACTTTTGGAGCCTCTTTGATTTCATCACCTGCATCATCCTGCACAGTTTGTTTGTGTAACTTAATGGTGACAATTACATTCTGCGGTGCTTCATGTTTGTGATAAAGGAGGATGTTACTCTCCATTTCCATTGCACTGAACTTTAAACATTAGTATTATAAAATTGTGAATGTCTTAAGAGTGATTGTGACAAATGAGAGTTTAGAGTAAAGGTTACCTGCATGTCGGAGGTCCACAGAGTGAGATTGTCACGGAGGAGTTGCATAATCAAGGTGCTATCTTTGTAGGACTCCTCGCCTAGTGTATCCAACTCGGCGATTGCCTCATCAAACGCCTGTCAATGTGTTCAATCAAGCATCATTCACTAACTGCAGCTTTGTTTACTCAATACTTTTGGAGTTTTGTTACTATGCAATTTTTTAAAAATATCATATCAAATAAAAATTCTTTCGAAAAACATTACATTCAAACATGTTCTCACAAATAACAGTACTATAAATTTAAGGCTTGTTATTTTGAAATGCATTACAAGATGATAATCTGAACTCAACACACACACACACACACATGCTTGTATGTATATATATATATATATATACCTGTTTTGCAAGATTACAGGCACGATCAGGAGAGTTCAAAATTTCATAGTAGAAGACAGAAAAGTTCAAAGCAAGTCCAAGTCGAATTGGATGGGTTGGGGCAAGTTCTGTAGCTGCTATGTCCTGCAAAAGGATATCAGTCTTTAGAAGAAAACTTTGCAATTTTATTTTGTCATCTCTCGTAAATGTACTTGCAGAAAATGACTTCGTATAAACTTATATTTGATAATAAGATATTAATGTAGATCAATTGCAGCAAATGAATTCTTATAAACTTAAATAATAAAATATTAATGCAGATCAATCCTCTGAACAATCCAAATCTAATTGTGATTAATGGTGAGAACCTTCAGCCCAGATCCACTGTCTTAAACAGTTTTTCATAAATTTTTGTGGCATTCACTGACGGCGTACTACTGACCCCCTACTTCATATTTTACCATTTGCGCATGAAGATGCTTACACCGACGAACAATAATAGTTATAATATCAGTAAGATCCATGACAGACATTACTAAAATGACAGTCGAATATATATGCTTCGTTGCGAACAGACACATGTAAAATACGATATCAAAATAAATCAAATAAACAGCACATCAAGGATTTGCATCAGCTATTCAGCTCCGTCGAGATTTCTACAGATGAGGATATAAACTGAGTACGAAGATAAGAGAACCAAACCTGTGCAGATTTATAGGCCGTGAGGGTGCTCTCAGCAGCCTCTTTTCTTTCAGCGCTGGTCTTGAACTCAGCCAAATACCTATGGTAATCACCCTTCATCTTGAGGTAGAACACTTTGGAATCCCCGCTAGACGCAGAAGGAATCAATCGTTCTTCGAGCAACTTCAGGATTCCATCGCAGATTTTTGACAGCTCCGATTCAATCTTAGATCTATACTCCTTGATAGTACTAACATGGTCCTCATTCCCCCTGGATTCCTCCTTCTGCTCGATGGAGGAGATAATCCTCCAGGACGCCCTCCGCGCGCCGATCACGTTCTTATAGGCGACTGAGAGCAGATTACGCTCCTCGACGGAGAGCTCCTCCTTCTCCTGCAGCGACTCGCAGACTTTCTCCATAAACTCGACCATCTCCTCGTAGCGCTCGGCCTGCTCGGCCAGCTTTGCCATGTACACACTCTCCTCGCGCGGCGCCATGATATGTCGGTGGAAAAAGTAAAACGAGGCGAATGGAGGAAAAGGTAGAGGAGGAATAAATGGAAGTTGAGAGCAGAAAATGAGAGGAAGGGAGGAAGAGAATGCTGCGGATTCGCCGCCTACTGTGGGCTCGTAACTGCCACTTCCACGCACTCCATGATCTATTTTTTTTTCTCTTTTTAAATTTATATAAAATAATATTAAATAAAATAAAATAACAGAGTGGAATTTATAGTATATATTGTGTATATATATCTTTATTTTTTTTTAAAAAAATAATATTTTAATATAAATTATTTTAATTAAAAATATAAAAAAATTAATAAAAAAATTTAAAAATATATATATATATATAAATACATGGCAAAAAATACAATGTGTTCAAATTTTATTATTTGAATTTTTAAGTATAAATGAATCATTAGTAACTTAAAATAAATAAAATTTTAACTATAACTACAACTCTTGACCATCTATATTAATATGTTTAGAAATATATTAAATTGAAGTTTACAATATACTATTAATGGAGATGGTTAGAATATATTTAGACGGCAATAGTATAGACAATATATATAATATATGTAATAATAATAGTATACATGATATATAAGTTCAACTAAAACAATAGGTATGTATCATTTACCGTATAGGCTATTAGATTTTTATTTTTTATTTTTTATTTTTTTTATCAGATATGTTGTTAATATTTATATTATATTAATATATATTTTTAGGATGAAATCAATTATAAAATATAAACTATTACATATTCGGTTAATATTTGTATTAATATACACTTTTATGATGAAATGAATTGTAGCATATTTTACATATACTTCATTTAATTAATACACTATGTGGTTACAATTAAATGATCATATTGATTAATTCTAATGAGCAAATCATAATAATAATATATATACAACAGTATAATTTTTTTCGCCACTTGATCACTCATAATAATTTAATTTATACAATATGTGATTACCGTTCATTGATCATGTTGATTAATTCTAATAAGCAAATGATAATAATTTATAAAATAGTATAATTTATGTTGCCACTTGATCACCTATGCAGGATTGAACTAGGAGGCTTGACACTAAGGCAATTATTTGAATTATATAATTATAATCTTAATTAACGGTGACAGGATTAGGGTGCACGAGTTTAGTGCTGTAATACAATTAACAACACCACATAATTATTACAAAAAAAATATATCTGAGCAATAGAGTTTAGAAGACTCAGAACAGGTCTCATTCTCTATATTACATATAGACATATATACATACAGCATATATATATATATATATTACTTACTGACAAATTCCAAAACTGCGAGGATGAACAGCATAAATGAGTCCTGATGAGAATCTACAATTTCATCTTTTTGAAGTCAACTTTTTGGACAGGATATGTATATGCCTCGTAGTTGATTTTCTGTCCTAAGGAACTCAATTTCGTCAGAGTGGTGATGAGATCCACCTGAAATAATAACATTGGACATACAAAAAATAAGCCATGAAGATGTTGCTGCCTGAATGGACAATACTAGTACTAAGAAGGCAATGCTGATGTTGATTCTATTACTGTCTGAAGATATATGCAGAAATGGAAATAAAATCGATGACCTCATAATCCGTTTGCGATACTGTTTCACGGCTACGCTGGTATTTCTGAACCCACGGAAACACTTCAGGGTCCGAAGCTAGTAATGCCTCGGTTGCAGCTTGATCAGGGCCCAAGAATGCAGACATGACAGCTAGCTGATATGTTGATAGGATTATTGAAGTTGTTACATATTTTCTATTAGCAACTGAAGTAAAGGTTTGATATAGTTGAATTTACAAGGCCTAAGGTTACATAATGGTTGACAAAAGATGTGAAAACATGCTACTGGCAATTATTTTTCTTATTTTCGATAGGCGAAGCAAGTTAAGGCATCGAAGAAAAGAAAGATCGAATTTAAATGGGTAAGTTGTTTACCTGGCGCGGGCCAAAGCCAACAGCAGAGAATTTATTTTTCATCTCAGCAACGCTAGCTTTGTCCCACTGAGGAACCCTGCCTTCTGGATCTGGTTCTTCAGCATCCGACCTGCCAAACTGCTTGTCGAAAAGTGCCCACTGCAACACAAAGTATGATTGTGGAATGCAGAAGGAGCTAAATAATTAATTCTCATTTGGAACAGATTGGCATATTTAGGCATTTTCACAATCTATGATTCATTCAGCTTGCCATATATTTATAGAAATGGGAGATAGACATACTTCCTACAAGGGCTTAGTTCAATAGAAAGATATGCATATCTGTTTCTATTGTTTTCTTTTCCTGATTTCTCTTCTTTGGAAAAGGGGATGTGGAAATATATTATTGGATATGTAAATCATGATCAATGATATATATTTATTAAATAACGAACCTGACCGCTTGAACCATATGCACCGTATAGAAAGGTTCCTTTCTCCTCATTGCCCCCACATTTCCTAATGGCTGAGGCCAGGAAGGTGGATTTAACTGCAATTTGACCTGTACATTGCAGTGAAGGAAAATAACCCCGTTACAACTATGAAGGTTTACAATGGACAGAGCTATCTGTGATAAACTTAAGGAATGCTTAGATGTAAACTTTTCCCCTGATAGTTCGAGTGTACACTCTAATAGATCAATCTAGAGATGATTTCCATTTATTTTGATTTTATCAAGACAAAATCACGAACTAGATAAAAGTTATCTTGATATTCAAAACCTAACCTGCAAAATGTACGAGATCTGCATAAGTTATGGGTCCACCTTTGGAATATGAGTCTATTTCCTTCTTTGCTTCTTCCAAAAAATTTAAAGCAACGGCTAAGTTTTTATTTTCTGGTCGGTTGATCTCTGAACTTCACGAGACAAACATATAGAAAATGAAACTCCAGGTCTTGTTCAGCGACATGTTGACAGATTGCTTACAGATGCAATCCAACATAAAAACATTCTAAATAAATTACAGCATCTTTAAAAGATTAAGTTGCAAAGAGCTTTTTCTATCATCTTTGATCAGCTAATTCAAGAATATGTTTGACAAAACAGGAACCATTTAAGATCGTAATAACAACATTCTTTATGGAATTCCAATTTCTCCAAAATTATATGACATTCTACACTTCTACTTGTAAAATGCCAAATGGTTAGTTACCTAAACCGTATTGATCCATTTGGGCCTCCTGTTTTTGTTGCCTGCAAACTTAATTAGCAAGTACGTAAGCTTTCCCTTTCGAAAACCCTTAAGAAAGTATCCAGCAACATGCATGAGTAACATCTGACCTTATCATAAGTTATAGCATCATTGAGAGCTAGAGTTAGTACAGGCGATATTAGTTCTGGACGTTCCTGCATGAGCATTGATACAGAGGTTACCAAATTCATGTGTATCATCCAAATCGATAACGATCCAGGGTTTCTACCTTCAGTCTTGTAGCAAGGGTGGCCTTGATTTTTGCTGTGAATGTGCAAATTGATCAATTGCAGCAGATTTAAAGAGCATCCATTTTAGTTTCAAGTAAAGAGGTAAAACTTTACACTGAAACTCTGAACGTTGTCCGCGCTGTATCAAGTCAGCAGCATGAGCTGCTTCAATCAATGAACTGGATCTTGTCATCAAGTCCTGAGAACAGCCAATTGGCAAACACATCATCACACACACGTCAGACGCAACGCAACCGACATGTTGCTCCGTGAATATATATCATCTCCAAATAGGAGCGAAAGCATTTTCTTCGCGCATATTATATATATATATATATATATATATGAGAAATAAATCAGTTCACAAAGAAATGTTACTACCATTTGTTTTAAACGTACAATGACGAAGGAATTTCACATTCACACACAAAATGAGAGTAAAAAGTAGAGGCGCGAATGAACAACAAATCACCCCCACACATTCAGATGCACGAATTACGACAATGTCGGTCACTTGCAGACAATCAAACAAAAAAAGAAGTCTCACCACACCAACGGTGACACCAAAGCAATGCAGAACATGACGTCGCGATACGTTATCCGTATCTTCAAATTCACCTCCACTTTTGCAACTGATCGTGCTCTGCTGCTCTCACAAAAGCACCAAACAATGTTACTCACGAACAACCACGAAAACGCCGAGTAACCGTCAAAAGCATAATTCAACAACGTCAGCAATCAACACAGACTTACAGAACGGCGAGAGATCAAACATCTCGGAGCACCACTGGACGACAGCAATGGAGCCAACGCAACCAAGCAGGGAGCCACAGTCGACACGAAGGATACCATTCCCAACACTGGTCGACCTTCTGCGTTGAGGAAAAGGAAGCGACTATCGAAGGAGAAGATGGATAAGAGTAAGCTTTTATATACGAGACTGACTCTACGTGGTTAGGAATGCGATTCGCGTTATCCTTTTATCCTTGGCACTGGCGCCACGTCAGATATCCACGTGTAAAAAATCCGACGTGTATTCACTTGTATGGTCTTCTCACACCACGTGTCCAAATAATCTGACGTGTTCTTCTTCTTTGTTTTTTTACCAAAAAGGTAACCATCAGAGCGTAGGTTAGAAGCACGAAGTCCGAGTGCAATATGTAATTCAAATCTGAGAGTCATTGCCAGAGACGTGTCTGAAGAGTTGGTGGATCGCAGCATTACGCAATTCGTTTAGGCAGGTCAATCAGTTGTTCGTTGCGCTACATGTCTTGTCTGCGGATGCTAATCTGGGAGCCCTAGCTCGATTCCTCATCCCGGAGCTCTTCGCAACTAAATTCCTGCGATTTGATCTGATTCGTGTTGCAGGTCGATTGTATGTTCGGCATTCGGAGTTAATTTCGGTTTACATGACTTGAATTTAGTTCCTGACTGTAAGACAGGCTGTGATGTAACAGGGATTTAGGTCAGTGTTGAAAAATGCAGCGGACGCCGACGACGATCGAGGAGCAATTGATACAGAAGGCAATTGCTGAGGAATGCCCATGGGAGAATCTTCCGAAGCGCCTTCAATCTACCTTGAATTCCAAGGAAGAATGGCATCGAAGGTTTGTCTGTCCTTTCTCCCTTTTATTTTTCTTCATCATCTTCTATCTCGTGGTAATTATTTTTATTTATTATTTCAAATACTGTGATATAGTTTTCATGGGCCAAGCTCATGATTACTCTGATGATTTCTTTCCTTTGTGAATATTATTTTTATTTGAACGTTTGGTGCGTCATTTCTCTATATAACATAAACTGTCCAAGAAGATGATCGATCACTCAACAGTTGTAATTGCCATTCCCTTGACAATACACTGTGATTAAAAGGGTCGTTTTGATGCATTGTGACATAATTGTGTAATGCAATTGTCCCTAGTTTAAACGCAAGTGCCCTAGGTATACCACAAACCTATTGAGTATAGATCAGTGTGAAAAGTTTCCCCAAGTCACCTGCCATTTTTGAAAGATGAATGGATGGTTTAATAAAATTGGTGGCTAGGGATAGCTGGTTCTATGTCAAAGCTATCTCAGGAGAATTTCTGGCTAACTGGTTTATCATTCATTAGTGTGGTTTATTAAAGGAAAATGAAGTGTGAGTCTTTGTTTAGCATCTATCTTATGTATAACTGATCAAATGGTGTTGGCACTTGTCTTGAGTCAACAGTTCATAACTAGTGTACCCGTGATGTAATACATTTGTCTTCTTTTGAAAAACATATTGTTTTTCCCCTAGTGAAATGCTTCAATTTAACTCTTTTAAACTCATATTTTGCAGAATAATAGAACACTGCATCAGGAAAAGGCTCCCCTGGAACAAGTGTTTTGCTCGCAAAGTGTGCAAAGAAGGTGAATACTATGAAGAATTGATGCGTTATCTACGAAGAAACCTAGCGGTGTGTTGAAAAAACAAACCTCTCATATTGGTTCATTGTGCTAAGCAAATGTTGTTGTATAGCAGTGAGCTTGCTAATGAATTGCTTAGAAAATAGAATGCTAATTTGCTTTGTCTTGAAAACAATAAGCTATTGACTAAGCTGGCCTACTGGTTCAAGGAGAATATAACCAGAAATAGCAAAACATAAAATATTTGCTAACCTTAGAAGACACAAAATATCACCTGGAAGACCAGCAATAAAAAATGAAAAATCTTTGGATGTTAGGTTCCAGCATGCATGTTCTCTTACTATAGTTAGGAACTACAATCCTGCTTCATCTTGTAGGCAATGGAGAATATTTTCGAGGTTAGATAGTTGTTTGTACCTACCTTTGGCACACAGGAATTTAAAGTTTGCATTTTTGCTGCATCTTTGTGTTTCCCAATGAGTGTGCCAATTCCAAAATGATTGAGTAATTTACTGTCCTGATTTGATAAATTATTGAGCATGATGATATTATAGTATGTTTACCTCATTCAAGTCTCAGCTAATTTCTTGATTGTTTTTGCAGTTGTTTCCCTACCATCTTGCGGAGTATGTATGCCGTGTTATGCGGGTTTCTCCTTTCAAATATTACTGTGATATGATATTTGAAGTTATGAAAAATGGTAAGTAGATGGGGAAACTAACTTCCTTGGTTAATAACAGTCCCTAGAATCTAAATTATGACAAAAGAGAAGGAAAGTTGTTTTTTAGATGGTAATACTTCTTACTCAAAATTGAATTCGCACATGTTACTGAAGCAAAATCAATTCTTGGATTTATGCTTATTAGTGAAGATGGAGTATCTGTTTAAAACTACCATAAATTATCACACACTATAAAGAGGAGTGATCTTGTTTCCATCATTTCGTCAGCATCTTCTGTCCCATTTCGTGCATTGTTCTGTTACATATGAGTTGCCTGAATATGATTCACGTAATTCAAAGGGTTATAGTGTTATACACTTTGTGGCAGATAGATGTTGGTCATACCTTTTGCTGCCTGCAGGGCATAGTGCATATACATGACCAATTTCATAGGTTGCCATCTCCACACCAGAGGTTGCGTGTTCATTGTCTAATAGGACAGTGAGCATTGGTGGAAACTCTCTGCGGTGCATGTTGAAAAGTGAAGAGACAATTAAATCTAGACTGCCATTCAATACTAGAGTATTGCAATTTTCGAACCTTAACTAGCTCACAACCTGCATATCAACTATGTGTACATTTGCCTTTGATCATTCTCTCATGGAAGTACTTTGAATTATGAGGCTCTGAATCTTGAACCAAACACTGGTAGATTCATGCCAACTACTACCACTACTTTTGCTTAATGGAACAGCAGACAAATACTTCCAGTTCACTGCCAGTCTTTGTATGTTTCTTACCCAGTTGGAACCATCCAACTCTAACAGTCGGATGACATTCAAATACTCCAATTGATTGAATTCAAACACAGACAACAATATTGTAGCTCAAGGAGCAGTACACACAGAAAAGATCACACCATGTTCAAGTGTCTCTTCATTTAACAATGATGCATGTTCATCAATGTAGGATTTTCTACCTACCGACTCTCTTCCTTAAGTCACAATCACTACACTTCACTAAGGTGCAGTCTGTATCAGTCTGATTTGGTCAAAATGAATAGTTATATTAGTTGTTTCACATCTATTTTGTTTATGTGAGATAGCAGCAAACTTATATGATACATGTGGTCATCTTGTTGGACTGGAAACACCGTAGTATCACGTGAAGCAATTTCTCTTTGCCTCTTGACTGAAATGTGTTACTTTTATATTTAATTATCTTTTATGAGTTTGTCGTTCATTTGTTGATAATTATTGTCTTAGAAAATTTATTGTTTAAAGTTTGTCGTTTAAGTTTGATGTACCATTAGCTGCCATGTATATTTTTGTTGTTTGCATTTATGATGAGATTTATCACATCTTCTACACTATATTTGCAGAGCAACCTTACGACAGCATCCCTAATTTTAGTGCTGCAGATGCACTGCGACTAACAGGAATTGGAAGAAATGAATTTATTGACATCATGAACAAATGCAGATCTAAGGTGGGTTCTAATACAGTGCAGCCTGTTTGTCTACTATCTTTATAACTCATGACAGCTCACGGTGCACATTGATAAATGTTTACTTGTCACTTAACATCACAAGAGAAAATCTTATGTGATATATGAGTAACTAGAAAAATTATCTTTGTTAAATTATGTGTTTACCAGTTAACATGAAGTGCCATGGTTTTAGTGTGATAAGACAAGTCGAGGAATGATTTATTTCTGATGGGTTGATTGTCTTTTACATTGTTACTTCTTACTTCATCATTTGAGATCAGCTGTTTTGTTCCACTCTTTTTGGCTTGTCTGTGCCTTGTCAGGATGCCATATTGCTAAAACCTAATGTTGACAAGCAGGATTCCTTTTGTAATGGGGCTCCTCCGCAGATTCATATCTAAGTTAGGGTTCAGTTTCTAGTAAGAAAGTAAGCTGTCAAATTAGGATCCCTATCTATTTATCTATCTATCTATTGGCTGTTAGCTCTTCTACCATAGAACATAGTTTCTTGAACGTTCCCCCAGGCCACTGGAACTATGGATTATGTTGAAAAGATCTGATAATATATGCACAAAAATAACTTTGGATTATGCAAAAACACTTTACTATATAAAGTAACTTTGATATGCCTTTTGGAACATTCCAGAAAATTATGTGGAAACTGAACAAGTCAATAGCTAAAGAACTCTTGCCTACTGAACCTGTGGATTTCTTAATTGAGCCTTGGTGGGGAATTTGCTTGGTCAACTTTACGTTGGAAGAATTCAAGGTCAGTGATCTTCAATGTGCTTTTATCACCTTTAGTCATTCTGTTTGGCTGACAGGATTTTCTTCCCTTCCTCTCTATCTTGCAACCACTTTCTTAGAAACTCTCAGAAGAAGAAATGGCCACCATCGATAAAATCTGCAAGGAGGAAGCTAATTCATTTATCCTCTTTGATCCTGAAGTTGTTAAGGGCTTGTTTCGCCGGGGACTAATCTTCTTTGATGTTCCTGTTTATCCTGATGATCGCTTTAAAGGTAATTCTACTAATCATATCTGTACAAATTTTAATTGAATTTCAAATTTTAATTTGCTTTCAAGGATTTTCTGAAACTATAAAGATGAAGTTCAGAGTATTTAATGCAATAGTGTACCAGAAAAATAAATAAATAAAATTGTTGTTAACTCCAGCCTCCATCATACGTCAAATATTTAAAATTTTATGTTGTTTCAGTTTCTAGGCTTGAAGGATTTGTTTCAAACAGGGAGCAGATGTACGAAGATCCAATTGAGGAGTAAGACCCTATCTAATGCTTTATCATTTTGGATTACATCTGTCAAGTACAGGTCAGAATTTGAGATATGGTTCTGCGGGTTGCATAATCCAGGTTGCTTTATGCTGTATTTGTGGTGCTAAGTGAGAATTCTACTGTAGCTGAGTTAGCAGCAACTCTACAAGCTGATCTCTCTCAGCTACAGGCTGCTGCATCATTTGCATGTCGACTTGGATGGGCAGTGAAGCTTATAGATCCTGCATCTATTCTTCAAGAATCAAATGCACTTTTAAATCCTAGGAGTATACTCATTGATGAAGCAGATGGTTCAAATGCTACCATAAGCTCTGCAAATTTGGCTGGTGATGGTAATGCTTTCCAACCAGGAGATGCATTATGGACCGAAAATCATAGTACAGATAATGATTGCTCTCATGTGGCTTTTGTTGTGGATGCAAATATAACGTCTTACCTCATGATGGGATCCGTTTCACCAGGTTTGTCATCTATTCTTTTTGGGTTCAAACAGGTGCAAATATAACTTCATTCTGTTATGGAGTTTCTTTGAAACAGATGCATTATTCTTATTTGGGTTTGGGTTTGGGTTAATGGTGAATCCCACATAATCCATTTGTAATTATATGTGATTATTTCTGCTGAATTACCTTGTTGCTTTCAAATTCCCATCACAGGTTTGAAATCCCATGCTGTCACGCTGTATGAAGCTGGAAAACTAGGTTATGGAAGCATTGCAGATCTTTGTAGAGATCTTATCACCCTTGAAGGGGCCAAATTTGAAGGAGAGTTACAGGAATTTGCTAATCATGCTTTCAGCCTAAGGTGTATCCTTGAATGCATAACTTCAGGGGGGATTTTGGGTGATGAAAATATTGGAAAAGGGTCAATAACAAGTAGCATAGAAGATGCCACTTCTTTAGCTGATGATGCTTCTTATAGTGACGATCCTAGAAAGTCTGGAACAGATAAATATGAATTAAACAAGGAGGATCATGGACAATCAGATATCATTGGGGACAGTTCTACTGGGACTTCTTCTGATGAAAATGATTCTACGGCTTTGACCAATGAATCCCATTCTATTTACAATGATGCTAGACTAGGAAAAATTCCCACAATTTATGAAGACTCAGATTCTGTTGAAGGATTTGGAGAAAAGGAGGTGAAGAAACTAAGGAAATATAGGGTAGATATTCTTCGCTGTGAAAGCTTAGCTGCACTGACTCCAGCTACCTTGGATCGTCTATTTCATCGTGATTATGACATCATAGTGTCCATGATTCCACTACCTCATTCTTCTGTTTTGCCTGGATCTAAGGGCCCTATCCATTTTGGTCCTCCAACACATTCTGCTATGACTCCCTGGATGAAATTGGTGCTCTATTCTGCTCTGTCTAGTGGACCTCTTTCTGTTGTTTTGATGAAAGGACAATGTTTAAGGCTGCTTCCTGCACCACTAGCTGGTTGTGAGAAAGCCCTTATATGGTCATGGGATGGATCGGCAATTGGGGGTTTGGGTGGAAAGTTGGAAGGTAGTTTAGTTAATGGAAGTGTACTCTTACATTGTTTGAATTCTCTTCTCAAATTTTCAGCTGTGTTGGTTCAACCTCTGAGCAGAGATGATCTCAATGATGATGGAAACATTATAACTTTAGATGTTCCACTGCCCTTGACGAACAGTAATGGTTCGATGGCATGTATTGGCGAGGAACTAGGACTATGCAGAGAGGACTGCTCCAAGTTAAATTCACTGCTACATGATATTTCAAACAAAATGAATTTATGGACAATCGGTTATATACGCCTTTTAAGGCTGTATAAAGAGAGAGACTTGGAGCAATTTTCAGTTGATGATGAGAAATATGAATGGGTTCCACTGAGCGCAGAGTTTGGTGTTCCTCTTTTTAGCCCTAAATTATGTAAAAGTATATGTAAAAGAGTGGTTTCCTCGAAGTTGCTTCAAAGTGACATATTGAATGACCATCAAGAAGCAATGCAGGACTTAAGACGGAGGTTACGTGATGTCTGTGCTGAGTACCAAGCAACAGGACCAACGGCAAGACTTCTTTACCAGAAAGAGCATGCAAAGGAAAAATCTTCATCTCGAGAACTAATGACCTATGCAAGTGGAAAATGGAACCCTCTATCAGACCCATCTTCCCCTATATCAGGAGCCTCAAGTGAAAAACAAAGATTAAAGCTTGCTAACAGGCAGCGTAGCCGAATTGAAGTTTTGAGCTTTGACGGTAGTATCTTAAGGTGCGTCTTAATTGGCTTTTTTCATCTATGTTCGTAGAAACTATGAAAAATACATCATACATTGAACATTTACTTACAGAAATATGATATAGTTCAAATGATTAGGATTTACTATGTCGATTATTATAGTTTTTCCCTCTTCAAGGCTATGAGCAAAGAACTGATGATTTATGAGCATACTTTCATCATCTTATTTAAGAATCTTGACTGAACAAACTGAAATACGATTTCCGTGCTTTTGCAGATCATACTCTCTGAGTCCACTTCATGAGGTTGCCACAAGGCCTGTCGAAGATTCTACAAGAGGCGAATCTGATGATACTGACAGCAAAGAGGTAGTTCTTCCCGGAGTAAACCTTCTGTTCGATGGGGCTGAGCTGTGCCCTTTTGAGATCGGCGCTTGCCTCCAGGCTCGGCAACCTGTCTCATTAATAGCTGAGGCATCTGCTGCATCAGCAGCTTTGGTTGCCAAGCAAAAAGCTTGAATTCAAATACCCGAAGGTCCTATACACTCATATCCTATGTATTCACTATTGTGTGAGATATCGTGCACAGCATATTGGCATCTGCAGTTTCTGATTCGCATCAACTCGACTCTTTGGTCTGCCCGACTATCGACAGGCTGAAGGAGTAAGTGATGTGGAGGTAAAGGTGAGTTTTCTTTCAGTTTGAGATTCTTTGATTGACTACAGAATCCATTGATATAATAGCCTTCTCTCATATCAACTTAGCATCAGTAGTAATTTGTATCCTCTGTATGTTTTTTTTCATTCTGTAGTGTTTATATATGTGTTTGGGGTTCGGCTTGCATGCTGAATTGAACACCAACTACCAGATCAAAACTTGACATGAAGAGCTTGGGTTTGATGGAGGGTTTATTATAAGTGAATTTTAAACAAACGAGTATATACGGTATTTTATTTTCTAATTGCCATTAACTTTAAAAATAATATTATACTTATAATTATGTCAGCTCCTGAGGATATTAAAATAAAATATGTGCGAAGTCAGCACGGACAATACTCTAACTGCTGCCCAATATAATATAATATATATCTTTTGTTCTATACCAATTTTGATAATGTCCAAATAAAATGTTACATTTTGTGAAAAAAAATTGAATTATAATCACAATTTTATTATATTTCACTTGATGTATATCTTACCAAAAAATTATCATTCTCTACTATGTCTGTCACTGAATTTATCTTTTATTGCCAATTATGAAAAAATAAATAAATAAAAATAATCTACGAATTCAGCAGTCCACCTCTTATCCAACTTCACAGCCCATCTCAAGCAATATCAACAATTTTATTATATTCCAATAAATAAAATAAAATAAAATAAACGACAAACAATTTAATTATATTAAATTTATGATGGTGATGAATCATGTAAGAATTTATTTAGTGATAATGATTGTACTTTTAGAAATACTTAAAGCATGAAGGCCAGGCGAGGCCATTGAAATTCAATCATGTAAGAATTTATTTAATGATAACGATTATATTTTTTAAGTTGCACATGCTCTTATTAGAGACGAACTATCACATTGGGAAAGGTGAAAATCTATCGCCAGATCATCTAGACACGTGTCACATTCTTGGCAAGGAAGGGTCCAGATTCTTTGTACAATGCTCACGTGGGGAACATGAACCGTTCCCTCATCTGTGCAGCTTTTCTTGTGAAATATCTCCGCACTGAAACAGAGGCTACTGGACTGATTTCAGACCCCATTCCAGTGCCACTCCGAATCCAATTTCCATTTCCGAATCCCTACCTTCTTCTGCATTTCTTCGCCGCCTCTCCTGCGCTCTGCTACTGAAAATCTACTCTCCGTCAAGTTGATGATCGAACGATGCTCTGGAACATTGGTTGATTGATTTATTCATCTGTAGAATTATCTTGGTAGTATGATGCTCCCAATTTCTTCGCTGAGGCTCAAAGGCAACATCCTTCCCATTAACGTTCCCGCGCTTGGTTCTCGGTCCATCACACCGCGGTAAAATGTCGCGTGCGTTTATCGTGGTCTGTGGAGTAGTCGAATTATGGTTAGTGATTTGTTTATGTCTTCTGCAGATTGAAACCAAGCGAAACGACGTCCTCCACGAAAAGTTCGTCGCAGAAAATTTCCGGTGAAGTAAGTTTCTTTGGCGGTTCATTTTCTTGGATTAGAAGTAAAAAATTTAAAAAATTGCAGTGCCGTTGGTTAAAGAATCAGAGGAATATGTTTCAGGTTAGAAAAGAATATTGTAGAAGTCGTATGGGCTCCTTTGTGTACGCAGCTCGAGGAGGTGAGCAGAGCGTGGCAACTCAGGAGGTATGATTGATTATCTTGGTATATTCGGGTTCATGGCCTCAAAGGGTGTGTGCAGTCTGTTCTATTGTAGAAACTTTAGGGTTTCAGGAGAAATTGATGTGGTGAAATGTGAAGAGGATATCCTTGGAATGCAGTTCAATTTTTATTTTTTTTTTTGGGGGGGGGGGAAGTAGAAATTTGATAGAATTATACCACTCTTTGCTCGGTAAAGATCTTTATACCACTTACCTCAGTTTTGTATTTATCCAATTCTATAATTGCAAATGGTTGCATTGATATTCAACTTGATGTAATTATTTTCCTTGTTTTAAACTTATATGTTTATAGTCCTTCAGTCCTCCTCTTTGAGCCTTTAATTGAAGTATAATATTGTTGGAATTTGGCAGCAATATAAATAATGAGATATCACACTGATGGTTGCTTTTTTTGAAATTTTATACATACATAGTAGATATCAATTTAATGGCATTAATTTCTGCCTTGCTAACTTAAGATAATATTAGATGCTGCTCTTTGTAGAGATGATAATGCCTCTTTTGCTGCCTGTAATCATAGCAAGAAGCATCTCAAGGGCTAGAGAGTCCAGCGCTGAAAGTTTTTCCAGGTCAAGCACATCCTTTAGGAGCTTCAGAGGTTGAAGGTGGAATCAATTTTGCAATTTTCTCACAAAATGCTACTACAGTTACCCTGTGCTTAGTCCTTAATGTGAGGTTTGAAAATGTCCCTAAATCTTGAACTCCACAGATTTTAATTTCTAGTCATGGTTGCAATGCCAAGACTACTCTAACAGCACAGATTTAATTTTTTTATTTGTGTGTCTTTCATAATTTGAATTGATATATTTACAGGGGAATGAATAAGAATGCTGATCCAAGGATGATTGAACTATCACTTGATTCAAAAGTAAATAAGACTGGAGATATATGGCACATCTGTGTTAAGGTATTTGCTTTTATTTTATTTTTTTATAATAAATGTGGTATCTTTTTTTCTTACCCCCCCCCCTCCCCTTCTTATTTTTTAGATACAGTATGTTTGCTTCTAGTTGATTCTCCAGCTTATCTTATGAAGTAATAAGAGGAAAGTGTCACCTTAAATATGTTTGCCAATTTGGAATAGTGAATAGAATATAAATGGCAGTTTGCCAGAAATTTCAGTTCCATGCTACATTACATGTCTTGTGTTAGTAAAAACTAACTTTTGTAATGTTAACTTGTGACAGGATGCTTTTTGGTTCATGGTTCCTTGGCAATGGGAAATTTTTAATATAAAAATATTATCTTCATCTCTCAATTTTCATTCTACATGCTTCCAGTTAAGCTCGTACACATTGAATGAGCAGAAATTTCTATTGGCTTTCTGGCAATGATATCTATATCTTGATTCACCTCTGGATCTAATTGAACAAATTACGTAGATTTGGTATGCTGAATCATTAGGCACCGAGAGAGTATCCAATTCATATAGGACTTCAGGTTTTGCAAACATTGTAGTGCTGTAATTTGTATGTGTGATTATTTTTCCAAGGTACATTTGTACAAACGAAAACTGCTATTTTTGTTGAGATTTCTTCATTACAATTATAAGGTCACCTAATGACAATTACCTGCATTCTGTAATATTCCAATGCCAGAATGTTTTCTTGATCTTGAAGATGAAAGGACTGTACTTTGAAGGATAATTGTGAAGTGTTCAGACTTAGTATTCTTTACGATGAACACGTGGTTGGATTTAGCAATATTTATGTGTTGGCTATCTGTTTTATTCCTCCCCTGCTCAATTGCCAACATGGTGAAGAATGACTGTCCTTCTCTTATATGTCAGAATATCTCTTTATTGTAATAGTGTGTGCATCATTTTATTTTCTACATTATTTAATTTATAGGCTTATAGTGATTCTGTAATGTGCTTTCTTTCAGGATTTGCCACGTAGCAATATTTTATATGCCTATCGAATAAATGGACCGCAGGATTGGAGCCAAGGGCATCGTTTTGATTATGGAAATCTTTTACTTGACCCATATGCTAAGTTGATTGATGGACGCCGGATATTTGGTGATACCAACAATAAAATGATTCAGTTTCTTGGAACGTATGATTTTGATTCTTCTCCTTTTGACTGGGGAGAAGGCTATAAACTGCCAAATATACCTGAGGTACGGTGAAGCAAATCAGGTGAATGATATTTTTCCTAGTATAACTTTGTATGAATGAAAGTTTTAGTACCCAACAGATATTTTGCGAGGTTGATTATCTATGAACTGTCCTAACACAAATTACAATGCCCAAAGATAAATGTGTATCCTTCGAACTACAGTGCCTTCAGTAACTATTTGTTTCTGATGACATTCTTCTACTCTTTAGATTGTACCTTGACAATTGGAGTAATTAGTGGTATATAAATGAAGTTCTTCCCTTTAAAGAAAGAGTGTATCTGGTGTGATTTCTATATTTATATACATATATATATATATATTACTGTTATTGTAATTGAAAGATAAGGATGATCTGACAAAATCTTTTTGAGAACCTCAATAAAAATATCTCTTAAATTGAAATATCATTAAATCATGAAGTTCTTGGAACTGACATTTCTAGGGTGATGGCTGAGGTGGTATTGATTTCATTGACCTGGTTGATGTACTTAATATGGTTTTACCTTTGAATGATAGAGAATGTTAAAAGCAGGATATTCTGAAAATCCCACTTCTGAATCTATTCTCTCTTTCTGAGCGTGTAAATGCCACATTAACATTATATAGGATTTTGCAGGATGAACTTGTTATATATGAAATGAATGTCCGAGCTTTTACTTCCGATGAATCTAGTGGGCTTGACCCAAAAATTCGTGGAAGCTACATTGGTGTGATAGAAAAGGTAAAACATGCGAAATGCAGAAGCATAAAGAGACCTGTTTTAGGCATATCTGATTCATCATGAAAATATGTGTCTTTCCTTTTTGTTGAAGACTTCCCTTCCCTAACTACCTTTATTGCATCTACTTTCTTTTGTCTTATTTCCAATAAATGGTAATTTTCTTTTGTAACTCCTGACAAGTGAATGTAAGTTACATAAGTGAATTTTGAAGCAAAAAGTTGATGATTTTATTCTTCTTGATGAAAATGCAATTGGCTTGCTTGCCTCTGCCCTTTGATTCTGTAAGATTTGAGTATCAGCATTATTTATTATAAGGTAGATATATTCAATTTCTTTATAATTTTGGTCTTCAACCCACAGTTGGAAAGGAAATAGTTGAGATGTGGTCAAGAAATGGTAGATTTTCCCCCTAAATTGCAAGAACCAGAGACCTGGAAATGTCCATATTAATGTGTTTGCACTGTAGACAGGAAGATGATTGAGTGAGTTTGGAAATGGTAGATTTTCCCCCTAAAGTGCTTTGTTACATTATCCTACTAGGTATGTTTGCCTGTGTGACAAGGAAATATGCAAAGATGATAATTGCAGATGCCTTGTTGATCAATTTAGTTTGTATCTGTTGTACTTAAGATACTTCAAAAAAAATTGCTTACCTAGGGAAAATGAAACGCAAAGATACAGTATATGCTATTAGTTTGCATTGATAATATCCTTTCTTTTTTCTTTTTTTTCATTCTTTTCTTTTTGTCCTCTTGCCATGCCCTTCTATTTTCGTATTATCTTATATATAACTTCATATTGGAATTGAATTTCTGTGAAGATACCACATCTTTTGGAGCTTGGTGTTAATGCAATCGAATTGTTGCCAGTGTTTGAGTTCGATGAATTGGAGTTCCAAAGGCACCCAAATCCTAGAGATCACATGGTAACTACAACAACTTTGATTCCTTTTATGCATTTAGTTGAGCAGGATTATCTTGTCTGATATTGTTGAGTTTACATATGATCGCATTGTGTGATTGCCAACTTAAGAGCTGAAATATTTTGCCATTTGTATGTGGTGAATGTCTGGCTTGAATATTTGTTTACAAGGCTTTTTAGTATATTTTTTATAGAATGCTAAATGAAGGATTGGTAACCGTGTATTGTTCAATTTCCATAGTATTTGCTGTGTTCTTCAACCAAGTAGCAACAATATATAAGAGAAAAATAAAATAAAATTGAACTCCATATTCAGCTATATCAAAAGGTTGTCCACATGATCTGTTTATTTATAAATGAAAACATATTTTGCAGGACAATATACAATATGCACAAACTCAATGCAATTAGACTAACTTGTAAATCAAACTAATAAATTTGCAAAAAATATAGTTGCTAGAATTAAATGTACAGGTTTTATAGACATGCAGCACGTGATATTTATGATGTCACAATAATCACTTTGTTGCATGTAGACCTTAACATCACTATGCTTTTCTAATGCGTCAGCTTGTTTTGTTGTTGAACCAAGGAATAAACGCCATGTGACTGGTTCTTTTTTATATATATAATGCGGGAACTGAAACATGTTACCTTAATTATATTCTGTGCATTGAGAAGTATGTTGGTTTGTTCTTATACTTATATTCTGTGATTGCATAATAGATTAACACATGGGGTTATTCAACTATAAATTTCTTTTCACCTATGAGTCGTTATGCAAGTAATGGAGGAGGACCAGTTAATGCTTCTTCGGACTTTAAAAAAATGGTTAAGGCACTGCACAATGCTGGAATTGAGGTATTTTTATTTTTATTTTTTCCATTTAAAGAATTCCATATAATAGTAGACAATAAATGAAGACCATCATGCTTATGGTGCTATATTCCTCTCTAGGTTATTTTAGATGTTGTTTATAACCACACAAATGAGGGTGATGATAAAAATCCATATCCTATTTCATTCCGTGGCATAGATAACAAGGTAATTTTGCTGTTTTATAATAAAGGAAATTATTTTATGTTTGCTTTTGTTTTTTGTTTCAATAACTATAATTCCATTTTATTCGCAATTGGATGTTCAAGTCCTTCGTGGCAAAAATTATAGGCATCTTTCATTATCACAATGGGCTGACTCTTGTTTTCTACTGATTCGTGTGTTTCTTATGTATTAACTTTATGTAGGTCTATTACATGTTGGACTTGGACAACAACGCCAAGTTTTTTAACTTCTCCGGTTGTGGTAATGTCAATATCATGGGTTTTTTGTAACCCTACACATTCAATACTTGTGCTTTTGAATAACCTGCTGTCATATTTGGTGAAAATCCTTGGGTGTACTTGTTCTGTTTTGGATGTTTTTAATGGAGAATAGATTTTAGATGTTATATGTTATAAGGAAAGAAATGTTAGATTTGATGGTTTTTTAGAGAGAGAAAATATAAACAAGATTGAAAATATTAACAACACACAACTTTGATTTTTAGAACTTCATGTACCAAAGGCTTATTTTTTTAGCTTCTATTCATTAAGTAAGGTTAGCCACGTTTTTTTTTTTTTTTCATTATATGTATATATACATATCTTTACTATTATGTGTGATTACTTTGATTAAATTTTTTCTTAAAAAAAAGCCTCTATCTAATTTTAGAATATGATCGTGGTTGTATTGTTGAATCAATTTATACCTAGCATCTAACGCAGGCTCAAGAAGCATTTGACATTTCTTATGAGATAATCGAAACATGTGATTAAGAAGGTTCATGCCTTTTTATAGCTTCAATTGTGACATTTAATCAGAGAAGTCATTAATGTTTTTTCATTTATATTTATTGGACCTAAATGTTTTCTAAGTCTTTACTAATACCTTTATATGATTATGTTAATTTCTATGATATGTGACCTTGATGCAGGTAATACACTCAATTGTAACCATCCTGTTGTCATGGAGTTAATACTCGACAGCTTGAGGCACTGGTACATTCTTACCCGCCTTTGTGTTTCTCTTAATATTGATGAAAGTGTTATATGATCTTTTAATGCTGACTATTCATAATTATGAAGGTGATCTACTATTACATAGCGATCGTTTCAATTGGCATAAAGTGTGCCATTATAAGCTTTCGCTGTTTCTCTTTTAATGTTTATTTTATTGCAATTAAATATGTACTTCTAAGTTATCCTTTTTGCAATTGTATTTTGATCGAAGGGTTGTTGAGTATCATGTGGATGGGTTCCGTTTTGATCTAGCTAGTGTTCTATGTCGAGGAACTGATGGTTCTCCACTAAATGCTCCTCCATTGGTCAGAGTACGTTTTGCCACTGATGGTTGTGATCATTATTTTTCAAAATCTTCTCTTATGATTTTGTTCCCTTCCTTCTTCATCGTCATTTTAATTAATGATACAGGCAATTGCCAAAGATAGTGTACTTTCTAGATGTAAGCTGATTGCAGAACCATGGGATTGCGGAGGTCTATATCTTGTTGGAAAATTTCCGAACTGGGATCGGTAATTAAAACATGTTTCTTGATTCTTAGTGCATTTGAATGGACTCAAACACGGATGTGCCACAACTTGGGATTGCTGAAATTACTTTTATGGTAGTACCAATTAGGTGCAACAAATTTACAGATACATACTCCAGAGTGATATAAACAAATATTTCTGGATTTTTTCTCTTGTTTTGTTATTTTTCATTTTGTTACTAAATTTTCATCTTAGATGAATGCATGTATAAATACAAATTTAAAACACAATTCTTTTTTGGCTTACAGGTGGGCTGAATGGAATGGGATATTTCGTGATGATGTCAGAAGATTTATAAAGGTGGTGTTGCATTGAAATAATGGGAATTCAGTTGAAATTCATTAGTACCTCATGCCACAAGTTAAAAAGAAACAAAGAACTCTGATAAAAAATAAAAAAATAAAAAAGAAACAAAGAAATATTGTATGTTGCACATAAATGATAGTCATAATACCTCAGAAGGTAAAAAGTAATACAAATTGAATGTTGTAAAATTATTTTACTTGACTTCAATGCTAAGTTCAGCCTGCCGACAAAGGCAATTTCCGGAGTTCAGCCAGGATTTTGATAAAAACAACTATTCCTCCTTAAATATCCATTATAACCCGTTATCTTTTGAAATGATTCTTATTTTTTTTTATTCAATTTCAATGTAGGGTGACAGTGGTATGAAAGGAAGTTTTGCAACTAGAATCGCCGGTTCTGCTGACTTGTACAAAGTTAGTATTACACTATTACTTATTTTATGCTCGTGAAATTTTTTGTTCATCTATGTGGATCAACCATTGTTGATGGTATTGAACCTTAAAACCAGTTTTCTGATTTATCTTACTTTCCTGATATTTACAGAATTATACCCTTCTATAAAATTGATGACATTTACACTCATTGATAGGATAGTCAGGCAGATCTTTGATTTTTCCTCCTTTCTGTTTCTTCTTTATTGGAGACTAGAAGAATTTTTATTTGGGGGAGAGAATAGGGGGTACTAAAGTATTCAATAAAAACTCATTTGGTATTACAACCAGGCAGATAGCTCCACAGAAATAAGACCTTGATCTTATTATTGCTATACTATGACCCCCTTACTAATATATTATCCAACAGAAAATCAGATTGGAAACTTTTTCACTCATCCATAATCTAGGCAGCACTGTAATTAGTCATTTTTTAACTCATCTTCTGCTGTAGCTATTTCATTATGTTGGAATGGGGTGAGTTTTGAGCTCAAATTGTGAAGTGAAAATGAAATATGTTGAGCTCAATGACCAGCCCAATAACCATTACACATTCTCGGTTCCAGGTCAATAAACGCAAGCCATGTCATAGTATCAATTTTGTTATTGCACATGATGGATTCACACTATATGACCTTGTTTCATATAATTATAAGGTATCACTTACTGCTCAGATATCTACCTCAGTTTTGTCAATTTTATGATCAGGTTATGTTTATGGCCTCTTCTTTTCTGTTCATACTTTAGCATAATGATGCCAATGGAGAAGGTGGAAAGGATGGAAGCAATGTCAATTTTAGCTGGAATTGTGGCTTTGAAGGTAACTTGGATAATATATCTTATTCTCCATATTTGCACTAATACTGCTAAGTCAGTTTTATGCAATTTAGTTATTGCCCTATATGGTGTTCTTGATGGTTCCACACATCTACATGATGACTTAATTGTTGTTTTCTCGCTACGGTTTTTTCAGTGACATGATACAAATAAGAATCTTTTGAGACTTCATTAATCAAGATGTGATTTATGCATTCCAAGAGTGTGATTGCAGGAACTTATACTTCCAATTTCTATCAAGATGCAGTGTAGCTCTGAATTGATAATAATAACAAAATTAAAGAAGGGTAGGATAGGGGGCGAAATCATATTGCAATTATTGCCCTTTGCTAAACCTGTCTTTTAACCAATGGTAGTGTTCTGTAGTCCTGAATTTTCTCAGATCGGTAGGTCATTATTTTAGTATATTTTCATTATTAGTAACCTTTCGCTAAACCTGAAATTTGACATTACGTTGTTGAACTCTTTATTTTTTGTGAAATATAGAGGTCTTATTTGCCTTATTTTCACTGTTTTCTGCAACTAGTTAAGTTGATGCAGTGAGAGTGAGCCTAGCATTTTTGTCGGAATACAGTTTGTGGCCAATAGTATCATGTGATGGGTTTCTGTTGAGTGTATGACTTTTACGTTGTGCTAGACTACCTAATATGGCAGAAAATTCAGCATGCCTTTTACAGTGCTACCTTGTATAATTAGACTCTTTTAATATCAGGAGAAACTAAAGATGCAAATATTAATGCACTAAGGTTGCGACAAATGAAAAACTTCCATGTGGCACTTATGGTATCCCAGGTAAGTGAGATGTATCTAAGGCTCACATCTGATTTTCACCTTGTTACTTTGGACATAAATTATTTCCCGCATGAGGTTTCACTATATGTTAGACAGCGTTAGAATATATGCGCTGAGCACATGGGCTTAGTTTATGTATGTATGCATACTTTGTGTTAGGTAATGAATTGAGATTCTAGAATTCACAGCATATGTTTTTTTGATAACCTATTATTATGGTAGTACACAGGTTTTTTTTTATCCTATTTTAATTTATCACTTAAATTTGGAAGAAAATATGAATCATCAACTCTAACTATAAACATTTGTTTCAAAGAGAAAATTGCTATTTTGTGTGATTCTTGATCTTTGGATTCTTCTATGTTATAACATTGTAACCAAGGGAGTATTTGTACTGGGCATGGAATATTTGAAAATGTTTACTACATTTTTTGTGGCATTGTAATTTGTGGCACTAAAATATCTAAAAGGTTCTCAATGTGCAGAGTTTTTCTGAGATTCAGAATTTAGTCATGTTTTTTTTTTACAAACGTTGACAATTTATTTAAAACCGATGTTATCTAGCAGTCATAATCCTTTATAAAATGTGATATTACATTAATATCTGAATTGTTCTTGTGCCTAGGGAACTCCAATGATGCTCATGGGAGATGAGTACGGTCATACTCGCAATGGAAATAACAACAGTTATGGACATGATAATGCTCTTAACAATTTTCAATGGGAACAAGTATGTGTGTGCTTAATTTCATTTTGATGTGCCCTCTCTAATCAATTAACTGAAGTTGAAATTTGACGGTACAGTTGAAGGACAAGAACAGTATTTTTAGGTTCTTCTCAGAGATGATAAAATTTAGACGGGATCATGAGGTCTTCACAAGAAAAAACTTCATTGGCAAGGTAAACTATTCTGCTTATTGCACTTGAACTTATCTGTGAAATGAATTCTCCAGTAGTTACTATCTACTACTGTTGTTTTTACGTCAACATGTTCTTCTATTTTATGAAATAGATATATAAAGGAATGCAATAAAAGTACTGAATGTAGTTCTATATTCTAACATACTCTTTGATAGTGCATGTTTGAGATATTTTTTATATTTAATATATTTTGTTATGATTCTTTAAATTAGATTTTTTTTTTATTTAAAATTATTTTGTTAGTAGCTAAGTATGTCCTGTCTATATCATTCTGTAAATAGAGTATTGATTTTCATTAATTATAATATACAATTTGAAGTTCTCTTTTTATTATTTTTATTAAATCAACAAATTGTAATAACATATCCATGGAGTTTATATATCATTATGAGGTAGAGCTACTGGGTTCGGAAGTGGCGGAAAGTCTATCAAATCCAGTGACTTGGGAGGACGTAGATGAAGCAACTTAACCAAGTATTTCGAACCGAATGCCAATCCCTTTCCGCCTTATTCAGTACTTCATTGGCACAGTGTAGGTTTATTCGTGCAGCTGTTAAATCTCAATTAACTGTGTTAATATTCACTTTTAGTTCCTCAGAAGTCATGTCGATCCAACGTGACAACAAATTTCGATCATCAGACAATTCCATCTCTGTATCAAGCGTGCGATCCCCGCCATTGCAGATACATGCAAATTCAAATGCTGTTGGTATCAAGCGTTTCTATAGATTTGCATAGGCATATTCACGACAAGCCCGGAGGCTGCGGTCGAATCCCACACCATGTCTTCATATTCTTTTAACAATGAAATTATCAAGTGGGCCTGGCTGAAGTTTGGTGACACACTCGGATTCGAGCTCCACCGCCAAGTTTGATAATTTTATTGTTAAAAGAATATTAATGCATAGCATGGGATTCGTCCGAAGCCTGTGTACATGTCGCGAATATGTATATGCAAATCTATATAAATGTTTTGTTTTACCAATGGAATTTGAATTTGCAAGAATATGCAATGGCGTAAATCGCACACTTGACACATACGGAGATAGAACTGCCCGATGATCGGGAATTGTTATCCCAATGTATTGGCATGACCTCTGAGGAACTGAAGGCAAACATTAGCATGGTTAAGACGGATTTTGCAGCTACGCCGTGCCAAAAAAGTATTGAATAAAGCCGAGGTGGATTGGCATTCAGCTCAGAATACTTTGGCCTAAGTTGCTTCATTTGTGTCCTCTTTAGTCGTTGGATTCAATCACTTGCTACCACCACCCAGTTACTCTAATTCGTAATTATACATAAGCTCTATGGATATGTTATTTTTACTTTTTGATTTAATAAAAATTTATAGAAGGAAAAAGATCAGAATTGTATATTATTGTTAATGGTCTATTTATAGGTGTAATATAGTCCAGATAGTCTAAAATAATAGAAACCTAATCTAGAAAATCATTAACTAAGTATAGAAAATGTGTCAGCATCCCCTATCAAAACTCAAGTATTATAGTAGAAATCAACACGTAGCCAGAATCGTCCACTAAATCAAACTCAAAAGCAGGATTATCAATAGAGTTAGAGTCGCAGGATTATCCATGGAGTTAAGAGAGTATTTTGCAAATGTGGTGCTAAAGGAAACATAGAGATATCTGCCTGTATAATACCAAATGATATTATGAAAACTCTCTTTTATCCTTTGGCCTTTGCTTTTAATAAAAAAATTCATACTCTTCTTCACCACCTAAAGAGCAATACAATATCTTCATATACACTTTTTTCGGTGGCTTGGTGGGTTAAGTTTTAATTCATAAAGTGCACCTTATTGACTGTACTGATATGTTAATTCCTCCAAACAAATGTGCTATCAAAAGTTTTGGTTTTTCCTTGATTGCAGAATGACGTTACATGGCATGAGGACAATTGGGAGAACTATGAGAGCAAATTCCTTGCATTTACGTAAGATACATAGTTCATATTCTCTATCCATTCGCGAAATATGTATATCTTATTATTCATAAAAATGGCAAGCTGCTACCTAGAAACTCTGCTTGCATGAGCTTTAATATTTTTAATGTGCAGTCGATATTCTTAAGCATGTGTGCTACGAACTTTCCATCAAGGAAAGTCTATTAAACACAAATGGATATTGTTATGTTTCAGACTTCATGAAGGAAAAGGTGGAGATATATACATTGCGTTCAATGCACACGACTACTTTGTTGAAGCTGCTATACCCCCACCACCAAAAAGCAGGCAGTGGCTTCAAGTGGTTAGTTTTCTTGATTCAGATTCAACTTTGTTCCTTGATTGTGGCATAACGTACAAAATTTGAAACTACATTTCAATAGGTCACATACATAGTAAATTTACTCACCATCCTCCCCTCTTGGTTTCTTGATTTTTAACTCAAAAAATTTCATCTTCCTCTAGTTTCATGTCATTATGATAAAAACTGCAGGTGGATACCAGTCTAGAATCTCCAAAAGACTTTGTTCGGGAAGGCATTCCCGGCGTTACGGAGACTTACAGTGTGGCCCCTTACTCGTCCATTATTCTCGAAGCCAAACCAACATCCCCTGCTTCTGCTGCTGCTGAAAATGGTATGACTCGATGAGTATTTATTTTAGTCATGAAGCTTAAGTAGAGCATCATATGAAAAAATAAATTAAAAATAAATATCAGAAGCTCTTTCCCATCTGAGCTTATGTGTTTTGTGTTGTATTTAGAGGTATAATAATGTAATAATAAGGTTGGTAATTCTATTTATGAGATATGTTTAATTCCAAATTGATAGTAAGTAATAATGTACTTGAAATATAAGCATTGAATTTGTAGAGGATCCTGCCTTGCCTTGCCGTACACTTTCAACAATCCAAGTGTACATCGACATATTATCATTATATGTACTTAAATAACATAATGAAAAAGAATATTAAAATGTAGTATTATTAGTATATTCCAATGTAGCATATTTGTATATTAGACGGTAAATGCATTGATGTAGACTATACAGTAGGCCAGGCTTGACCATATATATGTACATATAATAATGTGTATGTGTATGTATGCAAGGAAGGAGTGAAGATGGGGGCGGGGTGGGGTGGAAAAAGACAAGAGGACAACTAAGAAGTGAAGTAGTAATAGTAGAAGTACATAGTAGATGATTCTGGAAATTAGAGGAATACTGTTCCTTTGTCTTGTTTTGTTTGCTTGGGAATCTTTCATCATTGTCCCTAGTACCTCTTTCCTTGGATTGGATTGGATTGGATTTGGCAGCCCTCTCTCTCTCTCTCTCTCTCTCTCCCTCTCTCTCTCTCTATATATATATTTTTTGATGAGATGAGATGAGAGATGAGAAGGGGCCTGTTTCTCTTTCTTTCTGGTAATCCCCAAAATGAAATGAAATGGATTGGATTGATATGATGAGCAGTAACTTTGTTGGAAGACCGACAGAATCCAGCAGCAGCAGCTTTATCGAACACTGCACCTCTTGCCATGCCATGCCATGCCAATGTATGATCATTCATTACTCCAATCCTGCCTCCTTGTGTTTTCTTGCCTTGCCATTTGCCAACGCCACCCACATTCTATTTATTAATTTATTTTAACCTCGCCGACCTGCCTACATTTCCTATCTTCTCTTCCATTAAGAAAACACACACCTCTCTATACTGTACATTCATTATGTAAATAAATCTGTGTATGGTTGGGCCTATTACTTCACTTGGTAATGCGCGCGCGCGCACATTACACAAACAACATTGTGGCTACACATACACTTATGTGGTATCCAGATATTGTGTGTGTTTTTTAGATTAAAATTTGAATTAAAATATTATTCCTTTAGTTTTTAAATAAAGTATATATAAAAATTAGTATATAAAACAAAAAATATATATTTAATTTAAGATAAAACAAAAAAAATTAATTCTTATGGCTAAAATGCTAAATGCTTAGGTAAGATAAAGTTCATGTATAAACATTAAAGTAATTAATTAAATAAATAAATGATCACAACGACCAATAACTCCTTCAACCCTAAAGATAAAACGACAACTACGGAATTTCAGTTTCAGCAGAGCAGACTCACACAAATGTGAACGCCGGTCAATCTATATTATATATATATATATATCTCACAAAATAATCGGAGGTGTCTATCAGTACGGCTGCCTACCCGCCGGCGGCCATACAACGTCGCCGGCCGGCTGGTAGTTGTACATCGAAACTCCACCGCCGCCACCTCCACCTGCCACCGCCGACTCATGTCTCCCATTTCCGCCGGCTGCCGCCAAATCCTGCTCCTCCTCCGTCTGCTGCAGCCGGTGAAAAGTCGGGTTGTTGAACGTAGCCGCCACCAGATAAATCGTGCCGGCGGCGACAAGAGGGGCCACCACCAGACCCCCCACCACCTGCCCGTGGGGCCCCGCCAGGGACAGTGTGAACATCCCGTTCCCGGCGGCGGCGTCCCCCCCGCCGGCTCCGGCCGGGAGTATCGTGCCGGAAATCGACAGTATATCGAAGCGACCGCGGCAGCTGACGACGGCGCCGGGAGCCGCCGACGGCTGCTTCAGAGTGACGTCGGTGACGATGCCGTTTCCGCTGAGGATGCAGAGGCCGATGCCGCGCTTCCGGGAGAACCTCGCCGTCGCCTCCACTATGTCGGCGCCGGCGGGGAGTTCGAGCACGTAGGGGCTCATTGTGGGCTCCGACGGCTCCCGCGCGACGACGACCTGCGACTTGGGCTTATTTTTGGAGCCCGGCGGCCGGCCTCGGGGGCGGCGGATGACCTCGATGCTGGCGCCGTCGTTGGGAACTGGCGGCGGGGGCAGGGGGATGCCGCTGCCTCCGCCGAGGGGGCTGTGGGATTTGGTATCGGTTTCCGGGGCGGCGCCGCGGTGGGACAGCGGCGGAGAAGGGTGGTGGGGGAATTTGGGGAACATATTGCAGGGATGTTAATGTTTTGCTTCTTATAGCAGCAATTTATTATATATATATATATGTATATAATATACGTACAAATGTGTGACTTGATTAATGTGGGCCGTTGGATTTGTTGGGCCTTTGGGCCCAGCATATGTAATCGAATTTTTGTGAATTTGATGATTAGTATATTTGGGTAAGAAATCATTTATTTGTCGTTAGCATATTGTTTATTTTAATAGAATGTTAATACTTTGTTAGAAGAAACTCTCATAAATGAAGAAAATTGTTTAGCTTATTAAAAATAAAGTTTGATATTAATTTAATTTAAACTTCGATTGAACATATAATCTTGGTAAAATGTTTTCACAGATTAGATTTAAGTATTCAATCAATCAATTATTATATAATTCACTTCAGTTCATTCAATTTTCACAAATAACATTTCTTAATATAAAAAAAAAAAAATGCATATACCAATTAGTCCTAATGAGCATTTTTTATTTTATTTTTCAAAAATCAGAATATCACAACACAACACAGACATACGCCCTAAACAAATAGGGGGGGGGGGGGGGGGGGAGACGAGGGGCATAATGATTCATATGTGAAGTGAAGTCAAAAGAAGTGTGGGAGGATGTGAAGTGATGTGCTGAAATCTATTAGAATCTAATAAAATTATAGAACTACTATTAATGTCTGTTTGCTTTTGAGCAGACAAACACAGAATAAGAGTTAGTAAGCATTTGCGGCTTCACTTTTCCATCTCCCATTCCCAAAATCAAAAATAAATTTATCTATCAGCATCATTACCAATTCACATACTGATAATAATAACACAAAAAACACCAAGATAATAGAACAAATTGAAACCAAATTCTAAAAAGCCACAACCATAGCATCCCATCCCGGGAACATTTTTTTTTTTTCTCTCTCAAGTCTTATCTTCTCAAGTGGATAGAGAGAATAGAAAGCAGAAGCAGCTGTGTGTGTATATATGTGTGCAACATTTACAAGGCACTGTGTTGATTCCTACCAACTCAGCCAAAATTGTACTGCGTATTCATCACCGATGAAATAATGCCCGAAACTTTCTCTCCAACTCATTATTTTTATGCAGGCAATATTAAAAACTAAAGTGGCATGCATGGAAGTGAATACCAAGAACCATGCATCGAATGATTGATGCCCCTGCACCGCTGATCCAAATCATGTGGTGGCCTTAATTCAGGGCTTTTCCGAGGATTAGGAATATCAGTAACAGTATTGACAAATCTCGGATGAACTTAGATCCAGTCAAGTGCTCGATCCAATGCTGCCACCTGTAAGTTCAACCAGTAGATAGCCGCTGGTAAAGCCTGGTAAAGATTACCACATTTTCACCATATTAAAGATGGTGACTAAAGTATCACTGTAATTAATTTGGGATACGTATATGGGCAGTAGAAATAGAAGCATCAAGCTAGGAACACATCATGCCATATGGGGAAATCATTTGCATCTGTACTGTGGTATCAAAGTCTCCCTAGCTAAGAAAAAGGGAATAGATGGAAGAGGGCGAAATTAGGTACGATAAGCATATGCAAATACAGACTCACCGACTGCCTTCAGCTGATCTGTTCTCATCATCAATTATTTCCTTTTCAAATTCCTCAAGTATAGTGCGTTGTCTTTGTGACACGGTACTGGAGAAAAGAAAAATTAATGCCAATATTATAAATATGTAGACCACATTTCTTCTGCATCATAATTAGTGTATACTTTATGGAATTAAGATACGAAAGTTTGTTTCAGAGCGGTTTCTTATCCCAAGCTCCATATGACATAGAGGGGCAAATAGAAACCTAGTTATAATTGCCTCTGCCCAATTAGATATAGCGAGATAATCCAAGCATGTAAAACCAGCATTCATCGTATATGGGTCGCTCATCCTCGATCAAAATTAAGACATTTTGTGCCATTTGCACCAAAAGGATGTATATCCTATATCAGCAGTAACTACAAGATATCAAATGGTGTGTTTAGTTGTGTTTTGAGAGTAGCTTCTTTTTTTTTAATTTCAATGTATGAAATTGTTTTGGATTTGAATTTGTTTAGTGGAAAATAGTAGTTAGAAATTATTTTACTCTGATTGCATAGTTAAAAAAAGGATGTTGCAAAGGGAAAGATATTGGTGTTTGTGTAATTTGCAGGTGTACCTACACTTCTAAAGTCAACTTACACACATTGGCAGAGTAATATCCAAACCATAAAACACCAAATTGCTATTCAACACAAAAATAAACTAGCATGAAGAAGGGAAATAAACTTACGACGGAAATCTTATGCAGAAACGCACATACAAATCTCCATGGTCCACAAAAAATCCTTGTCTTGGTAACCCTTCAGTGCATCATACTCATCAGTAAGCATACGGAAAAAGTGGGTTGTGACTAGCAAAATGAGAACAAACAAGAAAGTTTACCTTTGTTTCTTAGAACAACTAGTTGCCCATGTTGAACCCCCTTAGGTATCTGAAATAATCACAAGCAAGGATTTAAGATCATTAAATAAATCACTTAAGATATGGGTAAAAAAAATTTCAGCAAAGCAAAAAAAGAATAAGGGAGAGAAGACTGGAGTTTTGATGTCTCCTCGATCTCAGGAAAACAAAAGCTGCATGCTGTCATAACCCGATGAATAGACACAATCACTGGACAGTGTCTCTATGAGTAATCACTCCATTTCTTATTATCATCTAAAATGTATATGACATAAAAGCTGAAAAAATAAAAATTAAAGTGTAAGAATGAAAACAGATAAGCAATTGTTAAGAAACTTTTTTAATTTTATGGTGTATATCGAATTTTCAGTGCAATGCACGAATGCTTCCATTAAATTCAGAAAGGAAATTTAGAAAAAACAAAATCGTGAAATGATACACAGCACAGAGTTTGATTTCACAAGGGACCTGTGAAATTCATACCCGCATTTGCGTGTTCCCAGAAAGTGTAGGCACCTCAACACTACCACCAAGAATTGCCTGAGAGAAACAGTGAAACAAAACCAAAAATAAAATTGAGTCCTTTCCATCAATTAGCTATATCACATAGAATCTTCTAGCAGAGAATATAACTGCAAATTATAGATAGATGGTCACCTCATCCATGGTATATATAATATGTAATTATGTATATATATACATATATTCTAGACGTAAATAGAATGCACATAGCGCACATCAAAGACTTATTCAAGTTAATAGTATAAGCAAGAACATAAACCAAAAATAAAGTAGCTTTGAATACTCGCCAGCATTTTGACTCAATTCGAATCTTATGGCACGCCTATCAATGGAAAATACACCTAGTTATATGGCATTTCCCAAATAGATAAGAACAAGGGCTCTAAAGTCCCATGATTTACCTATGCAATCATCTGAGCGGAAGAACAGTTGGAGAAAAAAGACACATGATTAAGTAATGGGAAAAATAATAATAATAATAAATAAATAATAATAATGATGATAAAAAAAAAAGAAGTATACATTAAAATCTGAAGTGATTAAAAGCATTGAGAATGTATATAAATAACAACTATTGATGCTCCACAACAATTAGCAACTTTATTTACTGCAAAGACAACACAAAAAAATTCCTCATTTTATGGAGCCAAAACTCGGATAAGGTGCTAAACTGCATAAAAATAATTTAAATAAGCAGCACAACTCACTTCTGTAAAGCTAATATTAGCATCCACATAGAGGTCAGCACCTTCTCTGTTGAATACACGATCGGTTGCAACCTGGATAAAATACAAAAACACACACATATATATATATATATGAAAAGCTAATAAAAATTTGAAAACAACCAAAACAAATGACTGAAAAACTGGGGAGCCAGCCAGAATCCAAGTGGCGACACAAGAAAGTAAAAACAGTACTCAACCCAAGGAAACCACAAAAAGTAGTTCTCAAGGTGTGGCCTAGTAATATCCACAATGTGCATGTATATATTGCATTGATGTGATCAATCTGACTAGTTTGTCTTTTAGGAGAGATTATTCACTCTCTTTGTAGAGAGAAGCATCTTCATCCATATTAAAAATAACGCCCATTAAGAAACCACTAAATCATAAATAGTGTGTTTATTAAAAATAAAGGAAAATTATATATCCATAACAAAGCCTAAATATCCATAAAAAGGTAAATTATATATAGGATGATATATATATATATAAATAAAACTGAATTTAGAATCTAACAGTTCTAAACTACTAAAACATATTCTAGTAGACTTATAGCATTCACGACCAAACATTCACAAAGATGGATCTGTAATAAATACCAGCTCAGCAAGAAAAATATAATCAGATGAAAGTGGGGATGAAATATTTGATAGTAAGAGAGAGCACAAGAATAATGTTGCCTTTAAATTTATAAAAAGGTCACCAGGAGACTTTCCCAATCCACTGGAATTGCCAGCTTTTGGTACACGAATGGTATCGCCAGAATCCACACCTAATCAATTGAAAAGAAAAGAGAATCTGGTGAACACACATCATGGAACTTCTGTACAAAACCGCCAAAAGCTCCAGTGACACATGAGTGGAGATGAAGCAGAGATAATACACAATGACAACTCATCCATAATGCAAAAAAACTTGCAACTAAAGTACCAATGTACCATTATCCTGCAGTTAGTAGAAGGAAAGCTTTTAAAAGTAATTTCCTCCAGTGTTATATAACTATCACAATCAATATAAGATAAACTTGAAGAAAACAACCAAACAACCTTATAGATTATCTGTATGAAGAATTAATGTGGAACACACCTGCCGGTATGGTTACTTTGACATTCTTGATTCCTTCACACACCCCTGATCCCTTGCATACTGTGCAGTAATCCTAAACATGTTTGTGTTAGTTGGTTTTACTTTTTATCAAATGCTAAACATTTAAAATACAACTTAGATAAAGTAACAATTGGACCTTAATGATTTGTCCAGATCCCTTACAAGTACTGCATGTTGTGGTAAATGGTGGAATTGTTACCTAATAACCAAGACAGCAGCGAGAACAAGCCATGAATAGAAATTAGAATTTTCTGAGTCTTAAAAAATAGTCAGCATACTACCTAAAAAGAAAACAGGGTAACACAACTGTCTGGCAATAATTATTCAAAAATACTTGCCGTTCCTATGCCTCTGCAAGTAGGACAGATTCTAGTCCCAGCATCCAATGGGTGACCTCGGCCGCCTACATAAAAATACTATATATAAGGAAAGATCTTAAAATTCAGAAAGAGTATTGCCATTTGGTGCCACAGGTACAATAGGAAATTAGTTGCAATATTAATATATATTACTTTCCTTTCCTATTCCCAATACATATCAAAACACAGGCAAAGCTACCAAACAAACCCTTAATTTTTCAAAAGCAGTACTTTGCAACTAACGGCAGCAAAGGGGATTATGTTGTTTAGGTGGTCTAATGTACTAGCACAGATGAAAACAGGCAAGATAAAAGGCTATGAATTGGGTGATAACATTTTGAGAAGAATTCAATCAGGGCTAGTTTTGTTAAGACCATCAGAGCACAAGAAAGTAGGAGAAAATCAACTCAAGCTCCAAGTGTAAAGTTCACAGAATTGATTCATCTCATCTTACTGTAATTTAAATGATTGGGTGGAATATCAAACATCATATCACAATTTTTGCCCTAAAAGGATTGATTCAAGTTTTATTCTTAGGTTTCCCTCTTACCGCTTACCAAAACTGAAGAATAATCCACACATATTACAAATTTTAGTGTATTGTCAAGCATAAATCTGCCAAAATGGATATGGACATATATATATATAAACACATGTAAAAATGGTATATGTATGTATAACATAAATTAATCCCTTACTACTGTCCAGGTTAGCATGAAACTGAGGAGAGAAAAACTATTTCCGAACGACATCAGTCCTGATCAAACTAGCATATAATCAATAGCAACTTCTGATGCTACAACCCAGTCATATTATGCAATTGAACTCAAGAAGATTAACTCTCATTTCCAAACTCAGACCTTTTTAGGAGTTGGGACAGCTTATAAGGGAATTGTCAATTTGTCATGAGTATAATAAAACACAATTCTATGTATATAAACATTACAAATCTAGGAGATATTCCTGATAAAAATCCTCGAAAGTAGACTACAGTTTTAAGGTTGTTTGTTCAGATGGAGGATTTCCACATACTTTGGATGATGTGGTTTAGCACATTAACAATACGTTAGAGAGTAAAGAAATTTGTATATATATACGAAGATTGAAGATTAAACATAGTTATAAATCAAACTAATGAGTCTACTGGGAGAGAGTAACTAGGTTCTTAACAACAAATGGGCAAATAGGAAAATTTATACATTACTCACGGCAAGCTTCGCATGGCACATCTGCATTGAAGGACAAATGTTTTGTGCATCCAGTAGCAGCTTCTGAAAACTCAAGCAAAAGTTCCACCTGAATTAAAAACAAACATGACAGGCTTTAATTAGGAAACATAGAAAACTAAGGGTATTTTACTGTGTTTTGGTATTGTTTTGATGTTTTGAAGGTGATGATAGTTGTTGGATGCAATAATTGATGGGAGTTTGTCGATTGCATAATGCAAAAATAGCTTCGAAAACACAAGTAAACAAACCCTTAAATTTCAAGGTGCAACTTAGAACATAAATGGTTAACCTGAATATCACCATCCAGATTTTCAGCTTCATTTTCAAAAATCTGCATGATGCAAAAATGGTATTAGACCCAGTTCAACATTTTCCAGTGTGATAATAATAAAAGCAGGACCAACCACCTCATAAAAAATTTTGTGAAATGAATTAGAGAACTGAGTTCCACGTGCGTCTCTAAAGTTAGCATCTCTGAATTGATCCCATGCAGTGTCAGAAAATCCAGCATTCTCTGTCCTTCCCGTACCCTTTCTCAGCTGATTCAGAGTTATTGTTCTCAATATTTAACCGAGTATGTCAATAGATATTAAGCTAGCAACATTTAACTTAGCCAAATCAAAGTGATATCAGCATGCAGAACCAACCTAAACAAGAAAATCTTGTATGATACAATAAAAGAAACCAATAAAATTTGCATGATACCAGAAAATAAGGAAACGCTATACCCTGTTATACTGGGCTCTCTTTCCAGGATCTTGCAAAGTCTGAAATTACCTTCCACAATAATGTTATGCAGAAACATTAGAAAAGTTCCATAAAATTAACTGACTTATTAGCAAAATATTCACAAAACTACAACAAGCAGACCTCATATGCATCTCTGATCTCCTGGAATTTTCTCTTGGCTGACGGGTTGTTCCTATTAGCATCAGGATGGTACTTCTTGGCAAGCTACATAGTGAATATATATAACCAAGCAACAAAAGGGTACCAAATTGTAAATAGGTAGCAAAACTCTGTAAGACCATAATACAATGATGATCAAACCAGAACTTACAGCATGGAATGCCTTCTTAATCTCATCTGGAGTGGCATCCACGGAAACCCCAAGAATCTCGTAATAATCGCGATCAATGGATTGGTGAATTCCTGATATATAAAACCACCGAAATAAAAACTGGCATAAGATATCAACACCATACAAATCACGGAAAAACTAACTAGAATGCAACAGGTAAACCTGTGGCGTGGATATAGCGCTTCGACCATACAAGTCCCGAGGTTTCACATTCAGCTTGTTTTCTTACATTTCGACCCCAATGCGCGGAAGCTGAAAGTTACAGAGGCAGTCCACATTATTAGCTATCAACAATATGCTCTGCTGAAGCATCCTACCCGTTTTGGTAAACCAACATAAATAACTTACTTGAAGAGTGAAACAAGCCCAATTGAAACTGAGAAACGTTTTCCCGTGAAAACCCATCGGATGACTGCACATCAATCGTCTGCTGAAACAGGAAATAACCAAAAATGAAAATGACGCCAAGTTAATGGAGTCGATTCAACGGAATCAGAGCAAATACCAGAATTCTCCGCACGACTGATTTCGGGGAGAATGGAATCCACCTCAACCGGCTCATTCCCGCGAGGCTGCAACGAAACGAAGCGGTTTCTTTCTCCCTCTTTTCTAGCACGCCGCTTGGCCTTGCCTTGATGCCCAAGGTTGCTGGGCTCAGCTCGAGTGAGTCAGTGACTCGGCTTCTCAGCTCTCTTTGACCCGCGTATTACGAAAAACGATGTTCGTACATTTTAGGGTTGCGCTTGCGATGTCCAGTTAGCGGCGAGAGAAGAATCGCATACTAACTGGCGGCATAGTACGGATTAAGAAAAAATGATCCATCGGCTAAGCTTATTTTATTTCGGCTCACTCTTTATTTACGGTTTTAATTTTTTTTCACATATATTTATAAAATTATTTTTATTTGTTCATTATTTATATTTCTTGTACATTCCACATAATTTTTTTTAAAAAAATATAAGTATATATTTTAACCTCATTTAAAAATTTATAATATATATATTTTTTATTTTAATTAAATTATTTAATTATTTTAATTTTAATTTATAATTATTTTTATTAATACATTATAACTAAATTAATTTAATTGGGACAAAGAAAGTAATATTTATTAACATATTAATATTGGATTTGTATTATTCAATTTTTAATTTGATGTAAAAGTAACCATACGAGGTAAAATATAAATATTTATGAAAAATATATGTATTTAATAAAATATTATTTTTTAATTGGTTATCACAAGACTAATGGAGTAATATATTTTTTTGAAAAAAATTTGTTGAAAATTTATATAAAAAAGAAAAACAAAAATATATTGATAATAAATAGTACCAATGACACGAGGTCATAAGTCCAATCTTACACCATGCCATCCCTACGGACACACACCATTCATTTTTTGATTAAATAATGTTGATTTTGGTATGGGCCAAAGCAAACCCAAAGTCTAGGGTGTTTTTTATTCATTGGATTTTAGTTTGAAATTACTTTGTTATATTATTAGATATGCAAATTTGTATTAATAATGTAAAATATATATTTTATATCGATCTTTTCTAAATAAAAAAATGAATTATATAATATATATTTGTATAAATAATATATTTTATAATTTATCGAAAATTATATCATTCGAAAAATATTGAATAAGCAAATTATTTATTTTGTATATGAATAATAATACTCAAATTCAAAATTTACAAACAAATATGATAGTGATTCAATACATTTTTTATGTATCCATAGGTACTATATTGGATTTGAATTAGATTTTGGACGTGTTTAGCAATTAGCTGATAGCGGTTAACTGTGAGCTGTTAGCTGATTTAATTAGTTGATTTGACTAGCTGATTTGATTAGCTGTTTGTATTAAAATGTTTGGTAAAACAACCGTTTGATATTAGTTGTTTATACGACAATTAAGGACATTTATATTTTATTATTGTTTCTAATATATTCAATTATGTTTTTTTGAGTTTAGAATGTTTAAAATTTTTTGTTATTAGTTATTGAAAATCGTAAAAGTGTTATAAAAGTATTTATTTTTATTACAGTTAGATTTTAAAAATAATATATTTTTATTAAAATATATAAATAGTTTTTTTTTATTGAAAATGATGTAAAATATAAAATAATAAATTTTTCGTGTATATATTTATTATGTTAGTTATCGATTAGTTCATTATATTTATAATTTTCAATAAATTTAATTTATTTTTAATATAAAATTTATATAATACAAAAATAAATTATTAATATTTATCTTTTTTATTTTATGTTAATTTTAATAAATTTATATATTTTACAATTAAAAATAATTTTTATATAAAAATTAATTATTTAAAATATATAAAAGTAAAACTATAATATAATAAAATATTCTAATATAATTAATAAATAATCAAAATATATTTATTTATGTAAAATTTATAATAAATTTTTAAGGACATATAAGAAATAAAAAAAAAATTTCCAGAGCTATTTCAAAACGCCGGTAAGTTAGTTTTTCAAAAATTAACTTTTTGGATAAAAAGTTATTCAATAAGCTAAAAACTTTTAAAAAAGTTATTTGCCAAACACCCCTTTATATCAATCCATATTAATTGACTGCTTCCATTATATTGTTGTTAACAAATACCACTATTTTTCATTTTGATTTCCACGGATTTAAACCAATTTTGTTTGGATCTAAGATCACGCTTTTTCATAAAATTTTAACTATATTAAACAATTAAATATCTTCAAATGGACTGTAGTCTATAAACTTTTTAAATAAAGATATTTGTTTATTTACTATATACACTATTTTTAATAAATTTATTATATATATATTTGTTTTCTCAATAGCCATTTCTAATAAAAATTTGTCCTGTGCTATTTCTATTATTATTATTATTATTAAAATAAGACCAATCCATACAACTAGTATTTATATTTTTTTAAAAAAAAAAGAAAACAAAAAGTTTCCCTACAAAGGACTTATCGAAACCATCCAATACGTTTAGCAAAAAAACAAAAAAGCACATTAGGGCAGAATAGAGGGATCAAAATGCAAAACCGCCTTTGCAAGTGAAGACTGAAGAGACGCTACGCTGCGCAATAGTATTTTGCAGCCCTCTCATTCAAAAGGGGCGTTCAGTGTGTGTATATATATATCTATGCAGGAACCCTTCCTTGCTTCTTCTCCAGGGTTACATCACCACCATAGCCTCCACCTTCACCTCCACCTCCGCCCCACCAAACCCACCCCTCATCTCTCTCCTTCTCGGGTTTTCCCCTCTGCGTCTATCTATTTCCGCCATACGTAGTTTTACACACTTCTATTCTGTACAGTGCAAACCCTTTGGATGTGCAATCGCCCGCTGAGGTTTGGATGGGTAGCCTTCTTCACAAAAATTCAATCTGTTTGTGAAATTTAATCGCGCGATATGTTTGCTTTGGATTTTCTTATTAAATCTTGACCTTTATTTGTTCGTCAGATTACTAGGTTTTAACGATTCCCTACATTTTCTCTGTTTTTGTTACAGTCAATAAGCTAGCGGGCGGTGGCAAAAATGGCGAGTATAAGATCGAGCTTGCCTTCAAGGCTTCGGCAACTCCTTTCGAGTGAAGGAGCAATCGGCCCATCGATTAAACTTGACCCTGAACCAGTATGCTCCTCTTATCTTCTTCTTGTTTTTATAATTTTTGTTCAAGTTACGCGTAGGGCACGCCTGTGAAAATTTTTAATGTGGAGTAATGGTCACGTGCCTATGTAAATCACTAAACAGCGGCTGACGTGAACCATATCTGCTTATTCTATGTTTTGGGTCTGGAATTTATTGGAGTGTGGGAGAATGGTTTTGATTTGTGATTTGAAGAGATTCCCGGATGCATTTCATCTTAATTACATTGGGTGCTGAATGGGGATGGTTTGAATGAGCGGAAAAACTGGGTTTATGCTAAAGGAGGAAATTTTGAAACAGCATGTTTATCTACATCGTATCTGGATCTTATTTTTTTATTACGACAACGTATGCTGTCAAGGTGTCCCTTGGTTGTATAATTCAACTCTTTATATCTATGCTGTTTGAATTAAGAACTGTATATGATTTCAGCATACAATAGGTTTTGTTTAATATTTGTTTTACCGACTCAGATCCTGGCATATAAGGCCTGTGGAAACAAGAAGAGTCCTGTAGATCATGATTTGAGTTCCCATTATAATGATTGATATTTGATAGTTTGCCTTATAAATTCATCCCATAAGATTTTGGACCGACTAAGCTATATAAAGATGTGGTAGCATGGAGAATTCTACTACCATGCCATTCCTTTTAGTTCTGTTTCCCTAGTCGATTTAAGGTGAAGTAAGTTTCTATAGTTAGACCTGAAGAAGTTAGTCGGATAAATTTTACGAACTGTCATTTTTACTCGTGTCGGTAGAATTTATCTATTGTGTTGACATCATTTAAAAATCTCAATTATTGAAGTAGAGAGTGAACTATAATTTAACTCGGATTTAAGCCAGAAATGGTTGAGGCCTATTTGTATCTTTTGTTGTTTATTTGGTTTAGTCCATGTTTTGAGCACCCTTTCCATGATCATTTAAATTCTATTTTAGTCAGTGCTGGCTAATCATTGAAATTGCTGGGATATTTGAGTTTTCCTACACATTCTGCCACATTCCTGTCTTTCCATGAACCCTAACTGTGTTTTCTCTTGCAGCCTGCAAATATAAAGGAGTTTGTGGACAAGGTGATTCAATGCCCACTACAGGATATAGCAATCCCGCTTTCTGGTTTTTGCTGGGAATATGGCAAGGTGTTTGATGTTTGCCTTTCTATTTTTTTTTTTTTTTATATTCTGTTTTCGTCTCTTTGTTGTCTGCTGATGTCTTTGATTATGTTACAGGGAAATTTCCTCCACTGGAGGCTTCTATTTCTACATTTTGACACATATTTCAAGACATATATATCTTGTAGAAATGATCTCCTTCTATCAGATGAAGTATTAGGAGATGTCACGCCATTTCCAACAGAAGCAGTTTTACAAATTCTGAGGGTTATGCGAATCATTCTAGAAAATTGCCACAACAAGAGTTCTTTTAGTGGTATAGAGGTAAACTGGTGATTGAGTGACATTATTTTTCTTTCATGGTGTGATCTTTTTTGATTGGCACTGATAATATTAGTCCAACCTGAGCACAAACTTTGAAATGTGTATATATGCATATTTTCTTCATCATTTTTTTCTTCTTTTTTTGGTAGCATTGCATGCATTTGGTTCTTTATCGCTGGCCTGCAAAAAACTGTTAAATGATTCTTATCTTTGGTTTCAGCATTTCAAGCTGTTGCTTGCTTCAACAATTCCTGAAATTCTGATAGCAGCTTTAGAGGTCCTTTCTGCACTTGTGAAAATAACCCCATCAAAACTGCATGCTAGTGGAAAGATGGTTGGGTGTGGGTCAGTGAACACCTGCCTTCTATCCCTTGCTCAAGGCTGGGGGAGCAAAGAAGAAGGTTTGGGCTTGTATTCGTGCATTACCCTACATGAGAGGAACCAGGAGGATGGATTATGCCTGTTCCCATCAGAGAAAAATAATCAGAACAACTTGCAATATAAGCTGGGTTCATCACTTTATTTTGAGTTGCACAGCACATCCACAATCATGGACGGTAGTGATGGCTCAATTTCCTCTGGTACAAGTATGATTCACCTCCCGGATACGCAATTACGCACAGAAGATGAACTGTCACTTATGAAGTCTTGTATTCAACAATACAATGTGCCTCCAGAGCTTAGGTTTCCCTTGTTAACCAGAATCAGATACGCCCGTGCATTGCATTACTCCAGACTGTGCAGGCTCTACAGCAAGATTTGTCTTCTTGCTTTTGTTGTGCTTGTGCAGTCTAGTGATTCTCACGATGAACTCGTTTCTTTTTTTGCGAATGAGCCAGAATATACAAATGAACTGATTAGAATAGTAAGGTCTGAGGAAAACATTTCTGGAATCATAAGAACAGCTGCAATGACTGCTTTGGGTGCACAATTAGCTGCATATTCTGCATCTCATGAGAGGGCACGAATACTGAGTGGATCGAGCATCAGTTTTGCTGGTGGGAATCGTATGATTCTTCTTAATGTTTTGCAAAGAGCAATATTGTCATTGAAGACTTCAGCTGATTTGTCAGCGTTCGCTTTTGTTGAAGCACTTCTGCAATTTTACTTGCTACATGTTGTATCTTCTTCAAGTACCGGAAGTGTTGTTCGGGGATCTGGGATGGTACCGACCTTTTTACCCCTTTTAGAGGATTCAGATCCAACTCACTTGCATCTTGTCTGTTTGGCTGTGAAAACTTTACAGAAGCTCATGGACTACAGTAATACAGCTGTTACTCTTTTCAGAGATTTAGGTGGGGTAGAACATTTGGTCAACAGATTGCAGATTGAAGTACATAGAGTGATTGAATCTGAAGGGAAGGATAGCTCTATGGTCATTGGTGAAAGCTCGATAAACGGTAATGATCAGTTCTATGCCCAAAAGAGATTGGTTAGGGCTCTGTTGAAGGCGCTTGGTTCTGCGACATATGGTGCAGTAAATCCGGGAAGAACACAAAATTCTTATGATGTTTCTTTGTCTCCCATTTTGGCAATGATTTTCAGTAGCAAAGAAAAGTTTGGAGGTGAGATTTACTCCTCTGCTGTGTCTCTCATGAGTGAAATGATTCACAAAGACCCAACATGTTTTAGTGTTTTGTTCGATTTGGGTCTTCCTAGCGAATTTCTGTCCTCAGTTGTGGCTGGTATACTTCCTTCTTCGAAAGCTATTACATGTATTCCAAATGGTCTTGGGGCTATTTGTCTCAATTCAAAGGGCCTGGAGTCTGTGAGAGAAACTTCTGCTTTACGCTTCCTTGTTGACATTTTTACTGACAGGAAGTATGTAATGGCAATGAATGAAGGCATTGTTCCTTTGGCAAATGCTGTGGAAGAGTTATTGCGGCATGTATCTTCATTGAGGAGCAGCGGCGTTGATCTGATAATTGAAATTATAAACAAGACAGCATTGCTTGGGGAGACCGAATTCAATGCACCATTGGGAAAATCTGATGGAAATGATGCAATGGATATGGATTCCGCAGAATCTGCAGATAAGGAAAATGCAGGCGGTTGCTCGCAAGGTGCTATGCCAGATTTGTCATCTCCAGTCATCAGTGATGAGCAATGCATGCAGCTTTGCATTTTCCATGTGATGGTACTTGTTCATAGGACAATGGAAAATTCTGAAACTTGTCGTTTGTTTGTGGAGAAGTCTGGTATTGAAGCTCTAGTAAAGCTTCTTTTACGCCCAAGTATTACTCAATCATCTGAGGGAATGTCCATAGCATTGCATAGCACGATGGTATTCAAGTGTTTTACACAACATCATTCTACTCCTCTAGCTCGGGCTATATGTTCTTCACTACGGCATCATTTGGAAGAAACCTTGACTAGGATCAGTGCTGTATCTGTATCCTGTCTTCTGGACCCTAGGGTTGGTCCAGATCCTACCATATTTTCTTCCCTCTCCCTTGTTGAGTTTCTATTATTCCTTGCCGCTTCAAAAGATAGTCGATGGGTAACATCGCTGCTTGCTGAATTTGGCAATGGCAGTAAAGATGTTTTGGAAGATATTGGCCAGATTCATCGTGAAGCTCTTTGGCAAATTGCATTGCTCGAAGAAACTAAGGCTGAAATCAAGGACGAATCCTCAGTTAATCATAATGCTTCACGCCATTCTGATTTGAGCTTGAATGATTCTGAAGACCCCAGATTAAACTCTGTCAGGCAGTTTCTTGATCCCTTACTTCGAAGACGAACATCTGGGTGGAGTTTTGAGTCCCAGTTTTTTGACCTTATAAATTTGTACCGTGATCTTACTCGATCATCAAGTCTCCATCAGCGACAGATTGTTGATCCTTCCTCCGATTTACAGTTGGAAGGCAATCGGGAAACTCATCAGCCTGGTTCTTCTGACTTGACTGAATCCAGTACCAGGAGGGATGAATCCAATCAGAGATCGTACCGACAATCTTGTTGTGATATGCTCAGATCATTAATTATTCATATCACCCATTTGTTTCAAGAGCTGGGAAAGGCGATGGTGTCTCCATCTCGTCGACGGGATGATTTGTTAAATGTTTCTCCTTCTTCAAAGTCAGTGGCTTCTACCTTTGCCTCTATAGCCATGGATCACATGAATTTTGCAGGACAGTTAAATACTTCTGCATCTGAGGCCTCTGTTTCATCTAAATCTCGATATTTTGGCAAGGTTATAGAGTTCATTGATGAAATTCTTCTGGAGAAACCTGACTCGTGCAATCCAATTATCTTGAATTGTTTGTATGGACGAGGTGTTATTCAGACAGTCTTGACTACATTTGAGGCTACCATTCTTTTGCCTTTTTCCATCAGTAGAACTCCTGCTTCACCTATGGAGACCGATGAGGGGAGGCAAAATGAGGCAGAAGAAACTGACCACTTGTGGATTTATGGACCCTCGGCCAGCTATGGTAAATTTATGGACCACTTGGTGACCTCATCCTTCATTTTATCTCCGTTCAACAAGCATTTACTGGCTCAGCCTCTAGTAAATAGCGATGTTCCATTTCCTCGGGATGCAGAAACATTTGTGAAAGTCCTTCAATCCATGGTACTGAAGGCAGTGCTTCCTGTCTGGTCTCACCCGCGGTTCCCTGAATGTAGCTATGAGTTCATTACGACTGTGGTTAACATTTTTAGGCACATTTTCTCTGGGGTGGAAGTGAAAACTGTTAGCAGCAATGTGGGTCGTTTAGCTGGTCCACCACCAAATGAATCAGCTATTTCAACAATTGTGGAGATGGGATTTTCCAGGTCTCGAGCAGAAGAAGCTTTGAGACAGGTTGGTTCAAACAGTGTGGAGCTTGCAATGGAATGGTTGTTTTCACATTCAGAAGAGACTCAAGAAGATGATGAACTTGCTCGTGCACTTGCAATGTCTCTTGGGAACTCTGGATCAGATGCAAAGGAAGATGTTACAACTAAAGCTAATCAGGCCATTGAAGAGGAATTGGTGCAACTACCTCCAATTGACGAGCTTTTGTCAACATGTAGGAGACTGTTGCAAACGAAAGATACATTAGCTTTCCCTGTTAGGGATCTTCTTGTGTTGGTTTGCTCCCAAAATGAAGGCAAGGAAAGACCAAGAGTAATTTCATTTATTATTGAACAATTGAAGCTTTGTGGAAACATATCCGACAGTGGGAACCAGAAATTACTCTCTTCCTTTTTCCATGTTCTTGCTCTTGTACTTAATGAAGATGTAGCAACACGAGAATTAGCTTCTAAAAGTGGTTTTGTTAAAGTTGCATCAGACCTTATTCTATGTTGGAGCTGCTCAGATGATCAGGAATCACCTCAAGTACCAAAATGGGTGACTTCTGCTTTTATTGCTATTGATCGGCTTGCTCAAGTTGATACAAAGTTAAATGCTGATATTCTAGAGCATCTAAAGAAGAAGGATACGGGCAGCCAACCACCTGTCGTTATTGATGAAGACAAGCTTAACACAATGCAGATGCCTTTCGGGGCACCATCCAAGTATTTGGATTTAGAGGAGCAAAAGAGACTTATTGAAATAGCTTGCAGTTGCATAAGAAAGCAATTGCCTTCTGAAACAACACATGCTGTTTTGCAACTCTGTTCTACTCTCACTAGAACTCATGCAGTTGCTGTAACTTTTCTGGAGTCTGATGGTCTGCGTTTGCTTCTTTCCTTGCCGGCAAGTAGCTTGTTTGTTGGCTTTGACAATGTTGCGGCTGCTATAATACGCCATATCCTAGAAGATTCTCAGACCCTACAGCAAGCAATGGAATCTGAGATAAGGCACAGTTTTGCTACTGCTGCTAACAGGCAATCTAGTGGAAGGCTTACACCTCGGAATTTTCTGACAAGTTTGATTTCAGTTGTTCAGCGCAATCCTGTGACCTTTATGCAAGCTGCCAAGTCTGTGTGCCAAATTGAGATGGTGGGTGAGCGACCATACATTGTACTAACAAAGGATCGTGACAAAGATAAAAGCAAAGAGAAAGAAAAGGAGAAAGATAAAGCAGAGGAGAAGGAGAAGCAAACATCTAATGATGTGAAGGTATCCACTGGCGGTACAATTTCAGCTCCCCTTGGCTCTGGGCATGGGAAGATTCCTGATGCAAATTCCAAAATTTCAAAGACACACAGAAAACCTCCTCAGAGTTTTGTAAATGTAATTGATCATCTACTGGACTCAATAATATCATTCGTACCTCCACCTTTGGAAGATGAGTCTGTTGTCAAGGTTGGCTCTTCCTCAGACATGGAAGTCGATGCTTCTGCGAACAAGGGTAAAGGAAAGGCTGTTGCTTCTCCATCTGACTCGAGTGAAGTAAACAACCAAGAATCCTTTGTTTCTATGGCGAAGGTGGTGTTTATTTTGAAGCTCTTGACGGAGATCCTCTTGATGTATGCTTCATCCGTTCATATTCTTGTGCGGAAAGATGCTGAAATTTGCAGTTACAGAGGAATTCCTCAACGTGGTGGTGTACCTTACTGTACTGGTGGTATCTTCCACCAGATTCTTTACCAATTTCTTCCATATTCAAAGAGTTTCAGGAAGGAGAAGAAATCAGAAGTGGATTGGCACCAAAAACTGGCTAGTAAAGCTGGTCAGTTTCTAGTGGCATCTTGTGTACGCTCAAATGAGGCAAGGAAAAGGATCTTCACCGAGATCAGTATTGTACTCAATGATTTTGTTAAATCTGTTAGGGGTTTTAGGGCACCAAAACCGGAGATCCAGGCTCTTGTCGACTTGCTAAATGATGTTTTGGCTGCTCGCACACCAACGGGATCTTACATCTCCGCAGAAGCTTCTGTCACTTTTATAGAGGCTGGTCTTGTGCAGTCACTCACGCGAACACTTCATGTGTTAGACCTGGACCATACAGATTCGTCAAAGGCTGTGACTGGAATTGTGAAGGTTTTGGAGTCAGTCACCAAGGAGCACATTCATGCTTTTGAGTCTGTCAATGGAAAACTAGAGCGAATGCTAAAACCTACAGATCCTAGTGGGCCCAGGGAAGGAAATACTGGTAGATCACAGACTGTTGATGCCACAACTAATGGTAATGACAACTTACTACCAAGTGACCAGATTGATTCATTTCGCACTGTCCAGAACTATGGTGGTTCTGAGGCCGTTACTGAGGATATGGAGCATGATCAGGACATTGATGGGGGCTTTGTGGCTGCTGAAGATGATTTCATGCAGGAAAATGCTCAAGACACGCAAAATCAAGAAAACGGCCTTGATTCTGTGGGCATAAGATTTGAAATTGGTCCTGCCACCCAAGGGAGCCTTGATGAAGAGGAAGATGAAGATGGAGATGCAGATGAAATGTCTGGTGATGAAGTTGATGAAGATGAAGATGATGAGGCTGATGATGAGCACAATGATATTGATGAAGATGAAGCTCATCATCTGCCCCACACAGATACAGATCAAGATGATCATGACATTGATGAAGATGAGTTTGATGAGGAGGTTATGGAAGAGGATGAAGATGAAGAGGATGATGGGGATGGTGTTATTCTCCAACTTGGAGATGGAATGAATGGGGTAAATGTTTTTGACCATATAGAGGTTTTTGGCAGAGATAGCATCTCCAGTGAAGCTTTTCATGTTATGCCAGTTGAAATTTTTGGCTCCAGACGCCAGGGTCGAACTACATCAATATATAATCTATTGGGAAGAAATGGTGATAACACTGCACCTTCTCAGCATCCACTCCTGGTGGAACCATCTTCATGCAATAGTGGGCCTCCAAGACAATCAGGTGACCATATTGTGTAATGGTGCTTTATGTTTCATGAATGATCTCTTTGCAACTTGAATACTTCACTTCAGTTCAGTTGTGGGGTCTTCCAATATTTCCTATAGCATATATTCGTTTTGATACATCATCTAGTTTACCTTACACATTCTCTTTTTACAGGAAATGATCGTGGTACTTCGAATAGGAACCCTGAGGGATCCTTGTCACGGTTGGATTCAGTTTTTCGATCACTCCGAAATGGGCGTCAAGGACACCGATTAAATTTGTTGGCTAATGAAAGTCAACTCAGTGGTGGATCAAACTCTTCTGTTATTCCTCAAGGTTTAGAGGATTTACTTGTTTCCAGCTTAAGACGGCCTTCGTCTGAGAAACCCTCGGACACTTCTGCAGCAGTTGAATCTCAAATAAAAAATGAAATCACTCCATCCCCTCAGTTCACTGAGACGCAGGCTGAAAATCAGAGCAGTGCTGGAGATGGTATTGTGCCTCCTCCATCTATAACGACATTGGATAGTTCTCAAACTGCTGAAAGGCCAATTATTGCTAATAATTCTTTTCTGGGAACAGAAACATCAAGTAGGCCACCTCAGTCTGCTGAAACTCAGTATGATCAAAATGATGTATTGCGTGATGTTGAAGCTGTGAGTCAAGAAAGTGGTGGAAGTGGGGCAACCTTAGGTGAGAGCTTACGGAGTTTAGATGTTGAAATTGGAAGTGCTGATGGGCATGATGATGGTGGTGACACCAGAATGAGGAGAGTTAATCCATTATTTGGCAACAGTTCATCTTTAAGTGGGAGAGATGCATCACTCCACAGTGTAACTGAAGTTACAGAAGATCCAATCCGAGAAGCAGATCAAAGTGTCCCTCCTGAGGAAGAACAACACAATCATGATGCGGAATCTATTGATCCTGCTTTTCTAGATGCACTTCCCGAGGAGTTGCGGGCTGAGGTTCTTTCTGCTCAACCAAGTGAAGCTCCACAGTCCCAAAATCCTGAGCCACAAAATAATGGCGATATAGATCCTGAATTTCTTGCAGCGCTTCCTCCTGACATTCGTGAAGAAGTTCTGGCACAACAGAGGGCGCAAAGGATGCATCAATCCCAAGAGTTGGAAGGTCAACCAGTTGAGATGGACACTGTCTCAATAATTGCAACATTTCCTTCAGAATTAAGAGAAGAGGTGTCTTTTCATTGACTTCTTTGTTTTCACTTCTGTCTTCAATAACATTGTGGATTGAATAGTTTAATTGTAACTTGTGCTTATATTTTCTCACTTACTTCCTGCATTCCAGGTTCTTCTTACTTCCTCTGATGCTATACTTGCAAATTTGACACCTGCTCTTGTTGCTGAAGCAAACATGTTGCGTGAAAGGTTTGCACGCAGGTATAACCAAAGTTTGTTTGGTATATATCCCCGAACCCGGAGGGGAGACTCTTCCAGAAGGGGAGGTGATGGCTTGGACAGGGTTGGCAATGCCCTTTCACGTCGATCTCTCGGTATTAAGCCAGTTGAGGCAGAGGGCTTGCCTTTAGTTGACACAGAAGGTTTGAGAGCATTAATCCGGTTGCTTCGTGTAGTGCAGGTATATTGCTTAGTTTGTTCTAATGTCAATCAATATGTTCCTGCAGTTGGTGTCCTAACTGAATTAATTTTTGGCAGCCACTTTACAAGAATGAATACAGACTTCTGTTAAACCTCTGTGCTCATGCTGAAACCAGAGTTGATTTGTTGAAAATATTGATGGACTTGTTGATGTGGGATGTAAAAAGGTCTCCCAGCAGGGTGAATGCTTCAGAGCCCCCCTATAGGCTTTATGCTTGCCAAAGTCATGTGATGTATTCTCGACCTCAATGTGTTGATGGTAAGAGTCTTTCTCATCTTTTATTGAGGCATTTTTAAGATTCCAAATGAGCAAGGCAACAACTCAAGGAATATATTGGCACACATCTAAGAGTTACTGTTTATAGAAATCTAGATATGAATGTATACAACTGCATTAACATTTAATACTAGCCTTAGTTTTAGTACTCCCTCAATATTTTATATTTTATTTCATCTTTTAGGAAGGATATTATGTATGTATTTATTGCGATATTATGCAGGCGTCCCACCTTTGGTGTCCCGGAGAGCTCTTGAGACTCTCACCTACTTGGCCCGCAACCATCCTTTGGTTGCAAAATTACTTCTTGAGTTCAGATTGTCACAATTTAGCCTTAAGGAGTCATCGGATTCTGATGGCAAAAGAGGAAAAGCTGTTATGGTTCATGATGACAGCATGTTAGAGAAGTCCGAATGCCCAGAAGGGCAGGCATCTGTCACCTTGCTGCTAAGCCTCTTGAATCAGTCACTGTATCTGAGAAGCATAGCTCATCTAGAGCAGGTCTTGATTTTCTAAAACTCTAACAAGTGCTCTTAGAATAATACAATCTAGATCAAAAAATTACTTACACATGCTTTTGTTTTGTGACAGCTCTTAAGTTTATTGGATGTCATTATTGATAATGCTGTGAAGAAATCAAATTCATCTGATGACCAAGTGGCATCTGCCTCCCAGCAACCTAATCCTCAGGTTTCTACATCAGGTTCTGAGATGAATATAGTTTCTACCTCAGCTTCTGGTGAGGGTACTTCTACCACATCAGGATCATTTTCAGATGCAGAAAGACTAGAAAGTGCCCAAGTTATTTTGAACAATTTGCCAAAACCAGAACTTCAACTTCTATGCTCACTTCTTGCACGTGAAGGGTATGCTGAAATTTATGACTTATCTTTTCTTCTCTTGACATAATGTATGGTGTGTTACATGTAACACGCCTTGGTTTGATTTGGTGTTTGGGTTTCATTGCACATTCATGTTCATCAATATTAAATCATTACCTATTTACCTTCAAATTCCAGGACCGTGGCGGATCATGTGTGACAAGTTCTTAATAACTAGATCTAATGTTTTTTCTTTTTAAATCATTTATCATTTGTTATTTTTGCTTTCTAATTGAGTTAGATATCTATCTTTTTTGGATGCTTCTTTATATGTAAACTAGAATAGCTAAAATTTTGTACAAGATACTTTTTAAATTCTTGTTAAACTTATATAGACTCATGCATCGAACTTACTTCTTCTTGCCTAGCTGCATTTTATACCAAATAGGTTCCCTTTAACTTTACTCTTGAGAAATTTCTTACAAGCATGCTTTTGTGATTTTTTGTTTGCCAGATTATCAGATAACGCATATACTCTTGCCGCAGAGGTGTTAAGAAAATTGGTGACTATAGCACCCAATCATTGTCATCTCTTTATCACAGAGCTTTCTGGTTCAGTTAGGAAGCTAACTATGTCTGCAGCTGAAGAATTGTCCGTATTTGGGGATATGGAGAAAGCAGTCCTTAGTACTGCTACTCATGGAGCCCAAGTTTTACGGGTCCTACAAGCTTTGAGCTCATTAGTTTTTATAATTCTTGACAAGGACAAAAAACATAATATTCTCCCTGAAGTTGACCATTCTGAAGCTATATCTCTTGTTTGGGATATCAATGCAGCACTTGAGCCCCTGTGGCAGGAGCTAAGCAGCTGCATAAGTAAAATAGAGAGCTATTCGGATGTGGTACCAGACCAATCATCATCTTCAGTTAAACCATCCAATTCAATGCCACCACTTCCTGCTGGTACCCAGAATATTCTGCCATATATAGAATCTTTCTTTGTAACTTGTGAGAAGTTGCATCCTGGTCAATCAGGCACTGCCCAAGATGTTGGTATTAATACTGTATCTGATGTTGATGAGGCTGCTGCATCAGTTGTTCAGCAGAAGACTTCAGGACCTGCTATAAAAGTGGAAGAGAAACATGTTGCTTTTGTTAGGTTCTGTGATAGGCACCGGAAGCTTTTGAATGCTTTTGTCAGGCAAAATCCTGGATTACTTGAGAAGTCCTTTGCACTCATGTTGAAGGTTCCTCGGTTCATTGATTTTGATAACAAGCGGTCTCACTTCAGATCCAAGATCAAGCATCAGCATGATCACCATCATAGTCCTCTGAGGATATCTGTAAGAAGAGCATACATTCTTGAAGATTCGTACAACCAGCTGCGTATGAGATCTGCCGAAGATTTGAAGGGTAGATTGACTGTTCATTTTCAAGGGGAGGAAGGAATAGATGCTGGTGGTCTCACCAGGGAGTGGTATCAGTTGCTGTCTAGAGTAATATTTGACAAGGGGGCATTATTGTTCACAACAGTCGGGAATGAATCCACATTTCAGCCAAATCCCAACTCTGTTTACCAAACAGAGCATCTTTCATACTTCAAATTTGTTGGACGAGTTGTAAGTGCTTTTCATTTTCTGTAGAATAGAGTTCTTGTGGTGATTGTCTAAAGCATTTGCATATATTACAGGTGGGGAAGGCACTATTTGATGGACAACTCCTCGATGTTCACTTCACTCGGTCCTTTTACAAGCATATTCTTGGTGTTAAAGTAACTTATCATGACATCGAAGCCATTGATCCTGGTTATTTTAAAAATTTAAAATGGATGCTTGAGGTTAGTCATGCTCTGCTATTTAGTTCTGTAATGTACGTAACCCTTAGTTCAAGTTTGCATCCTGAATGCAAATGGTGAGCATTGATCCTATTTCTTTTTTCATCTGTCTTTTCAGAATGATATAAGTGATGTTTTAGACCTAACATTCAGCATTGATGCTGATGAGGAAAAGTTGATTCTGTATGAACGAGCTCAAGTACGTAGTTGTTTTTACATCTATGATTTTCTTCTTGTCAGCCTTTTTTCTGTGTTAAACTAATCATATTCTGTTATGCAGGTTACTGACTATGAACTGATCCCTGGTGGTCGGAATATCAAAGTCACAGAGGAAAACAAGCACCAATATGTTGATTTGGTTGCTGAGCATCGATTAACAACTGCCATTCGTCCCCAGATAAATGCATTTTTGGAGGGTTTCAATGACCTAATACACCGTGACTTAATTTCAATCTTTAATGACAAGGAACTGGAACTCCTGATCAGCGGTCTTCCCGATATTGACTGTAAGATTTCAGCTTTCTTCTTTATTCTGGCATTATTTTTGGAACAAATTTGCCATATGGAAAATGCACCAACAATTGTTCTAATACAACTCGTAAATAATGCAGTGGATGATTTGAGGGCCAATACAGAGTACTCGGGCTACAGTGCTGCTTCACCCATCATTCAATGGTTCTGGGATGTGGTTCAAGAATTTAGCAAGGAGGATAAGGCTCGCCTTCTACAATTTGTCACCGGAACCTCAAAGGTACATTTGTTAGTCATTTGACCTTTCTTATATGTTTGGATTTATGATGGATAAGTTCCTAGATCTCTTGTGGATTTATGCTTAGGAGTAAAGACTTTTCAAGATTCCTGCTATGGCTTTCTTTTGATAATATGCTATTGATATCATCCCAATGATTCCTTTCGAGAAATTTGTTCTTTCCATGGTATTGATCTGCTCACTGCTACTTTGGAGCTGCTAGAAAGTATATGTCAATTTTTTTATAAGGAAAATGTTTTTGTACACCCCACCACTTTCTGTATATATTGTTTTTGTATCCCGTTTATCTTTTTATTTGGCGGCAAAAGTATCTGTGGAGTTGGTGACAATTATCCTTTTTCTTCCTGTCTTTTCAATACAGGTGCCTCTGGAAGGATTCGGTGCACTACAAGGAATTTCAGGATCTCAGAAGTTTCAGATTCACAAGGCGTATGGCAGTGCCGATCATTTACCATCAGCTCACACATGGTGAATCTTTGTCAAATTATCTGTTACTTTTGTGCCTATTGTCTTATATAACAGAATCTTTCTCATCATTTGAGATGACATATCTGTTTATGATCAAGGAATAGAGTTTTAACACTTTTAGAACCGAACCATGCAGTTTCAATCAATTGGATCTACCTGAATATCCTTCGAAAGAGCGGCTGGAGGAGAGACTGCTGCTTGCCATTCATGAAGGCAGTGAAGGGTTTGGATTTGGTTAAACGGCGCCATCCATGGTATCGTATCGATCTTTTAAGTATAAAAATAGAAAGAAACTTCTGGCTGTGTATAGATGACATGATATATATAATTATATATATATTTCATGTGCAGACGAAGAGATTATTGATTTGGAAGAATTTGTTTCTGCCTATGAATGATAGAATGTGGGGTGGGGTGGGGTGGGGGGTGATTGGTGGTATACAATACTCTTTACTACTTATTTACTGTATAGTGAAGTCCCGTTTTGGCATTGTTGCTTGTGGCGGGTTTTGCACTTTTTTCACCGCCTCTTCCATGCCGCATCATTATTATTATTTTAACCATCACGTATTCTATTGCTCGTTTAGTCTCTTTACTACATTTATATATATATATATATGTATATATATTCCTGCCTTTGAACTGCTTTTCATTTTATTTTTACAAAATAAAAATAAAAAATAAGAAATGCTTATATAAATCAAATTTTGATTGTAATTAATGACTCCTTTGAATTATCAGCTAAATATTTGTACAAGATTAATGATATTTTTTAGACATTCTTAAATATAAATACTAGCTAATAAACAGTACTAAGGTAATTTAAATCATAGATAAGTTGAATACATTTAGTTATTATTATAATAATTATTATTATTGATGTTGTATATTTAAAGGGAGCATAACTATATAAACAAATTTGAGCTCTTCAGAATATTTTGTGGATTTTTCTTGAACTTTCCTATTTTGTTGGATAAATTTGTAGCATCTTTTTGGACATTATTATAATCAAGTTCGAACAGGCCGCCACCTCTCATTGTCATATTCAATTTTATTTATCATCCTCCCCCCCTCTCTCTATCATAAAGTGTCGATTTATTACACTGTACTATAACACCATAAAACCATACTGGATAAGAACACGTTCAAAAAATTAAAATACATGTTGTAGAAAGGATTTAGCTGTGGTAAAATCCAAAAATTATTGGATAGAATTATTATTGTTATTATTGAAAAAATAATAATAAAAGAGGTCGAAGTTCCCACTTCCCAGCCGTCAAAATGAATTCATTATAAGAATAAAACATAAACAGATATACTTCTGAACAATAAACAAACTAAAGAACAAATGCCACAAATTGTCCAACATACTTGAAATAAATCAAATATCGAAAAACATTCAACAAACCTCTCCTCTCTCGCCATAACGTCGTATGCTTAAATATCATCCCAACACACATCACATATACGCATATCTATATCAAATTCTATATATATATATGTATATGTATATGTATATGCACCCACTAGAGTGCAACGTAGAGAAACAAGAGTTTCCCTCTTTATTCTTGTCTCCATCGACGTGGTTGTCGCCGGAGGTTCATAACTTATGCACACACACTAGTAAAAAACCAAATGTGGGGTGGGGGTAGGTAGGGAGTAAGAAATTTTTTTCGAAATCTTACATTTTAGGAGGCTCAGGAAATACAGCAGCAAATGCTCCTATTGTTGTTTCCGGCCAGTCCCTAATAGCCGAGCGGACTTTGGGAGCCAAGCCGCCTCTTCCTGAGGCGCTCGGCAATGATAAATGCCAGCTCAAGAGACTGCGACGCATTGAGCCTCGGGTCACAGTGAGTGTGGTAGCGCGAGCTCAGGTCGTCGAATGTCACCGTTCTTGATCCTCCTATGCACTCTGTCACGTTCTGGCCCGTCATCTCCAAGTGCACCCCTCCAGGGTGGCTTCCTTCTTGCTCGTGTACATCGAAGAAAGCTCTTACTTCGGCCTGTAAATATAAGAAAAATGTGTTTTGTGATAATCTACCAAAATTACAAACATAAATGCTCTATTTACTTATGTTTTCAAATCACTTTTACCGCAATTCATCAAGAATACATTTTTGGAAAAAAGTCCCATCAAATATACCTAAATCACAAGTGATCTAAAAAAGGTTCATTCAATCATAATACTGTTATTTTATGGTAAGTATCAATTAGTTTGAATAGTAAGTCTTTGGGCATATCCACAATTCCACATCCCACCAAATCTAAGCATTATTTTCTCTAAAAATAACATCCAAATTTTCGAGGGTCCAACAACCCACCTACCACGGTTGGTGTAGTCCCATCAAACTCAACGAAAAGGGCACTTAACTACCATCAGAGAATATATAAAGAATATATAAGTGCATCATCCACTCTGTCCACTCTTACCTACTTTTATCAAACTTTTGAGTGCAACACATTTTTTTCAAATTCTATGGGCCAAAGAAACACTCCACTTTGATGAATGAATTAAAGAATTCTTCATAGGAATAATCAAGAAGCAAAAAAGGCTAATAATTGAATTTAACATAAGCAATAAAAGCATTATACTATAGATAAACAAGAATAATAGCTAGAACCACAAGGGGGATCGAGCAAATTACCCTGATAGAGTCGAAGGGGCGAGTTTTTAGGCCGCAGGGAGCTTTGATAGTGTTTCCATGCATGGGATCCGAGACCCACGTAACGATCTGCCCAGCCCGACGGACTGCCCTGATCAAATGAGGAAGCTTCACCCTCATGTTCTCCGCTCCCATTCTTGTAATGATGGTAATTCTTCCCGGTTTGTTTTGAGGATTCAAGATTTCAATAAGCTTGATGAGTTCATTAGGATTCATTTTGTCACTCACCTGAGAAGCAAATTATTAAATATTAGTAACTCTCAAAATGCAATTAATAAATGAACACCATTAATGCCGAAGACAACCTTGATCCCAAGGGGATTCGCGATTCCTCTCAAGAACTCAACATGAGCTCCATCCAACTGTCTTGTTCTTTCTCCAACCCAAAGGAAATGCGCAGAACAATCGTAGTACAGGCCGGATGTTGAATCAAGCCTAGTCAGTGATTGCTCGTAAGGCAAGAGCAAGCACTCATGCGACGTCCAAAACTCAGTCGTCTGCATTACAGGATGATCCATTGTGAGCCCTGCAGCTTGCATAAATCCAAGCGCCTCATCGACACGATGAGCTAGCTCACGATACCTGAATTGCAACAATTCAACCACCAGATATCAATAACTACACATTTCCATATATATATATATACATATGGAATGCTCAAATTAAAATCTCAAGTTGCACAGCATCAGATATACCTATCTCCCTGCTCGCTGTGCTCGGTGAAATCCAAGTTCCACTGAGTAATCCTCTGCATTGCAGCGTATCCTCCTGTTGCAAACGCCCTCAATAGATTGAGGGTGGCGGCAGATTGACAATAGGCCCGGATCATCCTCTGAGGATCGGGGATTCTTGACTTTTCGTCAAATGAATCTCCATTGACGTTGTCCCCTCTGTAGCTTGGCAACTTCACACCATTCTTCTCCTCGAATGGATCTGACCTAGGCTTGGCAAACTGTCCGGCCATTCTTCCCACCTAAATTTGCAGCCAAGAAAGTTCATAGTTCGTATTGATGAACAATAATTAGACTCAATCGTTCTACAGAAAATCGATTGGAATGAGCAGGAATCAAAATCTAGCTACCTTGATAACAGGCACTTGGCCACCGAACATCAAAACAGCGCCCATCTGCAGAAGAATTCTGAAAGTATCCCTGATGTTGTTAGCATTGAACTCCTTGAAGCTCTCGGCGCAGTCACCGCCCTGGAGGAGGAAGGCATTCCCCATGGCGGCATCGCCGAGGCGCTCCTCGAGGCTCCTGGCCTCTCCGGCGAAGACAATCGGCGGGAAGGCGTCGAGCGTCCTCAGCACCGATTCAAGCTCCTCCTGATTCGGATATTCCGGCAGCTGGAGCGCCTTCTTCGTCTTCCAGCTCTCCAGCGACCACTTCTTCGACGTCTCCTTAGTTTCAACGGCAGAGGCGGCGGAAGCCACCGCCGACGCCGACGAAGCCTGAGGGGCAACCGGCGTTTTGGGGGGACTCGAATCGGCGGAATGGACGGCCGAGATCGGGCGCGCCACGGATCTGACGGGCACGAACGATGCAGCAGCGTGGAAAGGCGATTGCGTGCGCGAAACGAGGCAGGATTTTGAAGGAATCAAAGAACTCTGAGCGGAGAGCGCCATTGTTGGTGAGGTTTGGTGAGCGATTGGGCGGGGAGGGAGTCGGTTGGTAGCCCTAGAGAGGAAGAAATCAAGGCAATGGGAATGTAGTATTTATAGGTGGAACAATGGTTGGTAGAAATGGTTGCAGGTGAGAGATGGAAAGTGGAGGAAGGCGGCAGTGGCCGTGCTGGGTGGGGGCGGGGGGAGGGGGGTAGGTAGGTTCAGCCGGTGGTTGGGGGTAGGGATGAAGAAGACAGGTGGTGGCGTACGGGACTCCAGGTATCGGGAGTGCGCTGCGCCGCTTGCGGAGGTAGTTGAGGGTGTTTTGGTAAATTCAAATGGTTGACGATTAGTCAAATTAAATTTTCTATTGTCGTAGTTCTGCTTTTTACCAACTTTTTTTTTTTTTTGTTGTTGATTAATAAAATAGGATATGCTGAAGGTTATTTGAGGGTATATTCCATTTTCTTGGCAACATGTTCTTGGAAAGTTACTTGCTTAAGGAAATTTAACCATGTACATTCAGAATTTTTACATTATATAATAAATGAGTTTTAAAGTAATAAAATGTATTACTTCCTCCCAGTAAATTAATTTATTTGGATTATGAATATAAATAATAATATCAACAGCAATATCATTTCTATTGTAATTATACATTCTCTTATGTGAAAATTTGTGTGTGTGTGTGTGTTTGTGCGTCTTTAACGAAGTTTCGTTTTTTTTGTCTTTTTTTTTTTTTTTTGTTTGATTAGATTTATTGTTTAAACAGTTACTTAAACATAATTTTTTATTAAAAAAAAATATTACTATATTTTTATCTAAAATATTATACAGTTAAAATATATAATATAATAAAATGCTGTATTGGAAAACGACCAACTAAATTGGAACGCATTTATTTGTAGGCAAGCCACATGAAAATGGACCTTGGTTGGACCTAATTCAAATGGACTGGACCAAACCTAGCTGGTTTCAGCCCATTCTAGGAACTTTAACCAAACTAAAATGATGTTTTCCTAGAAATTTAGTGGTGTATTTGTTTTTTATTTTTATTAAAAAAATATTATTATTCATTTTGTATGATTTTGAATAAGGATATAGTTATTGTGTTTTTTATAAAATTATCGAAGAAAATATAATTTAAATCAACATTACACTTTAAATAAATATTTAAAGGATGTTTAAAATATGTTTCATAATGTTTTTGATGATTTAAATCATTTTTATAATATGAAAAATAAATATTTAATAAAATAGAAATAAATAATGAAGCCGGTCTTTTGTAAAAATATATTAAAAAAACAAATTCTATTGAATGGAAAAGAATAATAATAATCAATTTTCTGTGGAAATTTTACATCTGCAGGCAATAGTACACAACAAAAAATTTTACGTCAAAGTGAAACACGACTTCGTCGTAGGGTTGTACAGAGCCGGCAGCAAATGCCGGCGCCCTTTAACGCCGTGCGCATTGTAGCTGCCGCCGGTGGCGGGGTCCTTCAGCAGTTCTCCGGCGTAGCCGGGGTAGGCCCCCTTCCCGAAGATCCCGGGGCAGGCCGAAGAAGCCTCCAACGGCGCCTCCGGTGGGCCCTGGTAATACCCGTCGCCGAAAGGGTTCGTCGCCGTTCCGGCCAGAAGTCCGGCCAAGGTGACGACCATGCCGTCGACGCCGACGTCGTTGTTTGGCGCCACCAGCGGCGGAGTCTGCGGGCCGTAGATCGGCCGGTGGAACGGCCAGGCGCATTGGCCGGGGCACTGAGTCTCCGAATTGCCGACCCAGATGTACGGAATCTGAAGATTCTTATTTTTCCGGCCGCCGGAGACTGCGCCGTGCGTCCCGCACCGGCTGGAGCAGAATCCCTCGACGGCGACGTCGGAGGAGGTGAGGACGACGTTAATGGAGTTAGGTCGATCGCCGGCGTGGGTCACCGCCAGGCGGCGCAGCTGCCGGGCGGTGAGAGACTTCCCCAGCGAACAATTCTCGTCGGAAACCTGTTTTCCCAAATAGAAGGACACGGAAGCGCCGCCGCGGCCGTTGTAGTAGTAACTTTGGGCAGTCCTCCACCACGTGGCGGCGGATGGCTGAGCCTGATCGGACGGCGGGGATTGCACGGCGGCGATGAAGTCTGCGACGACAGCTTTTTGGGATGGCTTGAATCGTCCGTACCAGATGAGATTGACGGCGACTCTACCCGTAAGAAGTTTACCGTTGTGGTATTTGAATTTGAAGACCGTTGGGCTTTCCGGCGCCGGCGTCAGTACTCTGGCGACGGCGAAATTGAATGCCGGCAGCAAGAATGCAAGAAGAATGAAGAATCTGGAGGCGGCCATGGTTGTGACAGAGAGAAGATAATTGATTGGTGATGAAATTGAGAATTAGGGCAGAGAGAAATATATATAGGCGGGAAATCGGCCATGGACGGGGAGGGGAGCTTCGAGGAAGGAGGAGAAAATGAAAAGGTGCACAGCTTGAGCTTGTCTGTTCCTGTAATGATTATTAATACACGTATAATAAACTTTGGGCGGTTGAATTTAAACCCGGTACACACGTTTTATTGGCTTTCTTTAAGGGGCACCGGGGAGTTCGACGCCAGATACGTTATTTAAGTCTTTAACTGTGTCTGGAGCTAAGGTCCTGGGAGTGCTTCGTTTTAGTGGAGGGTCTGACCGTGGCGGTTCGGCCCGCTCCAGACGCAACTCAACTGAATCCAACCTATTGATAATTGATGGATTCCTTCAATTAATTATTGTGATATTTAATTAAAATTTTATATTTTTTAATTAATAATAATATTTTCTTTTTTTTTTCTAAGGAGAAAAGATTATGATGGTAAAATAGTGTTCGTAGTTTGTTTTAAAGAATAGACAATAAGATTTTATGAATTAATTGTGTGAAATTAAGATATAATGATGAGAAAATTTAAGTTGTCATTTACATTTAAATTTAACATAATAATAAAATTGTGATTAAATAGGGGAATAATTTGTTGAAAATAAATAAATAAATTAGAATAGTGGTTTGGGAAGGTATCGGCCACCTGTGTCAGCTTTAAAACCCAATAAATTATGAAAATTGATTGAGGGGTGGGTGTGGGGGCGATAAATAAAATAAAGAAGAAAAAGTCAGAGTTGGGCTATCCATAATCCATCCCGCCGAATCCAATACAATTTATTAATAATCAAATAATATTACTATTAGTATATCTATCTTATTGGACAAGATGACAAAATCATGTCACGTGATTATTGTGTACTAAGATTATTGCCATCTGACAATTGTATAAACAATGATCATAATATTTTATTTTTATTATATTAATTTTATTCATGTATGATCTATTTATATATGAGATGTTGTTATCACCATAATATTCATTTAGTATATTAACAATAATCATATATAAGCAACTGTTTTTTAAATAAATAGGGAAATGAGAAGAAAATTGTAAAAATAAAAAAATTTAAACATATACTAGTATTATTTTGTGCCTTATGGCGTATTAATTAATTATTATCATGCCAGTGTAGAAAACAAGGGCACCAAAACTGCGCTCATTATGCACAGCTAATTTTAGGTCAAATTGGATGGAGAGATGATTTAGAGTTTTATTCTAATTTTTTATTTTGTAATTATTGTATTTTGAATATATATTTATAATACATATATTATGTTGTTTTATATAAAATGTTAACTTTTCATTAGTATGTAGATTAAATAAAATGATAAATGTGTTTTTGTTTGGGAGTTTGGATTTTGTGTTGGAATTTAATAGTAAAAATTTTGAATTTAAATAGTTGTAAAATTTATATTATATTAAAGCAGAGTAATAAAATCAAAATGATTTTTTGTTTCAGTTAATTTAAATTTATAAAGATTGAAGTATAAAAATGATCACATTGTTTCGATTGTGGGGACCAATTCTCAGTCATTTTATCGTGTAAAAGTACAAATTTTAAAGAAGAAATATATCTATAAAATTCACTACTCAGATATATAAAGCAGACAAAAAAAAAAAAAATCTCAAAAATTTGGCTTACATTTATCCCAAAAATAAATGAATCGAATCAATACATTAAGTAGTACTGCCCTCTCCCTCCTTAACACACACTCACACACTATATCATTTATCTTTTCTCTGTAAATAAATAATTATAAAATATTAAAATATATGTCTCTCACACCAAAGTGGAGCATTTGGATGTGGCAGGATCGTACAACGCCGGAACCAGATATTTCCGGCCGTTAACCCCGACGGCGTTGTAGCTGGCGCCGGTGGTCTTGTCCACCAGAAGGTCGCCGGCGTAGCCAGGGTAGGCGCCTTTGGCGTAGACTCCGGGGCAGGCCGACGCCGCCTCGAGCGGCGCCTCCGGCGGGCCCTGGTAGAAGCCGTTGCCGAAGGGGTTCGTGGCGGTTCCGGCCATGAGGCCCGACAGGACGGCGACGATCCCGTCGACGCCGACGTCGTTATTCGGCGACACCAGCGGCGGATTCTGAGGGCCGTACACCGGCTGGTGGAACGGCCAGGCGCAGTAGCCGGGGCATTGGGTCCCGGAGTTGCCAACCCAGATGTACGCGAATTTGAGGCTTTTCCGGCCGACGGCGGAGCTCCGGGAGCCGTGGGCGCCGCAGCGGTTGAGGCAGAAGCCGGTAACGGCGACGTCGGACGCCGTTAGGACGACGTTGACGGCGTTAGACCGATCGCCTTTGGAGGCCAGCTGGACGATGTGCTCGTCGGAAAGGGATTTTCCGACGGAGTAGTTCTCGTCGAGGATTTGCCGGCCGAGGTGGAGAGAGAGTGGGTTTTTGGAGTTGGCGAGGTGGTAGTATTTCTCGGTGGTCTTCCACCACTCGGCGACGGAGGGCTGGCCGCGAGCGGCGGCGGCGGACTTCGCCGCCGGCGAGAGGGAGTTTATGAAATCGGCGACGATGGCTCTCTGGGACGGCTTGAATTTACCGTACCAGATGAGATTCACGGCGATCTTGCCCTGTAAAAGCGCGCCGCGGTGGTATTTGAGGAGCTGGTTGTCTTCTCCGGCCGCCGCCGCCGCCGCCGCTACATTGACGAGGATGGACAGCAAGGCCAAGAATTTCACTGTAAGAAAAAGATGAGCCATTTTTTAAGGTGGGGACTCCAATGATATGGGATTTTGATTTGATTTAACAAGAATTGATTGATTGTGAGCTATGTGAAGAATCGCAGTGATATTTATACAAGAAATGGGGAAGGTGCTGAGAAAGAGGGGTGCATGGGTTGCGTTTAATTACTGTGGGGCGATCCAGGGCGTTGAATTTAGAGTGTCTAGATTGGACGGTTGAGATTTCCCCAAACGCGGGACTCCGAGACCCAACGGCTAGTGTGGCTTGGAAGGAAGAGAAAGAACAAAAAGCATTACAGCTTGATCCATGCTTTATTACAGCTTGCTTACCTTTGGACCATTAAGGAACAGTGCTTGAAATACCCAAAATGCCCACACATCCTTTCACAAAACTGTGCGTTTTGGAATGGCATTTCGGGAAATTCCGTGTGAGAAATGGTAAGGGGAAGACGTTGGCGACAGGCTGGAGGGTGTGTAGGGTTATGGGGTGGAACATCGGGACTTGTGATCCACAGTGGTATCCTATGAATAATAATAATTAATATTAATAATAATATTTGAATTTATTTTGGGTATGGTAAGGATAGAAAAGCTTTTAAAGCATGAAAGAAAGTACTCGTGACTTGGAGCTTTTGTCCAGCTGGATCAAGCTAAGGGTTTGAATTTGACGGTGTGGATGGGGCTGGCGCAGAGGTCCCGGGTGCTGGGAGGAGTGGAGTGCGTGTGGGGACAAGAAAATGCCTTTTATTATTTATGGGAAACAGTTGTTGACAGACAGGAGAGGACAGGTGATCCATTCTTTCAAATCCAAAACGCGAAACTATTTCAAAATGTTATTTAATGTAGGGTTGAAATATTGGGTCACTTTCGGGACCAACCAAACCAATGGGCAAAGACCTACTCTACTGCATTTGATTCTTACCCTGTCTAATGCATGTCCCCGTTCTATTACAACACGCAACTGTTTATTTTGAGGCGTGTTTTTTAAATTTTTAATAAAATTTTATTTAAATTTGAATTTAAAATAATATTTTAAAAAATTAGGTATAGTATAAAAAATAAATTATATTCATAAATATACAATAAATATTTATTTATATCATATAAAAATATTTCTCTCCGTCCAAAAAATTTAATTCATTTCTACTGTATTTTTATAAAAAGTGGGATTAAATTTTTCCACAAAATATTAATTAAAAATATATTTATCGTTAAGTAAAAAACAAATAAATAAATAATACACTCTATTTTTTGAGAACCAAAATATTAAAATTCTAATACTCCCTTTGTTCACGGTGTAATGTCAGGATTGTTATAAATATAATAATTTAAAAAATGTATAATTAGTAAAAATACAAATAAATTAATAATTATATATTAGAATTAAATTAATTAATTAGTATAATTATAATAAAATTTATAAATTTAAAGTTTAAATATAATTAAAATATATAATTTTTTTAAAGAAAATAATATGATATATATAAGACCAAGAGAAATAAAAGTATAATATAATATATGAGATGAGAAAAATAATATTGAAATAATACAATGAGGACATGCTTTTGCGAATAATATAATACTCCTATGTCTCAAACACTCTGTAATATTTTTTTTTATTTGTTCCAAATTCACTGCAATATTTCCAAATTTAAAAATAATTAATACTCCCTCCGTCCCACGTACCATGTCCATGTTGCCGTTCCTGTCCGTCCCACGTACCATGTCCATGTTGCCGTTTCTGTCCGTCCCACGTACCATGTCACTTTCCTTATTTGGAAAATAATTATTAACTTTAATCTCATTTTAAACATTTTTAATTTTTTAAAAATTTTAATTAAACTAATTAGTTATTTTAATCTTAATTTATAATTATTTATATTATAGGATAATTATTTTCACTAATACATTCTTAATTATCTACTAATTACATCTCTCCTAAAATATCTTGTCTACAGTGTAGCAGACATTGTATGTGGGATGAAAGGAGTAATATTTATATACATATATTAATATATATTTCATTTTATCCCATCACATCACTCAAATAAAAAAAATAAATAAATATTTCTCTTTTCAATCACATCATTTAATATCCAAATTACCTCAAATTATCATACTTAATATTCTCCACCTAAATTCTCGTGTCAAACACAAATATTGCACGATGTTTTGGACTGAGGGAGTACTTTGTATATATATAAAACAATCTTATCCACTTTAAATGTTACATTTACTTTAAAAGTATTGTATTTAAATAGTACTTCATATGTCTCACATATTTTGTTCGGTTTACTGTAGACACGGAAATTTAAAAGAGATATAATTAAAAATATATTAGTGAAAATAATGATCGTATAATAAAAATAATTAAAAATTAAGATTAAGATAACTAATTAGTATAATTAAAATTAAAAAAATTATAAATTAAATTTTTAAAAGTAATATTAAAATATATAATTTTTTTAAAAAAATGACAAAATAAGTGAAACGAATGAAAATTAAAAAGTGGATATGAGAAGTGAACAGGAGAAAATAGTTAATTATCCATCTTGCTGTGTAAGAACTTTTTCCTAAAAAAATAAAATATATAAAAGAAAACATATAAAAATTAATGAGAATATAATGAAATCATTGCAAATTATGTATTGATATAAAAACTATCATGTCATATGGTTAATCAATTTTGGGTAATCAATTTAAAAAATATCATGTCATGGTTGATTAATTTGACTAATTAATAATCCCTTCGTCTCACATACCATGGCTACGTTGTCGTTTCTATCCATCCCATGTACCATATCATTTTCTTTTTTTTGGAAAATGATTATACACTTTAATTTCATTTTAAACTTTTTAATTTTTTTTAAATTTTAATTAAACTAATTAGTTATCTTAATCTTAATTTATAATTATTTATATTATAAGATAATTATTTTCACTGATGTATTTTTAATTATCTACTAATTATACACCTTCTAAAATACCGTGTCTACAGTGTAGCAGACACGGCATGTGCGACAGAGGAAGTATAATATTTGTAACAAACTATTATTCTAATTACTTTGTTTGTATGGAATAAAATATTATTTTTCTCCGCTAAGTTTGTGGATAATCATTTTGTGGTGTACAAGGTCATCTACTTATAATTTTATTTTAAAAAAATAATATTTAATTTATCATTATTTATTTATTTATTTATTATATTATTATTATTATTTTAATAATACCCTCTATTTATTTTTATTTATCACATTTTTACATTAAAAGATTATTATTTTATAGTTATCGTACTCGGACATTGTTGCATAATTAGCTAATGCGGAAAAAATAATTTTTATTTAAATTGTTTTATGCTCACTATTTTTTCAATAAAAATCATTTTTCTGAGTTGTAAATCAATATGTTCAATTAAATAACAAAAGATAAATTAAATTATAATAATTTAACTACACGGAAATGAAACTCACAGTAATACAAATTTTAAACTAAACAATACTTTACATAACATTTCGCAAATTTGATTGTTGCAAGATATAGTTCAGTACAACATATCAAAAATTATACCGAATATCACATAACGTATCAAAAATTTTGATACGATATTTTATCGTACCAATAATCCGATATACTTAATTGCATGTGAACAGTGTTATAATATATTTTTTATGTTCATTACAAAAATATACATATTTTAATTTAAATCGTTAAATTACAAAATAACTATTTTTTTTAGTTAATGTGAACCCCACTTCATATATTATTCTGTCATGTTACAGATGAACTCAATTTTTTTTTTTTGGTACGTCCCACAAAAGATGTCTCATTTCTATTTTTTTTTTTTAAGTTTATCAATTTTAAACATACTTAACAAATATAAATTAATTTAATTAAACTTCTAACCTCTTACACTTAGGATTCACTCAAAACCCCCTTTATTTCTATCTCTCCTCAATTAACAAATATTTTTATCTACTATTAAAACTTCTCATTTTTTATAAAAATTAATTTATGGTAATGATAAATAAATAAATATATTTTTTATTTATTTGTATTATATAAAATTTTATTGTCTATAAAATGATATTGATATTGCATATATTTTATTGAGATATAATTCTAAAAATATTTAAAAAATACCAACAACATTATATATATAAAAAATAATAAAATATTATATTATTTTATTATTAATAACTTAATAACCTACGTTACTTAAAATACTGTGTCCCTAATAAATAAACTTCAGGTGTGTTTGTTTGGGGGTTTGGATTTTGAGTTGGGATTTGAACAGTAAAAATTTTGAATTCGAATAGTTGTATGATGTGATATAAATAGGTGTTAATGTGATGTTTTGAATGTAAAATTAATTTTTAGTATAATATAAAAAATAAAAATAAGTGTTTAATTTAATTTTTTTTTTTTTGAAAAAATTGAATAAATAATATAAATTCAATCCAAATCTCCTGAAAAAACACACCCTTATCTTTCGCGGGACGGCGGGAGTACTTGTTTACATAATTTGCATGACATCCACTTTTTTAATCATAAGGATGTATTTTTATTCTTTTATACCAAAAGTATCACTCATTACAACATTAGAAAAAGTGTTATGATTCCCGATTGTGCAGTGGCTGGTGAGGCTAGGCAGTTATTGCACTAGGTCTATGTAAGACGCGTAAAATATTAATTAACTAATATGAGCATTTTAGAAAAATAAATAAATAAATAAAAAGGACATAAATGTGCTTGTTACGAAAATCAATCCATTGAAACCAACCTATGTTTCAGCAGCAATTATTTATTTATTTTATAATTACAAAAATAAATAAAAGCAAGAAACGCTTTGGAAATTGATATTTCATGATAAAATAAATTCACATATGTTGCTGATTTACCAGCAAACAGTTGCTACACCATGCTGTTATTATTTCTAATCACTAATTTGCCTATGCTCTAATATTTGTTATTCTTATCCATTCATTTTTAGAATATTTATTTATAGAAAATATAATAAAGCGTAGCAAAGCAGGTATTCAATATCCATATTTTTCATGAATTTTCGTGAATTAAAATTTGGAAGATGCTTTCCTTCAATCTAGTCTGTCTTGTTTTGCTCCCGCTTATGCCGACCTATTCTGGGCTTCGCTTAGGTCTTTGTATTTGTCGGGAGGTTACGGGAGCTTGACTCCAGAGTGATCCAGGCCGTTCGTTCAAAGGTTTCAACGGTAAGGATTCCTCTTTGTTGGCCATGGTTAATGGATGAGTTTGGATTCAAATTTTTATATTTATAGTATATTATTATAATATTTTTAATAAATTAAAATTAGATCCAGAGTGAGTCAGGGTTTGAAAAATAAAAGATTTATTTATACAACATATTTTTACTATTTAACAAAATTTATTTTTAGTAAAATATAACATTAAACACAATATTTTTTTTATAAAAATTAAATTAAATACTAATTTTTTATTTTATTCCACTGAACCAGTCTTGTTCCAGATTAGGGTAAATTAATAATTTTTATAATTAATAAGTACTACTTCCTCCGTTTCAAACAAGGTGCTACATTTAAGTTGGGCACGAATTTTTATGTGAAAAGTATGAAGTATGATAATTGAGTAATTAGGTGATATGACAAAGAGAAAAATGTATATTTTATTTTTTTATTAGAGTGATGTGATGGGATAAAATGTGAGAATATAAATTAAATATAATTAATGATTTTCTAATTTAAAAATATTGCAGGCTGTTTGGGACATACAAAAAAAAGAATGTTGTCCGGTGTTTGGGACAAAGGAGTACTATTTATTTATGTACCAATACTATGTTTAGGTTTCCAATTTTTCGTTTTTTATTAATTTGCATATTTCAAAATCTCACTATTTCAATTTATTATAAGTAATATACTTTTAAAAAATTAAAGCATTATATATCAATGTTTAACACAAACCCACACCAAGGCCCAATGGCCCATGGTCCATCATGTGGAAGTAACGTCCAACAAACAATACTAATTTTATAAATATTATACTCTTTCTTGTTGAGGATGAATGTATTCATTTACTTACGCAAGATAACAAAATTATGTAAAAGATAATTTTACAGGTTATTTTAAATTAATAATGATAATGATATATTTTTTAATAATATACATAATTTTTTTAAAAAAAAATATAAAATTATATGGAGAACATAATTATTAAAAAAAATAAAATAGATAGATTAACTTCAGACAGATTTAAAAATATATATATTGATTTAGAAAGTATAATTATCAATAAAAAAATTAATACAGTGATTTCAAATGGATAAAAAAGAAAAATTAGATATATTGATTTTGGATTGTTAGAATATTCAAAAATATAACCAACAAAATACTTATTCATGTTTATTGCCTTTATATAAAATAATTTTATTTACCTACAGATTTGTTTTCTGTATTTTAATAAATAACATTAATTAATTTGTCAATATCTTTTTTTTTTATCCCATAATCTTTTTATCAAATCTTATATAAATTTATAATAAAATATCTATTTTATTTTTTTGTCTACTTTATTTTAATTTTAAACTATTATTATTTTTTCAATTTTTGCATCTAACCAAAATCACATAAATTTTCAGATTAGAAAAAATATTTTATTACCTGAATTTAATTTTTATCAAATATTAAACAATTCAAAACAATCACAATATTTTAAAACACAAACATAATTACGTTATTCTATTTTCGTAATGGCTTCCAGTTTCATGAGAACACTCCTTTTCAATATATAATATTCTCCGTCCATTTTCTAGTGTCCTATTTGATATTTACACGCATTTTTAGGTAGAGAGAATTTTTGTTATAAAATGATAAATTTGCTCTTTATATTGTGTATAGAAAATGAAAGAGTAAATAAAGTAAAGGTAAAAGAATAAATTTTGTGTATAAAAATAAAAAGAGAACAATAATTGTTGGACATTCAAAATACAAAAATAGGATGTTAGTTCGTGGACGGAGGAGGAAGTATGTTTTTCTTTTAGACTTTTGTTTATACATATTATTGTATAAATGTACAATATATTGTTTACACTGGGTAACATATAAAATGTGTGTTATTTTGTAAAAGAAAGTAAAAAATCAATACCATTTTTTCAAAAAAAATAATATAACTCTCTCCGCCACAAATGACCCTTTATACGTCCCACAAAAGATGACTGATTTTTATTTTTGGCAACTTTATCAATCTTAAATATACTTAACAAATATAAATCAATTTAATTAAACTTCTAACATCTTACACGTAGAACCTACCCAAAACCCCTTTATTTATATCTTTCTCCTCAATTAACATAATTTTTTATCTATATTTAAAACTTCTCATTTTTTATAAAACTAATTTATAGTAATGATAAATAAATAAAAATATTATATAAAATTTTATTATTTATAAAATAATATTCAGATTGCATATGTTTTTTCAAGATACAATCTTAAAATTTTTTAACTTATTATTAATAACTTACTAATCTACGCTATCTAAAAAATCGTATCCCTAATAAAAGGATTCATATATTTATTATTTTTATATTATTTATACAAATTTTTATATGTCACATAAAAATATATATATATATATATTAAGTTATTTTACAAAACAAACGCACTATTTGTGATTAAAAGAAAAGGAACCTCATATTATTCATTCCATTTCATCATTTTTATTTATTTATTTTTTAAATCATCCTACAGCTTGAGGAGTTGAGGGCCGTCTCATATATGATATTTTGTACATAATAAATATAAAATTTAAGGAGTGATATAATTAATAAATAATTAACTTAATTAATTTCAAAAATTATAAATTAATAAATTAAAAATATGTTAAAACATATATTTTTTTATATATATATATAAAAAGAGAATGAGACAAGAAATATAGATTAACTAAAACAATAATATCAACAGAGACGAGGGTCAAATAGACTATATCATAATAAAATGCCAAGAGACATGCATCTTGAATAATCTCCTCATCAAATATTCCGACCAATAATTCAAACAGGACCTACATACCCTCCTGTCCAAATTAATTTGTCGGGGTTCGATTTGAATGATACTCATGTGATAATTTACAGGATATTTTTCAAATAATGATCTTGATTTTCGATAGCAACTCTTGAAAAAATATAATGACCTGTTGTACACAGAATCAAATAAATGCAAGATACTTGTTGAGATATTTTAGATATTCAGTTTTAGATATCGTAGATTTATATTTAGATTTGATCTTATCCATAGATTAGATTACTTAGATTTGAGTCTATCGAGTCTGTTTTGTATTGTCTGTATATACAGACTCAGTCTCACTTTTTTCTCCCAAAATTTTCAACCATACTGATTCAACTTAAATCCAAATAAATGTAACGTGACAATATATGACTAGCAGACCATGATATTGATATTCGACAAAAGTGTTGGTACAAGAGTCAAGACAAGTGTCGAAAGCAATGCTTATCTGACTACTTGCGGGGGAGTATACTTCCAACGGTTAAAATTTGTTTTTGTATGTTTGAAATTGAAAATTCGATCGGACAAAAATATGTTACTTTGCCCTTTTATTAATGAATGCTGCCTTTATATATGTCCTAATGCTGACCTATGTTAACACATAAATGCGCATCATTGCTGCCTTTATTATACGGCAAATTTTGGTCAGCGCATTAACACAATAATAATAAAAAAATATTAATATTTATTTATTTTTCAATCCTTTTGTGTTACTTATTTCTCTACCAAAAACAATAGTAGTACGACTCGACATCTATTATTATAAAATACTAAAAAAAAAAAAATTGGAAAAAGAAAATTTGTGATTGAGCAATTCAATCGGGTAAGTGTTTATAGAAAAGTAGGAATTCTACTCTTCATTATTTTATTAAACAAATAAAATAAATTCTATTACTCAACTATTCTGTACCAAAATCGTCTATGGGCAGCAGCACCTACAAATTCGGCGGGCCCGGGACCACAGGAACCACGCATCCACACCACACCGTCGGATCCTCCACGAACGGTCAGGATCAACTGCAGCGATCTGATCAAAATACACGCAAATATCTGCCATTCCTTGCTGCAATCGACTAATGGAAAAACACAATTACACAAGGAGATGAAGGCGATTTTTGATTCCTCATTTTGACCGCTCGTCGGCGGCGCTATTTTGGACAACGGAATTTGTCGGAGTTGAAATTATTGGGTCTATAAATACCTGCAGAGCTGCTCAATTGATCCATCCGTCGCTAATTCACGAGGCCATACAAGTACTCAGCAAAATGGGTTCAGTTCCGGCGGCGGATTCCGGCAGACCTCACGCCGTGTGCATTCCTTTTCCGGCGCAGGGGCACGTCAATCCGATGATGAAGCTGGCAAAGCTCCTCCACCAGAACGGATTCCACGTCACATTCGTCAACACGGAGTACAATCACCGCCGGCTGGTAAAGTCACTGGGGGAGGACGCCGTCGACGGCCTGCCGCCGTCGTTCCAGTTCAGGACGATTCCCGACGGGCTTCCGCCGTCGTACGAGGGGGACGCCACGCAGGATATTCCGTCGCTGTGTGCATCCACGAGCACGACATGCCTGGCGCCGTTCAGGGCTCTCCTCGCCGACCTGAACACCGGCGGCGGCGGGCCGCCGGTGTCGTGCATAGTTTCCGATGGGGTTATGAGCTTTACTCTCGACGCGGCGGCGGAGCTCGGCGTCCCTGAAGTGCTGTTCTGGACGACGAGCGCTTGCGGTTTCTATGGTTACACGCAGTACGATAGGCTTATCCAAGATGGCCTTGTCCCACTTAAAGGTTCGATCTTTATCGAATTCTGTGCCCTAATTTTCTAATTTTGGATCAATTTTGAACCAATTTCTTGATTTTTAATTCGTGGGTGCATGCAGATTCAAGTGATTTGACAAATGGGTACCTGGATTCGACCATTCTCGAAATCCCAGGCATGGAGGGTATCCGCCTGCGAGACATCCCAAGCTTCGTAAGAACGACGAATCCCGACGAATTCATGGTCAAATTCGCGCTCCGGGAGACGGCGAGGGCGCGGCGGGCGTCAGCCATTATCGTCAACACGTTCGAGGTCCTGGAGCAGGAAGTTCTGAACCAATTATCCTCAACACTCCCCCCAGTCTACGCCATAGGACCACTGAACTTGCTCGAACACGGCCGTGTTCAGAACAACACGGCCGTGGCGAGCCTGGGATCAAGCCTATGGAAAGAAGACTCCGGCTGCCTGGAATGGCTGGACTCTCAGGCGGAGAACTCCGTCGTCTACGTGAACTTCGGAAGCATCGCCGTAATGACGGCGGATCAGCTGGCGGAGTTCGCTTGGGGCCTGGCGAACAGCGGGCAGTCGTTTCTGTGGGTGATAAGGCCCGACCTGGTCTCCGGCGAGCAGGCGATTCTGCCACGTGACTTCCTCGTGGCGACGGAGGGGCGAGGGATGCTGGCCGGCTGGTGCCCGCAGGAGAGGGTTTTAGGGCACAGCGCCGTCGGCGGATTTCTGACGCACAGCGGGTGGAATTCGACGCTGGAGAGTCTGTCGGCCGGCGTGCCGATGATCTGCTGGCCGTTCTTCGCGGAGCAGCCGACCAATTGCTGGTACTGCTGCGCCAAGTGGGGGGTGGGGATGGAGATCGAGAGCGACGTGACGAGGGAGGGCGTGGAGAGCCTGGTGAGGGAGCTGATGGCGGGGGAGAAGGGCCGGGAGTTGAAGAACCGGGCCGGGGAATGGGAAAAACTCGCTCGGGAGGCGGCCGCCGGTTCGGCTTATGATAACTTGAAGGAAGTTATCAGTGTACTGCTTTCTTCCGAGTAGTTTTTTTATTTGCATAATTTCGTTTTGTTTGTTTGACTTTATTAAGTCATTCTCGCACTTTTTTTTTTTTTTTTTTGATTGGATCGTATTTCACTGTATTCAGGTATGTTTAGTTTTATACTTTCATCGTGTTTGTTTAATATTTTAATAAAATATTTTTTTATAACTCTTCTGCTGATTTCTAATATTTATATATTTATCGGTTCTATATTTTTTTAGTAATTGCAAATCCTAACATTGATTACTATTTTTTTTTTATATTTATTTATCATCTTATTCTTTATTTGTTATGCATTTGTATTAATTTAATTTGTACATTATTATATTTATTCATTATTATTTTTGTGGATGCGTACCTGATAAACCCGCCTAATCTAATACTTGCAAACTGATAGCGAAAATCACACTAACCAAGGTAAAATATAAAAAATTGTTTAACAATATAAAATTGATATATTTATTTATTTTATATTTTTGAATTTATATACTTTTTAAAAAATTTATGTTAGTTATACAGAAAAACTATTTTACCATAATAATTTGTCGGTCATATCCGCGCACAATTCAAAAATCTTTCCCACTTTCTTATTTTGTCCTCGTTCTTCTTTCATTTTTTATAGGTGCATTAGTAGATTGAAATCCAAAAATCGATTGTTGGATTAAAAATCCATTAGTGGGTTAAATGTAACTATTTGGGCTATCAATCAGATTAAGTCTATATTAAGTGATCTATAAATTTATTTAGCTTAAATGTATTTAGTAAGTGTGGGCCTCCAACGTGCAGAAACCCGGTAAATTATTAATTGGGTGATGAGGTCAATTAATAATAAGGGATATAAATAGGGTTGTGATCCCAGCTCTATAAGCAACAATCATTGCGTTCCATATTTCATCGTGGGAGTAACGACAGAAACCCTAGCGGTTTTCTCAGAAAGGGTTGCGCCATAGGCTTGAAGAACACAAAATCCTCCATTGTTAGCGGATCCGAATTCGACTATGCTAATGGAATAAGGTTAGATTTATTTTGCTTTATTTTTATCTCAATTATGATAACACGGTAGATCCTGGGCTTAGGGTTAAATTCTTGGTAAGTTCCAACAATTGATATCAGAGCCTTTCCGTGTTGAATTATGAGATAGTCTATAAGAACCATGATGTTTAATGGAAATCAATTTCCTATAATTATATGTTAGAATTTGTTAATTAAAAGCAATTTGCCCATTCGTGGAACATATGCGATGATTTGAATAAATATGTTCTGGTACATGATTACGTAGTCGTGTCTCTATATTGCAATATAAATTGCATGTAACCCAATCCGTACACATCTGTATGTATGTTTGATTATGTGTTAAAATGCATTAGTTTCATGTGCTTAATTTACTTTAATTTTATTTATTTATCCACTTATTCTTGGATTTATAAATAATTTTTGGGAATCAGATCAAATTAAATCTGCCTGGATTTTTTTTTTGTGGCTGATTTATCATAATTGATATGATATACATTGCGTACTGCTATTTGTTTGCAATTAATACATACACGGTCTGTTTGTTCATTTACATCTGGGTGTGTGTTTATAAATTTAATCTTGATGGATTGACATGATATCGAAATGTTTGCATCAGATTTATTTGACTGTAATACAGAAATCACTACTGTCTTGAGAATACGTTTTTTTGCTTTTTATTCTTTCAAAAGAAATTGCTTGGGTTATGAGCATTTTATTATGTTTGAATTGCTTGACACAATGATTCACTGGAAAAGGTATAACCAATGCACTGTAATGAAATATATTTGTGCGGCGTTTGATTGGTTATTCCATTTATTTTATAATATGTTTTAATGGATAAATATGTTACGTGTGCCGTGCCAATTGTGGAGATATTTGTATTTCCTTCGTTGAATTTATGATATATATACATATGTAAAGAGTTCAATGATATATTGGTTATTAATTATAGAATTAATGGATCATTCCAAACCGTTAATGGTTTAATTGGAATTATATATGGGATAATTGTATATGTGCAAATATGGTTGTTTTCATATTTATTCATTCAGTTATTCATATGTACAGCACGTCCATTGGTCGAGATTGACGTTTATTTGATGTACATGCATTCAATTTAATGATTGCATAATTTATTAATTAATATGCATATACGTGCAGAATTTGTTTATTTATTCAGTATTATTGAATTATTTTTATGAAATTCAGATTATTTGCACTAGTCCAGATAATATTTATTTAATTTATTGTTGATTTTATAAAATCAGATTAATTATGATCCATTTGAGGATTAAATTAAATTTGGAATACAATAGCATATATTTTCGACAGTATTTATTTGTGCAAATTCGACTATAAATATTCATTATATTAAATTTATAGTCTCTTTGGGTAGCATATTTTTGCCTATATAATTCCGCTGCATTTACTACTTTCTTGGACTACTTGATTATTTTAATAAGTCTAGAAATTAATTGTTGTTGTTATAGTTTTAATATGTATTGGACATACATATATAATTTATTTAAGGTGAATTGAATTAGCAATAAATAATATAATATATTTTATGAATTGGTTGAAACAGTTATGTTGCCAAACTCTGTAAATCAGTTTATTTTGTGTATTAGAAAGTTGTGTGTGATAGATAAGGCTGCATATTGACCCAAAGGCAACTCAGCCATTAAGTAGTTACATGCATATTTAGTAACATTGAATGTGGTGATGGTAATTTAGTTATTTGTGTGTGAACAATAGATCTGTCCAAAGATAGAGTGTTGTTTGACACATTATTGTATTGTCAACATTCGATTGTGAAAACAAGTTTATCACTAGTGAGTCAGTAATTTGTCCAACAACATTTGCTGATGTTGCTCGATAACTTGTGATAAGATTGCTAATTTATTTTATAAATTCACATACGAAACATTCAGTAGCTTATAGACATGTGTATTCAGTTGCTAATAAGCATTCTTTATTTTCTATGGAATCAGATCCGTATATATTGAACATGATTCTGATTATAATTTAGTTTAAGAAAATTATATATTCATTAATAATGCATCCTGCGTTTTGACGGTGAAGATCAGGTATTTGACGTTGCCAAAGTAACCTCTCTTATATAAGATTTTTTCTTGATAACGTAAGTGCTTATGTGTATTTTAATTCATGTGATATTCTTCGGCCCAAAGGCAGTCAGTAATTGACAGAATGAAATATACATTTGCGATAGTATGTATGGGACGATTATATAGATTTAACTTATGTGAATAGTAAATCAGTCCAAAGATTGGTTACTGTTTGACATTACCTTATTATCCGTATATGATTATTGCAACAAGATGACTGCTAGCAATCAATGTTATTGATCCAAAGATTGATTATTGATGTTGCACTTAGTGTCTTGGGATGAGAATGCATTATTATTGAACTTCATTATGATTCATTTGGTTGCATGAATCATGACTTGGCATTAATAATAAACCGACTAACTCATACGGCGAAAAACACTGCTCATGAATGACAGTTGTTTGAGAAGTGAGATATGTTCAACGCCTAAGTCTAATTATCATTAAGAAAAGCACTCCATAAATTTTAGGAGTACAATATATGATGATATGGATTTCTTGTCGAAATTAAGAAACACTTTACCAAAAGCGATAAGGCAAAAATGAGTATTCTTCTTAAAAGTTTCATTACCATGAAATACAACGACAAAGGAAATATAAAGGAGTACATCCTAAACATGTCTAGTATTGCTACTAAATTGAGGGCACTTAAGTTAGACATTTCGGAGGACATGTTTGTTCTATTAGTCTTGCTCTTGAAATTAATTTAATTTCAGTTCATAGACACACTTGGGGGTGGATTTTGGTGTAACAACACACATCAGTGTATCTATGCATGATTATTTTATTGTCGAAATCAATTGATGTTGAAAGATACATCTATATGGGTGACGACAAGAAAGTTCAAGTTGAAGTCATTGACAATTTTAGATTATTATTGAGTACTCGTTATTATTTGAATTTGGATGAGACATTTTTTTTGGTACCATCTTCAGTCAAAATTTAATTTCGATCTCTATTTTGAACAAATTCAGTTATTATTGTTCATTCGAATATAAAGTTTTGTCTCTTCCAAAATTCAAAATCGATTGGAACTAGTGCATCATTTGATAATAATAATCACCATTTACTTAATAGTCTGACTTCATATCATGAATTAGTTATTGAACATATTCATATAACTTCCACAATTACAGATCCGCTTAATTAGTAAAGGGTTTCCACATAAGTTCTATAATGAACATATTGCTCATTTGATAGTGGAACCATATTTTCATACTTCGGTTTAGTGGGAGTTGATTAGTAATGTTCAAATTCTATTAAAGTTACTTTGGTTTACACTGCACAATTTAGTATTTAATGTTCAATATTCAGTGTGCAATGTTAAGTTTTAATTCAGTATTTAGTTGTTCTGAATTAAAGTTAAGATGGATCAGTTGGAAATAGGCATATTAAGATCACATTACATGAAATTTTCATGATGTGCATCCGCACTTGATCGAATCTTAGGTTATATTAGTGTTGTGACCACTGATCGGTCCCATTGCGATAAATGCAGTGACGGCCGCTTTGATCCGTATTGATGTAATTTATAGATGAGATTGGTAATATACATTAAAGATCTGATAGCAAATTTTTCATGAGCTCGTAAGGTTATTCAGTGTACATTTACCCAAGTGGGAGATTGTTGGATTAAAAATCCATTAGTGGGTTAAATGTAACTATTGGCTATCAGTCAGATTAAGCATATATTAAGTGATCTATAAATTTATTGGGCTTAAATGTATTTAGTAAGTGTGGACCTCCAATGTGCAGAAACCCGGTAAATTATTAATTGGGCGATGAGGTTAATTAATAATAAGGGATATAAATAGGGTTGTGATCCCAAGTCTAGACGCAACAACCCTTACGTTTCATATCTCATCGTGGGAGTAGGCCCACAAACTTTTTTATGATCATTTAAATTCTATTTTTAGTAGGCCCTTGTTGAACATTTGAAATTGTTAGGATATTTGAGTTTTTTGGCACATTATTGAGTATTATTTACTTGGCGATACTATGTTCTGTATATATATTGTTTTTCGAAATTCTATATACTCCCTCAGTCCGCAAGAAGGGTGGCGTTTGCTTTTTGCACGTAGATTTTTGAATATTAATATTATATTGGATTGTAATAAAAAAGACAAAAATATTAGTACGGTGTAATATAAAAGTAATGATATTTGTGTAATATATTATAAATTGAAATGATATTTATTATGTGAAATAGGTAGTACAATTATTAAATTAGAAAATAATAATATTGTTTTGGGAGTGACGAAAATAAAAAATTGTAACATTTGAATGGGTCAGAGGAGTATATATTGTGTTGTTCACGTCCACAGCACACCCTTAGGCAATTCTTGAGAGAAATATGATATTCTCTTACACTAATTATGTATTTTTTAAAATCATATATAGTTATTTTGGCACAAGTATTCAAACTCTGAGGCTGTTGATAAGGACAACCGCCATTGTCTTCGACTCCACTCGGAAGCTGTCGATAAGGATGGACTCTGCCCCTCTGTGCAAATCATCTACTTGTTACTGAAGAATAATGCTGTGTATAATTTTTTAGTTAAAGTTTTGTATTCTTTTTGTCAATTTTATAAATATAGATTTACATTAATTATAAATATGATAATGTCTATACTTACTAGTCTGTTTTTGCACCGATCCGGAGTTTGGCGCTGTGCAATTACTGTGCCGTTCGAATTGCGCGTCAAACTCGGGCAAGTCGACAGCTTCTGAAAATCGGAACAGATTCTATGCGGATCAATCTTAACCCTTAATTACAATAAAATATTTATATATAGAGAGATTTGCATGAACTTGAAAAACTTCAATAATTAATTATTTAATTATTTTAATAATTATAATTTAATAATATATATATGTCATTAGGTAAATAATAAAATTTTATATAATAAAAAATAAAGAAATAAGTTTTTTTATTTTATAATTAAAATAAATTAATACACAAATAATATAATTATTAATTTTATAAACTTAATTTAATACAAATTTATATTATTATATTTATATCAATTAAATTAATACACATTAAAATTTTAAAATCCACAGTGAAACGGGAAAGTAATAATTATTTTTATATTAGTTTTGGTGTTTCTATTTTTAAGTTTCTTAATTATGAATTGAGTTTATAAATTACTTCCATAAAATATTTATTATTATTTTTCATTTCCATCGATTTATAGAGTTTATTTTTTATATAGTAATAAAAATTTTAATTATTAATTTTATTTTTTAATATATAATTATTTATATTACATAATATATATATTTTTTTATTATTTAGTGTAGTAATATATAACACAAAATACAAGTTTTTAGCCTAGAGATAAATACACTGTATACACATATATTACCGCGAACATTTGACGGACAGGATAATTTATTTTAATATTGTAAATGTTTGGGATAAGAAGATGAGTATAAAATGGCGGCCCAATTATATTTTTCAAATATGCTTCAAAATTATTTTTATTTTTTACCGAAAATGAGAAAAAGGATTTTCAAAAAAAGAAAACCCGGCCCACCGAGTTTCCAAAGATTAAACAAATATATTTTTTATGTCTCAATTGACATTTCCGCCTTTTGTCACAATAAAAATCCCTAATTAAACTTTCCGTGAATTTTCCCCCTCCTCCCTTCCCACCTCAGCATGGCTTCTGGCGCCGCCGCGGACGGCGGTTCCCTCACCTTGGATTCAATTCCCATTGTCGATCTCCGCCTTCTCTCCCAGTCGGAGCTTTATTCCCTCTCTCTCTGTTCTTCCACCGCCTTCGACCCCAGCCGCTGCGATGACGTCGTTATTCCCAAGATTGACCGTTCCGTCTTCAATGAGTCCGCCGGTTCCCGAAAGCAGACATACTCCCGCCTCCGCCTCGCGCCTCCGTCGGAGTCATCCTCCTCCTCCACCCCTCGCCGCCGCACCCCTCATCTTCGTCCAACTGCCGCCACTTTCCCCCAACTCGAGACCAATGATTCTTCCGACCCTGAAAATGTCGATAACTCCCAGATTGTTTCTCTTCTCAAGAAGTTGTTTGTAGCCGACTTGAACGGCGACGAATTGGTCCCTGTCAATATAGATTCCATGGATTCCCTACCGGCTCAGCACTTCCCGACATTGCCGCATTCCTCCCAAGCAATCTCTCACCCCTCGGGAATCAAAAGGAAGCGCGGGCGCCCTCGCCGGAATGAAATTGTAGGGTCTTCCGGAGGATCGGCGCCTGTAGGCAACGTCGCCGGTGATGCGGATAGGTTTCCGGCGCCGACTGAGGTTTTTGTTCATGAGCGTATGGAGGAGGATAGGGACAGGAACATCTTGAACAAGGATGGTGTGGCTGTGGATTTGGTAGCATTAGGCACTATAGAGCATCCGTACGTTGAACATATTAGGCAAAGGACTGAAGGGCTGACAACTGATGAGCACTTGTTTGCATTCTTGGCCGGATTAGATGGAGAGTGGAATAGTAGGAGAATGAAGAAAAGGATCATCGACGCCGACGTGTTTGGGGCTGCACTGCCTGTTGGCTGGAAGCTTTCCCTAACCATTAAGAAGAATAGTGGTCAATCATTCGTGCATTGCCGTCGATACATAAGGTTATGTTTCGATTCTAGTTTGTTTGGAATTGATGTATGCATTGTTGACATGTTTTGGAATAGCATCATATAGTTCTCATGCTAATTTTGATTATGGACTTTTAGTTTTTAATGTTGTAGTGATTCGTTTGATGTTTGCTTTTCATGCTATCCCTGAAAATATAATAGAAATGCACTTTGGGCAAACACTAGTAAATAGTTTCAGGTGGTTTATTTTGCGATAGCCTATTGAAAGGTTTGTAGTGATATGGTGTTACCTAAAGAATCTTTTCCACAATTTAGAGGACGACAATTTGGCATATCTATACCACATAGTGTCTTGGATTAGTTGCTCAATCCTCAACATGCATCATTTTACTTCCATCTTCTTGGGCATTTTTTACTTCTAGGGTGTGTTTAGTACTGATAAATGGGGTAGAAAAATGAAAATATCCTCATCCCTCTTGTTTGTTTAAGTTAGAAAAATCACATTTGAGAAACGAATCATTTCTTATTCCATGGATTCATTTATCTCCCATATGTAGAGGAATGAAGAGCAATAAAAATTGAGAATTGTGCACTGTGTTTATTTATCAATTTTTTTTGGGTACTATTTTTCAGAATTTTCTTTAAAATTACACTGTTCTGATTTTTTAAACATCGCATCTATTTTATTATTTATACAAAAAAATCACAAACATTATTTCTTCGTGGGTTCTAATTAACTAAAAGTCTCTCTTACTTGATTGATCATTCACTCCTAATCAAATCATTTAGATTGTTGCAAAATTTACATTTCTCAATTGAATTTTCTATATTACCAAACATATAGTCAAGTCTTATTTTCTACTTAATTCCTTTCTTTTTAATTCAGATTTCTAAATTATTTCTCTGCAGTTCTATTCTCTTCTAAGCACCAAACACCCCCCTAGCTCTTAGCATAGATCACTAGAAATGGCGCATTGAGCCTTAGGCTGTAAAAACTTATAAGTGCTTTAATAATTTTCTGTACCCTTGGATTGAAACTTGCTATGGAATATGTGTGCGTGTGTGTGTTTATTTATTTATTTTCTTACAGTTGGGAAATATGTAAAAAGTATATTTTAGTTTTCTTACAAAGCTTCACATCAAGCTTATCTGTGTGTGTATGCTTATACATGATTTTTCCTCCTGAGTATTCTAGATAACCTGGAGCTAAACTTCCCCTAGTGAGCAAACTTGGATAATATTTATTTTGTCCAAGTGTGCAAACTCTCCAAATTTTTGGCTTTCTAGCCATTGCTGTGTTCAAAATTTGTTCACTCCCCTCAGCATGATCACTGTCGGGAAGCCACTTTGGTTTGTTGTTTAAGGAGAGTAGGATAAGTTTGCTATTTTCGTAAGAAGTTCACTGCTTAAAAAAAATTCTCTGTTCCAGGCTAGGGAAATAAGCTATGCTCCTTGTTTTGTAAGAAGGATAGTTGTTGCATGTTATACAACAGTCTGCATACATGGTTTCGTAAGTTTAGTCAACAGGGGAGTAACTAGGTATGCAAAATTGCGAGAGCAATCGTTAAGTATTCTTTAAGAGGGTTGCTATATGTCTCATTCTTTTTAAAGCATATATGCTGATGATAATATAGTAAAGAAAATGGAGTGGGAATACAGTATCTTCTTGTCCCAATAAGATTATCCTTTACCAATAATTTCCTAATGGAGGAAATCCATTTGAGTTTCTTGAGGAATGTAGTAATATTGGTAGGGAAATTTATGTTTCTCATCCTACTTTGCCTTGCATATCTAGTTTTTATGGTCAACATCAACAACTGATTATTGGAATGCCCCAGAAGCGAATCAGTGTAACGTAAAAGGCTCATGAATTAATGATATTTAAGGTGGATCATACGCTCATCATCAGCTATTTTTTCTTTTGTTGCTATTTTTCATCTTTTATGTTTTTTAAAAATTTTAAAAATTTGGTTCATAATCGGAGTACCAAGGCAAGGCAAGGCAAGGCATAGTCGATGTGTAAGATACTTTGTATACATCAACTTCTAGCTAATTTGATATAAAAACCACAATTCTAGCCGAACTTATTGTGATAGTTAAGCAATGGTCTTGTAATAAAAAATCTTATGTGTAGCAGGCATGTTAAAAAGTTGATTGTTGTTTTCTCTTAGAAAATTACCAATGGGTTTGGGTGTGTTTTCATAATTAGTCTTGTACTATTAATTATATCTTTTGCCCTAAAAAAATACGACAACGAAACACTTAATTTCACTGTAAAGTATTCATCCAAGACCTATTTTCTATGCAAACATAATTGTAAATGCTTATTTTTATTACATAAAAAAAAATCTATTTCAATACAAATTTTTACAAAAATCTTTCTTAGTCCTTTTTATGTGTCTCCCTACGCTTGCAATCCAACTCATCTTCTATTGTATGTATTATTTTTGCATTAGTTTCTTTCAAAAGAAATAAATCAAAATTTTACTATTCTCAACACAACCACTCCCAAAATATATCCAAAACAAACCCTTTTGGTGTGTTTGGTCGTAGGATTGGGAGTTGGGTTTGGGTTTGGGTTTGGGTTTGGGGTTGACAATAGTAAAAGTTTGAACTGAAGTATGTATTTGATGTGATATAAATAGATATTGATGTAATATTTTGAATTAAATTAAGTTTCGATGTAGTACTCAAAATAAAAAATAGGAGTTTGATTTGATGTTTTTTACAAAAGGGAAGAAATGATAAATAGTAGAAGCCCGGCCTCAAACCCACATCCAAATGCACTCAAATTCTTATCGCATGTCAAGATCGGAAAACGAAGTGTAAATATTTTCATAAAGGCCCAATGGAACAAGGATTTTAACAAGTTGGGCTTGATAAATAGCTACGTGTTAGCTTGAAGAGTGTGCAATGAAACATGTGTACATAAGTTTGTTTGTTGATTTGTATTTCGAGTTTGGATTTTTGAATAGTAAAAATTTGAATTTGAATAGTTTTTTGATGTGATTTAAATAGATGTTTGATTTGATATTTTGAATGTAAAATTGATTTATTGGTAATAAAAAAAATTTGGAGGACAAAAATTAAATAAATAGTAAAAACTTTGTGAGAAATCCACAAGAGAATACCACCTTTTATAAACTTATAAAATATGCTAATTGAAATAGCTTCCGTATGGTCAATGTATATGCACTTTATGATTGAATGAATACAATAGGTTTCATAGTAGGTACATTTGTTCTGTTAGTTCACCGCACATTGTCTTTCAACATGACATGATGCTAAGGCACCAAAGCTTTCCCTAGATACCAATGGAGCTAAATATAGCCCTTTTTATACAAGTGATATTTTGTTTTATTTTCCATTTTTGATGGAGCAGGATGGGGGGTTGTAGTCCTTATGGAGAGGATCATATAGAATCTACCTTGTGCTAAAAAACATGAATATTTAGATTTATGCTATCCTATACCGGTGTCTTCGCTTTGTGGGCACTTGTTTTTGCAAGATTGTTAGAGATCCTACATTTCAAATTTCTTGAATATAGATTTACTATAATACATTTTATGATCAGATTCAGGAAATGATAAGAAATATAAACGCATCACAATAGAATCTGACACATGGGCATCCATGTGTTTATAAGTAGTACAGGATTCAGGAGATAAAGTCTTCTTTTGGAAATACATTTATGCGTTCCAGATCATAGCTGTAAATGGCGCACACATATACGTGGCAATTAATGTACCACATCTTAAACAAACCACAAATAATAATTCAAGTATCTTACAAAAGAATATGCAAAGCATAAAACTAATAAAATAACTTTAAAAAGGAAATTGTATGAAAAACTGAAACAGCGGCCGCGGGTTGCCTTACCTGGCAGAAGACCTGCTATGCTGTGGGAGATGGAAAGAAATGTGTGAGGCAAAAAGGAGTTAATGAGAAAAGGCGGACAGCAGCTAGAGAAACTTAGGAAAAAGATAAATAAAATTTTCCATATCCTTAATAAAACAAATTAATTCCCTTATTAGTCCCAATTAACCCTAATAAATAATATTAAAATCTCGCCTTCCATTCGCCATGGCCATGGCACCTCTGGATGTGGTGGGCCTCGCGTTGTTTGTGGTGGTGCATCATTTATGATTGCAGTACAGATGGTTTTCGTGTCATGGTTTTAAAAGTGTCTCCAATATAGAAAATCTATTCATCTTTAGGATTGATTTTATAGTGTCTCCCATGTACACTCCATAGTTGTCTCCTAATAAAGGTGTTATGGGTAGAATGACAGTCTGCCGCTACAATCTGCTTTATAACGCTATGAGATTAACAGCTATGGTGTGTATCCACTATAAAATCAATCATGTTGATTATATGCAATACCTTCATGATGTACTTTGAAGCAGCAATATTATCGACTTCTGATTTCTTGTCTTAGATTTGACTGAAATCGAGTAAGAACATCTATTCTTTAGTTGATTTCTCATGAAAAAGGACTGCTGCCCATAAATTTTGATATTCGTCCAGTGATATAATAAACTTTTTCTTGGGAAAATTTCTTTATTTTATTTTATTTTTCTTGCATTTTCACACAAAGTGAGAGTATCTAAGGTCAAAGTCATTCACTACTAATTCTTTTGTTTTTGCATTATGTGTATTGGTCTGCCATTGGCTTCTATTTGTGCAGACCAACGCTGTGCATTGCTTTATATTTGCTTTGAGTTTCCAATCTCTGATACGTGTTTTGAATTTCTATGTTCTTGTTGAAATTAACTGTTAAGTTTAGAAAATATTAAATACTTTTATTGCTTCTAGGAAACATGACAAGACTTCAAACATTGGAAGACTGACTTCTCCATAAGCAAGATACTTTTGTTCCTTTGTTCAGAAGTAGTTATTTATACGAGATCCCATTGCATAAGTATGGTTGGGGAGAATTTGCTAGTGCTTGCTGTTTAAACTGCAGAGCGGAACATATATTTCAATTTAATTGTTGTAGTGCATTTAACCCTTGGCTATGTGGATCAATTATGATCGATTAGAATGTGTTTAGCCAAGTACTCTGTAACCATTGTCGAGATCTATTTTGTTAAGTTCAACATAAGTCGATGTGGCTTCATAATAAACATTGAATTGGATTATTCAGGTGCTTTATCCTCATTCGGCAGCCGATTGCCTTGAAGCTTTTGGCCTGCAACTCCTTATTCTGGTCTGGACCACTGCATGAGTCCCGCGGTTAGGAGATAAATTCAAAGAATACTTAAAAATGAATTTAGTAAAGATTAGCAGCTTTTAATATATCATTATTGTATAAAATATTCTGACTTTCTTCCATAGTACTACAACTTAAGAAACTTCATGGATTATGTGATGGGAAGCACCAAACCTATTTGATGTTAGTTGACTCTTGCCTGTCTGCTCTTTAAAATATGTTTCATTTGTGTTATGGCGGGAGCAAGCTGGGTACCTTTTCTTAGCAATGTCAGTTCTATCTTTATTAAATCAGTTTCTCTCATTTTCTTATTCCAGCCCCAGTGGACTGCATTTTGTGACATGCAAGGGAGTTTCTTCATATTTGCTCTCTCTTCATGGTGTGCAAGATGCAAGTATACCAGACTCTTCCCAACCCTATGTGCCGGTCCGTGTGACTGATAAATTGACCCCTATTAGGGTAAGTTAGCTGGCCTTCACACATATTAGCTCTTTTTTGTCTTTTAAAAAATTGTTTCTATAATATATATTTATATTTAATGTCCATATCACAGGGTCCCGATCCTGCTGTTAAGGATGAGCGAAGGAAAGAAAATGTTGTTTCCTATACATCATCATCTGTGATAGATTCAACACCTGTTAGTCTTGAGAAGCAAGTCTTAAAAAGCACGGAGGATTTTCCAAAGGATGGAGTAGGAGAAATTTTGCAATGTGATAACAGTAATATAGCTTTTGGCCATAAAGATGAACTATTTCAACACCAAATATCTCATCAAGGAAAACGACGCATTACTGATGGAGTTATAATTAAAGATGGAAAATTTGAGTGCCAGTTCTGTCACAAGACATTTGATGAAAGGCGTAGGTATAATGGTCATGTTGGGACACATGTAAGGTGCCAAACTAGGATTGCTGGGGAATCACCAGCTGTTAATGTTGGAGCGACTGTTCGTCTATCTTCTTTTGGTGATATTCGTGTTCAAGATAATTCAAAGCTAGGATTATTAAATTTTGATAACAGGGAGAATATGTGCTCACCGGGCAGTAAAGACGATGGAAATGTTCAATATTTAAAGGAAGCTAACTGTAATTCAGGAGTTAATGCTGAAGCTACTGATGTTGTTAGCAAAACAGATCAATGTGAGGTTGCTGATGTAATCTTACCGAGCGATAGTGACAAAAAATTATGTCCAAATGATAGCTCTGGTGGAATCATTGCTGAGGGTCTTAAGAATGTTGATGCAATTGAAAATTCTTCGAGGACTCAGCTTCTTGAAAAGTGTGTTGTGTCGAAAGATAGTTTACTAGGTTCAAACAAACATGGGGTAGAATCTGGAACTGTGCAAAATGACTGCATCTCTGGGGCAAGGAACAAGGCTGAAATTGACCAGGAAAAAATGTCGATTGATGTATCTGCATTCAGTTTTCATGGAGACAACCCATCAACTTCTGGATCAGTGTTATCTAAGGTGGACATAGGGTCAAGTGTCAACGTGCTGCCAAGATCTCAAGATGAGAATAAATTTGTTACAGATATTGTTCCGAACTTAACAAGTGAATGTAAAGTTTATGAAACATGCAGGTTTGGAATCTGTGAGAATGGTTATCCTGGAGCTGATGATACTGTGGGTAGGTACGACGAAGTGCAACCTGGTATCTGTTCAGTCAAGCCCTCTGGGAGCGATCATGATAAAGTTTCAAAGAAGTCCAATGGTGGAGTGTCCACTTCTCTGTCGGAGGAACCTGTGGTACAGAACCATTGTGAAAGCCGGATAGCTGCTTTATTTGGCCATGGAAGCGTGTGTGATTTGAATCATAAAGATGATGAAGTGTATGAAAGAGGGATTAAAGTATCTGAAATTGACCAGCATCAAACTTCTGGGAATGGTGATTCTGCTGATCCTTTTTTCGATAGTCACATTGGATTAAATTCCTACTCTTTTATGGGAACCCTTCCGGATATGCAACTTGGAGTGTGCAGTGTCCCTTCATCTACAGCTACTAAACAGTTTTTTCAAGACAATAGTATGATGAGAATATTTGATGGAGCCTCGAAAGCACAGGGACAGGGGCAGCCTGGTGGTGTATCACTTAGTCGGTCTGATAATGTCCCTGCAAATCATTCTAAACCCAATGCAATTGAAAATGCTGGAGAACAGGAGTTAAACCTTTTTTCCGGAAATCATCCAGCTCAACTGTTCCCAGATTCAAGTAGGGTTGAGGAGAAAAGGTATCAAACTAGTGATAACATTCAGTCGGTTGAGGGGTTTAACATTCAATCTACTGTCCACAGAACATACGGTGATGAAACAATTTTGGGTACAAGAAACAGTGATCTATTTGGTGATTTGAACCAAGGAAGATTGCATCATGGTCCTGTCCCTGATTCACTGTTCGGTGTTAAGATTGGCAGCAATTTTAATGCGGCTCACACAGGAGGCCGGATGGGACCTTCTAACCAAAACTTTATGGTTGCTTTTGAAAATGGCAGCTCACAGCCAGGTGACTGTGGTGCAGCTGATGCCACTTGGAGAACTGGTCATGAAAATGTGTTTCAAGGTGATTTTGAAGCTACTGCAAGTATGCGGCTTCCATCCTCAACAAATATTTTTGGCACTTTCGGCCTAACATCAGATAAGGTACTGAATAATTTTTTATATGCAATGAAGAGAAGCCTACCTTAACATCAGATACCCATGTTTTCTGTAACATTTGTTATATAATTTCTCTGAAAGTTATTGGAATGTTTGAGTAAGTAGGATAGTTCCCTGGTACCACCTACAACCCTTTATATTATAGTATTTTATTTATTTAAATGCAGAATTTAAAATTAAGGGGATCTTAATAATTTGAATGCAATGAATTATATTATTTATTACATTTACAAAGTATAATTTCAAATCTACACTAGATAAGTTCTGTTTTTAAATTGTTATTGGCAAATGTTAATTGAATGATTTGGGCATTGTTTGTTTGCATTTGTGAATGATATTTCCATTTTCTCGTGAGACAATCTATCGTGCTAAGTTAATATTAAGATGAAATGCCTCTTCCTCGTACTTCCAGATCACCATTTCCTACTATTCCTAGTACACTTAACTTTTCTCCTAAACATATGTTGTTCTTTGTCATTTTTCATAGTTGTATCTCAATTCATTCTAGATGAAAAAGTATATATTCCATATTTTGGCTGGAAATTGCTTCTATACATCTCATTGGAATTCCTTTGTGTGTGTGTGTGTGTGTTTGCATTTGTAGCCATGTAGTAAATAGTATTCCATTGATGTATGGTATTCATATACATCTAATCAGATTTTAAATGTGCTCTTTATTATATATTCTTTTAACTTCTAGCTGTCCCTGTTTAGCTGTATTTAATCTTTGTCAATGTTCACATTGGCAGGGACAAGAAAATTCATATGGTGTGGGCAAAAATTATAAGCTTGAAACTGACATGCTGAGGTCAGGTAGATCGGAGCCAGTGGAGTACCCATTTCTGGACAATGAAAGTTCAAACTTCTCATACACTGGAAACACAGAGCAGCATGGTTTGGATCCTTCAATATGGCAAGGAAAGGATGCGTTAATGCCGCCCTACACATCTCACTCCAATCAGGTCTCATCGATCTGTGTCTGGTGCAGAAACACATTTTATCATCAACCAGACAACAACTTTGGCACACAAACTACCGGCGCCATTGGCTCCATGTGTCCTTCTTGCAGTTTGAGAATTCCGGGCCAGTTCAATGCGCTTTAGGCACTTCCCTTCAGACAATCCCGGGATTTCCTTTTTGCCCAACTTCCCTTGTTGCAATATCATTACCCAAACTACACCCCTGTTATTTTTTGCAGTTGGATAGCAGAATTCATTACCTTACAAAAAAGAAAAAAAAGGGTTTAGAAGTTAGTTTTTGAGGGGGAAAGAAAAAGAACAGATTTTCCCTCCTTACATGGATCCTTTATGTTGCTATTTTGAAAGTACCAACTGCAGGACTTGTTTTTGGTCATCTGAACCTAATGCCCAAATTCTTGATATACACCTTTACTTTTTACAGTGCAATGATTACTTTCTCAATAGTATTGTAATCATTTTGTTGTATAATAGTACTACTTTTCACCTGACCCTGCTGCAGCAATTGGCAATGGGCCTTCTTACTTTTACCCAATTGGTGAAACTAAGAAGAGCTTGGAGTGGTGCAACAATTGTGGGCTCCTCTATGATTATCAGAAATCACTGGGAACAGTGACCTGAAAGGAATCTCAGTTGTTCTTATGAGGTGAGGTCCACCACTCACTGAATAGCACACCACACCAAACTCACTCACCTTATAATATAAGATTAGATCACTTGTTCATTCGTCTTCCATTCCAGGGCTCCTTCGAACTGCCCAACTTGTCTGTCAAATCCAAGAAAATCAACGCAACCTGTATGTATCTGTACATGATGATGATGGAAGAGGGGCGTCAAAGAATCAGATGCAGTAGCAGCAGCAAGGAAGCAATTGTGTTCATTCCTTTAGGTATTGTATTGTATGAAAGTATTGAACTTTTGGTCTTTAATACTGGACGTGGTGCTCTATCGTTTTCCGGGTTGGGTGTCCCCACGAGGGCTTGAAAAAGGAGGATGCCAATCGCTTTCCAGCGAGCAATAATTCATTCATTCATTCGGGAAAAATGAGGACCTCCTCCCTTGTTGATAGATATGGATATTTGCTTGCATGTGATGTGGCATCCATGGAATTAATGAACGAATCATTTATCTATCAATTCAATTTCTTGAATTGAAATGAATGATTCTTCATTCCTGCCATACCTTATAGCCTTTGCCTTCTTCTCTTTGAGCTGAGCAGCAGAGGGTTTTTTGATCAAATCTAAATCGAAATCTAACCCTAATTAGAAGCCAAGCTGTCAGTGAATTGGTGGGGAATGCAATGCAACTGGACACGACGGGTCGCTCGCTGGAGGGGGTACCGTATGGGCATGCTGCCACTTTGTTTTCTTGCTTAGGATAAGAAAGTGGGAAAGCTAAACAACAGAAACAAAAAAATCTAGAAGCACAAAACATGTGGCTGCAATTCGCCTTCTCAAATTTTTTTGGAACCACCTTATAGCTGTGTATGTATGTATGTATCCACCCATGTTCGTCCCCTTTCCTCTCTCTCTTACCCCTTCATGTTCTCTCTCTTTCTTCAGTTTGTTTGATTGGCTGCTGTGCTAATTTCTAATGGTTTCAGGTAAATCAAGGTTTGATTCACTCAAAAGAGCGTGTGAATAAATGCAAACCAAAGGTGCACACCACCTGTTCGACGAAATTTCTCTGAGAAAGTTGCAGCAGTATTGGAGGTAACATGAAATGGATGGTGGATTATTGCAGCCCACATAATTCTTGTACATGATCTTGATGTAGGATAGCTTAGCTGATTCAAACTTCTCTGTATGATATAGATTTCTGTTTCTTTGTGCTGTTCTTCATTTTCAGTAGCTCAAATTGGTTGGGTGATGTCAGGGGGCAGTTGTAGTGTAGTATGGTTTAGGAGGGATCTGAGAGTCGAAGACAATCCAGCATTAGTTGCTGGGGTGAGGGGCGGCGCCGTGGTGGCGCTCTTTATATGGTCTCCGGAGGAGGAGGGGGCGTATTATCCCGGGAGGGTTTCGAGATGGTGGCTTAAACAAAGTTTAGCCCATCTCGATGTTTCTCTGAGGAGTCTTGGCACTTCTCTTGTCACTAAGAGATCCACAGACAGTGTTTTGTCTCTCCTCGAAGTCATCGGCGCCACCGGAGCTACTCACCTCTATTTCAACCATTTATACGGTTAGTTCTTCCTCGTCTTCGATTGTAATGATTCGGAGAGTATGATGATTCTGAGTTCTTGTAGCTAGTTGATGATGTTTTTTCTTGTTTTAGACCCGATATCTTTGGTTAGAGATCACCGCGTAAAGGAAGTCTTGACGGCTAGGGGAGTGGTTGTGAAATCATTTAACGCGGATTTGCTTTACGAGCCGTGGGAGGTTCACGACCAGGAAGGTCAACCGTTCACGACCTTTGATGGATTCTGGAAGCAATGCCTTAGCATGCCGTATGACCCCGAGGCTCCTCAGCTCCCTCCGAAAAGAATCGTTTCGGGTACGATCAGTTTATCGAATTCCTGTAAATCATATCACGACGACGTCTCTGTTTGTGTAAGCTTTCTTTATCTTTGTTGATATGTCTGCTTTTTCTCGTCCAGGCGATGTTTCACAATGCGCGTCTGACGCTTTGGTTTTCGAAGATGAATCGGAGAAAGGCAGCAATGCACTTCTGGGTCGCGCATGGTCGCCGGGGTGGAGCAACGCCGACAAGGCTCTAACGACTTTCTTAAACGGGGCGCTTATAGAATACTCTGTCAACCGTCGAAAGGCTGACAGCGCTACGACGTCGTTCCTTTCTCCGCACTTACATTTCGGCGAACTCAGCGTTCGGAAAGTGTTTCATCTGATTCGGATCAAGCAAGTTCTCTGGGCGAACGAAGGGAACGTAGCCGGCGAGGAAAGCGTCAACTTGTTCCTCGAGAGCATCGGCCTCCGGGAGTATTCGAGATACCTATGTTTCAACCATCCGTACAGCCATGAACGGCCGTTGCTCGGGCACCTCAAGTATTTCCCGTGGAGCTTAGACGAGGGATGCTTTAAGGCGTGGAGACAAGGTCGAACCGGGTACCCATTGGTCGACGCCGGAATGCGGGAGCTCTGGGCGACGGGATGGCTACACGATCGGATACGCGTCGTGGTCTCGAGTTTCTTTGTGAAGGTTCTCCAGCTGCCATGGAGATGGGGGATGAAGTATTTCTGGGATACACTGCTCGACGCCGATCTAGAGAGCGACGCTCTTGGTTGGCAATACATTTCCGGATGTCTTCCTGACGGTCGCGACATCGAGCGAATCGATAATCCTCAGGTCTGAAACTGATTCTTCTTGCTATTCTGTGTTCTTGCGGGCGTAAAGTTTCTGCTTTTTATGTTTTCCGCAGTTCGAAGGCTACAAGTTCGATCCCAACGGCGAGTATGTCCGAAGATGGCTTCCTGAGCTCGCGAGATTGCCGACCGAATGGATACACCACCCGTGGAATGCGCCGGAATCTGTTCTGCAAGCCGCCGGAATCGAGCTTGGGTCGAACTACCCGCTGCCCGTTATCGAAATCGACGCTGCGAAAGCCAAGCTGCAACAAGCGCTGTCGCTGATGTGGGAGCAGAAGGCGGCTTCACAAGCTGCTATCGAGAACGGAATGGAAGAGGGGCTCGGGGATTCGTCTGAATCCAACCCGATCGCATTCCCTGCCCCGACGCAAATGGAAATGGACGACGCACCTGCAAGAATCAACCCGACGAACACAGCAACAAACAGACGGTATGAAGATCAGATGGTGCCGAGCCTGACTACTTCTTTCGTTAGGGTTGACGATGAGACATCTATCGATCTTAGATATTCTTCGGCCAGCAGAGGTGAAGTTCCATCAAATGCCAGTGTTACTGAGGAGCGGAGAAGAGAACCAGCGGAGAACCGCGCTGTGCAGACTACGAGAACCAACGAGGCGTATCCGGAGTTCAACGTTGCAAGAGCCCGTAGAAATTCCGAGGAATCCACAGCAGAATCTTCCAGTGGGAGCAGAAGGGATGGCGGCGTCGTTCCTGTGTGGTCTCCTGCAAACTCGAGTTATTCTGATCAATTTGGTGGCGACGAAAATGGGATTGGAGCTGGTTCGTCTTACTTGCAGAGGCATCCGCAGTCTCACCAGATACCAAACTGGAGGCGCCTTTCTCAAACCGGGTAAGTCTAATAACATATAGCCACTGTTTACAAAAGTTACGGCTATTTACCTCTATCTAAAATAATCTAGAATAACAAGTTTAACTAAGATCATAGTTCGAACTTTTTGCAAATAACCGTAGAAGCTCGAATCATGTGCGGATCACACTCTTTTAAAGCCTATTAAGTAATGCTCGTATTCGCGGCTTGACTAAGAAACTAAGAATATGCATATTCAAATTTAACCTTTTCTAAGATTCTCCTTAACCTTCTACGTTCTTTTACTTCGTTTATCTACGCCAGGTGATTGTCGCCAGGTAAGACATCTGCCATAATCTGTGGCGCGATGACTCTGCAAGCAACTTGAACTAGCGATGACTCTGCAAGCAACTTGAACTAGTTCAGACGGCCTATTCTTGACCTTTTGTATGTCTATATGTTCTCCTGTTGTCTAATACCGGTGTCTCTTGTACAGTATGTATATTATTCTCACTACCAACACTAGAATATATATATGTGCGTGTGTGTCTAGACATAAACAAACGTATGTGTCTAAGATGATATTCTAATGACGACAGAGGGGAGGTATTATCGATCTTTTCACTATGCAAAATATATGTTGATGCAATTCAGATCTTACGACCGTGCTAGATTTGTTGTGAGTGTTGCGCATCGTCTTTAATAAGTACCTACAAAGATGTATGCATAGAAAGTCTAACCTTTTTGAATGTAGAGGGAATACATTAGTCCAATTGTTGCAGAGAATAGGAACCGAAATGACGTCCTGCAACTTGTTTAAAAATGCATAGGGAGGGAGGTCAGATCGATGACAAATAGGGGCCAAATAAATAAACCTGAAATGTAACAGGAAGAGTTATAGGGGGGCCGTTTTTGGTCATTTTTGCTTGCGCGGAGTTTTTTCGTGAGGTGGAAGAGGAACGCCAAACACCCAGTCGAGAACGTTGAGGTACTTGGATCTGAAGACATCCCTCTCCATAGCATAACAGTGCATGATGATGGCAGTGGATATGCTGAAGATGCAAACATCGACCCTTTTAAAAGTTTTAGGCCGAGGCAAGTATCCGGTATCTGTCATGCAGATGAAGAAGCTTTCGATTGCACGTGCCAGGCAGTATAGAGATATCTCTATTCTCCTGCTCTTCTTCTCGATTCCCAGTGCTAAACCTGTTGGAAACTGTCAACAGAAAGATAGTACGCTTCAGACAGGGTGACATGGAAGGATTGTAAAGATCTAACGAAAGGGATAAAGGGAGACTTGTTTACCGTTCCCATTGCCACCATGGGGATGTTGCATTTCTTGAAAATTCTGAACAGGATGCAGGTCCACATCCTAAAAGGAAGAAACAAACCGACAAAATTAATACTTGTAATCTAATAATAAGAGATTATTGTAATAAAATAAACTGCTGTAGTAGTAGTAATGAGACAATGATTTGGAGAATATTGTGAATAAAATGAAATTTTGAACAGAACAATAAAATTTTTGTTTCCTGAGAAGCAGGATTCGCCCTCTTATACAAGTGGAAGAAAAAGGGGAAGATGAATTTCTACGTAGAGAGATTACCGGAGGATAGCAATAGCCTCATTTCATACTAAAAAATGGCCCCAAGTCAAAGAAAAATAATTTTCCGAAAAAAAAAAAATAGCATTCTCGCATTCTAAGTTCACTAGTTCCCACTTTCAGCCCCCAACACGCAATAAAAAGATAAAAAGGGAACAATTGATCTGAATTACTGGATGTCATGCAAAGCATAAAATAGATATTTCAATATGCCAATTTTACTTTCACGACTTCATAAGCGCTGAGAATATCGTATGCATGTCAATACAATCATCCAGACTAAAATAGTTTCCATTCTAAGCTAGGAGATGGTGTTCCCAGAGTCCAAGAAAAAACTCTAAAGCTTATGATATTAAACACTTTCTAAATGAATTGCTTACCAGGCAGATGAACAGTACAGTGAAAGGAACAAGCTTGACCTTGCAGTGCCTAGAAGTCCTTTCCATAAAATTGTGTAAGGCCTGAAAAGAATTATAGGTGGTACTGATTAGTATTAACTATAATTTAAACGATAACCCAAGAATAAGAAACTTCAAGGGGAAGAGCCGACGTGTAATCAGACAGGATATCAGCGTAATGGTTGGACTGTATCACACATATCAGAAGTGAGAAGTCAATGATCATAATAACATGACAACAGCTTACCTTTTGAGGAGACCTTGACGATGAACAATCAAAGCAGGAATTAAATAAACTGGAAGATAAACTGGCAGGGCTCTTTTATAGGCTTGAAGTAGAAAAGAAAAGAAATGTGTGCTGCATGTTTGGTTTCCATGGATCATCTGCACAGAATGAATTATTACTAGTACAAAATCTCCTGGTCTAAGTTAAAAGGGAAAAAACAGTCATCAGCAATGAATCTTGCTTTGTTCTATTATATAAATATGTAATATGTTAAGGATATATAATAAGAGTTTTTTTTTTATTCTTCGGGTGCAACATGAGGACTTTCAAGGAAGTCACCCATCTTAGTACAAATCTTGTCCAAACACACTTGATTTTGGAGTTCTAATGGGATTCGGTACACTAGGCTGCTATGGGTTGTGCAAGATTGTATAATAGTTTCAGTAAAAGTGATTAGGTTCTTTAAACTTCAACTGCTAAAATCAAAGTAATACCAAATAGCACAATTTTTTAGGTCCCTTTTCATAAGAACAGAGAACATCTATGTGCAGATTAAAAAATCTTGGGAACAGCATCTCTGTGTGTGTGTTTTTTTCCTCTTAATTTGAAGATGATGCTCCCTTGATTATTAGGCTGACAAAACTTCTATCCAAGAAAACAAAATTATTCTTACTAAATAAATGGCCTGCAATATTCAACCTAGAATGATATTCATGACACATGCAATGGTAAAGAAAGAAAAAACCTTCCTAGGCCCTTTTTTGATGTCTGAGAGCAGTAGATGACAAAGCGAATCAAGATTTTAACCAAAACTCTCACCTTGGAAGGTTTTGGATGTGAGAACCATAATCCATTATGTTTGGTGTGTTTGTTTGGGGGATTGGATTTTAAATACTAAATTCATCCTATTTTTTCCCCCTAAAAACATCAAATCAAACACCTATTTTTTATATTATACTAAAACTCAATTTTATATTCAAAACATCACATCAACACCTATTTATATTACATCATACAACTATTCAAATTCAAAATTTTTACTATTCAAATCCCAACTCAATATCCAAACCCCCAAACAAACACACCTTAATTAAGCTATATGTAAGCTAAATAAAACAAATATTGAAAACTCATACAAGTCATAATCTGATTCCTATAATTCTTACATATCAAAATATTGAAAAAACCATAATCCATTCTGCGTCCTATATGTAAGAAACAGTGATATAAAGCCATCCAAGCATTTGATAACTACAAATTTTCTTATTAGATAAAATCAAATAAATATTGCAAAATATGAACGTATGTATAAAGAATTTGTGTTAAGAAGCTTGGCATACCGTGCAAGGTATTTTCATTTGTGGATCTAGGATAATGTTGACACCATTGGACTTGTAAAAATTTTCTATTCCTTCCAAATTTGTGAAAGGAAGACCGCATGCAATCTCTTTCACACCATTCAGGATGACAGGATCTTTTCCTCCATGTTTAATAAGAAACGACTTATATGATGAGGGCAGACTATCTTGTTTCAATATGTAAGCAGACCTGAAAAAGAACGATTCAACATTCCGCTGTTAAAATTATATCGCTGAGAAATTTATTCAACCAACAAACACTGAAGCATCTAACAACCATATCCCCTGAGAAACTACCAAACAGAAAAGAAAGAAGCGGATTTTGAAATATAACTTGACGGCATCAAGGCAGATAATAACATGACCAAAGACTGACTGGATGACAAACAATCAATGTTTAAACGGACTGGCTTGATAGCTGTCGCTTGAATGCCACACATCTATGACAAGATAACAAAGTCTTTCCATAACACATTCTACACTGCATATATTCTTTTAACAAACATTGAAAATTGCACACACATACCCTGCTAACATTTTCTTGTCAGTGAAATTCAAGGATATAGTTGATTCTTGTTATAATTAACTGCAATTTCTCATATTTTTGTAAGTTTCAAATCTTTCCAAGTATTAATAAATTTCAGAAGAGAAAACAAAGTCAATTGCTTTTTTATTAAAGAAAAACACCAGAAAATCATTCGATATTTCACAATAGATAAGAGATATATATTTCTTCTGCACATTTTCATGCTGCATGCTTTATGCACACTAATCGCTTCAAATGGAAGGACATCAATGCCAAAAATGCACCCAGCCACTCAACCGTGTAATGCATTATATAGTCCCACAAGAAATTCAAAAAACGGAAGCTTCAAATACTGGAAAATAAGTTATGTGGGAAATTAAAGGCACTGAAATATTGAAGTAGAACTAGCTGGTTACAAGCATAGAAATAGGATTCTTACAGAATCTGGGAAGAGGACAGACACATAAGAAAAATATCTCCATGAGCCCACGTTAGAGGCTTACATATGTGCCCAAATCTCTTGCTTTTTATCCCACATCGTGAAGCCAATACAGTGGCACGCATAAGAATATAAATAGCCAAGCTTGTGTGCTGTGTGTCCAACCCAGTAAGCAGCATTGATGGCCCTGCTATTGCACCAGCTAACAATGCTCTCCACGTTGCAGTCCTATTATATTTTTAAGAAATCTCAACAATTAACATGCTGAATATTGACATTGATATACAATTTTTCAACAACTAATATCAGCTGCTGGAACTAATCTTATAGAATAAAGTTCAAAATAATGAGAAAACATTTTTAAAAAAAACACTGATACATGACAAGGTAATGAATAGGAAAAACCACACCTGCGATGACCGCCCAAAGCAGCAATAATTTCATCAACAGACACAAAGGTCCCAGCAAATGTTCCTAGAAATAGTCCATATCTTAGTGTCTCTTTCAGAGCCAAAATCAGATCTGCCTTAAGTGAAGTCATTTCTGCTTTCCTGAGAAAGAACCACACCCATATCTCAGTTACATATTTTTGTTCTAAATTACACATAATCACAGGAATTATATTGTTATGATATTTTCTGAACCATATTGTATTTGTCCCAGGTCATTAAGGAGCATATTATCGAAAAATTTGGAAAAACACCCCTCCCAGTTGCACCACTCCACAGCATTCCAATTTTACTGTGTTTAACTAAACTAGTAGTGCAAAAATTTATCAAAACCGACTACGACCACTAATGTGGCAGAAAATTGAAATTTGAATAACTGCAGCAACATATCTTTTAGTGTGTGTATTATTATTTCTCTTAATTTTTTTAGTTCAACTCAATAGTTAGATTTATGCTACTAACTAGTTTGTCTCACATATTATGGACTGATATCCGCATCTTAAACAACTAAGGTACACAATACATATAGATCATTTCTATGTAACAGTAACGATTTGTTTTCAATGGTTACAAAAAATCATATCAGTCCACAAACCAAATTCTTCTTAAAAATGTTATAACAAGGAAACACTGATATAACAGTAGTTTGAAAAAAATGTATCTGAGTTACAAACTAGATATAACTTACAAAGGGGTCATTTTTCTTTACAAGTCTACTTATTTAATTAAAACTTTAATCCTTTGTAAATGCAACACAATCATATGTTGTATAAGTATAATACAGGGCATAAGCTGTACGAAATATGCCAAACAACTATTCAAATTTAAAATTTTTACTATTCAAAATCCAACCTCCATACAGGCACACCCTCAATCACCCTTATTTCATGATTTCAGCCTTTAATAGTAACATGCAGATCTAATTTCACCAACTTTCCCAATTGAACTTTCTGGCAGGAACACACCATTCCTATCTAGTAAGTTAAAGAAAGAGATAAATTGCATCAAACTAAACAACTTTCGTCATAATTCAAGCAATGAAGCAAATTGAGACTCATTAGCCACTGAATCAAGCAGACACACTGACAAACCAGAAATCAAAATCAAAATTCCCCAATTACGAGTCAAATCAAGGACTATGAAAGCTGAAGGAGCAAAAACAAACAGTAATTACTTGGATGACGGGAGCAATCGCCGACGGCGGAGGCGCGTGAGAAGCGCGAAAATGGCCAATCCACCTTTGAGCCCAGCGCCTATGGCGAAGCCTTTGACCGAAGCCGTATACACTCTCCACGTCTTGTCATAATCCTGAACCGGATACGAGTCGAAACTCAGTAGAGAGCAAGACGAAGATGACGACGGTAATCCAGATTTCGACGATCGGCTCCTGCTGCATTCATCGCAGTCGTTCTGGCCACACCCGCACCTCGCCACCTCATCCTTCGAGCAAGAACCCTCACCTCCGCCTTCCGACTCCGCCATCGCCGGTGGAGATACTCCTCCGATTGGAAGAGACGCCGAGAAGCGCACAGGGGTTATCGAACAAGCGGCGAGAGAGTACGTGACTTGCACGTGGGTAGTTCGTTGTAATATTTATGTGTTTATTTATGATCCAATTAGGGCTTGTTTTGGACATCCCTAATTTTCGCCAATTTTATTTTTATTATTTATTTACCAGGGGTTATATCCTGTTGGTCCGTTTAGATTTACTATATTTAGAATGAAATTGCATTAAATAATAATAAAAATATATAGAAAAAATGAATTAAATAAAGAATGAAAAATGATTTTTTTTTTTATAAAATAAAATTTTAGTTGCTAAATATAAAAAAAAAATACAACAAGATTCCCATAAATAGGGAATAGTATCTTGCAAATGAAAAAAAAATTAATAAAGAAAAAATAATAAATCAGGTAAAAAATACTTCATCCGTCCAGTATACATATTTTTATTTACCTTATATCATATCAATATTTTTATACGAAAAAGTAAAGGCAAAAATATCATTACACTACTTTTATCTATCCACTATTATTTTTTATTTAGATTCTTCATTTTAATAATAATAATTTAAATATAATATTTTTTGAAATCGGCATAACATAAAAATTATAAAAGATAAATAATGATAAAAGAAAATATATCAAATAAAAAACAAACTAAACCGTAGAAAGTTAAATTGTATAAAAAAGAAAAAAAAAAACAATTAAACACACTGTATTTTATTCAAATTTTTCTTTCAAATTCTTTGCATATGATAGAAATAAATTTAGAGAATGGTTTTTTTTCTTTTGTTTTTTTAATCTTCAATTCTCTGTCTCACAATTTATTTACATTTTTTTCATGTATAAGAAACGGTAAGCAAATAAACAAAACAAAGTACATATTTTTCTCATGCATCTAAATAAATAAAATAAAGTAGCATGTTTCCCTATCACAATCAAGGCATCATTGACTATTGAAAATAAGAATTTAATAACAATAATTAGGCCAACCTTTTTCCTTTATGATTAGGCCGGCAACTCCGAACACCACAATTATTTTTGTTTAGCATAATATATATATATATATATATATATATTAATAATATAAATAAAAAAAATAAATAAAACTATGAGCTCTTTTGAACTAAAGACTCTGAGCACTTGCTTATATTGCTATTTTTTATAATTGGTAATGTAAATTGTAAATAGGATGAAATATATGTAACAATTTATCAAAAAAGATTAAATTGAGAATAGAGAGCAGAGTGTAAGAAAATTGCATTATAGCCCTTTCATTAATTAATTTTGACCATACATATATATATATATATATGTAGGAGTTAGGTGTAAAGATAAGAGGTTGAAGGTGTTGGTAGTTCAACAACTAATACTATGATTGAAAATGATTGATTGTTTTTGCATGCAAGGCGAGGGCCTCCTACTCTTAGCCAACTCTATTGTGGCTGACATTCCTGCCCATGGTTTTCAGTCATACTTTATTTCATATGTGCGAGCTTTTATCGTGTATGATCGACTAATAATCCATATCTTGGTGCAGGTACGTATTCAGCATGATTGTTCCATACTGTATGGTATATTCCAGGCGTATTGCGCACATGAGACTACTGGTCTGGGCCTCAGCGTGGGCGTGGCCTAGATGCCGAACATGTCAGCTTTCGGACACATTACACTACGATTCAATAATGTCTCCACCGTACAAAAACTGGATAAATTAGATTTAGAATCACTTTTCAATAAGTTTGTTTTGGTGCACAACAACAACAACACAAATAAATATTAATTAATTAATAATAATAATCATAATAATAATTTTTCATCTCAGTTAAGGAGTTTTTGTTTTAGTATTTTGATAATTTGTCTCTATTTCACATAATTTGTTATTATTATTTTTTTTTACAATATGATTATACACTTTAATCTCATTTTAAATTTTATAGTTTATATAATTTTTTAATATTAATTAAACTATTTAATTATCTTAATTTTAACATATATATAATTATTTTTACTATACAATAACTATTTCTACTAATATTTATTAATCATATTTTACTTAAATTCATGTATTTATAGTAATAAGCCCAAATGATCTAGGATGGAAATATTTAACGTTGACTTTTATAAAAAATAAAATAAAATACTATATATTAGTGTTAGAAAAAAATATGGACAAATAAACCTAAACGTTCTAATTATTCTAATTCTAGTTTATTTCTATGGAGTATAATTTATACTTCATCCATCCAACCAAAAAGTATATATATTTTTATTTTGAGATGTCCAATTACAAAATAAATATTTCATTAAATATCTTTACTTTTTTTCACAAATACCTTTTTTACGTCACATCATTACTTTTACACTTAAAAAACAAGGGCAAGGTCAAAAATGTCATAACACTACTTTTAACTATCCATTATAATTAAAATACTATTATTTTTTAAATACCCATTGTAAATAGACGAGGGAGTATTTATTTTGTCCAACTCAACATATCTATTTATTTTTTAGTAGATTAATAAAATAATACAATATTTTATTAGTAGGTAGAAATATATAAAATGGTTAATAACATTAATTTAAATTTTCCACTAACTGTTCGGAATATTTATTTCCCTTAACAAATGGTATTAAAAGACCCACATAAACACAAGTAATAATATGGGCGTGTTCTTTTCCCGTATTTCCTGTAATTTAAAATTTTGATTTAAATAATTATTAAAGATTGTATTTTAGAAAAAGATATATATATTATTTATAAAAAATTAAGATAAATTTGTAAAAATAAAAAAAAAAAAAAGGTCAAAACGGACATAAGCATAACTCGATGAGGAATAATAAACGGGTCTGTTACATAATATTAATACGTTATATCAATCTGTCATTTACTATTATTGAAACTATATATATATATTTGTGCAGGAAACGTCATTTCATAACAGGCGTCAGTCTGGTGCACAGAGCCACGCGGAAACAGTGGTAGAGAAAAAGAATGTCTACTCTCTGCGTTCCTGCACATGTTCCATCGGCGAGCGAGGACTGCGAGCAGCTGCGCAAGGCGTTTTCAGGTTTGATCGGCCGATGATGTTCTTAATGAGGTTTTGTGTTGGAGGCTTATTTCAGATATTTTTGGATTTTGACTGTTTCGCTTCGGTGTTTTTATTGATTTGATCGGTCAGTGCTCTTGATGATTTAAGGTGTTGCCTGGATTTCAATTGGTTATATATCTCTGAAATTTTAAGATTTCTATTTGCGTTTGTACTTTTTCTCCCCATGAAAATAATGTGGTGCGTGGTGGTGTAGAACTAATGGATTTTTCTGTGAAATGTGTACATCTTCGTCCCTGATGTGATGATCTGACAAAATAAAATTAAAGGTGTATGAATTTGATCCGACAATCTGTAACTGACTATTGAGTAAGTAGATCCATACATGATTGTGTAGTTTGACTGCAGATGCATTGTTAGTTTTTGTAAGAAGGTTGTGAAGAATCTAACCATATGTGATAATCTGTTAATCTTGTATCTTATCACCGTGGAACGTTGGATCTGTTAGTTTTGTTGATGCAGGATTATGCCATCTGATCTCAGGTTTCTGTATTATACTATTATAGTGAGTTGTTGACATTCATATTAACGTGAGTTATTGCTTAATGTCACGCTGTGTATGTCATGGAATTTGTCGTTAGGATGGGGAACAAACGAGGACTTGATCATATCTATTCTGGGGCACAGAAATACTGCCCAGAGGAAGTTGATCAGACAAGTTTATGCAGAGACGTATGGAGAAGATCTACTCAAAGCGTTGGACAAAGAATTAACACGTAACTTTGAGGTTTAATGCAAATCATTTTTCTCTGACTTCTGCGCGTTTTACATTGCCTTTATTCAATGCATATAAGATCATTTCATCAGGCAATTTTATCACTAATCATGCTGTCTTGAAATTATATTGTTATCCTTTTGTTGCATTTCTACGTTAGAGACTGGTATTGCTCTGGACACTGGACCCTGCAGAGCGTGATGCGCTATTAGCTAATGAAGCTACAAAAAAGTGGACAGCAAGTAATCCAGTTCTTGTTGAGATAGCTTGTACAAGGTCTCCAAAAGAGTTGATTTTGGCAAAGGAAGCTTATCAGGCTCGTTTTAAGAGATCTTTGGAAGAAGATGTTGCTTACCACACATCGGGGGACTTCCGCAAGGTAATAAAAGCAACAGATCATGTTAGTGACTTATTAATACTCTCTTCGTCCACAAATTAATATCCTACTTTCTTATTTGGAACATCCAAGAATTATTGTCCTATTTTTATTTTTATACACGTAATTTACATTTTTACCTTTACTTTATCTATCCGTTTCTTTTTTACACATAAAATAAAGGACAAATTCGTCAATTCACACCAAAAAATCAATTACCTAAAAAAAAAAGAACTGAGGGAGTACTATTTATATTACTGCATAAGCAATGATAAACCCCAAAAAGGAAAAAGTAATTGATAACATAACATGGTGCTAGGTGATAAAAGGTAACAAATCATATTGTTAATGAATTAGTTATGCTATCTATATGGCTACCTTGAGAAAATGATAACAGAACAAGGGGTTGATGGAATTGATAAGAAGGCTATGGAAAGAGAGGATCACCAGTAAAAGGAAATTTCGTTTGACTGGTGATTTTTATTGATGCTCTTACTGGTTGCAAATTATTTTATCAATGTAATCCTTTGTTGGAACGTTTATTTTGTTTCTCAAGGAATGTTTATCTCAAAGTTGTGGTTTGCATGTTCTAAAATGAATACAAGTGTCTCACAACAAAATGTCATAGAGCTAAATTGAATTAGTTTCCAATGTGCTCTTTCTGTAATAATTGAATTAGTTTTGATGTCAACTAGCTTAGAAAAGATCAGAGCACTGCTAATATTTGTGATTTGGCATTTATACAAACTATTCATTTATGGCCTACTTTGATTTTGGAAATTCAGCTCTTGCTTCCATTAGTCAGCACATATCGGTATGTGGGAGATGATGTCAACATGACTCTTGCGAAAACAGAAGCTAAACTCTTACAGAAGAAAATCTGTGAGAAGGAATACGCCTGTGAAGATGTCATTAGGATATTGACCACAAGAAGCAAAGCGCAAGTCAATGCAACTCTTAACCAGTACAAAAATGAATTTGGACATGACATAAACAAGGTGCGTATGTCGGTATGTAGGCCAGATTAATTTGTCAATGGAGCTATGTTAATGATTTTGAGTCCTTTCTTGAATTTCCAGGATCTGAAAGCTGACCTTAAAGATGAGTTCTTGGCACTATTAAGAATTACTGTGAAGTGCTTAATCTACCCTGAGAAGCACTTTGCCAAGGCCCTCCGCCTTTCGATCAACAGGTTGGGCACTGATGAAGGAGCCCTCACCAGAGTTGTCGCCACCCGGGCAGAGGTCGATATGAAGGTCATCAAAGGCATGTATCAGAAAAGAAACAGCGTGCCCCTGGAAACAGCCATTGCCAAGGACACCCATGGCGACTATGAGAAGATGCTCTTGTCCCTGATCGGGCATGGCGAGGAGTGAGTGATGTCTTAAAATCATCCATCTGAGTTTTCGTGATTCAGGTAACATTTCATTTTCAGCTCTTACTATTATCATATTGTGGCTGTCTTTGTGTTCTTGAGTGCTATAATAAGCTTCTTCACTGGAGCATTCATCTCTGTTGTCTATATGGTTTGCTTTTATAAATTTGGTGTGACCTCAGCTGAATTCTCTCATTCATTCCAACCATTAATTTCAAATTTTGTGCTACCAAATATGAATATGCCTCTGTCTATAATTCAGTTTTAGAAGTGTGTATTATTAGAAAAGAGAAGGACATAATGCAGTCTTGTATTCAATAATTGAAATTTGAATATATATATATATATATAATGTGTATATAATAATATAACATGTGTAGAGACAGCTTGAGGGATGTGCAAAATTCAGTTTTGTTGTTATTGATTATGGATGAGTGTGATGGGAATGGAATGCTTTTTACAGTAGTTAGTAGTGATGAGTTAGATATGGTGTCATGATTATTAATTGTTTCCATCAGTTTTCCCAATTCGTGTGGGTAATGATTTCTTCTGCTCTGGGGACCATTCTTTGCTTTATTTGCTACTTTCTTCAGGTTTTGAGATATTACTCTGCTCATTCAAATTTAAGAAACTTCTTCTTGGGATTGAGATTGGGATGGGATGGGTTCATTTCCTGTTTAATATATATATATAGGTTTCGAAATCTTTATTGAATTTTAATATAATGATGATTCTTCTCTTGTGCGAGACTTTCAACGATGAAATCTATAAGTCGAGCTTAATATTCTGTAAATTAGGTTCGATAAGTCAAATTACAAGTGGAAGTTGCTGACAAACCAAATTCGATGAAAAAGTCAAACTAGGCGAAACATGTGTGGCAGATGACCTGAGGTCGTATCCCTTACGGACCAAATTTAGATATTTTGAATACAAAATATGATGTTTAATAGTATATTGTTTTAAATAAAATTCTGTATTATATAGTATGATATTTTTTAAAGAAAATTTTGATGAACGATGTCAATATAAATTTGAAAACATATTTATAAGCCTAAATGGATGTGACGTGAACCGGTTGAAAAATATCAATTTCTCTTTTAATTTAGGCTGTGTTAAAAATTAAAAATATATAACAGCAGCAAACATAAATTCTCTCAATTACGTACAATTAATTAATGCACAATAAATGTACCTAGCTCAAAAATTTCTAAATAAAATAAATGCAACGTGATTGCAATTTATCAGGAATATACAAGGAATTAATTAAATAATTAATAAATCACAAGCTAATTATTAATACTTATAATAAGTATCCCAAATTATAATATTATAAAACAGTCCCTTAAAAAAAAAAAAAGGGGAATTCCTATACATACGTATCCGTACGTATGTATATCTATAACTGTATGTATACATAAAGCCCTATACTATAATCAATCAATCCTGTAAAAATAATTATTGTAATTATCATACTTTACGACACCAAAAAAACCAAATAATAATAATATATAATGAAAAATAATAATTATTATAATATAGTGTGTATGTATCTATCTGTTGTATATAAAAATCAATCAATGAGAAGTACACATCCACGAGCCTACGGTACCTTCGCCGGCGGCGGCGGCGGAGCCGCCTGCTGCAGCTGCATTATCATTGTCCATGCCTTTCTCCGCTGTATTCAAATTGTAGGCTGCGGCGGCGCCACCACTCAACGGCGCTCCTCTACCAGTGCCGCGGCCGTCGTCGAATCCCACCACGTTGTGATTCCCTGCAGCTGCAGGAGGTTCTTCAATTCCGCCAGCATTGATATTCCTCGCCACTGTTAATTCTGATCCGCTTTTCCATCTTCTTCCGTCGCCATCAAACGTGGTGCTTTCCCTGCTCAGGAATCCACTCAGATTGCCCAAATTCATGGCCGCCCCCAATTGGAGAGGAATATTGATGCTGTTATTCCGCTGCTGCTGTAGATGATTGAGTAGATGATAATTGCTCGTGTAGTTCATTTCTTCGTTTGGATTATTGCTGTTACCAGATATGGAATTGGAAGAAGAAAACGGCGATGGAAGCTTGGACGGATTAGGTCGCGGCGGGTACTGCAGTGGCCGGAAAGAGTACGGAAATCCGCCTCCGGTCCGCAGCGCCGCCGCTGAGGGGTTGGAGAACAGATCGAAGCTTCTAGAATAAGGGGAGGCTGCGGAGAATGGGGAGGCGGGGATTCCGGTGAACTCCTGCACCATTTGCCTGAAATTGGTGACGTCGGTGGTCAGGACGGTGGTCGGCGCCCGGCGGGAGGCGCGTGTCCGCTTCTTCGGATTTTTTACGGCGGCGTTCGGCGACGGGCGTTGGGAATGATCTATGGAGGAAGACGGGGCGGGGAACGTGGCCTGCAGTGTAGCCGTCGGATCGGGTGCAGTCGGCGGCGGCGGTGGAGGAGGAGACATTAGGGTTCCGAAGTAGGGAAAATTGGCGTCGGATCGTCCCACAGATCTACTGTTATTATTATTATTATTCCAAAGGAGATGATGATTAGTGTTACTGCTATTGTGGTTGGTATTGGGAATACTGGTGTGAAGATTATTGTTGTCGAAGAAATTGGGGTTTTGGTGATGATGAGGAGAAAGAAGAAACTGAAGCTGCTGCTGCTGCTGATGATGAGTGGGTGAGATGGAATCTGGAAAATCGTGGTTATGGGTATCATGATCTCTGACAGTAGTGCTCCCACTATTGGCAGACTCCATAGCCACGGAGAGGAAAATCTGAGTATGAGAATTGGGAAGGAAAGGAAAGGAATAATATATATATATATATATATGTATATAGAAATAATAAAATATTAGTTAATTAGAGTAGCAAGCAAAGCAAGCCCATAAAAAGTTGCATGAAAAATGGAAACAGCTGGGTAGCTAGGTAGCTAAGTGGATGGATAATGATCTGATCTGATCTGATGAGATAAAATCTAAAATAAGATCAGCAGCGGTAGTCTGAGCAACTGGTCCATAACAACGACGATGGATCGGATGGGATAGGATTGGATCTCAATTCAAAAAACGAAAAGTGGTGGTGGATCATGAAACATTGATGGATGGATCTGAAGCAGCTGCAGCAGAAAAATAAAAGTAGGGTTTCGAGGGAGGAGAGAAGAGGAAGAAGAAGAAGAAGGAAAGGAGGTGAGATTAATAGTAAATAAAGAAATAAATAAATGAAGGTGGAGGAAGCTTGAAGGAAGCTGCTCTCTAGAAATTGGATGGATGGATGAGATGGAATTAAGCTGAAGAAATTAAATTAAAGAGGAATGAATGAATTGATTGATTAAAGGTGGACAGAGTTAAAGAAAGAAATGGACATGGAAGGAAGGAAGGAAGGAAGGTTCGGGTAGGAGATGATACAGTGGCGATCGATCCAGGAGAAGAGAGGATTCGAGACGACGGGTCAAACACAAACTCCACACCACTCCACACTACACGATATATATATACACATACGTACATACGCAGAGAGAGAGAGGGAGAGTATGCATGTATGCATGTATGTATATCTAGTGAGAGAGAGAGAGAGAGAGAGAGAGAGAGAGTGGATATGGTATATATATTGAAAAACTGAAACTGTGGGAGCCTCATGAGTTGAACATCCAGTGTGAATTCAAGAAATTAAAACCCTCTCCCTCTCTCTCTCTCTGTATACATATAGTATATCTGTATACATACACACCTCTCTCTCTCTCTCTGTCGTGTGTATGTATGTATGTATAGGTGGGGATGGGGTACGTTAATTAGGGTTGGGTGGAAAGGGAGATATTGGAATATTGAGTGATACACGAGGCATTTAATTTAATTTAAAGGATACATATATATATATATATGGTTGGTAAAAACATGGTTAGCATATATATATATATATATATATCTATGCCGGACAGCACCCGCCGCCGTCTGCCGGATTTTTCACGCCGGCGCTGCATGGACGACTATATATGCCTTCATTATTTATTTAATTTAATTTAATACTGTCTCTGCCTGTCCTGTCCGTGGGGCGTGGGCGTATCAATACCAATACCAATACCAATACCATGCCATCCATCTTACTTAATTTTTCCATTACTATTCTTAATCAATTCATTAAAATATATACACAATATACTTTAATGTCATAGTATGTATGGAAGATGATTTAAACAATATACTACTACTTATATAAATAAACTTGGGAAAGAAGACATGTCCTTTTCACAATCTTCACTTTTTCTGTGGTTCTATTAAAAGCTCAATAGAAGATCTCCATGAAACCCCCCACCCCCACCCCCACTCCATTATTTATTTATTTATTATTATTATTATTATTATTATACACACATATATTAGTTTACTAATATTCTTTTCAAAAGACAATTAAATGCACTAATCCAGTTACCCCCAAAGAAATGACAAAACTACAAACCATGTACTAACATGATTTAATCCAAGAAATACTACAATATAAACAAATCAATCAATTTCAGTTAAATACTTAAGAGCATAATCCTCCAATTAACAACCAAAACTATTGAAATCAACATGGTAGAGAAAATCATTTTCACAACCCTACCAAAAAATCACACATAAAGACATAATAATTTATTGAATTGATTTGTGACATGTGTGATGGTGAAAAAATAATACTATATGGTACTATTATTATGACATATTAACGAACTTAATTGGGTGCTGTATTATAATATATATATATATATATATATTCCTAGCAAATAAAAAATTTAACATGATTAGTTGAACCAAAGTGTAATTAGCTACAACTATAATTAAATTAAGTAATTAAATCAATATTGGTCTACACTAGGTATAGGGAGCCAGTGACACATATATTTATTAAAATTAAATTTTTAAAGGCAATAATAAATAATTTTTAATATATCTATTAATGGGAATTTTATTATTATTGGGTGTGAGTGGGCATTGGGCCAACCCTATCGTCCATCAAATTAAAGATCCCAAATTCCTCTTAATATTATTATATTTATTAATTAAGGTTTTCAGAGAATATTTAAAATTTGCGGCTAAATAAATAAATAATTAATAGCGTGTAGTATTGTGATATATTTAGATAATTTTATAAATATGATTTTGATTAATCGCTACATACAGCCCAGCTGTTTAACTTTTATGATTTATTACGAGGTTGTTTCAATTAAATGAAATGAAATAAAGTAAAACAGATTTATGCAAGTATTTGAAATCATTATAAAAGAAGAATGAAACGTAAAATAAATATTCATAATATAATGTTTCAATCAAAATCAATGTTGAACTTTTTAGATGGATAGAGCATAAATTAATATTTTGATAGAGTTAAATAAGATAGTATATATTTAAAATAATATTTTTAGAAAAAAAAAAAACTGACAATTTAATTATAAAATAAATTTATCCCTCTCCAATGTCATAGAAGCAAATTCTTGCAGTTGTTGGGTCCCATTTCTTCTTCAATTTATTTATTTATTATTTTCTGTACAGAAAAATGATTTGCATCTGACACTGAAATACTGAAAAAATTGTGGAGCTACATTGGCCCATATCATCATCATTAAATTTCAGCCCATTAAATAACTTGCTAAGAAGACAAATTTTATTTCTTTTTTAAATTGGCTTTGGTTCAATTATAAGATCAAAATGTAAATTTAATTGAGAATTAGAAGCCAAGAACTTGCATTACATTGATTTTAATCAATCTCAATATTAAAATACCAACACAAATTTCAACATTATTTTTCATCACAATTGCAAATAGGCAAAAGCCAAAAAAAAAAAAAAAAAAAAAAAAAAAAACACACCCCATCTCTGAAAAAACATAAAATTGTTTGCAAGACAAAATTATAAATAAATAAATAGTAATAAAATCAAATCCAGACACAATTCAGGCAATGTTATAGCATTCATTCATTCAGTACAATCACTGACTTCCATTTCCTGGAAACTCTCAGTACCATCACTTTTACCCAACAAATTCACTCTGCAATCACCAATATTCACCCTCATCTATCTATCTACATATTACCACATCCAATAATCATTGGAAAAAAGTAACAATAAAAATTTGCAAACAAACTAACAAACAAGGCCATGAACTCAGTCAAATGAAGAATTGCAGACTATGGATGAGTGTATGTCTATGGCTCCCCATACAAAGCAAGATCCCTTTACCAGCTGATGAATCCAAATTGTTAAACATAAACATAAACATGTAATGTTTGTTATCCATCCACACCAGATAAGGGAAATGGGGTGCTACTGTAATACTAATACACCACACCTTTATAATCATCATCTATAGAGACAGTCAGACAGAGACTAGCTTAGTGCCAATAATGATGTCAACATTAAAGATACAAATATATATATATATATATATACAATAGGACAAATTAGTCTAATTCTGGCTACAAGATGAAGATGAAGATGAAGATGAAGATAAAGATAAAGAGGGGAATTAAAATTGTGATGAGCAGAGCACTAACCAACTAGTCCAACTCCAGCCTTAGCCTACATTCTTCACTGCATTTGCATTTGCAATTTGCAACCCAAAAAACAGACACACTACACTATACCTACAAGTTTCTTTCCTTCTGTGTCAGATCAGATCAGAAAACAGATTCACTTCTGCAACCTCCCTGCAGATACAGAGATTGATAAATAAATAGATAGATTCATCTCTAATATGCAATGCAATGCATCAAAATACCCAAATTAAAACTAGGGATTGATTGATTGATTGATAGATTCTTCTGGACAAGGAATTTCAATTTCAATTTCATTTTATATTTTTAGTGTATTAATACCACCATACATACCTGTAGCAGGCAAGCAAGCTTTAATTTGGTGGGTTTTGATGATCAGAAGGAATTGGTTTCAAGAACGTAGCAGCGGCACTTGAGCAGCCTCGCCGCAGCCTCTGCGTAGACGCCGTGGCTCCCAAACGCCGCCGCAATTAATGCTGCTTCATCGGGCTCCTCAGCCGCATTCCTCGGCCTGACCACCACCAGCGTTGCGCCCTCCATTGTTAGCCCCCCCGGGAGCTCCGTTTTAGCCTCGTGCCGCATACTTATCCCCACCGCCGGCACGGTGGTGCGATTGCTCGGCCACCACACGCTGTCGTGGTCCGCCGTCTCCTCCGGCGTCTCGGCGCCGTACTCGCGGTACTCGCGCAGACCGGCCTCGTCCATTATTAAGGTCCCCTCGTTCTCTCTGTCGTCGACGATGAGATTGGATAGAAAGGGCTGCTCGCTGACCACGTCGCCGACCATGTAGTGCCTGGCGGAGGCGGCGATCAGGGCGGTTATCGTCCAAATCACGCCCATTTTGAGGCCGCCGGAGCAGCCGGATTCGGCGGCGTTCCGGAAAGCGAGGATCACGCAGCTCTGTAGGGTTTTCCCGAATCGGGCGACCCATTTGATTGAGGCGCCCTTCTCGAGTCGCAAATCGGCGGAGGGAAGCTCGATCCGGAGGCTGCGGATGGCGTCGAAGCCGAGGAGAATCTGCGACGGCGAGTTTGGGAGGCGCGGCGGGAGGGGCTTGCCGGAGAGAGCGGAGGGGATGAGGTGCTGAAACGAGGCGAGGAGGGAGTGAAAGAGGGTGGAGATGAAGGAGACGGCATCGGAAGCGGATATGACCCGATCGACGCGGAGGAGGAGCGAATCGGCCTGAGGCACCAGCGAATTGAACCGCCGGGAGAGGGATCGGCACCGGAGGAGCGTCTTCACGTCGGAGACGCGGTTGAGGATCAGCAGGAAGATTGGGTCCGGCAGCGAATCGAAGAAATCGGGCTGACCCGACCCGCACGCCATGGAAATTGAAAATCGGAGAAGTACAATACAACCGGGAGAGAGAAGAAAATGGTCAGCGGGTTTTGGGAAGACAACCACAACAGCTACTTGAAATGAGTTGAACAAAATCAATTTTAAAAAAAAAAAAAAAGTAAAAAACACAAAAAAACGGATGGGAAGCTAAGCTTTGACCGTTGACCATTTCTTCCGGGGGCCACATCTCTCTTGCTTCCCTTAATTATTCATATATTTATTGTAAGTATCACTTACATCTATATTATTTATTACTATTATTATTATTATTATTTTAATGGGCTTGACTTGGATGCCAGCTGGTTTTTTATATTTGTACTTCTCACAATTTATTGAATTTGGGTCAGTTATAAAAGGCCCAATTACATGAATATTACCGTTTAATTGGAAGCCCAACCCAACAGAGGTACTACTACCTCGCAGAAACCCTAAATCAATCGATTTTGCGACTTCAGGCATCCCAATTAAAATTATTAATTTTTTTTTTTTTTATGTATATATAGTTTCATCAGAAAAATGTTTAAAAGTGGGCGAATTTAGTATGGGCCGATTCTTTTGGGCCTGAGTTCAACTTAGTAGGCCCATTATCACATCATTGTCAATTCCTAAGTGGACTGGGTCCACTTAGTGTCTGATTCTCAGTGGGCCCACTAAACTCAGCCTCTGTGCATTTGGCAGTTTGACAGTTGGATTGGATTGGTCAGAAGTACCAATAATGCCCAAACACCAATTTTCTTTTTCTTTTTCTTTTTTTTAAATAAAAATAATATTGAGAAAAAAAAAAAAGGACAAAAAAACATCTAAAAAATATCTCCCAAATGTATTATTCCCTTATTTTTGCGTGTTTACTTTTCACATTATTTTTTAAATGGTAGTACTTATAATTTTGCTAGTTTATTTACCATTTTTTACTTATATTTTTGTTTATAATAATTTTAAAAATATATTTTGAACGGTACAAAAGGAAATTTATGTGCAAATATTTTAGAATAATGTAAATAATGATTAAAAAAAAAAAAAAAATTTGATATGGATGCAATATTATAAATTAATAGGACTAGTTTTTTGGATTTACAAGTTATTACACGGAGTTAGGTGTAGTGTAACCTTTTGATATCAAAATTTGGCTATTTTAATGAAACATCCAATTCCTAATTCAATGAATGTTTTTTTCACTGAATAATAAAATAAACGACCACCTAATTATATGCCTAATTTGTCTTTTTTGTGAAGGTTACATCTAACAGATTGGAATCATTAGATTTTGAAGATGTTTTATGTTTTAATGCTAAGTGGGCCTCTCTATTTTGTATTAAACATATATTATTTATTACCTTTTTTAAAAAATTATTTCACATCAAATATACTTAAATAAAAGAACCTACACTATAATTTTCTTTCAATTCAATGAATCAATCCTATAAAAAAATTATTGAATTTTGTATAAATAAATTTATCAAAATTTAATTAATTTATGTAGAGGTGTCTACATATATATGCATGTTTAATTTTACTGTAAAGAATTTCCAAAATCACAAGTATATATATATATATTTTTTCTTCCGAATAAAATATAAGAATAATATAATACCTAAGCAATCCTAATTTTTTTTGTTTTTTTTTTTTTTTTTTTATGTCGATGCCATTAATGATTACTTCACAATTATTCCTAAAGAGACCAAGTTCAAAAATAAATCAAGATTGGATAAAAGTTATCTCATATACTTTTGAATTTTTTTTTTACAATTTAGGCAAATAAAGGAATGTATATGCGTGTCGAGTTAACAACTAATTTTAGAGAAAAAAAAATATCATGTGATTATCTATAATTTTTTATTTTGAAAAAAATAAACAAATTACAATCCAATCAAATTTGAGCTCCATAATACACAATAAAATCAACTATATTATTATTAAATGTTAAATAGAATAATAAATAGTAAGCCTTAATACTATGATGAAATATAAATTATTTCATATTATTTTTTAAAATGTGTATATGGTTATGTAAAAATATTAATGAGACAATTTAGTACCCCTTTTTTTTTTTTTTTTGAAGAATTAATTACACGTCCTTAATTTTTATTTTTATTTTTTTTAATTAGTTTTGGTAAATAAGAAACATTTATCCTCTTAATTATAATATAGTAATGGTGCATACACAATGTATTACTATTATTTATATATTTTTTTATTATCATAACAACAGTTTTATATGTATACCTCTTTGTTTGATAATGCAATTTTTATTTTATTTTGTTATACTCACAAAGTTAAAATAACATGAATAATATATATATATATACATAAAAAAAAAAATATTAAAAAATTATAGTATCATTCTGTTTGTTTTAATACAATTCTAATTTTATTATTTATTATCACTCTTTAATTTACTTTAATCAATCATTAATATTCTCCTCATTGCACCAAACATGCCCTAAAGACATGTTTGTATATTACATATAATTAAATGTAATAATCATTCAATTGTTACTTCTACAAATAAATAAATAAATTATTATTCTCATATAAATAAATGTGCTTAGTTATTATTTTTATAAATTAATTATTTCTCTAATTATGAATTATGCATACGAAGATGTGATAATTGTTAACAATTACAGGGGATATAGGTTTTAGGGTTTACCTTAGTGACTATTTGGAAAATTATATTTACAAATTATCACACTATCAACCTAATATTATAGTATTATTTTATCTCATGTAAGAATTTTGTAACATAATTTGACATTTTTTTCCAAAATAAATTCCCAAAATTCTATTGACTGTAGTCGTCTCGTTGTCTGCTCCGGTCTCGTCAACTTTTATCATTATTTATACCATATTTAGATTTTGTCTTATCCATATATTATGTTACTATATCTGAGTTTATCGAGTCTATTTTATATTATCTCTATATATAGACCCATTGTTTGATATCACAACATAATCTCATTATTTTTCCTCAAAATTTCTAACAATGGATTATGTCCAAACAATATATATATAATATGATTTCATTTGTTTTTATATATGCATACATATATATATATATTACTTCCTAATGCACATTAGTAATCATGAAATTGTCATTTTTGCAGGTATATCTCAAGATAAATTTAATTTCAAATATGTTTTTTAGTTAATATTTTTCATATATAAATAATATCAAAACAATCCAAAACATAATAAATAAATAAAAAAAAAGAAAGAAAAACATAAACACAAATTATAGCTTAAATGACAGTTTACATACAACATTTTGTAAAAAAACTAATATATTTTTATCGACGAAAATTAATTAATAAAAAAAAATACATAATTGCATAATTGTCAACTAAACAAAATCATAGGTTCCATTCACCAACAACAAACTCGAATATTATTACCAAGAAAACAATTACTCCATTACAATAAATTTGTTAAATTTGTGTTTTTTGTGATATAATTTTTTATTAATATAATAAAAAAATGATATATATACACATTCTATATATTTATAAAAAATTAACAATTTAATAAATAAAAAAAATTATATTATTAATACACTAACAAAAAAAAAAAAAAAAAAAAACCTCAACGCGAAAATAAGAAGGAAAAAAAGAAAATTCAAAACTAAATATCGTTCTTTATATTACTTTTTCTCATATCTAACTAACAATAATAAATAAAAACGAAGACCCATAATAATTCTCTTTACTCACCAATAATTCAAGCAAAGAGGGATTTGCAGCGTAGGACGGGGCGGGCGTTGAGGTCCCGGGGCATAATAGTCCAAAAAAGGGCCAGACTTGTGGTCCCGCTCCGACACTGCAATAGGATAGAAGTGAAGAGTGCTTATTTATAAATCCATTACATCCTTCCCTTTTCTCTTCACTCACAAACTCCTTCGTGCCTTAGCTTTTATTCGTCTCTCTGCAACTTCTCCCACTTTCTTCTCCAACCAGAACTTCAATTCAATTCAATTCAATTCAATTCATTCCCCATTGCACTAACTGCAATAATCATTACAACAACCAAATTATTACTATTAATTAATTAATTTATCCAATGTCGACACAGACGACAGTGGTCACTATATCATCAACAGATCAGAAGAGAGTCATGGCCCCAGTCCCGCCCAACATCGTAATTTCCGACGCCACCGTCTCCATGGCCGCCATAGCCGTCGCCGCCATGTCCGACAACTACTTCTCCTCCGTCAAGCGACGCTCGCGTGACCCCACGTGCTGCCGGAATAATAGGATCGCCGGCAAAGCCTCCGCCTCCGCCTCCGCCGCCGCGTTGCTCGACTCAATGCGCGCTTCTTCCCCCACCCGCACTAGCGCCGCCGAGGATCACAAGTCCTGGATCGTTAGTCCCACATTCTTCTTCTCCTTCTTCTTATTGCATCCTCGTTTACGTATTGCTGACGTGGACGTGTATTAATTGCAGCTCCGCCATCCGTCGGCGCTGGCCATGTTCGACGGCATAATGGCGGCGTCGATAGGGAAGCAGATAGTAGTGTTCCTCGACTACGACGGCACTTTGTCCCCCATCGTCGACGATCCCGACCGCGCCTTTATTACCTCCGAGGTTAATAATTACTAATTAATAACTTGTCTGAAATTAATAAACAAACAAGCTAAAAGGGTTTTTTCTTCTTTTTTTTTTTTTGAATTAGATGAGAGAAGCTGTGAGGAACGTAGCCAAGTTCTTCCCGACGGCCATCGTCAGCGGGAGGTGCAGAGCTAAGGTATATAGCTTCGTAAGATTGTCGGAGCTTTACTACGCCGGCAGCCATGGAATGGACATCAAGGGACCAGCCAGAGGAAACAGATGCAGAAAAGTAAGTCAGTCAGTCCCCAATATTTAACAAATCGAGCAATCCCATGTTCTTGTTTTTCTTGTTAAGTTCAATCCTCAGATGTCAGGTCATTTTCGTGATTATATTGTTTAGGGGAATCAAAGTCTCCTCTGCCAGCCTGCCAGGGAATTTCTGCCTATGATTGATGAGGTTCGTGTCTTCTTCTTACAATAAGAAAAAAAAAAAAAAAAAAAGTTGATCATTTTTACCAAATTTTGATCAATCGACGCCATCACAGATAAACAAAGCTTTGATGGAGAGAGTAGGACACATAGCCGGTGCAAAAGTCGAAAACAACAAGTTTTGTTTGTCCGTACACTACCGATGCGTCGAGGAAAAGGTAAGAACATTATTTTTTTTATTAATTTTTTAATAAATACTCTCGAACTTGCAATAAATCAATGAATGTGTTGTGACACATTGGCTTGCAGCAATGGGGCGAATTAGCGGAGCAAGTGAAGCTCGTGATCAAGGACTATCCCCGAGTCAAGTTGAGCCAAGGCCGGAAAGTTCTAGAAATCCGGCCGGTGATCGAATGGGACAAGGGGAATGCGCTCGAGTTCTTGTTGGAGTCTTTAGGCTACGCCGAATCCGACAATGTCTTGCCAGTCTACATTGGCGATGACCGCACTGACGAAGATGCATTCAAGGTACATGTAATTTCTTATTACAATTTTTTGCACTGAAAAATGACCAGTTGTACGAATCAAACGGTAACATAATATTAATAATGTAATGATCGATATTGTAATAGGTATTGCGCGAGAGAGGACAAGGATTAGGGATTTTAGTGTCTAAAAATCCCAAAGAGACTAATGCTTCGTATTCGTTGCAAGAACCAATCGAGGCAAGTAAATTTAATTTATATATACTATTATGTGTGTATGAATTATTATTATTATTATTATTATTAGAAATGATGATCAGTGGCTGTGCTTATCATGGACAGGTTATGGAGTTCCTAAAACGTTTGGTTGAGTGGAAGAAGTTGTCGTGTGGGTGTCCCTACAGAGCCATTAGTGACTAATTCGATGCTGCATTTATTACCAGAGAGAGTGCAGATTCATGTTCTGTCCGATGTGGGACACGCAAGCAGCTCTCTTGTAACTATAAGTTTGTAACTATAACTGTAACTGTAATTGTAATTGAGGAAAAATTGTAATTGTAATTGTGATATTTGTTTTCAGAAAAAGAAAAAAAAAAAAAAAAAATAAAAAAAAAAAAAAAGAAAGTTAATGTTCCACGTGCAAGTCTTATGGTTTCATTCATCTTGCTTTTCCTTATAAAATAGACTGTAGCACTTCTTGGAATCATCTGAAAAGTATGCACACTTTGAATAGTTTTATTTTAAAAAATGCATTTGGTATAACAACATTTAGACCATGCTCAGTTCAAAATAATAATCATAAAAATCTATTACATGGGCTCTTATTATTTGTGTTATAGTTTTAGGTTTTTTTGGAATAGAAATTTTGAAAATTTTTGTAAATAATAAAAAGATTGGTATTTAATGTGATGTTAAAAAAGTTATTATTGATGGAAATTAGTGTCAATCATAGGATCCATATTTTTTACTATATAGTTTTTATTATTTAAAATATATATATATATATAATATTTCTTCTCGCAAAACATATGGGTTTGTTTGAATTTTTTTTTTTTATTATTATTATTTAATGTGAAGTATCAATAATTGTGTTAATAATATAAAATGATATTTGTATTGAACATTAATTTTTTCTAAGATAATAGAATATATATTCTATATATTGAAACTGAAATTTAAATCTAAAATACAAAAATAAGTCCAAAAAGAAATGATAATTAACTATAATAATTGTATTGTTATGGTAAAAATTAAAGAGAATCGAAGGTCACCCATTATTGGCGTTGTTCGGACATGCTGTATGGTATTGGTAGCTTAGATCAATAATTGTCGTCTTATGCCTATCTGACTGACCAATATAATTTCTTATCCAGCAATACTACTAATTAGCCAATCACACCAATAATGGCCATTGGCATTCCACGATATATATATATATATATATATCTATGGCTTTAAATTTTATTTAATATATTCTCAATTAATTTTTCATGCTACAATTAACACAATTCATTACATCCTTAACAATGTGATGAATTAATCAGTTGATCATCTTATCAATGCATTGTTCTATTAAAAAATAAAAAATTAAAAAATCAAGTTACTATATTCAACAATAATTTTACACACTACATCAAAAGTAGCACTCATTGAAGACTGCACTACCAATTATTTCATCTCATTCTTAGATCTCTTTAACCCAACTTTTACTTAAACTATCAACCCTATACACATATATATATATATTTATTATAATTATAATGATTATATACACTATACATACATACACACACATATATATATATATAATATATATAAAATGAAGCTAAATTTAACAACAATCAATAGTAGTGGGCACTTGGATTTTGTGAGAGCCCACATGAAACCCAAACTCAAATATTTCTTAATAATGACTTTCAATGCCACTTTCATTTAATTTAATTTAATTTAAATTATTTATTTAATTTCTCCTCATTGGGAGTTAGGTGGTGATAGTGAAAACCCACTTCCAAGACTTAGAAAAGAACCCATTGTTGGAGTTGGAATCCACTTTAAGTGCTTGATTTATGTGAACAAGACATCAGTTTGGGGACACTAACACACACACGCAGAGATACATACACATGTATACACACATATATATAGTTATATAAAATAAAATAAAAATCCATCCTATTTTTATTCCTTTAAAGAAAGTTGGCCATCTTTTCGACGTGTAAAGAATTGCTTCCACTAGGTTCCATCGATCTTTGAAATTAAAATTAATAAAATCGAACCCCCCATTGAATGTCACAATTATTGGTGGAAAAGTAGCATAATATATCCAAGCACATATACAGTTACACTATCAACCTCACTTCCATTTAATTACTTAAATAAACTATTACAGTGGTTGCTTGGAATTTTTGAAATAAAATAACATAAAAATTTGCATTTGTAAAGTGCAATATATATAATATGTATGTTTTTTTGGTAAAAAGGAAAAAAAAAAAAAAAAAAAAGGGGTTCAAACATGGGGCAATAATGTGAAACACTTGGACCTTGATTAAGATCCACACATATTATTATTTATTTATTTATTTTATAATTATTGTGTGTTACTACTATTATAATATGCAAATTTGTCCTAAATTTAAGGTATACGTGTTGAGTACACAAACTGGTCCCCCCACATCGATGCTCGAGCTAGCTAATCCCATTTTTTTTTGAATTATTTACAGAATTGATTATAAAATCAAAGAAATATTCCTTTTCTTGTATTATTATTTTTTAATATATATATATATATATTTATGTGAAGTTTGTATTTAGGGTTTAGAATATAGAGTTGAGATTGGCCAGTTGGATTTGCATGTGAATAAAAGTGACATGCATGGTGGGAGGGAGCAGAGGCCTCAAATGTTGGAATCTTGGAATTTTATTACATTAATTATTCACTTAATAATTTTATAAAATTTTTGTTTTGTAATATGTAAATTTGTCTCTTGTGTGTTGTACAGTGTGCAGAGTTTGGTTGGTTCTTTATGTTTTCTAGATGGGCCGGTGGTATTCGGAGCCCATTAAGGATTTAGAGTCTTTTTGGACCGGAGCAATAAGATATCGATATATTGGGCTTTACGGCCCATTAAGAAATTATATGAGGAGGAGATAGAGCCCGCGCGTTAACGGCCTGGATCTTTGACCGAGACTTCTGTCCGGCGACTGTCGGATCTTTTTCCGGCCTTTCAGTCTTCTTCCGTGATTCGCTGCGTCGTCTCATTTTGTATTTCCCGATTCGATGGCGGTTGATGTATTTAATTCTGGGTGAAATTTGGCTGTTGATGGACGATGGAGGGTATGATTGTGAAATTGCGGAATCTGGACGTCTATGCCAAGATCAATCTACGGAAGAACAATCTCCGGAGGCATTATAGGCTTATAGCCATGGTTTCTTCCGTCGTTATGCTCCTCCTGTTTATCTCCGAACTCAGTTCGTAATTCTTTATCTGTATTTTGTTTGTTCCTCTAGATTTTAACCTTTACGCATTGTGTGTGCTCAGAAGAACAGTTTGAATATAAGGCATTAACAGTAGCAGTAGCATTAGACTCTCTGAGTGAGATATCCTTCGTTTTGAAGTTAATTAACTTAGCATTAAACAAATTTAGGTTTTGTAATGCAGATAAGTCACAAAATGATTAGGGAGCATTTGGAAACTACTTCCCTTGTGTTTGTAATCCACGAGATGGATATTTGGTCTGTTCGTTCTCTAGAAATTTTTGCATTATGTGCTCCAATGCTTCCGCCCATAATATTCACCATTTATCAATACATAGAGATATTTGTATTTGTCTTTGCCTGCAGTCTGTAATGGGACACAACAAACCTCAAATGTCGTGTATCCATATCATATCAAGGTCAGTGGCTTTTGTAAATTATTCCATTTCCTGGTTGAGTTTTCTGCTATATATTTATACTGAAGGTTATCATATACAAATATTGATGCTCCTTAAAGAAGTTGAATTATCATCTCAGCATAAGAAATAGACATTTATTATTTCAAAATATGTGCGTTTTTTCAGTGCTACTTTAATATTGCTGGTAGTACCAACCATGTTCTCAGATATCCATGGGCATGTAATCCAGTCAGATTAGGTTATACTGAGATTTTGAAGATGAAGGTTACTGAACATGTTAAAGATGAAGGTTTGCCTCAACCTCAAGCTCTTCCAAGGGTATTTGTCTTCTATGAACTTTCACCAATTCAGGTCAGTGTATTTTGTCCATTATGCAAAAAGATAAATTAATATTTATGCTGAATGTTGACATCAAGCACCTATGTTCATTCTTAATCTGTTTATTTGTCTCATCTGCTGACATCTGCTATACCATATATTGAATGGTTCTGACAGCCTTACAGCTAACTTTTACAGGGAGACTTTGTTCCATCCATAACACTATTTGTGCCATTGTTGGAGGTAACTTTCTCTGTCTCTCTCAAAATTATCATTACCAGAGATAACTCTCTTCATCGTATGATTCCCTTTATTTCTCTGCTTTCACCTTAGTCACATATTCATTTCACCAGGCATATTCACTGTATAGGGATAATGGACTCATTCACTCATTCATATACCATTGTCAGAAAGCAATTAAAAGTAAAATAGAAATAGGTAGATTCAAGTTATTCAACTAATGATTGATAACTAAAGTGGAATCAGGTTTGGCTATCAAAATCAAATCTGCAAACTAAAAGGGTTAGATGTACTGCTTAGGTCTTTTTCATGTTACCATTCATAGATTGTTGCTTCAGGATTTATAGAAAACTTTGGCTCTACAGGAAGATGACTTGTAACATGAAAAGCCAGTTTTGTCATTTTTCTTTTTGTCATTTATTGAAAACTTGTTATTTAGGATAAGTTCACAGAAAGTGAATGTTGACAGAGAGTTCTATGGACAAAAGTTCAATCTCAACAAGATCTTTAGCATAATCTTGTCCATCCCTTTTTTGAAATTTGGGGTCTGGAATTTTTGCTTAAAAGTATAAGAGTTCACACTTGACCCTAGACTTTTTGTACACAAATCAACCATAGGGAGTGTATATAATATATTGAAGAATGTTGAATTATTTCTTCTGCATCCCTTTCGGCTTTGATATTTAGCTAAAGTAGTGATGAAAATAAATCATATACTATTATGTTCACCAGAGAATAAGCATAAATGACAGTGGCAGTGATGGTGATAGCATATACTCACTATATTGTGTTTTTATCTTTGCATCAAATAAATATGAAAGACTGTAATGGTCAATAAAATGTATGAATTGTTCTCTGTAAGGAATTGTAGAATAGAATCAATTGGATTACAAATAACAAGATATTACAGATATATTCAAAAAAAGAAATACAGCACAAACCTCAAAATACATTGTCCTGCAAATGCCTAAAAATTCATTGCAGAACTATCTCACTACTAATAGTAACACTAAGCAATTCCTATTGACCATTGTTTTTAATAACTCTCTCTTTTTTGCAAGAAAGGGCTGCGCTTATTGCCAAATTATAAAGCAGCCCAATCAATTTCATAAGATGGATACTTCTCCAATTCCAGCGTCTCCATCTCCCAATCGGGTTGATGACCCGCCCCAAAATCCGGGTACATCGTATCCGAATCCGGACCCGAACCGTCGCTCTCGGACCCCGCCGCCTTGCACTTCTTCTCCGTCCCTTCTTCCGCCGCCGCCGCCGCCGCCGATTTTTTCTGATTCGACGGCGACTTCTTTCCCCTACCGGTCTGAACGCTCTTTCCCTCGGCGAGAGTACGGCAGATCTCCTCCAGCTTGGCCTCGAGGCTAGCGTGGAGCGGCTTGTACTCGCCGCCGATGTGCGAGCCGCCGTGGCGGAGGTGCGGGAAGTTCAGCTTCGCGAAATCTCCCCGGAGCTTGAACGACGCCGTGTCGTAGGCCAGCGCCGCCTCCTCCGCCGTGTCGTAGGTGCCGAGCCACAGCCGCGTGCGGTTCTTCGGCAGACGGATCTCCGCCACCCATTTCCCCCAGTGGCGCTGCCGTACACCTCTGTACAGCTTGGTCGGCTTCGGCGGCGAGCCGACTCGTTTCATCGAAATGGGCCTCGGCCCAGGAATGTCAGCCGTCGGCTGTAATTGGTAGTGGGCCGAAGTCTGGCCCAAATCATTATGGGCCTGGGTTGAAGAAAATTGTACTTGCTCATAAGAGTAGCCCGGCCCAAACGAAAAATCATGGGCCGGTGCTGCAATGTCAAATTGGGAGGTGGGAAAGTAAGAATTGTAGGGGTAGGAACCAGAGGGAGGAGTGATATATGGGTAGTGGTGATTGGGTGTGGAAATAGAGAAAGAGGGATTGGAAGTAGGAAAAGGAGAATAAGAAGAGGGGGGATTAGGGGGAGTGGAAGAAGCAGTTTTCAAAAAAGGTTCAAGTGCTTCCATTAACTCACCACCCCCAAAGGGATCATTTACATCTGCTTCTGCTGCTGTGCTACTCCAAAAATTCATAGCACCTGCCATTCTCAACAACAACAATAATAAAATAATTTCTTTTTTATTTTTTAGGTAAGAATTAAATAATTAGGGAAGAAATAGAAGAGCCTGGTTCTTAATAAAATGAAAGAACAGGCGGTGGGTGTGGTTTGTCTAACTACCGAAAAAAAACAAAAAATAAACAGTTGAGGAATAAAGAGAGGGTTTTACAAAAAAATGGCAAACCCTTCAAATAAATCCTCTTTGTGGCCAAACAAAAAGCGGCCAATTGATTAATTAGATAGAGATTAGTGAAGGAAGGAAGGGATTGTAGGAAGTAGTGTGCAAATCAATCCTGCAGATCTAAGTTGAGTTGGGAAATTGTGAATTGTAAATAATAATACAAGTATACTAATAATTGCTGATTATAAAGAAAGAATAGAAATAGAAGAAAGCCATAGTTGAAGAGAAATGATGATGAGATGGAAGATGTAGACAGAAAGGGGTAGAGGAATCATAAATCAGAGAGAAGAAGAAGAAGAAGGGAAAGAAGGAAATTAGGAAGAAAAAAAGCTAGCAAAAATCAAAGATGAAATCTGGTGAAAAGTGTGTGCAAGTGAGAAAAAGAAGAAGAAGAAGAAGAGCCTCTCTCTCACTCTCTCTCACTCTCTCTCGTGTTTCTTTTTTTTTTCTGGTGGGTTTGTGGCTTGGAGCAAACCCTGTATATATAGAGATAGATACACAAAGGGGGAGAGTGTGTGTATGCGTGAGAGTGAGAGAGAGAGAGAGAGAGAGAGAGAGGGAGGGAGGGGGAGTCCATGGAATGATGGAATTTTGCCGTGGTATTTTTTTATTTTTTTATTTTTATTAATATTAAAAATATTTTTATATTAATATAATTATTTTTTTTTCAAATATTTTTTTATTAATATTTTAAAATATTATAATTAAACATACTTGCTTATATGGTGTTAATCTTTAACTCATAACTTTATTGTCACAAGTTTAATTCTTACACCACTTCCTTACGGAACAGTAACACTTCATTTTACTATTATGGAATCGGTATTTGTTGTAATGGTAAATTTTGCAATTAATAGGTACAATCGTTCAGTTCTTTTCATTTTTATTTTTTTTCTTATAAAATTTTATGATTTTTAATAAATACATATAACCTATGTAAACATTTTTATTTAAAATAATAAAAAATTAAAGTTTACAAAATGCTGTATGAAAATTGAATTGAGAAATGGACTTGCTAACTTAAGGACTTTCTCATTTATCACGCTGGTCTCCGTTCACACACTGAGACACCTGGACCAATGATCCTACTCCACGTGTACAATGAGAAGGCGTTGTTGACTGCCTCTCTGTCTGCGCGTCGGACCAGTTTTTGCTCTGCCCTTGGACACGTACAAACTTAGATATTTTTTTTTTCTTCTTACATTTGGAATTATTAAGGGTATGTTTATTTTGCTAAAAAAATGAAGTTTCTACCATTTGGAAAAAATTATTCCTCCGTCCCATTGAAAATTTGTTATTTTTCATTTTCGTTCATCTCAAAATAAAGTTATCATTTTCTAATTTAGTAATTGTCCTACCTATTTAACATGGATATTTTTGTCATTTTCACTCCAATCCATTATAATACTAATATTAAAAAATCTACTTAGAAAATAATAAACTGCAACCTTGCACCAGAGGGAGTATATTTTTTTTCTTTCACAAAATATCTCCATCATACATTATTTTAATATCAAATCAAACCAAATTTTTTTCAAACCCATCAAAAGAACCACACCCTAAATAATTTTAAATTTATTATATTTTAATTTTAATACTCGTAGTCAATTTCTTTTGTTACATATACACATTTTTGTACTTTTATACATTACTCTTCATCGAATAAACCGTAAAATAATATTCCTTCTATCTAAAGATACTCTTAACTCAATTTCCCATAAAAATAAAATAAAAACTAAAAAATAAAAAATAAAACCCTATAGTTCTTTGAAAGTTTCTAAAAATACATATATATATATATATATAGTTTTAAGTTAATTAATACTCCTAATGTTTTTTTTTTTTTTTTCACTTTTGAATATTATTTTAGCTGATATAATTTAAATTATTTTATCTTTATTCTTTAAAAAATACTTTCAAATGCATATACAACAAAAACTGTAACAAATAATGTAAAAAATGGACATTTTTTAAAAAATATATATATAATTGACCATGGAATCTCAAACTATAATCTGACTTTGGAAATAATATAAATATATACAGACGCCATTATCTCAGCATTTATGCAACGGTATATAGTTGTACAATAATGGCATTTAATCTATATTATTATTATTATTATGATGCAGTCTGGAATTAGTTGATGACACTGTCCATGTGATTTTTATTTAACTATTTTAATTCACTTTGGTCAAATTATGTCTCCACCCTTTTTTTCCCCTTTTCGTACGTGATATGAAACATATATATACATATATATAGTTGTTTGGTTAAATTTAAATATTTACGATAATTTGTTTTTGATTTGATTTTGGAGTGCTGGAAGACTGTTTTATTTAAATTTTATATTATTCCATTGTTAAAATATTATTTTTAGATACAATGGTGCGGTAGTTTTACATTTTAATTAATTCAAAGTACTTTTTTTCATCATTTCAATTGTCCATTCAAATTTTTTTTTATTTTAGTAAAAATAATTATACACTAATATCAAAATATTTTTTTATGTTTACTTAAATTACAAATATATTATTATAAATATAATTATGAATTTACACTGATCAATAAAATAATATTATTTATTAATCTATTACAAAATTTTACAAGAATACTTTCATCCGGAATTGAGGAAGTAATACTTAGCTCGGGTTTTTTAAAAAATCTATACTCCCTCCGTCATAATATAATAGTCTTGTTTACTATTTTTGTCCGTCCTAAAACAATAGTTTTATTTTCATAAATAACTATATCACTATAAAACTACCCATACTTTTTTATTTTTATTACACAATTGTCACTACTTTTTACATTAATATACTCACAATGGCAAAAAAGTCTTTTATCCATATTTTTCATCGACTACCAATATAATATCAATATTCTTTAAATCCTGTATCCACTCCAATTAAGATTATATTTATGAGACGGAGTGAGTATTATTCTAAAGCAAACAAAGCATTTGTGTGTGCTAAGTTATGTGTAATAGACAGTAATGACAGTACTATTACGTTAAGCAAGTTTAGTCAAGGGAACATTACTACAGTTGAGATTCGGCGGATCTTACGGCGAAGATCGACGGCGTGAGAAACGGGTGGATCACGTGCTGCCGGGGACACTATTGCTCCATCACACCGTCACTTCCTCCGTTAAAATCTCCAGTTCTTTGAATATGTCCCTCTACTTCCACTAAATTGTCTATATACTCAAAATACTAATAAACTCCCAAATGTTAATTATTCAAAATAATTACAGTACTGATCATTAAGGTGTATATGTTTGTATTTTTTTTTAATATAATAATAATTAAAATAAATCTGCCACATATTGTTTTAGAAAATAATAATAAAATAAAAATTAATACAAACTATAATTAATTAACTTTTTTTATTTTGTATTTTTCTTAGAGAAAAATATCATTGCCTCCATCATTAGAATTAATATACATTTTTCTTCATCATAAGAGAGAATATTATTATTTTATTTTATTAGTACATATATATATATATTATATTTTATACTTTTGTATTATAAAAAACAATAATTACTATTAACTCTTATTTAAATTCATGTACAAACATTTTGTCACAAATTTGAAGGTATTGGAGTATTATTTATCTTTACAAAAAAAATTACATTCAACCCATTATTTAAATCAAACATCAAAATCAAAATCAAAATTAAAAAAAATAATAATAATAAAAATCATTAAATCAGCAATTTACGATGCCTATAACTATAACATTAACGAATCATTAGTATATAGTTTTCACTAAATAAAATAAATTGAACAACTCTTACAAACAGGAGTAATCAAACCCAAGTTGACCAAAATGGACAAAAAAAAAAAAAGGAAAAGTGCATTGACTAAGGATTAGCATCGAATATCATCTTGCAACTGATAATCTATTAATATATTTTGATAGGATTAAGAAAAAAAATTTAAAAAAATTCTTCACCCATTCGTTAATTGCGTTGACAAAAAGCATAGGAATCTCAAATCTGACACGACTTACACATAACTCTAATCCATACTCTCAACTCAAGTGAAGGGACAGGGGTTGACTTCAGCCCAAGTTGACTTATAATGCAAAGCTGCCATTCTACCAATAGACTAAACAACATTATCTTTCTAATTCGAACATTAGAACACACATTTTGGCTGTAAACGAGTGACCTAAAATATGCAATCAAGATAACAATGGCAATACCTTCTCCTGAACTCCATTAAACTGCCGTACGTCCTGTCCGAAACACTCACGAACAAAGTACCGGCGTCGGGGCTGAACGAGATTCCTGCGATCTCGCCAAAGAGATCGATCTCTTGCCCCGTCGCATAACCCGATCGCGCGTCGAACACGTGAACAAAGTCCGCCGGCTCGGCCATGGCCAAGAACCGTCCGTCCGACGTGAACCTTAAGGCTCTGATTGCGCCCATCCTTCCTTCGAGCACGGCTAACGACTCCGAGGGTCTCCTCAAGTCCCATAGCTGGCACGTTCTGTCTTGGTTCCCGGTCGCCAAAACGAGGCCTTCTGGGTGCCAAGCTGAGGCGAACGAATAATCCAAGTGTCCCTTGAGGCTGTTGACGACCTGAGAATCGACGTTTTTTGTTAGAATTTTCGATGATTTTAAATGAATAAACGGCGATTGCTGGCTGACCTTTCCCGACTGCATGTCGGCGAGCAAACAATCGGGGCTGTCCCCGAGCACTGCGATTAGCTTCCCGTCCGGATTTGCGGAGGCGTTCTTAATGAAACGACAATGAGTGAGATGACGAGATGAATCGAACGTCGGGATTTAGAAATTTAACTTCGGAATTTCACTCACATTTACAGGCCATGGGAATGTGAAAGAGCTTAGGCATGAGATGGCTGACATGTCGAAAATCCGGACTTTTGAGTCGTTGTTGGCTGCAGAAAGTTGTGTTGAACCGCTGCATCGAGAAAAATATAAACACGATCAAGCTAACGACTTTTTCGAAGAAATTGAAATCGCTATATGTTTACCTGGGGCTACAGAATATGTCCACTGAATTGGTGATAGCATTTTCTTCGGGGGATAGCTTCGTGCAGAAGGCTATGTCGCAGTGGTTTAGACGCTGCGCGATGAAAGAAGTGCAAAAGATAAGCTCGATGAAATATTATAGATAGTAATATCAGAGGAACAATACCTTACAGATAAGCTCTCCATGGAAGCCACCAGCTACCATTAGATTCTCCTTCACAGCCATGGTGCTTATATAAACCTGGGAAATGGATTGCGCAATATGTTGAGGATACTTCTGTAAACAAATCATTAGATCAAGACATTCGATGTGATGATGTTAGAATGATATCGAGTGTAAAAGAAGTGGAAGTACTAGAAATGGAAGAACTCGCCTCAGTTAGTTGAATAGGCCTGGAAACATTAAGCACTTCTTTAGGCCGACGAAGCAGAGCAGACCAGTGCATTACAGAGTAGTTTTGCATGAGATACACATCGTGTTTTGACGTTGCCCATAACAGATTCCTCAGCTGAAAGGCAGTGCAGGATGTTCGATTGAGATGGGATAAGATGATTAAGACAATTAGGAAAACTAAAAATGGCAACAATTTGCATTTGATATAGCAAACACAGCATGTAGGTTGAGATATAAAGTCACTATGCAATTCATTTGATGTTAAACCAAAAGACTGGTAAATTGTCGAAAAGGAGAAGAATAGACCATCAACATTGCAATCGAAAAAGAAAAATGACATTCCAAGTAGTACTAAGCTGCTATAAATGTGATTATTCTAAAAGAAATGCAGTAGATTAAATTCAGTGGCTTGTTTTGATCGTGGAAGAAGACGAATGCATAAGAAACAGAGTGCTACTTCATATAAAAGACAAGTAGTCCACACACTCCCGCAACTTTTTGTTCATAAACAAAATCATTCAATCAATCAAGCAAGATGATAATCTATGAAGTCTCAATAAAGCATGGTGTAATGCTGTGAATGCCTATGGTTTTCATGTAATTGAAGAACTCGAAAGAAAGAAAGAAAATATCAAAAGGAGCCTAACGACCACAGTTATAGACTAGACCCTGTTCGATGCTCAGATAACCCCATCATACCATATGGAACAGGCCTTATTGCTCCAGCTGCTCAGATAAAACATCAATCTTCTTTGCAAGGCTGAAAGAAAGATAAGTAGGAGACACTTGCCATGGGTAAAGCTACAATTCAATTAAGCATATGATAAGAAAAAAAGAAATGTAAATGAAATCATATGTTATATGTATGCTCTATGAAGATGTTCCAAACACACATGTAATTTGACGAACGATGGCAAACAGGAAGAATGAAAACCAAAATACGAAAATGAAATAAATATATAAGCACCAAAGAAGATGTATGTTAATCTACATCATTACTGATCTCAGTCATGCTCCCACAAGACCTCCATTGTCATAACTTGGTTTCACACTCTTATCAAAAGTTTCATAGCTGAGTTAGAAGTATTCGGTATGCCATAGGTAAATTATCACAATCTGCAGAAAAAAGGATTCAATAAATGTTGCCCCAAGTCACAGCATAATTACATTAAACTTGTTTAAAAAATCGAGTCTCACGTTTTGTAGAGGTCTATGCTATAAAACTTGGTGCTCCCCCTAAAACATTTGAGAAGAGGTGATCCAATGAGATTAAACTAAGAAAACATAACAATCAATGCAATGCAAATTACAACAAGAATAAACTAAAACAGATTGATCGAGTAGAAGAACAAAAGACACAATCATGGAAGTTAAATAGATCATAAGAATCAAACCAACAACATCCATGTGTTTTAGAATAAGAAAGGTTATACAAAGTTGCTAAATAAACTTCAACTCACGAGCACAGACTTAAAATCAAAGAAACTTATTGTAGATGGATTGAGAACAATTGGATTCGTCTATACCTGAAAGTGTACGATTGTTGATTTCACAGCCCTTGTATTGAAATGAAAATCGTAGAAGTTGTGTCCCTTCTCCACTTCTTTGCACTTCTGCCAAGAAACTCAGAAAGAACTCAGCAATGTGTATCAACCAACAGCTACATTTATCTAAATTTCTATTCCATGCACAAATAATTACGATGAAGATATAATGCAATGGCGAATCAAATTAGTGATCTCGAATAAAGATATTGAATCAACATGAGAAGTTTCCAACCTAGGATGAAGAATGGACGAGGTCTGTTATTTAATCAATGTATCTTTGTAAACCACAATCGTCATCAACCTCTTGCAAACTACATGTCAAATACAATTTCTAGAAAGCTAGAGATATAATAAAACAAGTACACTTTCGATTGCCACTGCCTTTATATGAGATTTGAAATAATGTGAAATAGGCTAGAAAATAAATTAAACAGCAAGTGTACCAGCTTCTCAAGATCGTCCGAAGAAAAAGACAAACTCTCGTAATTCTTGTATTGCTTCAATCGAGATCGACGATAAGTCTCTCTTGTAAAGTTGAACCTTTCCCAGGGAATACCCTGTATATCCTTGCCATTCCTCGCCTCCAAAGCCGATGTATCAGTGCTGGGAATGCTCTGCGGCTTGGATTTCAGTTCTAAAGCCATTAGCAATGGAAGAAAATACAATTTAGATGTCTATCTCCTGAATTATCTAACGAAATGGATTACCGGCTCCAAGTCATCCTCATAGTCTGTCTCATTCAATTCTTCATCTATGAAGCTTCCATGGCTTCCTTCGGAACGGCCACCGGCATTGCAGTGCTCGTCGACAGCATACTCACGGCCATGGTTCCCACGTTGCTCCATAAATTCCACTAATGACGATAGAGAAATATTTCAACGAAATTGCTTGAAAGAAAAATTGCAGGCACGCACCATTTCAATTATTCTGTTCCGAAAATTAGCAAAATTCTACCCAAAGCAAAATCGAAAACGCAGTCAGATAAAAACGATGTAAAATAATTGGGAACCACAAAACAGACCATCACTATCCATTGATCTCATTCTTCGATCAAACGCAACACGAGCCACATAATAATCCAATCCACAACCAACAAAGTTACGAAAATTCAAAAGCTCACCATTCAACAATAAACCCTCGAAAATCAGCTCCGATTATCTAACGGAACGATTAAACACAACAGCGAAAGGAACTCCCACCGATGCGTTTGCAGCATCATCATTCATCAGTGCATATGAGATATATATGATGATGGCGTGAAGGTTCCAGTACCTACCTGCCTTGTGGGCTCCAACCCATCTCTGGGCCCCACCGAAATGCAGATTGCAGAGATGCCGTGGAAGACGCTTCTTGTACATGTCTACGGTTTTCAATCTCACTCTTTAACTCTCGCTGTCTCACCAGAGAATTTTTGTTTGGGGTTCTGAAACTTTCGATAATAGTAAAAATTAATATTTAACGTAAAAAAATTTAATATTTACATCAAATTAAAATATTAAACAAATAAATTCTTATTTGAATGATTTTTTAAACATTTTTTTTCAATTATATTATTCATTCAATGATTTTTTTAATATATCATATTAAATTCTTATTTTTTTATTTTTTATTTTATATTAAAAATTTGTTTTATACATCTATTTTACTTATCTTCGTGTTTCTTTTCAAGAATTAAAGGTTTGTTTAGATATGGACTTTTTTAAAATATAGAAGTTTGAAAATAAATAAATAAATAATTAATTAATATTTAATTTAATATTTTGTGAAAAAAATAATATATTTGATGTAATATTTTTTAAAAAATAAATAGTGTTAAAAAGAGTATTGTGTAAACAGAACTTAAATAATGTTAAATTTTCAAAATTATACTCCTTTCGTTCCCAATAATGAAAGTATCTATTTTTTCAAATATCAATTTTCTTTTTTTTTAAGGAACGGTACTATATACGTAAAATTACAAATTTTTTTATAATTTATAATATATTACACAAATATCATTACATTTGTATCATACCATATTAATAAAATTATTTTAATTATTTATACATTATTCCTTCTGTATTATAATATAATATTAATATTTTTAAAATTACGACTAAGAATCACATGAATACCTATGAATGAAAAGGAGAGAGAGTATTATAAATAAAATCTTAATTATCTCATACTAGTATTATGGAAGAACTCTATAAAGTGTGGATCAATCAAGGAGAGGTCAATCTCAATCTTGAATCAACTAAAGTGGAATTGGGACAAGTCCCTTTCACCATTTATTAATCAGACGAAGAAACAATGACAACAACTCTTTTATCCTTTTCCAATTTTGATTATTACACATCACAAACTTTATCCCCAACTTTCTAATCTAATTTACTTCCAACACCCATGTTTTTAAAATTAAATAAATAAATAAAATATCTGAAATACTATTAAGTACTTTAAAAGAATTAAATTTAATACACCTCAAAATATCCGAACAGCCCAAAACATATTTTCAAATGCAATTTGTTTATGTTAAGGTGTTGGTGAAGTAATTTGGGCCAATCAAGCACCGTAAAAAATTATTACTTCCTTCCTTTCATACTAAAATTTACTTAAAATATAATTAATATATAATTTAAAAATATATGAATAAAAATAATTATAAATTAAAATTAAAATAAATAAATAGTTCAATTAAAATTTAAAATGTGATTAAAATATTAAATATTATATAAAAACGGAATACTAATTAATGAAAAATGACTAAAATACTTCTAGTGTCTTATAATACTATCACAATGATATTTTTGCAAAAAAAAATATATAAATTTAAAAATATTTTTAATGTTAAGTATAATAAAGATAAATTAAACTTTTAGTGCCGGATGGAGAAAATATAATTATATTTTAAAAAATAAATTATGTAAAAAGAAAAATAATAAAAAATATATAAATAATTTTATGTGGGATACAGGGAACACTGGGTGTGTTTGTTCAGATAATGAATTTTAAATACATTGTTCATTCTATTTTTTTCCTCAAAAATATCAAATCAAACACTTATTTTTTATTTTTTATATTATACTAAAAATCAATTTTACATTCAAAACATCACATCAACACGTATTTATATCACATCATATAACTATTCAAATTTAAATCCAATTCAAAATCTAAACTCCCAAACAAACACATCCTACCTAAAAGGGTGTTTATTTTGGGGTCTTCACCTCAAACAATCATTTATATCACATCATACAATTATTCAAATTTAAAATTTTTACAATTCAAATCCCAACTAAAAAACAAACAAACCCTAAAAGTGAAACCAATTCAACTTTTATACCTTCATTTATTTTAGAACAGAACTCCTCCTTCTTCAGCCACCAAAACGATGGACCTCATCATCACTCTAGTGTCTATACTCTCAATCCTAATACACATATCAACGAGCTGTCGGGGTCAACTCGTTGACCATTTAATTCCCGACGAACCCTCCATTAATTATCCATCAATCTTCTCCGTTGACCACCGCGACCATCCCCTCCGGCCGCCGCCGTTCTCCTGCGCCGCAGCCGATCCCGCCACCGCCACCTACCCATTCTGCAACCGCGACCTACCCATCGCCGACCGGGCTCGCGACTTGGTCTCGCGCCTCACTTTGGACGAAAAGATCTCCCAGCTGATCAACAAGGCCGCCGCCGTCCCCCGCCTCGGCATCCCCTACTACCAGTGGTGGTCGGAGGCGCTGCACGGCGTTGCCATCGCCGCCGGCGTCGAAAACGGCGTCGCATTCAACGGAACCGTCCGGTCCGCCACCAGCTTCCCGCAGGTCATCCTCGCCGCCGCCGCATTCGACTCCACCCTCTGGTACCGGATTGCCAAGGTACGGTTCGTTTCTCTGCGGTTCGTGCGATTAGAATATAATAAAAGATGCCGCTGATATCTTTTCTGTATGATTTGCATTATCTGTACTGTACGTGTTTCGAATTTAAAATTAGGCTCTCAATCATCGTTGTGCGATATGGGACCGACCAGACCAGCTGCTGCACTAATTTAAAATTGAAAATTAAAAAATCCTGCTCCTGGACAAAATATTTGGTTCATCAATCTCTATACAAATAATCGAAAATTACTATGGTTGTGTTTGTTTTTAATTTTTTTTTTCAAATATTAAATAAGTAAAAATTAAGAGAAAATTAAAAAAATACTTTTATTAGTAAGCATATTTGTTTAAAAGAAATACACAAATATAAAATTATTTTACTCTAACTACCAATGATACAAAAATTAAATTCGACGACAAAAGAAAGTACTATATTAAATCAAAATTAAAGTTTTATATTTAAATTATTACATTAATACATATTTATATCATATCATATAATTATTTCAATTCAAAAATTTATTATTAAAAATAAAAAATATTGTAAAGGAAACACACCCCATCTATTTTTGTCACTGAATTAAAGTACTGTAGATGGTTTTGGTAAAAGTCAAAGAAGTTGACCTGCTTGACCCGTTTCAATAGGCCGTCGGAGAAGAGGCGAGGGCAATATACAACGAAGGGGAAGCAACCGGCCTGACATTCTGGTCCCCAAACATCAACATTTTCAGGGACCCCCGATGGGGGAGGGGCCAGGAGACCCCCGGAGAAGACCCCTTTCTTACCTCCAAGTACGCCGTCTCCTTCGTCAGAGGAATTCAGGGCGACAGTTACGACGGCGGCGCCGTCGCAGACGGCGGCCGCCTTCTGGTCTCCGCCTGCTGCAAGCACTTCACCGCCTACGATCTCGATAACTGGAACGGCTCCGATCGCTTCACATTCGACGCTCGAGTAATTAATTAATTAAATTTTTATTTTTTTTAGTGATTATAATTATTTTTTATACATCTGCGCAGGTGACGAAGCAGGATCTGGCCGACACGTTCCAGCCGCCATTCAAGAGCTGCGTGGAGGAAGGGCGAGCCAGCGGGATGATGTGTGCTTACAACCTCGTCAATGGCGTCTCCAGCTGCGCCGATCGTGAGCTTCTCACGAAAACGGCTCGCGGCGAGTGGGGCTTCGACGGTTACATAACGTCGGATTGCGACGCCGTCTCTCTCATCTACGAGAAGCAGAACTACGCGCCGTCGCACGAAGATGCCGTCGCCGCCGTGCTCAAAGCCGGTAAATTTCCAGCCGCCGATAACCTCCATTATTATCAATTTCCTTCGATCATACATTCATACTTCATACTGTAATGAACGCAGGCATGGATGTCAACTGCGGCTCCTATTTGGGAAGCCACACGAAGTCGGCGGTCGAGAAGGGGAAAGTGTCGGAATCGGACATAGACAGAGCCCTCCACAACCTCTTCTCTGTAAGAATGAGGTTGGGACTATTCGACGGCGATCCAACTCAGCAACCACCGTACGGAAATCTCCGGCGACGCCACATCTGCACTCCGGCGCACCGGAAACTGGCGCTGGAGGCGGCGCGCGACGGCATTGTCTTGCTAAAGAACTCCGGGAGCTTACTCCCACTCTCCAAGTCCAAAACCAACTCCGTTGCGGTGATCGGCCCGAACGCCGACGCCGCAACCACCCTGCTCGGAAACTACGCCGGGCCACCGTGCAACGCCGTAACTCCGCTAGAAGGCCTCAAAAGCTACGTCAAGAACATCAATTTTCACCCGGGATGCGACTCCGTGGACTGCGCATCTGTCGCAGCCGACGAGGCTGTCGAACTTGCGAGAAATGCCGATTATGTAATTCTCGTAATGGGACTCAATCAAGACCGCGAGAGCGAGGAGCTCGATCGCGAAGACTTAACCCTTCCCGGACTTCAGCAAAGCCTCGTCGAACGTGTCGCCGCCGCCGCCAGTCACGCGGTGGTGCTGGTGCTGCTTTGCGGCGGCCCTGTTGATGTTTCCTTCGCAAAAAATGATGCCAAGATTGGTAGCATATTGTGGGCGGGATATCCTGGCGAAGCCGGGGGACAAGCTATTGCCGAGATCATATTCGGAGACCATAATCCCGGTAGTAAAAATCCATCGTTTCACTTAAAAATTTAAATTTATTAAAAAAATATTATATAAATTTTAAATTTTAGGTGAAATAATCATTTTGGTCCGTGTTTAGGGGGGAGATTGCCGATAACTTGGTACCCAGAAGACTTCACGAGGATACCGATGACGGACATGAGAATGAGGGCGGATCATGTGACGGGATATCCGGGGCGAACCTATCGATTCTATAACGGCGAGAAGGTTTTTGAATTCGGACACGGCCTTAGCTACTCGAACTATTCGTACAAGTTCATATCGATCGGACAAGACAGGATCAACTTCAAGAAATCGACGGACAGCAAATACGGAGACTCGGGACTCATTTTAGTTACGGATATCGATTTGGAGTCGTGTAAGAAGGCTAAGTTTTCGGCCATTGTTGAAGTCGAGAACCGAGGGGAGATGGCCGGGAAGCATCCAGTTCTGCTGTTTATTAAACGCGGCGGCGATTGCGATGTCGGCAACGGGAGTCCGATGAAGCAGCTGGTCGGGTTTCAGACAGTGAAGCTGTACGGCGGGGAGAGGATTCGGGTCGGGTTTGAAGTGGATCCATGCGAGCATTTGAGCAGAGGTAGTGAAGATGGAGCAATGGTGATTGAAACAGGGGAGTTTTACTTAGCCGTTGGAGACCAAAAGTATGCTATCTCTGTGGTCGCTTCTGCTTGAACGAAGTTACTTAATTGCCCTTGCGTCTGGAGCTGTTCGCGGCTTTAATTGAAAAGTGGGCTCCACTTGTTGCAAACGAAAATTATTTCAAATAAAATTGTTTCCAAATATATAATATATTTATGCAATTATTGTTTTTGTAAATTATATATATATATATATATATATATGATTAATCTAAATATTGGTGACTAAGATCTGTTAAATTTAAATTTGATTTTTATCGATTTCTACTTGATACTTTTCCGTAATACCACCCATTATAGGCACGTGCTACACGTGCTATATAGATATTGCATTTCCCTATTTGTAATTGTTTTTCGGGCATGTGTAACACAAAATTCTGGCCTCATGCTTGTATTATTATTTTCTAAATGAAATTCTATCCTATTTTATTTATTTTGGTGTGTTCGTTTTTTAAAAGTATTTAGTGTATATTTCTTCAGTCTTTTTTTTTTTTTTAATTCAAAATCATTAAGATAAATATTCTATAAAAATTTAATTTGCATTCAAAACAATATATCAAAACTAATAATTATTTAAAGTATTTAGTTTATATTTCTTTCAAATTCTCTTTAAAAAAATCTAATTTAACTTGTGTTTTCATTCAAGTCATTTTGACAATATGCTCATATTGTTATTTGCCTTATTAGTTTTTTTGTTTCATTATTTGATGTTTTGGTTTAATTTTTTAAAGATTAGTCAATTTTATTATTAAATATAATAGCATTTTAGAGACAAATATGAGATTGAGTTTGTTTCTTTTGTGAAAATTATTGAACACATTTTCAAAAAAATATTACTCCATCGTCCCCAATACAATAGTTTTATTTATCATTTTTGTCCGTCCTAAAATAACAGTTTTGTTTCCATAAATAATCATATTACCATAAAACTACCCCTACTTTTTCATTTTTATTACACATTTGTCACTACTTTTTACACTAATACACTGACAAGGGCAAAAAAATATATTTTATTCATACTTTTTACCAACTACCGATATAATATCAATATTTCTTAAATCTCGTGTTCAACCAAATAAAGACTATATCCAACCCAATTACCACTATATTTATGGGACAAATGGAGTACTATATTACAAACGCTTATTATTTGTATATTTTCTACCTAATTTCCTATAAACCATGTCAAAAAATATCTCTTCAAACTGAAACACAAACAATTTTTTTTTTCCTTTTAATAACTGAAAGGTTTGAATATATTATCTTGTGATTACAAATTTATCCCTATATTATCAAATCATGCCTTATAATACTTTTATAATTGAAGAAGTGTGCATGTGAACAATAACATAATAAATATAAGAGTTGTGAATTTTCATATTATCAAAAAAAAAATAAAAATAAAAATAATACTCCCACCGTTTACAAACTAATGTCCTACTTTCTTATTTGTGACGTCCAACAACTACAGTTCTATTTCATTTTTTAAACACAAAATTTACATTTGTACATTTCATTCATTTATTACTTTTAATCTCTACCATACACTTAAGGACAAATTTGTCTATTCATAAAAGAAAAAAAAAAGACAATCACTTGAAAAACCGTGTAAATATACTTTAGGACAATAAAAAATGGACGGAGGAAGTAACAAAATAGACATAGCTTTACTAATACATTATAATACAATCCTATAGAAAAATTGAAGAATACCCCAATAATTATTTATTTGTAGCTTATAAAATATTTCACTACAAGTAGAATCATATCATATTCTTTAATTACCCTGTAATTAATTTCATTAATTTAATCTCGTATTATCACGTGCCTAGTCTTTAGAGGTATAATATTTACTCTAATTGCCATATATGTATTAAATATAATAATATGCACACACATATTGGTGCAAGTGGAAATACCATTTCAAAAATAATGTCATATATATTTTTATTTTTTCAATAGCAATTTCCATTTTTCCCTGTAATTGAATTTTAATTTCGAATGTACAATTATACACAATGCCACATAATTATCTCAATATATCACAGTAGATTAAATGTAATTAAAAATGAATTAAGCAATAATTATAATTGAATAATAATATCTAGTAAATCACGGTTAACGAAGGCAATAATTTGGCCCAAAAAGTTAAACCATTAAATGCTCACCAAATTTTAAAAATAAAAATCTAAAGCATATAAACGATTTGAAAAGGGAAAAAATAAATATATTACCCTATTTTCATTTTTTTAGAAATCTCATTTTATTAAATTACATCAATTATGCCCTTTATATCTTTTTAGTCACAGAAAAAAAATATAAAAAAATCACTATACAAAATTGGATATAATTGCATAAAATTGCCAATATGACGTGGATAATAAATAATTAATAAATGCATTTTTTTCCTTATCTAAATTTAAAATTTGCACAAATCAGCATTACCTAATGCGATTGAAAATCGACGGCTATTAATCACTTTTAGCGAGGAATCCTAACACGGTCAAAGCAAAGCTACAACAGATTAGCAAAGTTGAATCCCTATTTTACCCTTGGAAAGCACTTAACCGCGCGTTTAGGGCCGGGGGTATTTGGTGGGATAGAGCTGAAATGACGAAAACACCCTTCCAGTTATCCCTCGTGAAAATTGAACAAGTGGTGACTGGAGGTCCAGGTAATCGGTCGCTGCCCTTGTTTGTGGTTTCCTATAAATACCCCCTGAGGGCAGCTTTTATTTTGCATTCCTTGCTTTCTCTCTCCTTGAGCACCTCCACTTTCTCTCTCTACGCGCCGCTCTCTCTCTCTCTCTCTCCCTCACAGCCTATAGATACACCGATAGATACACAAATCTGAGATTTTTTCTACATAGAAATATAGTTCGATTATAGCTATTCCTATAATTATTGTTATATATAATTATATATATACTTTTTTGGTTTTTGAGATAATAACAATTGTTTCTCTCTCTAGATTTGCTGTCACTTTTGAGGTAAATTCTTCTCCCCGGGACTCTTTAGCCTCTTCTTTCCTCTTGTTGGATGATAAATTTAGTTTGAATGGTAAAGGGGATTGGAAAATTGATTGGAATTGGAATTGTTATCTGATTGAGAAATAGATCGTGAAAGAAACCGAGGAGTAATGTGTTTGACTATTGGGATTGGGTAATTTCGCTGCGGAGTTATTTTCGATCTGGACTTTGAATCTGTTTTTTCCTGTGGATTTTGTGACGAACACGGTTAATATTTATCGGTGCGTCTGTGCCTGGAATGGGAATCTTGACACCATGATAGAATGGTCACATCTTTGTGTATTTTTGTTTTGTTGTGCGAAGCGATATGTTTGATGTTGAGTTAATCTTTGGTGATTTGATGCGGATGGTGTTTTGGGGATTTGTCTTGGTACTGGCTTGGGTTGCCCTAATTTCTTCAATCCGGAGTAATTATTTTTGTTGTTAAGTGGAATTCTTCTGATTAATTAGTTTATTAGTCTCCTTGTTTCTTGTTTTTTAATCCTTCGTTGAAGAATAAAAGTAAAAACGGTGAGGAGAGGCATGTTCTATAAATTCTTGTTTGGTATATAGTAGAGGCATGTAGTTTGATTGATTTGGGTCTGGTTCAATGCACATGGAAGTTTTGGTAGCTTGTGTTTAAAATCTGTTGTTGTTACTGTAAGATAGTTTCCTTCAGATTACTCGCGAGGGTCCTATTTCCGAATCTAGTATTTGGGATTTATAATCATCTGTTGCTTCCTAGGAACAGGGCATAAGCCTCTTGATTCCACAGGCCATGATAATATTTTTGTTTCTAGAATCTAGATCCATCATTATATGCGTATGTAGTTAGTTGATAAGTGCACATGAATGATGAATGTTGCTGTAGACTATGTGCATTGGCATTGACACATTAGATTCTAATTTCTAACACTTTTACCATTAAGGGGACTAGAGTAACTTAATAGAGGATCCATATTACAATTAGTAGTTGAATTAACCGATCAATGTTGTACAAAGTCTATATACTGCTTCAGTTCCTTAGGTTACTGATAACATGCTTCTTCCTGGTTTAGTTTAGGGTCTGCTGTGCTATGATTTGTTAACTTATATGTTTTGAACCTTGATGTTCCTTTGGCTTTGATTTTCTATGATGGTTTGTGATTTGATACTGCCCCTATCTAGTGAAAACAAGAACTCTGTAGTTCATGCTTTTTTAATAAAGAAATGTTCAATCCTTTTGTGTCCCCTCCGCTCTTCCTTGATGTCTCCATTTTGATATTATCAAGATTTTGTTTGAGACATTTGTGTTCACACCATCTCTTTTCCATCTTTGCTGCAGAAGTTGCATAAAATTTGGCAATTCCTGAGTTCTGGATCCTTCTGTTGCTTGCCACTTGGGTTGGCATGTTATGCTCTTATCCTACCGGAAATTATCCTACGAAAATTGTCGGTACACTTTTTTGGGCATATTTGTGTAGTTGTATGCAACTTCTTGCAAAATGGGCTCCCAACGAAGGTTTCTATTTGATCTTAATGAACCACCGACTGAAAATGAAGATGATATTGATGGTGCTGTCAACTTCCATCCCCAAAGGGCAATTCCTTCTTCAAGTAATGCAGCAACCAATTTGTTTGTGGCAACTACCGGTCCCCAAGGAATAATAAATAACAATGCCTTTTCCCATGCTTCTTCTGTATCTGGTTTCCAACCTTTTGTACGTTCTAAAGCTAGGGGATCGGATATTTCTTCTGATAAAAGGAGTTCTGGAGATGTGCATTCTGATTTTACATCATCTTCCAAAATGAGTAATGGCCATGACTTGAATGCAGCACCAAACACCCGTGCTAATGATATTGAGAAGGAAGAAGGGGAATGGTCTGATGCAGAGGGTTCTGTTGATGCTTGCAGGAATTTTATTCAGGGAGGCTCAGTTGGTGGAGGTCCTAAGTTGGTATTGGAAAATGCTGCTCAGATGATGGAAAATAGTGCCTCAGCTGGAGGTATGCCAAATAAATCTGCTAGTCTTAGTGAGAACAAGAATGAGAGTGGTATTTCTCTATTAGGAAACCCTGAAACAAATGATAAGAAAGGCGATACATCTATGGATGGTCAGGAAGATTCTTCTCAAGTACCAAAACAAAGAGAAACCAGAGGTATTGAAGCAAGTCATGCTTCAAAGTGTGCAAGTAATATGGGAAAGCGACCAAAGCTTGACCAGCATAAGGAAGCAATGCTAGGAAAGAAGCGTAGCAGACAAACCATGTTTCTTGATTTAGAAGATGTTAAGCAAGCTGGTGCGTTGAAGTCTTCAACTCCTAGAAGACAGATACCTCCACCAACTATAACCCGGACTGTAAAAGAAGCTCGGGCTGCGATGCCAGCTTCTGAACATGGTGATAAGCAAACTATGGCAACAACCAGAGATGTAAAACAATCTGATTTGTCTAACAATGAAAGCAGCAGTTGTGTGGAATTGAATGAATGTAAACCTGAGAGTAATGGTGACCATCATTCCCAGCATGTTGGACCACTTAGGAGGTTAAATAGCTCTGTGGACATGGCTTTAGAAGGAGCAGCACCACCTGTTCCCAGACAGGGTTCAGTGAAACTGCCCCCTGATTCAAGGCAATTCAAGAATTCACAGTTCTCAGGCAGGAAACCAACTTTTAGCAGTCAGAACTTATCTGACCCAAAATTAACAGCAAAGAAGCTACCTTCCAAGAAGCAGATCACTGCAGGTAATCAGTATCAAGATACATCAGTTGAACGTCTACTACGTGAGGTGACAAGTGAGAAGTTTTGGCATCATCCAGGTATTGGAGTATTCAAACTTGTTTATACAACATATTGTCAATTTGGGTGGTGGACTTTCTTTTGGATATTTTGGTTTTCTTCTTTTAAGTTAATGGTTTGATATATTTAAAGGGGTTATTTGGAAATGTATTTCCCAAACATGTTGACATTCTGACTCTTGAAAATGATGATTTTGTTGATGATTTATGTTTTTCACTCCTTTTACTTGTTAATGATGGTTGCTTCGAAATCTTGTTATATTTGTTCTTGCATATGCTTATATTGTCTCCTGAACAGAGGAAGAAGAGCTCCAGTGTGTTCCTGGCCGGTTTGATTCAGTAGAAGATTATATCAGGGTATTTGAGCCATTGCTCTTTGAAGAATGCCGTGCACAACTTTATAGTACCTGGGAGGAGTCGGGGGAAACAACATCAAGTCATGTTAGAGTATCTGTAAAAAGTGTTGAACGACGTGAAAGGGGTATTATTTCTTTGCCTAGTTTCTCGTACTAATGCTTAGTATTATATTATAATTCAGTAACAGAGATGATTGTTTGATGCAATGATTTTTAGATGCAATGGTTTTTTAATAGCTGGCGGCTATTGCTTAGCATAGTAAAATGTCTGTCAGGGATGCATTCAACATTTAGTATTTATCAGTATATTTCACATATACTACTACCTATCCTTTTGACTTGAAACGGGAACTAGATATATATGGTTTCATGTGTAATGGTATGATTAGAATATAAAAGATTAATTGAGAGATTATACTAACTATTTCAGTTTCTATTACAGGGAGATGGTTTTTATTGTCCATAACCCTACCAAATATGAAATCCCTTTGTTCACATCATTTATTATTTTTTAATCATTTGTTTATAAAAATGTAATTATATATACGTAACTATGATTAAACATACCTTCACCTTAAAACCCCATTGTCCCCATACCCCAATTTATCTACCAATAGCAAGGTAATTACTGTCTATAGAAGCATAAAGAATTCAACAATTGAAAAAGCTTTTAAATTCTTTGAATATTTTCACACATGAAGGTGCAATTGTAATCGATCTTTTTCATTGCCATTGCATGTGAATAAATGTGACCCTATAATGTGTTGTTGGTATGCTATCCTGCTACTAGGGGGTACTGCTCAGGGATTTTCTTTAGTGTGTAAATGAGCTCTTTTTAAGACGACTGTTAGAAGTTTAGGTTGGCTGATGTTGAGTCCCAATTTTGTGTTCAGTACTATGATGCACCGGCAAGCCCATCTATTGCAATTAAGTTCTTATTCTTAATCACTGTTTTATACTTGTGTCAGTAGCATAATTATGTGTTCGTTTTCCATATTTTTGGCTTTTAAAGGATGGTTTGATGCAATACTTATCCCTCCTCATGAGTACAAATGGACATTTAAAGAAGGAGATGTTGCAGTTCTTTCATCCCCAAGGCCTGGAGCAGGTTTAACATCTACTTTTGAATTCCATTCCTAATAATTTAAGACTAGAAGTGCTATATGTTTACACACTCTGATTGATTCTGTGCAGTCAATACACGGAGGAATAATTCTGCAGTTACAGAAGATGAGGAGAAACCCGAAATTAATGGGCGCGTTGCAGGTACTGTGAGGAGGCACGTGCCCATTGATACCCGAGAACATACTGGAGCTATTCTTCACTTTCATGTTGGAGATCCATATGATACTAGCGGGTGAATCTTACTATCTCTTTTGCCCTTAATCTTTGTTCAATTTGCTGTCTTTCAGAATAGGATTTTGACTATAACTTTATCATGTATCTTCACATTCTTTCTTGCTTGTGTAATTCAGCAAGAGTGATGATGATCATATCCTGTGGAAGCTCCGTCCTGGCGATGTCTGGTATCTGACTGTTCTTGGTTCATTAGCAACAACACAACGAGAATACATTGCCCTGCATGCATTCCGGCGTCTTAATTTGCAGGTTTATATCTACTTCTTTGTGGAAAAAAAAGAAACTCATCACAGTCGTTAGTTTTATTTCTTGTGTTATTAATATCCAATATCTTGCCAGATGCAAAATGCTATTCTTCAACCCAGTCCTGATCATTTTCCGAAATATGAAGAACAGCCTCCTGCCATGCCAGATTGTTTTACTCCAAACTTTGTTGAGTACCTGCACAGGACTTTTAATGGACCCCAGCTAGCTGCAATTCAATGGGCTGCTATGCATACAGCTGCAGGAACATCTAATGGTGTGACGAAGAAGCAAGATCTGTGGCCTTTCACTCTTGTTCAAGGGCCTCCAGGGACTGGGAAAACACATACAGTTTGGGGAATGCTTAATGTGATCCATCTTGTCCAATATCAGCACTACTATACTGCATTGCTAAAAAAATTAGCGCCTGAAAGCTATAAGCAAGCTAATGAGAACCACTCAGATAATGTGGCTGTTGGGTCTATTGATGAGGTTCTTCAGAGTATGGATCAGAATCTCTTTAGGACTCTTCCGAAACTTTGCCCAAAGCCTAGGATGCTTGTTTGTGCTCCCTCAAATGCTGCAACTGATGAACTGCTTTCAAGGGTTCTTGACCGTGGATTTATTGATGGTGAGATGAAAGTTTATCGCCCGGATGTTGCTCGAGTTGGGGTGGATTCTCAGACTCGTGCTGCTCAGGCAGTTTCTGTGGAAAGAAGAACTGAGCAACTTTTGATGAAGAGCCGTGATGAAGTTCATGGATGGATGCATAATTTGAGGACTCGAGAAGCTCAGCTTTCCCAGCAAATTGCTTGCCTACAAAGAGATTTGAATCTTGCAGCTGCAAATGTTCGTGCTCAGGGATCTGTTGGTGTTGACCCGGATGTTCTTATGGCCAGAGACCAAAACCGAGATTCTTTACTTCAAAACCTTGCAGCAGTAGTTGAATCCAGAGACAAAATACTAGTTGAGATGTCTCGACTTCTAATTCTGGAGAGCAGGTTTCGTCCTGGGAACAACTTCAATTTAGAGGAAGCTAGAGCAAATCTTGAGGCAAGTTTTGCCAACGAAGCTGAAATTGTTTTCACAACGGTCTCAAGCAGTGGGCGCAAGTTATTCTCTCGTCTGACTCATGGCTTTGACATGGTTGTAATAGATGAAGCAGCTCAGGCTAGTGAAGTAGCAATACTGCCTCCACTTTCTCTTGGTGCTGCTCGTTGTGTTCTTGTCGGGGATCCTCAGCAGCTCCCTGCTACTGTCATCAGTAAGGCAGCAGGAACCTTAATGTACAGTAGAAGTCTTTTTGAGAGGTTCCAACAAGCAGGCTGCCCAACAATGCTGTTATCTGTGCAGTATAGGATGCACCCACAGATTAGGGATTTTCCTTCTAGGTATTTCTATCAAGGACGCCTTACAGATAGTGAAAGTGTAGCTAATTATCCTGATGAGCAATATTATAAAGATCCCTTACTGAGACCTTACCTCTTTTTTGACATAACTCATGGTAGAGAATCTCATTGGGGAGGTTCAGTATCTTATCAGAACACACAAGAAGCACAGTTCTGTGTTCGTTTGTATGAGCATCTTCAGAAAACTGTAAAATCATTGGGGTTGGGGAAAGTTACTGTGGGCATAATCACTCCATACAAGCTGCAATTAAAATGTCTCCAGTGGGAATTCAGGGAGGTTATGAATTCAGATGAAGGAAAAGACATTTATATTAATACAGTGGATGCCTTCCAGGGTCAAGAACGTGATGTGATTATAATGTCTTGTGTTCGTGCATCAAGCCGTGGAGTTGGGTTTGTTGCTGATGTTCGCAGGATGAATGTTGCACTTACTCGAGCAAGGAGAGCTCTCTGGGTAAAGTTTTCCTTCCTTTATATGTATTTACCTCACATTGTTTCCTTATGTTTTCTTGGCTTGAGCACATCTGTTTACATTTTTATTTTTATTGCAGGTAATGGGAAATGCAAGTACTCTGATACAATCGGAAGATTGGGGTGCACTGATTGATGATGCTAAAAAAAGGAACTGCTACCTGGGCATGGATTCTCTGCCTAAGGAATTTAGCCCTGAGGCTTCAACTTATAATACATTTTCATCCAAAAATCCTAATTCAAGGGGCTTGAGGTCAGGACCAAGGTTTAGATCACATGATACACACATAGAATCCAGGTCTGGTACTCCTTCAGAAGAAGATGAAAAGTCAAATATGTCAGTAATTCCTAGGAATGGAAGTTACCGGACTATAAGGCCTGGAGCTGGGAATCCATTAGATGGTTTTGATCAAGCTGCTGATAGATCTCGAGATGCCTGGCAACATGGTATTCAAAGAAAGCAAAATGCTGGAGGTGGTGTTTTAGGAAAGAGGGATCCGTAGTTGGTGACACAATGGTGTAAATTGGCCCAATGCTGCTAAATGGAAAGGAATGTGATCATGGTTTTAAGGCCACTTGTGTAGCATCCCATGCTTAACCTCATGGCTTAATGGTTGATGATTAGGGATATCAAGGGAACTTGGGAGCTGTAAGCGCATTAGGGAAGCAAAAGGTTTTGTGTGTCTAGCACCCTACCTGTGCACCCTCTTGTTTTCTTTTGAGATGGACTTCAAGAACGAAGATATTCCCTAGAGTCGGGACCCAACTTCAGTGCACCAACTGTTTTATCTTGGTAAGATGGACTCTGAACACATTTTGGTCAGATGCCTTGAAATGCTCTTCATCTGGCTGATCAGGTCGAGCCTGTACCTCTTTTGTGACATTGTGGTAAGCACTATTTGAATTGATGACTAAATTTGGTGTCTTCATTGACTGTTACATTTGGAGACCTCAGAATCATGTGATTTATGAAAAATTAACTTGTGGTGTTGCACTGCAGGATGTGGCGTGGATTATTACTTCCTATCTGAAAGATTTGGTCCTGTTATTAGTTTATATGCCAAGACTAATATGTGGCATATCTATGGCAGCACACATACTGTTTGACCTTTGGATAGTATACTTAGGTATGGGGCTTCTGCCTGGTGTAAAGGAGTTCATTGAGCCCATTGGAATTGCTTACAGTCGACGCACTAGCAGCAGCTACACCAGCGTCTGAACTGCACTCCGAATTTCAATGAAAGCTGAGTTTGGTGCATATTGAACAAGTGTGGAAAACCCTGAAGGAATTCTTTCAAATAAATATATATATATATATATATTATATAATAAACCATTAAATGCCGTCGTTGTTTACTTGCGCCCCCAAGTTTTATGTGAATAGATGTTTTGGAAATTTGTTGGTAGCACTAGATGGAGAAATGAAATCATTCTTGGTCATTGTATTCTATTCTTTTTGTCATCTTTGATTTTCTGCTTCTGGCAGCAGCTAGCTTGGATTGAATTGTGGAGAAAAAGCTTGCTGGTGAGATGGTGTGCTTTTGAGAGACCATTTCATACAGGTAAGTTGAAATTTTATTTGGTTGTTCTTTTATTAGTAAATAGATTTTTTGGTGTGATAGTTTTAAATGTATGCTTTTATAAGAAGGGAAAAGTATTTGAAAGATTCACACGCTTTATGTCTCTAATAGTAACATAAAAGAAGATGAAATCAAGAAACTGTGCAAATGTTTGTGCTCATAAAAAACAAAGTCCTAATTCAAGTTTTTTCTTGTGAATGTCTAATCTAATTTATCAGAAGTTCAAATTTTGGATTGGGTGATTAATAAATATTTGATGTTATAATAGCTTAATGCAGTCGTCTTACTTCAGTGGGCTCAAGTGAAATACTACATTTGTAGCTGTTAACAATATAAATATCGATGGGATTGGTGGGCTCATATGAAATACTATTACCTGCTTGTAGACCTGAAGTGCATTTTCTGTATTCTTGATCATTTTTGTGTAATTATTATTGTTGAATATGATTTATGTACGTAAAATTATAAATTTCATCGTATTATTATTCTTGTTGGTCGTGATGTTTTTAATTGAAATGATTGTTGAATGTAATGTTAGAATTTAGTGTTTATATGAGTCAATTAGTTCTCTTATTAGTTGCGATGTTTTTAAATTGAAATGATTGTTGGTGTTTTAAAGAAAAAAAAAAAAATAGAATAAACAAATCCTCAATTTATGATATTCTTTTCGACTGCTATATAGTTTTTTTAAAAAAATATATATATATATAATTTATGATACTTTTTCCGACTAATCTCCTTTACCTAATTGAAATGAAATTTAAGTGTTCTATGGCCATATCAGTATACTTAAACACTATTACAGAAAAAATATATATATATATAATAATAAATAAATAAATAAAAATATACCTACACAGTATTACAAAAAAAAAAAAAAAGTACTTACACAATATCAATTTCATCGTGTGTTTGTATTGAATGAGATGACATGAGATAAAATTTAAAAAATAAAATAAAAGTGGTGGTGACGCAACGATACATAGATAATTCAGCGTTTATATATTATAATACTATATTATTATAAACTAGTATAATAAAAATAAAAGGCAGCAAGATGAACGGCCCAGATCTTTTCTTACCTTTCTGCCTTCCCGTTTATGTTCCCCTCCCGACTCCCTTCTGCCATAGTTGCAGTTGCAGTGCAGCCACTTCTCACTCCTCACTCCCTCTCCTCTCCTCCCCTCTTTCCAACAATAACTGCAATTCATTCAATATACATATATACATACATCTATCTATATATACACGTGTAGATAAACATAGATTGGGTGTGGGTGTGGGTGTGGGTGTGGGAGAGGAGATCGAGATGATGTTGGGAAAGAGGTCTCGCCCTCCGGTGAAGAGAACCACCAGCATGACGGAGTTCACCCTAGATTTCACCGGAACCGCTGAAGGCGTCTATCCGCCGTCGTCGGATCTTCTCAGTCCAAATCCCCGCCCCCGCCCGCGACCTTCGCGCCGTAACTCCGCCGATTTCGTCGAAACTGCTCATTTCCTAACCGTCTGTGCACTCTGCCAGCGGCGCCTTATCCCCGGCCACGACATCTACATCTACAGGTACCTTCGCAACACAATCGGTGCATACTTATTCAGATCTTCGTTTGATTTCATTCCCTGTGCCCTAGACAAAATTGGTTGCGGTCGCTTCTCCTAAGTTCTTCGAATTGTATTCGTATATACATCTGTTTGAGAATTAATATGTGCAATTCGAAACCTCCTCCTTCGTTTTTGCTTAGATCATTGTGATCTGTGGATTGGTTTTCATGTGGAATTGATTGTAAAATTAATATTTGCAGAGGAGACAGTGCTTTCTGCAGTCTGGAGTGCAGACAGCAGCAGATGAGCCAAGACGAGAAGAAAGACAAGTGCTCGCTGGCTTCCAAGTCGTCGTCCTCCACCGCCACCGGCGAGACCGTCGCCGCCGTCTGAATCACCTGCAGAATACTGCCCACTCACTATCAATCAATTAATATATACAATCGCTTACCATATTGTTCTATTATTATTATTATATTTTTATATATTGTTTCATGGCCAAATTATTGATTATTACAAATTTACAAAATATATTGTAATCCATAAGCTATTGGGAGTTCGGGACAATATATTATTATTATTATTATTATTATTATGTGTATATATATATATATATATATTTGGAGAGAGACTAAAGAGAGGGGGTTGTTCATTGTTGTTATGATTTATTATAGCTGCAAATTAATTATGGGAATTTTTGTTTGATGATTGATGAATTATTCATGATATTCTCAAGCATACAGTTTATATTTCTATTTTTATTTCACTCCCATACACGTAAGCATTTTTTTATGATATATATATATATATATAAAACAGTTTGGGTCCACTCCATCAAACTTTTTTTTTTTAAATAAAATAAATATGTAGTAAATATTATTAATTATATATTACATAATAAAATTATAATTAATGGTAATAAAAGTTTAATAATTTTGGAATATAATTTAACATATTAATACATTTCTTAAAAATAAATTATTATATTTTCTTAATTATTTTCGATAATACTGCAGCTAATTCAACATTATCATAATTTATATATTATATATTTGAGATCTTTCCATAATTTCTCCATTATGAAATTTTTGAGTTTTTTTAATTTTTAATTTTTTTTTTGTTTTACAGTTTTTTATTTTTATATGATTGTGGGATATTTAAAATCTATATAATATTTACAATTTTTTTAACAGTGTTAGTGGATATATACACATTTTTTATTTTATAAAGTTTATTTCTTTTTTTTAAAAAAAATTCATATTCTCATTTTTTTTTAAAATATTTCTCAAAGAATTTTATATTTTGCAAAATTTTATTTATTTTACCGTTATTTTTGTTCTTGGTAAGCTTAATAATATTTATAATTGATAATTTTTAAATTATTTAAATCTCATTTCCTATTCTTATATTAGTTTTTTTATATAAATTTTTTATCTTATCGTTTTTCAAAAAATATTGACTTTGATAAGTATTAAAATATACTCTCTCCGTCCCGAAGGGTCATATATATAGCGGGACGAATGAAATATTATTTTATTGATTTGTATTTAATATTAAATTTATTGTTAACTCTATATTATATTCAATTAATATATATTCGAATAATTTTTTTTAAAAAAAAAATAGTCAATATTTAAAATTTTGAATGATTTGTTTTTTTTTAATATAATAAATTTTTTTTTATAAGTTAATGTCTAATTTTATTTAAAAATATATGTTTGAATAATTATAGTTGATATTTCACTGACTAAAATATTAATTATTGAATTACCTTACTTTTTGCTTATTTATTAAATTTGCAAAAGTTAATTAAGATAAATGATTATTTATTAATGTTTTTTAAAAAATTAAAAGTTTTTAAAACAAATTTTTTATTTTATTTTATAGAAGTATTTAAATTCATCATGTTAAACCAAATTTGTTTTCTTATTTTCATAATTGTTTCAAATAATTTGATTTTTTTAAATAAAATATATATATAGTAAACGCTATTAAGTATATATATTATACTTAATAAAATTATAATTACTGGTAATAACAAATTAATAATTTTGAAATATAATTTAACATATCAATAGGTCTCTTAAATATAATTTATTATTAATTAAATAAATTAAAAATATTTCAATATATCTCTTAAATATAATTTTTGTGTAACTATTATTATTATTATATTTGTAATTGATAATATTAAAAATATATTGTTATATTTCCTTATTTGTTTTCGATAATATTGCAACTAAATGAACATTTTCATAATTATATATTTAAATTCATCATTAATAATAATAATGTTTATAATTAATTAAATAAATTAAAATTCATAATGAATTATATTTCATAATCCTAATCTCTTATATACTTACACACACTTTTATCTTTACCTACTCCATTGCATATCTCACTATAATTCAACTATTTTTCGGCTAAAATTCAGATATTTAGTATTTCACGGCGTTATCATTCTGTCTTGCCCATCCTCTAAAACAGGTTATGAATTTTTGGTAATTTTAAATATATTTTCTAATACTCCCTCCGTCCCATAACAAAGTATCCATTTTTCTATTTTAGTCCGTTTCATACGAAGTATCCATTTCTTTTTTTAGTAACTGTACTTTCTACCTAAAATTACAAATACCCTTACAACTTACAATATATTACACAAATGTCATTACATTTATATCACACATATTAATAAGGTTATTTTAGTTATTTCTACTTTATTCATACTATATCCCAATATAATACTAATATTTCTAAAACTACGTGTAAAAAATAAATGGATACTTAATTTCGGGACGGAGGGAGTATATATATATGTTTTATTATTGGTTGTGTAAAATATGTTCACGATTTATATATATATATTTTTTTTGTTCCAACAATTTTATTATTGCTTTCGAATTGATGTTCTATATCTAATATAATATTCGTTGTATACATAGATGGATAATGAAAGAACTACGAAAAAATTAACTCGGTTGAGACGAATAAAAATAATTTGTCTCAAACAAAATAGACAACATCCAATTTTACATCTAGATCAGTTACTATATAATATTGATAGACACTGTCAGAAAATATGTCTGTCAGAAAATATGTCAGTTATATGACATATCAACTGTACTGTCTACTTATTCACCTGCCCCTATAAGAAGAAGGAGGGTAATAGCGGGAAACACCCGAAGAAGGACAAAAAATACAAAGTCACATTTTACTGAAGTTCTTTGAGAGATATACGTACAATACAATACGAATTATTTATTTTATTTTATATATATATTTGTTAACACATGACAATTATATATAGATACTTCAAATTTTGAATTATTATACATATTTCATAATCTCATTAATCCATTAATTTCTTACATTATGTAAGATTTCCAAATTATATTTACTTAAATTCTTCATTTTGTTTAACAATCAATATACATATTAAATTTTAAAAATTTTATCAGTTTATTTTATTATTTTCTTCTTTTTTTTCATACAAAACGTAAATTTATATTTTAAATTAATCTCGATGCATTCTCAAAATATTTCAAACAAAATAAATTAATATTTATTTTAGAGGTTAATTTCTACAAAATATTCAGAATTTTTAAATAATTTTTATTAAATTATTAGTATATTAAAGGCATCCTTTTTTTTTTTCTTTCTTTCTTTTTATAAAAAAAATATAAATTTTCACTTCAAGCTTTATATATTTGTGCAATGTATTTATTTTTCATACTTTTTTTTATTTTATTCGAAATTTTAGGTAACATTTCAACAACAGTGGTAAATGATCAAATAATAATTAGATTATCACAACTATACTTAGTAGCTATTATTCAAGGTTTGTAATTTATTTTTATGATTTCAATTTGTAATAGTTATTCCAAAAATAAATATATATTTAAAAATAATATAATTTTTTACCGTGTAAATGTTTTTTAAAATAATATATTAATATTAATAAGAAATTAAAAATGACTATAATAGTAATTAATGAAATAAATTTATACATCATTTCAATTCTTAATTTCTGTTTACATAGTTTTTGCAAATTTAAAAATTAATTTAATATATTTAAATTCTCATTTAAGTCTAATTATTAATTAAATTATAATAATGACATTTCCTAACTTATTGAAACAATCAATAATTATTACCGATTGTTTTTAATTATTATTTTTACTTATTAATTGAAGATCAAGTTTTTTCATATTGTTGGACGCATTCAGCATATCAATGTTCAAAATATGTGGATTGCAATTTGTAACAATTGCAGAAATTTATATGAAGTTCATTTCACAAAAATTGTATGCATGCATTGCAACGATATAGTAGAAGCAAATTTAAGGTAAAATATCATTTTTCTTTATATAAAAATACAATGTAATAATTCAATTATATTATATTTATATTTCATATACAATTTTTTAATGTAGATATGATGTTAATTTGGTATTGGAAGTATGAATTTAAATTTGTAACACAAACAATCTCAATTCATTTTTCGTTGTCGGTCATTCTAGTTCAAATATTTACAAGATCTGACATGTTTTACATGTATAAATATACATATATATATATTTGTTAATTACCTTAGCATACTAATATTTCTTTTACATATATGACGGAAAAATGATATATTATTAATATGGAAGTTTATTGACACTTTTAAGATAGTGTTTTTATATTTATAGTACCAATTCCACCTTCATGAGTACGACAAAAAAATCGTCACATAATAAATTTTGTATCAATTGTTGATGGATCCGAAAAATATTTATATCTTTTTACCAGATAATTAACAATATAATAAATTATTTATCTAATATTATTGCAATAGATTGTATAAGCCTTACAATAGCACGGATCAACACAATAATACTAATAATAATAATAATAATAATAAAGGTGGAGCGTGAAAATGAATGGGTGGGGCCAGGAGCGAGTGAGAACATTTGTAACACCAGACCAAGTTGGGGTTCATTTTTCAGTTTCGTAATTTTCCATTTTTGTTGTTGGGGTTCATATATATATATATATATATATTAAAGAAAATCATATCTTGAATATGAATTTTGTACTATTTAAAAAATATTAAATTCTCAAAAAGAAAATTATTTGTATCCTTATAATATATATAATAAGTATACAAATAAAATATATAATGGAATTGTTAATGTGCTTATATGGGGTATCCTAATTATCCTAATTAGCATATATATATATATATATATAATTCTCAACTAACACAATATAATATTGAATTAATTAAAATTGTGTTAAACAATTTATATTTTACAAATTTATTGTATGAATATATATAACATAAATTTTTATTCTCTTAATTTGTATTTCATATGTTCATCTATATTAAGGTATAGTTAACACCATATTGAATTATATTTATTTTAACATTCTAACAAAAGTCAATACTGAAACTTATCGGAAAAGGTAAAATTAAAATTAAATACATAATAATAATAATAATAATAATAATAATAATAAGTATATTTACATGCAAGTAGTACAATGATTATAAAAAAAAAAAAAGAGAAAAAAAAAAAGAAGAAGAAAAAGTCAAGTTTACACTTACAAAAGGACAAATTAATTAAATAACAATTATAATATTTTTGTAATAATGTGTCAATCATAAGAATTTTTAAATTATGTTGAAAGTTCAATTATTATTTTATTTTAATTAGATT